TTAATCAAGAGTACAGAGTTAGACAGAGCGTGTGTCTAACGAATTTCTGTCTGCTCCCTTGATTAAATGCGTTTCACGGCGCCCGGTCGCCTGCCCAGGCGGACTTCGCCGACTCACTAGTGTTTGATTTTGTGGCATACGTGCGTGGTGGTACTAAGCTTAAGGGTGGTAGTAAGTCGAGGTCGATGCGTACACTGGTTTTGAGTAGGCGACTCCCGCTCTGGGAGCTACCGATAATCTGATTTCGGAAACATATTGAGCGTCCTGAGCTGTTCTTTACCGTTTGGAATGGAAGCCAGAGTTCCTAAGTTTATTTTTAGTCGACTAGCCAGCTGTACACGTACATCTACATCCACAAGCTACGCCTGGTTTCGGACCACTCTACAAAAATGACGCAACTTTTTATACCCATTTTTGACGTGTTCCCATGTATTCCACCCTGCACGTATTATGAAATGTTTCAGGCGAACATGGATATCTCCCCGATCCTCACCGATGGATCCGGAAGCGGACAGGAACAGAACACACTGTAATACCGAAAACCGGCAGGATGCAGTTGGACCACGCAGAAATACGGCTGCGTCACTCCGGAAAATTATCAAGAGCCTGGTCAGAGCTATCCTCGATATAAACCGGATATCGTCGAGAAGTGCTCGGTTTTAACGGTTCCTGGTCGAAGGTATCAACGCTGCGCTGGGCTAGCTGTTGACCTCTGCCGATAATACATTTTGATGTTTCACATTTGGGTCATCCTTTCAGAAATGCATGCAGGCCCGTTTTAAAGATTGGGGAGGGGCGCACTGGCGCACCGCCCTTCCCCTCCCGAAAGAAAAAAACGGGAAAACGGCGTGCCGGGAGCTAGCGCAAAGGAAGTGCGAGAAAATGGAACTGGCGCGGGCGTACGGACGCTGGCGTACCGGAAATTATAATAAAATTGCAAAAAAGTGACTTTTTTGAGCCACTTTCCTACATTTTTCCAGAAGTTTTCGGCCATTTTCCAGCTGGCGCGAAGTCGTGCGCACCCCCTTCCAGAAAGCTAAGGAAGGGCCTGAATGTACGCATTCACGTACGTACATCTTCGTAGCCAGAAACGAAGAGCAGTGATCGAACAACCGGATATGCAAAATTACGATACCATAATTTGTTTTGCAAAGAAATGCCGTCTGCGTGAGCTTAGTTAGCGCCTTTTCGACGGCCCCTAGCTTAATTTTCACTTAAAAGGAAGTGCGTAAGAACATAACACTAAATTCGTGTAAATGTTAGATATTTTAAAAATAATTTTGAAATTTGAAAAAACTTGTATTACTCTACTTCAATGTAAAAACGATCTTCATACTTACAAAGTAAGTGTGTCTACTTACAATGAATCTTGCCGCTACACCCGCTTGTTGTTCAGCTGTACCAGTGATATATGCAATCGCAATGCCTGGGGCCGTGGGATGGCAACCCTTCGTGTTTCACCAACACCACAACGACCGCGACTTAAAGATCGCTCTAGATCTGCTGCCACATGAACAAGCTCCCAAACCACTTGAAAGTGCACATGCAACGTCAGCTGTAGTCGCGACGCTCTTCAACCGGCACAGCGATTTTTGACATTGTTGGTGACCGCCCCTAGTGCGTGATTATACCAAGTGTAAATTGAGGAAAAAATAACAACGGACGTGTCCTGACAACTGTGAATGACCCTACATACATACTATTTTTTTGGTCATTAAATGACCAAAAATGCGCGCTTGGTATGCGCTTCGAATCAGCAATCTCGCGCACATCGAAGTATGCATGACAACTGACAAGGCCTCCTTTACGATGGAATTTGCGTGGGATAACGTTGGAGGCCGTCAAAAAAAACATCAGTAATTCATGTGCATCTTCGCAGCTGCACAAAATAGAAGCACAGGAGCTTTTGGATCACATCAGGGCACCACGGACACGCGGAGGCAGAAAAAGCCATCGGCGATATTGGTGGTCACTTAGACCGCGTCCACAAGAAGATGGAGTACTGCAGCATCAACTAATCACGAACGAACTACAGTATCGGCTAGTCACAGAACTCTTACGGCTAGTTGACCCGGCAGGTGAAGCTCAGTCTTGGCCGTTTGTCTACTTACAACTACAGGCGACGCTCACGCCATTCCTCTCCTCCTCACTGGTTAGAAGGGAAGCCGGCATCCCCGGTTGAACAACAAGATGGTGGTGGATGGCCAGGCGGGGGAAGGTGGGTTTCAGGTCGCACTCCGGAGACGGCGTCATGCAGGCCATGTAAGGTCGAAGACTTCTGCTATGTGCCGCGAAATACCGTCAGTTTCTAAGGGTATAACCCGAAGTCGACGAAGGAACGCATTATGGCCAGACTGGCAAGTTAATATCGACACTATATACAGAAATATACGTTGGAAAACAAGGACAACCAAGAGCTGTTATCTTCCTGCCCCACAGTGCTCAATCAGCGGACACATCGTGAAAATGTTTTTGATGGAAATAATTATATGAGTACCAAAAGTGCAATTCTCTGAGAAATTCATCGCTAGTACTCTGAATTCTGAAATTGTGATAAAAGTTGATAGCTACCGACTATCGTTCAGATTTGTGTAATGTGTAGCTGGAAATGCGCTGTCCCAGGTTTAGCATGCTTTTTACATCAGCACTTTATTTCTGCTTTTAATTTCTATATTTATAATATTATAATTTACAAGAGTCATCTTCGGCTTCGCCTCAGATGCTCTTGTGGTCTACCGTCATCTCCTTGAAAAATAATTCTTGTTCATTTATTTTTGAAGCTTGGTTTTTGTGTGTTTTTACATTGTATGAATATATGATTGTATGACTGTTCATTGCTTCAGTTAGCTTGAACTAATCAGGAAACATCATTATATAGCTGTTTGGTTCATTTTATGTGAAGCAAAATGCTTAGTAACACGACTAATAATCGGAGAGCGGTCAGCGGTGCTAAGTTTCTAATAATTCTGCTTCGCTACTTCTTAATAACTGGTACAGTACGTGGAAACCAATTTTGATCGAGGACAATAATATCCTTTGTTCAGTAACCAGTAGGCTTGATCGGTAGATACAGTAGTGTGAATTTTTGGATAATTCCATTTATTCAGTCGGCAGCAAGGAGTGTGTAGTGATAACGAGCAACAGAGATTACGTTGTCCTAATCCCCGAACATTAGTAACCGCAATGGCGGGTCCGTGATTTCCGTTTACGCAGCAGCTCTGATTAATGGTCCCTAAACACTGGTATGACCTTTGGGTTGGCTCTTTCTGAATTTCGATTGTTTCCGGATAACTGTTTCCAAAAAAGTTTTTGACAGAGATTTTAAGCATCTAATGGCGTTTGCATTTAAGTACACGGGATGTCATTCTAGGTAGTTACACGGGATACCCGGTTCTAGGTAGTTAAAAATTTTTGTTTATTGGCAGTGACCACCGACAAAACAAAAACTGGCCCTCGCGGTCACACTGTTTGTGGTGGTAAGGCCGGTGGTAAATTGAGGATCTCGGACCATGGCGACCAATCCTTTTATTGGGTTGGTCGGCGGATAGACATGGCATCTTCTGCACAGTTCTGTTCGTTTGACAGCTGGAGCATTTGCGTTCTGCTAGACAATTGAATGATAACTGTTCTGCTCTTATCTGCTCTAAGCCAGTAACGCTAAGATAATATCCTTTCCCTAAAACTTCAGCTTCCGTTCACTCTACAGGCCTGATCGACGGTCAGTATGTTTCCTGTAACTCATGATCAGTAGATCCGGTTAGTGAATAGTGTAACCTTTGTGCGGTTCTGTTCATTCGACAGCTCAAGAACTTTGTTAAGATCGAACAGTGGGTACTGGGCAAGGGTTCCGTTGGATTCCTTTCTCATATGCCGGTCTGGTCCGTGAGTTTTTCGTTGTATAGGAAAACTCACGGTCAGTAAACTTTCGTTGCAAACTATGGTTAGACACTGCCTGTTTTCTCACTACCACCGAGTGGACGAAGTGCGATTTTGCCTCTACGTAATATGTAAAGGAACTATGCAGGTAAATAGGAATAGTCTCAAATATCCCAAATTTGCATGAACACGCGTGAGTATAGTATGAGTATTAAGATTCGTTTTACACCGAGATTACTTTTTTGGTACTTAACTTAATTTTAAATTTTATGGTTATTGCAGATTTAAGTGTTTTGTAATGCACAGAGAACAATGTATGAGTACGTGGAAAAGCTAAAACGTTCCAGTGCAAAAGCGCTTTCCGGTTCCGAAAACCAGAAGAAAATTTCTTCGCTTTAGAGCATTTTGTTGCAACGGGACAAAGTTGAAAAATTTTTCGAAGTTTAATTGGAAGTACAGTTTTTATATTTCACTTTATACTCTGCATTTGAATATTAGCTGCTCCACGCAACAGTGTTTTATGTAAAAGGTCTTTCAAGGTCACCTTGAACTGATGCCTGTACCGGTACCGGCATCCGAGCGATGGTCCAGGGCAGATCTTTTGAAAACAAAATGCATGTGGGACCCTTTTGGGACATGCTGAGTTTAATGGTGAAATCGGTTTTTTAATTTACTTAGCGGTTTTTTCAAGCCAAGTTCCACGGGGCGGCCGATCATAATATAGATCTATTTCCTTGATATTTTCTTGATAATATTATTCTGTGCAAGTACAGTAGTATCTGTGCACCAACAAGAATTCTGAAACCTGCAAAAGCAACCACTGCGTGTGCGTACATGTATGTATAAAGTGTCAGTGTGTCACATGGTGTGCAGCGGGCACAACAGCTCGATGATGGTGTGGTCGCGGAGAAAGTCCGATCAAACAAACGAAAGACTAGAGATGCGCTCATCTGGCAACAGCGGCGCAGCGATGAGATAATTCTTTTTACGTATGCCTGTACGATCGATATTTGCGCAGTCCAGTAGCAAGTTTAGCAACTGACAATCGAATGCCCACAACAGAGGGGAATATGGGGAATAGGTGAGCGTCATGTTGGCTCAGGTCATCAGTTGTTAATTTTTTTTCTTTGTACTGGCCCAGCACAAGACCACCATCGTCTGTGTTCCCAGCTTCCTGGTACAGGTATGTCAAACACATAGTAAATTAACTATGTAGCAACTGCTGTCCTCGCCGCTTATGCGCCAGAAATGCGCGCCGACTGCAAAGCGCAGTCCACCAAAAACTAATGCGCAGCAAACATAATGCACACAATCCAAATTATCCAATCATGCAATCGCCATGGGGAAGACCTATTTACCAAGAAATTTGCGCACAAACTGGTAGACAGGTCACACGCTGCTGCGCACCCTTTCGCAGAAATTCGGTCGATGGCGGCGATTCACACCAAACGGCTCTTGAGATGCCAGAGCTACAAATGTGGAAACTCCAGAGTTTCAGATAGTGTTTCACGCCAGAACGTCCGTCTGTCGTTACTGGTTACCAGGAGCGTGTATGTTACGGGACGTCGTATGATGCTTTCCAGGCCATCCATTGCCAGTGTGACCGCTATGACGGCATCGAGAGCACTTGGCTCTTGGGCGTGATGAGCAGTCGGTGCTCATCAACTACAACACGCCGGAAGTAATCAAGCGCCAAACATATTGTACTCTGAACGCACTCTAAGGGTATCTAGAAAAGAAGTTAATCGGTATGAGGTTTCTGTGATCTTTTGCTCTCTGCTCTCTTGCATCAGGAAAAACGGTGCTGAACTGCAATGAGCGCTTTTAGTAAGAATAAATGACAATAAATTTGTCTTGCCGTTAATCAGTATTGCATGCCAGACCACTGCAGTGGATGCGCGCCAGGGTCAGGTGTCGGCATAGCTGGACGAATGTACCGTCATATTGTGCACGTATTCCTCTAAAGACAGTTATAACGTAAATCACCTTTAATATTATAAATGGTGTTATGACATCTTAGCAACCGCCTTTGCCGGACTATTTATGAAGACCTAAAATCTACCGTCGGCAACTTTGTGCCGGCCTCTGATTATACTCGTAAGAAGCAGCAGGCCGTGAGTCCGACATGCGAACTGCAGGATGCAAAACACAGTTGTACAGATACATGCGCAACTGCACATCAGAAATGGAATTTTCTTATAACGAAGCAGATTCATATGATGCTCATAATGTGCACAAACTAAAGCATTAAGAAATATACAGTAAAGTTGGTTATTCAAAGTAAAAACTTTAAGAATGCAATGTTGATTATCGTGAATTGAAAGGAAAAACAAGTACGGTTAACGAAGACTTCGGGTTAGGCCTGCTATTTTTTCCGTGAAGTAAGGTCCCGTCCACGAATAGTCTTCGCGGCTGACGTCATGTTGCGTCTGTATTCCAGCCGATTTTCAATCAACACTGCTCGCATCAGCCCTATTCGCGCATTGCAATTTTATCGTCAGCGCCTGTTAATCGTACTGCGAAGGCCGTTTACTTACCTTCCACAACTAAATTAACAGCGTAATACTCATCCAGCCTCCGGCTGATACTCTCCGTCAACCAAGGTAGAAAGTCGCTGTCCATTTCTGCATACCAGACAGAAGCTCTTATTTGGCCATGGGAAACCAAAAGATTACTGCGGTTGATCTCACCTTTGCGCATGGGATGCGTGAAAAACCCTCTCTGTCGCAGGCGCACAAAGACATTGGGCACGAGCGCCTCCAGGAACATCCGGGCAAAGGCCCGCAAGCTTTCCTGCTCGACCTGCTCCGCTTCTTCTTCACTGATTATTGCCGTCTCTAACAACCGCGTTTTCTATCCAGCAAAAAAACGTGCATTCGACTGTTTAAATGAAGAACGTGACATTCAGTGACCTTTTCAACGTCCGCTCGCTGGGCCTGCCCTTGTAGCCGTTGGCGTTCGACACGTCGCCAGTTGCGTTGTTCTTGCCGATCGTAATCCTCTTCTTTCGCGAATAAAACATTTTCCTCTTGATACACCTCCAACAAACTCTAAAAAATTCACACACTTTACAAGAATCCAGTTTGGAAGAGAGCCAGGGCCGTGTGCCGGAGCGACCGACCTCTTCAAGCGCCTGTCCGATGAGTATTTCCAGCAGTGGCTTCACCTCGACATCGAAGCGGAAGAGCTCACCTAGCGGAATATCCGTGCTGACTTCCGCACTGGATGTGGCTTGAGTCAGTTCAGGCGTAAGAGGACAGATGCGCCGGCGCTCCTCTTCATGAAGGATGTCGTCATCTAACGGGCGGTCTAGCGGCTCCAGCAGCACATTCGGCCCGTTATCACCCGCTCCAACACCGACCGCTTTTACCTTCCCCCATTTTTTTAGCTGGACGTTCAAGTGACCTTTGCGGTCAGTGGTGCGACCGGTGAACTTTCTTCCCAGTCTCAGTGACGACGTCGTTTGTGGATTCTTCGACAAGGCCATCTACAGATAAGAGAGCTCTTAATTTTGGAGAGGTAGTAATCATGTATTTACAGAGTACGTTGGTAACTGCCCTTATTAATGAATGAAAGTACAGTACATATGTAACTGAATAGTTAGCTGGGCATGGCTGCTAGTCATAATAAGTGCGAAAACTACAAGGATTAGAGGACCAAATAGCAAATTAATGAACTTGCGTTCATACAATAGGATAGTACATGCCTCGGCTCTGGAGGTGTCCTCGATGAGAGCGCCCTTCTTATACAAATCCGTTGTAATTCCCCGCCATACCCTCGGATCGGCCATAATGTTGATGTAATCCCGACGATCGTCTTTCCTACATAATCACTACGAGTATTGTAGACGTACTGCATTACCTATTGCACTACTAGCTACACAATACACGTCTCAAAAGTGTGCATGCATTATATTATGAAGCACGAGTATTAGGTAACATACAGGGGGAATGCGGTGTCGCATCATCCACCTTCGTGTATAATACCATTCCAGTTACCCGCCCAGAGTTTTACGTCATAGCAGCACCCAGCGTTTATGCAACCATGTGGTAATAACTAGTGGTGGTTTGAAACCACATCATTTCAACACAAAATTTAGTGGCAAATACTGTCTGTATTTGCCACTAAATTTTGTGTTGAAACTTGAAACGTAAAAATAAATGGGAGTACTTCCTACAGGAAGAACGTACGCATTATACAATACACCGGACTATATTTTGCGTAACCCTCTTTTCTATGGGATATGTGGAATCCACACATCGATTCCATTTCCAGTGGTACGTACCATTTTCAAGTGGTACTGGAAATGGATAACAGTTCTCAGTGGCTATTGCTCGCGCTCGGTGCAATGATGTGGTTTCAAACCACCACTAGTTATTACCACATGGTTGTTAACGATAAGTAAAACAAGCACCGTGATACGATGACCCGCGCGGTTAAACGGTTTTTTATTACCAACACACTTATAATAGGTATTGTTGCAAGTTTGCAACAGGTTTTAAATCTTATCGTATTGTCCTCGAAATATTAGACAAAGAAGATCTTAAACATTTCTGTAAGCCTCAAAACGTAATAATTGTTATATTATTTCAAATTAGCCACGATGCTATGTTATAATTATCAGTTTATCATTGTAGTATCCAGCTATAGGTGCAGCATTTCGCAAGTACATTGCAGCTCGTCCTGGCAGAAGCTCTGCATGAGTAGTCATATAGTTGGAACCTTACCATACTTTCTCTGCGGATCGGAATTTCTCTCCACCGTGCCCGGCATCGGAATGCCTCGGGTCGGTGGTTGGCGCTGAAGTTGTCGTTGGGAAGAAGCCATGCTTCCACAGACGGCCGGCGTTCTCCTCTTAACTTAACAATAACACTGGGAGCAACTTAATTATCATCAGCTTCAGCACACAAGTACGGTTTATTATTATAATATTCCCCGCACAGGTTTGTAATCATACAGCATAATAGCATTTACATATCATTCACCTAGCGTGACTGCAACTGCAACCAGCATTGCACGTACATAAGTTTTTCGTACAACTTGTTTTCTTAAGAAAAGCAGCACCACCATTCTTTAAAATAGAGTGGCATCTAACAAGGAAATTTATGTTATGTTTGATCCGTTGTTTCGTCTCCAAGTCTTAATATGTTACTAATGCATCCCAGCTTTTACATCGCGTTAACTTTTTTCGTTCCGGTCAGTGGAAAACTGAGAATCCTAGCAACTATTTCGATGAAGGTAGAAACGAGCGGGAAACCAACAATACAACATTGTCTGCTTACGAAATCTTTGTAATTCAGTTCTGGCACTTTGTCGTTATCCATGCACGTGCTTAGAGATAAATGCATTACAGTACTTGTAAGCTGTTGGAATTAAGTATTATGCAATATACGGGAATTCGCCAGAATGTCAAGTGCGATTCGTACGTCAGCGTCTGCTCAATCTGCTCTGACTAGGTTGCCGTGTCTAACCTCGATCGAACGTTAAGGGGAACACGGCACGCAATGCATTGCTATTCCATGGCAGATGGGAGAGTGGCTGGAGTGCAGCTGCAGTGCTGCGATTTCCGGTCGCAGGGATGGAAATAGATGGATCCTCTCCAGCTAACGGTCTAACTAATAATCATCCCCAAAAGAGATAGGCTGGTGTTTCACTAAACACGAACCGGCAAAGAAGCGAAGCCTTTGGTTTGCACGACAGCGGGAATAACGTGCCCCAGTGTCACGTGCGCTGCCTGCCTGCCTGCGCTGCCAAGCGACCTTTAGAAACTCCGCTAAGTAGCTATTTGCGCTCATTACCGCTTCATCACGCTAATGGCCAGATCACCATTGCGCAGCGCTTCCTGGGCCACGTCCAATGCCAGGAAAGGTTACACCCGGTGTCGTGCTATGCAAACACGCCAGATACTTATTTTCTCATTTACACGCAATAACGAACGGCAGATCAAGACCGTGTGACCTTTTGATTTTGGTGATTGCCAAGCAAGCAACACGGCTGCGTCTTGTATAAACTATAAAGTGCCGATTGACGCGATGATCTTTGACTGCAATATACAATTCACTATACTGCATACATCGGCCCAGCTGCGATACTCATCGCGCAATCAACATCGCATCGCAGCTAACGGATGGGAGCACTTGTGGGCATCTGCAAACTTTGTTCCCTTAACGCGTCTTCCACGCGGCCGATCTATTGCGGACGCAAAACAATCGCAGCGTCAACTTGGTGCCTCTCGTCTCTCTCTCTCTCGCTTATTAATCGTTTGGCCCAAGAAAAAGCCATCAATCGATGCCCATCTGCATATCCTCGGCAGTGTAATCGGCAGAAGCATCTTCATCCTCTATATGCGTTCGGCAAGTGCATCGATCGGGACCTCGAAGGAATCATTACCATTCTCAATTCGAAGCCAACTCTGCGTTGCTCAGCACCGAAGATAAATAACCGCCGCGGCTCAGTCTCGCCCGGCCTAAAAACAACAAATCCTCGCACGTAATACGCCTTAACAGCCCCATCGGACCGGCATCGTCCATCAATATTAGAGCTGCACATTTTAATCAAACATTCCCATCACGGAATCAAATTAAACCAAAACCGACACACAACGCACTACTGTAATCAGCCGAGGTAGTGGGAAGAATAATACACATTTTTCCAACTAAAAGCCAAATAATACCGTTCACTTTGGAATAACAACCATGATGGATGCTCAATGAAACGAATGTGTTAATGTCAAATATCTATATATATCCATAGATTCAATTAGATTGTATTCGTACTACCTGTATACAAATGCATATTGACAACATGAAATAATTATGGCAAGCGTGATTTATTGCATCGAATGATTATTTTCTCTGTATAACTAGCTAACAAAACGTCTCCCGCAGTTTCTCATTATACAGTGCACTCAGGGCGCGGCCATCGCGGTTGCGCACCGGCGTGCAGACGGCGTGTACGGGGGCCTCTGCGCGCCACCGGTCCTGGTGTTTGTGCAGTGTATGCAGTGCGGCGTAGCTCGTCTGCAGGCGTTGATTCTGCTCGTCCAGTTGCCGCTTCAGCAGCTGCAGCGTATCCACCAACATGGCCTTTCGCTCCACGATGAGGTCTCGCTCCGGCTCCTCCCCTCGCGGACACCGCTGCATCTGGCGCTCCAGGGCGGTCTGCTCGTGGCGCAGCTGGTGGACTTGGCGCTGCAGCCGACTGCGAATCAGTTCAATGTTACTGTCCAGGTCCAGCGCATCCGCCTCCTCCTCTTCCCCGTACGCGTCCTCCCGCTCATCGGCTACGCGCTTATTCCGCGCCAGTGCGTAGCCGCCGGCTGGCGCTTTCAGTCGGCCGTTCGCACTGACAAAGGGTGCAGGAGCGGCCAGGCTATTTTTGTACCTGTTCATTTCACAGCGCGCTTAATAAATGCACGCTCAGTGGACTTAAGATCAACGAGCACTTCCTAAGGATCACATCTGCAGCAGATGCCTTGTTGAACGCTAATCAAAATAACACGCTACATACACCCGCTTTTTCCCATAATTACTGTTTGTCTCACGCATCGATCGTCATCTAGGCAAATTAAGGCGCATTGGGTTGCGTAATCTTATATATTATTTTCTGTACATTAGCTGACCTATGGAATAATATCTGTACGGTAGTCTACGTATCTTCGTTACAAAAAAACCTGTGGAAAGATTAGCAAACAGTCACAACAATGCCAACACATTATTGTATGCGTACCTGTAGAGATCAGTATTAGTATGTATCTGCAACTGCACGTAATCCTCGGCACTTCCAGGACTAGCCAGACTGGACGCCGTCTGGCCGTGCCCTGAGTCGACTTCGTCGTCATCATCGAAATACTTCCAGGACGTGTGAGAATCCGCCGGCGAGTAGTGGCTGCCACCTCGGCCTCCTTCTCGCTCACGCCGGCCTCCGCCTATCCGCAGGGACTCCACAGCGCTGTCCCGTCCCGTGTATACCGAGGAGTTTTCGTCTTCCTCTTCGTCCCGTTCATAGTCATTAAGGATAGTCGGCGTGCTGGTGATGCTGCCGGTGTCGGTATCCTCCGACGGCTGGATAGTCTCCGAGCTGAAGCTCATCCCGCTGGACTCGGCCAGGCCGCGGCATTCGGGGCAATCACAGTAGCTGCTGGTGGTGGAGCTGCAGCAGCTGCTCATGTCATCCAGCAGATACTCATCTCCGTCCGTCCCGACGCTCTTGTCCTCCATGTCCGACATGGACGGCATTAGACGCTGGTACAATGGGCTGGGCGGCCGCTTGCGGGCTGGTTTAGGTGGCGCCTGCGGCTTCCGTCCGACTGGGGCGGCAGCGGTGGCCAGCCACGGATTCGTTCGTATGTGCACGCGCCGGCTAGACCCCGACGTCGAGCTAACGGAACCGCTGTCTGGCTCATAATTCACGTAATCGTGCCCCATCGGCGGGGGTGGCGGCGGCGGTTGGTGATGTCGGTAACAGGCGCATTCGTCGGGATTGTTGCTGCCGCGGCGGAAAGGGACATCGTAGATCGCCTCCCGGGGGACTTCCGGTGGCGGGCGGAAGTTGCCATGGTGGAGGTTGTGGATGTTGGCCAGGGGATTGCGCTGCTCCAGGTAGGCCGACACGGCCGGATAGTTGTCGCGGACGTGTTTGCGCTCGCTGCCGCGCTGTGCATGCATGGGAATGGGGAAGTTGGCGTGGATCATGTCGCGCACTGACAAGCGGCTGCTGCGCTGCTGTGCCGGTTGTGGTTGCGTTCGTTGCATTGGCGGTGGTTGCATCTGCGCTCCGCATGTGTCGCGGGCATCCGGCTTGGGCTTTTTGCGGGCCCGACTCAAGCTCTCCATCCAGTGTTTCAGCTTCATCTTCTATACACTCTCACAACGCTCCAATCAAATAATGCCGTACGTACACAGCTCGACGAACGTACGCGCTGTTTTGCGTCCACGTCGATAAAAAGCAATCTTCTGCAAAAGAGAAGGAATGAACGGCAAGTTAATGAGGATTTACAGATGCATACATCGATTGCACCAGCTAAACGATTTATCTCTCTATGGCTGGTGCTCTCTTCCCTCCCGTCGTGACACTTAATGCCCCCTTCCAGGGACGCACAGACCTACTTCCGTTCGGGCTTCTTGCCGATGACTCATCCCGCTAAACGCCGCCCTGTCAGCGGCGTATTCTGTGCTGCGCATTCGTCTTCATCAGCCGCGCTACATCAATTAGCGGTGATTTCTATTCAAATGGGAAGCCGCGATTGATCGCCGTTATTGTGCAACCGCGGCAAACAGCGCTCTCTGGCACAACACATGACGTCCTTACCGCTCCGGAAGGTCAATTGCTAGTCGCATTGTGTCCGCCGGCGCGGTCAACATGCACATATAATACCGGCTTATTGTACAAAAAATCAAAATAAATCTGCGGAAGAAAAGGGAATGAAGCGCTTCACTAACGCATCGATCGAGCGCCGGCGTAATCAGCATAATTAAACTGCACCCGGCATCGTGACCCTTGCGCCCGGCTCTGATCGATACGGTGGCCCAGTGTGACCCACGACTGACCACGCATGAAATATGCAGTGACGCTTGCAGTGCGCATATTTTCTCACGATGTGGGACATTTGAGGAAAGCGGATCCGTCTCAACGCCCGTGAACGAAGCCTCCAACAAGGAAAACTGCAGACAAATAAACGAAGGAGTATTTCTCCTAATCCTAATAAACATCGGTTTCGCCGGCAGATATATGGCCAAGTGAGTGGATGGATTTCATCAACACAAGTGGGCAGCATTGCAATTTGTCTGATTAGGAAACGAGAGCAAGTGCAACCGGCAGCGACTGCCGAGCAATGTGGGTTGCTGTCCAGCTGCAATCCATTAAGCCTTGCGCAATGCAACGTTAACCGTTGGGGCCGGCGAAACATCTGATTAATTCCCAGGGAGGGCGACGGAGGAAGATGATCCCGCGGCCGAAAGATGGCCGCGGGATTATGTCAACCGATATTGGCCATATTAAATATTCACGAGCACCGATGACCGGCACTCCGCCGGGACACCGCGGGTCACCGCTGGACGGCAGCGTGTGCCATTTTCCGGTTGTGTAGCCATGGAAGCCGGTAGAGGAGATGGATGGAGAATTAAAAGCAAATCAGACCAGTGTAAAGTACTGTGCAAACATGCCGCCCGACTGCGTATTGTGGACTAGCGACAAGCACTTGAGTTATTATTGTCCAGCTGATCGGCATAATTCATACATACAATGTCATGTCATCTGCATATGCAAGCAGACAGGATGACAGAGCCAATAACCTTCTCCGCATTCCGCGGAATATAATCGCAAAATTGCAGTGTTATCTTTTATTTCTCAACTCATGTATTGTTGCGAGTGTCGTAGCGAAAAGAGAAAAGGTGAACGTTTTTCACCATTCGAATCAATTTACGGAATTCACAAAGGCAAGTCTTGTAACTGGATAACCACATTCAATGTTTCGCCAAAAATTAATCGTTTTTTGCAAGAAAAGTTTAAAAGTGCCATCGATATCTTCGGAAAACCGTAAATAAAATTTGTATTAAATTTTCGTGTCAGGAAACATAATGCTAATTGCAGACGACATAAATACGATTCTTAGAGCGCTTTGCCGTTCTACAGGCTGTATAACAAACACATCTGCACGCAACTCGCATGACAGATGAAGATACGAAAATTACTTTCCTTATTGCATTTTATACTGAAAGCGACACAACGGCATCATAGCCATTAATCTTCTTTAGTGTTCGAAAAATTGCCAGTGACAAGTGTATACAAAATACATATAAGGACTGAGGTAATTTCCTGTTTTTTACCCGGCGTCTTCTCCAGTCACCCGGCACCGGAGCAGCGCGGATGCAATATAATACAATTTAATAAAATATATATATCGTGACCAGCACAGTCAACATCCATCCACACGCCACGGATCGAGGTCCCTCTCTCCCCCTTCTTCCTCTGCTGCCTTATTGCGTTTTTGTTATTGGGTCAGGAAGGATATAATATTCCTTGCCACTACACACTATTCGCGAGTGAAGTGCACTGGCCAATGCCGATCGATGCGACTGCACATCCAGAGACACAATCTCCCTTCCATCTGGATATTACGAGTATATCCCGGCTAACTCCATCTGCATTTATATATTATATCGATCTGGTTTCGTAAGATTATTGCTGGTGTTGCCACTCTGACGTTAACAAACAATCCCATACCTCGACAATTCCCCACAAGTTGCCACAGTATAGTGTACACATGTATATGTATTGCGTAAAAGAAACGGCCGGAAATGAAGGGGTCCGTTCATCGGTCGATCGCCAGTGATGAGGTAATTTATGCCGCTTTAATCTATATGGAAATTACTTCTAATGTTGGTGTTCTTGGCCCTGAACAGATGACCGGCGCGTATACACACACTGTCAGCAACAGCAGAGTATGTTGGCAGAATTTCTGCCGTTTGTCAGCAGCTTTTACAGCCACGACACCGCATTCCGCTGTCATACAATCCGTCATTTATTTAAGTACTACATAACACATTAACAATAACAAAAAATCCCCTTTCATGCTGATCAAACAAAAATTCTGCAGTTACGTGCAGCAGTTTATATAATAATTAATAATAATGCTGGAAATATTCATTGCAGCTCTAATCTTAAGAAACTTTAATTATTGATTGTTTACTAAACTGTCCAAAGGGCAAATTAAACTGCGGTTTATACACAGATAAATAAGGTCTACGACAATAAACATTTGCCGAAGAAGTAAGCCGAGCCGACCCATTACGTAAAGCCATGGAATATTTTGCTAGTCAGCTTGATTAAATAAACGGTCGGTTGTGTGGGTATGTGTGTTGTTGCGGACTCTCTAAGCGGATGATGGATTAGCGATGTAACTGTGTATAAGCAGGAATACACTGCACACTGCACAGTGTCATTGAAGCGTACAATTACGCGGCGATTCGATTGTCGGTCGATGCTCGGCGTCCCCCGGGGCGGGCGACCGGGCGACGGCATTAATTAGCTGGAATTAGCGATAGATCGCTGCAATCCCCGGGGACGCCGCTGCGGCCGTTGCAGCACAGTCAACGGACTGGCCAAGATTGTCAACAAATACTTTTTTCCACCACGGTCCAATCGCGACGCCGATAAAGACGAACCCAATCGCGGAAGAAACTGGATGCCGTGTTCAATTTCGCGGGAAGTGTGGTTTTTGTCGTCTACAAGTACTTCAACGAACTGCAGTACTTCAACATTCCAAACAAACATGTCATGTCGCGCAAATGTTGTTAGCTTATAGAAAAAATTTCGTGTAAATTGAAGTCGCTATTTCCCCTTGGGGAAAAACGATGGAGGCGGTAGGATAAATATATAAGAATATGTTACTTAAATAAATAAAAGTAAAAGCTGTGTTGGAAGATGGTTGACGGCTATGTTAGTGCGCCTGCCGAGAGTCGTTTCAGTTTGGTTCGTATTTGTGAGCGAGTGGGGAGCGCGGGAGGCGCTTATGGACTTCCTTCCGGATGCTAATAACACTTGTTTCAACGGGCGCCGCTAATCAGCCCAACGACTGTTGCCGCGCATGCCACTGTCCCTAAGTACGCATATATACGTCGCTACACATGTCGTTACATACACTGTATGCGGGCGCTCTTCAACGAAGGTCGGCCATTGCTCCACTTTATACTGCACTTCATGGGCTCTTCTGTCTACACAGATGCTTCCTGTGTCTTAGGCTTACACAGGCGACCAACTCCCGGAATTCTTCACCAAAGTTACCACAATTAATAAAGAAAAATACTGCTAGTAAACGAAAGCGCGGGGAAAAACCGTTTGTCATACTAGCTTAGTACCGTGAGTGCCGAATATACCTATATAACGTAGTGCCTTAGCCGATTCTTAAATGAAAGGAACGTCTTAATGGAATGCGTAATTCGCTTGCACCGGGCACTGCATTAGTCGCTTTCTATATAACTCTCGTCTTAATGGAAAACGTAATTCTCTTGCACCGGAAATGAAGCATGTCACAAGAGGGGAAGAGACCAGCGCATCACTTTCTATCTAGGTTGTTAGACATACCTCGACTTGCACTTCTTCAGAACGGACTGCACCGCGACACGCCGGGAATGTAAGGAGATCCGCGGCCCAAGCGGAAATGTCGGGGATTCGCTTGAACGTCAACGGCGGATGTACATGTAAACCGTATATAATATACACAAACTAGAGCGCAGGACGCCGATGAAAGGCGATAAAAAGCAGTGAAGAATGGAAAGGGATGGGAGCGTGGTTGCAAGGTGCCAACAAGGCGAGCTGGCCAAACTACGATAGGATCCCGTCGATGATGGGAGCCAGCGTCACTTGTGAGGAATATCGAGTGAGCCCGTTGCCGGCGTGCAGGATGAGAGGGGACGGGAATGTAAGAATCTGCTTAAAGTGCAGCGTATATACATCTGTACGCCCTGCGCAATGTGGAGGAATGAAGAAATGTGCCGGCGCACGTATAACTATGCACACTTCCCGTATACAGCCGGTCCACTCCAGTCAATTCCCCGGCGTACACTGCACGCGTCCCCGTATGATCCCCGCTGGCGCCGGATTTTCCCGGCTGACTGCATTGTATCCCAGACCAGCGCCTGCACTCGTTGCAATAGAAAGTGTTATGACCTGGATGGATCGTACGCTGGCACATACAGTGTAATTATGCGGTCGTAGTGCAGCGTGCCGGTAAGTCATATCCTCTGCGGAGTGTGTATACGATACTGTACAGATACGTTACATCCCGTCGGCGCGGCATTATATTGTAACGCTGCCCTCGTACAGCGATGTGAATGTGCAGCGCAGTGGTCATCCGGCATAGTGCGTATACAGTGAGTACATAGTTCCACCCACATCCGCAATATAACTACATACACTGTACATGCATTATAACCGCCGATATATACGCCGTCGGACGAACGTGACGTCTTATTCTATAGATTGTCCCGGCGATTGTGCCGAATTTAATATGTCCACATTTGTACTTCGTACAATCCTCAAGACCGGTACCGTTACTGCGCGCTCAACGAAATCATATTACGGAAGTCAAAAAAGTAATAAAAACCGAAGTGTATGGAAACGGAACTCCACGACGTGTCTTTAGAAGAGGTTAAGGAAGCATGTTCAAGTTCAGAAAGAATATCATGCAGTGCAGTACATACCGCCACCAGCACTGAAGTCCAGGTGTTAACAGTCCCGATGAATATTGTTGCTCATTCACTTGTATGCGTCATAATTACACACCGGTGAATGGCTTATGTGCGGCAAAATGTCATTATGAGTATTATTACGAGATGATGATCATACGGATATTTGCCCGTGGATAGCGTGTTATGCGGTGGTTCACACCGTAAATCACACGGCAGGCACACAAGCGGAACGCCCGCCTTTAGCATGCTGCTGGTTGCGGCCCGCTCACGACCATGCCACGATCAGCCGGTGTCAGCTCCGGCCTTTTTCCCACGTTCCTGCTCTTCTACAAGCCGAAAAAAAACACTGCAGCCAGAGACACTCCGCTGACACACAGAACGTTCACATGTCTCAAATTTTTCTGTATAGTATGTACACTTATTTTTCACGTTAATTTCGATGGTTGTACCACTCGTTACTGCACAACCGGGCTGACAAGGGTATCGCTAACTTCTTAATCAGTATGACTGCAAAATATGTCCCACAAGTTATAAGTACATTCTTTCCAGAACTTTCTTAAACATGCAATATTTTCGAACACGAAATTGTATACTACACAGAATATTAGGGTTATCTTATTTACTGATTCATTCTAATGAAAAGGCATACTGGTTATACTTATCTCACTAGTTTAGGAGCAGTATATTACAGATATATGAATTTTGTTGATGAGTTATAAAGTTGTACAAGAACTTTTATAGTAAAAATACTTAAGATACCAATATCCAAGTCACAAAAATACAATTAACAGTTTATGACGGTAAGAAATAAGGCATGTTAATCGTGTGGTTATGTGGTGTTAATCAGCGCCCACCCGCCACGCGGGATGATCGGCCCAGTGGATCCCACTGAGCTTCCGAGCCATCCCCACAACGAGTGCGCAAGTGTTTCGGCAGCACTACTAACAGACAAGTGTGGACCAAGCAGGAAACGGCACAGCAGCCAATGTGTAATTAATACCATTCGCAGTGGCCGCAGACGCCGCACAAGTGCATCACAGTATATACGCAATTATTACATCCACATTCCTTAATCTCCAGCTCACAAGTGACCCTCAACATTTTTCTCCCATTCTTATTAAACGTTTCACAACTACATTACACCATACTGGTTCAAAATAAATACACTCATATACAGTATATTATACTTACGATTAATATATACTATGATCATTATTTCCACATGCACAATAAATAGGTATATGCTATAACTGGTACGCACATTGCTCTCAGATGCTGCATTGACCTTCTAAGTCTAACACCAGCACAGATAGCTGCATTAATGCTGCCCTGGGAATTGTCGGAAATTATAAATTAATTAATTATACAATTTGTGTGACATGTATAACTGTACACTTATATATAAGCATAAAGGTCATTTGCATAACAATCCAGCCTTGTTAGCCGGTCTGGCGAATCTGGGTTTAATTACTGCCTATCTGCATATTACTCGTACAATGTTTAAATTACAGTGTGCAGCATTGTGTGGTAAAGCGAATCCATTGTAGTTGTACCGAGGTGTCTTCAATCGTTCTGTGTGTTTATTGCATCGATGATCCCTTTACGCGCTGGACCTCGTGAAGGAGGGTAAAAATACGGTCACATGTGGCCGGGAGTCGAATAAACTGGGCTCATCGATACTCCAATTTCCGCTTATGAACAGCCAGCTTACCAACCAACCCGGCATATTGTGATGCTACGGCTAATCACACTATTCACCACTCTGCTCGCAACTACCCCTTGTGTACTGCGAAGTCGCCGAACAAACATAACCCCAACCGGCAATACGCAACCTCCGCTGGTCAAACTATTCATGCCCCCGTCTCATTACAAGTTGTAGATACCCTGTCATACAACAACATTATTCAATTTCATTCGTTCTCGTCTTGCTATAAATTTGTCCCATCTCGAACTAGAAAACATTTCGGACCAGAAACCATCCGGCTGCTAGGAAAGATGATCCAGCACCAATCAGGCGAACCGCGAGCACTGCAGTTTTTGCGTCAACGGATCAGCATAGAAATTCAGCGGGGAAACGCAGCATCTACAATGGAAACAGCACAACCAGCGGCGAATTTGGACGAAATCTTTTCTGTTATTCGCCCGCCTGTGTTTGTAGATGTTGCTATGTAGCTCGCTTGTGTTTTCAATTTCCCACGTTTTATGTAGAATGTGTGTAAAATTTGTTTCTCACAACGCGAATAAAAGTAGTTTTATAAAGTATATATATAGTATGAAGACAACATAATATATATGCGTACGATCTGCGCTTTCCCTCGTTTGTACAAGTAGTCGCTCGACTCATTCTCATGTCACGATTTCAACCGGCTTAAATCACGGTACGGCGTCGCTGTTGTTAGTGTTACAGTATTGTGTGTTCTTAATAATAACGACCGATTCATTCCGCTGAATGCTCTAACCAAACAATCTACCCGGAAGCGGCTCATCATGGCTGACCTTGGCAACGGAAATTGTGCTGCGCCACTGTCACGCTCAACCGCACCGGGCCACCACTGACCACTGGCCAGAAAATGCGCATCAAACCAACGAAGCGATAAAAAACGGACGGCGCATCGGTGCATCAGCGCAATTACCGGCTTTAATACAAATTATCGCAACAAGCAAATCACCTCTGGATGCAAAAGAACAGGCAACACATGTTTTGGCCCCACAAAAACGCAATCCGAGCCGCAATTAAACAAAACACAGGCGCCTCCTCCGGTCGGAGACTCATCCAGCCGCTCCCGCAAAATATACACTCTGTACAAACATCCCCACCCTCTTCACCCCAAACCAGAATTCCCAACATTAAAAAAACACAAAGAGCCCCCAGAAGGGGCAATTAGAAATAACCATAAAAAACGGAAATCGGTTTAGAACAATTCAAAAAGTTGTGCCAAAAAAAGTAAGAAAACATCCGTAGAACTCTTCATGCTGTCAGTCACTCCTTGTCCAATAACGGCGCCCCGGCAGCGGCCTCCAGCGGCAGGAGGGACTTGCAGAGGCTGTGTAGCGAGGCCAGGGCTTTGGCGCAGTCAGCCGTGTCGATCATCTGGTGCAAGGATGCTACCAGATTCTGTCGCTCCAGTTCGGCGTAGAAGCCGCACTGCAAACGTCCGGCGCACTCCAACTGGGTAATGTGCGTCTTGGAGCGCAGATGCTTTTGCAAATGTCCTATCGACAAAAAATAAAAACTGAATGCACCCTTCGAATTGTTCGAAATATTTAAGAGATCTGCTGCACTTGACGAAGAACTTATCGTAAACTGTCTAACAAAAATTTCTGTTTAACCTTCACCGCTATAAGAAGTGTACTATGTATGACAGAGTTTTAACAAAAAATTAAACAGTGGCAGTGTTTCTTGTGGATATCCAGCCAATAATTAATTACAATAACGCAATGATCACAATAGACTTGGATGTCAAAAAAACTACTCAACAAAATAAAACATTAAAAAGCTCGCTGATAAATTCTGAACAGGTGGCCGCAACTAACCATGAATTCGGAATCCGACGTTGCATTCCGAGCAAAAGAAGGGTCGAGGGTTGCTGCTATGGCCGTCCTTCCCCTGGGGCGAGACACTCCTTTCTCGTTTCCCGCGCGACTTCTTGTCTACTTTTCCGGCATCGTGGACGCGCCCGTGCAGCACCAGCTGTCCTTCCGTGGCGAACACCTTTCCGCACGTAGCACACGGCAGCTTGCTGCTGCCCAAGGGAGGTCCTTCCACCATGCGCCAGTCCGCCGGCGTCGTTTCTAGGGGCGGAGACTTGCGCAGCCGCACTGACAGATCCATGGCGTTCAGATCGCCCGGCGACGGCAGCGGCTGAGGAGGCGAACGGCCGGCATCACCGGGCAGGTTCATCAGCAGAAGCGGCGACCCGATTGCCACTGCCGCGGGGGGCTGCTGGTGCGACATGAGCATCTGTTGGATACGCTGCTGCACCAGCTGCTTCTCCGCTTGTTTAACACTGTCCACTTCCGTCACGCCGGGAGCCTCCAGTGGACGCGGCATCTGTACCACACTGCCGCGCTTTTTTCCAGCATTTTCAACTGCAGAAAGAAAACAATTATAAACAAATCCAGTGCATTACTTATTAAAAAATCATAAACAAGTCACTTATAATTACCTCGAGATTTCTCGATGCACTGCGGACAGACCATGTCTTTCTTAGACGTTTTCTTCTTTGACTGGACAGTAAACTTTCTCCGGCACTTGCTGCATGTCTCCCCATTATCCTCCTCATCGCTCACATCCTCCACGCTAATCTGCGTGGGGACGGTGCGCGGCTCGTAACGGACGGCCGATGTGGAGGGCTGTTCATCCGGCACCGGTGCCTGCATTGGAGGTCTCTGCAAGAAAAAACATGTTCATTATAGTATAGGGAAAATTCAACAGCATAATTTGCACGGACAACTAACCTCGAGGTACGTCAGTCGCAGGGACTCCGCCGGCAGGAAAGAGTTGAGACCGCGGCGGATGAGCTGGTTCTTGTGGTTGTACACCTCCACGCTGGTCGGACCGACGTGCAACGACTTCTTGAGCGCCGATGAGTAGTACACACTGTCCATCTTCTTCTTTCCGTACACCGATGAATCTACGTGGATGATGGGGTTTACATGAGGCGGACTGGTGCTCCATGCGTCTTGGTACATGGAAACCCTGTATAATATTCAACACACTTCAGACGTATGTTCAACACACTTTAAAGTTTAAACTAACTATTTCTGTAAGTTTTTTATCTGTTTATTTTATCACCTCTCGCCGATGGGCAAATGGATAGGCCTGGCCGCCCGGATAGTGGTGGTGGGTACACAAGAGTAGCGAAAGCTAGCCAGTGAGTGTCCTTGCTGCAGCAGCATCCGGTTGAAGGCTAGGTTGGAAGAGTACTGACGGGAGAGGTCAGCGTAAAAGTTGAGATGGCTGGCGTGGTTCTCATTGACGTACGTGGCGTAGCCAGCGTAATTGACTGTCTGGCCCAGACTGGAGCTGGACGGGACACCGCCTGTGTCCAGGCGGGCTGGCGGCGGGGCGGCTGACACTGTCGTTGTCGTGGTAGTGGCGGAATGGTTGGCCTGCGGGGTAAACACAACGCGACATGTCACAGCAACCTCTGATCAGCAACAATCAGCGACGCAGTGCACTTTGATCGCACTGCTGATGCGCTAGCTACGTGGAGAGGAATTTGATCAATTCCGTGTACACATGCAGACGCGCACAGAGACGGCATTTCATTCAGCACAAGCCCTACCTATCTCCATCGGCAAACTAGCAGATAGGAATTCGGCCGACGGCACTTTCACTAACAACTAAGAAGTACTTAATAACCGCTTTACTACAAACAACGGTCAACCATAACGCACAACAACACTTTTCAGAACCGAAAATCATTCCAAACTAACTTTTAGTTTACTGAATAGTTAAAAAAAATTGACACAATATAATGACTACCGTGGACATTTTCACAGTTTGCTAAACGCCAAAAGAACATTAATGGAAAGTCAGAGTTTGCTAGCATAAGCCCAATTAATTTGTCGGAAAACAACTCAACAACTGCACTTCAAGCCGAAATTAACTGACATTTCACCGGAAACTAAGGTCACAAAGCATATTATTCTCACCTGTGAACGTTGCACGGTGGGCTTCTTGACCACCGGTTCCTCCGTTTTGATTACTGTCTCCACAGGCGGCGCAACCGCCACTTCCTCCTCCTTGGGCACATGGAAGGATTTCCTTTTCTTAAGCGGCAACACTGAGGCTGCCTCTGCGGGCGGCACAGTGGTCGTCGGAGGCAGCGCGTGCGCCATGGCCTTGTTGAGGTGGCCACGCAGGGCGTTCAGTGTCTTTTCGTGCCCGTCATCGGGACGGCCAGCAGGCAAGACAGGCAGTGACGGAACCACACTGCCGCGGCGCTCCTTGTCGGGGTGGAAAGTGCCCAGTGTCTTCACCGTGCTGGCAAGGGGGCCGCTGTTGCGCACCGGCGGCGGCATCTCCTTTCTATCTTCGGGCGCGTGTGCCGGACATGGCTGGAATGTTCCGTTCGTCTGTACGGTGCGTCGGAGATTGCCTGCCAATGTGTCAACATTTAATTTTCGGCTCACTAAAAATTAATTTTCATACTACATTTAATGGTAGACTCGTAATTCGCAGTGTTGCTGGTATACGAGGAGGGGGTAAATGAGCTCGATGCACCCGAGCAAGGGGTAACAGAGCTCGTTATCTGTGACCGTGCCTGTGCAACACGGCCAGCCACCAAGAGACGGCAGCCCGTGCTATCACGCAGAACACCTGAAGCAGTCACTGAGCCCGATAGATTTTTGTTTCCATAGACTTGTATGCTAAACTGAATCACTTCTGTTTTGCATATTTGGGAACGAAACCAAGCAAATAACATTCCAAAAGAATTAGAAAAAATTCACGAGATTCTTAATACTAAACAAGTTCTGATTCATGGTGCAGGACACAAGTTATGGCCATTTATGTTTCTCGTAGACACAGCATAGAGTTTGTGCGTGGAACCCAACCGTTGATTCGAATGCTATGCTATGTCTACGAGAAACGCAAATGGCTATAACTTGTGTCCTGCACCAGGAATCATAACTTGTTTAGTATCAAAAATCTCGTGAATTTTTTCTGATTCTTTGGAATGTTATTTGCTTGGTTTCGTTCCCGAATGTGCAAAACAGAAGTGATTCAGTTTAGCATACAAGTCTATGGAAACAAAAATCTATCGGGCTCAGTGACTGCTTCAGGTGTTCTGCGTGATAGCACGGGCTGCCGTCTCTTGGTGGCTGGCCGTGTTGCACAGGCACGGTCACAGATAACGAGCTCTGTTACCCCTTGCTCGGGTGCATCGAGCTCATTTACCCCCTCCTCGTAGTTATCGACTTACTCTGTATTTTTTGAAAACTGGCAACCAAATATAGAAAAGATCGGCAATAAATGACTACCACTTCGTCCATCACTCAGATTGGCTTATCACTCGTCCGCGCTTGACTTTTTTAATTACTTATTTAAATCAGACTGAAATTTAAATATTTTCATCTAAAAAAGAATTATTAATTACAAAAATTTTTAATAAAAAAGAATTTGGCTTTCTAGAATATTCTGAATTTCCCTTGCGTGACCTTTGAACTGCTGTGCTGTGCTTTCAACGCTATACTGAGTGATCATTTCCCAGCAGTGATTTCCATCGCATTCGGAGTACTCTGATCTCACTCAATTGCCGTTTAATTCCGCATATTCATGCAGTCTTCATCGTCATCGAGTGCGCTGCACAGGTGCTGTGCATAACCTACTTTCCACCGCCTCAGCACTAAATATTAGTGTAAAATTCTCAATAGATACTTTTGTTGGCCCCAAACGAATCTCTCCATATATCTGTCTCTCCATCCGTCGGCGTGCAGCGTAACGACGATCCTCGCCGCGCTGCATGTTAGTGTTACGAACTAAGCAGTTAACCTTCTCTTGTCGCCAGTGCACTGCTCATATGCTGACTGCCAATTTGCAAGTCAACGCACAAACGGCCCATGTAATCGCCAGCGTTCGAAAAAACACCACTAACCAACCACTACTTGTATGAATCCTATCCGTGATGAGGTCCAAACTGCAACTCGCCAATATGCCGCTATCGCTTTTTTCTGCCCTACTGACGAGTCTGATGTGCAGACCCGCAGCAGCAAAGTGCAACCAAATGTATTCATCTCCCTCGGTCATATGATCGCTTATTCAACTCTAAACAGCTAAAAAAGACAGAAAAACCCGCGTCGCATTCATCTATACCCGCTTGTAATCCAAAACCATCAAAGCAGTTGTAAACAATACCAGAAAAATTCATAACCATCTCCTTCAAGCCAAGTGACACCCTAATGTTGACCACTCAGCTAGTGTTATACATACACCGTATATTCTCCTTTTCCTAGGGTAGCTTTTCAATAGCGCTGTAGAAAAAATTAGCAAAATGTATCGAAAAGTTTTATTATAATTACACTCAGAGCGCATTCTGATAATGTGTTTATTACATATTACATAATTCCTAAAACCTCTCAGTCTCTCCGTTTACAGAAGTATGCTAAAATATGCCAAAAAACAAATGCCAAAAAAGTCTAAACCACTACAGAAACAACAAAAATTCGCTATTAAATATACAAATAAAAAATGCAATGGCACGCTTTAAATGTTAACAATATTAGATACGCTGTTCGAAGAATTACACGTACATTATCGCGGTAAACAAGTGTGAGAAGACGGCGTTGATTAGGAAGTGCGCCAAAGGCCGATAAGTCGTGATCAGTCTTATGTAGCGATGATCGTTTACATATTCCCTTATCAAGGTTATCTCAACAAGCACAACCTAGGCCAACGCTGCCGTGCAACACCGAACACCCCAGAGCGCAGTGCGTCTTGCGTAAGCGTCTTAGCCACTGCAGTCGCACGCCAAAGTCCAACACAACCCCGCGTTACGGAGATGGAACACCGCGGCAAAAAACTTTATGCCTCAATACGGGGAAACATGCGAAAACAACTATTACTGTACAGTCAAATTAACCAACCTGTGGAGTAGGATCCATTATGGCTGATCGAGGACGGCAGTGACTCGGAGGACACTACCGATTCCACACTGGGCGACCGCGGCACCGTCGTCGCTAATCCGTGCGCCACTGTCTCCGGGACCAGGGTCACTTCCGGACGCACCCGTTTCCGACCGCGTTCATCTACAAACACCCACTCGTTGCCCTGCAGCACCGCCCAGCTGCCTTCGGCACTGCCGGCCACCACCAGCGTCCCGCTACGCGGATCAGAAGCCACTTGGTAGAGGAATCCCATCCCGCCCTTCCGCACGCTGACAGCGGTCAGTCGGCCCGCTTCCACTGGGCCCTGACTGCTGCTACCCACCAGCATCCCTTTCTCCTCGTACGTCTTAATGAGCAAATCCTTAATGGCACTGTTCTCCGGGTTCAGATAGCTGAAACCGGGCGTCATGGCCGTCGGCCGCTGCTCGGCGATCTCTTTGGCCAGTGTCTTGCGGTTCAGTTTGGACGACAGCAGATTCTTTACCATAGAACTGTCGGCCGACATGCCGGGCCGAATGCCCTCTGTCTCCCGCGACTTGCCCCGCTTACTGACTGTCGGCGAAGACTTAGCCACAATGTGGTCATTCTGGACGATCAACCGGGAAATGTGCTCTTCCAAAACATCCGACAGTGTCTTCCCGGGATCAGTGACTGATGTTTCCGGGGTGGGGTTGAACTTCAATTCCGACGTACTGCCGGCCGCAGCAGGCGTCGCCTCCTGGCCGAACGCAGTCCACTGGGGCTTGTTTTTGTAGGACTCCGGTTGAGAAAAAGGATCATTAATAATTTTGTTATCATCATCCGCCTCCGCCAGGTAATGCAGGTATTTTTTCTTCTTAGGCGGCAGGATCAGCTCGGTCTTCACCGGACGGGACGGGGGCGTCGACGTCCCGTACCAAGAGGGAAGTGTGACGTCCGAGGGGCTAGACAAGAGATTCCGGTTCTCCTCGGCGGATTTGGAAGACGAATCACTGCGGTTGTCAGCTGCGGTGGCCGTGTTAAGCCGTTTCAGTTCCGCACTGCTGACCTGCATCAACGCTTCAAAGGCCGACGTCGGTTCGCTTCCCGAACTGGTTTTACTCCGACGAGACTTCCTGCGTCCGGCCGGGAAGCCGTTGGCCGTCCGGGCCCGCGTGGTACGTCGTGGTCGACCGCGTTTTGGAGCCATCACCTCGATTCAGCGCTCAGTCGTTAAATCCTTCATACAACAGCCATAAAATAATTCCGCATAAATATCCACAAAATCAGGATGAAATTCCAGTCGTTTACAGCATTAAGACAACATCATCTGCAAAGAGAGAAAAGCCCTCTGTCAGACGAACAGCAAACATTGCTTAGTCATACAAGAATGCAACAAGTGGATGGGAGCAATCGATAATCAAGTAGGCCGGAAATGCAACTAACTAGCTGCTACGGCCAGACTGCTGCGCAATTCAAATTCAACACATAACACTCAGTCGTTCGCATGTGATTTTAATTATTATAGCCTGATGAATAAGTTTGGCGTTCGCGGGCACAGTACTGCACAACACAAAACAGCCTAACACGCCGCCAACAATCCTATCGATCTGCCGTATTTGTAGCTGGCCAGGCCAACCTTTGGACCGGCACGACAACGCTAACTAGGCCGATCCGATTCTATTAACTATCTGTGTACACACACAGTACACCCGGCGTTTATGCGTCCTCAACTCAACACGCACACACAACAACACAGACACCAGCCTGCCAGACAGCCACCACAAACCGGTTTCCTATTGACTCTGTCGGCCAACCATCCGGGGACCTTTCCAGCCGGAAACTGGCCCAAATTACCCATCTTTACGCCCGCTACAACAGGCGATATATGCAGCGCAAACGTAACAATGACCAGCAGATAGCGCTGCATGAAAACATACAGATTACATATACCAGCCGTCTATCTTTCCAGCAAAAACAATCGAACGATCGCATCTGCAACGTCCGTTAGAGGCCTGTGGGATATTGCACAATCACAGGTAAGTTACACTCACCGATAAAACATTCACACACACCTTATCACAGCAATCACACAACATCAACATATTCCCGCTTGTGCAAGCACCTCTTCATCACGTGACGGGCAAGTGTAATCCGCCAAGAGTGTTGTTCTTGGAAGCTTCCGCCCAACAACACATGGAAGAGTTAAAATAGCGCGCGTGCTACACAAGCCGCGGCAGCTGATGTACACGTACAACGAAATCTGCCGTCATAACGACACACACGCACTTTATTTTGCAGTGAATTTCTCAGCGGCACCGCTACTGTAGCTAGGCGAACACTCTCTGCATCAGCAGTACAGCGAGAGGAAAAAACTCTCTGCCATCGCTTCCGGCTAGCAACTGACACGTACGTGTCAACAAAAGATCGACTCGACTAAACCTGCCTTCTTCACCAGACACGGCTCGAGCGAAAAACCTGCTCAGGCAGCCATACAGTGTATGGCATACACACTCTCTCTCACTCACATCGCAATGCCCTCCCAGCGGTGCACACCGTCGACGTAATGAAACGAGAGGAAAAAACAAGTCTGTCATACATTCCCCAAATCAACCGATCACACACACTACACACGCTCATGTACCGACGACGTGGCGCCCTGGCCAGAATGATCACACAGTGGCCATTTTTCACTTTTTGGCGTCTTTGCGGTTGATCAGCAGCAGCTTCAGTATGGCCTGGGCGAATCTGTGCCACCGCGATGCTATTCACGGATCAGGCCTTTACGTAACTCCGCTGGCTACGCGCAGCTCCCATTTGCCATGGTAATTTACGCCAGAGCAAAAACTCACAGAAGTAAGGAAGTACAGGATATACGTATTTTTAATTTTAATAATACGACTATTAAATGTTCTCACCAAACCCCAGCTAACATTTTACACATTTGACCAATCGTATATTACTACCGGAACGGATAAACATAACAAAAGACATATAAAAATTATCAGCATTATCCTTTTAGCTTATTATACCGGTTTGCCAACGGCTGCCTCTAAGCGACAACAAAACACATGACGTCGGTGAAAAATATGCACATTAAAATGTGCCGAGCTCAGAGTTCAGTCGCTTCCTTACGCAGCAGAATAGGCAGTGCTGGACTGCAGTGGTTTGGGTAAGGGGGGATCCATAAATTACGTACGCAGCGAACCAGGGAAGGACGGGTTCAAAAAATGTGACAAGCTGTGACGGCCCCGGCGAACCCAGGGGGGAGGGGGTCGTCAGCTCCATGTATTACGATTGAGCGAACCAGGGGGTAGGGGTCAAGCAAACGTGACAGACCGCTACGAAGGGGGAGGGAGGGGTGAAAAACTCGTGGTTTTCTGCGTACGTAATTTATGGATGCTCCCTAAATAAAAGTGCTGTACAATGACATTTCTGCTCCGGTTGCTCTTCAGCTAACGCCGGTCTGGGCCTGGCACTGGCAGTGCCTGATCATGTGAAGGAGAAGCAGCGCGCTTTCCATGCACAGCTGGTGCAGTGGGCCAAGCTAGAGAAGCCAGCTAAATTTAGCCAACACACTAGCAACATCACTGAAAACAGCCATGGCGTTTGCCTTTACTGTCATTGCGAAACCAGCCGACCACGCGCGGTTATAATTTTAGCGCATAACACCACGCCACACAACAATTAATATGGCCCGCGCCAAAAATACATACGGGATATTTTTAACCCCCTCGCCAATCCTTATCTTTATTTTTGCAACAGAAATCCCTGACTTGTCTATTTCTTTTTTTGTGTCAAACGCTTTCTCCTCGGCCATTCCACGTATCGGCAATTTCTTCACCTATGTACACGAGTAGCTGTTGTTTCATTGCAGCGTCGAGGCAACCGGCCCGTTACACGACGCCCGTAACCGCCGCCTGCATGTTCTCTCTGGAGTCTGGCGGGAACGGCGTCTTTATCTTTATAGCGCTACACACAAAAGCTAGTGGAGTGGCCTTGCCAAAGGAAGACATTCCTACGTGGAGATTCGATCAATAATGCTTGTGCGTAAGGTAAACCGGATAGGCATATGCATACAAGCACACACACACATTTACACATACAGTACACAACCGGCAAGCCAACACAGCACACTTTCGCCCGAACAAAGATCAAAGATCACATTTTCCGTGACATCTTTAACTGGCCAATCTACGTCGAATTTGGGCCTATTAGCTCGTGACATCCTTCGTCTAACAAGCGCCAACTTGTGCGCCCTAGCTTAGCATCGATACGACCACAAAAACAAAATATTCCCGCAAGAGTCCCGCACTAATATCGATCCATCCGGCCTATTCTAACACGACCACACACCATCCATATTTCCCAGAGACTGCACCTGCAGATCCACTCAACGCAGTACTGTGTATTGTACTACGATTGCAGTCTGTAGATGTAATACTGTACGCAGTGCATTGTATGTAAGTGTTGTAAATCGTACAGTGTACACGCTGCCAGTGCCAATAAAAGAAAATACCAGCAATTTATTATGATGGCTTATTGATCAGCAGGAGAACAGATGAGTTACAGCTTACATCGAGGCAGCATTTACGTGGCTGTTTAGCGCCAGCAAGGAAAATCATTCAGAGAAATATATTATAAGTACTTAAACCGTACCAGCGATATTAACTTTACTGCATGCCAACACCGATGTTGTGAAACTTATTTGATGTTATTATTATCAGCGTACAAAAGTGGACAAATAATTCAACAGCCATGTAGTACTGATTTTATGAATATCATTTGTGCAGCCTTCATAAATAGTATGTACTATGTAGCGCTAATCTCTCCGCCCATATTTCACAACAAACAGTGTTAGATGTTTATATTTGCTGGTAGCATGATGTAATTATTTGTGTACAATTAACAATAATTATAAGTATTCACTCTAATTTCAAAGTGTTCAGTTACTGTAATCAATAAACCAGGAAGTAGCTGTACCATAAAATATGATCTCCGTATGCGATTTACATAAGGACCGTACCTGTAGAAAAGGTCGCAAAACGCCGGTTATCTAAAACGTTTTCCAACGATGTAAACAATAGAGAATGTAGTTGTAATGCACTAATGAAAGAAAATATTGAACGGCAGCAACTGCAATGTGGAAGCCAAATAACTGGTTGCTTAACCTGATGTACCGTAAGTACACAAGTAGCGAAATAATGACTAAATCACAAATCTAACTGCAGGCAGTAGCAACTAACATCTAACCAAGCGCGGATACACTTTGGCCGCTGCACAATGATTTCCCACGCATGTATGTACATTCAAACAGATTCACGCCCATAACAAACGCTAACGATATTCAGCGCACATACACACACACCACGCAAATTATGCGAGCAGCCAGTCTGAGCCGTGCTGGTTGGCGTGACGTCACTTTCCCACACCGGCAAAACCAGTTCGCATTGGCAAGCGGCTCTTATCGCTGGCTGCTAATCGTTTAAAACATTTCAAAGCCAGCTGCTGCTGCTTAGTAGACCACAAACTACTGTGCAGAGGGACAGAGTGTGGCAGAAGGAGGCGGAGGCTGACTCACATACATACACATGTAACTAAAAATATCCCACTGCGACTGGTCATATTTCTGCAGTCTGACTCTGCAGCGATACACATCTCATCTACTGCAACACAAAGGCTAAAGCACAGCACAGGGAGCGGCCTATGCACACGAAATGGAGCCCTGTAATTGCCAGGCCGACTAGTATGAGTGCAAGTCAGGAAAGGCAGACACGCAAATTATGACTAAATAGACAAAATTTTCCAGACTTCTCGACGCCGCATATTTGATTGCTTTTCCACAAAAGCTGGGGCTTCCCTCGCCTCGATAAGTTGGTAACTGATGATGACCACTGACTCTTGCCGATTAATCCGCGCATGCCCAACAAAAGAATTCTTTCCCAGCACTGCCACTCGTCACGTCTAAACAGCATCTGCTGCGCACGGATTAACTTGCCCCGCAGTACTGTACCCGTGTACCGTAGTGCACAGCCAATGCGCTGTTTCAGTTCAGATTATCGTTTATGCATTCGAGCGATTACAGTTAAATGTTTTTACGGTTTCTCTACGCACCACCATTACAGTACAACGATACGCCACGCTCAATAATAAAAGGCGACGATTACGAGTTTTACCCCACAGATGTAACACCCGTTGATACACAGAAAGCAAATTTTTGCAATTTAAGCATACGAGAACACATTCAGTGTCGAAATTAAAATTATAAAATACGAAAACTTCCGGTCAAAGGATATCTCCAGACCCAGTCTCTACTCTCTACAGATACAGTACATTAGTATGCATGTCGCGAACCTTGACAACAAATAATAATATCAAGAAAAACCATGCCATCGGATGCTCAAATTGTGATGACACAGCACTTCGACAAAAAAATTTGTTGAAAACTTTACGACGCAATACGTTAGTCAATTTTAATTCATTTATCGCTTTAATATAATCAGTACGAATATAAAAGCACGGTGTATACTTATAAGGTGATATAAGAATTACAGTACTGAAGTAACTGACCACGAACTTTTTAAAAAGCGAATACAAAAATAATATTTTGCATTTCAACATCTTTCAACACCATTTCGCAATATAGATATAACACTTCCGACTCGTGTGTGATAAATTTACAAAAGATATTGCAAACAAATATTACGCTTTCTCTGCGTAGATAGGGCAATATTTCTCCGAAAGAGCTACATACAATACTACATAGCGCATGTACAATAGTGTATCGTGAAAAAATTACTCGAGTCTTGAGATGATAGCAATTATTAGTGTACTGAATACCAGGTACGTGTACGATAGTAGCTACGAGGCACTTGAAGTGTCAACAAAAAGTGCCTACACAAAAATCGTGCCTGACTCAGCTGGGGCGGTGAACGTTGAAAGCGCCTTTTCGTGAGCAATGACACCGCACAATCAGCATTCCCAACAGAAAAAAACATACATGATACCACCAATGCAACACCAAAAAATCCAATGCAACTGGTGCATCAACAAGCGAATTTGTGCCAAGTACCTAGCCTAGCCGGATCGCTGCGTTGCCATATTCAGCGCAGTGGTGACGTCGTTGCCGCTGTTTACATAGGCTAGCAAGTAGCGAAATATATAAGTAATCTTGCTAATTATGCGGTAGCGTGATTGCAAATTGAAGCGCGAACGATACTGTACAATACACAGGTTCTCTGATGTCAAAATTAACAATACACTATTGTTAAAAATGTAAACTGCAAAGCTATCCCCGTGCATAGTATTGTGTATTGTCTATACTGCCGCCTGCATCGTTCCAGTCACCACCCCACTCACTGCGGTCACTACTGTAACAAAAAATCAAATCGACTTACGACTGATTGCTTAATTTACAGTGTTACACAGGTAAGTACGATAGTATGTCGAACAACGCGGAAACTTGATTTTAAGTACTTGCACAGTACACTAAAATTGTCACTATAATTTAGTACAGTACTTACTTCAATACAATAATCACGAACTTTCCGTTTATTAAAATATCTATATAAATAAAGTAATACTAAAGCCTAATACTAAACTAATGAAGTACAGTACTTAAGTACTGTAATTGAAAATCCAGATACTGTTGCTCTAGCAACGAAATCAAAAGAAAAACAAAAAACAACGGCGCATCGCCGCATACTCACAGCACAAACAAATCGTTAACATAACATGCAAAGCAAGCAAGCAACATATTAACATGCCGAAACACGAGAATTCGCCCTGTTCTAACAGTTTATAATACCTTTAACCTTATAGTACTACGGTACTTCCTACGAGTACTTAAGTAGTTCTTCTTTCTAGTACTTACCTACCAGTAGTAGGCTAACATTTCGTGCTAATCATCTAATGTACGTACCTGTTCTCCTTTTTGAGCCAGATGCTTGGATAGACACCTGCAGAGCGAATCGTCCCAGTGCGTACTGCCTAATTATAACCCGGAATCCACAGAATGAAATAGGAGTAATCCCGAATAAACTGCAGTTACTGCACGTGAGCGAGATTAAAATGAAGACGGCATTCACAGCACGGTCGGATACGTATGTTCTGTCTGACAATCAGCGCCACTGATTCCACTGCGCAGTACTGACTCGGCCTGCTTCGCGAGGTCAAATGACGCAGCTGGCCGTCTACAAGACAGCTCTGTCTCCGGCCTTTATCGGCGCTGAATAATGGCATTGGCGGGCACGTATCCACCCACGTGAAGAATTTCTACAGGACCGATAGTAATCACACGGATCCCGATGCACCGAGTTTTCCAAGAAAATGCGAACAAAGGACGACGGTCAGCGCACTGGGCCGGAAGCCAGTCGCGAGACCGAGCGGGACTGAAACGACAAATCAAAATGTAAAAATGATGTTATGCATGGTCAGAAATTGATAGTATTCGTTATAATGACGTTATTAACAATCTGTCTCAGAACAGTCAACATAAAAATGTTATGGCATAAAAATCGAAATAGAAAAGTAGGAAAAGTAGTGAATTCGTATTTACATAACAAATGTCCCCGACGGAGTGTAAATCTTATGGCCTAAAAAAGGAATTCTATTATATATAAAATAATCATAACAAAAATTAATGTCTTCGACTCATTGTAAGAGTTATGAAAAGTTGGCAATATCTGAGTACGGAGCGGTACGAAGCGAACTTTTTTTCGGCGGACTTGCCGAAAATTCGGTACGCCCGTATTCGAGTTCGCAATGCTGCTCCTTTTGTTGCGAGTTGTACTGCCCTCCGCTCTCAGAAACCCGCTTATAATTAGATATTAGATTCGTTTTCGGGTCAGAAACGTGTACGGCACGATATCTCTAAGATAACTAAACTTATTGTTAGAGTTTATACCACGGACCAGACTTACTACACTGAACTTAAAATTCTTAAAATTTAGAGCATTCCCACTTTTTCGAAAAGGATTCAGTTTTTTGGCAAAAATAGCTGTGCAGTGTGCATCCGAAACATAGCGAAAAGAATAAACTATTTGTAATTTGTGCGATTGAATGCGTAGAGTCGCCGTAGACATCAGACAAAAATCTTTTGATGCTCGTATCTTTTGGAATCCTGTTTTTCCTTATTTTGTGTGATTGGTTGGTGTGCTCATAATTGACAATCCTGATTGGACGTGTTGATCCAACTGGCTGTTCAAGGCGTTCGGTGGATCTGAATGTAACGGTTGATTTATAACTTTACAGTTTTCACTTTTCGCTGATACGGTAATCAGGACAAAACTCTATCATCCCGGATCCTTCCTCGATGTTGTAAATTATCCGGAAATTGCGTAGCTTTCACTTCTTCGCACTCAGTGGTTCCCTTTTTGAGATACCTTATGTGTTTGCACTGGTCTGGTAACTGTGCTGCCATTGACTGAGTTTGTCTTTGAAACAGCGATCTATGCTTGAAGGTGAGCAGTACTGCACGCATTTCATAATGCAGCTCGAGGAGCGTCTTTGGTCCTCGACTCCTCGTTTACCATATTTCCGACTACTTCTGAGAGTATTTAAGAGTAGCTTGTTAAATCCTTTTCTTAGATTAAGCTATTAGCTATCCATGTTTCGGCCTTATCCATTGGCCGTGAAACTATCGTGAATGGATGTGGATACGAGCGTTGCAGGTATTACAGTGGACTGCGAAAAGGTGTTACAACGCGCGCAACCAGGCACTTTTCTGTACTAAGACAGGCAAATTCGTGACTGGCCATCGGCCTGCTGGTATTAACACATGCACCTTGCGCATTTCCCAACGAAAACAATCAACCGATATCTCAAACGAAAGAGAAAAAAATTTTAAAAATTTTGATACCAAGCAAGTTGTTCTTTATGGGATCTAAGAGAAAATCGACGCACCTAAAGTTTCTCGTAGACATAGCATACGATTTGAATCCACGGTTTGGATTCAGTTTTAACACAGAAATCGTATGCTTTGTCTACGACAAACTAAAATGGCTCGATTTTCTCTTAGATCTCGTAAAGGATCACCTGTTTGGTACCAGAATTCTTGAAATTTTGTTCTCTTTCGTTTGAGATATCGGCTGATGGTTTTCATTGGGAAATGCGCAACGTGCAAGTGTTCAAATTCTTGCGCGTTTCCTGTGTATTGGTCATTTGGTCTTGGCCATTTATTGGGATTGGACATTCGGTCGCGGACCGAATGTAACAGGTTTTCGCAGTCCACTGTAACTGCAACGCTCGTCTCCAAACCCATTAATAAGCTGATAAGCCAGGTACGATTTCGGAACTCTCGGTCGTTCCTTCGCTGGGTTGTGTTCGAAAAGACCGCAACGTAGGATAAACTGTGAACTAGCCATCGTTCTTAGCCAACTTCACATAATATTTGTGGAGTTGCAGTCGATGGCAGGTTGAGCATGTGTTGGGTTTTTCAGCTTTGTAACACGGATGATGTCATGTCAAGTGCTGTGAATGTCTGGTGTTGGAATTGCGTTGGTATTTCTGATTGGTGTCTTGTAGCGTTTGTACTCACCTTCTTCATTTTCCTGATTTATTTTCTCTTCGGTCTGTTGCATCCTAAAGGTACTCACGTGGCCCCTTCTCGCGTTCGCGCTTTTGCGAAAGTTCCCTCAGTTTTAAAATGTGTTGAATTTAATTTTTCTGTTTTGATTCGGCTTCAAGGCGCCGTTCAGGAGGATCCTTCCACGGCCTTGGCGGACAGCCTGGTAATGGATCCTGTGCAGTCCGAGGCTCTTGCCTTTCCCCACCTGGCCCACGTCAACGGCCAGCGCGGTTCGACCCCCGAGGGCGATAGCTCCACGCTGCTCGCCACAACGCCTGTGGCCGCCCCAGTCCGCAGTAAGGAATCCAGTGCCGAACCCTTTAGCGATCGCGTCCTCAAGCAACAGGCGGTGGCGGAGGCCCTGGCCTCCGCCAACATGGTGGACTCGCTGGACGTGCAGTTCGCCATTAAGAGCCTGGAAAACGGGTCGGGCGATGCGTCCACTCCCACGCTCGTCTCCGCCGACACGTACTCGCAGGATGTGGCCCGGGCCGTGTCCAGCGAAGTCTTTGGGTAAAGCGCTTGAAATGATTTCCCAGCATTTGGTTTAGCGTTGGTTGTCCAGGGAGAACGGTCTGGATTTCCTGGAAAATGCTGGTTCGACGAACGCCATAGAGTCAGAGTTGGCGCGTCAGTCGCTGTATCAGAAATTCGACCCATATGTCGCGGAAACTGCCCCGAGCCGACCGCTGCCGGAGCCCGCATTCAAGCGTCCCTTCCCGCCGCAGAGCAGCACAGCCAATCTCGACATGATCGCGGCCATGCAGCACAAACGCGATGCCATTCTCCGACAACAACAGCAGTCGCAGTCCACGGCTGAAACGCAGCCGGCCCAGTTGTGCGGGATTGAATTGGCGCAAGTAAGCTTTGTTATCCGTTTACAATGTACATACTACATAGTGTACAGTGCGGAGCGGGAAAGTTGCGAATCCCATTTGGAAGCAATGCTCTTTATGGTATTTATGCATTGCATCCGGCCGAGGCAGCAAACTCAGTCTGACCAACAGCTGATATCGAGAGTAGAAAATCTTTTGTGCACCTGTGCTGCGCGGTGAGTCATGAGACGGTAGAGTTTTCCATTTTTCCCTGCACCGTAATGCAATGTTTATCGATTTTCGCCTGCCCTTCCCTAACTGACGGATGTTAATGCTTTTTCATACATTCATGTCTCTTACCGCATGAGCCATTGGCAGCGCATTCAGACGAACGATTGATCTGCTGATGGAAGAGTTTTGATAGTTGCGCGTGTATGTTTGCGACTCATTGCTGAGGTCCTTGCCTCTTAATTGTGATTATGATCAGTCGTCGTAATCATCGCGGGTTGTGAACGAGTAATAATGTTTTTATAGCCGAATTCACGGCCTGATGTTGTTGCTGATCGCGATGCAGCCGCTAATGTGAAAAGTACGCCTAAAGCTACTCCGCCGATCACCCAGCCGCGGCATCAGGTACAGAGTCTACAGACCGTACAGTCAGTGTGTGTTGCAACTTGCTCTCAAGTACTGTCGTCTGCCGTGTGAGAGAATTGGTTGATTTAAATGACGACCGGCACGTTTTTTTAAGTACTGGATATCTTAATTTTTTGGCCGCTGTATAATTTCTGTTCGACATGCCAAGAACGCTTCGACATCTGGTATGTTGCTTCGCTTCATGAAGTCCGTTTTTTTTCGCGTTTCATACATTTGTAGAAAGAACTTTTGCCCGACACATAATTATGATAAGTGCAAATTAGGTTTTCTGTTTCTGCAATTCTTAAATTTAACGTTTCATGTTAACAGTAGAAGTAGGAAAATTACACAGTACCTCGTACCGGTTGACAGTAGTCATTGAGTCACTTCTGAGTAGGCACTAGGCAGTAGTATTCATGGTCAGTAGTTCTTTATAAAGCAAATATTCGCCAGACCTTCTTTTTATACCATACATAATTAAATTTTCGTTCGACTCAGTAACGACTGCACGAGCATTCCTGTAGCAGTTGTAGTTTATTGAAATAGGTGTAGAGCTGCTCATGAGGATTTAATTGAAAGTAGTCGAACAGACAAACATTTGGCATGATAATAATTTGTTATTGTACGACTACGTATTAAACTGGTTGGTGTGTGAATAACTGGAATACTCAAAAGAGTCAATACTCGTGTTGCATAGACGCAGACGCTGGACAACTCTATTGCGCCGCCGATGAATGGTGGGGGTGGGCAACACGCTGTGGTAAATGGCAACGGAATGGGCGGCGAAGATGATGAAAATGAGAACGCTGATGAGCAGCCCATACCGACATATCCACCGGGCAGTCTGGTTAGTCTGTCAACGCCACCGCAGCGCCCCGTGACACTGCGCACCAAGAATGCCAAAATGACCAGCAACAGCGTTCACCGTACCCTCAACCGCCGCTCCGTTCCCGCCGGTGTCTTCGCAGAGGGCGAGCACTTCAAACTGGCCATGGAGGACTCTCAGCCCAGCAACTATTCGGGTCTCCCGGATTTGCCACCGGTAAGTGTTTAGTAAATACTCGTTCTAACACTCTTTTTTGTCTAACTTTCGGATTATCCGTGACTGTTTTCTCTTGCATTTGTCCGCTTTGTCAGGTGTGGGAGAATGTAGTGGCCATGTACGAGGGCGTGGTGCAGACGCTGCTGGCCAAACTGAAGACCTTCCAGGAGGAGACAGCCGCGGCCAAACAGCGGGAGGCGCGCGCTATCGCCGACCAGGAGGAGATGCACCGGGTTTTTGTTTCCCTGCACGAGCGCTTCGAGACAAGCAAGTCTGTGATTAGCACCTACAAATCGGTATGGTATGCACTGCTCACATGCGTCGTCAGTGTGTTTGTTACACCCGGAAGTAGCCGTTAAGTGAACATTTAGCCGCCTGCCTGACTGCCATGTTGCTGCTTGCTTACAGAATCAAGAGATTCTGCAGAGGGCCTACGATGAGCTCAACGCCGAGTTCGCTCCGCAGCAGCAGGAAATGAAACGGTAAGTTGGGGAGAATTATGCGCAGCGGCTATAACCAGTTTTCCTTGAAGGCAGTGCTTCCATTGTGTGGAGTGTTGACATTATTAACTTGAGAATTGTGGTGAGGTTTCTTTTGATATCATGATAATTCATTATTGGTACCCATTTTCTATCCATGAATATATGCTTTTCCATATATACAAGTATTTGAGTCTTATTCTGTTCGTAAATTTTGTCAACCCAAAAACAGCATGCGAAATCCCGTATGAATTAAAGGACCAGCGATGGGGCGTGTATGACGTTGGGCGGTTGTTTGGAATTTTTTATGTGTCATTATAGTGTGCAAGCAGTGAACCGTATGGTCGAGATGAAGAACCGGCAGCTGGAAGATCAGCTGGAGAAAAAGAAGGAGGAAATCGCGGAAATGGCCAAGATTGTGGACGATCTGATCAGCGGCAGCAAGGAGGGTTGAAGCGCCCATCCCTTTTCGCTGTTGCTGCCGGTGGTCGGCGGTTGATTACGTATTGTGTTCCTGACTGAGAGTCTACTCACTGCTGCCTGCAGACTTTTGAATCTAGGTTTTTTAATGTGTCTGCGCTTCTTCGTCATTTACAGATCTGCGCATTGACTCAGTCATGTTGTTGGCAAAAGCCGTTTTTTTGTTTACACTTAGATGCAGTGTGCTTCCAAATCCCCTGTTTTTTGCTTCTCGTGAGCGGATGATTACCCATTTTTGGAAATGTACATTTTGATTGGCGTTTTTCCTGTGCTCTTGATAATTCTGGATTTTCAATTTTGCAAGCTGTACATTTTCGGTGGTTATGCCAGAATAAAATTTTCTGAAAAACAACCGTAGGCTGCTTAATAAAAAACTTGAATCATTATTTTTCTTCTGCATGAGTACAGTACTTACTAATACCCAATAATTATTGCTAAATTTGAAAAGAATTTTTTCGGACGAGGAAGCGTGGTGCTAAAAACCGCTTTTAATGTTTTCGAATTTCGTACACTGTTTGTGATAAACCGCATAGTTATGAGGTCATGATAATACTGCAAACTTTGATTGATTTATGTACTTAATTATTTAGTCCGCATTATTACTGTAAATTATTACCGTATTTTTACTGTTACTCTAATTGTAAATGATTAATTATTTAGTCCGCATTATTACTGTCCATTCCGCATTATTACTATAAATTACTGTACATACAAAGTGTAGATTAGTTTACGCAACAACAGTAAATGTATATTCCCCACACATGCCCATACAGTCTGCGTGAAGACTATGGCAACATCCACGATGAGATGAGGTGTGTATGACATGCAGTACTACTGATTCGCTTTTTCGTGCGATGGCGTAATTACTGAACTCCTGTACACGCGCCCACGGAAAACATCCCACCATCGCGGCGGTCGATTAATAAAATGCAATCCAGCGAGCAGCATGACGATATCACCCCACCCACCGCCAAACTGGCCCGCCTGGAGCTGGATGGAATAGCTCCCGTCGCGCCTTTCTCTGTTCCCCACAACTTCCTCTCTGACGGAAATCCGTCCGATCTGGTCTCACTGGACACCCCTGCCGGCCGCATTATCTGCGCCCAGACGGATGTGCACCGTGAGTTCATGCACATCGTCCTCAAGTCCAACAGCACCGACTACGGGCAGGGTGGAGGCGGAGGAGGGGGCGGGGCTTCCGGCAGCGCCAAGCAGAAGAAGCCGATGATCACCTGCGATAGCCACGAGGGACCCTTCCAGACCAAATGGTCGCTGCACTTCTATCCCGAGGGTCACCCTTCCAACTACTCCTTCCATCCCGACGTGGAGTGGTTCCCAGCGCAGTACGTGCCCGATGATCAGAAGTTCGCTTCGTTATACGTTCGTCTCAAGGACGGTCCCTACGAGATGATCGAAGCGCGAATGATGACGTCAGTGTTAAGCGGTGAGAGCGACATGGAGGCGGCCCTAGCCACCAACATGGAGCGCTTCATGCTGTGCCCGCGCATGAAGGTCGACGAGTTCCACCGGGAGGCTGCCGGCCACGGTTGGCCCAAGCTGTGCCTGACTAACAGCCTCAAGAACTTCGCCGGGGGATTCATCTGTGTCGTGTCGCTGCAGGTGCTCCAACCGGCCAGCGCCGGCAGCCCCGTAACCGGTGTCCGCCGAGCCCCCATCCCCATTCGCCGCTACGGTGACCTCGGGCAGGAACAGGAAGTACCCTGTATCGTCCGCCTGCGGGAGAGCACTACCCAAGGGGACGCCGTTCTTCAGGCGGCGGACTGGCAGTATGTTCACGCCCACCGCTTCGTATTGGCCGCCCGCAGCACCTACTTCCGGGGACTGTTGGCCGCCGACCAGGGCGTGCCCTTTGTGTATAAGAGTGAGCACACGCTAGAGGAGCTCAATTACCTGTTGGACATGCTGTATTTAAACAAGCTACCGCCCCGGGATACGGCGCTCAGTGTGCGGTTGCATGATTTAGCGGTTATGTACGAGTTGACCTTTATAGCCACGGTGTTGGCTGAAGAAATTGGGGGGCCTTATGGCAGTGATAGCATCGAGTCTGGCATGCTCAGTGCCACGACGTCCAGTGAATCGATGACGAGACCGGTTAATCCGTACGAAGAATTCAGAATCTGAAAAGCAGATAAAGCTGTAATCCACCTGTACCTCGCTAAAATCTTACTAAACGTAAATTTTCGCGAATGCATTTATTGTAGCTTGTAAATTACAGTAAAGCTGGACAAAGTACAAGTACATATAAAGTTATTTATCATAAAAATTCACACGAATACGAGTATAGTAAGTATGTGATTAATGCTTCCAGAATGCTTCAAGTCAGTTCAAGAAGCCTTAAACCTATCTAAGAATTCCATAGAACCCAAATAAAAACGGACAAAAGTTATAAAAATTTTATCAAAATAGCCGCCAGCAGCCACAAAATAGCGGCGTATCTATGTATATGACGTATAAACTATAAAGTACCATCAGCGGTACGCGGTGTCGCAATGGCAAACACCGCAGCATCAGCGTGGCCGTGTCTCACGGCACTTCCGGTGCAAACTTTCGGTGAGTTCATTGCAAGTTCGCAACTTACGAAGGAGTCCAGAGAGTAAAAATTCGAAATCACCAAAATGACGAAATCTGCTGTTGCAGAAATGCGGGAATCGTAAAAGTGTTATAGATTTAATATTTATTATAATTCTTTATAGCTTTTGCATACTTAGTTTCAGCGGAAGTGTATCTTCACTGGTAACGGGATTTCTTATCACTACTTACACTTACAGGAAGTTTGTTGATTTCTGACAGAATAGTCGACGGTGAATGAATGTAGGCGTGCATAACTGGAAATTTGGAGTAATCTTCTGTCTGCGTCATAATCTGTTCACAGGTCTGTGAGCAGCCTGTTGTGGTGCTCTGTCGCCAGTTTCGTGATCATGTCGAAGGACGTGGACCTGATGGGCAGCGAGCGGACTGGCGGGGGTAAGGGGAAGAAGAAGCCGTCGGGCAAACAGCAGCGCGTCAATCCGATGGGCAGCTGGGGCGCCCAGAGACTTCTGGAGGAGGATCGACTCAAGAATCCCGCTGCTGTGCAGTCTACGACGCAGACCCTCATCGAAGAAGGGTACAATGCAATCATCCGCATCGCGCTCTCTGTTTCTGCCACGGTGGAGCAGGAACAGACACTCATGATAACGCCGTGTGCTTCGTAGGTTTATGCCGTCCCGACAGCTGCTGGAAGTGGGATTCTTGGACGATAATCTGTACGAATGTCTGTCGCGGATGGAGAAAAAAGATCCGGCGACAAAAGCCAAAGCGCTGCTGGATTTCCTTCAGTTGCTTCCCACGAAGAGCGTCGACAAGCTGCTCAATACGCGAACATTCTGGGCAAGACAGTTTGTCAGGTGAGCGTGGCGACATTGCAGTGCGGTGCAGTATAAAAATTACCTGCTTGATTCGGAGATCGTCGAAATAATTGTAAGAAGTAGAATTTATGGTTTCTGTTTCTGCCGATTTTTTATTGAATGTCGCATAGTTGTGTTCTGCTGCATTTATGTAGATGCACTGAATTATCAGTTAAAGTTTGTTGATATATGCAATATGTCTCTGGAAATTTTAAAAATTTACGGAATTTATGAATGGAGTGAAGAGAAAATAATCTTGTTAGGAGTGTTGTGAAAGAGAGCTTGTATTCAGTTTAAAGCATTTAGAAATGCGTAGTGCCGATTACGTTACCTTTTCTAAATTGATCTACAAAATTTTGGGAATTTTCATTGTATGAGATTGTGGTGTTCGTGCAGCTGCATGGAGGACGACGATCCGCGCATCCGCGAATCGGCGTGCCGATGCCAGGAGCGCTACATCTCTCTGCTGAAGAAGGACACCCTGCCCATCCTGCCGACCATCATCGGACCGTGGTGGCTGGCGCAGTACCAGATGCACGCCGGCGCTGCGGCCGCCGCCCGTTCCGCCTTCCACAGCGCTTTCAGCGAGGTCAAACGCCCGGAAGTCCTGCGCTCGGCCGCAACGCCCATCTTCTCCCTCCTTCAACGCCGCATCCTCCCCTTATCCCCCCACGAAAAAGCCACAAAAAAGGGGGAAAAGGGAGAAGTCAGTGAGGAACAGCAACAGCGGATGGCTGAGGCGTTGGAAGCCATGGCGGGCTTTGTGCGGACGCTCAACGAAAAGGGTCTCAGCGAAGTGGAACCGCGCTTCACGGAGCTGATGGAACGGCCGGAGTTCTGGAAGGTGGTGAAATTGAGTAGTCCCAAAGTTCGGCAGGCTTTCTTCGAGTTGCAACGGGCACTGTGGGAAAAGATGGAAAATGTAGCGAAGGTTTTTGTCAAGGAGAACATCACCGCCGTTGTCGGTGCGTATTTTTTTCAAAAAATAAATTTTTAGTAATGTTAAATTTTTGTTCACAGTTTCTAAAATATAATATTACATATCTGTAAAAAATTTGTCTGGAAGTTTTGCAAGTACGAGTTTTCTTTAATTTTAGGTAACCTGCATGAGCGTGATAATCGTGCCGCAATGGCGACGTGGAGCCTTTTCCTCTTGATCATGAGCAAAACCGATGAATGGAGTAGCGTGCTGGATTTGCAGAAAACCATCATTCCGAAAGTGCTGTCCTTGTTAAAGAACGCCGGTTTTGGCACGGCCGCCAGTACATTTCCTTTCCTCGTGGTGTTTCTGGAGAAGGTCCCCAACAAAACGCCGGACTTTTTGTCGTCATTCCTTGGAGCGCTCATTCAGGGTCTGTCGGCGGAAAATGTGCGGAGTAGCATATTGCTGGCAGTTTGCACGGCAGCGACGGAGTGCTTCGGTTACATCGCTAAGAAAGTCGATGCCGAAATTGCCAAGCAAGTTTCCTAGTAAAATATTCAGTCATCAATGTCCCATAGATTTTATTTGCCGTTTCGGCGAAATTTTGTTAGTGATTGATTTTCCTTAGTGATTGTTTTTTGTATTTTTCAACCACATTTTTTTGTATTTTACTTTTAGAGCTTTAGTCGAAAAATATCTGAAACCATTGGTCCAGGACTCGTTAGTGGGAACCTCCAACGTCATCAAAGGCGCCGACATTCTACTGAAAATGGTACTAACGTGGCTAAAGGACAAGCAGGGCGAAAGCCGGCGCGAGCTGGCGGAAGATGTCCTTGTGGGAGTGGCTGACAAACTTCGCTATACATCCCCGGAAACAGTGCTGTCGCCACGTACACAGAAATGGTTGGACTGTTTCTTTCATGCCGGAAAGCTGGCGTTCCCGTACCCCAGCAGTCCACAGGCGCAATTGACCGAAGCCGTGGAAACATATGAAAGCTTGCAGGTGAAATCGCTAAGAGTGTTTTTCAAGGGGTTGATTCTGAAACTCATGTTTCTAGGAAATTCTTTACCAGTTATTGCGCTTATCCTTCCTGGCGCTGAAAAACGGGAACACGGAACAGGGGAAATCTTTTTTGATTATTTTACGTAATATTTCTTCCCCGGTGCTATACACCCGTTTGAAAAGTTTTATTGAAGACCAGCCGACATCATCTTCCCCACAGTTAACCATTTTCACCGCATTATCCCAAAACATCGAAACAGAACTCTTATGTCTGCTTTTGCAAGACTGCCGAGACGATACCGATTCGCAGACCATTTTCCGCTGCGTCTGGGATGCAGCGACGGATAAGATCGGTCTTCTGCAGGCGCTGGAGAAGCATGGTGGTTTCTTTATCATCGAACGCTATGGCACCGCGGCACACATGGAAGACCTGCTTGTTCTGGCTGAGAACCTCATCCGCACCCAGGAAATTAGCAATTTGGGCAAGTTGCTGGCGTTGGTGGTGCGGCTGCAGGGCGCCATCGACACGGGGCGGTTGCTGCGGAGAGTGCAGGCGCTGGAACACCGGATGCAGTTGACGGTGTTGGAGATGCTGCTGGCGGCACTGAAAGGAGCGGAATGTCAATCTGTTGTTGAACAGATTGTGCTGACGAGTCTGCAGTTAGAGTGGGATGACGAAGTAACACGGGTACTGCAACGGATGGGGCAGTTTTTGGTCCAGCAACCGGTCCGTCTAACTAGAGAAGAATTTGTTCGTCAACTGAAAGCATCGCTGACCGGCGCGCCATCCTTGGAATTCCCCGAAACATTGTCGGTATTGTTGGAGCCGTTGTCGCGTGATGAAAGCGCGGCGCAAGAGATCGTAAAGCTGTGCTCCCAGTTGGTCGATCCGTCTGTTGTTTCCGCTGTGATTTTGAACAGAACAGATGTGTTTCTGGTGCGCATCACACGCATGGACATTTCGGATGGTGTGGAATTGGTGCATTCGTTCTGGAAGGATGAGTTGGAAAGCGTGGCACGGTTAGTTTGGTTTTCGGTGACGCTGTTGATGGACTTGCACTTGGCGACCGGACGCGGTGGTTTGACGCCGTTGATACGTTGCGTCGCGGAGCTGCATCGTTATATCGAGTTGGCGTTCGGGAGTGGCGCGCCGGTGGTGTTTGACCATGAGCTGCTGAATGATTTGGACATGTATCGCTCCAAGCTGGTAAAATTCCTGGAGATTTGTGGATTTTCAGATGATGCGGTTAGTTTCGCTCCGGTTGAAAGCCTGTCCGAGCGGGAACTGGGGTTCACCTACGCGGAATTATGGAAGAAGGACGCGTTGCCTGCCGAGCATATATTCTACCGGAATTCCGTTCGCGATCGGCTGGAGACACTGTTGGCTTTTGCAGAGTTTCCGCGGACATGCGATGCTATTCGCAGCTGCGCGTGGGAGCAGATTCAAATGCTGCGCATCGTCCCGTCCTTGTTGAGTGAACGCTGTATTGATTTGGAGTACGCCGGACCCGTGTTGGACGTCTTCGGCACCGTGGTAATCGACTGGATCAGCTGTTTGATGGAGGGGACGTTCGGTGAGACGGCGGACGACGCCAAGGTGCTGGTACTGGCGGAAGAGGCCATGGAGGCAGTGGAAAACATTTTAAAGGCCCGCGAAATGCTGAAGGATGCCGGAATGTTGTGGCTGGAGTTGACGGAGTTCTCCTTTCCCCGGATACTGGCGGCGTTGCTGGAGGGGCTATTGCGCGCCGCTGAGGAAGAGGCTTATTTGAAGATGCGGCCGCCCTTAGTGGGACGAGTGATGGCTACGATGTGTGGGCTTATACATGAATTTGCTGTCGAATCACAGGTAAACTATTGGCATACTTCTAGTTATGATCCAATTAAAATACGTGTGTGGGCTTTGAACTCTTATCCTGATTATTAAAGCTAGCATTATGGAATGGCTTTTTTTATAAACTTAGCTGGAATGGCTTTTTTTATAAACTTAGCTCTTGAATAACAAATTTTCGTAAATTTTCATTATATACTTCGGTTTATATTGATTAGGGCACTTAATGCAGTAAGGTAAACTCTTCTGGTTTGCTGTTGTTCAGGGATTATTGAGGCCGGTGTGGGACACGTTGTTCCGCTTGGAAGTGGGCCTTTCCGACCGTCTCTCCGTCCTGCGCAGTCCGCCGAGCCAGATGACGGACATGTTCATCCGGCTGTTTAGTCCGCTGCTGCTGCATAAAGTGGCCCACGTGCAGTTGGCTGCCTGCAGTCTACTGACGCACATGCTGCCCTCCTTCCCGCCTTCCATCACCACCGATGCCCCGCCGACCGACGATCCCTCACAACCCGCACCGGAAATCCCTCCGCCCATCGAGTTGCTCTCAGTGTTGGAGGAAGCTGCGGATATTGTGGAGACAATGCTTCAGGACGTTCCGCTGGGCGGGTCTTTCGGGGGCGTCGTCCCGGACACAGACGCGAGCACTTACATGCTGGGCTACTTGCTGGCATGGCGAGTAACGTTGGCGTGGATGCGCAAAGAGTCCAGTGATACGCGTCAGGCGCTGGGACGATACCTCGACGCCAACGGGATGTTCAGCGCATTGTTGGATAATGTGGCCAAGCTGTTGCCGTTAGACGAAGGAGAGCGGGCGGCGGAAACAGAACCCCTCGAGGAAGAAGATGGGGTGATGAAATTCGTTGCGGCGGTTACGGACGTGGAGCGGATAAGCGCGGCGGTATACCGCGAGGCATTGCAAGGACTGCCGATGCTAGCGCGTGCCTGGTACGGGCGAAAACAGGGCAACGCGCTGCGTAGCATCGGACGTTATACGGCCAAGGTGGTCAGTCCGGAGCTGGTGCGTCGAGAGTTAGCGGTGGCAGCGCAACAGGCGCGGGAAATTGTGCTGGATAACTTCAAGGTCAATGTACGACCGACGGTGTGCGAAATCACCGCAGAATATCGCGTGGAATCATGGCTGGCCGAGATCGTCGTGCGGGTGCCTAAAGACTATCCCCTAACCGCCGTGCAGGTCTCCTGGGGGACCACCAAAGGTCAGGTTTTTCACTTCTTTACTCATCCACCGTTTTTTGTTTATTTTGTTTCTTTTTTGGTACCATTCAGTTTATTTGATTGTATTCTAGTCTTTTCTTGGCATTTTTTTTCTTTATTTTACCGTTATTTCGGTTTACATTAGGCACACACTGATTCTTTGCAGGTAGCAACATGGAGGCATGGGACGCGTGGGTCATTCGACTGTCGGGCTTCCTGCGCCGGCAGAACGGTTCCCTGCTGGAGGGCATCTTGGACTGGAAGCGCAGCGTGGACCGTAAGTTCGCCGGAGTGGAAAACTGTGCCATCTGTCTGTCGGTAGTGGAGGCTAAGAGCGGCCAGCTACCCCAGATGCAGTGCCGTACCTGCCGCAACAAATTCCACAACGAATGTCTCTACCGCTGGTTCCAGCAACAGGTCGATCCCACTTGTCCGCTCTGCCGCGAGAAATTTTTCACATGATCAAGCAGCGGATTTTGTCGGGAGGGTTTTAATTTGGACGCACCGGTGTTTTTTTGTTAAACTCACTGTACGCTTATTGATTTGTGATGGATTTCAAATTTTCCGCTCTTGCAGTTTTACTACGAGTAGTGATTTTTATTTTGAAATCGGTAGTCCACGTTGAGAAATTATTTAGCACTTAGAAATAAGTTTAGAAAGACTGTAATTAAATATTCCACGATTATAATTATTAGTGTGCATCAAACAACGAGACGACACAGGGAAAAATTTGAGAAAATCACAGCAGCAGTGCGTTTTCTGTGCTTCAGTTAAGACGGCTTAAATTCAACAACTGCGTCACGTCACAGTGCAGCTTTGACTGCGTATGGAGAATTCTTTGAGGAACTATCGTCGCAACTTGCCAGCAGGCGGAAACCGTTGCCTTTTTGCTCTGCAAAGTGCAAACAAACTCTGGCCATTCACTTTTATCATATCATACCCAATCAACCTTACCAACTTTGCCGTCGGTTATCAATTTTTCAAGCTGGTGTTTGACGTTATTGGCGGCACCTCGCCGCAGAACCATATTCAACGTCTGGAAAAAAAATACAAAAATAGAAAAGTAATTTCTTGAATAATTTAACAGCTTTCGAATAACAAATCATGCTTTAATTACGTTCATAAAGCTTTCTACTTAAATCAAAATAAATGCTCCGTTAACGATACTGCAAAAACGCACAACTTGAACTGACCGGATATATGCTGGTGACGAGGGCGTCGATCGTGAGGGGCTCCGGGAAGGCGTTCTGTAGTTGCTGCAAAATCTGTTGCTCACGCTGCATCCGGTGCTGGATGTACTGCTCTATTACCGGAAGGGGATTCTCGATCACAGAGCCGTGCGCTGGATAGATGACCGCCGGCTGCAGCGCCTGCAGCTGCGCCAAGGACGCCAAATACGTCGACAAATTCTCAAACACCTGTAAAGCACGCACCGTCTACTAAAAATTATCTCAATAGTTTGCAGAGTACTTACAGCGGTGCCTTCGCCCAGGATGCAATCGCCGCTGAAAAGGGCGCGATCCTCCTCTAGCAGCAGACTGATGTGGTCGTCCGTGTGGCCCGGAGTGTAGATTATTCTACGTAATCCCAAAAAAGGCTAATGTTATCATTCATATCTACATTCTGTTTTAGTGAGTTTAATGTTCATACAAATGCGTACAGTATTTTCCAAAGCCTAATTCGTTTGAAACCGTACTATGCTGATTTCTAAAAAAAACTATCAAAACGTCGACTTTGTTCATAGTGTTCCGCATAAAGAAAGCAAGCGATTCACAGGCGAACTTACTCACAAAAATTCATAAAAGGCAAACGGCTACAAAGAGAAAAACTATTAGGAAGAGTGCATGTGTGCCGCATGTTCGGCACGTACCGCAGACTCTAGATACAGTACGTACAATTCATTTTACAAATTATTCTCATCCTGCAAATAAAGCACATTATTCGGGCTGACAGTAAGACTGTATAGATTTGCTACGTGCATAGTGTTACTGAAAACTCAAATTTAATTCTTCCAAAGTTTCCCCAAGAATTGTGCGTGCAAAATATTCATAGATTCGCAAGTTAGACAAGACGTACAGACCAACTTGTCTGTCACACCAGCCGAACCATTCAAGGAATTATAGTCATAAATTCATAATATTCAATTCATTTTATCTGTTCGTCACAAGTTCATAATAAACAAAGCGGGAATTCGAAGTTACAATCACAAAAATATTATTAATCAAATGAAGTAAAGTTACTGATCCTAAATTGTAATTTATTGAATAAAGTAAAAAGCTGACGAAACTGACCTTAAATTCTGCCCATCCACGGAGACAACATCCCCGTCGCTGACAAACTCGTACTGGACGCCCTTGGGCACTTCCTCCTTGCCGCTGCGTTTCAGCTTCATAACACGCGGCCGCTCCACAACACAGTCGGAGCGCAGCAGTCCCGGCAAACCCCGGTGTGGTCGTGGTGCCAGTGTGTCAGGACGATCTGGGCGATGCGCGCCTTCTCCTCGGCCAGCACCGAGCGCAGCTGCTGTAAATACGCCGCGTTGTTGTTCTCTCCGGTGTCAATCAGCAGGCGCCTGCAACGAGAACTCGAATGAAAAGAACAGAAAGGTGTCTGCCGCGAATGCAAAGTGTATAAAGAAGCGACACCCACTGTGGCCCGCTGCCCAGGAGATACGTGTTGGTGCCCTGCAGCGTCATCGGACCGGGATTGCAGCCAAGGATGCGCAGAATGCTACCGTTGAGGCGGCTGACAGGGGGCAGCGGCTTCAGTCCGGGAGGGGCACCCATCGTGCGCCAGGCCACCAGACGCAGCAGGCGGGACTCGGCGACGCCCATCGGACCACCAACAGCCACACACGCGGATGCTGAGAATAGGGCAGTGAATCTGGAGATAAAAATCACTTCAATCAACACACTTATCGTAAGTTCACTTTTATTTCGTTTAAACTGTCGGTATTTTACAATGCATGATGTTCACTTGTGTGAGCTGTGTCTAAAAACAACTTTTAGCCATGCCATCTCAGCGATCCGACTGCGGTAGCGTCATAATATTAACAGACAAGTAAACTGTTAGGACTACAAAGCAAAACAAAGCAGCGAACTAAACACCCGAATGGTCAAACAGCAGCGTAGGTCATCTGCTTCATGCAAAACGCTATTTATTATTCCGCATGTTAAGTTATTATAAGGATCAATGAAGGTACATTCTTTGATTAAACGCCTCAGAAATACATTAAAAACGGGAAAAGTTGATGCAACGAAAGGAGAGATTCAATATCGAGCCGGCATCTTCAGAACACCCAAGACATACTGCTTCAGAAAAGATACAACTTCAGAAAAACACAAAAGACGAAAAACTGAAAAACCAACAACAGCTAAATTATAAGTTTAAAGTCTGCACTATAAAATCCCAAAGGGAATCTGTAATACTAATCAGTAATCACAGCGACTTATACACCCATTCCACAATGCTTAATCACTCGGGGAGTAGGACAAGAATCACTCGGACAGTGGCTCAGCTTGCTGCAGATGCTCCGAAACCATCTGGCACAGATGGTCGTAGCGCTCCTCCGCGGCCTGCTTTTCTCGTTTCAGGATGTCGACCTGGCAAATCAATCTGATCATGGCACGCCGGAACTGCAGCCGTGGGGACACTTCGCTGTTGCTGTCTGCCTGGCTTGATTTCTTCTGCCATTCGCGGACGTGGTGCACCACCTGAGCCTTTATGACACGGCCACGCTCGTTTAATTCACGGAGCTTGTCTAGCGTGCTCGTACATTTCCAGCACCATCTCCACCACGTCCGAACTGGTCTGCGCCAGGAGGCCAGCATCGGGGCGAGCGGTGGGGGCGGCGTCGCGAAGCGATGCGGGCTGATCACCTTCAGGCATCGCGACAGAAGAAAGAAAGACTTCCAGTGGGCTCCAGCGGGACACAACTCCCGATATGGCAATCTGCAGTCCAGGGTGCAAAAAGAAGCAGGAGACTGAGAGGCAGCAAGCTACTTACGCAATCGCCTTTTTACTAGTCCAAATAAGAAGAGTAAACTTTTACGAATTTTGAAAATTAATTTATTCAATTTTTATCAGTAAGAAACTTCCACTGAAATGCAAAATTGAAGCGCAGCTCACGAGCCTCCGGTCATCGATCTCCTACCCTGAAACTGCAACCAAAGATGGCGCAGCTTGACCGCATCGACATTCGACACATCCAGCGATTCAACAGATTCTGATGCTGTTTCAATTGTTGCGATCCGCAAAGAGATACGAGTACATAACGTTTCCGGCATGAGCAGGTGAAAGGAAGTAATATCTGATTCTAATTTCAAACGTACTACCTAGGTACTGAACATAAATGTGCTGCATATTTATGTTCAGTACCCAGGACCTAGGTAGTACGTTTGAAATTATGTGTGCATATATAAGCACACCATCCTCAATCTCGTAACTTGTACAGCAAGAATTGCAAGCAAGAATAATAAGACTCTCTTCCAGCAAGAATAATAACAGTAACTGAGTTACTTACTACTTTTTATCTGGTCTTTTTGTCAGTCCGACTCCGTCGTCGTCTTTCCTTGTAGAAAACAATGTACACCCAGTTATCAACAGAAAGCCATTAACGCTATCACTAGAACAACAATAATGATAAACGTAGAAGAGCGCCCAACATATACAGCAGCAACTGTCAAACCCATAATTAACACGGTAAACCGTAAAAAAAAGGGGATAAGAATCATTAGATTATAAGAAAGGGGAAAAGTGGAAAACACGAGAAACATTTCGAAAATTTCTGTGAGCAGTGGGCACGGTGTGTTGGAGTTTCAAGAACGTACCTGCAAAGCCTGTGCGGTTAGCTGTGCGACAAAACCTAGCTTGGAAACTCAGGACTTGATTTTGTTCATTTTAGAATTTAGAATTTAACGATATGTACTGTACCTGCCGTAACCGTAACTATTCTACACCCTTTTCAAAACAGATTAACTGGACCTTTTTGATAAAGCCAGTATACAGTAGTATTCTCAAATACGTAAATCTGTGAAATGTCAAAACTTTCTTATTGAAGGAAGAGTCGAAAACATTGCGCTCATTAAACACAGCAAGTTATTGACGGTGAAGAATAGAAGTGATCGTTGGACGTGTCTGACTGGAAGCAGACACGAAGCCTGTGAAGTGCTGATCGCTATAAAAGTAGTTTCCTCATCCTTCTACCGCTTCCCCGCAATATGGACTTTCAACACCGCGCGGGTGGAAAGACCGGCGGAGGCGGTGTAGCCTCGGCCTCCGAGAGCAACCGCGATCGTCGCGAGCGCCTGCGTCAGCTGGCGCTGGAGACCATCGACCTGGCCAAGGATCCCTACTTCATGAAGAACCACTTGGGCACCTACGAGTGCAAGCTATGTCTGACGCTGCACAACAACGAGGGTAGCTATCTGGCCCACACACAGGGCAAGAAGCACCAGGCCAATTTGGCGCGCCGCGCCGCCATGCAGGCCAAAGATGCGCCGATCCAGCCCGCTCTCGACAAGCCTCGCGTCGACATCAAGAAGTTCGTCAAGATCGGAAGACCCGGTTACCGTGTCACCAAGCAGAAGGATCCAGACACGCACCAGCAGAGCCTCCTCTTTCAGGTCAGTTTTCTGCGATAATATTTTCATGGCTGAATCGTTATGAGTTGGCGACGTCGACTTGAGCCACTTTGACGTTCTTCCATCGTCTTCGGGCTTACTTTCAGTGTTATAATGACACAATACAGTGCAAAATATTGAGAATAACACTGTTATTCTCTGTTATTCTTATGAATAACATTATAACACTGTTATTCTCAATATTTTGCATTGTATTTTGCCCATTTGGGTGTTATAACCTACTTATTTATCTGCAAAATATGTTTTGTTAACTTTACTTACAGTACTTATGGTTTAACCACTTTTCGAATTAAAATTTTGTTTTTATAAACCGATTATTCTTAATCTTGCTTGTGGAATATAGATATTACTTACGCGGTTGCTCAGTTAAAAATGTAAAATACACCAAGCTTATGTTTCTTGATACTCATAGTAACATAAGTTCATTAACTTATACTTCGTGCGAGCACTTTGATTCTTTAAGCGCGTGGAACTAGCTCCAGGATGTGGCGAAATCGAGAAAGCATACATACAACATAAATAACATTATGACATAAGTGCATCGATTATTTACTTACTGTACGTTTATGTAAGTATTTTTAAAGCACGGTAGCCATTATGTGGATGTTACTGTAGGTGGACTACCCGGAAATCGGCGACGCCGTCATTCCCAAGCACCGTTTCATGTCTGCCTTCGAGCAGCGTCACGAAGCCCCCGACAAGAACTGGCAGTTCCTTATTCTGGCCGCCGAGCCTTACGAGACCATCGCCTTCAAGGTGCCCTCGCGCGAAGTGGACAAGAGCGAAGAACACTTTTGGACTCACTGGAACCGCGACACTAAGCAGTTTTTCCTGCAGGTGGCCTTCAAATAGCCACGCAGTTTATGTATTTACAATTTATCCTCCATTTAATATTTTTTGCTATTTTGACGCTATTTTGGCGCTAAATTCTGTGCACACTCCAACTGTCTCGTCTCAAGACTGACGCATGTAATGGAATTGTATATTTTTGAAAGTAAGTGCTTTTCTTGCTACGCTCTGTATTTACGGAAAAAATGAAACCATAAATAATTCATCTATCCGCGTTTATTTGTAATAGTTAAAAATTAGTAAATTGTCGGGCGGATGCATCACATTCTCATTGTACAAAAAACACAAATCGGTACGACGGCACCGTGGATTATTCTGACATCACCTCCGTACCATAGTCATTAATCAGCAATTCTTGATAGAGATTCACTCCAAACCCATTCTGCCAGGGCAGCATACCGATGGGGACGCCGGTCCAATCCACATCTGTAATATCACCTTCCAGTCAGGTTAATTTTAATAAAGGAGAGTAATACGCAGTCACCTGGTTCTAACTTCTCACTATGTGCACTGGGTGTTGATATCAATTCCACGGTTTTTTAAAATTTATTTGTATGGCCATCTATTACACGTATACCTTACCCGTTGCTTTCTCCCAACAGCGGATTACCGCCGAGCTTGATCCGGGAACAGAACCGTGAGTTCTATCCATATCCATACTATGCTTTTCTTTCATTTCTGCAATTAAAAACAACACGTCTCTGTAAAGGCATGCAGCAGATGCATTCACAACTGATGAGCTGATGCAGTACCCACCCTTTTTGAGCATTTCTAGTGTTCTGGGCGTTCGTTTTCGCTTTACTGTGGCCACCGATGGGATATCTCTGGCAATAGCCGTCGTCAGCTGTCGGCATTCCGTCAAAAACTTGGCTTCCTTTTTCTTGGACACCCACGGACTCAGCCTGGGCATAATTTAAATAATCATAATTAAAACATTTGAGATAACTGCTTTAGTTTAAACGCATTAAACCAAAATACTGCAGTTAAAAAATTGGTAAAGATCAACATTCTAACATTTTTAGAATCTCTTCGGCATAGGGCGACGGTCTGGCCACAAAGGATCGGACAATCCTGTTCCAGTCAAAGGGATCCCACAGCCGCAAATAACCCTTCCTGTCTATGTATAACACACGTGAATCAGCACTTAATACAAACAGCCAACATCATCAGTATTTCCAAAACATCCCCCAACCTACTTCGCGGTGTCTGCTTCAGCACGTACTTGGTCCAAGCGGCGACCAGACGGGCACGCTGATCCGACGGATCGTGGATGACGTCTGCCAGACTCAGCAGCAGAGCCTGGGTTCCACCAGGATGTTTCAAAACCTGATGGACCAGCAGGGAGCCCTTCACTTCCTCTCGTGATGGTAGCTCTGTTTCGGCATTCACTAAGCAGTGATCAATAGCTATCACCTATTAATTTCTTTTAGCATAACTGCAGAGGTCAGTGCTCAAAGCTGTTCGACTAACTTAACGTCCACGGTGACTGCTCGGGGCACAGGACAGCCGACACCAGCACTCGCGCAACAACCGGCAGATACCGCTGCAGCAGGAAGTCCATGTCTTGCATCAGAGATATAGTTAGGGGGTTTATTCTAGTAAGGAAACGGTACAGTCCGGTCTTGGCCGCTTGTACTATACCGCGCTGCAGCGCGCGGTGTATTCTCTGTGGGAAACGAAGTAAAAACCATCGACTGGACACACAGACTGACAGAAGCTCCTTTACGCGGTTATGGTCCACAGCGAAATTGATGTGACGTTGGAGATCAAGCACTTCGAGCTCCACGACGTGCTGCACTTCTTCCGCGGTGGGCTCGTCGATCTCATCCTCCGCGCGGCGTTGCATGTAGCCAGCCGAGTCAATACGCTGCTTCTCCACATCCCAGTAGTGCTCCTACATATTATATGCACTTTTCAAAAAATATCAACGACGATTTTAATTATTACCTATTCTTGTTTGTACATCATTCTAAAGTATTAATTTATTAGCGTCAAATGTCATGATATCGGGGTACAGCGTTGATTATGCCTGTATGATCGTAGTCGCAGAAATAGATGCAGAAATACTCGTACATCGGAATCTCTTCTCGAATTAACGAACTAACTTTGAGCCATTTGGCGGCGAAGACGAGGGCATCGCGCAGTTCGTCGTGCTCCTTCAGATCACCGTGCGAGGCCTCGTGACGCACGCGCACCAGCCACTCAGGCACGCCCAGCTCCTGGCAGATGGCCGTGATGGAGGAAGAGCGCCGGACGGCCGTCCGGATGTCCTCCGTTATGGACTTGACGAAACTGAAACGACGTATCGGTCACTCGGCGCGATGCACTGACAATACACATAGCGCACGTGTCGGCTGCTCACCGGATGACGGCCATGGAAACAGTCAGTCGCGCGTCGTCTTCCATTTCCCTCTGCTCCAGCGCGTCGTCGGCGTACAAAGCGCGCAGGCCCTTCAACACCACCACTGTGCACTCCATGCAGTCGTCCATCTCCGGCCTAGAAATTTAAAAAAAATTACATGACAATCGTTCATTACTTTTTCATCACTCACTTAACGTCTAAGAACTTCATTTAAAGTTATTTGTACAAAAGATACTAAGACAGCAAACGGCAACATACAACACCTAAAAAGGCAGCGGAAAGAGAGAGAGAGAAATTACCAAGAAGGCTTCCAGCAGGATTTGATGATGGCACTGAATCCCTTCAGATCGAATTTGGCCAGCTCAGCCGGATCATCGGCCTGGCTGAGCACGGGCGCTACTTGCTCGTAAACTACAAGCCACTCTTCCCTGCAAGCAGAGCCTCGTTTACGCGCTAATAAAAACTAAACAGCATCAAAGCCAAACTGTACCGACAGGTCCACGGCACTACCGGGCCCGAACGGAATAGCAGTCCGCGCAGCTGCTGCACCGTTGCAGGCGCTACAGATTGAACGGTGGGAACCGTTCCTTCTTGGAGACGCTGCAGTTTGGCTTTCCTTAGCTGCTGCCTGAGCTTCCTGCCTGGCTGGGGGAACGGTTTCATGGTCTGCATGGAATATTCGGCCGTAGCGAAAGTATTTTGGTGCTTCAATTGCCAGCAGGAGACCAGGACGACATTATTGCCACCCGACGACTGCGACCAAAATTAGCTTCCAGATGCACTAACTTTGAACAGACGACCCCATACACATTCACAGACGACCCCATACACATTCACAAGTTTCAACAGGAATCCAGGATCTAAACTGCTCAAAGAAAACGGTCAATTCCCTTGCTACAAGATAAAAATGCGTAATACTGCGGACTTGAATACTTTATGGTTTAGCCTTTATCGATAAAGTTTTTTTGCCTTCGATAAATCCCAAATACTAAATTTCAAATATTTCATCCGTACGAAGAGCTCTGGAGGCGCATAGTTAAATCAGCGACTTTTTATTAATAGACTGAAACTTACGCTTCCAGCATGCTGATTTTGTTAAGCATTGAGGGGGCGAGCCGCTTTTCAGTGGGTAAGCCGAGCCAACCACGAAGGCGATAATAAAATTAAAAGTAGACTGATTCGGCGCTGATATAACGCTAAACTGTAATTTGATCCGGACCTGGAGTCTAATGATCAGATAAAAGCCGGATCCTATAGAAATTAAGCAGCGCTTCCCATTGTGACTATTTGTGCGCAGCCGGCGATGCAGCTTCCGGATCTGCAGCGATTTTGGACATTCTGAGTCTTCTTGAAGGCAGAGTAAAGTTTAAACAACAAAATCATTCGGATAATCGGATTGTTTTTTTCTTCAGCACTTGTGCATTTGATCATTTCCTCATAATATGTCCATAATATTACTATGACTACTTCTGACTAGCATATCAATTTTTCGTTTTTCCAAAACAATCGGCCAGTTCCTGGCCGATTTTGCTTTGCTGCAGCTTTCGATGTCCAGTTAGTTTTGGCCAGTGAGTTGGACCGATCACTTATCCAAACAAAAAACGTTCGATTGCAATTTGAATCGTCGAACAATAACTTACAAATTGGTAGTACAGATTACCCAACCAAGATACAAGCACATTCGGGAAGACAATTTATTAAATGTACAAGGAGTAAACTGGAAGAATTTCTGTTGATTTGATGGCGTTACCGCGTGCCAGAGGAACCACTGGCTTTCAGTGAATCATGCCTTGCAAGCAGTATAGATGAACAGGGAGCGAAATACGGCGGAGATGCAGCGGTTGCTGGTAGCTCCAGTGAATCATGGGGCCGCTCAACGGATGAAATCATAAAAGCGTGCAATTTTACATGTAAAAATTTAGTACTAGCAGTCTGTGGCCCTTGTTAAATTTTGAAAGTGAATAAAATAATGCAGACTATGCAGTCAGCTGTTAAAGGTAGCCGGTCGTGTCCATGCTAATGGCTTCCTGGGGCGGTTACACGAATATACGATGATCAGCATCACTTCCGGACCGTTCCGGTTGCGTAGATGGATGACCGATAACAACAACTGCAGGATTTTTTTTTTGCGAAGCAGCGAACATTTTTCGAATTTTCACTGTCCGATTTTTCCTAATTTTCTTCGTTTGGATTCCTCATTCTTCGCTTTTCAGATGTCATTTCAGATTAGTTAATTTGTCAGTTTTATGAAAGCCTTTCCGACTCAGTGTGTCGCTAGATTTGGGTCATCATTTGGAATTTATAATTTTGGTCCTGTTATTCCTGTAGGCAGTAGAGTGTACAGACTACAGATAGCCCTGTGTAGTGTAAATTTTATCTGAGGACTCTATCGTGACTTAACGTTGGATATGGCGGATGGCGATGGTGCCCCCGCCACGAGTGGACCAAAGAAGATGAGCAGCAGCGGCAAGAACCCAGCCACACCAGCCCACCCGTATCCTCGAACAAGCAAACCCTCGCACTCCCAGCACGATCAGCCGTCGACTTCTAAACTGCCTCCTCTTGATTATGACCCTGCGGAGGTATGTAAATAAATCGCCGTGTCTGATATCGTAACATCGGTTTCGATCGGTGCTAACGTTGTTCTTGCAGTACCAACTGGTGCGGCATTTACCGCGCCAGCACCCCCGCGGCCCCCACGACGTGTATATCACACTGAAGACGGCCTTCAAAGCGCAGATGCAGCGTTGCCGTCGGATGCTGGAGGCCCCCGGCTGCCCGGGGATCACACTGCATGGCCTTGGGGCCGCGGCCAACCGTGCCGTCAATCTTGCGCTGCAGCTGTGCAGTGAGTACACGGGCCTGCTGCAACTGCACGCCACCACTGGAAGTATGCCCATGACGCAGGAGCTGGAACCCCTGCGCGACGATCTCGATCCCGTCAGTCAGACGCGCTTCATCTCTGCCATCCACATCCGGGTCTACTTTGTTAAGACGCTCGAGGATTTGAAGAAGAAAAAACCATGACGTTGCACTTGCGGATTCATCATTCGTTCGGACAATTTTTCAAATACTTTTGTAATAAAACTCATGAAATAACTCGATTTTTCGCATCTTCGTGATTACGGTTTATTACGGAATCATTTGTGCCGATTTTTTAATGGAAGCAAAAAATGAAACTTGCACGAAGGCGAGAGCATGGAATTAGCGAGTAAATCAACCGCTGACCCGTACACAGGCGAAGAGGACGACAACAATGTTTGCAAATAAGTAACTAAGACAAAAATTCATAAAGATGCCGGTCGATTCTACTGTGCGGCAGCTGACAGAATGGTGGCAACATCTGCAAAACATCGAAAACAAACATCAAGCACCCTTTGAAGAACTCTGAAGCTGACCCGTAGCCGATCGTTACGAAGTGATGACTTACCAGCGAAATCTATAGCTTCGGTAATTTTACGGGGCTTGATGGTCATCGTCTGATCCTTGATGAAAATACTCCGGTCGGTTTTATCGCCCTGAATGCGCCAGCCTTTTTCCTCCACGAGACGCTTGAATTTCTCATCTACATAATCACATCAACATATTTAAATGATTTTCTTTTCTTCCGTTGACTGGATGTCTCCAAAGTCTGAGCTGAAATCGAGGTACCAAAATTATCCGAAAACCACACAATAATTTATTTATCATCCAAACAAAATAAGCATCAAAAATATAAAAAAACCGTTTACTAACTTGTACACTACCTGCAGGTTTCTTTTTCAGCTAGAGTTCACTATTAAGTATTAGGAAACAAAAAACTAATGCAAACCAGCACGGCGCGCTTACAGGGCAAACCCGGGCCTAAATATCCGATCAACTGGCGTTCCTTAATGGTCTGATTGGTCATGCCGATCACTGAACAAATATCTGTCAAAACAACGAAGTTTTGTTACTAACTTATTAAACGGAAAAAAAATAGAAACAAAATGTTCGTACAATTTCGAATGGCCGTATCAAAGCCCTCTACGCCAGCCACGGTGTCTCTGCACCGATCTAAATCGTTCTACAAGCAAAAAGTTACCATATAAAGAACAAAATAGGAGAACACGCAGCGTACCCAGAAAAAGTCGAACTGGCAGGTCTCCAGACTGGTCTCCAGCCGCATCACATCCTGGATGCGCAGCACCCGCGTCTACAACGGAAATCATGATAAACTGCCACGTCCACGCGAGAAGTAACACCCACCAGCTCCGGCTCGGTGAGGGCCTTGCAGATCTGGAAATCGTTGCGCGGCAGCTGCATCAAGCCCATCAGCAGCACTTTGGCCACGTAGGAGGCGCGCGCCGCGCTGTAACTTCCGCCAGGATTCAGCTGATACCTGCCAAATACTGCGCATGATACCATGCTACAGCGAGCGGAAAAATAAAACAAAACGGCGTACAATTTGAGGAGGAGTAGATTAGCTTCCAGGTCGTAATGGCCTTCGCGCGCCTGTGCCTCCACGTAGTCCTCCATGATGTGGATGTTGGAGGGATTATATCTGCAGAGAAAATCATCTGCTTCAGCCAACAGGCCTACATTGAGAGAAAAACGATAGGTACTTGTCGATGTTGGACTGCAGGATTTTGCTAATCTCCGGCTGCAAACTCGTGATGGACGCCGCGTTCTGTCCGTACGCCGCCATTCGTGTGATCAGTGATTGTGACAAGAGTATTGCCGACGACCCGATCAGCGACAGCTGGTTATACAACGGACTTCAAACTGGGTTCGCTAGCAAGGAAAGTCAGCAGCAGACCGGAGATATTATTTGAAAGATATAAAACGTACAACTGTGACGAAATTAACGTACGGAGTTGGAACTTCGGAAAGATAAAATATTATAAATATTCAGACTGTCGAAATTTTGCTGATTTTGTAGTGAAATGTCGTTAAAACAAATTTAAATAGACTGTAATCGGTTGCTGACGCCGCACGCACCGTTATACGTACACGTGCTGGCGGAACGCTGGGAAGCGTAACTGCGTAAGTACTATATAAAACGCATGAGTCACGGTACGCGTCATCCAAAAAAGTGACTAAAAACAGCCCGGATTTTGCCATAAATAAAATTTTGCTACTTCATAATTATTCGATAATAGTTTAATTGAAATTATTGGATATTCTTTTAAATTTTGGTTACATCTGTCGACAGTCACCGGATTGTATCGTATAAGTACTTAACAATGCTGTTATAGCTTCTGAAAAACCGTATCCAGCTGGTGCGATGTTGTTGTACGACTGAGGCAGTCAGAGACTGAAACTTCGTAATCGACGAAGTAGAAACCTGTAATTCCGCGAGGCGCGGAGGTTTAATTCCGGATTACCCTTTACGCTTTTGTTACTCGGAGGGACACTGCGCTGTTATTTTTGCGTGGTACAGTCTGGTCCTCGGATGCCGTCGGTTTGCAAGCCATTGCAGCAGGGTTGACCGATCGCCGATTACACTTGCCCGTCGCACAGTTTCGTGGTGGAAGATCGATCCTTCAGCTTCATCCCCACTGGCAGTCATTAACTTTTGTCAATGAATACGCGAATTTCTTGCACCTGACGTGGTAAAAATTTACAATGGACTCAGACGGACTTGGAGGCACATTGGTGACAACTTACAAGTGATTCTTTGAGAACATCGCGCTGTGAATGCTTACGAGTCCATTGCGTATTATGAATTTATGATTATTGATTTTTATTCTGCCCGTTGAAATCAAAGACGAAATAATGTACGAACCACCGGCAACAACCTTCGGAGACGGGAGTGAGCCGTATCCTCGGCAGAACATCACGCCTGCCTGGACTTCGCACCCCACTTCACCGCCCCTGCCGACGCCCCCCGATGACTCCTTCACCCCCGCCGAACTGTCTGCCGCCCTTGTCGACGCTGTTCAGCGCGGCAACATGGAAAAGTTGCAGCGTCTGGTCGATTTGTACAGGTATGTACATGTACCTTCCTTTCCCAAAGAATCCTATAACCACATTGAATCTACAGGTATGATGTGAACACTCCCGATAAGGAGGATTGTTCTCTCCTGCAGTGGGCGGCGCTTAATAACCACGTGCCGGTGATGCGCTACCTGATCGAGAAGGGTGCCAACGTGGATTACATTGGCGGGGAACTGCGGGCCACGCCCCTGCACTGGGCCACTTTCATGGGTAACCTCCCGGCGGTGGTGTGTCTGGTGCAGCAGGGGGCGGACGCCGGCGTGGTTAACCGCGACGGCTGCACCACACTGCACTTCGCGGCGCAGCGCGGTTTCAGCCACATCGTAGCGTATCTTCTAGGCCGCGGGATGGATGTCAATCTGCGCGATCAGTTCGGCATGACGCCGCTGATGTGGGCCACCAAAGTGGCCGCCATGGATCCCGCCCGCCTCCTCGTCCATATGGGTGCCGACGTAAACGCCAAGGACCGCATGCATGGCAACACGGCGCTGCACTGGGCCGTCCTTAACACCAATGTAAGCGTCTGCCAGCTGCTGTTGTCCAGCGGCGCGGATGTTGACGCGGTGAACGTCGATAACAAGACGCCGCTGCAATTGTCGTTGACGGAGAAACGGAATCGCTTTGTGGAGGAGATCATCCGCACTCACCGCCAGGAAAGGGGGCTGGAGGGCTCCTGGATCACGCGCAACATCCTCCGCAACGATCGGCTGGTGCGTGGTCTATTCAACAGCGTCCCGGTGCTGACTTTTATCTTTGTGGGCAGCGTTTTCACCCTCAACTGCAGCTACTTCCTCAAATTCCTTGCCATTATAATCTACGCCCTTATCGTCTTCTACGCCGGGAAGTGGCTGCACTTTTCGCGTTTCTCCGAAAAATTCGCCCTGGCGGTGTACCTCGGCTGCAAATCTTGCATCCTCCTCACCGCCTTTTTCCTATGGCTACCGACGGTGTACTCTTGGACCAACATCTTGGCCTGGATAATTCTGATGGGCGGATTATGGTACAACTTCCTGCGCACATGGCTAGGCGATCCCGGCTTCATTAATCCACCCAAGGAAGACAAATTGCGCGCCGTGGTGGAGTTGGCGGAGAAGAATGAGTTCAGCGTGGCCAAACTCTGCACGACGTGTCTTGTCGTGCGACCGCTGCGCTCGAAACACTGCTCGGTGTGCGGAAAATGCGTGGCGGTGATGGACCACCACTGTCCCTTCACCGGCAACTGTGGGCCGCGCCAATCATCGTTTCTTCGTGGGCTACCTGGTGTGGCTTAGTATGTCGGGCATCGGCGCTGTTCACACCGGATTGACGTATCTGGGCGCGGTGTGGGCTTGAATCGGCACGGTTCCTCTTGACCATCGGCCCGGCGCTGGAGTGCGGGCGTGGAGCGCCTTCGTCATCGCCTTTGCGCTGCTGTTCACGGTGTGGATTGGATTCCTTGCGCTGATGCAGTTGTACCAGATCTCCGTGGTGGCCATGACGACCAATGAGCGCATCAATCAGCACCGCTACGGACACTTCCGTGGGGAGGATGGGACGCGACTGAGCCCTTTTCATAAGGGCTTCGTGGAAATTGTCTCGAATTCTGGGAGATGGAATGCTTTGGTTTGCGGCGCAGATGGCTGGATGGGAAACCTTATCAAAAGCTGAATGATGAAAATGTCTAAATCACTCTTTTTCCCTACGTTTAACGACCATTTAATGCAGATTTTCGCTCTTCATAATACAGATTTTTCTTGTTTAATAGGTTTACAGATTTGACAACTCGACCATTTTGATGTACGTCTTTTTTTTGGATTTTGGAATTCTGAATTAATAAAGTATTACAAGACTCGCTGGATCGATGGGAAATTTGAAATCCAAAAATCGATGTACGCAGAAAAATTAATAGTATCAAAATAGATGCCATATGTCGTGCTATTTGTAGTGCGTACTTGCAAAAACTAAAAGAATTTATCTACTGACCAGTGAGTACTTAATACTGTTAATAGGGATGATAAAACGGCTCTGTTGGAGTTGGATATTAACCGATAAGATGCAATAATGAGCTGATAGTAAGAAATACTTACGGTAACTGGTTTCGGTCCTTTCGAATAACAAAGAAAATTATTAGGATACTTAGAAGTTGGATTATGAATAAAATTATAAATTTTTAAATAAAGGATAATGTTAATGACACGTGTTGTCTCGGGGCCCGGGCTATGAGTGGCACTAATCGAGCCCGGAACAAAATGACGTCGAAATCGAATATCGGTACGTTTCGGACAGGCACACCGGCGGACATTCGGATTGGCCACTTCGGTGAATGCGTATCCGCCCTCCCATCGGCTGGCTTTCAACTTCTGATTCATACTGTACACCGCGAAATTTTATGGAATTCCAAATCCGACAGCCTCATCCGATTTGGAAATCTGGAATTGGAAAACATCGATTGTCGATTTTGAAAACATCGATTACGATTTTGCCAACCCGGATGCTGGACTTAGAATTTTTCTCAAATTTTGATTTTCCAATTCCACATTCTATTACACTTAGTGTAATGGATTTTTCCATATAAATGACTGGAATTGGCCCTAATCTGGTGTTTACGCCATAGTGAAGTCTGGATGTTGCCGTTGGCGTTGCAATTTACAGTACAACTACGATAAAAGGTTGTTTTTTTCTTATTTTTTTAGTCTGTTTGAGTGGATTTATTCAGATTTTCGGATATTTGTATTTCAGAGAAATCTGAGTTCTGATTATGGTAGATTTCGATCCCTTTGAAGTGTCGTCTTGCTATCTCGTGTCTCCTGGCTATGTCGTCCCGTTTTGTCGAATCCATCGAGTTCTCAATCTCCACTATGTTGTTTCCATGGATCTCCAGGACGTTTCTGGAGATTCAGGGTCTATGAAAACCCCGTCGCCGGGAAGTGGCTGCACTTTTCGCGTTTCTCCGAAAAATTCGCCCTGGCGGTGTACCTCGGCTGCAAATCTTGCATCCTCCTCACCGCCTTTTTCCTATGGCTACCGACGGTGTACTCTTGGACCAACATCTTGGCCTGGATAATTCTGATGGGCGGATTATGGTACAACTTCCTGCGCACATGGCTAGGCGATCCCGGCTTCATTAATCCACCCAAGGAAGACAAATTGCGCGCCGTGGTGGAGTTGGCGGAGAAGAATGAGTTCAGCGTGGCCAAACTCTGCACGACGTGTCTTGTCGTGCGACCGCTGCGCTCGAAACACTGCTCGGTGTGCGGAAAATGCGTGGCGGTGATGGACCACCACTGTCCCTTCACCGGCAACTGTGTGGGCCGCGCCAATCATCGTTTCTTCGTGGGCTACCTGGTGTGGCTTAGTATGTCGGGCATCGGCGCTGTTCACACCGGATTGACGTATCTGGGCGCGGTGTGTGGGCTTGAATCGGCACGGTTCCTCTTGACCATCGGCCCGGCGCTGGAGTGCGGGGCGTGGAGCGCCTTCGTCATCGCCTTTGCGCTGCTGTTCACGGTGTGGATTGGATTCCTTGCGCTGATGCAGTTGTACCAGATCTCCGTGGTGGCCATGACGACCAATGAGCGCATCAATCAGCACCGCTACGGACACTTCCGTGGGGAGGATGGGACGCGACTGAGCCCTTTTCATAAGGGCTTCGTGGGAAATTGTCTCGAATTCTGGGAGATGGAATGCTTTGGTTTGCGGCGCAGATGGCTGGATGGGAAACCTTATCAAAAGCTGAATGATGAAAATGTCTAAATCACTCTTTTTCCCTACGTTTAACGACCATTTAATACAGATTTTCGCTCTTCATAATACAGGTTTACAGATTTGACAACTCGACAATTTTGATGTACAATGTACGTCTTTTTTGGATTTTGGAATTCTGAATTAATAAAGTATTACAAGACTCGCTGGATCGATGGGAAATTTGCTAAATCCAAAAAAAATCGATGTACGCAGAAAAATTTTTAGTATCAAAATAGATACAGTATAGTGCGTACTTGCAAAAAATAAAAGAATTTAACTACTGACCAGAGAGTACTTAATACTGTTAATAGGGATGATAAAACGGCTCTGTTGGAGTTGGATATTAACCGATAAGATGCAATAATGAGCTGATAGTAAGAAATACTTACGGTAACTGGTTTCGGTCCTTTCGAATAACAAAGAAAATTATTAGGATACTTAGAAGTTGGATTATGAATAAAATTATAAATTTTAAATAAAGGATAATGTTAATGACACGTGTTGTCTCGGGGCCCGGGCTATGAGTGGCACTAATCGAGCCCGGAACAAAATGACGTCGAAATCGAATATCGGTACGTTTCGGACAGGCACACCGGCGGACATTCGGATTGGCCACTTCGGTGAATGCGTATCCGCCCTCCCATCGGCTGGCTTTCAACTTCTGATTCATACTGTACACCGCGAAATTTTATGGAATTCCAAATCCGACAGCCTCATCCGATTTGGAAATCTGGAATTGGAAAACATCGATTGTCGATTTTGAAAACATCGATTACGATTTTGCCAACCCGGATGCTGGACTTAGAATTTTTCTCAAATTTTGATTTTCCAATTCCACATTCTATTACACTTAGTGTAATGGATTTTTCCATATAAATGACTGGAATTGGCCCTAATCTGGTGTTTACGCCATAGTGAAGTCTGGATGTTGCCGTTGGCGTTGCAATTTACAGTACAACTACGATAAAAGGTTGTTTTTTTCTTATTTTTTTAGTCTGTTTGAGTGGATTTATTCAGATTTTCGGATATTTGTATTTCAGAGAAATCTGAGTTCTGATTATGGTAGATTTCGATCCCTTTGAAGTGTCGTCTTGCTATCTCGTGTCTCCTGGCTATGTCGTCCCGTTTTGTCGAATCCATCGAGTTCTCAATCTCCACTATGTTGTTTCCATGGATCTCCAGGACGTTTCTGGAGATTCAGGGTCTATGAAAACCCCGTCGCCGGAAGTGGCTGCACTTTTCGCGTTTCTCCGAAAATTCGCCCTGGCGGTGTACCTCGGCTGCAAATCTTGCATCCTCCTCACCGCCTTTTTCCTATGGCTACCGACGGTGTACTCTTGGACCAACATCTTGGCCTGGATAATTTGATGGGCGGATTATGGTACAACTTCCTGCGCACATGGCTAGGCGATCCCGGCTTCATTAATCCACCCAAGGAAGACAAATTGCGCGCCGTGGTGGAGTTGGCGGAGAAGAATGAGTTCAGCGTGGCCAAACTCTGCACGACGTGTCTTGTCGTGCGACCGCTGCGCTCGAAACACTGCTCGGTGTGCGGAAAATGCGTGGCGGTGATGGACCACCACTGTCCCTTCACCGGCAACTGTGTGGGCCGCGCCAATCATCGTTTCTTCGTGGGCTACCTGGTGTGGCTTAGTATGTCGGGCATCGGCGCTGTTCACACCGGATTGACGTATCTGGGCGCGGTGTGGGCTTGAATCGGCACGGTTCCTCTTGACCATCGGCCCGGCGCTGGAGTGCGGGGCGTGGAGCGCCTTCGTCATCGCCTTTGCGCTGCTGTTCACGGTGTGGATTGATTCCTTGCGCTGATGCAGTTGTACCAGATCTCCGTGGTGGCCATGACGACCAATGAGCGCATCAATCAGCACCGCTACGGACACTTCCGTGGGGAGGATGGGACGCGACTGAGCCCTTTTCATAAGGGCTTCGTGGAAATTGTCTCGAATTCTGGGAGATGGAATGCTTTGGTTTGCGGCGCAGATGGCTGGATGGGAAACCTTATCAAAAGCTGAATGATGAAAATGTCTAAATCACTTTTTCCCTACGTTTAACGACCATTTAATACAGATTTTCGCTCTTCATAATACAGGTTTACAGATTTGACAACTCGACAATTTTGATGTACAATGTACGTCTTTTTTGGATTTTGGAATTCTGAATTAATAAAGTATTACAAGACTCGCTGGATCGATGGGAAATTTGCTAAATCCAAAAAAAATCGATGTACGCAGAAAAATTTTTAGTATCAAAATAGATACAGTATAGTGCGTACTTGCAAAAAATAAAAGAATTTAACTACTGACCAGAGAGTACTTAATACTGTTAATAGGGATGATAAAACGGCTCTGTTGGAGTTGGATATTAACCGATAAGATGCAATAATGAGCTGATAGTAAGAAATACTTACGGTAACTGGTTTCGGTCCTTTCGAATAACAAAGAAAATTATTAGGATACTTAGAAGTTGGATTATGAATAAAATTATAAATTTTTAAATAAAGGATAATGTTAATGACACGTGTTGTCTCGGGGCCCGGGCTATGAGTGGCACTAATCGAGCCCGGAACAAAATGACGTCGAAATCGAATATCGGTACGTTTCGGACAGGCACACCGGCGGACATTCGGATTGGCCACTTCGGTGAATGCGTATCCGCCCTCCCATCGGCTGGCTTTCAACTTCTGATTCATACTGTACACCGCGAAATTTTATGGAATTCCAAATCCGACAGCCTCATCCGATTTGGAAATCTGGAATTGGAAAACATCGATTGTCGATTTTGAAAACATCGATTACGATTTTGCCAACCCGGATGCTGGACTTAGAATTTTTCTCAAATTTTGATTTTCCAATTCCACATTCTATTACACTTAGTGTAATGGATTTTTCCATATAAATGACTGGAATTGGCCCTAATCTGGTGTTTACGCCATAGTGAAGTCTGGATGTTGCCGTTGGCGTTGCAATTTACAGTACAACTACGATAAAAGGTTGTTTTTTTCTTATTTTTTTAGTCTGTTTGAGTGGATTTATTCAGATTTTCGGATATTTGTATTTCAGAGAAATCTGAGTTCTGATTATGGTAGATTTCGATCCCTTTGAAGTGTCGTCTTGCTATCTCGTGTCTCCTGGCTATGTCGTCCCGTTTTGTCGAATCCATCGAGTTCTCAATCTCCACTATGTTGTTTCCATGGATCTCCAGGACGTTTCTGGAGATTCAGGGTCTATGAAAACCCCGTCGCCATCAGTCATTCTTCTGTTTATTCCACCCGATAAAGACGAGCCCATGGAGGAGATCCCCATTATACAGCTGTTCGGCGTCGAGGACTGCGAGTTCTACTGGTAGAAAACGGCGATTACCTGGCCGTCAAAGTGGAGCGTTATAACCATATCAAGAGAAAGGCGAAACAAAGTTTGACTACGGTGGAATATTTTATCAACCTGGAGGTTTTCGCCCAAATTAAACGAACGGAAGTCCCCGTAAAATCCATTAAAACTCAAGGTGAGTACAGTAGAATGGGACCGGTTTGAGAAGTTATAAATTTATACGTTGCAAGATTTTTCAGTACTGAAATAAGAATTAACACGTGACTTGATATTTTAGACTACCAGTTTTCGTATCAGGTTGTTAGAAAACCAGATTGATTGGGCTTATTTTACAAGATCAGCTTTGTTTTGTAACCACGTTGATGATCTTTTTGCCTCTACAGAGTATCTTCCTTTGATTAGTGAAAACTTTAAAGTTAATTTATTTTAGTAATATGCGGTGATTTATCAGGAAAACTTAGAATGAATTTTATTGGCGTTTACAGATTCCATCGTGGATTTATCCTTGGAACCAGATGGCAAAAAATTAGTAGTGCTGACTATTGCTGGTTTAGTAAACTGGCTAATTTCTATGATGGACGACAAGGCGTCATTCTGGAATTAGTCAGCAAGAGTCCTTGTCCATGGAAAAGTTGCAGGTCTTTTGCAACATTCAGATCTTTGATTACAAGTATCTGCTTGTAGCATTTATGTAATGAGCAGAAATTTGAGACAATTCAAGAGAGTTACATAAATTACATTTAGGACATTTCTGAAGAGTCGAAGTGCATTTTATTTCTTGCCAAGTAGTCGAAGTGCATTTTATTTCTTGACTTTATGAAGTTTTTCTGCGATGTAATTTAGTATCATTTATTTAGTAGTTTAGCATTTGTTTTGTTTGCTGCATTTTTTTACAGTTTTCTGGTGCTAATTATGTTTGATTGCGTTACAGAAAAATTAGCGCTGCGGCACAAGGTGGAGAAAATCTCTTGGTCGCCTATGGGGCAGTTCGTCGTTCTTCACACGGCTTCCAGTTAAAGCACAGTCGTATTCCTGACAGTGTGTTGATTGAGACTGTGTATGTTTTGCAGCGGAAGCGTCGGGTATTTAATTTTTGTGGATACCGTTAACACTTTCTGCTCTTTGATGTCCAGTGGGATCCCACAGGACGCTTCCTCAGGCAGTTACGTACTCTTCGAATGCCGGAAACAGGGTGATTATTATTGTTTAATAATTGAGCACTACCAGCGATTTTTTGTTTCTTCGTTTGGTTTTCATGTGAAAAACATCGAACCTTATTGACCGGTAACTGGTTGTTGTAAATTTATTATGATACTTTCTGTATTTCAAGACAGTGCTGTTGTTTGCGACCTTTCCAGATTGATACCGTTTTCGGTGCTGATGTTCTTTAAATTATGTTGGTTTTCGTCATCCAGAAATTTTTTTGAATTTACAGAAAGATAATGGATTTACTCTGTACTCCTTCTAAGGTCGCTGTATCCGTAATGAGAAAGTGGATGGATTGGGTATGTTGAGCTGGCGACCGAGAACCGCCCATTCGATTCTCCCAGCACAGAAGCTTAACGACGTCAAGAAAAATCTGAATAAATACTCATCCGAATTTGAAATTAAGGAACGGTTGCTGGCATCGAAGGCGTCGAAGGTGGGTTGATGTGACTGCAGCAGAAGAAAGTCCAAAAACAGTGATTATGTTGATTTAGGAAGTGTCGGGGCAACGAAAACGCCTGATGACAGAGTTTACGGATTTTTTGACGACAAAACAGCGCTAATTCGAGCAAGGACGACACAAACGAGGGGCACTAAAACGAGGTGCGTATTTTGGTGTCCACAACAGGAGGACAGTTTAGGAATAGTAGAAACATCTAATGGAAGAAGGGTAGAATTAAAGTTGACAACATTGCTGTTCCACTTGATGTACATTTTGAAAAAGCATTTGGCCTGTAAATTGTCGAAATTGACTGACCTTTAATGGTGGTATGTAGGCTATAAACTAGGCGACTGGGTGTTTTGTGTGCTTGCGCTGAAGCGGCTGCGGACCGAGACACACCGGTTGGCGTTGGCCAGTTGGCGCGTCCTCCGACATGGACACGCCACCGCTAGCGGACAAAAAATTTCCATTATCGGATTTGCCGAGGAGGTCGGTGGTGTGGCACCCACGCCAGAGCTGATTCCTTCCAAGTTGGAAGAAGACGAGAATGGAGTGGAGTTTATACGTGTGATTCCGGTGGAAGTGGAGTACGATATTCCTAGTATTGCCGAGTCGGCGTGATTGGGTCATCAGTGCGATTGAATATTACTCTTTTTTCTGCTTTAGACAAGTGTTTTCTGTTTATTTCGGATCTTTATTTATTGTTATTTGTGTTTTGTTGTGTGTTTTGCCTTCCGGTTACGATTGAATTTCATCGTTTTCTTAGTGATCAAGCGTGCTGAACTGGTAAGTCTTTGCCGACTGGGACAGAGTGCAACGTTGGACGGTTAGTTTCAATTTCAGTCGCAGGCAATTGCTATTAAAATTTGTTAGAACTGACGCATTTTTCTGCAGTTTATTAGCGGAGATATTATACTAGTCGCTTTTGCGATGAACTGAAGTTTCTCAGCAAAATAATGGCGAGTCTATTGCAGTATGAGTATAAGTGTAATTTCTCTGACTGCCATTGCACTATTCGATCTCCTACAGAACTGAATTTTTCATGGGCGTTGGGCAATGCGAACTGTTCTGGACGTAACGGTTGCGGTCATTACTTGGCAATACATCATTTAAGTAACTGGGAAGATCATTTGCGGCATCATGTAGACAGCCACTCTGGACGCAACAGAAATGAACCGGACCAATGTGTGAACGGCAATCCGGCGATTGTCACATCTCCGCAAAGCATCGATCAGTTGCCAGAAAACAGGTGAAATATCAAAATTCGGTAATTAATAATTATTAAAATTTGCTTGCAGTGGTGGTTAAAATTAGTTTGTAAAACCTGCCAGTGAGTAAAAGAGCTGCGGCTTAGATCAAAGGTTTTGGCATGATATTTACCGGTGAGAGTACAGCAGTGGTTACTCGGATTTTACTATTGTCTCGTTTAAAGTGATTATGAACGAGTAATTTTTAATTCATTGTTGTATAAAATTTTGCACTGTATATTTATGAGCTTTCGCTTTGTAGTCTGGTTGCGACAGAAGAAGCTGGCAGTGAGTCTGGATTTCGTGCTTTAAGCAATACCCACAGACAGCCATCTGCGCATGCTCCACATAGTGGGCCGATGAATTACCGCGCCGGGGTCGGTGCTGGGTCAGGAAATCAGCTTCCCGGTGGAAGCGGCGTTGTTGGACAAGGGCTCCGGTTTCTCGGCGGAAGCGGAGGTGTTGAGCATGGGGTCCGGTTTCCGGCGGAAGCGGAGGTGTTGGACATGGGGTCCGGTTTCCGGCGGAAGCGGAGGTGTCGGATATGGGAGCCGGTTTCCAGCGGAAGCAGATGTGTTGCACTGTGGCTCTCCGTCGTTTCCAATTATTGGGTCAGCTGGGCGATGGGCTGCGACGACCGGTGGACGAAGTACTGCAAAGCGCCCGAACTTAGCCAGTCATCGGTCGCCAGCATTCAATGCACAAGCGCCACCGGATCCCATTAAAGAGCCCCAACTCGAGAATACATACAATTTCCGCGTGTATTTGTTTCGAAAAAGGAACAAAAATGTGGTTCCGCCTCCAAAATCGAAAGAGTACGCTTTTCCGTAGTTTTGCATTAACATGATTTCGCCACAAATTATCAGTTATTGTCAGCATAACTTTATTGCTTAGCTTAGTAAGTAAAAAACGATTAAGTATTTAAAATTTTGCAGCGAACATCAGCTTGAACTGGAGCTGATGGAGCATATGGGACTCATTCGGTTAATTGAATTTGATAAGCTAACGCAAGATCACATCATGCAGAGCATTTCTCAGCTTTTTGTGGATCGTCTGCAAGGCCGGCCTTGGACACTTTTGTCGCGCACTGAAAAGGGGAAAAAGAAAGGATACTGGCTGTACGCGGCAAATGTTGTTGATCACCGGGCGTGGGAAAAGCAAGAAATGTATTTATTTAGTTTTCGGGAAGAACGTCGGGCCACAATGCTACAATGGTAATTTTTTTATTTGCAGGATTTCTGAAACGGAGGTTGGCGATGTTTATCGTCACATTTTCATTGCAATGAATGACGGGGTCATCACGGTAGCGCGATATAGCAGAAACATTTGCTGAGGTATAGATCTTAATTTTTTTAAAACAGCAAAGATAATTCACTAAAATATGAAATTAATTATCCTTTAATTTTTAGTTTTTATTTGCTTCCGGTTTTAGGCTCGAGGGATGACCGTTGAGGAATTACCACTGGAAAATATCGAAGGTATCCAGGACGTACAATCAGCTGAATTTGTGAAGCTTGATGAAATACCATGCAGTCAATAAGGCCACAGTGTAGAAGCTGCACTGCACAGACACATTATTTCTTGATTTTCAGAAGCGGTTCAGCGAGAAAACAACCGCCGAGATGACCAGCAGGCCAGTACATCCGGCCTTCGCTCAACTGCCCGCGCGGATGATGAAGGAGACTTTTCCAGCTTTGGTGGCCGTGGATCCCGCGGCTTCACAGTTGGCAAGCGACGTAACACTGTTGTCGACCTGGACACTCCACCGTCGTCACCGGAGCGAGATCACCGCCCAGTTCGCTTTGCGGGTGTTCGGATCCCAGCGAAAGGCCCGCGAAACCGATCAGAGATTGTAACACTGAACTTCTCAGACGACAGTGATGTAGAACCCCTTGAAACGCCGTCCGTAAAAGAAATTCTGCCTTTATTATCCACTAAAGACGATGCGGAAAGTTCAGATCCCACGTTAAAGAAAAGATTTGCAATACGAGATCTTCCGGAACCTGAAAATCAGTACTTGACGGTTAAGGATATGCGTGAGCAATTTTCCGTTAAAATGACACACGAGTATCCGATGGTCAAGTCACAGTTCGTATACGCGTGGCTTCCGGAGAAAAATGTGGAAAATTTCAGCAATTTCTACTGTGCGCATGGTGATGACCTTGCTAATACGGGACGGTTTCAAGTCGAATGGATGGGTAAGCTGGAATTTTAAAGTCCGCACGGCATTTTTGTTAAAGATTAAAATGGAATTTTGTATTGTGTATCTGCTTATGAACATACAATAAATATTTTTCTATTGCGGTTTTTATTTTCAGTGCGGTCGATGCCGATGGCCCTTACAAAGAATTCGGATCCCGCTATTGGCAAGATGCTCGCTATTATAAATTCCCGGATATTAACGAGCCTTTTCGTGGAAATAAATCTGGTGGTGCTGTACACATGTTCCCATTGTTACCGAAGAAGGGCGCGCTGTCTTAAGGGCTTCTGGTTTTATGTTGCGCGAAGCAGTGATGCGTGGTGCCTCGTATCCCGACTGGCTGTCCAGCAGCGTTCTGCGAAGCATGCTAGGTTTACCTTGAACTGAATGAGGTGTTCCATTTCGATAAGGGCGTGGGAGATATGATCGAGCGCATTTTATCGGGGTCTGGAGATTTAACTATGCGTCAAGAGCCGATGCTGAAACAATGGGCGGAAAATAATCCAACTTTCCCGGTAGTAATAGTGAATTTTGGTTAGTGCAACTGAATATAATCGCAGAGTATTTTACAGTGTAGGGAGCTGATGAAAACAGCCGGGAAACGTTCTGTCAGTACATTGCTGAGTACGAACTGGTAGGCAAGCGAGTTGGAAATCTCCGCTACGTGTACGAAGGTTTCTTAGCTGGTGGTTTTATTAAGGTGAGAAATGATAAATAATAAAAAATAAGAAAATAATAATAGAAAATGAGAAATAATTTTCATTCATTTTCGAATAAGCGTTTCCTTATTGTCGCATCTTTCAGGAATTGAAAACACTGCTGCCAAATTGGAAGATAATGGAAGATGCGCTGTACAATTCAGTATTGATGGGAAACGACCTGTTGGAGCAATTTATCGCTGTGGATTACGATGAAGCTTCGGCCGATGAGGTCGTGCTCGCCGCCTGGCTCGACGATATCATCAAAGATGACCTCTCCTGCTCCGACCGTCGAAAGTTGCTCCGATTTATCACAGGCTCGCATTCAGTGCCGGCATCTCCAAAGATTCAGATCCTTTTAGCAACGATGGACGTTTTTTGCGACGACCCGACGGCCCGGAGCGTGTAATATACCTACTTCTTCCCTTGGCCTGTCCGAGCAAAGAGAAACTGCTGGAATTGATTCGGGAGTGTCTGGATACGATGGATCATCCCCTTCAAGGAAGTTTCCAGCTTGGCTAAAATTGAGTTAAGTGGACTGCGTTAAACAATATTAGTTGCATAGCAGTTGTATATGCGTGATAGAAGCCAAAACGATTCGCTGATTAATAGAACTGTTTTCCAGATCAAATGAACAACGTGTAAAGGAATTTAAATTTTTATCTATAACTATTTGGATTTTTAACACCTGTAATTCAACAATAAGTCACATAACTTAATTTATGAAAATGCTATGCGTCCGGAAACACTCCGGACGCATAGTTAACTTGCTAAACGCCCGAAAATTATGTTAGCGGGGTGCGATGGGTGTTTATTTGTTAATCAAATCCATAATAATAATTTTTCTACAATAAAATTAACATGGGAACTCAAGACGTCCATAAACCAATGGAACTTAACCTTTACCTGACTACGCGCCAGAAATCATAGAACGCGGGCGTATAAAAATGACCTTTGATTTAAAATAAAACAACTAAGTAGTTTTTTATTGTAAATCGCTGCTGTTTTCAGGGTTTGTTATGCGGTAACTGTAACTGGACGGCTGTATGGAGGGAGAAGCTGCGGATTACTTTTTATACCTGATTTGGGTGGAATAATCATTTGAATTTGGATTTCGTCCAGCTAGGATTTGGATAGCGAGTAGGATGGTGGTGTGTAAACATGCCGGCATCGGCAGTACATATTTTGTTGCTTTGGTTTGTGTGTATGCTTTTGCGCACCTATTTTGGCACTTTCGCTTACTGGGCGAAAAGCTGACAGGTTTGGTTTAGTGCTGCTTTTTTTTGGAATTCGATTGTAATTTGCTTCGCGACTGGGCTTTTAAAAGCTGGAACAGTTGATACTTCTTACCTTTTTCCTTTTTGGTTAATAAGTTATGGCACCATGTGCTTGCGGACGAACTGATGAAACTTCTTACCTTTTCCTTTTGATAAGTTATGGCACCATGTGAAATGTGCGGACGAACTGATGAAACTTTTCGGTTTTGACTGTTTAACTAAGTTTGCCGCTATTTGGTAACAATAAAATTATCGCAGCAAATGTCTTTGTGCGGTAGTTCGTTACAAATCTGTTTCCCCAACATTATGGACTGGTCAGGAATATGAAAACGAAAACAATGTTGAGTTCGACTTAAGAGAACACCAGTTATATTTTTTTATGGTTAATTTTTTTTCGTTCACTTTCAGTGACTTTCCAGAGCTGCATTATAATTATCAGAATTTCAAAGCCCACACAAAAGCCCAAAACCGAAAGTTCAAGCAAATCAGCACCAAGATAGCGCACTACTGCAAAGTATACCAACACAGTAGGCGCCAACTGATCCCCGAATGGATAAAAGCGTTTTCCGGGTTACCATTATAGAGGGACACCGTGCGCGTGCTGTCGTCCAGGTGTGTCAGTGTGCCTTCGTAAAGAATATGGGCGCGGGAAAAAAACTGGCCTGTGGTTTATCCTCACGCCGCGTATGCTCCGCCAGGACTTCCAGGGCAATGAGAATATCCGGCAGAGGACTTCGTCGCAAGGAGCGACAAGAGGCACGTGGACGGCTGGGTGGGCTAGGGACAATCACGCCTTCCTTGTTATCGGACAGTCGGATGTGTGCCGCAAAATCGGCACCACAGCCTCTTCACTCTATACAGAAAAGTTCATTCAGTACTGTATTACTTTCCAACTTTACTTTAGTTTTAAATACTTGATAAGATAAAATCTGGTGGTTCAACGGTTAGTTTTGTATTGCTAACGTGCAATTTAAATTCAATAACTTTACTGCCGTGAAATTATGTGGCAAAAAATTTAGTTTTTAAACTTAAGGAAAAAGATCATTTCCTTAAAAATACGGTGCCAATACCAACGACAGCAGCCAGTAAATTAGCCAGTACTATCGTTTGTTTTGGCTGGCTGTCAAAACCTCCACGACCGCTGAGCAGTCGGTAGCGTATAACACTCATCGAAAACAGAATCTAAGATAAGGGAGAAACCTGATGATAATTAGAAATTGAGAATTACCTGTGAATTTACTGTGAACCTGGATACTCCCGCCTTCCCATCGAGGCTTTTCCCGTCGTCCACTCTTCCAGCCAATCGATGAGAGCCCGATACAGTCGCTTTAACCACAAAGCCCGCTGCGTCAGGAGCATATCAGGGAAGTGGCAGTAGAAGATTACCGGCTTTCCGCTCCACTTCAGCACGGAAAAGCAGGTTCACACCTGACCACAGAACATGACATCATACTGCCAACCACTGCAGCCGATGAGACGACCATACGCAGCCAGCGCAGATAGGCGAAAAGCGCGTTCAGTCGTCCGCCTAAAGACCGCGGTAGCCAGGCACACACGAAACAGATTTTCGGAGTGCCGTCGCGGGTTTCCGGAAAACATTGAGAGGTTCATGGTCAACACTGAGGAAGCGGATGGAATTGCTTTCGCTCTACAGTGCCACAGCAGCGTCCACCACGAAACGCCGAACCACCGACGCCCAGATCGGAATGCACAAAAGCCACGTTAACACTCTTGACTCTTGACAACACGTTAACACTCCTGACTCTAATATGAATAATGATTAGAATTCAGACAAAGGCACCATCGGGAAATCTCTGTGAGTTTCCGTTTTTTGCTGTAAATTAACGAGAAATATATTCAATAAATACAAAAATAAAATCTCTAAAAAGCACGCGTGTCAGTACCGAATTTCAAAAATAGATTTTAAGAATTCGTACCTTTAACCAAAACTAAACCGCACTAAATCTTTTGCAGCCTGAAATACGTCAATTCCATAGATGCCATCATCGGCCATAACGTCTATACTATCCAAAATCAGCTGCGCCTCAGTCGGAAAACTGCTGATGATGTCGAATACCGGTACTGAATCTCTTGAGTGCGAGGCATGATTTCTGATATACTCCGGAAAATTTTCCGCAACATCAACATCTGCTTCAGGCAAAACATTGTCTGCTGAAAGAACCTGATCCAGTGAAAATCCGTGCAGTCCTTCTCGCGACATCCTAATATAAATAGCTGCCTAGGCGTCTTTTCGTGCTCGGTTCGCATTTTATGGTTATTGAAAAATTCGATAAACTGGCCAAGTTTTTCTTGAATTCTTTGCTGGTACACAAGATGCAGTATCATCATGTCGCGCGCACAGGAAACATCCAGAATGCCTGTATTCTCCATGTATGAAAACCGACCGGAAAAGTTTTATAACCACACGTCCCAAATCTCTCCAGAGTCTCTCAATTCTTTGATTATGGACGGACGGACCCATAATAATACTGCCTCGATCATGCCCCATGTAATGCTCCATCCATCTTGCAACTCCAAAATTTTCACCTGTATATCAATAATACTTTAATTAGAATCATAAGAGTTAAAGCAGTTAATGTAACAAAAGATTTTATATTAGTCATGGCTGAATTACTTTTAATCTATCTATCTATATAAAAGAATAGGAAGGTGCACAAAGTTTGTGTATGTCAGGGTCTAAGTCATTGACACGTCCAACCAAACTTGAATGTCTATGTAGTATGTACCGTTCGATAGCCTGCCGACTTTACCGTACTATGGCGAAAACGTACGGCTTCAGCTAGCAACACATTATCCCGTTTCTAGTTAAGTTTCGTTTAATTAATAATTTGCGTTTAAATTTTTGAAGTTAAAAGGAACACGTTTAAACTTTAAAGTTTGTCCACTGTCCAGCTGCCATCTCTGGAGGTTTTATAAAACGTACTGTAAAAAATTGCACATAGTAATCTGACAACTATTCCCGTTATGAAATTTGTGCAGCGGCTGCATAAGTTTCGCATTGTGAATTTGTGGGAAATTGGAAATGGCTACAAGCTAAATCTGAAAGAGCCGGGAAATTTTGTGTTTGTTATGTTCAGTTTTTGTAAGAGTGGAAACTTCTGCTAGCTATGTTGCGTTCGGGTTTTAAACCTCATGTTACCCAATTTGATTGTTTCGCCGCCAGGTGACGGCCGGGCGACACGACACGAGCGGAGCTCGCGGAACAACAAGTTAGACATTCTGCGTAGTTCTTCGTCCTTCCGTGGAACAGCAAAACCAAACTTGCACAACCTAAACGCATACATTGTGTAAATTCGGGCTTTTGTACTTGCTGGTGAAAATTTCACCGGATCTACGCTACAGTATTTCACCGAGGCGCCACGGAATCACGAAGCACAAGTAGACCTGGAAAACTGAAAGCTAAAAGTAAAGGTGACCATTCTGTTACAAACTTTTACTGCCTTTCGTTTGGCTCACTACGGTCTCCCCGTGCACTAATTATTGCGTTATTGACTCACTTATGGCGTACTATTCACCCGGTAAAATACCTTTTCGGTTTTCGCCTTTTGCCGTCCCTCATGGTCCGACGTGGGAAAACACTTTGCAATATATTTCCTGCATAATGATTTGGCTTTGTTTGAAAAGATGTACGCGTTATTATTGTAAACACACCTAAATCCCAGAAATTATTATTCTTATAGTTCGAGCAATAAATTCTTCTGAATTTCAAAAATTATTCCATATTCTTTGTCCAAAAATTCACTGCGCGCCTACATAATTGGTATTTTGTCCAACTGTTTAAAGTAGCGCATATTCCGAACATTTACAAAACATATACTATAGAAATATCTTGGAAATGAGAGTGAATGTACAGTACAGAAATATTCTGAAAACAAGCGAGTGTGGCGAAAGCAAATAAATATCAAGCGAAGGAATTTTGACTTAGACCGTTGGACGAGTCAATAAAAGTAATGAATGGAGGGAGAAGCAGTACGAGTACAAGTACAGATAGTTTCCAAATAGTTTCCAAATTGTTTGCGTACAGATATACGAGTACGATGGAAGGCAATAAAAGTGGTGAACGGAGCGGTCAAATTATTAATTTATTTTAAATGCTCTAAATGATGCCACCGCGCCATTTAGAGCATTTGAATTGTTTTTGGTTGTTCGGCTGGCTGTTCATTAACACTGACTACTGATAAGCACGTATTTATTATGATCTTGGTATTATTAACGAAAATATGTATTGTAATTGAGTAGGTCTCCATAATATATTTAGTTCGTGCAGTTATCAGCCGCTAATCTCTACTACTCCGCTAATCTCTTATCTATCTCTACGCTAATCTCTACTACCTCTCTACTCCGGGCAATTTGCGCGGGGTCCACTAGTTTAGAATAATGTATATAAACCTACCTCCGCAGTCGCTTCTCACTCGAGATGGGACTCCACACGCCCCCGCTCCGTTCAAAAAGGCTTCTTGTACTGTGCTAGCACGGTTATTCGTGGCAACCACAAGTGAAATGATCAGCCTGGAGAATCCGTCGATAATTCCATGAATAACAAATCCCCACCGCACCAGTTTGTGATTACCATCCATGTGCCACAACGCGTTCGGACCAGGGTTGGAATATTTACGACGAGTGACCAAGTTGAAAACCGATTAGCAACACCATAAGGGTCCAAGCGTTGCAAGATGAAAGAATCCTAGCTCGCTGGACATACAATCCAGCACTCTTTAACTGACCACATACGAAACGATATCCAACATTCACAAACGAACTGAGTATTTCCTGCACGGCAATGTCCAAGTCATCGTCGGATATATCGCTGTACTACGATAAAACCGCAAAACACTTTTTTCCGCGCTGATAAAATTTGGAAATATTACTGCACTCACAATAGCTTATTTTACTTGACCATGCTAATACAAATAAGACGCTACCGTTAAAATATTTGCTAGCATTAAAATTTACCTTGTGATTTAAATTGTATTCAGCCAGCCTGCGCTCGATCGTACGTGTCGTAACTCCAAAGAACCCAGCAATTTCCCTAACTGTGAAGCCTTCGCATCGCATTTCACAGAGTTCGTTATCCGGAATACAAATTTTTCCGTATTTATTAGTGCCGCCTTTCATTTCATAGAAATAATCCGACCCATTTTCGTCTTCCCGCAGTAGCTGATGCAAGCCCTCTGAACAGTTTCGCAAAACGTCGAACAACTGCTGAGCATCTCCCGTCACTTCGTTAGGTAAGTTTTCGCATATATCCCGTGTGTAACTGAAAAACAGCAAAATAAAAGTGGCAGAATCAAATTAGGTTAACTGCAATTTTATGGGATTTTACAGCTTACCCAGTTAAATATTCAATCTGCGCCAGTGCTCCTTCAATGCCGTCTTGATCCCTATCTGCAGTATCCAAGAGCCTATTGGCCCGCCTGACGACAGAATCCGCAAACACAAAAAAAGCTTCCATTGTATCTGCACCAAACTGAAACCAATAGTAACAAGTACTTACATCAATACCACGAAATTTCCAAAAATTATTTTGGGCTGTGACACAGCCGAACAATTCATTATTTATTACAGTGCTGCTGTACAAAGTGTAACGTAAAACGTACCGTGTTCGGGAACTTCGGATTTTGGGACGCAGTCGACCGTTATGGATCCCACTGTAAGTTACAGTGGCAGAAGTAAATTTTAGACTTTTGTTCAACACATGGAACGGTAGCTTCGGGTTGCGGAAAGATACAGCTGTTACTCAACGGCAAGAACCCCAGCACGGGCCAGAAGACGTAAACATCGAGGACTCCACCATTCAACGGCCCGATCATAAACACTTGAAGGACTTTAGCCCCTCAGCGGGCACAAGTACAAAATCAGAATAAAACAAAAAAGATGCTGCAACTCGAAGAAATAAACGGGTTTCGTTCTTCAAAAAAATTCTAGTTTCTACTTCTACTAACGTCAACAACAACGCAAACTGCCAGATTTCCACATACAGTATGGCGAGCACGCCAGGTTAAGGCCAATACCAGTAAGTTATATGGAAAAGTCCATTACAGGGCGTGTAATGGAATCTGGAATTGGAAAATCAAAAGCTGAAAAAAATTCTAAGTCCAGCATCCGGTTGGCAAAATCGTAATCGATGTTTTTGAAATCGAGAAACGATGTTTTCCAATTCCAGATTTCCAAATCGATGAGGCTGTCGGATTTGGAATTCCATAAAATTTTGACAGCTGCCTGCTACTAGCTGTGATGCTTTCAAAATATATGAACGAGTCAGTTGCGTGCATTTCGTTTCCGAATTTTTTTACTTCATACATTTCATTCCAAAACACATTGCACATCATCGTCTTCCCGCTTCTCGTAGCAGGTACGCAAAAGTTGTCGAAAGTTTTGACGAAGCGCGAGTACAGTACTTACCACTCGTAGTTGCAATAGATTAGAATCATAATGTGGCGAAAGGAAGAGGGAAGTCGAGATGGGACTCAGATATGAATTTAGCTTGATTACTCAATTAAAGTGTCGATCCGTCTTCCTGTATGACGTCATGCAGGAGTGATTCGATCGTAATTCGATGTGATTGTGACTTGACTGCATCATCCAGCCACGAATTTTAAAAATATTGGATCTTTTTGTCAAATTTTCGTTGATTGATACTCGCGACTTGCTGTCACCATTCCAGTGACGTCATTGCAGTTGTAATCGTTCTCTCTTTTTGTGATATGTGCCATGCAGGAAGAAGATAAGGAAGAGGAAAAAGAGGCCGAAGAAGAGCAAGAAGAAGAAGAGGAGGAAGAGGAAGAAGAGGAAGAAGAGGAACCCCAAACCCGTCGCTCATCAAGGCGTTATTCCCGACGCAAGAGTAGTATGCCGTTTGGATTCGTCACTTGCAGGTCAGCGGCTGATGTCATTTTAAACAATTGACGCACTTGGGTCTTCCGATTGATTTTGTTGTCATCGTGTCATTTTCCTCTGCAGTCCCAGCGAGGCCCTGGTGATCTCCGGTGAGTGAATTTTTTTTCCACTTCAAGATTTTTTCGCATTTTAATCGTGAACTCGCTCCAAATGGTCGATGTTAATCTTATTTGATTTAGAACTTTCATGATAAATTATTTGTATTTACGTTCCTGTGTTACGCCGGCGTTGTTCAGCACTGCAATTTGAGCTGTCATAAATTATCTTCAAATTGGAATATCATCGTGGATGCTGCAAATCAGAAAAAAAAATTAAGGCAGTAAAATTATAAAAAGCACTGTAAAAAGCAATAAATGTTGGCAGGTGTGGGCTACGATGGGACACCGAAATTCGTAACGGGAGGACGGGCCTTCGTCTGGCCCTTCGTCCACAAGGTGCAGCGCATCAACCTCAACACCTTCACTTTGGTTGTGGATAGCCCTCGCGTCTACACCAAGTTGGGCGTGGCCTGCAGTGTCGTCGGCATTGCACAGGTAGGCTGGAGAGTTTGGTCGGCACAGTTCTTCCTTTCTTAATTGATCTTTTTATTCCAGGTGAAAATTGAAGGCAGTCGTGAAGGTGAGATGAGCAGCCATGCCTCTCGTAAATGGATAGTCAGTAATTGTTGCGTTATTTCATGGCAGACCTATTGAAGAAGGCATGCCAGCAGTTTCTGGGCAAGAGCACCGGGGAGATCCAGCGTATCGCGCTGGAGACACTGGAGGGACACCAGCGGGCCATCATGGGCACCATGACGGTAGTACAATTGATCTTCCGGATGTCGTAGTGTTTTGAATAATTTATTATGCTTTGTTCAACAGGTCGAAGAGATCTACCGGGATCGTCAGACATTTAACCACCACGTGTTTGAGGTGAGTACTTCATTGCGCGGAGTTGTGGCAGTAAGTTTATTTTACGGTAGCTTGCCCAATGTTACAATGTGTACGGCACAGCCTAATCGATTGACTGAGCAAAGTATGTAAGCGGTACTGTATACAGTTTCGATAACTTCCGTCTGTGTGCGCGGGAAACTACACCCCGATCGATACGGGAACCGCTTGTTTAACCGTGTTTGCTTATGTTGGCCTCGATGTTCACTGAAGACTGTAGAGTAAGTGGTGTTGTTTGTGGGACGAGACCGAACTCTGACACTGACTTGTTCAGAGGAAAGATTATAGGCCAAGTGACAGACAGCCCACGGGATGCGGGTGTTTTTGCAGCGTCTGTTGGCTTCCTACTGGGATAACGGTTACTGAGGCCTTGATCGCATTTCTGAAATTGTTTATCGTCGTGGAATTGCTGTTAAACGTGTAAGGAAGAATTTAACTGGTGTTGTAGGTGGCCACCGCTGATCTGGTGAATCTGGGCATCCGCGTGGTCAGCTACACCATCAAGGACATTCACGATGATGAGGTCAGTACCGCAGCGAGGACATCGAACCTTTTGGCTGATTGTTGTTGATTTGGATTCGATTTTAACTTCTAACAAATAGTGTTATTTAAACGATAGGGCTATTTGAACGCGCTGGGTATGGCCCGCACGGCTGAAGTAAAACGGGACGCCCGCATCGGGGAGGCCATCGCCAAGAAGGAGACCACCATTAAGGCCGCGCTGGCCGATGAGGTCAGTCAGTCGTTTTCCTTTCTGCCAAATTAGTCTTATTGGTATCGTGGGTTAATAAGTTTTCATTTTCTATCCGGATGGGAAAATGGTTGCTTTTTGCAGGCACGAGTGACCGCAAAGGCTCAGAACGACATCGAAATCGCCAAAGCTCAGCGGGATTTTGAGGTAACGTCTTTCCACCTTATTATTGTTGTTTGTTGTATTGGCAATTGTTGAATTTATCCAGTTGCAAAAAGCCACGTATGATATGGAAGTGCAAGGACAGCGCGCCGTCGCCGAATTGGCCTACAGTTTGCAGGTTCGTCTTCGCATTCGTTTTTATTTTTGTGGGGAAAATGCATTTATCGCACCATTTTAGGCCGCCAAGACGCACCAGCTAATTAAAGAGCAGGAAATGGAGATCGCCGTGGTAGAGCGCACTCGTCGCATTGAGCTGCAGGAGCAAGAAATTGCCCGTCGCCAGAAAGAGCTGGAGGCGACCGTTCTCAAGCCCGCTGAGGCCGAACGATACCGAGTGGAGCGCATTGCTGAGGCCCAAAAGTAGGTTGGAAGATGACGCATCAATAGTGCCCAAATCTAATAAAGCCTTTATATATGAAACAGGAACCGCATTATGCTGGAGGCAGAAGCCGAAGCGGAGACCATCCGCCTACGCGGTGAAGCGGAAGCCTTCGCCATCCAGGCCAAAGCCAAGGCGGAAGGTGAGTTGATTCTTCACATACCCTTTCAGATTGCTACGACGGTTGCTGTGTGTTGACAGCTGAACAAATGGCCCAGAAGGCCGCCGCCTGGAAGGAGTACAAGGAGGCTGCTATGGTATGCGTGTCTGTGGTCATTTCGATGTTGAACTGAAAAAAACGACGGGTGTTTACTGTTTAGGTGGATATGGTATTGAAGACGCTGCCGAACGTCTGCGCCGAAGTCTCGCGCCCGCTGAGCCAGTTGCAGGGCATCAAGATGGTCAGCGCCGGAGACGGGGAGATCGGCGTGGCTAAGCTGGTGGGCGAGGTGGTGGAGATTGTCACGCGCATGCCGCATCTCATCGAGACCATGACTGGCGTCGACATGGCCAAAGCGGTGCGTTTCTGTTTGGATGATTTATTGTATTTAGGAAAAGTACTTAAATGCAAAAATAACCGGCACAAGTAGTTGAAAATCTGCAGCTAAACTTATCGTTGAATTGTTGAATAATGTAGGTGGATCATAAATCCGGCTCCCGCAAATAAGCGGATGCCAACAGATTTGCGGTTGGTTGTCGCTTTGCGTATATCTCCGCGCCGGGTAGCTGCTTTTCCGCACGGTCATCACAATCACTTTCCAAGTCGGACCCGGCGAGTTATCCATTTTCACCAGTGTTTTTGTTTGTTTGTTTTTTTATGCGGCGCACATTCATTGTCGGCTCCAGTGTGTTTTCTGTTGCGTTGTGATTTTCTACACCCTTGCGGTTTTTTGACTTTTTTACGTGCGAATTGTTTACATTCGCATCGGTACAGTACCCGTTGTGAGGTGGCTCTGAATATAGAGATTGTTTGCAAATAGCTCTACTACGAGTAGTTATTGTAAATTTTAGGTACTGCAAGTAGTACTTACTTAACGGGGGCCCTTTCGATGCCGATTATTTTTGTCGAGTTATTATTTCTATCCGTATTTATTTGAGTGGATAGTCCCGGCCGATGACCGGTCTGGTGACTCTCGTACATGGTTGTGGCTGTGATCAACTTGTCATTGGAAAAACAATGAAATCTGCTTGTAATGAGAACGGCTTTTACGGCAGAGTGCTAATTCGATCTGATTAGCAGCAGGATTGAGAATTTGAGACCTGCGAGTACATTATTGGTAACAATTCGGAATTCATTTGGATTTGAGTAACATTCTACTTTGTATAGATAGATATTCGTATTAAGGTATCCACGCTGCGCACGGCTTTTGGTGGGTGAAATGAGTCTCAAGAAAGTGCAGTGCCACGGATGGACGGAAAAATAAGTACTGGAATACTTCGTAGCATATACCTGACAAAATGTGAGCGTGCTTAACTGCGTTACTTCTAATCACCGTTATGTAATCAGAATCGCACGTGCGCTGCATGTACCGGTAAGTACCTAAAAAGCCAATGCCAGAAGTTGGCATCGGTACGATCGACAAGATAATGCCGCATACTTACTTCAGTTACTTGTACCACATTCTGTACTTCCATTCTATCACCGACTTCTCAAAATTACGGTACAAAATTCACGTTAAAAGGCACCTGCTATTTATTCTGTACATGTATAGTTTGCGAACTTTTAGCTCCCTTATCAGCGATCAGCTGTGAACCACTACCTAAATTTTTTATGAGCAACATCAGTAGCAATATAGAGCTTTCTAATAAACAATAAAATACGCCGTCGACAAACGATGAATTTCCCGTGTTCCACCTGGATTTTTTACAGATTTGTCTGAATACTTGAACAGAAACTGCTATTATCAAAATAAGCTCCTTGATTTATGATATTGATGTGCAAAAACAAGGCGCATTCGTTCTCGTGTTCCTTGTTATACAAATACAAATCGCATGCATGCATAATTATGTTGATCCAGCTGTTGCTGAATGTTGGCTGAAATAGTGATGCCGAATCCCTCCTTCGTAAACCGGCGAGGAACTTAGTACTACTGTACTAGAAGCAGCAATGGCGGTCGCCGCCATCGAAGTGGCCAGCGATGAGATGAAGGAGTTGCGCCAGCATCCCGGCGAGGAAATGGCTCACGCCGCGGTGCACCATCTGCGCAGCGCCGAGGAGAAGGAGATAAAAAAACTGCCGCGGTGGTATTTTGGCGGGCTGGCTTGCATGACCGGCGCACTCTGCACGCATCCGCTCGACATGATGAAGGTACTGTATGTACTTACATTGAATCAATTATAACTTTTTAAATTCTATTACACGTACGATTTTGCAAATTATATTTTTATATTCGTATATGTATTTCATTTTCTTGCCATTGTCTAATACTATATGTATCGCATAGATGAATGCTGCTGAAGTTTTACTTTGCTTATTTTACTTTGTTTTTTATCTTGAATTATATTCCTGTTAATTTTTGTTTCTGTAGCCTGTAAACTGTAAATTTTATTTATGACCACTGTTGGCCAAGTTTTAATCCTAAAAAGTTAAATTTAGACGGCTACAGACTTTCCCCCAACTTCTACAAAATTTATTTTCTGCAGGTTTGTTTCTTTAAATCTACTTGTACTATAATTTTACTTGTATACGACTATACGAGCATCGAAATTTCTAAACTGACGCTTTTGATTACTCGGCAGTGGATGACAATAATTATTACTTTCCAGGTGCACTTGCAAACACACAGTGGAAGGCGTCTGCACATCTTCCGTTCCCTGTGGCAAGTGGCCCGTCGGGAAGGCCCACGCCGGTTGTATTCCGGCTTCTCGGCTTCCGTCACCAGAGAAGTACGGCCAAACAGGCAGTACTCGCACCTGTAATCGGCTACTGTGTGCTGCTTTTGTACAGGGTATTTACTCCGGCATTCGCTTCTTCATATACGAATGGCTGAAGCCGGACCCCGGCCAGCCAGCGGCGCCCTTTTACCGGAAGGTGGCGACGGCGGTGTGCGCCGGCAGCTGCGGCGCCTTCATCGGGGCGCCCTTCGATCTCATCAACGTCCGCATGCTCAACGACGTCAAACTGCCGCCGGAGCAGCGCCGACACTACCGCCACGTGCTGGACGGATTGGCACAAATTGTCCGGCACGAGGGCGGGCGGCGCCTGTACAACGGGGCCTCGCTGGTGGTTTTGCGCGGCATCTGCATCACCGTCGGCCAGCTGTCCTTCTACGACCAAGTCAAGCAGACACTGCTGCGAATCTCTTACTTTGAGGACAACATGGTTACGCATCTCTTATCTAGTGCCGTCGCGGTGAGCCATTTATCGGCAGTAATCGAAATTGAATTTTTCAGCAGGTTTCGTGTACTTGCAGGCGTGCACGGCAGCCACGCTGGCCATGCCGGTGGATGTCATGAAAACGCGGGTACAGAATTCCAAGCCAGGACATTACACGGTATATACGCTCTTCGGTTTTTACAGAGGACTTTAATCAGAATACAATTGTCAAAATAATTCGATTGGGTCAAATAACGGTTCCTTCTTGCTATACTTCCATTTGTATTACAGAGCATATTCCATTGTGCCAAAGAAATCGCCGTTGGAGGACCATTGGCTTTCTACAAGGTAAGTATTATCTAATGATTAATTTATTACAGAAGCTGCGCGAGCACAATTTTGTCAGAATACATTATACATCTGATTTTTTTCTACCGTAGGGATTCATCCCGGCTCTGACGCGCATCAGTATTCACACCGTCGTTTCCTTCCTAACTTTTGAACAACTACGCATACATTTCGGTGCAGACATCCTTTGATAATTCCGTCGCCTATTTATTGCAACGTTTAAATTTCTGTACAAAAATAACGAAGCTTTAAGGATCGAAGTGTTTTGGAAATTGCATTTAAAAGCTAGAAAAATATTGTACAACTTGAGATTTTGGAAAACAGAAACATCAGAGGCCGTCAGAATAAACTGATAAAGGCACACGGCACACTTGAGACTTATCCGTGCTCAGGCGTCGCTAAATCCCAGAATGTCATCGGAGGAGCGGAACATCCAGTCGTCCTCCATCAGCACCCGCTGGGCGGTGGCCCGCAGCTCCTGCATTAGCTGTGCGAATTCCTCGTCGGAGGCGTTCTGGAGATGCTTGCCCAGCTGCGCGTGACTAAGGCAGGATCCCTTGGGACCAGGCTGGTGCATGCCGTGTTTGGGCAGGTTCTCGATACCTAGGGACTCGTCCAGCTCGGCGTTTCCTTCAGCGTCGTCCGTGTCAAACAGTCGTCGCGGCATCAGATCGGACACAGGCGAAGTGGATCGACTGCGCGGTGTCCAGGTCTGCGTGCCATTGCCACTGGTCGCCGAGTTAATCACTGCAAAAACCATCGTTTGCAGATGTCTGATAGCAAAAACTAGATCACAATCAGGGGCAACCGAGTTGAACCGACTATGGCAGAGCAGCATTACCTGTTGGCTGATTGCTAGGCAAAACGGGCATCATCGCGTTATTGCTGGTGTCTGACATTTTCGTCGTTTTTGCACCTCACGGTCTTACTCCTGCCCACTTTAGAATCCGTAAACTAAGCTAAAATTTAAGAAGGAATTTTGGAAGTTCGAATGTCAGACTTGTCAGTATAATCCGTGGAAAGCAACACAAACAATTGAAAATTTAAAAGAAGAACGACTGCAAAGTGCGAACCCAAAATAAAAGTGTTCGGCAAAAGTTTACAAAGCAACAAGTCGTCGATACAGGGAAATGGACCAAACATGGTCATAAAAACCACAATTTATTTTGCCAGCGATAACACAGCGCAAATTACTTCCGTACCCGGTTATGATCTGGAGGATAAAAGAGTAGAGCGCAGCCTCTGCGAGAAGGCAGTTAACTCACCAACAATTGTTGTGAGAGAGTTGGTTTCCTTGTCAGCTAGAACCGACCGGCCGAAGCCAGAAGTTTTTGACCCTGCTCTAGTTCATTATGAACTGTTGTGGATGAAAATGTGGGATGAAAAGTACGGCGTACCAGCGTTCATCGTTTCATCATTCCTCAGTTATGTTACTGTGCCTGGAAATGCTTCCGGGCGGTCGGCTGGCTGGCCGAGGATCGGAATCATGCCATGGACAAGTGGGTGAAAATTATCAGCGCGAAATGCCATCCGGTAAAAATTGCAGTACAGAATTTCAAGAAAAGCTGGAATGAACCAGAAGTCAAACTCGCAGTCGCAACTGCAACTACAGTCTACAGACGATGGCAACTGCGGTTAGCAGCAAGAAATTTTGCTTCCGTCGTCGTTCGAAGGACAAGTGGTCAACAGCAGCCGTGTGCCGTGAAATTTCAGGATAACTATTACTCCGTCTTATAACCATCCCGCAAACGATCAAAAAATGCTTTGGTTCTCCCTCGCACAGAGATTTCGCACAAATACAAGGTTTTTCTGACTGGTATTCATTTTTTATCTTGCGGCACCATAATGGCCTCAAATCATCTACGTAACAATGAACAGTAAGCACCGACAATTTGGCTTACTGGGCGATTATCGCATGCAGATAGCAGTCAATTAATACCGCCAGAGCGGATGATATTGAGACTTCACGATCTGTTGCCAATAAGCTCTTGTTGGTGGATTTCAAAACGAACAAATTTGAATTTTGAACTACTATGAATCGGTCATAGAAACCGAATGTTAAATCAGTTTTGTGACGCTGAAGAGAGCAGCCAGTAGGTGCGGATATCGCCTTTCCCCTACAAGAAAATGTTAACAGAATAGAATAGCATGAATTAGAAATAGACATACGTATACGGCATATGTACTTTAATATTGATGATGCCGCGGTCCTGTACAGCGAAACCATAAAACTGTGCTAGCTGCGCTGTTTCCGGGCTGAGATGCGTGCGCGAGGGTTGGCTGTGGCTGGACATTCGCGACGCGGTATTAACGGTGTCGCCGAATCTACGGCGCGAACCAGATACTGTCACTGTGCGAAAATGACAAAACTTCACCACAGCATGCGTCGTTCTTACAAACAGTATCTTGGCCGTTTACTGCCGATGATGCCGGCCACCACGGGGCCGGTGTGGGCTCCGGCCTGTAGTCCCATCTGCGCGGAGTGAGTGGCGTCGGCTAACAGCGTCTCGAAGCACGTCTGCAGCGCAAAGGACAACCGGCAAATCTCTCTGGCGTGGACGCTGCCGTTGCGAGCCGGCAAGCCACTTCCCACCTGTTAAAACTGCCGGTGTGACCTTTGACACTGCTTTTTTAAACCGAAGGAATTAACCATGTAGTTGTCGCCCGTCGCCTCAATTTTGCATACGCTGTAGTTCACCAAGGCCTTGTCGAAGCGGGAAAAGAGCAGATCGAGGAAGCTGATAACCTGCAGCGGTTGCGAGTCGGCGACGAACTGCGCGAAGTAGCTAATATAGCTAAAGTAGATGGTCACCGACTGGAAGGATTCGGGTGGGATTTCCCTTCCCATGCGCAGCTGATGGACAATTTCTCTGCAGTAGTACAAGGCCTTCGCAGCGGTTAAAATAATGTGCCGATGCGCTCCGCAAATCTTTTCCAAAATGCATTCAAAAAACTGCATTATATCATTTTATATGTAAATGCCGTACTTGGGTAGCATTTCGTTGAGCAGATCCTCACAGCGGCGTTGCTCTAGCAGCAGTTCTTGCTGGCGGTTGTAGACAAGAACTTCCAGAGTGTCGGTGTGGTTGCGCAGCCGATGCAGCAGGCTGTCCAAGAGGCTTTCTTTGCCAACGACCGGGCGCAGTGCAGAGCGTACCTTGGAGATGGATGGACGCAGCGTCGCTTCACGATGCAGGCAGTCATTCAGAATCTTCTGCAAGCTCTCTTTCTCCCCAGTGGACTCATTCAGCTCATGGACACCGATGTTTCCTCGGCTGCTGCGCCTATGCTTAGGACGATCCGCCGCCATTAATGCTAAAGGTAAATACAGGCCCAAACGAGTCAAACAAAAAAATAGACAGTCGAAACGTTGACTTACTGGATGTTCGGCTGCGCATGCGCGAATCGGCGGCGTAGGAATCGGACAACAACTGACCGGCAATGACAGCCAAAGCGAATACGTCACTGGCCGGAGTGGCTGGTAAGCCATCGTATAGTTCGGGCGCGGAATAGCGGTTGAGTGGCACATCGAGCTTTGCGCGCATAATCACCGACATGACCTCTTCGTGGCCCAGATCGTCGATGCGCAGACAGAAGCGGCTGTCGATAACGCATTTGCTCGCTTTCAGGTTGCCGTGCAGTTTCAGCGATGAGCGGTGAATTGCACCCAGGCCCTAATAAACAGAAAATGTAATGGCGCTAGAGGTCACTTGATTATCTGTGCGTCGGTCAACTTCGACAAGGTCGGAGATGAGGGAAGTTTTTAAATTCCAGTCGATGTTGGCTTGACCGCCTTGCCACAGGTCCAGCAAGGATCCGCGTTCCCGGTGCGTTTGACAGATGAAGGGAGGCCGGCTGTGCAAGGATAAACCAACGAGTGCGTTGATATTCGGATGCTGAAGATTTGTAATCTGGAATGGAACGAAGCTTCTTAGGTAAAACATCTTCGGTCAAACAATCTTAAGGACACAGAAACTCTAGGTAGATGTCACTTTTTCATTCACTTTGAGGTCAACAGGTTTGCGGCGTATGCATACATTGGTCAACACTTGCGACAGTTCCGCACCGCCGACGGTGTTACAGAGCCACAGGAGCCGGCTGCCTGACTGTTTGTCAGCAGGAGAGTCAAGGATCGGACGGATTTTATCCATAGCCATGGTCTCGTCGCGCCCCGGCACGCAACACACTACGCGGATACCGCGCACATGCATCGTGCGTTTGCCCGTTTGCAGCAATTTCACCGTTGACTTTTCACTTTGGTCGTGAATCGAACCGGCCTCACCCCGCTCTCCGCCGATAGCCGACTGACCCTTGCCATCATCTTTGATCAGCCACTTTTCGTAGGCGTGGGCCATTCGACGGCGCCTAAACCAATCGGAAATTAACTCCTACCGTGACATTCACGAGCCACACAGCAGAAGTGTGTCGGTTAGAGTACCTTTCGAGAAATATGAGAATAATTAGAAGGAACATGACGGGACAACCGACGCCTAAGCTGACCGACAGGAGAAAAGCCGTATTGTCAGACAAGCAGAGCTCATTGTGAATGCCACATAGAGGCCTGTCCAAAGGCGGACTCTGGCCGCCCCAGGGAAACTCCACACCGGCGATCCTTGTAAGAGTATCACGGCCGGAATCCGATACGAAAATGCTCTGCCGATACGAAGGATAACGCTGCATTTATATTGCATGCGCCAGCATTTTTTGCATCACTGTGAACTGCGCACCGACCTGGAAGCTCCGCGTTTTGCGACTGAAGACCTGAATGTGCGTGGTCACCACGCGTGTGCCCACTTCTGTCAGCTTTACACTGCGCGATGTCAGATTGAAGAGGCGATTGAACATCAGCCCGGCGATCTGCTGACCGCGAACCGGCTCTGTGCTGTTCCTTTCGCGTACTTCCTCCAAAACCTATTCGTACGAGTCAAACAAGGTAGATTGAGTCTGCATACGTATACAGACTCACTCAGTCAGTCGACATTTGCCGGTAACGTAACACTTAGCATCACGCGGCAGCTAAGAGCGAACAGTAAACAGCTCAACCATACTGCACCTGGGCGACTGCTTCCAAGGCTTCGAAAATGATGGCCATAAACTCGGAACCCTGTAAAACCACCAATCGTAGGGTAAACCAAGGCTGTTCTGAGTGAAGGGAATGGGTTTGCAACTGACCAAGATGCCGTTGGTGGTGGGCGGGTAAAACCAGCTGTTCCAGCGCGCTTTCACCCGGTCGGTGTAATCGACCAACTTGCTCCAGTCCACCGGATCGGATCGCACCATCAAGTAATGCGCAAAGGCGGCGCACAGTTTCTGCAGTGTATTTTAACGACGTTTTAACAAGATTCTTTGATCTCCTAATTCCTATGATGTCGCTCAGTATGTTGCTGCTTCACCTTGTTATATGAACCATCTGCTTCGCGACAGCTGAGCGGGTATTCCTGTGGCACGTCGGTTTCATACAGATGGATGAACACCTTGACAGAATTGAGAAGGATCTTTTCTTTCTCCCATAATCATAGTGACAGCCGCAACGGGCGTACTACTGATTTTGATTCTGACAGCGGCGTCTGATTCAACACTTACGTACTGTCCGTTCGTCATGCCAAGATCGGACGCTGTCACCTAGACATGGAGCACATCAAATAATTGGTTCATTTGAATGTCATTTGCATCATTAAAAAAACTAATGTATCTACCGCCGCACCCGAAACTTTGCGGTAGAAATCGTGCGTTTCCGCTCACACATGAAGCGTACGGTTTGTTTGTGCACCATTCACGTAGGCAGGTTTAACTGAAACTTACCGCTAGCTGGTTCTGTGCTGGTCCCAGTGTGCAGGCCAAAATGACTGCAAACGACACTGATTACTTAACTGAAATATAAGGTCAGTGACTATTAGACACAGTAACTATTAGACGCGGACTGAACACGACACGGATATGGTGCTTACTACGACTGAAGTTGCTAGCCGCTAGTAGCGCTGCCGTAGCCCAGTTGGCATCCGCCCCGTTGGAGTCGGTATCGATCTGGATGTACTTGATGTCCTTCCGCTCTTGAAGCAGGGCCGACACGCCCTGACACTCGCGGCGAACACGGACGCTGTATCCCGTGGTTGCATGGGCAGAGCACTTGTCCAGGACGATGGCGATGGAGCGCCAGTTAAACATGTCCAACACCGCTAACAGTTTGCTGGCGTAGATTTGCGGCGTGGCCGTCGTGAACGACAGAAGTGTGGGGAAGCGGGTTTTGTTGGCATGGCTCGGATCCGCCGTGGTGCTGCATGGTTACACCACACTGTCTTACCGTGATTCCACGCATGAACGTACGCACTAATTAAACGTTGCAGCTGTGTTATGCGTTGACACTTACAATCCCAAAGCCAACATGCCCAGTTCTGAAACGAATTTACTACTATACTGTGACGTAATTATTTATAACGGTTATAACATAACCGCCAAACAAGAAAAGAATAGTTATTTATATACAAAACAGATATCGATATTCTAGTCCTTAAACAGACAGTCACAGAGGCCGCTGTCTATGAGAAAAGCGACAAAAACTGACCTCCCGCGTAGTTAGCCACAGATTGGAAAGTTTGAACGCAAGCTGTAGAACATAGCGATAAGTAGAAAGCTGGACATTCTATATAAGTACTTGTAGCACAATTAGATCTTCGGTACCGGAAGCAAGTATGATGGTTGGTCCATTGTTGAAGAAGTGCCCGTCTCGATACAAATACGCCAGACCGATCTCGGCGTTTTCGCCGCTGGTTAGTCCATCCGCACACCCGGTCTGTCCCCGCAGCGCTGCATAGTGATAAGTATAGTTGGCCAGCACCTCGGGATAGCGTTCGCTAAGCAGCTCAAGCGCCACTGCGATGGACGACACCACCGGCGGATTGCCGAGGTCCGACGCGTTTCCCACGCTGATCGACACCACTTTTACGCGCTGCGCGTCGGTCATGTTAACAGCGTTTACGCAAAACAAAGTCGTAACGATGAGGCAGTTTGTAGTGGGCATGGTAAGTAAAGGTCACTTTATAATTACTACCGTAGAAACACGCGATTGATTCAGTAGCGCGGTATGCTTGTGACAGTCAAAATTCCATACGATAACATTTTACAAAGTTTAGCTTTTACTTCTTTTCCCTGGAGACCAAGGCAAGTGCATACACCTGATTACTGCATACACTTCCGACAACATTTTTTCACGCTTTTCCGTCGTCGGCATACATCCCGTTTAGCGGCTTCCTGGGTGCGCATTAAATTAGTCGTGGCCGTGGGTTGTTTGTGAGTGAATGGCGTCAAAAGCACCTCCCTCCCGCTGCTGTTGCGGCAGCGCTAATCAGGCTGGCTTCCTGTTAGCGTTAGGAACTTTTCTTTTTTCACTCCGCAGGAAACAACCTGGCTGAGTAGCGCTGTATAGGCTCATCATGGCTGGTGTAATATTTTAATAATCGGCATCCCGTAATTAGCACCCCGAAGCTTGCACACAAATCCTTCCCGGTCATGAACTGAGCGCACGCTACGCAATCTGCGGATCATTTCAAGAATTTTCCACATTCAGAAAAGATTAATGCCCAAGCTAATACGTACAATACATGTACGTACTGGTATAAAGAATAATAATTACAAGCCCAGCACGGATGAATACTGTCTTAGGATTTCGAGCATGTAAAAAGGTTAACTGCATATGGCACGATGTTTATTACAATAAGGAGGCACGAACAAAATAAACAGGCGTGAGCAGAACCTGTTATTCTTGCTAATTCGCAGTTCGCTAATTTCCAATGACAGTTCGATATAATAACGACACTCAGTTGCGAAGTGTTACAAACGCCCACTATAAAGGTGGTTTGGGCACTCACATCTTTTATTAAACTAAGAAAAGCTTTTCTTTCAGACTTTTGCTTTTTACGTGTACCTGTACGTAGCTATGGTTGTCATCATACAAACTAATAATAGAACTATAAATACGTACTGTTTATTAACGTCAAGATTAGATATAGATAGATTTACAAGTGCTAATTACAAAAAAACTCTTACTTAATTTTTTTCTAAATGTCACTGACATGCTGTTAACAGGCTATGTTGGTACTGCGGTGCGGTCCGAAAAACATTAACGAACCCGATTCTTTTTCGCAAGGTGCTGAATCACAATGCTTGCATAACTTTTTGATGCAGCGTTAACAGAAAGCACTGCAGTTCAGATGCATACCGATTGTCAGGAGACACCGTCATTGTCACAAATTCGCACAAGACTCAACTCAACGCAAGCTTATCGAAAACCGCCAGAAAGCAATGGACAAGAGGTCAACCACTAGACTGCTTTGTAAACCCTGGAATCCGTCACCAGACCGTGCTGCTTCATGCACTCCAGCGCCTCCCGCACTTGGTTCTCCGCCGCACGAACCTTGGTGGCCAGATCGTGTGCTCCAAAGGACTGCGAGCGGTTACGCAGCAGTTCCGCCATTAAATCGCCAGCCACTTTTCCCTGTAAAGCAAATTTATTATCAGACTTTGCCTTACAGATCATACAAACATGGATAACGTCAAAATAAAACTATGAGGCTCTTATCCTTTCAAAAGCAAACGCAAAAACTAAGAGCGACACTTTTTTGAAATATAGATTCTGTACATCTGTAGGTAAATGGTTCTCTCCATGAGAAAAACATTCGAGAAACTCGAAGTTTGAAAACCGATTTAAAAATAGTTCTTTCTTTAGGCCAAAATTCATGAAAAACTCCAATCATGAAAAATTAAATTCACTCAGAATTAGATTCATGTTAATTAAATTCAACTGACTACCAAACTGAGTTAGGTTTTCTTACCTTGCATCGTAACTTGGCTTTCTCGACCGGTCCCTCGTGATGGGGACCCCCATGAGTTTCGGCTGATTCGCTGTGCATAAACTGGAAAACACCATGAATTAATAATCAGTTTCGATCGTAAGACGCCTAATGAACAGTAAACAGCAAGCAAAACTGCGAAAATAGCATATTTGTACTTACCAGGCCGATTACCACTATCAACAGCAACAAGGAAGTGCACAGTGAAGCCATGATTGCTAAGAGAAGGCTGACCTTTTTATTTACAAAAATTTGGTAGTTCTTTATAAATTCCGACGAACTAATAAGACGCAGTAGCGTGCATGCATCAGCTTTTATAAGGCGATTTTCAAATTACCATTCCAAACGTATCCGGCAATTGCAGTGCGTTACGTAATACTTCCAGCAAAAGCAAATCGTATGTCCGGGTTGCGCTTTGTTATCGTGTAAAAGGTTCGCTCCGCTTCGGAAAAGAGTGGCGCAACCAGCTACATCCATTCTTTACATTTTCAGCGCTACTCGTGTACTCGTACTATTGTAGTTGCACATCAGAAGAACGTCGTGCGATTGTACTGCGCAATATCTTCTCGGTTGTGATGTTGTGGCTTGTGCAATATTGTGGCGACACATTTCTCAGACCGCGTGTTTAACACAAAAAACGTAAGTGCGAAAAAAAGAAAGTTACAAAGAACGTGCGGGTTACGCTTTTTACACTTACACTTTTAACTTTTTTGTACGATTTTTCTGCAGACTGCTGAATTAAACCGAGTTTCGCGTTATTTGCGCACTACGTTACAATGTGAAAAAGTGAAATACAGCGATTTTTGGTGGCGTTATGTTTCAGTTACGCTTTTTAGGTAGCGAGTTCGTTTTCAGGTTTCAGGTAGCGCCTCAACATCACGTTATAACGCGGAAATAACGCGTGTCGTTAAAACTCACTGCCTAGGTGTGGTCCGTAACATCTGCCATGGGATGCCGCCCGCACCGGTGTCGTTTGGGTGTGGTGGTCTTTCCTTGTCCGCTAATTCCGAGAACAGTAATATGTAACTACTAGAGGCTCTAATGCCTAAATCAGTAAAAGGTCATCACTGTGTTACCGCCGGCCCATGCTCAATCTCTGATTCTGACCACTCAAACTCTGTCTCTGACCGCTCATAGTCTGACTCTGACCGCAAGTTCTTTGACCACCGAAACTCTGATTCAGCTCATTAAAGACAGGTTCTTAGGTTTCTTAGGTTACTCTTAGTTTCCTGAAGGTTCCCGGGTTGTTGTGAGTTTTTTATTGTTTCTTAGGTTATTCTTAGGTTTCTTAGTTTATTTAGGCTTCTTAGGTTTCTTAAGGGATTTGGCCCGGTAGATAGCGCCAAGTTCGTGTACATCCAGGGGAACTTTCGCTGTTGCGCGCTCCCAAACACTTTTTTGCATTGCTTTATGGTATTTTGTAGCCAGAAGAATTGTATACCTAGGTGAGAAAACCATTTGCGCGCGCAACATCCGGTTGCGAAGTTATGAGGGTATCAAAATTCCAAAAAGTTTAAATGCATTTAGGTGTACCAAAAGTCTCATTATGGACCGATCTCTTTCAAATTTTGCGTGTAAATGCACATAACCATGAAGATCGTTTTGACACGGATCCAGACTTCCACGATTTTTTTCGAATTTTAAAATGAATTTTAAAGTTTTTGAAATTCATTTTAAAATTTGACAAACATGCTAGAACAGTGGACCCGTGTCAAAACGATCTTCACGGTTATGTGCATTTACGTGCAAAGTTCGAAAGGGATCGGTCCATAATGAGACTTTTGGTACACCTGAATGCATTTAAACTTTTTGGAATTTTGTTAACCCTATAACTCCCGAACCAGATGTTGCGCGCGGAAACGGGTTTCACGCCTATGTACACCAATTATTTCGCTACACAATGTCAAAAAGCAACCCAGAAAAGTGTTTCAAAATGCGCGAAAGCGAATATTCCCGTCAATTGTACACGATTTTAGTGCTATGTACCGGGCCAAATCCCTTAAGTTTCTTAGGTTTCTTAGTTTTCCTAGATTTTTCTTAGTTTTCCTAGGGTCGGATTTCGAGCAGTAATGCTAGGTCCATACTTCAGTTGTAAGAAAAAGTTGTACAACATATCGTGGTCTTAACTTGGAGCGTCCATACTTTTGAGAATTACAACAAAAAATGCTACAACATACTCGACTCTCGTGCATACTTTTTCTGCGATTGTTGTAAGATTTCTATTGTATTCCGAATTACAACTGAAGTATGGACCTAGCATAAGAGTCAGAATTTGAGTGGCCAGAGTCAGAGCTTGAGCGCGGGCCTATTTGCAAGACACAGAGCGGTTATTCAGTTTTCACTCACGACAATAACGGTTTCTTTGGTCAGTAGTACACCAGCCATCCCAAGACCCACAGGATCCAGTCGTTGTTGCATTACGTATTGTTTCACAAGGTTTCCATCTCCGAATGCTAATATAGTTGTCGTTATGGAATTCGTTTAGCTTTTCGCTGAAGCTGAAGGTAAGTGCCCAACCTGCTTACTGCATACACTTCCGACAGCATTTTTTCACGCTTTTCCGTCGTCGGCATACATCCCGTTTAGCGGCTTCCTGGGTGCGCATTAAATTATTCGCGGCATTAGTCGTTTGTCGCAGCAGTGGAACGGCAGTTCCTGCCGACTCATTACGAAGCCGATGTCCCCCTGTTTTGACTTCAGCAAGTTGTGACTCTTGTAATCAAAACACGTTTTCCTTCTGTTTGTTTATTTTGAGTATGGGTCAAAACTGCTTAACGAGGTTGCGTCGTCATAAATTTCTCTAGTTTTCTCTAAAATTAAATTGACTGTGTTACCCACTTCATTCCGAGTTGAAGTAAAAACAATGCAGCTGACTTGTGAGTTTCTCCACAGTCAGAGCACCCTGTTTGATGCTGTTGCTGGCAACCCTGTGTACCACAGGCAGGTTATTTTACTATACACCAGTATTCGTAATGTGTCCTTGTCAGGAAACGTGCACCCTGCGCATAAAAGTGCAACAACGACAGTAACCTTTGTATACTACAGTATAACAGTGCACTGATACGGCACATGGATCGGTTTTGGCACGGAGCTACGAAAACTTCAAAACATTTTTATTAATTAGCGCTGTGTGCATGCCACCATCCATTGGTCAGAGTACATTTCACTTGAACTTTTATTTTTTCGTCTGATTTTGCTCGTCCAGTATTTCGCAGCAGCGGGTATTTTTTGTTTTCATCATTATCTGGATGTTTGCAAAATGTACAACTGTTTCATTATATATACTAAGCTTTCATCACCGAACGTATTGTAAAAACATGATTGTTCAATTACCGTGTTTTAATTAGTTAGGCTTCCTCGCTCTCCCCAGCAAACCAAGTTCGCTTCCATTAAAAGCTAATAAAGTATGTACCGAAACGTTTAGGTGTTTACTGCAAGATAAACAGCGGTTTATCGGAAGCAATGAATCGCTCCATCTGACCGGTGTTTCCGACCGCGCTGTTGAAATTCTGCAACCGGAAATGACGGTCTGCTGCAGTCTGGACAACGTAGATGATCTCGAAGAAGTCTATACCGTGTACTTCGGTGATCTTGGCAGCATTCCGTTTAATGTATTCGGGGTCGACGTTTAATGTTATGCACTTGTAGCTCCATACTGTACAGCTGGTTGTCAGCATGGCGCTGATTGGGCTAGTGAATAATGCATAGACTTTGATCCGAGTATTGTCTAGTAGCCCGGTTGCCGCTAGATGAATAGCGTCTAATGGAAAGTGACATTAATATATTGCGGACGAATTAGCAGGGCTTTGGTAGCTGCAGCTCGGCCAGTCCCCACCCTGTAATCCAGGGAGAAAACACTGCATAAAATCTTGGCTACTGAATACAATTACGGCGTAATCGATATGCGCTGTTCAGTGATCATTCATATATTGTACACACAGTCTGATCAATCAAATTAACCGTCCAACACGTACTGCATTTGTACAGCTGCAGCGAGTAGGATGTTGCCGGGAAGAGAAGGGAAGCAGCGGTGGAGTGCACCAGCGGAAATGACAATTGATCGTCAGTGCCCATTAACGGCCAGCTACAACCTCGGCTGAAAGAGGAATTAACTCAGCGCCTCTTCTTCGGGATTTCATCCCGCTCTAATGTTTCAATCAGACCCGCACGCCCACCCGACCCCGCCGGCTCCGGTGTCGTGCTCGCCAATTGCAACTCATCATTAGCCGCATTAAACTTCCAAACTGCTAACTTTATATGTTGTTCACGATTCACGCTCAACGACCGAGTGACCTTTACGTTGTTAGCATGATTACGTTTTAAATAGGTGCATTATCCATTTTTGTTTTAATTTGCTGTTAATAATATGACCTATTGCATTTTTCAAAAATAATACATTTTCGTTTTAAATTATTTTATAGAACTGATGTATATTTATGACGGTTGCCCCATCAGAGCGTTTGTGATATTTTTGTATTCGGTTGGTTGCTGATTGAAATGAAATATGTTTAAAATGACGAAAGCGAAGGAAGAGAGTATATATTAGCGCGGTGATGGGGTATTTAACGATGTAGTTTTCACGCAATATTTCCTCTAAGGAATCCAACCGTGAGGATGGACCGGTTGTGCCTGGCGTGCCAAGGTCGAAGAGGGAGGAAGAACTGAACGGAAATGACTGGATGGTGGCCATGCCGGATTCTCATTATTGCATGCTGTTCCACCCAGCTTAACCGGCAAATCCTGCAAGTGTACACCAGTGCTTCTATGTATCATGCACACAATTGTACTATACAGCACGACACAGCGCTCAGTGTGCGTGCACAGCGGAAATGAGCCTGCTCATCGCGGGATGCCAGCAATCGGCATCTTCCCGTTCCGGCCGTTGTTGTTACATGTTCTATGTGGGCCATATATAACACGTTGAATGGCTATTTCGCAGTCGTGCGCGCTGCCGGTTGCAGGAAAAAGTAGCGTGTCGATCAATATTTGTTCCCAACTTCCCATATCGCTGTTTAAATCCCCAGTCGATGTTGCGTAGCCAGATTGATAAATAAATTGCCACTTAGTGCCAGAGACACATTGACAGCATGCACACTGGCCAGCGCAAAAGTACAACGGCCAAATGAATAACTGCCGGCGCATCAGCACATTGTCTTTTTCCCATTTCGCCCCATAAGCTCACTTTCATTTCCGGCTCACTTCCTCCCTTCAATGCACGCTCGGTATCTATGTAGTGTGTCTATTGTTAGTATCGCAGAGAAATACAAAGTTTTTTCTCCTGCCGCTATTATGCGTTAACGGGCGGAGCTGCAATCCGCAGCGCAGTTATATATTAGTCAGTAAGCCGCAACACATGTTTGCACAGGGAATTAAGAGGGAATTTTTTTCCTAACGCGACCGCGTATTTCTGTGAGCCTTTGTAATCTCCCGTAGTCACTTACTGACAACTCCTGCATAATTATTAACTGCACATGTACAATACAGCGTAACAGTATCGGAGAGTTTTTATCAAATGCTTGACTATTTAATTCATGCCAAATCAATCTTTTGATTTTACGCATAATTAGATAAGCATGTTTTTTAGATATTGGTGAAGTCAACCGATATACAAATTAATATTTAATGAGCGTTAAATTTAATGACGCGTCACAAATGTCGTGCAGTTGGTAACGATCGTGTTATGCAAATTTTCATTAATACACAGAAAAGTCTTCTTGTCTAGTTTCATACAAGGAAAACGGGCGCGTATGTGGAGTAATGCGATTAGGGTGAGATTTGCGCAGATAAGTGCGTGATTTTCAGTGTGTTTTAATCACGACGAGCATCCGCTATTGAAGTGCCTTCTGTACACTGGGTGCCGGCCGTGTATTGTGCTGTGCCGGTGAATGATCATGGTGTTGATTGGCCGGCGCATTCCCGCCGCCTCAGTGTTCCGCCGAGCTGTCGTGCCCTTTGGGATCGGCAGCCGGTGGGCGGAGCCAACTCTGCGGCGACCGGCATCCACATCTTCCCGGATCCTGATGTGCGCGGCATCATTCCTCTTTTTCAATAACCGCCTAGCATGGACAGCACGGCACATCGCCTGAACATCGTGGAAGCCGGCAACTGCAGTCCCGCTGAACTGCCGGTCACTTCCGGTGCCGACGGTCTCATCCTGTCGCAGACCATTAAGATTGTGGTGTTGGGCGCCGCTTGCGCCGGGAAAAGCAGTGTTATTAAGCAATTCCTGGGCAATGGACAGGACTTCAGTGAGCAGTACGACCCGACGGATCGGCGGTGTAATTACTTCAAGACGGTACTGTGCTTCGACACCAACCTGCACACCATCACGCACTGGGCACTGAAGATAGTCGGTAAGTGAATAGTTGACATTGTATTGATAATACTTTTGTATAAGAGTGTTGACTGGCCATTTGCATAATCGCATTCCCACGACCAGCGATACATCCGCCGTGTCAACAGGACTTACTCGGGTGCATTATACGTACATATGCAGACACCGGCGGAACTGTGGCAAGCGCGCGAGAGACGGATATGTGTACTTAAATTATTACGTGCTGGAGTGTCTGCTTTATTCGTTCCCATTAAATCTCATCGATTTCACCTAATATCGCCGCATTCTGTCCACATAATATTTACAGTACCAGCTGGCGCACTGTACTGGACAGAGGCCCTGAGATTTGTGCTGCCTTAATTGCGGAGGATGAAAGATAATGCTTAAGGAAGATTCAATGAATGAATATTTTTTATCATTTGTGTAATATGCTGCTTTTGCATAAATTTGATTTCGGATAACTCAAATCTGAAAAATAAAATTTCATTATGAAATTATAAAAATTATAGTTGTTTATTTCAGCGAATTCCAAGGTTTTTTCTTTGTTTCATGTCAGTAATCATGGAAAATTAGGAAAACTATATAATAATTGGGCATTTTTAAGTACAAATAATAATTATTTGCATGCAGTTTATAGTTTTACAGTTACAAATTTAGTTTTCCGTAAATGTATGGTACAATAATTACGCGCCGCTTTTTAACACCGGTTGAGCTGGTAGCAGAATTAACTAAACGCAGAATCCGTAAATCTCTTGCACGTACTTAATTGAAAGCGGCGTCGGAGTGGAGGCGGAGGATGGGAGGAAAAGATCAGCCGGTGCATGCACACTTTGCACAGTGGCATATAAAGGCCGGTGTAATGAAGCGTGGAGGTGTTAATTGGCGGCTGAAATGGTCTAATGGGTGATTAATTCGTCAACAGGCGTTATTAACTTTAAGGATGATGGCCATTGCAGACGTGCCGGTGACGGAGATCCCGATCGCTTCGCTGTACTCTTGGAGCAACTTCCTGCAGTACGACGTGGGCCACGCCGCCGTCTACGTGCTGGTGTTCGACGTCAGCGCTCAGATGCACAGCTGGGATTTTGTGCGCTCCATCCGCGACCAATTGATCAGCCATCCCAACACGTGCCAGGCCCTAATCTTCGTCGTGGCCAACAAGGTCGACCTACCTTACCAGCTCAGCCGCGCTGACCTCATGCACACTGTTAGTTCTAAATCACAGTAGACTGTAAGCTTACTTTTACTCAGTATAAATAATCGCTCATTTTTAAATGCCTATTCAATAAAAAAAAAAGGTTGCTTACTTTTGCCGAAAAGTAAATGATTATTTAATGTTAATGCAAATCTCAGCCTATTTTTTTAGATCTTGAAGAGTTGCTCGTGGATAGTGGTGGTTACAGATGTTAATTTTCCACCACAGATTTAGTATTTACTTCGGTGTGCCCTCTTAAAAGCTACACCTACATATAATATTATTTGGACGATTACGAAGAAATTGTAAATTAATAAGCAGTCATGCATCTATTCTTTTCTAAGCTTTTATTACCTATAGGGTGATTCATGTAAATAATACCGTCGTATCAACTCAAAATGAGATGAAATTGTGTCACTTTGTAACTTTTAGGTACAGAAAATCTGGAAGCACGGCTACGTGGAGGTGAGTAGGGCGGTAATTCACACTTTGCATACGCTGTACGTGCCGGCAATCTTGGGAAAGGTCACGCTGAGTGGTACTGCTAATGCCCATTGAGATAAATATTTCAGTTAAACGATTAATCAAATATTCATCGGTATGCTCTGTGTATATCGATCCAGATTCCGGCGGCGATGCGGAGGCGTTTTCGCAAGGTGAAAATCAGCTCGCACAAACGTTATTTTTCCGCTGTTCAACAGCCGGTGGGATAGCAGTGTGTGTGAGATAGACGGGCCACTATACTAACGTGCCGTGCTTGAGGTTTTTTGCCGGAAGATTGTAAGAGCGAATTGACTGTATCGATTGGCATGTTGGGGCGACAAATTACGCCGGCCGGGAAAGCATTAGCCATGCCAGTCAGTCAGTCAGCTGATCCCCCAATGCCCGCTGCCGGCACAATGTACATCGGATGCAGCGCATGCGCAACTGTTGTGTTACTTTGCATGACGGCGGAAGTGCACAAGTGCGTTGCCGTTCAGTGCATAATTGGCGCAGCTGGCAATGGCGGCATTAGCCAGCTTGTCAATTTGATGATAAAGAAAGTCTATTGTACTGTGTTGATTATGCACCGTTGTGTTGCAGTGCTCAGCCAAGAAGAACTACCACGTCCTCGGACTCTTCCAGGCCATCATCGAGGCCGTCCAGATTAAACTGCAGTCGCAGGCCGAAACGCGCCTGAAGCAGGACGGACTGCGTTTCGGCTTCAGCTGGCGCCGCTTCCGCCTCAACAAGCCCCACAAGTGCTCCATTCAGTAGCTGAAAGAAATTAGACACGACCATCAAGCTCCTTACTATGCGGCAAATGCAACGGGACTCAATGGGACGGAGCTCGCTTTCTTTTTTAGCAGTGCATTCTCTGGTGCATGCACGCTAAGTGCAGTATTCGCTGTTGCCACTGAATCACTCTCGACTCCCATTTTCCCGCTGGTGTGATAGATTAAATCATTAAAGGGTATGTACGATAAGTGGCAGTGGCTACGTACGGAGTTCGAAAAGTCCGGACCGCGCTCCACGAGTACATGAATGAATGATCGTTCCTTCTTTAACGTTAAAAAGGAATGTCCAATCATTCTGTGCACCTAGAGCACGGCCGTGCTAAAGTACGCAGATCGGGTTGCTCCGCTGAACAGCAGACACATTGCGTTTTTTGTAAAGAGCCGGCCACTGGGCAGTAAGCAGCGCATTTAACCTAATTTAATTCGAGTTAGACCAGGTAGCCCACTTCCGGCTAGGGTGATAATCTAGCACGGAATTTTAAACCTGGCTTGTGTGATTAAAAATAGCAACTTCGAAACCTTTGCACCTGAATCGTTCCTTTTTTGTAACATAGCGCAAGGACATCTCATCCATTTTATTAATACACCTTAATCCTTCATACGCTCTTTACTTTGACATGTGTATTTACTGTATATATTTGCTTTGGAGAAATTACTGCATGACCGAACATAAAAAATAGATGAAAAAAAGGAAACAAAGTTGTCGATTTTTTTAAAAAGAAAGAAAAATCTCTCCAAAGGGGCGATCTTTTCTTTACCAGGTAATTTTTTGTAGGTTCTTTCAAGAGTTAGGGAGCATGTGTATACAGTGTATTAATCCATTATCGAATAAACACATACAGATAGCATTCCATTTTATGAACTAAAAAAGGAAAAAATGCAGTAAAGGATGGCGCACAAATGTCAAAAACATTTTTAACGGCCCTCGTACGTATATACAGATATATGAAGTACCAAGCGTCCCGAAGTCCATCCAGCTTTTGCAAAAATTTGTTGCAGTCCCAATTGCTACAGCCATGACCGGAGTTGGGACTGCAATAACTCCCGTCATGGCTGTTACTCCTTGTAACTGGCTTTTAACTTCTGCGCCCTCAATTTTAGTTTTACGTGTAGGTATAATATCGCATCTTTTGAAATTTGTGTGCCCCAGTTCAATGCTCAATTGTGCACAGCAAATGTTTTGGTAGCTGAATCTTACTTGTTGGCGTAAAGTTGCAAACAACGTACCTTACTGACCATAAATCTAAAATGGACACTCTCTCCCTTTTTCACCCCCTTTAAATGTTAGCCAAGAGAGGGGTTGATAAGGGGCGATACAGGCTACAAGGGGGTGATAGCAGTAGTTTCCGGCTTCGCTCTCCACCTTGTTATCGTCTATATATCAATACGCATACTTGGGAACTAAGTAGGAAGTATACACGCTCTTCGTGCCGCCTAATTGGGAACTAAGAGAACTAGGAACAAGGAGCTGGTTAATATAGGTAGTGATGTGGGAAGAGGTGGAAATAAGTATGGTCGGATGCCAGATAACGTACTTCTACTTTAGCAACCGAAAATGCAGAATAACTCGTTTCCGGTATTTAAACTAATCGAATACCGAATACAGCGTAACTTTAGTCACTGCAGTTTCCAGGCATGTTCTGTCCAAATCACCCAGTTATTGCCCCTGACATTGGATGCTATAAATAACAAATAACTTGTGTTTTTAAGAAAACGAGATCAGGCCGGAAACCGGGTGGAAACGAAAATAACGTGCATCGAATTTCCTTCAGAGGTAGCAGGGCATTTCGCGATCCAACCCAAAAAGTGTTAGTTTGTCCAACTGTGTCAAATCACGTTGCCCGAGATCTTGCGGCGTCCAGTACGGCAGCTGATCATGGCGCTGACAGAATTGCAAAATCTGGAACGAGCAAAAAGGTCAATAAGCCCGTTTTACGAGCCCCATGAAAAAAAGCCGATCAACGAAAGGTTAGTCTTACTACAGAAGTACAGATAGTCCCATCTGGCCTTGGATAAAGGTTTTATGTACAGTGCATTACCTCCACCATCCTGTCCATTATATTCCAGTTGTCTTGAGCGTAAACATTCTGAGCAAGCCACACAGACAATTTCTCTGTGTCTACGGAAGTATCCTGCTACACTAAATTTCATAGGTCACGTTTTCTACTCAGAGATTGATGCGCCCATTGGGTATAGCTGCATAGGAATTAACGCGAAGCGAGTACAGATCAGGAATTCACAGTTTCAACATACTACAACACCACAGACCGATGCAGCCGCTCGACAGGCTGCAGCTGTCAGATTCAATCTATTCTCCAAACGTTCCAGAATATTCCACCGACATCGGCCGAACACCACTGTCGGTTTACGACTGCGTGCTTTTTCCTGTGGTTGCAGAGAATTTTATTCATAAACAGGAACTCTCTACACTGTGGTAGCCCCTGCATTCGCCGATATCCTCAACCATTACCTAAATTGCGGAGGATGAAAGGCATTTTAGCTGCAAAGAAGTATTCCACATGTACAAAACGACTGCGTTCAGACTCCCGGTTTAGCGGTCCCGCTGGAGGAGTGCATTGTACCGACAGGTAGACGCTTTTACAGTTTACCTGCAACTTTCTGATTTATTATGAACTCCCATTTCGTGGAAACTCGGCTATTTTTACTCTGTCAATGGAATGCAAATAGTGACAGATGTTCGTTAAAAACTTCTGGCAACCATGTGATTTCATGGCACCCTTCGCCGCTGTGGACAATCGTTGGGGTCGTTTGCTGGGCGCAAATGTGGTCCATCGTAATTATTCGGCCTTACATTTCGTACGCTTCTAAATTCTTTACGGTCACCGTTCCCTACTAGTTGTTTGAATGCTGCACCTGGGATACGTAATGCACACCTTTCAACACTGCAGTATTTTCTGTTGCGGAGGAAGCAAAACGCGCAGACTCAAAAGTAATACGAGTAAAGAAGCTAAAAAGGCCGAAGTAGTGTTCCAGAATAAAGTTATTGCGCATTGTTCACGCACCTATTTGTCCTAAAAACTCGGAGATCATTTTGCCTTTGAAGAACCAGTGTGTGACTAAGCAAACAAACAGGATACGGGTAGGCGGCGTACCCTGCCATTTCCTCCTTCCAAATATTTCACACGTGCTGTGGTGTCCGATCCAAGTTGCACAAGTTCGCATGTCCGAAAAGCGAACGTTTTCTTGCTGACTAACTGAGTTTCGAGAACTTCAGGCGACGGTGCGATGCGAATGTGATCAAAGGCTACCCGAGTAGCAATTCAGCCGGATACCAGGTCCATGCATGGTGAACGGAAATGCGCACTAGTGCCTCTTTTGGACAAGGGCGAGACGGAAGGGAGTCGTAACGGTCTCTCATCCAAACACGTTGTAATGTCAGCGTTGGTGCTGGTAGACTCGTCCGTACTCGACAAGTTCCACCCGCCGTCCAGAGCAGTCAAATTTGAAGGTTGATCAGCAGACAATATTTATCATATTTGCGTCTTACCAGCGTCAGCCTATAAGAACACTAAGAAGTGTGCTGTGTCCAGTAATACCTGGAACTTGACGAAAATGACCTTGCCAAAAACCGTTTGCAGTTAGACCACTGTCGACAGTGCAGAACACTACTACGAGAGGTCATGGTCGCTACATCCTTAAACATTTCGAAAACGATTGGCAATCCGAAACATGCGATCACATGCGACATCGTCATGTATGATTATGGATACTGTGTCACTTAATTGTATGTAATACTCTTTAATTACAAAGCAACCACACTAATTGCTAATTTATTGACGGTATGATACGAAACGTGGTCACAGAACTTTCGATAAGTCATGTGGTTCGGTGATGGAAAGGCGGAACAACACAAGATGGAAAAAAATACAGTCAAAGAGCAATCTAAGTATCAATAAGGCAACAGAGAATGGTCACAAGTACCGTCCATAAAACCGCCTCTCACTCGTTCATCCTTAGCATCGGACTGAGTGTATCGGATAACAAACTACAAACTGGGTAAAAACGTCAGCAAAGCGTGCAGCGGTTGCGGCGCAGCACCGGGAATAACCGCTCCGTGGAGCGGACATTCCCGTACAGACGATTCTCCATGAGTTTGGTCAGGGTTTTGAAGGCGTGCTGAATGTTCCAGTTGTACTTAGCCGAACACTCTACGTAGTGCCACTTCCACTGCTTGCGGATGACGTTGACCATTTCCGCATACCGCTTACTCAAGTGTCCGCGTTGGCCGTGCAGCACATCGTACTTGTTGCCCATGACGATGAGTGTCGGTGGCGGCGTTGCAGTCCCGCCACCGCCTAACTCCGGCAGCTGCTCGCGCAGTCGGCGGATGTAGGCGAAGGAGTCGTCAGAAGTCAGATCGAAGACCAGGATGTAGGCCAGGGCGTCGGCGGGAGCGGGCGGGGCGTGGACGATAGCCTCCCATTCGGGGGGCAGCTTCGGGGGGTTGGTGCTGCTGCGGCTGGTAGTAGGTGTGGCCACCGGGGCGGGGAGGTCGAGGATAGCCAGCTGGTAGAGGCGCTCGTTGAGGCCGACGGATTTGTAGTGAATGTGGAGGGCGGCGGTGGGCCGGTACTGCTCGCGGTACTCGCAGTCCATGAACTGCCCGATGATCTGCGTCTTCCCTGTTGATCACGCAAAACAGTCGTTAAGCAGAGTTTTTTACTGTCGGTGAGGTTTAAAGTGAAGGGAATAAAGGTTGTTTCTTTCACTCGCGATATCGATATCCACTGAAAGAAGATACACGCAATGCGGCACACCACGCCGACGGAATGCAGTAGATCAGTAGCAAGCAATTTTTAAAATCTTGATCAACCTACTAGCACAAACAGTGCGCATGCGGCAAATGGCAACATGTAGGTTAATTTTAAGAAAAAACAGGTCCGACTAAAAGTAAGTGCTGAGCGTCCAGAACACAATCTTTGTTTAGCTAGGTATATCAGTGTATTTCAAAATTAATAGCAACTGTTCTCATTCTGGTACATTCATCGTGGCATGCTATTCAACTGCAGAATATTGTTATCATATAAAACGTTTTTGTAAATACTGAAAATAAATGCACAAAATGTATATACGCGTCATTAACACTACAATGGTATGCATACAAGTACATACTCCATAGTTAACTGGCTAATCGATTACTTGTAGTGATTCATCAAAGTTGTAGAAAAGCAAACGGAAGTACTTCCATAATCTCCTAGTGGTCCATTTAGTAACGTACTCGCGGAGCGGGATTTTTTTATTGCTTTTTGTAAAAACTCGGCTGCTTTGCTCTTGTGTACTGTAAGTAGTCGTTATGCAGTAAGTCTTTATTTGTGTACAGAGTACTATGCTTAACGTAATAGTGCGATCATTAAAATTTACGAGTATAAACGAGGATGTCTACCAGCCTACCACTGAAAAGAGCCAAGCCTCAACCAACCGATATTTGTGTACTAAGCAGTGTTTACCTGCAAGATGCATAATTACTATGCGCCACCGGAGTGAAATCATGCATGTAAACAGTAGGGAATGTTCCAATCAAAACAACACATTTTGCAATAAAATCCTATAATTTAATCGGAACTTTTCTGTCATTAAGTATAAATTAGTATGCACAGCGCGTTAGAGGCGACATGATAAAAGGGCATGCATTCACTGACTACTCGATCAGCTGTGATGATAAACGCTGTCACACTCTGCCAGACACATACTGCGTTATTCCTCCACTCTACTGACTAATCGAATGATGCGAATTAGCCTAAACACAAACTTCACTCCAGACACATTTCCATTAGACAAAAACCCTGGCAGTAACTACTCGGGCGAAAACTCAAGCCAGAAAAGTTGGAAGTCAAACGCAGCATGACAATTATCAAGGATTCAAGGGTACTTTACAACGCAGTCCTACACAAACACAAAGATCGCTTAATTGGGCGACAATAGCCGAGCGAATCACTCACCGGAAGCGGCACTGCCCAGTACCAGGATTGTAATCTGCGGTGACACACATTCCAAGTCATCCGGCATTCCTGATCCTGCCGCGGCCGGCTGCATTCAACTACGGCCAACACAGTCAACCAGCCGGCAAACACGATTAATCCAACTAACGCATCAACTAAATGCTACTCCGTCGCTGCACATTCTACCCGGAAGAAACCGAGTCAAACACCAAAAACCGCTCCCGTGAGTCTTTTATATTATACATGCGTCGGCCGTCAAGTGGAGCGAGCGCCCGGGATTATTTGCTATTCAGCGTCTAATTAATTGTCAAGTGGACGCTGCACTGCCAGTTAATTGCCGCCTCAAGTGAATTTTATTGACGACTATACACACTGACACTGTACACACAGAAAACGAAAAAACACATGGCTTTTGCGGAGTAAACAGCGGGGTGAAGAAAAACTGTATCAACGTAACAGAATGCGATCCATCACAGGCGGACACACGCAGACCCGTTCAATCACGGCCTCGCGTGCCAAACTATCCGGCTTTGTATGCCCGGCACGGCAGGGCGACGCCCCGCGCCAGTGCTGACTAACCCCGCACAGCAGCATCGTCTTGCACTGGCACATGTTTATCCAAACAGGACCAACACCCGGGAATGGAATGCCGGGCATTTTTCAGTCAGTTTTGCTTGTTTTTTTCCATCAGCCATTTATTCCCACTGCAGTGCAGTGCAAAGCGGGTGCAAAACGTCGCTTACGAGTGGCGATGGTTTGTGTGTCAATGGGTGTTTTACGAGCACAGCTGCACGGCGTCCCAGCTCTCACACTCACAGCCTAATGATGACTGCCGTCAGCCAGGCGGAAGCGCCCAATCGATGCCCGAGCGGTAATAGCTTATTAATGACACAAATTAACGCCCATCCATCACGATCCCCATATCACAGCCCGTCCGCCGCCGGCGACGATTCCACCAGTCCACTCGATTCGTTGCTGGGCTGGGCGCCGGGCGGTTGCAATAACCGCGGATCCAACAGCGTCCGTTCTTTTTCCACAATCCCCACGTCGTCCTCTGAAACGGCTGACACGGCGCCGCTCTCCTCACTCAACCCACCCTCCGACCACCAGGAGGGCGTGGCCGGCACACCCAGGATGTGCGAAGGCACCTCGGCCATGTGGCCGCCGGCCGGGAGGAGGTGCTGATTGAGGGACATGTAGCGCGGGGTCGGCCGCGAGATGGATGGTCGACGCTGGCGTTCCCGCCGGCGCAGAGCAGTGTCGCTGGGAAGGGTGCCGACGCGCACCTCGGGAGCCAGCTCCACAAGGCTGCGAGACTCGGCCACGCCCAGAGTGGCGTCCCCGGGGTCCAGAGTCTCAAGGGCCGTGTCAGCGGTCCGTCCGAAGGACGCCCTGTATAAGAAAACCGTTTAAATGTCAGAAGGTCACAGCGGAGGTGCACGTTACAGATCGTTTAGGTATTGTCCAATGATGGGTTGTGGGCGACGGTTAGCGATGTACAGGCCAAAACTAGTGGTTAGCAGTTGGCGTTCGGTGTCGGTGATCTTGCCCCGCAGCAAACCCTCGGCCAGCGTCATCTGGCCAAAATAATACCCGACATCGGTGATCTCGTCGAAGCTGGTGAACTCCAGCGTTTGGTAGGAAGTGATGGGTGGTCGCAGATACGTGCACCAGCGCGCCTTTTTCAGCCCGGCCAGGATCCAGGTGGAGCGGACATAGGCCAGTCGAGACTGCAGTTCAGTGATGTTGGGTACAAGGAGAGGCGCTGCCCAGGGCGAGAAGCGCTGGATTAGGGTGGACCAGCCGTTGAACTCGTCACCGTAGTCGAAGGTCTGCCGCACCGTCTCTCGGCCCACATCCACAGCCAGGATGATACCGGCGCCACGCTGCCGCATCACGTCGGCCGGGACGTTGTTCATGTAGCCGCCGTCCACTAGCAGGTGACCTGAAACATACGCATCCATACACGGCCGATACAGGCAAAAGTAATAAAATCAAGCGAAAATAATTTTTTGATTAATCAATTGATATAAAGTTATTAATTTAGTAATGAACTGACCGTCTTCGGGATCGCAGAGCGGAGGCAGATAACCGACGATGGTCATACTGGCGCGGACTAATCAACGGACCAAAGAAGAGTCAGGTCAGCACAGGATATCCTTTGCAAAGGTCACACCAGTCGCATGCGCCACGCACCGTATCGCCACAGGGAGCCCCGCGTGTGAATTCGCAGTGTTACGTCCGTTAAATCTAATCAAAACACTTACGAAATCATGGGCATCACAAAGAATAAAAATATAGAAAAACCGAAGAAATGAATGGAAAAAGCAATGAACATACAAGAACATGCCACAAAAAATTTAGATAATGCTATATTAATGCAAAACCATTGTGTTTATAATAATTGTAGGCCCTTTTTGCGCACTCTCTTGGAACTGCTTCTAGCCAAATACAGTATAAGAAGTACAAAAGCACTAAAACGTGACGAATTTTAGTACATCGGTAGAAGCATCAAGTACAAGTTATACAACTACGAAGCATTGCAGAGTAACAACCGAGATGAGCGATCCAGAGTCAAAAAGATGCAACAGAAAGAAACGAGGCGCCTAAGCGTAAACGTTTACTAATTGGTAATTCATCAATAAAGATTAAAATTAAAGATACTGGTATATCTCCTTCAACTGGTTGCTATATAGACAAAGTGCGAAATTAGAGGCTCCTATAACAGTTTGCAAAAAAAACTAAATACTTCAATAAAAACCGAGAAAAAAAATAATATTTAGGTAAAAGATATAAATAAATAAAAGAATACCAGACTAAGAAAAAAATAAATACTAAATTAAAATACATATTTTTACGTCGGTTATACCGCGCACTTACCTGTGCTCGCCGTAAAATACGGTATCCACAACTGTTCAATATGTCCCTCCCCCAGCGCTTCCCTCAGACTGCGATTGAACAATCCACCGCGGAAGATGGCCATGTACGGATAGGTGAGCTCCCGCAACATATTCCAGCTGCTGCTAGCACTGACCGCCCACGCCTTACCCCGCCGGCGCACCTCCTTGATATCGCGCAGCAGCGCCCACAGTGCCGCCACGAAAGCTCCCATACTGACGCCGCCGATCATGTCGATGGGAATATCGGCCTCGCCCAGCGCCTCCACCAGTCCAATGTGAGAGAAACCACGCGCCCCGCCCCCTCCCAACACCAACCCCACCGCCGTCCCAGTCAGGATGCGCGCCAGTCGGCTGAGGTCCGAGTGTTTTTCGGGAGGTGGTCGCGGGAGGGAAGCGGTGGTGCTACGCCGGCGTTTTTGGAACATCCGCTCGGGACAGGCCACGTGGTGCAATAACGCGCACCTGCAACGACAACTAATTATTTCGCAACGCTTACGTACTTGTTGAAACATCCGTCTGAAAACAAACTACGAAGGCATTAACAATAATAACAAGTTAAATTATGTAATGATAATTGCAGAATATTGTAATAATGTACAATCTGAGCGGTAGGTCAGAAATACAAATCAGTACCAACCATGTATGCATGGTTAGCCAGTCGTGTGTCCGGCTGGTGTCGATGCTGCCCATTTTATGCAACAACACGAGATCCTTGCGTGCGCGGATGGAGTCAGCGGACGAGCGCAGGAGATGATCGACTTCATTCAGTTCCGGAGCACCATCTCCCAGACCGACGAGGAGAATACAATCAGCCTGTCGCAAGCAGCGGAGCGTCCACAATGTCAGCGAGCCGTCGCTCTGGTAGAGCACAATGCGGTTTTCGTCTTCCTTTTGCGACAGCCAGGCAGAGAGGCGGGCGGCGCCTACCGGCTGCAAGGCGCGGCTGCCGATGTTGCGCTTGACATCCTCGCTAGTGATGCGCACCGTTTTGCAGATGGCGTTAAAGGCCCCTTCCAATTCGGCGGCAAAGGCTCCGAAGGGGGCGCTACCGTCGCACGGGACAACGGCGATGGTGGTCATCGATTCCGGCCGGGATGGCGTACGCGGCAGACCTGTGGCACACGCGCAAGACTAAACATTTGTTAAACACTGGAAGGAAACTACGCTTTGCATAACATTCTCTAATATTATCTGCTAAGTTTCGAAAAACGACTTAAGTACTTTTTATGTTTAATGAGACCGCAGCTTCCCGCAGAACAAATGTTTGACAATCCTTCCAGACTTTCAGTCTTAAAAATACTACCAACTCGTATATCCCTTTAAGTTTTTTCCAGCCGCTGTTCGAAAAAAATATTTTCGTTTACTATAAAGTCTAAACAATCGTAATTGTACAAAAATTAACAGGTTCATACATTATCAGCTAACTTTGATGAGCTTCACAAGGTCAGCCTGCGGAATTAATTTGCACCGCAGCTAAACAATGCACTGTCTTCAGTGCCTTGACTAAACCACATGTACCTTCGGCGACAAAGTTCTCGTTGGCCTTGTGAATGCTGGTAACGATGCCGGTGCCGAGGGCGCGGATCAGCCGGCTAACCACCTTGGGATTGCGAGCCTTGATGAGGTCGAGTAGTGCCACGGGGATCTTGGCCACCTCGGAGTCGCGGACGGCGATGACGGTGGTCTGCCGCGGACACTGCACCGACACCTCCACCAGCCCTACCAGATCGCCGCGGCACAAATCCTCTACGAACTCTCGGTTCTCCTCGCGGTAAATCATCGAGCGCAGCCGGCCGGCCAATACGATGAACAGCGCCAGCGGCTCTTCACCTAAGAAATATTCTTTCACGATTTCTGAAATTTAACTTAACAAAACTTCTGCAGAAAAATTTAAATCCTCACAGTTTAAAATTCAAAAGTTAAAATCCTCACCAAAACCTATATTTAAAAAAACATAATTTAACAATCAGCTTAATTAAAATCCTGAAGAAGTGTTAATGTTGAACTACAGAATGGCGAGGTTACCCAAACGGTAGAGCGGATGACCGGCATTGATGTGCACCCAGTCCAGTCCAAAGTCGGTCTGGCGCATGAAAGGCGAGAGCCTGGCGATCTCTGACAAAGCGATACTGTACACCATGCTGGGCTTCAGCGGTAAGATTTCGTAAAAGTCTGACCTGCACGAGACAACGTTCACCATTACGACGCCAGTGCAGCTTTAACCGTCACACCCTTCTGTACCTGTGAATGGCAATGAGTTTGCTGTGCAGTTTCGTCTCAATCTGGAAGAGCATCGGTTCTCCCGACAGCACGGCCAGTCCGCCCAACAGTTCGCCCTTGACCACCTGGAACACCTCCACCATGCTCTCATCCAGATCGCCACCGCCGTCCTCCTCCGGCTTTTTGCTCCAGGCGCTTAGACAGCCGGCGGCCACGTACAGCAGCGGCGTATCCGGCTCGTTGGCCTGCACGATCAGCGTGCCAGCCGGCACGCTCAGGTAGCTAACTTTCTTCTCCAGCAACGTACTCTGCAATGCGTTAACCATTTGGCTCATTTCCTTTATTCTGCCAAGCCATGAAGTAGTAGTACGGAAGTTTAACAGAAGTCAAAATTAATATAATTACGCAAATAAATACAAAATGGTAACCCGCTGCATTAGTTTTGTTACCATTGAGTCCACAAGGCACTTTCAATAAAACGCAAAGAAAATTATGATCTTTGTACAGACCATTTCAAAAATGCTAGAAATGGCACTATCACAATTTAAAGGAAGCAAAACTTTTAAAAGATCCATAACGTGAAGCAGCAATTTCAGTTCTTATTAATACTTGACAGTTCCGCGAACAGAATCCGCTTATCGGATTGGTAAGCTGCATTAACTGGATTAAATTACAGTATCATTTTTGGCACAGTACGTACGTATCCTCGGAATTAAGGCTACTGCCAATTTTTTTTAATATCTGTGTTTAACATTATTCTGAGAAAACGATAAAATATTGGAAAAAATTATCGAAAATCGACTTTTTTCAATAGGGGCGCTTACGTCGGGTAGTTGAAACTGCTTGTTGAGATCGTTAATCGCCGCGCGGAAGTCCCGATCCGGTTGCAATACCTCCACCTCCCCGATGCGTCCCTCCTGCAGCAACTGGCGATCGCGGTCAGCGTAGCTGGAGAAGGAGCTCATCTTGCGCTCCCCGCTGGACCGCGACACCGTGGCCGACTGCCGGCTGAGGAAGATCTCGTGGCTAAGACCAAGGAAGTTGAACAGTGCCACGAAGAGCACCCTGTGCAGCCACATCATGATCAGTTGCACTACGCGCAGCATGTGCTGGGAGTCGCGTGCCACCTCCGCCACCAGCATGGCCATGGGGAATTTGGCCACGTAACTGTCCTCCAGCGCCGCGATGCCACACGACTTCACCGGCGTCCCGCGACCCTGAATGTCAAACGCCTAAAGGTCAAGACTGACCAGTGCACGAAAGAAGGGCGCAAAAACTTACGGCGAAGGCTTCCATGATGTTCAGGATGGAATAAATGCTTTCCCCTTTCTCCACCACCCGGATCGGCGAAGGCTGACCACTTTTCTGCCAAAATGTATTAGAACAAATCACGCATGTCACGATGTCACCCATCAGACAATGTAAGAACTAAATGGATTAGTAAATGTGCATTAATTAGATTTCTCTAACAAAAAATCATAACGGAAAGAAAACTTGTGTATGTCAAAAGCCTAAAAATGTTTCAAGTCACTTAATCAAGCAAGCATATGAATTTTCAATAAAATTAAATAATGAATCAGCAGATTGACAATTAACGAATACACCCGTTCATAAATAACTGAAAATTTTCGTTGCAAACAACATGTTACTCACCGTATCTAAGCAGGACAGCATCAGTTTCCCCTCCTGCAGCACATAAATGAACTGATCCGGCTCTCCCGGCTTACACAACACCTCTCCTTCCTGCAGGCGGATAATCTGCAGACTCTTAGCCATATTGATGATATCGGCGTCCTCGAAGACATCCCCAAAGATCCGGATGGACCGCAGCAGTCCAATTCGCAACTCCGCGCGCTTATCTGCATCAGCCAGCAATGCGGGTGCCTCGTCGACATGGAACGACGGCGTGTGGCTGGTGGTAGTGGAGGGGACGGGAACGAGGCGCGCCTGCGACGCGGAAGCCTTCCCAGGGACGGTACGGGTGGCATTGGTAGAGCGAACCTTCTTGCAGGAGATATAGACGACGTACGCGATGAGAATGCTCAGCAGGAGCAGAAAGATCCACGGATGCTTGGTGATCAGCTGCAAGAGGTGTTCGGCGGCGCGGTTAGCCCGCCGCCACGCCGGGGAGTCTGTGAGAAGGGCGGTGGTGCTACTGCGTCGACCTGCCACCTTTGACATGGTGCTTTACAAGTGGACATCGTGAGCTGTGTAAGGTCTCTCCATTTACGACACCATCACTGTGTTTTACGTCAAGAAGTACTGTACGTATCTCTTCCGCTGTAACCATGGTATTCTTCGAACTGCAAACTGTAACTAATCGTTGCGCAATGACGCAACGATTACGAACACAATCGAAGCACGACCGCAAAACGTCGTTACTGATAATCGTTTTTCCATTCTCGCAATTCTCTCATGCAGCAACAAAATACACAACTATCGGAAAATGTATCAATATAAAAAAGAATTTCAAAAAAGACTATCGCAAAGCATCTTCATAAAGATAACAACTGAGTCTAACCACAAACAGTCGACTGAAAGGGGGCTTAACGCAGCATTGTTCTTTTCCTCCGTGCCAGCGACCTACCACTTAGCGACAGGTAAAAGTTAGTCAAAGTTTAAAAACCCTCATTGTCCTCTCCTTCAGCGGCATTTTCCTCGTCGCTATCCGCTTCGTCCATTCTCTGCCGTCGGTGCAGTTTCTGACCAAAATAGTCATGATCATGTGCCATGTATCCGTAGTAATCCTCCTCGTTTCCACTTTCTCCGTCGTCTGACGAATCTTCCGCTAAAAAACCTCCATTGTAAAACACCATTTTGCAAACACCCGATTGCGACACATAAGCCATAAAAAAATCAAGCAAATATAGAACCGCTTTAATAGTGCAATCCAAACAACCCCATAGTCAACAGCTACCCAAAATTTGGCAAAAAAACAGTCTGCATATATTTTTAGTAACAGTGCCGCAGCGCTACACCTGTAGGGTACGATTCACAAGTCAGAATAATTTGTGAACAGCGATGTACGTACGTTCAACCGCTAATATACTTGTACCACAAGAAATCATATGCTTCAAATTCTGCGGTTGCTAGTTTTGTCGAACTCAGATAGGTATTATATTTTGAAAAAAAAATTACGAAATACATACAGGTTTCATCGGGATAATCGTTGCGCCAATTGTTCTCATCGTTGCTGTCTTCCTCATCCAACAGCTCCTCCTGCATGACCCGCGCACTCTCCGCGGCGTCGCTCCACAGCACGTTGTCAGAGTTAGTGCCAAGGATGACTTCCGTGTCGCTGAGGAAATGATTCACGTCCTGGTAAAACGCCGAGCCCGAGCTTCTACACAACGTTGTTAGTCATTTACTTTACTGTAATCATAATCGATTTGAAGTATTATCATATACCCAATATCAGCTTGGTGGTGGAGAACATAAATGTCGTAGACCGTGTCGAGATTCTCCGTTGATTCTCGAATCAGTTCTTCGTCGTTGCACGTAATGCCGGACATCTGCTGGTCAGTCGTCTGAGCGCCTCCCCCGTCTGTGCGGGCACGCTTGCACCGTTTCTGTAAAATCCCTCCCATGTACAATGCAAACAATGAATTCATTCGAGAAAAAAATAGTGCACATAATCACTTAATGCAGTGCCACCCACTTCAGTCAGAAATAGGAAAAAATTCAAAGAAGCCAGAAAAACCTACGAACTACAAACGTAGGCAATTTTACCTACCGGACGTTTGACTTCAAATAAAAAAAACACTTTTTGCCCCAAACAGTAATGTCTCTTCTGTACTCGATGAGAAACAAATCAAAGAGAACGAAAACTGACTTTATTTAAAAATGTCCTTTTTCGTTCACAATTTGAGTCCTGGCAGGGTTCAGCACTAAGCCACTAACCCAACCAATACGTATTAATGCATCCAATTCGCCTTAACCGTCAACGAAAACTTCTACTGAAAACCAATCACATACTGTACAGTCAAAAACAAGTCCTCCCTACCTCGGAGTGTCCCAGCTGCTGCAAATCGCACACCGCGTACGCCATCTCCACATCCTGCGCCGCTGGCGTTCCGTTGCTGCCTTCTCCCACCCCAGCCGCCTCCGCAGGGGGCTGTAAGGTCGACTGCCTCATCTGTTGCGCCAGCGAGCCTAGTGCGTCTACCGCGACAGGCCGGAATTTTCTCGTCACCATGAACATTTGCTGCGCTTTCTTGTTCTTCGTATTGTCCGCCGCCTGACGGAATTCGCACAGAATGTCGAACTGCTCTTCCATACTCAGCGCCCGCACTGGCTCGTTGAGCATGCCGACGGGCAGCTCGCTATGAAGACTCGCAGGAAGATTTTTCATCAGGTTAACCGTGGAAGAAGCTATGGATTCCTGGAAAGAAACCCTCATTGGGAAACAATGTTTAAATCAGGGAAAACCGGCACCAAGCACACTCAAAGCTTCGTACTCGGAATTCAATGAAGGATAACAGTAATGGGATGGTAAAAAAGGTAAAGCCTCTCGATTTCAATTCAAAGAAAATCCCAAAACTCGTTAGCATTTGCACCACGCCAGATTATGGCGGCATTTTCAGCAGTTTGTTATAAGAAGCAAGCCCAATCATCGACAGTTTATCGAGCAGCTCAGAAGAAAGCGTGGTTTTCTTGGAATGAAACAACTACCACCGAAACGACGAAACACTTACCGAGCCAGCAATGGTCCCAGCATGTTTGAACTGGAGACTGTGCAGTTCAAAGGCGCCCTGGTCTCCGCGTGCCAACTTGGAAGGGAGCGGACGTAGACGCAGCACGTCCAGTGGCTCCTCATCGGCCGAGCGCTTCACGCGCACCACAAGAGGCATCCGTGCCTCACTCTTCTGGCTCATTGTCGCTGCTGCCCAAACCACACTCGACGACGAAAAGGAAATTTAAGTACAAACAGATTCAAGAAATTCACGTTTCGCCCGGTAGAAAATAAAAGGAAGAACGACGAACGTGTTTAATAGTCAAATCTGCCAAAACACGGAGTTCTACCATATCGTTCTACGATCATTTTACGACTTTACATGGCTTGCCATTCATGAATCATGCAGATTCGTGCTTGATTGCTTCTGTTAATTTCAAAATAAAAGCATGAAACTTCAAGTCACAATAACGCACTCCAGGGGGGGCTGGCGTGTGCTGTTTGTCGTCATCACCAAAACCGCCACCGCGCAGCAACTTACTTGGGATCTGCTTTACTGTTTCCGGCAGAGTCGCCAACTGCAGTTTTGTTGTGAAAATTTGACACCAGGCAGAAAAACTGAGCAAACTCTGAAGAGTAAAGACTAATCACTACCTAGTACCCAATCTACTCTAATACACTAAAAGACGCTATCGAAGAACTAACAGACTTTTTCACCGCGTGGTGCTATCAGTATCAGTTAATCTTGTGGGTGGATCAAAACAGAAGGTGCGTGAAGAGAACGTTCGTAAGTACTGCGTTGACTCGTGGTGTCGCGGCCTCGGTGCTGCGATCTGCATTGTTCGCCAGACTACAGTGGCATTCGTTGTAGCTGCCCCAGCTTCCACGTGGATAACTATGGGCGTCAGCTGGGTGCTAGTGTGCCCGGTGGCAGATGGGAAGACGCCCAACCAGGCCCTGGACGAGTTCTGTCGTCAGCTGGTGCAGCAGGGCTTCGAGAAGGATCCGACGCCATTCACGCTGAAATGCGAGACCTACAGCTCGCATCCCCAGCTGCCGCTGCAAAAGGCATTCCACGCCATCTGTGATTCCGACCGACCGGCTTCCTGTTTTCTCATTGCTGAGAAGGATCCCCTCAATCTCAACATCACAGCCGAGCGCTCGCTGATGGCCTTCATTGGCAAACTGGACAAGGCCTATGGAGCTAAGAAGTCCTCCATTATCGAGGTGAGCCACTCAGCCAGACAACGGTCAATGTGTCAAGCGTAGCTCTCAGCCAGTTGTTTTAGACTACGTACAAGTTGCAAGTTCGCTGAAGACTTATTATTCAGACTGTATTTAGCTGGTAGAGCCACGGAGCTCATCTCAAATGTAATGCGCGTATGATGCGATCAGTGTATGTGAAGGTTTTTTTACTCTGTGATTTAGTTAAAATTAATTTTTTTCTATTCTAAAACTAAGTAATATATTAAAAGACTACCTGTGTCGGTTGTTTTTGTGGATTTTATTATTCAAAAGTGAGTTTTGTTTATCTTTTTTTTCGAAAGTTCTGAACTGATGTTGTAATTAATTTTAAATTTACTTGGTGACTTGAATTAAATTTTAAAAGTTTTGGAATCTGGTAACAAGTTCTTGCGTATTTGTTTTTATTTTGATGATTTTAGCGTTGATTTTAAATTCAATTTTGACTTATCATTTTTATTTAATACATAGTGCTTGTGGACGAAGTGCGTGCTGATGACGCACGCAGTTCATGTATGCTTACTACGCTTTACAAATACTGTAAGTATTTCTTGCTGTGCATGATCATTGCTATCTTGTTTATTGTTGAACAAATCATTTACCTTTGGCGTCGTGTTTGCATAATTCTGCAGATAGATGTTAGGCAGTTCGCAACATTACAGTATGTGATCGAATAGTGCTGCCTGTACTGGCGTTTTACGAAGTGATCCATCATACGGGGTCGGAGATTGGTAAGAACTTACGTGCGTTGCAGGTGCAAGGCTTCAGTTTCCTGTACCGAGACTTCATCGTGCGTCCAGGAGTCCTTTCACACGGTGGCAGTGCGCGCGGACTAACGGTGGACGTGGAGCTGCGCGCCTGCCCCGTGGCCATTAACGCCCTGGAACTGATGCGGGAGTTCGTCAACAGCTTCATGCCGCTGCCGGTCGAAGCCGTGCCGGCTTTCTTCAACCGTCCTGGCATCGCCACTCAGATTTTCTCCGTCATGGACACCATGCTACAGTATCTGGAGGTTTTCGCCCACGTCAAACGAACCAACATGATGCCCCTCAAGACTTAACTTCCTTCCCGACGCGTATGGTACTCTTTACACTTACAGTTTTATGCAGTAATTTTAATTTATTTTTAGTTTTCTTTTTCAATCATTTTGTGCGAGGTAAAAGCAGCTAACTGTATATCGAATGAATGTATACACTGTGTGTCACAACAAAATGAAAACAAAATTTTTACAAATCAAAACTGTTGGAAAATAAATCGAATAATCCATGCCCAATGTTGACGCGCTCTTAACGAGAACAAACAATAATTACAACATCGGCTGAGAGAATCCTGGCACGTGCAACAAATTAAACCAATAAAACACAGGACAAAAAGCTTAGTTAACACACAGACATCACGTTGGTTTGAGAGAAAAAGATAGTTTGGGCCGGGTGTTGCTGCCTTTGTTGAGGATTACGCGCTGCTCATTCTTATTCCATTCCTCCATTTCCCGCTTAAACGACCGTCGTTCTTCGTCCAGGGCTGCCCGCTCTTTTAGCAATTTTAACCGCTCTTCCGCCTACGTACGGGTATAACATAATAAAAATATTAAGTCGAAGTCGATGAGTATAACATTAAGTCGAAGACATCATAAAAAAGAAATCTACATTTTCTTATGGCCAGTATTATGCTACCGTACTACAGTATATTCAACAGCTAGAGTATGTTTTTTAAATTCTCTATTTGAACAGTATAATAAATTATCAGCATCCTAATTATCAACTGTATTTCATTGGAAATGCTCAGAGTTTTACACTGTTTCCCTATTTAAACAATTACTGGTCCCCTATCTTTCTCCATTTCTATAGTATAAAATAGTTACATTACCAATAGTTGTTCGCTTTCCTCGAGCCTTCTGGTCTTCGCATCAATGATCTTCTCCAATTCTGAGCGCTTATTCCGCTCAATCTCCTGTAAGCACACCACAACGCTGCACTCATCCCTCGCATCCAGCCGCACCCAATGCAACTTACAACAGAACACGTTTAGCGACACGCAAACGCGGTCGGCTGTTCTACAAACACGTGAGTTCGTGCAACCTACGAGCCTCGTTGTGAGCGATGGTCTCCGTATGGGGATGGACTGCATCCTCCTGGCTGTTGCTAGAGCGTGTTCGTAAATGACACAGCAGCACAAGGCTGCCAACTAAAGCTGTTGAGAAACACCAACCAGCCCGCCCGGCGGCGAGGCAGTACAACGGCTACACTGCTGCGTAACGGCAAATGATTCGAATGTGTTTCCGGCTGTGCGGCGCATCCTACCTCACGCTGCTGTAGCTGCTGCATCTCCCACTTGAACTCTTCGCGCACCTCCTGCCGCAGGTCCTCCTTCATGTCGCGACGGGCGGCCGCCAGGGCGTCGGCTAGTTCTTGTTGGAATTTAACGCGTTCGGCGATCAGCACCTCGTTGATGCGATCCTTAATTATGCCTTCCGTGCGCTTCGCTGCCGTCTCTTCCAGGATTTTGGCTTCCAGATCTTTCTGGCGTCTGTCGCATTTATATCACACGTCAACTATCGCTGCTTCTTGCTAGCGCAGAAAGTACTCAACGCAAAATTATTGAAAGAAATGTAAAAAGGAAATTGCGCAATTATTACTACAAAGAGAAACTACTCGTTATTGATATTTAGTTCACATTTTGCCATTTCGTATGACCTTTTTATTACAATACCGAAAAACAACAACAAGAATAATGAAGTTGAAATTCGAAGTAACTGCTCGAAGAGTTCATGAACTCCGGATATATAAGTACTTACTTAAATATCAGATTAAACCAACAATAGTATTGTAATACTGTTAGCAACATATGATAATAAACTTTTAGAATATCCAGTAAATTTCATGGTAAAAAGGGATGAATTAAGCAGAGACTTACGACCAGCGCTGCTTCTCCATATCCATCAGTTTCTGGAAGTCCCTGCTCTCCGTCGTCCGTCCGTCGTCCTCGCGACGCCGATCCTCCCGTCGGCGTTCAAAGTATGTGGAGCCACGGCTGGTGGAGTTACTGCTGATATTGCGGCGGCGCTGTTTGCTGCTGTCGTCGGAGGAGGAGGCCGACGAGGAGCGCTGACGACGGCGACGCAGCAGACTGGCCGCGTCCGAATCACTGCTCGACGAGGAATTCCTGCAATCAACAGTCCCCAGATTAATAAGCCGTTACGATGGAGCAGCGCCAAGACTACATTACCGTCGCCGTTTGGAATCCTTGTCCCGTCGTTCGGGTGCCTTGTTGGTGGACTGCGAGGACTCTTTGCTGACAGCTGCCTTGGCGCGTTTGGCGTCCGGGGAACGGCGTCGTTCGCGTGAACGGCTGCGAGCCATGTTCGTAATCAAATCCTCAACAGCCAACACCAGCACGTCAAAGGTTTTGATATACGCAAATAAAATTCAAATCATAAGACGCTGAGCCGTCCTGCTCTGGACGGTCCCATCCCGTCAATTTTGCAGTCAGCAGTCGGATTAAAAGTATCTCAGTGTGATTGTGGAGGTTATCCGAAGATGCAGCTAAATGGCAGTCAATGCGAACTGATGAATGATGATCCACGAATTACGAATATGATCACTTCTAGTCTTCTCCTGAATGCAAGACCACTCATACATACGAGTACTTACAATGCACACGCTGCTAAGTAACTAATAACTTCGGTGGCTTACTTCTCAGACACAACTGAAAACAATGAAATGGAGATGATCTTACAAGATGCCCGTAGGATCTTGTCATCAATGGTGCGATTCGTAGAATCCTAACAACATCAGAATTATTCTAATTCAAGGCCGTGAATAATCAATCGTCATCGAAAAAACTCAAACTGTGATAGTATTCCGTAATAAGTAAAGCACTGACAGCTTTCATTCAGCCTTTAATATCGTTCATTTTCTCGGCATTTCACGAGTTCCCACAGGATCCTCCTGCATATGGCAGTTACTTATCCAGTGCAGTTTTGTAGCGTGGTGAATGTTCAGTTGGATTCTACTGTTCAAAATGCATGCTACGAGCAATACTTTTTCTTGCAAAAGTTTTTGCATAAATTACCTAGAGTGGTACTTTATGCTCCACAATAAAATCATGGAAAACGTTTGTACACACAAAATTCCCAGTCAAATTGCATTTGGGTTTGGGTTCATACAGATCTATTGTATCTGTAGGTAGCCTGTACGGCAACTGGAAGTTGCTGGGATGACTTCCGCTTGTTCCCGACAGGCTGGCAGCATACCTATTGTACAGGCGACAGTGGCAGTGCGATACGTATGTACTTTCAAGCGTATTGAGTTCATCCGAAATCCTTGATTCCTCATTAACTTAATTAATTTTGTTGTTTTTATAACCTAAATATAATTTGGAAAATGCCATAAAATATTGGAATGCAGCCAATGCACAACAGTTCCCAGGGAGAAATGCGAATATTTTGAAGTTTTAAGTTTCAAACTGTACAAGCATCCACCTGTACTTTGCAGTAAAGTGAAGGATAACAGTAATTAACTTTTTTAGCTGCACAGCCTGTACGTAATAACTACGTAGTAAATTAATAATACCCACAATGTAAGCAACCACGTTCGTTTATTTGATCGCCAAAAAAGGGGGGCATTTGCTCGCAGCCTCGCAGTACTCTGTATGTGTAAAGTATGGGCGAGTTTCTCCCAGTGCATGTAAATACAATCAAATGCACAAAAATTTCTAAGTATAACATGAGATGGGACCGTGCACAACACTCTCAGAGCTTTACCATGCATTATTTATCATGAAACAAAAGCCAGTGGAACGGTTTTTGCTCGTTCCACAGATAATAAACAGACTTTTTTCCGAACTAGTCCTGTAGCAAAACAACTGCGGCATCGTACCAAGGGCCAAATATAGATACCGTATGCATCTCGCATTCAATAGGGATAAAACAACAGCTATCGTGAGTAATATTGAACTGCACAGTACTTGTACTTCCGTTTTTTACTAATGCCCGACACAGGTTTGGTGGTTTTGGTTACTATTAATGAAGACAAATCAAATCAACCGCTAACTGAAAACGATCAAATTCGCGATACTGTATTGAGTAGTATTGTACATACTCATGGTCAGTACTGTACAGTTATTTGTATAATATGAAAACGGGATTATTCCTAAACTAGCTCATACTGCGAATTAATATGATGTCCCCATTTTGTGCGTACAACTGGTAAATTGGACAGACAGCTTCAGTTACAAATAACCGGCCTTGCTTTATGGCACTTCCGTCAGAAGCCACTATTAGGAGCGTGAGACGCTGACCGGTGGGACGCGAGCATATGACCGGCTTATCCTGGTTTCTCTGCAGCTAACAATAAGAAAACTGCTTAAATGGTGCCGGATACGGTTATCATGATCTTCGGTAACCGATGATTGACTATACACTGAGTCAGTCATCGGTTACATTATATTCCATTCCTATGCGTATAAGAAACAACTGCCTCCACCATCGATGCGTGTTACTACAATCATTATTATCCTTGCTTCTACTAGGGAAGGAGGAAGAAGATACTCAACGCCGGAATCCCCCATCTACGTTCGATTGCCAAACGAAAGGGCATAGTCAATACTGGACCACATCTATAGCGGCATATTCGTATCGAAGTCGCCGGTTACTACAGAGTACTAGTATAAGTAACCGATCGATCAACTCGCCTTCATCGATGAATGGTGCTGTGTTGTGTTCTTGGTGTTTCTTATTTTGCCCGAATGGGAGATATTTAAATGTACATGAGTTTGGTAGACAGGAATCAAAGTTAATCATCACTTCCTTCATCCATCTGCACTGCTTGCCTGCATGAGGGGAGATATTTTCCCTAGCGCACGTTCCGGGAGGTGAAAGGATCGAGAATGGGAACGCAGAAATGAGAAAGGGAACAGAAGGGAAGCCAGGGAAGAAAACCCCCTTATGCAGTAACGTACAAATCCGTTGACGCACTGTATCGCTCTATGATTAATGCACGATCATACGCCGGTAATCTCCCGCACGGATCACTGTACAGCTGGAGAAAAAATGGAAAATCGTTCCCACATTTGCACTGCATAATTTGAAGGCAACAAAATTCTACTAGTTATTCAGTATTCATGATGCACATTGCACTGTATATAATATAACGGTACTATCTGTATGGCTAGCAGCCCAAAAATTCAAGAACTCCTTTCTCCACATGCACAGTGAGCACATTCTCATAATATTAATGAGCGCATCCATGTTCGAGGTAAACCTGCGCACTGTACGTAAGGTAAATTTAATGCAATGATGAACTAGAATTAATGCGTAAATATTCAGCACCGATAAATGATAATTTCCATGCCATGCAGCGTTTTTGCGAAGATAGCTTCATCTGTAAAAAAAATCAAGCAAGTGCACCTTGCCATCTACATATAATTACGTGAATAGTTAACTTAAAAAGCAGTTATGCATCACGCCATAGACAGAGAAATGATCATGACGAGAAATGTTTGGACTGTTATCGCCAACAGCTAGCAGCCAGATGTTAACTATTTTTTACAGGAATCATCTATTTGGTATTCCTTTTCACAAATTCAGCTTATATAGTAAATAGTTTTGCATTTGAATAATATGTTACTGATATATAGTGTTATTTGAAGAGTGTTCTTTGGAATGTGTTCTTCTTGACCGATATTACTAATTAATCTGATGGAAAGTAAGTTTTGACACAATGTCATAGTGGCAACCATTAACTGTTTACGCAACCCACGCAAGTATAAATCAACAGTTACTGGACATAATTTGTTCATACAATAATATTATAAGTACTTTATATATAGTACGTGCAGAAGTGCCAAGAACTCAGGGATGAAAACTGAATCACAGAACACTTTTTATATTTACACGGATACGAATACATATAACTCTTATTACATTCAGATATTTGATATGTTATTGGGGCTGGAAGCCGGGCGTTTATAAGATATGGTAATCTGCCATATGGTGACAGACGACAGTGAACCTCTTCTAGTGGCTTCCGATGGATGCAGCGATGCCGGTTTTCACGTCTTCAAGGAGGAAACTATCTGATCTGGCAGAGAGAAATGTGGAGCAGAAGCTAAAAGAACTAAGTAAAAGAAATCTGACATTTGCGTAATGTGCAATGTACGCGTGTATTTTGAATCTGGTTTTCTGCGATACTGTATACAGAATGCATATATATAGTTTTTAGTATGGGCGAACGCCTGCGCCTGCCCGGGGCTTCCTTCCTTCTCGATCTGTGCACGCTGCTGTCTGAATTCCCTTCCTAGCCTTCCTTCCCGGCCCTTCAATTCGCCATCTTCCCAACTCATGCAGCCGGCGTCACAGCGCTCAATGAAACAGATCATGTGGCAGCGATCTATTTGATATATATTCACTTCGTACGCGCCTTCCGTTCCGTTCTTTCCAGCTCTCGCGCTATGAATTCAACTCGACAAGTATTTTTCAGCTAGCATCCACGCCACGCACACGTAGTCTACATCTTCTCTTCGATCCGTTTCAACACTTCTTATTTCACTACTTTCTCTGGCCAGAACATACTGCGATCGAACGTGCTGAAATCCACTTGCCACTCGCAGATGCACGCATGCACAACCGGTTCTCTGATCCACAGTAAGCAACATTTTTTCCCGGTACCGTTCCTCTTTCAATCCCAACGTCGATGTAGTCTTCCGTGTTTTACCAGCCCGAGAAGCTTTCAACAACGACCCATCGTCTTTTCGGTGAGTATACACGCCATTCTGTGGCATTTTCCCAAGATTCATAGCGTGTGAAACGAGTGTGCTCCGCTCATTTTGTCGTCCATTTTCTATGTCTTCGTTACACTATTTTTAACCAGAGTCGTTGTCCATTATATTAGTTATATCTTTCTTAAGGTAAATACAGCTACTTAACGTCAGATGCCTGTTTTGCATCCAGAAATACCCGGCTTTCCCGCTCTTGTGCTAATGTGGCGTGAAACAACGTCGGCACGTGCATAGAACCGATTCTACCGATACAAATACTACGGAATAGCAGCACGCGCATGATTTACTTAACAGAGCCGGTCAACAGCAGTGTTGACAGCTATTTTTGTGCAGTAAACCAACGAATCAACAAGTTTCTCCCGCGCGCTATATTTCTACCATGCACTGTCATTCACATTCTAATTTTATCGTTAAGTGTCCAATTGCTGAGCGACTAATGATGCCGTGTGGCTATTTTTATGCACATAACAATAATTTCATGTCATTATCTAGAAATTGTCACCTTTCAACAGTTACATGACATAATTATTATGTCGACAAGTAAAACAGATCTGAACATGCGAATACTAATCAAGGCTGTTTCTCCTTGAATTCGGTTGTGAATTCTGTAAAGTGCAATATCAATGCCGTTTCTGCACAATGTAATGCGTGTAAAAATGGTTGTAAACTTGTAATCAGTTTCGCATATACGTAGACCACGACAGCTGCAAATCGATTATGCACTGCCGGTTGTTATCGTGTCGTGAGCAGTGGCGAAAATTGGAAGTTGGGTGGAAGTCGGCATACATCTGCAGTGGTATAAGTATATGATGATGAAAAACTAGTTCCAGAAGGAAGGGAAGAAGCGAGTTGTCTGTCTATGCAGTGTTATTCAGTTCAGCGATGAATAGAAACGCCGTGTGCTGGAAATTATATACAGTATATGCACATTCGAATGAGAACAGAAGAGATCAGGTTCATAGCCGGCGCGGCATAGAAGAAATGCACTGTATATGCGTCACCCGAACACGGGCCACCCATTCTTCCGTTCCGGCTTCCCTATGATTACATGCAGGCATGTACACATCGGGAGGAGCGCAATCCGATCCCGGCGATTCCATGCCAGGATGGCCTACTTAGTCCAAAGGAAGAACGTTCAACTGTGTCATGCATGAGAGTGTACGTACGTTAATAATATAATACACTGCTGCAGAATCCTGTACTTCTATGCAATATTCCCGGCGTTCGATGTCAATTCGATTGACGTTCTGTGTATCGAAGCCCGTGGAAACGCCGATCGATCGGCTGCTGCTGCTTAGCTCACAAGTCAGTGCGCTTAAGCTTCCAGTTCCGATCCGGCTTCGTCATGTTCGACTTTAACATTGTGCAGTGCTGTTTTCCAATCTAAGTACGTCTCTGTACCGAGAAGAGATTAGTTGCGGGATTCTTACTTGTACCTTTGGAGAAGTCAAGTGTCGAGTGCAATCGCCGTATAAACTACACGACACAGCAACACAACACACATCGGCAGTACACCAGTTCGATTCCTGTTCAGCCGCATTATGCCATTACAGAGCAAAAGTGCAGGGCTTTGGAAAAAGTAGTGTCTGTCTTTCGCTGCTACACGTAGTGCAAGGTAGTTAAACGAGTGACATAGGGAAGCAGAAAAAACGCCAGCCGTTCTCCATCACAGCGTATCTTATGCTGCAGTTTGGCATTGCTGGAAACCAGTTAATGGTGAAGCGGACGTTTTGAGTGGGAGTTCTTGACTTGATAGCACCGCACGTACAATCGACCAGCCGAATACCATTGCGGCTTCCCTAGTTGCTCTGTTGCTGTACCATCCACTGACCACTTTGCTGCATTTATTGTAAGTGATCAACCAGTATTGTATTATTTCTCTATTGGTATCTAGCTGAATAACGTCGTAATAATAAGCCACTGGATCCTTGAAAACTGTGTTATTTTGTTTTTTCATTTTCGCTTAAAACATACTTGCTCAAGTTTTTAAGGGTGCAATCACCGCAATTATGAGATAAGGATTAATTATTTCTACGTTAATAACTTACGGCTGTGATTTAAAGATATGATTCGGGAACTCAAGACTAAAAATATATAAACAGCAGAAACATTTGCACAAAATTTGTTTTCGAATCATGGCCAATAAGGATCATTATTAATAATGAAATAATTTGGCTTGATTATGTCGATTAGTAAACTGCATCGTTTAATTTTCCGTCGAACTGTGAAAAGGCTTCAGGAACTTGTCAGCTTTGCCAAGGAATTACCGCTCACCACTGGCGGCAGCTACTTTAACTTGTATCTCTTAAACGATGCCAAGTGCGTGCCATCGTGCATCGTCTCACAATATAATATTGAAAAATTACTATGTTTTGAATATTTAAAAATCAGTAATTTTCGTCCTCGATTATTGAAGTCGATTAAACCAATCAGCTCGGTGTAGAATTTATTAGTGCTAGAATGAACGGAAAACGTTTGGTAAAAAGAGCAAACGCCGTGTATATTGGAACTAAAGATGCAGACCGGCGAGTAAAGCGGGGCGTTGATTGTTTGGGGTGATTCTCGCTCTGCTGTGTAGTGGTCAGTGTTGGGCTCCTTCTAGTTACATCTTGGCGAAAGAGAAAGCGCGCAGGTTTCATAGTTACAATTGTACACTTCTATATGTTGATGCTGTTGGCGCTTGGAGGGCCACTAGCCACTGTATTGCTGCGCAGCATACGTAAGCGGAGAGAGGAGATTTGAGAAGATTCAAAGTAGGTTGATCCGACATTGTTGAGATTAATAATTCGGTGTCGTTAGCTGTGAAGGTCGTTCACTGGCTGAACGCTAACTAATGCTGCCGCGGCTGCTGTACAATTTACAGTGTACACCGTAGAGAGACCGGTTCAGGCAATGGAAAGTGAAAATTCTCCATTTGTTGAAGGAATTGGCGATCTAGTTTAAAAAGCGAGGCTTAGTACGCAGTCCAGTTTGCATTATGTTGATCATCATATGTATAATGTGTGCCGGTAGCCGAATCTGCGTCGACGAATGAGCGACGGAGACAAGCGGAGCGAGAGAGCGAGAGAAGACAATACAAACAAATATGTACCGTTCTTCGAATGTCCTTGGATTTCAGCAGGTAGATACACACACGTACACATTACACACACACGCATCAGGCCTGTACGATCGAGGCTGGGGTGTTCTTAGGTCTTTTTTGCTAGAATAATACTGGTTCACAAGAGCGTTTGAATGCCGATCGCGGCAAAACGTCCGCTAGAACAAACTTGCTTCAGTTGACTTGGCTTAGCTTGACCGGCTTTTGCATTTTCTCCAGACCATTGCGCGTTCCGCCTTCTATCTCATACGACTGCCCGCGCTGCACCGGAGGCAAGGATTTTGTGACAGTTCCCTTCGACGTCCAGGTTGCTGACGTCCCGGTCACCCCGCGCGGCTCAAGTGAGCCCGACAGAAACCTTTTCCCATACCAGGTAGGCGTGGGAACCACTTCCCGCCATTCAGATTTATATGTATTTCTTTTACATAATATTCAGTTTTATTCAAGTTAATGCAGTAAATGTATGGAAACGGTGCGTAAACAGAAGGCAGATGTGTTTTGTATACAAACATGAAATGCGCGCATATCTTTGAGCGCTTACATGTAAGATAAGCGTTCAAGGAAGACCTTGGGCGTTGAAGTATTCGCCATAGCGCAGTGTATTCCGGCAAGTGTTCTAGTTTAACCGCGAGAATATACGATGTACACTCGCACTCAGTATTCTCTTTTGCAGGAGGAAGTGCAGCAAACAAGTTCAAGCGTTGTGTGCTTTAATTCCAGGCGGAAGTCGATAACCTGGTCTGCTTAGCGTTCGAATCATTCGATATACTGCAGCATATACGTGCACTACAGTGCTGCGTCGACGCTTTTCCACTTCTCAGCCAGTGTCTGCACACTGCAGGTAGGTTGCATTTGCGTTAAGCGTCTAATGCTGCCATAGCGCATAGATTGGAAAGAAGTGGTGCATATATGCATCTGGGTGAAAAAGTTCCAAATCAGGTCAACTACCGGGATAGCGACAGAACCGAATACGCAGAACACGCCGTAAACCGGTATTTTACACACGATCAATGTTATTTCGCCCAGGCTGACGTGAGATGTTAGCATGAACTAGCGCCAGCGTTTTTACGCTGCTTTTCAGTCATTTTACTGCTTCCTTTCTCGCTGAGCTATTTTTGGGGCTTATTCGCGCAGAAGAATTTTATGATCCTTTCCGAGTTTGCCTTCTCTTCTTACTGTATCGATAATCCGGAAAATATTCAAACGGTCATACCTAAGCGCGTAAGTGTTTAGGAAGAAATCTTATACACTTAACTGACAACTCTCATTGACTACGCACTGTCATAACATTTTAGCATTAATAATAATTTTGTAGTTGTTTCATAATTTCTGGTTGATTTTTATATCCGAGTTTGAAATTTTTTCGTAACAGAATTCATGGACAACGTGGAAATTTTGTCAGCAAAAACTATACAGATGGCATCATGCTATGTATTTTGCGCACAAACTTTGCCGGTGCAGTTCTTTGAAATGCGAATTAATTTCTGGGCGAAATTGGAGAAAGCTACGGCTAGCCTTCTTTGTTTTGGGAAAGTAGGTTACGTGAGTTTATCCAGGTTTGTGAGTCAGTTATTGCCGGCAGGTGAAAGTGTTACTCAGCGTATAACGTGTCACCATGACGAATTCACGGAGCAAACGTTTTCATTTGACTCGAAGTCAGTTTCTGAATTATCGGTATAATGCGCCAGTGACTGAGTATAAAAAACACTAGTCCACACTGGGCGACGGAGAAAGCAAAAGGGGCCTTTGTCCAGTTAAGTATGTCAAGGTTGGCGGTGGATCGAATGTGGATTGGGGTGAAATTAAGTAGCCGGTCGGAGCAGCGTAGAACAGAGCAGCGATTTGCACTAAGTATTGACACTGGCCGCCGCTTTCAAGGACGCCCATTTCCCGCACTAAAGCCAAAGCCGGATTGCGTTCTATTCCATTTGCAAAACTCGTCCACCTTGGATTCTGCGTAATGCTGCGCTCTTAGAGATCATTTCGCTGGCAAAAGTTTATTTTGTTACGCACATCTTTTTTGCGCGAATTATAATGGGCAAAATCTTTAGCAATGGTAACAGTTTTTACAAAGTTTTGCATTTTACAAAGTTTTGCAAAACTTTGCGGTAAGAATTTTTCTTATTTTGTTTGGTGAGAAAAAAACACTGAAAAATATGAATACATGGAGCGAGAAAATGAAAGAGAGAGAAAGCGAGAGAGAGAGAGAGAGCGAATGCTAATATTTGAGAGGACAAAACGAGCGACAACGCCCGTTGTATTGATCTGTATGCGGCGGCCTTGAGGATGTTGGCCATTGGCTAACATCAGCGCTGATGTAATCGGCTAATTGTGATGCTTGTATATGCGGCACAACACTTGACTGCATGTGTATGCTGACTTTCTTGCAGTGCATTCCCAAAGCCATCTCCACCAAATTACACATACCTTCCCCGAGAATGCCAGCGTTTGGCTTTCGATTCAGGTCAGTACTGCCGCACAGCAGCCTTATATACACATTTTAAATTACCTTAATAAAATATCTGAAATATTGTGGATTTGTTTCGAGTTTCATTTTATGTTATCGCTTTCACTAACATGCTTAACTGTCGTCTCACCGGAAAAACTTACATAACAGGAAATAACCTTTGAGAGTGGATTGGTTTAAGTGGATGAAAGGGAGCGGCGCGGGGGAAGCGGTGGCTGTGGCAGGAATGGAGCGGCGACTGTCAGCGGCCGACAGCGAAGAAAGCTCGGCGCTGCAGCTGCAGATGGGCATTCTGCGCCGCGAGCTGGACCGCGCCAACAGCGGCCACGCCGTCAGCGTCAACGGGCCGCATCCGCGACTGACCAATGGCGTGCAGGCCTTGGACGACGGCAAACTGACCCTCCTCGCACAGGATCTCAACCGCGCTAATGAGGTACACTTGTTGAATATGGCTGAGTTTGATTCGGACAAACATTCTTCAGAAAGAAATAAAAAACAATAACTGCGGTAATTATGTATGCATATTGAAATCCTGATATATTAAAATTTTGATCGTGTGTAATTGTGATGTTGTTTTTGAGTCATCTAGAATTACGTAATAATAAACCTAAAAGTTTTGCAAAGTTTTTTCAGTGTCGATGCGGTGCGGCAAACTTTACTTTATTACTGTATTTAAGTGTCTGTGAGTACAAAAAATGTATGTTACGTAATGCTAAATTTTCTACACCCAAAAATTCTTTAAAATTTAATCAAAATCGGTTGTGCGTCAAGTGCCCGCTGGGCGTGTCATGTCGCATGATTCATGCGACAATGAATGGCGTAATCGGTAATTCTAATGGTAGTCGTATGCTAATTGGTACTGCTTTATTTAGCGAGCAACCGCTGCAGAGTACAAGATCGCCGAATTGCAGCAGCAACTGACCTCGCTACAGCGCCAACTCAACAAAACGCAACAGGACGCTGCCGCCGGCGACGGAACCTCCCGAGCACAGGTGAGAACTTACTTGTCTCCCATAAGTATCAGCCCTAATGTTAAAAAAAGAATTCCAAGCCGAAGATGCGTAAAGCGTCTAGTCATACCCGGTTTGTGAGCGTCGTTCTTTTGCTCACGATTCCATCTCAAACAAGCCATGAACTTTGGGTAGTTTTTTGCTGGGTCGGCAGTTTTTTGGCCGGCTATGTTGGCAAGCGGAAGTCAGATGAGGCATTGAGGCTTTTTGGGTCAGACTTCTTGTTTCGCCATTCACCAGCATATTTGCTTAACTTGCCGGTTCAGCCGCACTTTCACTCGTTTCCGCTTCCCTTTACAAGTTTCATAGCAGCAGTTTCTCGCAGTACATACTAATTTTGATGCGTGCAGTTATTCTGTGCACTGCACAAAATAACTGGATTAAAAAGGTGAAATACCATTTATTCAGGTCATTCGATTTCGATTTCAGATGTTTCTTACTTAAAGTAATATTTGCACAAATGCTATAGTAATGTTATCAATGTTATGCTGTTCCTACAATTAAGTATACTACAGTTCTAAAAATATTCTAAATTATTCTAAATTACTGTAATTCTAAAAATATAAAATTATTTAGCTTAATTATTATGAATACAAGTACGCGACGCAGAGTTGGCAAAGCGCTCGTACGTCGTACACATAAAATCAAAATAAAGGCTTAAGAAAAACCAAGATAGGCAGGTTAATAATTAATATCCGTAACGCCAGATATTTCCTTGGGAAATTAGCCAATACGAAACACAGTTTGAAATTCCGAAAGCCTAGCTTATCATTAGCTTGCGATGCAGTTACTAGCAATTATTGTAGAATCTGAGAAGAAATAAGCGCATGAAACGCCTGTTTACAAATAAAAGCAAGTAAACAAACGTGCGTCTTTCTCGACAATTAAATAATTGGTTTGACGAGAAGGAGCGCGGCCGCAGAGATTTGTTTGTTATTGTGTGTTGATTGTTGTGGATGTTTACAGGCGGACGGTATTGCGCGGCTCCGTGATGAGCTGGAGCGGCTGAAGAGTTCCTACCAGGCACAGGTGAGCGCGTTGTCGCCGCCGCTTCTTTTGTCTCCTTCTTAATTGTAAAGCCTGCTTTGTTGACCGGCAGTTCAATCGGCTGGAGGACCAGTTGTCGCGGCTAAGCTCCCAGAATGCACTGCTGCTCAGTAAACTCGATCAGCAGCGCGATTACGACACCGTCAAACACCAGCTCAAGTAAGCACGGACGCACTGTGTATCAGCGGTTACCGTTGGTGACCTTTTCACTACATCTTCAGACCCCATCAATTTGGTCATTTTTATTTTGCAATTGAATATACAAGTGTTTGCGTGCAATTCGAAGCCAAATTTTGTTTGAATATTTTGCGATTACGAAATTGTTTAAGTGCGCATTGTAACTCGCTTAAATAATATATGAATATGACTTTATTGTAGCTTGCTGAAATCGGGACGGTATCAGGAAGACAACCTGTCCAATGGCCATTACGAATCTGTTATGTTGGCGCGCAATCGACGCATCCAGGAAGCGGAAAACACGGCAATCCGCGGACGCGAAATGGACTATGCCGGTAGGTTAACTCCTCTTTGCATTGCGTAGTTCAGGTTGTTAATAATGAGGGATATTTATACAGGCATTCGCCGGCGCATTACCACCAATGGCGGCACCAACGGCATGGGCGGCTACAGCCTCCCGAGTCCCCGAGGCCTCGACCCCGAGGAGCCGGAAGACCCTGATGAACTCTACTCTGATGACCTTTCCGACCTGGAATCCAACTTGACCCCGGAGATGCTGGCCAAGATTGCTGACGCCAAGAATGTCCTGCAGGGTCTCTCCAGCCGAGCGAACACCGCTTCCCCCTCGGGCGGGTCTCGCTTCATGAACACCATGCAGGTGGCCGACCAAGTCAACCGCGTCCTGGAGGAGGAGGGTATCACACGCTGCGCCCTGGCCAAATTTGTCCTCCATGGATCGTACAAGATGGTGTACGATGCCCTTCACGACCCACGACCTTGGGGCTTCCTCAACTCCGCCGGGCGCGACAAGTACCGGAAGCTGAAACTGTGGGCAGAAGACGCCCGTTGTATCAGTGCGGTGAAGCTGCTGCAGGTGTACTGTAAGGACCGCCGGCGCCGCGGCGACGGCAGTACGCCGCCATCCGGCTTCGAGGACGACTCCCCGACCGATCTGTCATTGCCCAAGCATTCTCCTATTCGCCGCAGGTCGCAGGCGGACCTGCTGAGTATGGGATACGAGAGTCCGGGCCGAATTATGATGCAGCCCGGGGCCATCTTCCATCCCGGAATGCGACGGCCATCCATGCTGGAGGCTTCCGAGTCACAGGCGCTGCCGGTCGCGCCCAAACGTACCTCCCCACAACATTCCGTGCCGCGGCGGACAGCTAGCGCGCTGGCGGTACCCCCTGCTCCTATTTCGTCCAGCTCAGGTAGGCTCCGGTCTCGGATTTAACCGCCACCGGCATTAATCATGTTTTCTCGATAGGTGTCTTCCGACCATCGCAGAGCTTCACGGCCTCGCCCGTCGCCTTGGGCATCTCCTTCCCCGACTATCGCAAGAATGTCCTCCATCAAATCACCGACGACATGATCAACCAATACGACCCGCTGGACACCGACACCGTCACCCGGGCGGTGCGCAGTAAACTGAACAAATGCAACGTCAGTCAGCGCCTCTTTGGTGAGGTGGTCTTGGGCATGAGCCAGGGAGCAGTCAGCGACCTTCTCAAGCGGCCAAAACCCTGGAACAAGCTGACGCGCCCCACCAAGGAGCACTACGTGCGCATGCAGCAGTTCCTGGAGGACGAGCAAAGCATCCCGGTGCTTCAGGCGATCCAGAACCGCGAGGATCCCGAGCGGGTGCTGCAGGTGCCGCCCGAGGAGGACGAGGAACGAGTGGATGTCCGGGACATGTGGAAGAAAGGTCAGAAAGAAGTTTACTGGTTTCTATGCGCACGATGGTCAATTTGCTGTGTCTTTCAGAAGATTCTCCGCAATCCTCTCCCAGTATGGTCAGTATTCCATCGGGCCCGGCCGCTGGTTTGGCACCGGTGCCGCCCGTCAACGAAACCATGGCTTCCGACAGTGAGCTTAGTGAACGGGAAGCCTTTCAGGCGGTGAAGGAGCACTTTGCGAAGTTCTATCAGATTCAGGATGTCTCCCGCAGCCCCATGCTGGACACCGTCGTCGTGGCCAGTCGCATTAAGGAGGAATTGCGTGCCCGCAATCTCCAACAGAAGCTCATAGGCGAGCTAGTTTTGGATGTCGGCCAAGGTAGAACATAGTCGATGTAACAACGGGGATAATTATATTAGCTCGGATATAATACTAATTACATGTGATGACCTTTCGCTACAATTGTCTATATTGACCGTACTGGTATTGCCCTAAATGACGAGGGTAGATGAGTAAAAAGTACTTCAGTACTTCAGATAAGTGACGTGAAGCTACATAACATTTTTGCACTTTAGGAACTGTTAGCGAATTGCTGAATAAGCCGAAACCGTACGGAATGCTGTCCATGAAGGGACGGGAAAACTACATGAAGTTGATGAAACTGCTGCAGACTGCTGAAGATTTCACACTACTGGAAGCGCTCCGCACACAAGGACAGCAAAAAGGTCAGGACAAGCTCCAATTAGCCTGTATGTACTCAGTTTGTCGGTCGTAAGTTGATAAAGTCTATGGCTGGATGATTCGTCCTTACTGCGTATCAATTATCACAAGTTAATAAGCAGCAACAGCAGTTAAAACCTCGCCAATGTGCGATTAAAATTTCATAGCCGCAACAGAAAATCTGAAAACACACAAATCACATTTGTCCATTTAATTATAGCGACGACGAAACGCGGTCGCTCCTTCACGGACGATGAGCCCCGCGAGGAGAAGCGTTCGCGTGCCTCCCCCAATTTCAGCCCCAGCCACGACGCTGACGACGAGCTGGAGGTTGAACCGGGCGTCGACGAGGAGCCGGAAGGGGATGCGGGAGAACGAGCAGACGTGGACCGGGAAAACCAGCGCTACTACCGTGCAGCGACCGCTAAATACTCAGACGACGAGTCTACCGGCGACGGCCACGACGACGGGCAGATGATCAACGGGGTCATCGTGCCCAAGTCGGCCATGCGGACGCCGCAGCGCAGCCACGACACAGTCATCGTGCAGCCGGCCCTGGGCGGGAAGATGTACGCCGGAGGCGGCAGCTACGAGGAGGCTCTGGAGCGCAAAGACAGCTGGGGTCTCAACGGCCGAGTGCAGCGCGACAACGACGGTGACGCCCAAGTGGACGACAAAGACTGGTCGTAGGCGGGGCCACCGGCGTTCCGCGTTCCCCGGTGGACGGAGCTATTTTTATTTCGTGGTCGTATAAAAACGCATTAATTTATAATTAATGTGGTTATTTATTTCATTTATTTCCTTAATCAATTTTGACGGTGCTGATATATGGCGCGAATCGGTGAAAAGTTCCTTTTTTTGTTTGTTGCTGGTGTTTGTTTTGCCGGGAATTATTCGTCGTCGGTGAGATTAAGCGTGTACAGCGGTCTGTTCTCCTTTACTTTCTTTCTCATGTTCTGATTCTCACTTTTTTGGATTTTTTTGTAGTATGTCTGTAAATTTAGGACGATGTTTTCCGTATTTGTGTGGGTCGGTTAATGTTTTATGAATGTGATCTGATCGTAAGTTCCTTTGTGCATAAAACAACAATTTTGTAATGAGTTGGAACTTGGAAGTAACTTGTCTTTATGCCAAGCTCGCGTCATACCATAATGTCATTATCAATTTCTTATATGCACATTTTAATACAGTTGTCAAAATTTTTGGTTTCTGTAAACAAAAATTCCAATCAAAAATTACTACGCGTTCGACAGAAGCTTGTCTACAGCCAATCTTCGAAAATTTTGAGAGTATTAGTAAGTGGTGAGAGGAACGCTTCTGCAGAGATCGAGACTTGGGGCGCTGAGTAGCACCTCCAAAGTAGCGGTAAAACCGCGTTGGTGGCAGGTAAATCGTGATACAAAAATTGTACAAATAGTTACCGGAAGTAGCAGCAGTCGATAAAGTAATTTATATTATATGCTCGTAATCGTTTAGACGCACTGACAATCCTCCTTGTACGGACTAGTGAGCAAGGAAGATGGTCCCTGGATAAATTCTGCAGCTAATGTCAGCAGGCACATTTTATTCTTCGAACCACAGAGGCAGGCAGCATAAGTAATATGCCATTTATTTATTTAGAAACGTCTGCCTTCTTTGAATCAAAGCAAGAAAAAACGACAATCACAAAAAATATTACGCAAGAAAACATTAAAACCATGGGTGATACAGGGAAGTCGAAGAATAAAGGATTTTGTACAGCGCACTAAATGCAGTGTGTGACAAATGCAAATAAATTATGTAACCGGCATTGTTCCATCAAATGCGCGTCGCTGCTTAATTCGACCGCGTCAAGACCATCTCGGCCACTTTCACCAACGCTTCCTGTTCGGGCGAACGGCACAGCGCTGTCAGCTGGAGAACCGCTTCTTGACTGTACTTGGCCGCCAGCACTTTGGCCTGCTCTACACCTTTTTCCTGCAATGGACATAATCCGCTAGTTTGTTGGATCAAAATGCAGAGACTGCTCTAATTACATCTTACTAGCGGTGGTTGCGAACCACATTATTGCACAAGCGCGAGCGCCAGTACCACTGGGAAATGGTATTGGGATTGTGGAATTGGAAAAGCGTCACGTACGCTCTTCGTGGCGTCAGACAAATTTTATGCTCTTGACGAAGACTTATTGCAGCACCTCGCGCTTCGCGCTCGGTGCAAAAAATGGATAATCTCAATTTTTCAGTTAGAGGTAGCAACTGGGGTATTAAAAAGGGCACAAATTTATCACACTGAAAGTGGCGGGAGAACTTTGTGCCACTCACCTGGAAAACGCTTTTTCGCGCAAGTTCAACATCATTATCCTGCCGGAAACGCCTCTCAATGAGCGCATTCAGCTCTGGGGCCTAGAAAACCATCAAGCAGGTTGTTGTCTGGACTCTGCTCGGTCTGCTAGCATTAAAGGAATCCAGAACTGACACATCAATGCACTTAAGACAGCAAATTTAATTAAAACTGCTGACGATCAACAACGCTGCACAGTAGCGGGCCGTAAATTTTCTTACGAGTCGCAATCCATACGTAGAACTTTCAGCTTACCGTTTGAGCGGCAAGCAGGACTGGGGCCGTAGCCAGGCCCAGTTTCAGATCGACGGAGGTCGGTTTGCCCATCTGCGAGTCAGTGGACACGTAGTCCAGGTTGTCGTCCACCAGCTGGAAGGCCATGCCCAGATTCTTCCCAAACTGAAAGGACGCCTCCACAACTTCCGCCGAACAGCCGCCCAGCATGGCCACCTACGGGAACAACATAAAGGCGATTTGGTCTATCCCAGAGCAGTACTGCATATACTTCATCATTATGACGGGGCTTAAGTTTCTGAACGGTTAAAACCCAGGTAAAGTTGAAAAAGTGTAAACTAGTCTCCATATTTGTAGAGCTGCGGCTCGTAACACGACCTAGATATCACTTCGGGAATAAGTCAATAAGGGGAATGAGAAGTTCGAGTTCATATTATGTATATTTTACATTAACATTTTCATATTTTCTGGACAGTGACACCCACGTCATTAATTTACACTAACGAAGGCGTCTAACAATTCATTACGTTATCTCATATAATCTTAAAATTATCTTTACGCTGATAGAACAGCAAACGGAATGAATTTCGAGTGATTTTAAAACTAACATTTTTCCGGCCTTTTTAATAAAGTTATTACTGCAATAATTGTGCATTATTCGATGAACCATTTCAAATCAGTTAAAGCACTCGCAAATCCGTCAAATGATCTCGCTGTTGTCAGACGGCGACTCAAGAGCAAGATTATAAGATCAGTTACTTATTTTTCATAAAACGCGATGCAGCAAAAACAGCAACCGACGGTCAATACGAATGTCATACCGCTTTGCAGCTGTTGGCTAGGAGACTGGCAGTCTTGTGGTAAGTTTTGCTGAGGTAGGCAGCAAAGCGCGCCGTCGCCGACTGACCGGCGTCGGTGGAGCCGAGCTGCATCAGTTCACCCTTGACCAAGTCCTCAATGACCTGCGCCAGGCAGATAATCACGTCCGGATGCCGTAGCCGGGCTAATTCCCGCGATGCCACCGACAGAATGTAGTCGCCGGTCAGTACCGCCTACAAAACAATCTTATAAGTGATAATTCGTCTTATGCATTTCTAGTTCGAATTCCCTTTCATATTTTACAAATCCTTCCAACTGTCTCAAATTATGTACTAAACACATCGCTATTTTTGCATACCCAGCATACATATTTGCAGTTTTGCACTAAAACCGAAAAAAGCCTCTAACAGTGAAAATTCATCAAAGAAAATGGTCGTAACCTTCACGCGTCACGGACAAAACACCTTAACCCGTCAAACGACTTTACTAGGATCATCTTCGCAGTATCCCTGCCCGGAAGTATTAATTTTAAGTATCTTTTCACAGTATTTATACAATTAACATTCTTATAAGTTTACAACAGCCTATTAAAGTCTACTTTATCGTTAATAACAAAAATGCGAGTAAATAAGTAAATATTATGCAAGCTAAAAAATTTCGAATGATTTCTAAATACTGCTAAAATTACTTTCAAAAGATGTCAAAACCACAGAAGCCACTGGTTTGCAACTGGCGGATGTCGAATTAAATTACGATAATATCAACAAAAAAAGTTGTTTTACTCTGTGCATGCATAACGGAACCGCAGAAAAACATTGCAAGTCCCGAACAGCTGACAGAATGACCAACCTTTTTGGAACTGGAGATGTAATGGAGACTAGGCTTGTTGCGCCGCGTATCGGCCTCGTCGATAACATCATCGTGGATCAAGCTGGCGGTGTGGATCATCTCGGCAATGATGGCCACTTTGCGCTGCTTGTGAGCCACGGCATCACTGCAACAGTCCACATTGTTCCATCATATCGCAATGGTCACCTTCCCTCCTCAATACTCCATTCAATAATGAAACACTAGCAGTCGGGGCTCACCAGTAATCGGCGTTATGTCTGCCGCAGGCCGCCGCCATCAGCAGCACCACCATGGGACGGAAGGCCTTACCCTGCGCCGTGAAGTAATACCGCGCCAAGTCCACCAGATCGGGCAGATCGCATTGCAGCTCCTGCCAACAGTGAAACCAAATTTCCTTGTTGTGATTTGGAATGATAATCAAAATAATAAGTTTCAATAATTTAAATAAAATAGCAGTTCAAATAGTGTCCGCAATGCAGCTTCATACAGACTGCATACGTACCGTGCGAATTTCCTCATATATCGCGGCCAGATCGTCGCCCACCAGCTCATATGGCGAAGGAAAAGAATGCTGGCCGGTTTGGCTGGCGAGGGTAGCAATGTCCGGCGGTACGGGCGGTGTGGGTTCTGGAAATGCCGTCAGGAACCGGACGGGGGTCTTCCGCAAGGGAAGTGAGGAGGGAGACGATTGAGGATGCACCCCACATAATGCAGGCGCGCACAACCGACTAAATCGTCGGCAGGGATGGTGGGTAAGCGAGCGGCGCGGATAGCGCAGCAAATTTAGGAGAATTGCGCTCCGAACCATGGCCCTTCCTCCAAATGATAACAAACTGGAGCAGGACAACAAAATATTGTGATGGCCCACCTGATCGAGCCTTCCCAATAATTATGGGAAAAACGCGATCGGAGTAAAGCTCAAAGCCGCCGCAGGTGGGTTGCCAACATTGGTTAGATAACTGCAGTGCATCAGCCTAGAGGCTGCGGCTACGAGTATGTATTTATTTCCGCCTGTATGTAAGAGAAATTTTTCGGCTATTAATTTTGACTGTTTGATTTTTCGACTTTTGAGTTCCCGTTTTGGCAGTTTTTCATCGCTTGTCGCCAACGGAGAGGCTGGATTCGGATTATCCAATTGGGTTTATGATTTTTGTTGTCGAGTGGGCTGGGTATAATGGTCGATAAGGAGACGCTCTTCGGTATCAGCGAGTACTTCGCCAGCGGAATCGGATTTGATGGCACTCTGAAGAGCCGGTGGGTCTTCTGACTTTCTGCAAATTTCCAGATTATTTCTTTGATTTGAACCACTGCAACTTAAGCAAAGATCTCCGTACGCTGTAAGCAAAGGAGCATCGTTTTGTCTCTAGTACAGGATCTCAGATTTTCTGGTCAACGAAATCGACACAGATGGCAACGTTGTGCACCTCACTCGACTCGGTGTCGACACGCCAGCCGCCTCAGAAGTCGCTCCCGCCTGCGGACGGTTAGATCCTCAACTCGTGGCCAAAATCGAGGCATTTCTGCACAGTAACGATGCCAATCTTCTTATCGAAGTAAGTTAGAACATATTTCTTGACGTTTCCAACTTGTGACGCGCTGTTTTGGTTCTGCTGAAGGCGTCAGAGGATAAGAACGCCCGCCGCCTCTTGCACCAGCAGATCGACGCGGCTTTCCCCACTCACAAACTTCTGCGCACGCCTCTTCGGGACGCTAGCACCGGCGTCCACCAGATCGAAATCAGCCGCGCCTCCAGCCGGACGCCGGCCTTCCGTCGGCAGGAGGCGACGCGCATGAACCGCTCAGCGGACGGAGCCAGCCACTTTCTGCATTTTATCCTGTACAAGGAAAACACCGACACCATGGAGGCCGTCCACCGGATCGGACAATACCTGCGCCTGCCGCCCAAGTGTCTGCAGTACGCCGGGGTTAAGGATAAACGCGCCAAGACCGTCCAGAAGGTGTCCGTCCGTTTCCGGGATCCTCAGCGCCTGGCCGGTTTCAACCAAACCGGAGTGCTCATCGGAAACATCGCTTACGCACAGAAGCAACTGCAACTGGGGGATCTGACCGGCAACCGTTTCCGGTTGGTGATTCGGGAGGTGTCCCTCACGGACAGGACGCGCGTCGAGGAAGCGGCGCGGAGCTTCGCGGAACAGGGTTTTGTCAATTATTTCGGCCTGCAGCGTTTCGGGACAACAGAGGTAGCCACCTTCGAGGTGGGGCAGGCGCTGTTGCGGGCAGAATGGGCGGAAGCTGTGCAGTTGATTCTGAAGCCGCGGGAAAACGATAACGTGGTCACCGCCAAGTGCCGGGCGGTGTGGGTGGAGACGGGTGATGCCGAGGCGGCACTGCGCGTGTTGGGACGGAAGTCATGCGTGGAGGGATTTGTGCTGAAGGAACTGGCCAGAAAGAAGGACGACTGGTTGGCGGCACTGCAGGCTGTGCCGCGTAACATGCGGATGATGTATGTTCACAGCTACCAAAGGTATGCGCGTTTTGTGGTGGAATAGCTATTAAAACTGGACAAACAGCGGCGCACAGTACCGTTTCGTAACAGTTGTTCTGTTTTAATAATTAGAAGGTGCAGTAATAATATTTTTTGAATTTTTTCTTCTGTGAATGCAGGTAACGAAGAATTTTTTGAGGATTTTCGCGAATATCCAAAATCGTTTTTTGCTGTTTCTGGCATTAAAGTTTCCAATCTTCATATCTGTATTTTTCTTGATTAATAAGCTGCCGGTTTTTGTGGTGAAACAGTTATCTATGGAACCTGACGGCATCCTACCGCATTCGCGAGCTGGGCCGGAAACCGGTGGTGGGTGACTTGGTGTACAAAACCGCAAGCCACGGCGATGCTAAGCGCCTGAAGCGCGGTGCGGACGCCGAAGCGGAGGTGACGATTCTGACGGAAGCGGAACTGGAAGCGTACAGCATTTATGATGTCCTGCTCCCTCTGCCGGGTTACGATGTGCAGTTTCCTCAAACACCAGGTGGGTGTTACCGTTTTTGCCAAGTTCCAGATCAGCGTACGTTAATCAGTGTGTTTTTGTAGTTACCGAATTCCTTTTGGATATCACCCGGAAAGACGGCATCGATCTGCGGAGTCGGCATAAAATAAAGTGCTTATGCAGTTTCTAATACGATTTACTGCGTTTTCTGTATGAATATATTTTTGTAGAGATTATTCCTTGTCGGGCAGCTATCGCCCGTTGGTTACGAAGCCACGCGATGTCCGATGGGAAATTAAATTTTTTGACGATCCGGACCAGATGCTGTTGCTGTCAGATGGGGATGTATTGAATGGTGTTTCGCTGCCGCCCAGTTCGGCAGAATCGGGTCAGTAAATGCTCTCATACGACTATTAGGCGTAAGGTGCCAAACATCATTTGCGATAACATGTGTGCATCTTGCAGTTATGTGGTATTGTAAGTGGTATTTAAATGTATAGGAAGTCGAAACTTTGTATGGCTTCGAACTTAGCGTTTTTTTCCTTTAATTCAGTTTTGAAATGTTGGTTGCTTTACCCTGGCGAATATGTGCTGTAAAGGCATTCACAGGGAATATCATTTGATGTTCACACAGGAAGTTACATGGCGCTGATCATGGAGTTCAATCTGCTGGCATCGGTCTATGCCACGATGGCCATACGAGAATTGATGAAGCGCTCATCGAATGTTCTCAGCAAGTTTTCTGCTTCCGAGCCTGCCGAGGAGCCAGAAGGAAACGCGCTGCCGTCGGACTGTTTTGTGCAGGACGTGGGCGACAGTCTCGACGAAGCGGCGTCGGCGCCATCCACCTAATCTTGTTCTCGTTTCAGTTTGTACAGGTTCTGCAGTCCATCTGGGAATTTAAATTCGACGTCGTAATTACAGTCTGCAGACTGTGCTTTTTGTGCGTCACAAAAGAACGGATGTGCGGCCCGTTTCTGCGATTGTGCTTTTTTATGATTAAAAGAAATTATACCGATGGGATATTTACAGTACACACATAACCTGTTGCATTGATCGTACGAGTACAACTTATACTCACAAATCCCTTTCTGTAACTATTCAGAATTAAAAACGTAGAGGCGAGAATTAAGTACAAAAATGAAAATGGTATAACAACAAATTTGCGCTAGACTACCTAATAATCATGTAGATGTCACTAAGCGAACGCCCGGTACTCGTATTGAACTTTAGATCCAAATCGAACAACCTTTTAATACAAGCTTTTGCTTGGTAATTTCATCCACTAAGGTATCACAAAAAGCTCTTACTTCAGTCATGCTTCAGTGACCCGCAGTCACAACCTTTAGTTTAAATTGTCAACCAGAAAGCCACTGACTGAGCGGTAAAAACAGAAAAATTATGAAGCACGACTTACTGTTAGCACGTTGGTTCAGTGTTTACGGTTTTTTCGTTTTACCACTAGTACTATTACCAGTGTGAAGACGAGTACAATACATACTCATAGATCATAGGGCATGCTGTTATGGAATCTTTGACCTTGTCGCAATGCTCACCGCTTGACGCTGACAATTACTTACATATCTGCATTAACTTTTCCTGTTTAGGCCCGCAGGTACTCGCTCTGCAAACTGCGACAAGTGTTCCTTACAAAAAATCTACCTTGTCAAAAAAGTTTGCGCAGCGAGTTTACTTTATCGTGCATGAAGCTCTCTTCTCTGCTCAAGCCTGTGTTTCGTGTGAATGGTTTTTCCACCCATGACGACGAGAAGGATGCCGTTTCATCTGCGCTATGCCACTCCCAGTTCGGACGACGATGATGATCAGGAGCCTGGAACGTCTCACCGCTCGCGACACAGTTCGCCGTCTAGCCAGGTTGATATCATTCCGTCATCTTTGCAGCAGACTTACTCTGCGTCGCCATTGTCGAATGTTTCTTCGGAGTACCTGACATTGCCTTCGCCGAGTCCTCCAGCCAGCCTTGATGTGAACGATGCGGACTCTGAAGATTGGAAGTTATATTCGTTGGCGGATGGGCACAACGCCAGCGTTCTGGATGCGGGGTTGTTTGAGGATTTCTTTGGGCGGCTGCACGGCGAGAATGGCAAAGAAATGCAGGTGGAGAAAGGAGACCAGGACAGTGTCCGCAGTCGTGCAGGTTCGTAAACGCTTTTTTCGCAGTTATGTTATCAGATTCGCTTACGTGGATACTGGGTTTTTTTATTTTTATTTAAAGTTAATACAGATAAACTATTACAAACCTTTAATCGCAGATTATAGCATTATTAATTCTGCGAAACTGCGAGAACAATTTAATTAAAGGATTACGCTGAATTTTTGGATGCATGGTGCATCTTATCGCTTTTTAGTATCGCTTTTTTTGCTGTTCAATCGTTGGGCCTTAGGGGTGCTGCTGACATAAAAAAAAGAAAAATTATAAGGTTTACAAAATTGCAGCGTCAGTTATTAATGGATTTAATAGGTAACTAATTTTACTATTTTTATAAAACAAATAAGAAATTTATTTTGTGAAAGTGTGACTGTGCTTGCATCTGGGTTGCTGAAAAATCATATATAAAATTCGACTTTTTTGCGTGGTTTGGGCGGTGAAAAATACAAATGTGTGTGCTTTTGGAGCAGCCTCCTTGACTCCCGAAAACGACACCAGACTGACCACACCGGAAGAAGTCCCCCCAAAGAAATCTCGTTCAGCGATAGACTGGACCTTTCCTTGGACGCGCATCGATCCGGCCCTGACTAGGAAGACCGGCGTCCGCCTCAAGAAGCGTCGGCCGCCGCCACCGGCCATCCGCGTTGGTAGACGACGCTGTGTGCTGATGGATTGATTGTTGATTAACGTGTGACTGTGGCAAGCGATGGGTGTTAGCTGATGTTGGATTAGGTGATGGGACGGGTTGTCTTTCTGGGTGTATATTCTGGATTCTCGCGGATGCTTCCTATGTGCGACTCTGGTCTCAGTTGTGGCTTGTTATGATTGAATTGGCTATAAGTGAACCTCTATTATTTTTTGAAATGATGCCTTTCGATTCAAACGATCTGTTGTGATATCCCTACTGCCTTCTCTCTTTGTTGATTTTTTTATCTCACGCTTTTCCTAATAAAGACGTAATAACCGGCTCTCACCACACCTGGGCAAGCGCGGATGCAGAACATAAATACCGCAAAAATTGCAAAAACAACTGTATGCGCGCTAAACACTTGGTTTGTAAATTATTATGCGCTTTCTTCGAAAATTTTGTCGGTAATAACGGTAGAATGAACATCAGCGATGCGTGGCAAATCATAATCATCGGGCCAAAAAAGCAATGATTACACATGAGATCGTTTGTTACGTAAAGCAAGAGCCAAATGCCAACCCGAGAGCCAGTGAGCCAACGAAATGTGGGCACAGCATTTGAGCATCACGCCGATTTCTTGCTGGCAGCCATCGCCTCCTTCTCGTCGTGAAACTGTATAAGTTTTTCCAGGCCGTAAAAATGTCCCCGATTGTAAAACATATTGCGCACCTGCTGCTCCGTCTTGTTCGGCAACAGCCGACTGGCGCGTCCGAAATCCTTCCCATATTCGACCAGTGAGCGCATGAACATCTTCAACTCCTCAGCATGCCATAGCAGTGTCGGCTCCTTGGTGACCTCGGTGCGCGCCTGTCCAAGCGTGTCATCCTGCAGCAGTTCATCCTGGTAGGTCTCGCGCTGCTTCTTCTCTTCCTTCAGACCCTCTTCCTGCTCCAACTGCGCCAGCTGTTCATCCAGCTGGGCCATCTTCTGACGCTCCTCCTCCAGCTGCTGCTCCAGGCGGCGTTCTTGACCTTCCCATGACTCATCCATCTCGTCGGTCTCATCCAAGCCTGCCATTTCATCATCCATAGCTTCACCCTGCAGACACTCGGTAAATACTCAAATCATCTGAATTTACTATTTAGTAGTTAAAGGAAGAATAGAGTTAACAGATTTATTCTGTAAACAAAACACAGAAATTTCCACTTTGCGCTAACAAAAACCACACTACGATAATAATGCAGTATTTCGTAATCTTACACTTGGTCATGTAAAGATAAAAACAAAATGTCATACATTTTCGCTAAACTAAAATAAAATCGAAATGCCGAATGCGGGAATAATATTCCGTAAAAAAATAACTAATAATAAACAATGTCAAACTATCAGCAAACGGAGAGAAATTAACTGTCGTTACCTGACGAGCACGCAAAAACAGCATTCCCTCCGTGGATTCCTCGGGTATCTCGGTCGAAACGGCAGCGGAATTGGCCGCATCACGAAGGATCCGCGGTCGCCCGACTGCCTTAACCGCCGCGGCCAGCGGCGCTTTGGGATCGGTCATCAACTGAGCATTAGACAATTTCCGCACCTCTGTCTCAGTGCGCGTCGTCGTCTGCAGTTTATTATTGGCCTTGTTCCGCTTGAATTCAGTGTAGTAGTGATTAATCAGCGTCTGGATGGAGTGGTTGGGCACAAGATCCCGGATCCGCTCAAAATTCTTCCCATGGAATCCGTAACCCTGCACGAAGAGCACTTTGTCGTGCAGCGGCATCCCCTCCTGCTTGCCCACGTAGTCGTGCTGCAGGGCGGCCAGGGTGGCGTCTACCTTGTACTCCTGGAAGAGAAGGAAGGCCAGCACCTGGTCCTCGTCGAAACCCTTGCTCTTCAGCTCCGCCAGGAGAGCGGTTAGTTTCTCCGGGGTGATGGTGTCGGTGGGTTTCCACAGCGGGATCTCGTGGCGGCGATGGACGTGCTGGTAGTAGTGGTCGGCGGGGGTGGACTGGAGGGCGGGCAGTTCTGCCTGGTAGTTGGGCCCGATGAAAATCTTCTTGTTGCTGGCGTGCATCAGCGCCTTTTCCTTCGGCGCTGATTTCATCGGCAGCGAGGGCAGATAATCCATGCGGAAAAGCTTGCTCGGCTGGGGCTTAGCCCCACGACGGTCAGATAAACTCATGGAATTCATCTATAAAATTCACATAATAATTATAAATTATAATTTAATTATTGATAACTTATACAGTTTTCGCATAATTTACTTTTCGAAAAATCCAGACTGTGTTACGGGGTTACCTATGCAATTATTTAAATTCAGTATTACGCACTTAAGTTAATTACGCTGCTGAATGCAGTACGCTGTCTTTTAAGGAGGACAGGAATTTCGGGGTATTTTTATGCATGAAATTTGAAGCATAAAGTACTCAGTACTGTAGTGCCATGGGCGCACCACAGGAGCATTAGTTCTAATAATCCCGTGACAGCTACCGTGTACTATTAAAAACAAACTGCTTATTAACCGCTAACGATTTATCAGCAATGCAGGGCAAATTATTCAACGTTAAAGGATCATCTCGTGGACAATCACCATAAAAACAGGCGAAATCCTTATTTACTTTCCAACAAAACTACTATAATTCCCTTGGGAAGAGCTTCTGAGAGCAAATAAACCACATATTTTTCAGTAATGTTCGAAATACTCGCATCCCAATCCCCAAGTTAGAAGCGCACGCAATGAAAGAGCAACCACTAAAGAAAACTAAAGCTTTTGAAACCTACGAGCTTCCGAAACCTAAAGTCAGCGTATGGGCTTACCTTGGCCAACGGGAAGCAATTGCACCGAAGGAGTGAGTGAGTTCGGTAGTCGTATCGGAGATGTCACGCTGCGACGTCGTAATCACGGATTCAAAGAATACTCTGCTCAGCCGCAGTGATACAGTCTACTCATAGTCACTAGTTTATTTGTTTTTTGAACCGTTCACGAAATAAAACCAGACAAAAGACACGTAACTCGTACGAATGCAATCAAAAATTAAAAATTAAATGAATCAATCAGTCAACTAAAGTGATACCGATGCGACTCTGGAAGAGATATAGAAGACAGTCAAGACACAGCAGTGGCTTGTTGGCTGACAGCATAGTGCAGCGGCTTGCAAGCGACACCAAAGTCGATCTCCCTGAGGCGGCGCTTCCGATCATATTCGCCACAAGTAAGTTCTTACAGTACGTACTAGTACGTTTGTTATGACAATGTCTGATCGCTGATTGTGAGGTTCGGAAATATTAACATGGAGTTTGGCTTTTAACATAGCGTTTTGCTTTTAATTGTTGTTTTACGACTCTATAACTACGCCTATATACTCAAAGAGAACGACACCGGTACGGACAGTGGTCCTGGATGGTGGTGGTGGTTCACCAGCATACAGTAGTAACCGTTCCGGCTCATCCAAGACCGCCGAGGCGTCGCGCCGGGACGTGCAAGATCAAGGGACATCGAGTCGAGCGCCGCAGCGGTGTCAACCCAACTGCCGGACGATGCCGATCCATGCCGCCGGGTAATGTGGGAGCTGACTGAATGCATCCGAATTCCGACTGAATGACACCAACGTCGTCGACTCGTCGACATTTGCTACGGCGTCCAACAGGTTCTGATCACGAAGCACTGCCGGATGTCTTCAGTTTCATACTTATAGAAGATCGCCCTTACCGTAGCAAAAGCGAAAGAGTCTATGTCCGCGTGTGGTGCGCTTTATACAGCATATTAAATTGAATAGTAATATTTCTTTTTTTTCGAGTTTTACTGTATTTATTTCGGTTTACACCACATTAACCTTTAACAAGTATCATGATACGAGTACAAACTATGTACCAAAACGAAACTCAATAATATTTCATATTTGTACAACTGTTAAGCGAATGGCGTAATTCGTAATGCCGATCATGAGAGGGCTTTGTATATTGCTCTTGATAGTTTTCTTCTGTGGTTTTATCGTGAACATTACCGGTTCACTTTTGTGAGTGAACCTCAGTTTTATCATCCTTTATTTTCCGATTATGCGCTATTTAAAACGACACATCGTCGAACTGGAGTTTATAGTTACAGACAGTCCATAAGAATTTTGTCACTTTTGCCCTTAAAGATATAATAATTACAATTCGTTTCGTTTGTGTCGATACATTCTTTGTTTCAGCCACTGCCGTGACTACATACATGTACCCTACAGATGACTGAGACATGTGTCAGTCGACTCGGCATTATTCGTTATTAGTGAAACGTTGTGAACGGAATCCGACTATTTACTGTACATGTACCTCAAAAAGAGTTACTTAGTTGATATGTTCCAAAATTCGCAGTTTCTGAACAGAGCAGGATGAAAATACTGTACACTGTAGAGACGGAATTAAACAACTGAACGGGAATAGAGAACGAACAAACAAAAATATCCTTTCCGATTGGCTCGTCGGCTTTGAAATTTGAACCCGGATGTTATTCCACCGCTTCTTTGTCGCCAGGCGCACTGTCACGCAGCGGTTCGGATTATAATATATCCGTTGCGCTTATTGGTGGGGCAACATAACGCGTGACGCACTGACAAACGCAACGAAAATAGCGCATTTCTATTAACGAAGAAAAATAGGCACTTGCGAGAACAAGAAGAAGAAAAAACACCGTTAATCGGCTGGGCGACACTTGGAGCGCGGCCTAATGATAATGGTTGACATTAAGCCGGGTTTGGCGCCCGACTGATAGTGCAGTGTGCGCGCATCCACAGCTGCAACGCAACGCTCATCAGGCGGGTGACAGTGACACTGGCGTCTCTTCACTTGGCAGGTCGTTATCAGCCGGGGTTTCCCTTGTCTCTCCCTGCTGAACGCTGACCGCTCATTATCCGCCGTTAACCCACTACTTAGCGCCGCTTATTAGGCCTCTCCAATCTCCATCCCGAGTGCGCACTTCGCGCGGCTAGTTAACGGGACGCCGCAGCTATAAAAGGACGCACGACACACACGTGCATCTTCCTTTCGCGTTGTTCTTCCCTCCTGATTCCACTAGTACTGTCTTCACGGCACGTCCGTTTTCCTGTGCACTCCGGTATTTGTGCCAAGTTTATCAACACCAGCGTCCTTAGATCCGTTTCCGTTTGCGCGTCAGCGTTCAGAATTAATATTAGCGTAAGTGGCTGGAATGTGGTAGCGTGATTGTGTACAATGGCCCTATAGCGGCGCTCGGGCCGGCCAAATTGCCGGGGCAAATTACGTTACTGTGTCATTTCCGGCGGCGCTAGCGCGGTAGTTAACGATGGCGCCACAAAAGCGCTAATCGTTGGGCGACTTAAGCGCTACCGATGCCTTTGTTCGTTTTCCATATAAAATAGCTCCTTATTCCTTGCAGTCTGATCTTTGCTTTAGTGAAAGTGTTGCTGAAATCTTTATCGAGTTTTATTTCTTATATAGCGTTTTAAGTGAAGCCGAAATGGATTTTTCATCGATGACCTCGTGCATCTTCCTGCTTGCCACTTTCGCCCGTGTTTTCTCCTATCCTATGGCAGCGCATGACACTTCCGCCGGCCCATCCCGACTGGAAAACGGCACACGTAGGTCTTTAACATTGTTTTACTCGTATACGTAAAGCTATACAACTAACATTTCTGTATTCGCTTCGTTCTTTAATTATCGTCATTTATACCAGCTTGCGACATCGTAAGCACCCCAAAGGTCACCGGCTTAAGAGCAAACGTGACAAGTAAATGTATAAGTACGGTTGGGCTACATTGGGTTGGTTTTGTAATTTTGACGTACCCATATAAAAAGCGCGGCAAAATGGGCATCTAAGTGCTAGACTAAAAGTAAGTAACAATATTTTTACGTTTTTTATTTGGTTCGCATTTTGCGTAAGTATTACGTAATTTGCAAGTAACGAAAAAAAAGTTAAAAAATGACTCAGTGAGTCTGCTGAGTTGCCGACGTAGTTTGTTAGATGAAGAAGGTCAACCGGTGTTCATTTAAGTAGTTAATTAAGGTCGTAACCATAAATGATTCCCACGAGTCTCCGGCCTGGATGGGTGTCGTGTATCACGTGTAGTTCTGGGTGCTATCGCCGTCTCATTTTTCAATGTAAATCGTTTATAATTGCAGCTTGCAACGACGTCGGGGAGATTTTCAGCGATGACCCATGCCGACCCTGGTGCATCTGCAAGGACGGCGCGGTCATGTGCGCCGAAATATTCTGCAACAACGATGTACCAAAAACCTGCGGAAAAATTGCCGTTAATGGGCGCTGCTGTCCGACTTATGTCTGTGGTACGTACGAAACTGAAAATTTTGATAGTATGTTATGATAATTAATTTTGTTCATTACGTCATTTGCACCCAAATTCAGTGCTCGCACTGGTTGCGCTATTTTTTACCACAAAAATATGTATTGAATGATTTTTTTGATTTTACGGGTTTCATGTTTTTTAAAAGAGTAATAACTGAACGATTCCTGTAGTCCACTGTATAGAAGAAATTAACAATTTAAACCACGGTGCGCATATTTACGAGTACATATACTGTTTATTTGATATTTATATAATTATGTAGTGCACACCAATGGAACGGCGACGATGCACTATCCGTTGCCGTTGACGGTGGTGCCGCCAAGTATGTACGAAGAGGAGAACGGAATGTTCAAGGACACTAAGCGAAGCCTGCTGCATGCCGGACACCGGTCACGCGGCGGCCTGGTCAACTTGGCGTGAGACAATTCAGTTAAACCTTTGATATCTCGGATATACGGAAGTACCTCCCAGCGTATTTATTACTGTATAAAGTATTCGTCTGCGGCAGCGGCTGCCCCGGGGTGGCTGAGTGGACCAGGGATGTTCAGTTGGTTGGTATTGAGGCGGGATGACCTTTTCGGCATCCGAGCCGATTAGTGGGAGCGGATGGGTGCAGCTGTAGCGGCCTGCCGGGCTGTCGCTGGTATTATGTCCATGATAATTCCATTGTTTGTTCCTCTCGGCTTTCCTTAGATGAGCCCTGTTTTCGCATTAATGATAAATTACATTCGCTCGCCGTTTCAGTGTCACGCTAACCATGATTAATCTTTCTTGGTATTTCATGTCCATTTCTAACGGCTGTTTATCAAAGGCGGCATTAAAGAAGTCGATTTATTAATCTTTTATGTAAGCATGTATGGTTTCCTTACATGTCCGGTTTGTATCGGTTTGCAACAAATGCAGTATTGGTTATGACAAGAGGCAGCGACGCTAGACATGTTGTCATTGAGAAAAGCAATAAAGATGCTTCTAACTAACAATTTTTTCAAGATAATTTCTTTGCTGTGTGATCTAATTAAGGTTATATATGTTCAACTCACGTTTTGCATTGTGAGCTGTATCTGTACAACAGCTGGCTAGAGCGCTCACGCAACGGTTACAATAAATAATGTGAGCGCCAAATTAATGTTATGTTTGTATTGTCTATCGTCCGTGCAATACGCAAGCGTGTTGTAGCAGTATAGAATATGAGTAAATCCCACAAGCATTGCTGAGGTACCGCAGGTACCGAAGCTGTACTCGTAGAGTTCGGCTTCGTTAAAGCTACCAGATCTAGAGAAAATTATGAACTCCATACACCATTCATCACAATAACCCAGTAGTATCAAATACAAGAGCGGCACAAATATTGTCAAACTACGTATACGGTTTAGGTTGACCTGGCCGGCGTCCGACCGCCCACCACATCCAACACGCACTCCGGCGCCGGGAAGGACCACTTAGGCGTTCCACTACTGTTGACGTTGCAGTAGGAGATCCTGGCACCCACCAGCCGGTATCCGCCATGGCACTCGTACATGACATGTGACTTCACTCGATAGGCGCTCTTCACCGGCGTCACACGGCCGTTGGCCGGTGCTCGCGGGGCCTCACAGGCCGGTTCACAGCGCGGCGGCGGATTACTCCAGCGCCCATCCTCCCCGCAGGTGGCCACCACCGGCCCGCTGGCCATAAAGCCCTTCTGGCAAGCAAACTGCACCATCTTTCCCACCAGATAGCGCTCCGTCGGAGTCTCCAATGCCTGCCCGTTAGTCGGCACCGCTAACCCCGGACAGTACACCGATTCACAGACCGGCACCGGCGCCGACCAGTTTCCAGTGTGGGTGCAGTGTGCGCTGTGGTTGCCGACAATGCGGTAGCCGGGAGCGCAGGTGAAGGTCACGCTGGCCTGGTAAAAGGTGCCGTTGCTGTCCAGAAAAAGGTTGGGGTCGGAGCTATTGAGGGGGGCGCACTGCACCGCGACACAGGTGGGTAGTGATTGTGCCCATTCGCCGTTCAGCTTGCAGTAGACAGCGGCTGGTCCGACGAGACGGTAGCCGGCGATACAGCCGAAGGTCACTGTGCTGTTGAAGTGGAAGTTGCCGGTGTGTAGCAGTTGCTCGTCGTCCCATGGGCGGGGACAGTCGACGGCTACAGCCAACAAATTGTTTAATTTGTTTGGCCCCACATGTAAATAACCATAATTCGAAATTACAAATGATAGGATCAATTTGACAAAAAAAAAGTAAATGTTGTTATCGTTGGTAATTCTGGCACTATCGATTTTAGCTCGACCCTGTCATTGTCAGTTGTTAATTGGTTAATCAATAACTTTCTTCTCGGTGCTGCGCTAAAAGCCGATTGTCAGCTGCTGATGTAATATACGGAGAAACTGTAAAGGCGCCCTGACGTCAATGGCACGCTATAAGGTTATCGATTGTGCCGTTAATGAAAATGGGAAAAGACTTCCTGCCTGTGACTTCGACGATAAAGCTGTGGCTGGTCTTGACAGGCGTTGTGCAAGTGAACTTGCCACTCTGCTCCGGCTGGATGTTTCGGATGGTTAGACGCCATTCCATCTTGTTCCGGTAGAGATTGCGCGTCCACTGCATTAGAGCGTCGCTGATGCTGATGGATTTCGACCAGGTCCATTTGGGCGGGCCCAACCGCCGCGGTTCATATATACAGCCTAAAAATCGTGCGTGCACGTTAGCCGCTTATACTCGTACATACGCGTACATAGAACAAAAACAGCCCAGTTAACTCCCGGTCCCTGCGTTAATTCTCATTACACTATCGAAAGGGCCATAATGCAATAACTACACGCGCATAACAAAGCCAATAAGCACTGGAAAACTTTGAGTTGGCTTTGTTGGACGTTGGCGCTGCGTCGATGACGTTATAGGTGTTTAAGGGGAAAAGACCGTCACGCGATGGCTTGATGCAGCAATCATCGTTAGCGAACCACAGGAATAACATGTTTACAAGTTATGCACTGCTGCGCCATTAAGCCGTCGACACCGGCTCGTTCAACGGGGTCAAATGTCGGATGATGATGATGGCAAACCGATTCTTATTTAATGTCATAAGCCATTTACATGCAGGATACATAACGCTACTTATCCATCTAAATGTCATCGCGACTTGCGATTACCAGTCCATATACACCGGGCCATTTTATGGCATTATAGTAGAATATAAAAACAAAAAAATGTAAGCAAAGGGCATCTGTTAATAAACGTTACAACCTGAAAATGTCAATCAGCTAAAAATAATGCATATCTTCAAATATATAATTACAAACAGTAAAATATATCTACAACGTAAGGTTTAAAAATCACATACTTCAAGTATATATGTAAAATTTAGCTGGAGGGATAAGTTAGCATACAAAGCACTTACTGTGACCTTTACTCACCTAAATGCAGGTCAGAACCCGGGTAGACGAACAGTCTCCCATCATAATTAGGTGCCACGATGCCCTTGTAGGAGATATAGGTCAGCAGCGGCGGATACAGCCGCCCCTCCTGGACGTTGCTCTCCATAGAATCGGACAGCGGCTGACAGCTGGGCTGAGTAATCCCGGCACCACTACCAATGCCGGCGACATTAGCAGCATCCCGAAAGGTCAAGGGCTCCCACTGGCCGTTGGCGCACTGTAGCACGGCTGGGCCCTGAAAAATGTACTCGCCAACATGCTCGCAGCGGAACATGAGTCGGCCGCCGTGTGGGAAAACGGTTAGTCGGGGCGCCTGCTCCGTAGGCTCGCTGATGTTCAGGCCGTTGTAGAAAATGGACAGGTTGGTGTAGGCCGGTTGACCGGCGTCGAAGTAGCAAGATTGCCACACCGGCTGGTAACTGGGGTCGGCGCGCTGCAGCATATCCATGCGCCGGCACAGCGGTCCCTGCAAGCTCTAGGTTAGTACTATTAACAGCAGTTACTATTGTACGGGTAGTATACCGTGGTAAATATTACGGAAAATTTAAAAGTTACGTACAAGTCTAAAACAAATTGCCCGTGATCGTAATAGCAAATATGCCAAGCTACCTAAACGTATTAGTGACTGCGATTTTTTTCCCCAGATTTTGACAATTCCTTTATGCATTAAAAGGAACCGAACTGTATGGAAATGCAATTTAAAGAACCTTATTAGGAATGCGCCATTTATATTGCCTGCGCAGTTTTATTTGGAGCACATCCGTATATTTTCCAGTTATATGCTCTATGACTGCTTTATTATCCATAAAACACAATAATTATTATAAATTTACAACAGTAGATAGAACACAACCATTATTCCAACAACATTATTTCAGCAATAGTGTATCGTATTTTGATGACAAACAGATATATACAAATATATACAAATATTTAAAATTTTTGTCGGTGTGTACCCTTGTTAATACTCATTGCATACTCAAGGCTTATGTATTGTACTGCGGAGTTACTAACTAATTCAAGCAGTTGATAAGGAAGCATATCCACATTTAAATTGGTTCGTATCCGTTTCCCACTGTCTAATCCTGTAATATAACGCTAAGCGAAAACCGTTTATACAGTTTGAAGTTACATGACATACAGGTCAATGCTCGATGCCGGGTATATCTGTATGTACATATATACGGTAGGGTTCGCTACTCTAACAATTACCGCAATTTAACAGTACTAGCAATCGCGATCGCTGCTACCAAAACGACAAAACTGATTCATTTCAAAAATCTTGTTTTTCGTTTCCGTAAATCCATAATATCATAAAGTGATTCACAAATTTGGGTCGGTAAACTTGTGAACTACAAATGTTGCACTAAAAGGTAAGTCAAAATATTAAAATATTTTGGCTTTATTATCCTTTTACATTCATAGAAGCAAAATGGAAGTGCATGAGTGTTCGCCCGTAGTTCATACATGCGCTAGCGATTTCTAGTATTCTTTTAACTCCCAGTCATGACCAGTCATCTGGAAGCAAAACGGGTCGGGCCTTGTTGTGGTGAATAGTGCCGGTAGCAACCGGAAGTCTACGTCGAGCGCGAACCTGTTGTACCAGTTTAGACCTAAACCGGATCACCTCAAAAGAAATACAATTATTGCCCAGCCCAGCTTCTTAGAGAAATTAAAGAAGATCGTCATTGACAGGTGGCGTTAACAGTGTAATGAGAAGTTTATTGTATGCGAACCTGCTGGCCCATGCTGGCGGTGCCAAAGTATTTTTAAGCTTCATTCACGCATAATTACGCATACACTACAGATATGCGGGTGCATGTGGATGTATTGTATTAATATTTTCCCCATTAGACCGTGAAAATTTAATTTTCGAGAACAACATCTTAACGATAATATCGTGTTTTTATTCATCTAGAGTTGCTTGTTATGTGAGCTATAGCTAGTACATATGAAAGTGCTTTATAAGAGACTCGAATTTATCGTACATACTACCGTAATATATATCTATATACAGAAAGATGAACATTATGAAACATTTAATGTTTACCGAAATGCGCTCTTCCCGGGCCCTGTGTTATATTCTGTTTGAGAAGGGCACAGTTACTGCCACTCTCCATTACTAATTACAGTAGACCGAATTGTATATCAGTATAACGATCATAAGTAAATTTCATTTTTACATGGTTTTAAGGCACAGTGCTACAGTACTTAATGACAATGCAAACCCGCAATCACGTACCGTCCACTGTCCGTATAAGCAGACAAACTGGCACTCGCGGCGGCTGCCATCGGCACTGCTGACATTGGACACCAACAGCGCATCCAAGTGTTCGTAGCGCGGCAGCGGCGCCAACACTGGCATTGCCGCGTCCAGCTTGTCCTTGGCGGCAGGTGCACCCACAGTGGTTGCCGTCACCGCACCGGGGAAGTACAGTTTCAGCGGCGCACAGTGCAGGGGAATGCTGGCGTTGGTGAGGGGCGTGTCCGCCGTGGGAATGCAGTCTAAACAATCACACATGCACTGTTGTTATTATAAATATAATGTAGCACCACTCTGCGCATTGTCTTATATCGACGTACTTATCAGCAGGTTGGGAATGACAACCATCGACGTCACCACGCCAAAGAAGAGCGGGAAACCCACTTGCTCCATAATTCAACAAAAAATCCCCCGATTTATTAGCCGTAATTTTTCCATAACCATCCGCCGCACGCACTGCAGCGCATGGATCATTGCTGTCCAAATCTCGTCCGAATTATTGTCGGCGAACGGAGAAAAATAAGTCAAGTGTCTTCAATGGAATGCAGTTAAGTGAGTCGGGAAGATGTCCCATGCATTTTAAATTCCACCACGCTGAAACGCTTAACCCGGCCCGGCTCATTTTCCAATTCCGCGTGGACTGTTTAAGCGTAAGCCCTCTAATCCGCCGCCGTTTGACAAGAAAGACAAGTTACAGCAAAAACTGCTAAATCTTTCATCAGTGCTCCTTTCAGAATCTTAATACACACTTAACTTTACTCGCTCTAGCTTATCTGATGAACAACACCAACTGCAATCAAGCGAAATGATTTTTTCTTCCGTGACATATATATACTTCTTCACGAGAATGCGAATGCGTGATTTGCATTTTTTGTCTTTTGTACTTACATTCATATTAATATACACGGTATATAATTTTATTCCCTTATTAACATGTAATTAAGTATTAGTGGCGTTTTGATTTTCCATGATTAATTTTAGCCTGTTTAAGTTTTAAGTGATTGAATTACCAGAATTTTTATGGGTCACGTTATTTATTACATTATCAGAGGTAAATTCCTATCGCTATTCACGGCACTAATTATACAGAAGTTTAATATGAAACATGCGATAGCTTATGAATACGTTTCCACTGGTTTTCTTTTAATTTGGCCAGAGTACTGCATAATATGACACGATGACCTTTCGTAGAGCCGCGCACGCTAACAAATTAGCAGCATATTAATCATGAGCGACGCTTGGCAAGCCGTCCAAGCCGACACGACAAGAGCAAAATAAATCGGAAGAAGAAAAAATAAAACGGTCTCTGTATATAATCGATGGTTTGAACGGCGTTTAGTTGGCGATACTTATATATCGATGGGCGACGTGCATCCATCAACGGCGGCGGAGAACGTCGGAATGTTGGGGAAGGAGGCGATGCGTGGCATGCCGGTCAGCCGGCATCTGGATAATGGATGTTGATGGCGCTTACACGTTGGTGGCAAGAGAGTGGAGGCGGGCGTTGGAGCTGGCAGCTAGGGCGGTTGCCGAACGTTGCATAAAATCCGGAATGAGTGGTTTATGGAAAACCAGTGGTGCGCGGCGTGTAGACTGCCGTCCGTCCACCGCTGTATGTGGCACTGCTGCGATCGAGAGTGGGAGTTCGACACGTCGAGACATCCATCACCGGTCGGTGTTGAGCACCGCCAATTTCTTCAGCATTAGGTAGTCGCGTATCGATGAGGGATTGGTGCAGTCCGGCAAGAATGTCCCACGCTTCTGGATACAGTCGCGACTGGAATGCACAACAATCGGCGTTGATTTATGGCGACTTTACCACGACGCTTAATTTTATCTATGCATTTGCAAAATAAAATGCTAATTATACTGCTAGCTAAAGCAAGCACACGCATTTTGCGTTCTAAACAATGGAACTATTTTGGACTATTCTATTCTGAACTATGGAAATAAGCGTTATAAACAAGAGAATCTCAATTTTAATATACACCTGTTATAATAAAGTATAGGTAATTTATGTGAACGCAAGGCGTAGCCTTTTACTTAAACATTCTGAATAAAATTATCTTTCACGTTATAAAGGGCGTTGGAGAAAGTTAAAGTGTGCAGAATTGCGTCGAATTAATAACTTCAAACCGTGCATGGTGAAGATGAAAAACCAGTAACTAGTAAAATATAATGTTACCAAAAATGAATAATTTTATTAGGCCATGGGTTGCTAAAGTTTGAAGTACGAAACAATGGTCCAATAAACCCGGCCTTAAACTTGTTTTTAGCTCAATATTATTGTATATTTGTAATGTTCAGAATATAGTGTAATGCATATAATACAATTAAATTTTTGGTCTGATTTACCTGCATTTTCTGTGGTCGAATATATCTCCAACCAAATCATGGCACTGTGCACAGTTAGCTGCAAACAGAAACCGCGCGATCACAGCCTTAACTCCAAAGGTCATTCGAATGCATGTCGATTACTCACTTATGCAAATGGAAAGGAGGTTGCCGGTCAGCGCCGTGGCGGCGGCGTTCTTGGTGGTGGCGGGAAGGGGCGCGGGGGCCGCCAAGCGCATAAGGAGTATCGCGGTGAGGAAAGCCATGGTCAGCGAGGAGAATGAGAACGAGGGAGCTTGCATCAACATGACGCCGGCCGTCCAACGGGCAAATCAAGTTATAGTCGCGGCAAAGGTCAGCACGGAAATTGTCTGTCAAAAGTGCAAATACAGCCCATAAATAAGGACCGACATAATATTATGTACTGTACGCGCATACGTTGGCTGGCGAGTGCGCGCGCGTCAAGTCAAGCGTTAGTCCCGATAAAAAAAGCTCCGTCTGATCCCGAGCGGACAGGCAACTCATGCAGTGGGTTAATGTAGCCTGCGGCTGCCGGCTGATCGCCGATTAAGCGGGAAGAAATTAAAAGGGAGCGGGCATTTAAGGCCGTTGTGTGCGCGCGCCGGTATTAACCATTTCCGAGCACTTCGCACCGGCCATTAAAAAGCCGTGCACAACCGGTCTTCAGACTGCAACGATGCAATTGCTATGCGCGTCAACGGTAATTGACCAATCACAGGGGAACAATCAGCCTGATATCACTCTCTATCACTGCATACACATTGCAAAAGCGCTGCGCCCTTACCTGTATGTAGACGTCAAGTGAAAGGTCATCGAGCGATGTACTAAACTCAGAGGTCACGGATTGGTACTTGTTAATGCTCACAGCCGAGAGATGCGAGGAAATCAAAAGTGATTAAGCGGTAAATGTTGGTGCAATTGACAGCGCTAATGCGGTTTTTATAGGCGTGACAAATTGGCGAAATGTAGTATGTGTGTACGATACATGTGTGGATGATGATTTGACACAGAAATGTATTTTCGCATCGGCGCGCGCGTGAGTCAGAATTATGGCGGCAAACCATAAATGACGATGCCGGTAGAACTGTGCACCGAAATATCCCGATTGTGGCTAATTCGGGGACAGTGGGCGACACGTGGGGACGCACGGCCAGGGCCAGGCCGAAGTACCGGCCACGGCGGCGGCGGTTGCGGTGGCGGACAGCACGCATCCGCCGCCGACAATTATAATTAGCCGGCCCAGGCATCGCCTGCTCCATTTCGCTGAAATGGTCCGGAAAAAATTAGCAAAAAATGTGTGTGTGCTTAACATTGCATTTCGTCCAACTCAGCCACATGTATGTAGTTCAGATTTCGGCAGAAAAATGATGCAAGAACGGGTTGGAATGGTGTGGCTTTTCATTCTTCCCATCCTCCGCCGGCAGTTATGTGGACTTGTTTCTGCAGTCAACAAATTACGCATCGTTTTCGATGGGGTTTCAGGTTTACGTGTACGGTGACTAGTAATTTTTTCAAGATGAGATATAAGGTCGATAGATTGTTTTCACATTTTCTACATTAATTATAATTCATGATGGTAACAAACTAAGGTTTTGGGCGGCCCAAGTGCGAGGGCGAGGCCTTGCATGTGAGCCGTGACGGCACATGGCCATGCAGGGCCCGCAGCAGGGAGCACCTCGCTTTTACTCGAGATAAGTGGGGTGCATTTGATATTCCCGCCCTCGTACACAACACATAATTGGTATTGCTGTTTGGGCATGTATTGGAATACTATGCAACATTAAATTTGTAATACATAATTTTGATTAATTGGCCTGACGGCTTTAGTTGAACGCAAACTTTGCGGTGTACGTTATTATTATCGTCAGTTCCTTTATAAACCACTAATTATTATAATGTATAATTATCATCCTTGTATTCTCGTATCTGTCTATCGAGTGTTTTTTTTAAGTTTGCTCACAGCATAATAATTATATGGTAGGGACCGAAAAATAAAATACGAAAAATTCTGATAATTTCTATCCTCAAGTAATTTTGATTTAGATGCTTGGCCGGCATGGTCAGAGGCATTACGTGTAACCCTTATATAATAATTGCCAAATTCCATGCCCAAAATAAAATCTGCTCGGCGTCTCCACAGGAATCCAATTTGTATCATACCATTGGGACATAATTGAAACATTCTAAATTAAGGGTTTGAATTGAGAATAAATCTTCTATTTTTACTAGCAATTTGTTCCTTGCGCAATACAACGTTTGTGCACGATTATGGATGGTCAGGATGGATGCAGGCCGCACGTGATGGATCGCCGAAATTAAATCGTAAATCGACTAAAAATACCGCCATCCGTTGTACGAGTATATTTTTAGCCACTTTAACGAGCGAGGCTGTACTGAGTATTTGCGAGACGATGTGGATGGGATGGATGTAAAAAATAATTTATTATGCGGTGTACTGTCCAGGGCATTTTAGTCACGATATATGCGCACTGTAATTTGTAAACATACCATCAATTCATCGATTTCATCCTAACTGATTGTGAAAGCTCATGTCAAATTGTTTTTACGATCGACAGCGTCCAACATTGCACTTAATTGTCACACTGTGCTTAACGAGCTGTTATGTGGACGTTTGGTGATATTTCATGCGCAGAGCAGCAATAACTTAAATCAATCGATGAGCGATAATAAAATAAATAGTCAACCTAAAAACATTAACAGATACAAAAATCAATTTCTGGTTAAGGGAAGCATAGTTCTGATTCTTTTAACAAAGTTTTGATAGTGGTGAAAAATTGCAAACAAGTAATAATTAATGCCGGAGATAACTCCCGCGGGAAGAACAATCCGCCGCGCAACAGCCACATTTACAGCAACGTGGGCATCACGCAACAGTATTATTACAGACATAAAACGCTGTGCGGAGTCGCCGGAGTGCGCATGTCTTTGTCTGGTGAACAGTATCACTGACGTCATGACGGTCACGTTTGACAGGAATCCCTGTGGTTTGATCGGCCATAAAATACAGTCATACATATTGCCGTTGGTGTATCCGCGGGAATGTTGTTGCGATGCAAATCCAGCCAAATATTGCCGGGAAATACGTTAATGTGGTCAAGTTGTCAAATTAATTACGACAGATTTTCACGAGCTGCCTGGGCTGAATATAAATAAAACCACAAGCCGATGGGCTTCCAACAAGTTTCTTATTTTAACGATTCATTGGCAATTTGGAATAGCGCAGTGCATGACCTTTAGTTTCCGCAATTCATGCACATGGCTTAACGGACGCCTTTGTAAAAAACACTCATCTTAGTGAACATTTGCTGCATAATTGTCTTACCGCTGTACCTATCAGCGGTGCTACGAATATAAGTGCTTGCTACACTCATTTTTTCTTGTGAAAGTTAATCCGATCCTGTTAAATTAGCCATGCTGCTGATGCTGAGTTACAAAGGCACGGCAACTGGCTGGATGATCCGACGGTTGATCATTCTGCAGCTTATGCATTACGTACTATTTATGGTGTGCGATGCAACATCCGCAACCGACGCAACAGGAATCCCCATCAACAGTATTGCCGTCTGCATTAGTAAGCAGTACTGTACTATAATCATTTGCTTTGGATTCTAATTACGAATATATACTGTACGGATTGCTGGTAGTTTATATTGCAATAGGTACACGCTAATAAAGGTAAAATTTATTAAAGCTAATAAAAGTTAAGTAGCTAAGTTAGTTTATTTTGTTCTGACTACCGTGAAAAATTTTTGGCTACATGGTTGACCTTTAACTCGCTTAATGTTCAGTCGTCAATTTGTCAGATGACCGCACTTATGATAACATGCTAGGTATTTGGAATTTGCACAGGCTTTATGGTTAATCCTATCAATTTTTGTCTGCAGCTAATTGTGCACAGTGTCATGATCTAATTGGCAACATCTTCGACCATCGCACTTGCAGGTATGCAATGCTGTACAAATTCTATTGAGTTATTATATCTACGTATAATAATTATATATATGGAGAATTTCAAATATAGATACCTATATGCAGTACCTGTAACTATCAAATAATATTATGCTACACAGCGGATAGCCCAAGCTCATAGCGAATGCAAGATAAAAAAAAGGTGACCGTTGACTGTGCACGCAGTAGTACGCTATGTAAGTATGAATTGTACGTTTACAGCAAGGACTGTGTCCGGCGTCGGGCGTCCTTTCTGCCGGACTGCACGGACCCCAACAGTATTCGCGATTATCTGTCACTCGGCTCCAGTCAGCCCAAGATCAATCCGCGTTTCCGCACACGCTAATTCCATTGACGGTCAGTGTGCTGGCTGTTACGTACGTTTTGTACTTTGCCACTTGCCAGCAACCATCTTGCCAATGTGATGTCGTCATGTGCGCTTTCTGGGCACTTGCAGCAAATGTGCGTGTATAGACGAAATGAGAAACTGCGTAGGCTTGCGGCGATTTTGTTCCCGGGAACGGTTACGTACTCTTACGTTCTTTTGCTTTTCCACTAAGATTGTTCCAATATTTAAATTCAATTTATTATGCGGGAATTACAGCCGACTGCTGGTTAACTGCATTGACGTTTTTTATGCTTTCTTTTCTGACATAAATATGTTGCTTTTTTACTCATTGTGAGGTTTAACTATGTACGTCTTTGCAAGTGCAGTCATGTGGCATGCGAGTGTTCTAGTGACAGTTGCAATCTGCTTCAGACGAAATAAAATAATCTTTAAAATTATTAACATACAATAATGGCGGCGTAAATGACTGTAGCCAACATCGCAATACATTATATTTATGTACGGTGCATGCAGCTTGAACCACGACCCTTAATACCAAAAGCGGGGACAAAACCAAAATAGTTGGAGGGTGCATTATAAAAAAAACGCGGGATATTGGCACATTGCGTAGTTTCGGTTTTGATTTTTTTCGGTTTGTATGTGTCACGAAGGTACATCGGACATCACTTAGTCCTCTGTCTACACAGTTAGTATTCAGTCACAAAACATCGACATTACTTCAAAGCATCAGTTGTTCCTTTTTCAGTGTATCATTACTTTCTACTTGTAATGGACGTAAGTCACGTGATGCAATTTGCGCAATGTTACAATTTGCAGTCAACAAAGCAGGAGTTCACAGGATGCGCTACGCAAACGCACAGTTTGATACGCTGCAAGGTTGGTGTCCTAACTGCGACAATACACAACAGTGTATCTGTAGTAGATTCTGTACATATATACGCTGCAGGTGCAGACAAAATCTGATCCTTGTTGGGGCTAATAACAAAACTTAACAATGCCGATCATATCATAGGGGATTCCACAGATCAGCCAGTGTCATTCCGTTGGGTGGCTCCTCGATGGCCAGACCGATCTCGCGGGAGAAGATGATGCGGCGCTGACCTTTCCCATTATCCAGGTAGTACAACTGCAAGTACATGAGTACAATACATATGCAGAGTACCACCACGTACAGGATCATAGCTTTGTCAATATAAACAGACGCACTATCAACTTCGGTTGACGACAGTTTTTCTTACCGCTAGTGCGTCGTTCTTGGGCGTATTGTCCGGTTCGAGATGTTCGCTGGGAGCTTTCAGGACGTCGTTCAGACTCTGCGCATTGAGCTGTCATACGAATTACGATTGATCCAACAGTCGCGTTAGAGTACCTTACTTTACTTTTTTTAGTAGGATTAATATTGTACATACGAGCATTGGTCTGGTACTAATTAGTTATTGATATGATTATACCTGGTCGGTTTTGAGCTCCTTCAGGCCGAAGATGGGCGATTTGGCGAAGAGCCGGTGAAGATTCTGAATCTTTAACATGGTCGCTTGCAACTTCTCCGGCGGATCAATCTGTCAAAACATTCCATTATGCCACTGTTCCTTTAAGTCCAACTAACGCAGCATCATCAGCCAACAAGAGTAGGGTAGATTACTGAAGGCTAACCCACCCGGAATCCCAGATTGCAGGTGGCGCCGTCAGCGTAAGTCTCCAGGACAACGGCCGGCCCGTACTTGGTCTGATTTGGTCGAATCAACTTCTGTATAACATGCGTAAATAAAAGTAAGTTCTAATTTATATTAAAGTAAGTTCTAATTTATATTAACAGAAATCGCAGCCAATATTCATCTGTAGTCGGCTTAATGTTTTTATCCAGATGACTCACTTTAACAGTGTTATTAACTACAGGGTATGATTACGCATTAAAATGAGTATGTCTTAGGTGGAAATGCCGGCAAGAAACGTGGTCCTTATTCAGACCATCGTCCAGCAGCACTGAGCCCTGTGGTAATCTTCCGAAATTACGCTGCCACCGGAAGGAATGGAATATGGCTCTTGATTCGTGACAATATTAATAAGAAACGGCACGGATGGCAACAAATTTCGAAGCAGTGCGCTAATTGGCACAATGGTGGCATCTGTAATGAGGTCGGGTCCAACTGAAACATGCAAAAACGAAAACCTACCCTGCTGGTAACTCACTCATTGGAATCTCTAGTCGCAGAAATGACTTAACCCATGTTAGAGGATGTTTTACCGGGGGTTAATCCAAACAAAAAGTCCAAAAAATGCCCCGTGACAGGATCGAACTGTCGACCTCAGGATTATGAGACCTGCGCTCTACCGACTGAGCCAACGGGGCTTGAAATCTTGGCGGATGTAAATCGTATATCGAAAAGTACGAGCAAATAGCATAAGTTGCATAAGAAATACTGTACGTAGCGTGCATGAAGCACTCGCAGATTAAAAAAAGGCAGATACATGTACATGTGGTAGCGGGTGATGAGATAAACAGTTTACATTGCAGTGGGAAATCAGACCGCTTAAATGGAAGATCGAGGACGAAGATCGAGGGATAGCTAAAACAGGGATCCCCATGCACACTCAGTGGCACTCACATACTAATTACGTTGTTAGGGAAGCCCTACCACGTGGCCCGCGTTTCTCGTGCCTCGTTTCTCAACGTTTTAGCTAAACCACTGTGTCATTACGTACAGATATTTAGACAATTGCAACTCGCGTTTGGTCTTGGTCCATATACAGATATAGTCCATACGTTAATATAGTTTAAGGAACATAAACTGGATGCCGGTCTAACTAATGGCCTTTGTTTGTGCAGTTTGATAAGTTATCTATATAATTACTGACCACGGCGAGGAAGGGAATGCTTATGTTGTAATTATCGTTGATGGCGGAGTACCAGACCAAGCGGACGTTAGTGATGTGCATGCCGCCCAGGACGCCGGTGTCGCTGGTCAGATTGAAGACGCCCTCGATACTGTCGAAGAGCTGCTCATCCGGCAGCAGCTTCAGCGAGCTGCCTTCGATCACTGCGCCGCGTAGTTTCACCTCGCGGTACAGCCGCGATGAATCATATGACCTGATCAACAACATGCATTGGCTCTTATTATTTGAACTGGTCTCTCAAAAGGTCAAGTGGATGCGCTGCACCTGAACACGGAGTTGACCACCGCGTACAGTTTGGCACTGCCGGGGATCTGCAAATTGAACTGCATGCCAACAAAACAAACAACCGTGAATAACGCAGAAACGGGGTTGGGGCAAGCAGAACACGGGCTTGTGTAATCAAGCGAGAACGCTGTACCAACGAGGAGAAGATGAACTCGAAGCGAGCTGTGCTGCATTTGGCGTAAATATATAGAGACTCCACCGATCCGCGCATTTTCTACAAAGAAAATACAAACGCATCCTTTGTTAATGTACTTTATAATTTTGCTGCGCCACTGCTGCGGTATTCGAGCCGGTAAATTACATAGAAAGGGTCGAAATGCTACGGCTTACTGATATTGTCGTCCGGACGGAAACATTGCTGATGCAGTTATATCCCAGGGCTGCATCGATCGCACAAGAACAATGTAATTTTTATACGATACATACTTCGTACACATGCATCTGTAGCAAATTATCATAATTCATTTATATACAAATTTTATGAGAAATGAAAAGCATAGTGTATTTAAAGCATAGCCTTTGCAAAAGCATAGTTTATTTCGATTTTGTAAACTAAAAGTGTGATGATTTAAGCGTAAGCGCAGCAACCTGCAGGCAAATGCGATATACCGTATGACTGCTCAATAAAGAAACATACAAATATTAACACGGGTCAATTGCAGGGATATCCAGATCAGCCGGAGATTAGTCACGTACAGTGTACCTACAAAGAAACAACGGGATAAACATATTTGAATATATTCCACGCTGCTGTATCAGAGATGCGATACTCTTTAACGCCACACCGTGCCTCGTTCTCCTGTGTTGGCCTTGGTGTCCTCGATTGAGTCCAGCTTCTCCAGGAGGATTTCTCCATTTCGCAGTCGCAGCTGTCTACAAATAATCCGTTTTAATCCGCGCAAGACAATGGTGGTGATTTTCACTCACTCTTTGCTGCAGTCCAGACGGACGTCCTTATCCTGCCATAGCATGTCGCGTAGTCCGTTGCCTGACAAAACAACCCAACTGCCAGTTTACAGTACTATATAAGAGCCACTAAATAATACGTAAACAATAATTTTTTATAATAATTTTACATGGTGTCAGTTTTTACTTGTCATATCAAAGTTGTAGCTGGGACCTGAAAGGACACATTGCGCGCATAAATCCAAGAACTTGTCTGGTTAAGCCAGGTAATTCTGGATGTGTGCCCTGTACAGTGCATATACTTACTTGTAGCTTCTGTTGGGGTAATAATGGATAATTCAATCGATTGAACTCATGCTTACCAGGTAAAGCCGGTTTGCCCGAATACAGTGCCCCCAAATCGATCTGGCGAAGCGTCATCACACGCAGCCGTTACAACTACGTGCGACACTCGGGCCTTAGCTGCATTTATCCATCCCATTATCGTTCATCGGTGTGTACAGTTGAATAGCCAGTATATGATCACTGTCGTCCTTTGCCGGTGTGGTCTTCTGCTAGATACATGAGGAACTCACAGCATAAAGGTCAACCAGATCCAGCACGTATCGTATTTTATCAATTAGTGACTCGTCGTGATTTGGAAGCCCGTCCCAAAATAAAGTCCCCAGGTCGTGTCCTTGACTCATGCCTAAATATGAACCCAGGGCCAGTGGCACAGGTGATAAGTTGTTGTACTCGCATTAATCATCATACCTGTTCTTACTTTACTTAATCCAACGAAGCGCAACTATTCTCCCGAGCATTAGATTCTAGATCGATCAAAGTCCAACTTCTGCAAAATGCTCGTCCATTAAGCATGCGTAATTGATCTGAAACCCTTACGAAAAATAGTGACCCGGATTCATTAAAATACGGTATGTCGCTGTTACCGAGTTTGGACACCCATACTGTACTCGCAGCCCAATTTAAGCACGAAAACAAAGACTCCAGCCGCTCCACCAGGCTAAAAAATTTTAACATTAACTTAAAGAGTTTTATCCAACAGATCCTTCGACCGTTTAAAACCTTCTCGAATGTCGTTACATTCGTCTGACGTTCGTATTGTTGGAGTACTAGGGGTTGATCGATAAATCCTCTTGTTCCGTCGCCATCCCAGAACTTAAAACACACTACAAAACTTCACAGTTGCGTCATACCGGTACCTAAGTAACCTAACGCCTCCCACTTCAGATCTTGCGCGTTAGATTCCGTAGCCGGAGCACCATGCTGGACAAAAGGTCAATATTTTTGCACTACGCCACGTACGGACTACGGACACATTAAATACTACTCGGTACTCTAGTTCCCAATGACATGAACACTACGTACAGGATATCTTGGCTAAAAACACCTTTCCCGACACAGCTTAGCTTGTCAGACTGAGTTGTAAAGTAGGAAGAAATCTGAACGATAGGCATGGATTTCTGTGGAAATTTTCTTGCTCCCGGTTGTTCCCAGCCGTTTGTTAAGTGGCGTATGTAAACAACAGCCTCTACAATGCAACAATGCCGGGGCGGCATTATCGACCGTCTACCGCGTCGATTAAGAGTTTGCAACTGCTTTCGAGGAGTATTGATTTATAATGCACTGCAAAGTTTTTTCGAGAATTAAGAACTGGTATTTCACCGTATGCCCCGTTTTATGCGATTAGCTGACACTACAACAGAGCAATTCATCAAAATATTAAAATATTAAAGGTTATCAAGGAAGATATCTACTTCCTTGATAACCGATAACCTTTGATGGATCAGTCGGATGGAATTAAAAGAATAATCTATAATAATAAAAGGATAAGCCTTAACGAAATTCCGTGTGTGTCATCGATGCATTAACATTGCGCTGAACCAAACCCCGATATCTATAGGTCATTCGATAGCCCTTAACGTAAAGATTTGCCAGCAAAAGTGAATTTTCAAAGAAAAACAAACATTTGAATGAAAACTCGAGAAAACGTTAACATACAAAGTCTATGGGAAAAATCAAGAATCCACCACTGCAAACCGACCATCCCACCACTGTCTCGGCAGCCAGAACACGTTGGCCAACTTTGCTGGCTGGGACAGGGGAAAGCTGTAATGTTCTTGAATCATGATCACGTATTATTCCATTTATAAATTTTTCATCAGTAACTGGGTTCGAGAAAAAAAGATTTGAGAAAGAAGGCCTAACAAGGTCTTCGAACACGGAACTGCTCAAAACTATTTCTAAGGGAGCTGTCTTTCCCAGTGGTTTGACCCGTTTAAAGTTGCAACGCTTCCATAGGCGGTTGCCATATGCCATTTGAGGTCAAAATTTTTTTACTATTTTTTTTCCCGAGAAAGGCGGCAGTGCATGTTCGGGGTTGATTTAAAGCAGCAAGCTGGCAGCTGCACATCCTACATCAGCTTGGATTGTTAACCCTACACTTGCAGTTGATGTGTATTACCATAACAGCAGAGCTATAGTTAAAATTTGTTTTATTTGAGCAACTGCTTGACAGTCATTAGTAGAGAAAAGTTTTGGGAAACTTGGAATAGCTCCGTTAGTTTGTCGCAGAAGGCGGAGCCGCAGGCAACGCCGAGCTGCGGTGCGAGCGGAGCTCGCGGAGCAGCAAGCATGCAAGAAATTTCGCGTACACGTTCTCGGTTTTAGAATCAGCTAGCAGCGGAGAAGGAAACACAGCGAACGGCTTCTGTCATTATTTAATTAAAGTAGTTTAACTTTGCTCTGTGGTCAAAGTAACAGCGAAAAAGGTGACTATTACTGTATTAGGCTCTTACTGTACTGATTGTTGATGGGCAGCGTGGTGCATTAGTGGTCAAACTAGGATATGAAGTACTTAACGTAAGTAAGCAAACTGTTATCAGATAGCTTGAAAAAGCTCAGTATGGTAAAAAAAAGGGAAGAACAAGTTTTAATAAGTGACAAGGTCTATATTTAGTAGCTGCACGAAATGCTGATGGTGACTGCTCTGGAAATAAATAGATCGGAAACTAAAGAATATTCCCCCGCTTTTGTGAAAAAATAACTTCAAAAATTTCGCAATTCAAGTTTAAGGCAGTTCTGCAGTCAATTAAATTTTGCGGTAGATATTATTGTGTGTATAAGTGTATTATAGAATTCTACGCTTCGTTCGTAAAATCTGCAGTTATGAGGTTTAATTTTTGCGCTGAGTTATGATTTGTCCATCGCATTATTTACTCCGCGCAATTTGCGCGGGGTCTGCTAGTACATAATAATATCGCCAGTGACTTAGTGTAGTCCCGTGCCGTCAGCTCATCTAAACACTAAACATTTGACAGGAAATTGTTCTGTTATCCAATGGTCCTAATCCTAATCGTCTTCTGCAAGTCCTAAAATTTATTTGCCATTCTGAAGACGTGAATTTAAATCTAATTGATAATCTTTGACCAGTAAGTAGTAATGTTCGGACAAAAAAGCATCAGAAACATTCGTTTCTCCACTAACGACGACAGTTAAAAGCGCAACTGCGGAATAACAGTTCAATGACTTAACAAATCTGAAAACGTGCATCGCACTCAGGATACGGCGGAGTCGTTGTGAACTTGGTGATGGAGAATATCGTCACATTACAGAGTATCTGGTTTGTCTAAAAACCGTCAAATGGAAGATTTATACACAAACACAAGCGTAAGGATCAAAACTGCGCGATCAGGGCAGAAAGGCGTAGAGCCGAACAGGTGCGCCACTGCCCTTTTCGATCTTCAGCGGAGCCGCCAGGAGGAGGGCGCCACTGGCCGGCACCCGTTCCAGGTTGGCCACGTTCTCCAGACCGATCCGATTATGCGTCGACAGGATGACATGAGTAGGGAAGTCCTTGGATTGGCCGTAGTCTGTCGAGGGCGTGTCCACTCCTGCCAAGCGCCACACACATTTTTGTAAGCAAATGAAAAGCACAACTGCACAAGCAACAATGTACAGTATCAGTTTTACAATTTTTTTTCTTGGTCTAATTTTATCAGTTTCATTACGAACGTCAACAAATAAGTACAGTAATAAAATAATGTCTACTTGAATGTGTACACAACTACACATGGCCGTGCATATTTTGAACATAGTGACAAGTTATACGAATAATGTGATCATATTATTCGGACTCCTCTGTACGTACCGATGCCTCGAATGTTGCGCTTCACCAAGAAGCGAGTTGCATCCGGATGAAAGCCAGGAAAATGCAGCGTGGATACATCGCTGTAGTTCTCACTGCCGAACACCTTGGCTTTCTGAGGGTAGCGCGCCGAATCCCAGTTGGAGTACATCAGTACGAACGCCCCATCCGGCACCGCGCCGTACTGCGCCTCCCATTGGCGGATGTCTTGCAGACTGACCTGGTAGTCGGGATTATCGCGCACCTGTGCCGAGACATTGACCACCACCGCCGGTCCAAACAGCTGGCTCACTTCCAGCTGCGAAACGTCTTTCCTGTATGAGCGATTGGTTTTACCGCATGAGTATGTTTCTCGACCAGAACTACGATGCAAGACGTGTTATGCCTCACCCTTCTTTGGCAAAGTGCGCCGGCGCGTCCAGATGGGTGCCGCCGTGTTCGGCGGATCGGAACAGTTTGGAGCGATAGTAATACCCCTTCTCCTGCTGGTCCCACAGCGCTGTTAGGGAGAAAGTGGCATTGAGGGGCTCCAGATTGGGCCAGTAGATGGTGGCGTCGTTGTACGCGTAAGACAGATCCACGATCTTCGATGCGTCCAGTAATGCCTGCAGATTGCGGCCACTGGGAGCGGCCAGCACGGTTGACCACAAGGCCACGACACCGAGGAGATTTGTCACAAACATTGCAAGGACATCCATCATAATTTGCATGTTACTATCCAAGCGAACAAGTTCGAAACAACCAGTATTGTGGTTTGTGATCAATCTTCACAGTTCTTCGCCGGCAGTTCAACAACAGACTTAAATCTTATAATAAAGTACTCTGTCGTAAAATGAACGAAGACGACAACACGGGAACTTCCCACTGGGAGTTGAGACAGCGCAAACGATTCTGAAACGAACGCAGTGTTCAGAGGGGAGAAAAACTTGTGTTGATCGGAATTTTATGATCTGGTTAGGCTAGTGTCATTATACCGCTGATGACAGCTTGTTTTTCTGGGTTTTCGACGAAGTCGGATTCTGTGACGCAGCTGTATTGTACATATTCATGCAAGACAGTTTAAAAGCGTCCATGCAGTTTACGTACAACAGTACATACTCTGAATCACTCATGCGGCCGATGTCCAAGAAGCGGCTTGTATTTATTACAAACTGCACGTTACAGGAAATTGAGTGAAGTGCGTTATACTTTGTAGCTCCTACTTATAGGAACTCGTAAGATGCGAAATAATAACTGCAGTTTTTTATTTGCATATTTATTGCCTAAAAACAACGATGCGGCTAGTTTTCTCCAACGCAAACTTAGCGCATTTTCATAAGTAAATAAATAATGTGATAATCGTACTTAGTAGAGTGAATCACCGTCGATATGCGGGAATACAACTGATTTGTTCGTGCAATGCGGAAAGGGCTGTATAATTACGTATCACAAATATTCCTCGTTGTTTGATTTAACGATACTTATACAGTGAGTACTGGACACGTTTGTCGCAGCAAGGATTTCAAAAATAATTGTTAAGGAGACTGGCAATTTTGTGTTGCACAATGGCTTCCATCAGTTGAACGAGTCAAACGAGTGCGTAGAGATTATCGGGAGTGTTGACTGTCGGTGTCGGGTAGATGATCGTTGCCGATCCATTGCTAAAACCTGCAATTACCAACCACAGCGGCTTACCATCACCGTTACACACAAAAAACCGACAATGACCGTTTGAATCCTTAAAAATAATGAGAAAACAAGAAACTGTCGGCTGGAAAATGGTTTATATACAGTGCAACTATAAATGGTAAACAGGCAGGCATTAATATCGATATGAATAACCATTTTCTGTTCCTTGTAATTGTTAATTACATATTTATATAACACTACCGTACATAATCATACTTCCTGCAGATTGCTGGGGATTGGTAGGGTAATGTTGCAGCACTGCCACACATATACCGTACATCCGTTTAAAATTTTCGTAAGTTTTCATGAAAGAAAATGCATAATTATAGAAGAGAATATCATGCCGTAATTACCAACAATTTTGACACGAAATCAGATTTCAATAGCTTAAAAACTTAACAAACCTCAACTAATTAAGTACTGTATGCACCGGCTTCTACCAGTAGAACATATGTATGGGAACTATCGTTGCCAAACTGCCCAAACATAAACTGCTAATGTGGTGTTATTATATTAGTGCAATTAGTAGCCACTTACGACAGACATAATCCGGACAACAGCGCTGGGGGTTCTTCAGTTTCCAGCATTCCGACACGTTTTCCACATCCTCGGTGGGGTCGGGTGCGGCGCAGGCGATCTGGGCACAGACGATCTTCTGGCCGACACACACGCAGTACGGCTGGCAAGGGTCAAGACTCTCCACCGCTTGACCCACCTCACACTGTTGCCGGCCCTCCTCAGTTCCTAAGAAGGAAAAGCAGCATTATAAAAAACATCGTGCAAACCAGTTGCAAGCTACTTACTCCAATACTGTGGTGCACCGAATTATATTACGAGTACTTGCAAAACAGCCGCAAAATCGATAACAAATTGCGATTAAACAAATTTCTGGTCATGTGATATTTTATTATTGGGAATCCTGTACGTATGCACTAAAATTGTACGTATCCTGCATATTGATTCACTTCTCAATTGTTTTACATATGTATTTCCAACCATTTTAGTTGTTTATTCAATGTAATATTTATCACCAAAAGTCATAGCAGGCACATAGGGAGGAAAACTGTGTAATGGTGAATATTGATTAGCATTGGTGTAACCAATACTCTCACAACTATTTTGGCTACAAACATACGATTATGGCCAATAGCCAAGACTGTCCAATACCGGCCAAATATTTAGAATTTCCGAAAAACAAAAATATCGAAGCGACTATTTTGCTGCAAATTTACGACAAATCAGACTATTAGCCACCAGCCGTAATGCTGCGTATCGCTGCGACTACGGCAAAGCACTGCAACTTATTAGCAATAATGAAAGGTCACCAAATGTACAGAATCTGTATGTATTAAATTTCAGAATCTGTATGTATTAAATTTCAGAATCTGTATGTATTAAATTTCAGTTTCCCGTCCTACGAATGTAAAACAAGGTACTTAATTGTCCAAAAAAAGATATTCGATTGCGGACCAAGGCAAAGTTTCAGAAACTGTACGTAATAAAGTCAGTAATCAATTACCGTCCGATCTTCGTGACCATTGCAGCACATCGAAGGGAAATCCTTGCACCGTTCCGTAAATTCCCAGCACAAACATCCACGCACAGCATAATCCCATTGTCTCCATACTACAGCGATAATCTTCACCCAATACTTTCACACGCTAGTAATCCGAGGTTGACCGTAAAAACAGGAGTAATGCGCGCTTTCTCTGCTCACTTCGCTGCTTATATACTAATCGGCGCCTTTTGAAAGCAACCCATTATCCGTAACTCGGAGTAATCTTATTTTAGCCTCAACTTGCCTCGCAGCGCCGGTAGTTTACGGACAAGAAAACGCAACCTTGCCGTTGTCAGCAGTCCCCGTGAGACCGGCGTATTCCGCTCCCGAAGCGCGAAAGGAACAATGCATATGTGCGCAGTAAGGATGCCGGGTATAAAAAGCCGAGTTTAACGGCATATGTGCAGTACATGGATCACGTTACCCGCGCTCACACGGTCATATAAACCAAATTACGTTTAATTCACCTAAGTGCGCCAACAATTCCTCGATTCAACCAAGCAAAAACCGCCAATCTCACCGGAGAAGTGAAGAAAGGAATCCACTAATTAAATATAAAAAATCAATAATGCCTTTAACCGAACAAATTCAATTCACGCCCATAACAGCGTGTCCACCGTGCAATTACCGCCGCTCAACACTACGGCCACCTTATGACCCGGCACACTGCGAAAGCTCTCCGACAGCACAACGGCCACACCGGCCGCCGCGCTGACCTCAATGACCAGCTTCAGATTCTGCCAGGCCCACTTCATGCCGGCCACCATCTCGGCGTCTGTCACAGTGAAAACAGTGTGGGCCGTGTACTGGCACATCAACGGGAAGGTAATGTCGCCCGGCTGCTGCATGCGAATGCCTTCTGCCAGAGTGGGCAGGAACTGTGGGGGATTGGGCCACAGGCGTTGTCCGGAAGATAGGCAGCGCTGCAGGTCCTTGCCCACGGGTTCTACTGGACACACTGTGAAAAAAGAAATTCCTCTTATACTTCAGCGCTCCAGTTACAATGCCTTCATTTTTACCACTTTCAAATTACATACATTGATTCTAGGGCTTATTTTCCAAATTAACCCACAAACAAGATGCAACTGTTTTTCATTATTCAGTTTCATAAAAATTATCCGTGGGCGCTTGGTTTCGTTTCACCTTATTGTTAGTTTACAGTCCACTCTTCCGAGCGATTAAAAGCGTTGCCATATTATTGAGGGTTTTCTCATTACTACTAATTATTGCGGGAAGCCCAGTTCTTATAAAAAGACGTAGCTATTTAGCATTTTGTGATTTTTACTGTACCCTGCGTGGTAGGATGCATTTTTGCGAAAGCAATGGATACACCGGACGTCATGCCACCACCGGAAATGGGCATTATCACCATATCCACATCCGGCACCTGCTCCAGCAGCTCCAACCCGATCTGTCCTTTAAATAACGCAAATGTTGACGAGAATATATACCGCCACGAAAGCTAAATAACTCCACGGAAACAATGAAAACATAAATAGCTGCCTCACTGATATGGGAGAAACATCTAACAAGATGGATTACGTGACGCACTATGAAAATGTGATTCCACAATTTTATGCTGTTAATTATACGATCATATATCATTTGCACATATGTTATTATTTGATCATGTATCCACGGAATTATCGTACAGATATGAATAAGAAATGTTACTCTCGTATTAGCTTTTAGAATTCAACTGAATTTCAGCATGACTCGAACAGAGGCTTAGTTCTAAACTTCAGTACATGCATTTCGGAAGTACCGGTACATCCATTGTTAGCATGTTCGTTCACAGTTCTAACGATAGGTTCGTTCGAGATACCAGTACAATACATCATTTTAGCAATCTTCATCCAGTTTTTTTACGTAGTGCACCGAGGTCACTCCTATTTCACAAGTTCCCCAGAAAAGGATTCTATCTGCTTTTTCAAAGGAGCCCCTTTTGAAAATACGTTTATGAAAAATGAGTGGACTCTATTTGCGGGGAATACTAATTGATAGAAAACGAATACGAGTATAGTATATCGATATTATACTAACAAAGATACTAAGTAATGAAATTAATTCAGAACAGCAATCCCCGAAATTTCAGGTGCGTGGTTGCGTTATCTTCTGGAAAGTTACCTCCAGTGGAAAAGCCTCTGATAGGACAACTAAATAAACATCTCAGTAGCCGTTGCAATGAGCCGATAGAGATACAGTAGATAATGCTCCAATTAAATGTCTAATCGGGCCTAACCTGACCAGTTAAGTCGCACATCAGCGAAACACGAGATATTCACACCATGAAAATACTACCGTAATAACCTCTATGTACCAAAACAGCGGCAGTGAAAACGCATAATCGTTTACGCACCGTTCCCTGGCCGGCGATAACCAACAGATCGTCGTAGGGCGGCACTTCCACTTTGTTCTCCTCCTTGGCAATGCGAGCGCAGGTTTCTTTCCTGGGGAACACAATGAACCAAATGATTGAACCAAATGATTTAGAAAAAACTACTAGCACACTGAGTAATAACGAGCTCTTATTATATGGCACGGGAAATAACACGTAAGTGAATACTCTACCTGGCCGTCGGTGTGGGAGGACAGACCACGCACTCAGCGCCGTACTTCTTAATCAGCCCGATCTTAGCGGACGGTGTTCCTTCCGGCACCACCACCGTGCAGGCGATCCCACATCGTTTCGCCGCCCTGTAGCAATATAGGAACTCATGATCCAAGCAATCCCGTCGCAGTCTGGTTCACCAAAGATAGACTTAAGAAAATAACTGGCATATGGCATAATTTCTGAACGGATTTGCAATTTATTTAAAAACAACAAAATATCGATCGAAATGTCGAGAAATACTGGACACTGGACAGAGTCACAGACCAGTCATTAGTCACTCATTACCCTGTTACTCAATAAAATGCTCATTACGGCAAGAGTAAACAGTTTCAAACTTGCAGTGTACTGTACTGCCAGTGTTATTATTAGAATATTATTCCTAAAACATCTCAATAATTAAATTTTTAAACTGATACTTTTATTCATAATCATTCACGTATGTATGACGTATCCAACGAGGCCGAAGAATAATACTTACATACTGCGTGATATTTCTTATAAAGGCGAAAGACAACAGCCGAGTCAGACGTACCATGCCAGAGCTTGTCCGTGATTTCCACTGCTGTGGGTAACCTATCCAATGTTTAGAAACAAAATTAATACCTGGCCGTTTACGATCATAACGAATAAAAAAAATTCAATTCCGTAGTCGTACGTTAATGGACACTACTGTAAGTAATCATTATTCATTAGTAATGCCTTCGATCCAACTTACAACTCCGCTCAATTTCGGATCTTTTTCCAGATGAGCCAGGATCTACACGCGTCAAACAAATCCACAATGATCAACAACCAAAACACGCAAATTACAGCATGTTCTGCTTACAGCATTTAATGCTCCTCGAGCCTTAAATGCTCCTAAAATAGCGACACAAAACTTGTAAGAGAGGTGGGAAATCGCAACGAGCTGCCAGACTTATGACAAAAACAGAAGGCAAAATCCAGCAATCACGGTGCAATGGTTGCGTGCGTACCCGTTTTCTGCAGGTTCTCGCACTTGAAGTATATTTGCTTTCCGGAAATGGCATCGGCATCTTCATTCGTAATCACCGGTGTCTTATTTGGAAAATGCGGACGGATACGCTTCTCGGCGCGGAGCACTTCGTTGAACAAATCATCCAGACTCAGGTTTTCGGACGAACCCATTTTTAGAATTTCTAGAAATGCAGCGGCCAACAGCGAACTACACAAACACATAAACACGGACACCGATCTGCAGAAAGAAAAACAATTTGAATTACCTCTCGAAAGTCGAAAGTCAAATAACTTTTTTAAATTTCGCAAGCACAACTTGCAACAGCAAAGCATGTACGGAGCATATTCAGAAAATTAAGGCCCTCTAATTTATACCCCGGCATGTGTATGGGTAAGAAAACTAGCAAAAGTGAAAAGTGCAAACCAAAAAGTTCAAAAACAGCTGATTTTCAACGTGGCCTCGTCTCGCTCCGAATCTTCGAGCAAGGCGTAACATCTCGAGCAGTTTCTTCAGCCTTGACACCAACCAATAATATCAACTCACACTACTAACTCTCTCAACTAAGTCCCGTGCACCACTACCACTACAATCAGCGTCCTCAGTTTAATACACAGTCTGGATTTCCCCCAAACTTTATCCCGCAGCGTTTGTTGTGGATTTTGATTCGTTTAGTCACTGAGCATGCTATCCAGCGCATTATCCAAGATACCTGATTATTACAACGGCGCAGTATTCCTAACTAAAGTATTCTTCCGTTATAAAGTCTTCAGAATGGCCAGCACGCATTCCAAGCCAACCGTAGAGAAACACGGCGACTCCTTCACCGTCACAATTCTCCCGGCCCTGGAGGATAATTTCATGTACTCAATACCAGACCTTGTATGAGCCCTTTGCTTTTGTATTATTTGCAGCGCATGGTATGTTTTTATTAGGTATCTGATCACCGATACCGCGACCAAGGAAGCAGCGTGAGTGTGCATGAGCTTTAACCAGCTTAAATCAGCTGCGCAAACGTGGTGTTACGATGTTTTTGCATGCGGAGCAGCGTGGTGGATCCCGCTGACGCCGACGGTGTGCGTCAAGCCGTGGAGCAGAATAAAGTGCAGCTTCGTACTGTCCTCACCACCCATCATCACTGGGACCATGCAGGTGGGAATAAGAAGATGGCGGAGCTGTTTCCTGACATCAAGATCGTGTCGGGGGATAAACGCGCGGAAGCGACCAACCATTTGGTGGAGGACGGCTCGGCTCTGCACGTATGTCGAAGGGAAATGTTCCTTGACTACTTTGTAATGATTTAACTGGTTGCAGATAGGGAACACCACGGTCAAATGTCTTTTCACTCCATGTCACACTTCCGGACATATTTGTAAGTTGCAGACATTTTCGTCGCTCACCCAACAGTGTTGATTGCACTTCCTTGTTTTGTGTTCGAGCAATACGTGCAAGTACTTAATTATTTAGACGGTGTGATTAAAAATTATATCTTTATTACAATTTTGGAAGCGGTATAGCCGCATAGGTATTCTCGTTTGAATAGCAAGTTTTTCCACAGTAATTTTGGGATTAATGTTTTTGTGTTTGTTATTTTATTAATCATTGAAATGGCTGTATCACAATGAAAGTTTTCCTTAATAAATCTACTTTTTCTTGTTGCTGGTGCTCAGTGAATGGTGCACTGAGTGTGACTTGTAACTTGTAAGTACAGACAGACTTGTAGTTAATTCCTTCTGTCTTACTCTTTTTCTTCTTCTTAATTTTACTTTAATTTTTGTACTCTCTAGGCTACTATGTGACTCCATCGGGCAGCGGGGAACCGGCCGTTTTCACCGGCGACACACTTTTCCTGGCTGGTTGTGGAAAATTTTTTGAAGGTGCTCTCATATGTTTACCTGGCTTTGCATGAGATTTACTAGTGGGTGATAACGAACGGGATCTAAGAAATAATGCAGGACCTTACTGCAAAGCATAGACGTCGCTAATCATTCGTCTGACGCTGATCACAGGCACCGGCGACGAAATGTACGACAATTTAGTGCACAAACTGGGCCGTCTACCGGCGGAAACGGTACGTTATACTTCGTGGATTTTTTTTCTAACTCCATGAAAGTATTCCGGTGATTACAGAAAGTCTACTGCGGTCATGAGTACAGCATCCAGAACCTGAAGTTCGCCGCTTCCGTTGATTCAAATAACACCCATGTCCAGGACAAGTTGGCTTACGCACAGGTAAGCAGATGCAGCGCTTCCTTAGCGGTGTATGCGCTGATGTAGATGATAATTGTGTGTAGGAACGCCGCAATGAGGGCTTGCCGGTGCCGCCGTCGACCATTGCCGAGGAGAAGCAGTACAATCCTTTTATGCGCGTCAACGACGCCAAGGCCATGGCTGTTATGCGCGAACGCAAGAACAATTTCAAGTAAAATTTCTGTAACTGACGTTTGCCATAACACGTTCCTTTTTATCATTTCTTTCGATTGGGGGTTGGTGGGTAGATTTCATTTGGCATGTTTTTCGTTGTTTAATTTAATTGATTTTTTGGTCAGTTGATGGTAACCGGCTGGTTTCTCCTTTGCTTGATTTTTATTAATTTATGCAATTTGGCAGCATAGTAGTATGAGAGATTTTTGTTCTCACCATTGTTAGTTTAACTCCGCAGTTGTAGTTCTGCTTTTGTAGTACAGGGATTCTGTTATAAATGTTTGGCGCTGCTGGTTGGGTTATCTGGCGGCAATATCATACAGCAAATACTTTAGAATTTTACTTACCGTTTACTGTGATTTTTAGAATAATGTTATTCTGAAGTATTACTTAATCATAACCCCTACTGGGAGTACCCTACGAGTACTCGTATTTGCACAGCAGATCAGACGATCATTCTAGTTCTACTGTTGAGGTGCGACATAGCAACGTACGGTATCAGTTCTCTGCGAGTTCCATACATGGAAGTGATGTTAAAGTCCTGTACTGTAATGCCGTCGATTCAAGAAGCTCAATTAAAAAAATGAAAAATAATGTCTTGGGAAAATGCTTGTTGATGATCATTTCGTAGGCCATTACCAATATACTTGTATACATTACATAGATTATCCAAGCATGCAGCCATTAAATACATAATCTGCGACAGCCCGTGTGCAGATAAGGGGATCTCTCCCGTGTAAAATCCGAATGTAACCCTGCTGGAGTAGGGACGAAGCGTCATACCGCCCGCAGTCCGTTATGCCTGATTGATGCCCGCTTTTGTGGGCGCGAACGGCCAAGCAGGACCTTCCCCACAGTCATCCCGACTCAGCCATGACGACGCCTATTCCGCACTTCCTCTACAGGTATTTATTTTAACATGGAATACCAACAAGAACCTTGATCACCACGAGGAACTCCAGGAAATCTTCACGGAATCCGGCGCCCCCCACGCTGACCTTATCGCCGTCGGCCTGCAGGAAGTCCCGCTTAACCACTCCCAGTTGATCAAATCCCTGCAGATCGTCGCCGGCCGGGGCCACATTCTCTACGCCGCAGAGTCTTTAGGTACTATTCTCCTAGTGATCCTCGTTAAACGCCATCTCCTGGCTTTCTGCAGCAGTGTTGTCCCGTCAGCCGTGCATCTACGTTCCTGCAATTGCATCCGCACCAAAGGATCACTGGCCATCTACCTGAAGGTTTTTGATTCGTCCTTTCTCTTCCTGACTGCCCACTTGGCGGCCGGACACTCGTGGAAGCGGCTGTTCAAGCGCACTCTGGAACTGCGGAAGATCCACGCTGGGACGACAATCCCGGGGGCGCCGCGCTGCACCCCGGGGCGGTGTCGGTTTGACAGTGTCGATTTTGTATTTTGGGCGGGGGATTTCAATTTCCGGCTGTCAGAGGAGCGCAAATCCGTGGAGAAGATCGTGCAGAAAGTGATCCATGCCGAGCATGTCCGGCAGGATGAGATCCGCAATTTGATGGCCTGGGACCAGTTGTCGCGGTACAAGATGGCGACAACACTGCGAGATTTTCACGAGGCCCCCATCGACTTTCTTCCGACGTACAAATACGATCCCCGTTCGCATGCGTACGATACGTCGCGCAAGCAGCGCATCCCGTCGTACACGGACCGCATCCTGAGCCGCAGCGGTCCCGGCGGGATGCTGGTGTGCCGGATGTACGGGTCGACGCGCAACGTGGTGACCTCCGACCATAAGCCGGTGTTTGGACTGTTTGAGGCGCGGCTGGTGGTGCGGCGGGAGCAACTGCTGGAGGATATGCCGCTGGCCACCACCGCTTCCATGCTCGCGCGCTTGTACAAGCGGGAGCGCCGGAAAGCGGTCAGGAAACGACCGGTGCACGGGCACATTTCTGCCTGCGGATGCGGACTCATGTAAATAACTGTGGAAAATTGTATTTTTGTGTACTAAAATATGTATGTTATCTTTTATTTTAATTAATAATAGCTTTTGTTGGTATTTTTATTTGCTTGATTTTCGTCTTGGTTTGGCCATGGCCCGTGCGAGATTCAGATTAAAGTCTGTTTTTAATTTTAAGCACATTTATCTTAAGCGTCGTCATTTTGTTTGAGAATATTCGAATGACAATGGCTCAGCGATAAGACATGTTTAATAACGATTAAATTTTTGATAAAGCTCTCGCACACGAATGCAGTAATGAATGTGCCCTTCATAGAATGTGCGTAAATATAAACGTGAGATGACTGTGACTTTATCAAATGCAGGGTGATCACGTTCTCAATAAACACAGCTGATATAATAAAGGCATATTATCCAGGGCACGTTTATTAAATTGCCAGGGAATTATGGCACGTTTATCAAATTGCGAAATTGTCATTTGAATCACCGAATAAATCTCAGCATTATCTTCATCAGAGTAACCAATACTTAATTCCGCTGCTCAGTGCATGAACCCGCCAAAATAAGGAAATGCTTCTCTTTTGAAGAGACGCACGGAAGCCGCTGTTTTATCGAAAAATGTAAATGTAGCTGTATCATATTTATTCTTATCGCGGATATGGCCAGCGGAAGCGCCGCGTCATTGTCTCGGGCACAAACTTATCGTCCGGCGTTTATCGTCGTAGTGAAGAAATTAAAGTTGCTCTTAATTATGGTTCTCACTGTACCTTGACTGCTTTATAAACCAGTTACTGCCTCTCGTTAGTTACATCAACTGATTTAGTTCTAACTTCCGGGCGCATACTCAAAATTCCTAACTCACAAAAAAATGGCAGGCGCTCTGATTATTCTGGCACTTTCTCTTGTGGTGGCGGTGGTCGGTAAGTACTGCAGCTGTATTTACAACATAAGCTGAGATGCAGCAGCGTGACTGTGCGCGCGCGCCCGTTTTACTTGTACAGAGTAGTTTTGATCACATTTAAATCAGTTAGCATTAAAAATTAATATTATTTCGATTTGGACACTACAGAGTAACTGTATGTATTGTTGCAGAAGTGCAGGCCAAGCCGATGTGTCTGTGTCCGGCGCTGTGGCGACCAGTCTGCGGTGAGGACGGGACCACATACAGCAACGACTGCCAGGCCAGATGCCAAGGTCAGTCCACTTAACGGGATTGGTCGGTACAAGGTACAAACTATCGGACTTTCATAAATCCAGCATAATTTACTTCCGCGCAATCCCAAATCATTTCTGGCGTTGCGATACGACATTGCGTCGCACCGTTTTTTCATATATATTGCTGTATAACTGCCTGTACATGTAAAAACTATAATATTATCACTCATCACATCCGAATACTAAAATACGGATGTACGTATCTGTATGCTGAACCTTCTACGCATTGGTTAGGAGTAAGCGTAGCGCACGAGGGTCACTGCGGCAACGTACAGCCCAGGAGCACTTTCTGCACCCTGCAGTACGATCCGGTGTGCGGCAGCGATGGCAAGACCTACAGCAACGACTGCTTCGCCCGGGCTGCCGGTATGCCGGCATCGCTTCACATTTCTTTGACACACAATAAATTAAGACGTTCTAATGATTCAGGAGCCCATGTGGCGCACAAAGGCGAATGCGCTACTGCCAGGGCCAACGATATCATGTGCACCATGGAATACGCGCCAGTCTGCGGCACCAACGGTGTGACCTATAGCAACCGCTGCTTCGCCCACGCGTCCGGTGCCAACATCCTACACAGTGGCGCTTGCCGAGGCGAGACCAAGGGTGTCTTCTGCACGCTGGAATGGGCTCCCGTCTGCGGAAGCGATGGAAACACCTACAGCAACCGTTGCCACGCCGGTGCCGCTGGTAAGATAAACAGAGCGGGAATATTCCTGAGGCAGGAATATGGCCTTACCAGTCGCGTATTTGTAGGCGTGCCGGTGGCCCATACTGGAGAGTGCCGGGAGGCGGTTATTTGCACCATGGAGTATGCACCCGTTTGCGGTAGCGATGGAAACACTTATGGCAATCGATGCACTGCTAATGCTGCCGGTACAGTAACCATTGGCAAATTCAATAAGTATACATAATCTGTTGATTATAAGACAATTTCATGTAGGAGCAACAATTGTTCATGATGGTGAATGCCGGGAAGCTGTTATCTGCACCATGGAATACGCGCCCGTGTGCGGCAGCAATGGGGAGACCTACAGCAACCGCTGCCTGGCTGGTGCCGCCGGTACGGAGATCCTTCAAAAGGTCACTGGATGTTGTGTCTAATGATCGAGTTAATGTGGTTCTAGGCGTAGCAGTGGCACACAACGGCCCGTGCCGCGAACCCGTGATCTGCACTATGGAATGGGCACCCGTGTGCGGCAACGATGGGAACACCTATGGCAATCGATGCGCAGCCAATGCCGCCGGTATGCCCTTTGCAGGAACTATTCATATCTGATTAAATAGCAATTATGCCGAGTATGATCAGCAGTGTGCGAATATGTGGCAGATTATGTCAAGTAGTTGTTCGGCTGCAGGTGTTGAAGTGGCTCACTCCGGAGAATGCTGAAGTAATGCCGCGCGGAATGCGATTAACGTATAAATCATCTTTATTTCCTTAACCAGAGTGTCCAGATTATCCTCCTCATGTATTTTGGCTGCACTGCTCCATTCAGTGTCAACGAAATTTATAAAATATATCAACAGTTTTGGCTGAGGAATTTTTGTTGGCCTAAGAAAAATACTAATTAAAAAATGCGAAAAGTGTTTTTGAAGTAATACAAATATTTTTGGATTAATATGAAATGCACGGTTACGGAAAGCCGGGAAAGGCGACGGATAAATTCCTAATCACGTAAATAAGTTTCACACGGCTAGAAAAAATCATTGTTGACAATTACACGTATTTTGCTTTACTGTGGCAGACAAGTAAACCCACCAGTTAATCCAGATGGAGCTGGTAAACGCATTTTCCTGTGAACCGACACCATTCGCGATATTGCCGCTTATGTAACGTATACCCAGAATGGGGCCGGGTGCTCTGTCTGGGACATGTGAATATCAAAGAGAGTAATAAGGTTGAACGGAAGCGTGCAACTAATCCCCGGCTTCGATCGAGGACCGCTGGGAAATGCGCACAAGAGTACATTAATTAGCGTTGATATTTAAAAACTACCGGCTTCGGCTCAACTTTCCCGAGTAAATTATTTTTTTTAACTGCTTAGCATATATCTACCGAATATCATTACATATTTTGTGCACTGTTGATATCGACCTAACTCTAAGCGATTTAGATTTATATCGCGGTTATTTAATAAAAAGGTGCGCCAACTGGAAACCTCTTTACGACCAAAACCATTTCCGCTGAAATAATTACATTTAAATCAAAGCCAAGCTATTGCGTCAGAGTTATACTACACAGTTCTACAGAAGCTGTATGACAGCTAACAACCAACCACGTGTACAAGCATAGCAATTAGCCAGTATTTCATACTGGTGCTACAAATAAAAAGCCGCGCGAGAGAAAGAGAAGAAAGCCATTTCAAAAGAATTTAAATAAATAGTCTAATTCCGTTATGACGAGATCGTTGAACACAATACGCTGAAGGGGAAGTGGGTGTGTTGTATACGTGTGTGGGATTGTGTGATGGTGTGCTGTGTATACAGGATACAAGGTGGGCTCGACGGAAAGGTCATCCTCCTTGTCATCGCCGTTTGATTTCGTACAGCTCATCTGGTGCGCTGACAATGGGCAGCGGATACATCATTGTACCGGTGCCGTCTTCGTGTACTGCGAAAGAACAGGATATCGTAAAATTATTAATTAAGGCATGTCTCATGTAATGCGTATTATGCGTATAAGCAACCAAATGAGAAACTATTTTTCTATAATTATGATACAGCACAGCTGCAATTAGTTACAGGCTGTAATAAATTAATATCTTACCATTTGTAGCTTATGTTGAATAGTAATTATTCAAAGCTTACCGCATAGGTAATTGTGGCAGCAGCGTCCGCGGACGTGGACCTTCTCGCACTTGGCCTTGGGATCGTCCAGGTCGAAGTCATCGGTACAAGTAATCTGGGCGCAGATGAGCTTGCCCTTGGAGCAGACGCAGTACGGCTGGCAGGGATCGCTTGACTCTACTTCCCCGTCACTCTCGCAACCTGTCAACATATACATCCATCAGACAATCGTGTCGTTAGGATGTTCAGCCTATACATTCGCATATATCTGTATACACGCACACTTGTTTGCCGACAATCCGGCATCTGCTTGTCTTCCCGGCCTATCACATATCGCGCATCCGATAAAAGTTTGTCAATACACAAAAACAGATAAAATGCCGTTTAACAGATTTTAGTGAACATGTTTGCGTCATTCATTTACCTCTTCAAAAATGGCAAAGATACATAAGCAGCATTTTAGCACAGTAAATTTCTCATTAGCATATGCAATTTCTAGCACACGCATAATCTACTGTATTGGCAAATTTAGCATGACAATCTACAAGCGACGATGGACAGCACTGCATCGTAATTTGTAATATTGTTCGGCTTTAAGTCGAATTTCTTACAAGTCGGTTTTTCCCAATATTAAACAGCAAAATTAAGAAAATTTGGTTGTTTTGATTTAAATAAGAACTTTTCGTTCGCAGAACTTTATATTAGCGTTGAACTGACTGTGAACATGCTAGAAATATTTTCACAATATGTAAAACCTTAAAATTAATGATTTCCTTCGTATGAGTGCATAACCTTTACGTCAGGGTCAATACCTAAGTGGAAATGCGTTGCAAAACATGATAGACTTACGAGGGTGAATGGGTGTCAGCTGACCAATCAGCTCATCGACGGCTGACCTTCTGACGGTAGGCGAGGCGAGGACAACGCCCAGGCAGAGAAAGAACACCGCCGAGCAGATCAACTGGAAACTGGTAGCCAACATTCTCATAGCGAAACGTTACTTCTCGATTACAAGAAAAAGAAACACATAAAATTCCGGTAAAACTGAACAGTAAGAACTTTGTGGCTTTCAAATAGAAGTTGCAACAGTGCAAGTGGGGAAGTGTTGTGCCATGCAGCCGGCTTTATATGCGGCCTGCAAAAGCTCATCACTCGACACCGACGCAAGCGCAGCCACAGACCCGGCCCCTTTCCCTTCCTTTCCGGCTGGCTGTTCACCATATGCACTTTGAGTGTGGTGTAAATATAGGCTGCTAACTGCCGGCTCCGCTGGGGTGCTGATGGTAGAACTGGATCTGGCCGGACCCATTAGGCATTAGCCGGCAGATAGATATACATGCATTACATTAGCGCATTACACCGGCTTTACGCACTGCTCGACTCATTCACACCGACCGTTGCGGTCACGCGCACCTTCAGCACTTTGTAAAGTGTCAACTGGGTTTCCGCGGACAGAGTGTTGAGCAAGAGTTTATGGCTGTTTTCGCCGGCTAAACTTCTCACATCGGACCATTTCGCCCGAAAGTGCTGTTAAAAATTGGCTGCGGTCAGTACAAACACGGTGATACATCATTGTTTTATGTGTTTTATGTGTCGCGATGGCTTGTGACTCAGTGCATAAATCCGCTCGGTGGGCAAGATTTCGTCTGAGTCAGGCTAACACCATTTAATAGCGCTTTTTTATGGGTTCAACGATAAGCGAGTGACGAAAATTCTTACTCCAAAACCGTACAAAAATAAGTATGTAACACAATATTATAAAACAAAAAAGAAAAATCTCATCAATTAGTAAAAGACTACAAATTCCGCTTTATAGTGAGGGATGACCTTTGGGTTTTTTGGTTGCGTGCGCAATTCCCCTGTGTACATCGCCTAATCACGTGACGCGTACATTTTGTGAATGATCAGCATAAAGCATGTTTGGCGGTGCCGCGACGGGAATTATGCTTTAGAGAGGACAGCACAATTATCAGCTGATTTCCGCCGCGTTAACCGTTAGCGATCCCCGTTGAGCGCCCCACACGCAGGCACTTATCGCCAATGATTGATACGGCTGTTGCAAGCGGAGACTTGTTAAAACTGATAAATATTGACACTTTTGTATGGGCAATGGGTGTTTATGCAAATCCTGTCTGACGTCGAGGGCCCATCTTCGAGCCGGGGCCGGCACTGATAACTATGTGCATACAGAACAATCATTTGCCTTTCTCTATGAAAGTTTCCCACCGGTGATATCACGCGCGGTAACCGTAAATTACGGAAAAGGTTCTTAATAAAGAAAATAAGTAATCGTTAAGCTGGCACACAATCGAATAAACCAAAAAATGTTAAAAGCGTTAGCTAAGTTAAGAGTAACTACCAATAATAATAATGGTACTAATTAAATAAATTTTAAAAAATCTGATAAATTATTTCTGAATTAGGTTGATATATAATCATATGCGAGTAATATTATTTGGTTAAGGTACAACTATAAAGGCGTCATATGAATTTATTGCAACTAGCTTTTGCTTACAGTTCATTACAGAATAAAACAATTTATTAATAAAGAAATTAAAATTAATTAAAATAAAAATGAACAAAAATAGCTACGGATTGTTGTTGGGTGATGCCGGACAGCAATTGCCTGGAGATTGCGGAAGCGTGATATGGTATCGGTAACGGCGGCAAACTGTCTAGTTGTGTATCTGATTACCCTGTGTCGACCCTGCACACATGTCAGCAGTGGTCTAAAATTGCGACGGGATAGCGAAAGGTGCCAAGATCATTGACGTTGGATGCTGGTCGATCCCTGTCAACTGATCCATCCATCCATCGGCCGGGCATGCTGCTGCCTGGATAGTGCCGAACACCGGCCATCACGCCTGATGATGGGAACGGAAGTGGAGCAAGAACGAGCGGGCAGCCGCTATATCACCATTCAACAGCAGCGGCCCCACCCGGCACCAGCGCTGAATGATGCCCGCTCCCCAAAATAACGTCCCTTCTTGGCATGCCCCGCACCACCATCATCATTTTAAGTTCATCAACGGTATAACATACAGCGCTCCTAGTTAATTACCAGAATTGTCTAATCATTTCGCAGTTGTTCCCTGGGCTCGTTCTAAGTCACCGCACTCCAGCACAATATAACTTAATATTTGTAAACAAGTTCAAGCAGCCCCACACACATACACATATATCCCCTCCAGAAAAAAGGCGCTTTAATTAACAAAAAATACGGGGCACATACGATACTGCAATTTGGATTACTGGTGATAATAGAATACGTTTTTCTGTATTTCTCGAATCCTTGCCATCACATACTTACATATCCAATAAACACTCGTGTAGGTACTCACAAATGCTGCTCGCCGTTAGTTTATCCTAGCTTGTCTTTCGAAACTTGAAAAATTGTTTAGGGGAACAGGTGAAATAAAACTAATAAAAACAAACATATATATAATTACTGCATACCGGTAAACGCAAAAACATAAAATTAGACGTAGGTTGCTGATCTAAAATTATTATAAACGTGGGTATGACTATGAACTAAGCGGTACGACGAAGTACTGTACTTCTACATATTCCGTAAATTTCTCATGTCCTGATAAGAGAACGTAATTAATACTTATCCTACCTTCACTATAGATTTTTCAGAAACTTTGACCTTTGTGTCGTAATCGGCGCTTCTCGCTTTACCGCCGGTAATTACGGTATTAATGTACCGAATGTACAAAACAACCGCAACTTGTGACAAAGAAACTGAAGGTCATAGACACTTGTCTTCGAGTGAAGAGCGTAATCAGTAATTAGCGCGGCTAGACGCATTATTATCCCATTTTAGCAACGAGGCACCGCAGTCGCCAGTGGATGAGTGTTAATTATCCCTTTTGCCACCTTTTCCCGCCGGAAAAGCTGTTAGACAGCGTGACAACCGTCTACGATGGGAGTTATGCAGCCAATTTCCGGTTGATGGACAGGAGGCGTTTTTGCCCTTAAAGCTGATGCTTTCCAGACGCAGAGTCGCCAGTAGCAAGCAGCACGTGCCCACCGGCATTTTTCGCCTATATTTGCTACTTCCACGTTTTCTGATGAGCTGTTTTCTGTAGAAACGTAAACTGGCAATTCGGCAAGTGGCGCCCATGTGCCGCATGCTTATTTCTACTGCGGTGGTGCTAATTGCGCACTAAACGCGAGATGTTGTGTTGTGTACGGAAATAGCGGCAATGTACGTCATCCGGGTGTTGGCGAGCGGAGCGCGGCGATCATTCGTTGCGTGAGTGAAAGCGTCGATGGATTTATATATACGTGCCACACTGTATGATCGGGTTAACGTATGCCGAATGCTGTTCTCTTCGTCTTCCTTGTACTGCTTCCGCGAAACGAAGCTGACAGTCTTGTCACGCTGATGTTTTTCTTCCTTTCGGTGAGCCTCGCGCCAAGCGTATAAAACTCCTCCGCAGTTCAGCTGCGGCCTTCCACTCAGTAAGTTTATTTCACAGCAGTTTAATACTGTAATTTGTTGGGAATGCTAATTGTTTGTTTCCTGTCGCACCTCGTTAGCCTCAGCGCCTTCGTCATGCAGCGTGCACTGGTCGTTTTTCTAGCGGCGGTGGTCGGCGTGACCTTTGCGTTACCAATCGGCAACGACATAGCCGCCAATGTGACAACGACAACGGCGGCCAGCAGCAGCAAGTTTATTATCGCCGGTGCAGGTCAGTCCAACTAGTGACCTTTGTTGTATATATATCGCATCATTAAACGCGCTTTCGATTTCACTTTGACATCGGGATTTTTTAGCCTGCAACACCATGGACGAAATCAGGAGCGACGATCCTTGTGAGTACGATACCACTATCTTAAAAAAATAATTTTTCGTTATCTACGCACACAGGGGTATCGTAAAAGCGCTGAATTCCGTTGAATATTTTACACAGCACCACCGTACTGGTTGCATTAACAGGTAAACCGTTGTGCGCTTGTAAAGAGGGCCGGATATTTTGCGCCGACATTATCTGTTCAACGGACACCTTGCCCATGGAGGAATGCTATAAACTACCGCTCAACGGCAAATGCTGTCCCAGTTATCTGTGCAGTACGTACAGTACTTCTACAACCAAATTTCAAATACATTACAGACACGTACGCCGATTATCCCACAAAGAGAAAATTAATATAAATTTAAAAACTTGATCATTATCATGGACTACTGCCTAGAACACGTACACTGCCATGATTCTTAATGTTATTGATAAATTAAAAGCTCAACACTCTGTATTGTCCATTAAGCTGGATTTGTAATAATTTTACGTATCACTTGATCTGCGTGATTGTATGTACTAACTAATGCATGCTTCTCCGAATCGTGAATATGACGCTGACAGTGTGCGCTAGCTTTTGAAATTAACAGGTCGTGGCTCCATGAGCTTTTGTGGATTATTGTATTGAATGACTTTCAAGCATTAGGTATAGTTCGCCTCGTTTATTTGAACACGTATTATGATACTGGGTAAAACTAGCGCCTATTATTGATGGATATTAATTTTATGCAATTCGAATTTCCAAATAAAAGGCATCGTTTTCTCTATCCACAAAAATTTATTGTGCACTGTGCGGTTATGGTGAGAGATTGTATGGAGCTCGTTGTTAAAATTTAATGATAATTTAAATAATTATTAATACTGTTAAATATTTGTCAAAGCGTGTGAAGGGTAGAGCACGAAATGGTCACGCTGTTCGTTGACAAGCCATTATGCATGTGCAGCAGTAACAAGTGTGGTTAAGGATAACTACACATCAATTAGGGGTAACTGCGCATATTTACTGCATGTTGACGCCAAGTTGACGGCGCGTCTGCTTATTGCATTAACGCTATAAGGGTTGTTTACTGGAGTTAATGTTGCAGCGGCCGGCAACGGGACGGGCGACGTGCACTATCCGCTGCCGATTCTGGTGGTGCCGCCGGAACTCAACCTGGCCTCCATACCCAACTCCAAGAGCAACATGCTGCACCGTCTCAACTGACCTTAACGTCAGCGCCATCATTTAACACACCGGCCTGGCCAAGGTTAATGCGTCTAGGCCGTCGCGAAGACAGACGTGGCCAGCCGCTACAGCAATATCCTCTTTAACATCAACCTCATACATCCGGCGCCGCTCCGCTCCACTTTTCCATTGACAAGACGTATTACGCACTGGAAAGTATTTCCCACAATTTATTCACACGGCTTGGATCAGATTTTCTTTTCTGCGATTTTATTAACATGTTGCCTTGATATACTTGACGCGCTTACATTATGGGTTACGTATGGCATTTACGAAACGGCGATCTGACACCGTCGCTCGCCGGCTTGATTAATGTTTCTTCGTTCTGATGCAGTATTATCATAATTATTATTACACACAATAAAAAAATAAGCAATAGTTATGAATTTGACAAACATAAAATTAAAAATTTATCATCATTGTTACCCAATATCATGATACTCATTAATATTACCATGATACCCAATATCCGTCGATAAATTAATTACAGGCAGTGAAATGTACTTGTAAAAGGGAAACGGCCAAAGTGGCTGCGTAGCAATCTGGGATTCCAGTAATTTGGTCGGTCATAATAATTATAATGTGCTTCATTATGTGTTAATTTACCTCGTAAAGCTGTAGCGTGCCCGAACTGAAAGCAGATGAGCGAATAACGGTGACAAGCGTACGTTACGTTCATACAATTTATGCATTCGGGGAAGTGAGCGTTTTACAGTTGGACTGCGAACAGTTGCAACGAGCGGTCAGTTTGACTATTGTTGAGAGGGAAACAAACAAATGCCATCTGCCGGGAGGCGATGTTGCTGCGTAAGCCGGTTGAGTTGTTGGTTCGTGCGTTAGGAGGGTGCGCGATGCCGACAGACAGTGCAATATTTACAAACTCACCACATGTGCCGGCATGTACGTGCCGCTTCCTCTTGTTGACCAGATAGCTGACCACTCGCTCCTATAAAACACACACGGCAGCATTTCTAAACATTCCTCGTTCTTTTCTATTACATAACGCACACGTCGCACAATTCGTCAGTATATCGGATTTTGCCGGGCAATTAGTGACCATGTAAAGTATCACAACATGCACCACACCACCGGATTGCGCCGCCATAATGCATCTTTTATCGGGATATTATATCGTACTTCTTATTGTGACAGTATTATTATGTGCACAGACATCCCTAGCGGTGATACAATTACAGGTACAGCTCCGTATCATTTATTTCTTTATTATTAGCTTTGTCGCTTCTTTAAATAAAACCACCGTAATAAATCTGGATATGCAGTAGCATTTTCAAATTTTATCTTGTCAATTGGTCTTTAATCTTAATTTTAATTCACCATAAAAATTAAACTCATGCGTATTATTAATTTGTTATTAATTTACTACGCTAAAATTTAAATTACTCTTTACTGTGGTTACAGGATCGGCAGTCAAGTTTACTGAGCGGCAGCGGCGGCGTAACTTGCTCGCAGTCGATGTACACGGGAACTATCGCGGATACCGCCCAGCCCGGCACCTTCGTGCTGCGCGTCTCGGCCACAGATAGCGCGGGAGGCACGGTTAAGTACCATCTGCCGGATAGCACGCTGACTAAATTCCACGTCCATCCCGCCACCGGTGATGTCACCGTCACCTCCTCCCTACTGCGCATGTTTATGGGCAAGCGCTTCCGGGCCAGCTTCGACTTCCAGGTCCGCGCCAATTCCGTTTCCAACCCCAACAATGTAAGTGCGTCACTGCTTGTTGCCGGAAGAAACTGCGTGACTAACCCGGTTACATGATTACTAACCCCACCAACTCCTCTGCGCCTTATTTTGCGAGCGTATTATTCATTAAATGTTTTGTTTCTCTTCTTTTTACTTTCATATCATTTTACTTTCTTTTGTATTTTATTGAAGTATTTCGATATTCTTGCTTTTCTCATTGTTTCGTTTAATATTATTTTTTATTTACGTTAAAGTAACTAATACTACCGCTGTGATTTCAAAATTTAGTTTTTAGTAGAAGCAAATACGGTTTCGTTTTGTCAGTTTTGCGAGAGCATCGTGCGAGTCAACCTGGTGTCCACCAACCGGCAGGAGTCGCCGATATCGGCCGCCCTGATCTTTGGCCAGAACAGTTACCAGTTCACGGCACCGGGCTGCGCCATCGGCTCGACCGTGGGCCAGATCGCCGCCCAGCCAACCACGGACGGCTCCTTCGTCACCTACTCCATCGCCAACGGAAACCCCTACTACGCCATCAACTCCCAGACGGGGGTGGTCTTCATTGCCGACATCCCGCCGTCCGGCACCCAGTCCCTGACGGTCATCGCCCAGAGCGGCAGTCGGCAGAGCATCGCCGTCTCCGTCCCGGTTACCATCAACGCCCACTGCAACGGCGCCAAGCAGGGTACCGTGCCCACCATCGGGACGGACCCCGCGGGGGGTGGCACCGGTGGCGGCCTGTTCAGCCAGAGCTCCTACTCTTTCACCACCAGCACCTGCACGAGCGGTGTCGGAGGCGGGACACCGGTGGGGCAAATCTTCTCACAGGCCTTCGGCTCGACGGTGCTGTTTTCTATTTCTCCAGCCAACAACCTCTTCAGTATCAATTCCCAGACCGGCCAAATCTCCTCCGTTGGGCCGCTGCCGCCCGGCACCAACACCAACACTCTCACGGTGACGGCGTCCTCCAGTAGCGGCCAGATGGGCACTGTGCCGGTGACAATAACCAGTATCTGTCCGGGTGGCGGTACCGGAGGCGGTGGTGTGCCTACACCATCCCCCGGTGGCGGAGGCGGTGCCGTTACCAGCCCGGTCAACTTCTTCCAGACCAGTTACCAGTTCACGTCAACGGCCTGCACGACGGGATCGGTGGTGGGCACCGTTTCCGCACAGTTCTTTGGCGACGGATTGCAGTACGCATTAGACTGCTGATAGCTCGCACCCTACTCGTAGCACTCGTATAAATGCGCTTTGTTCCAGGTACTCCATACAAGGTGGTAACGCGTTTTTTGCGATAAATCTCGTCAATGGACAGATAACCATCAGTAATCCACCGCCTCCTGGTACGGTGCAGTAATAAACAGCCTTAACCTTTCTGCATTCATTAATAACTATGACACGTTTAGTACTTAGCAGAAATTACAAACAATATCGATTTATTTTCTCCTTTACTGCAGGATATTTTTTGTTTTCAGTTTAAATACCTTCGTTTTTATTTCTATACAGGAACCTGGTCGCAGACGTTAACGGTTGTGGCGACGACACCACAAGGTACGCAAGCTAAAGGTTACTGGGTTTTAAGTGTTATATCGTGACGTTTCTAACAGGCCAACAAGCCACGGTCCCGGTGACCATTACTAGCACCTGTCAGTCAACCATCACTAGCGCCCCCTCTACCACTGCCCCCACGATTCCCAGCGCCGGCTTCTCGCAACCGTCCTATGTCTTCACTCTTAACAACTGCGCTGCCGGGGTCACCGTCGGCAATGTTTTGGTACCTGGTCTGGGCAACAATCCCGTCTACACCATCCAGCCACCTGGAAGTCCCTTTTTCACCGTCAACTCCGTCACCGGGCAAATCACCAGCCTCCAGGCCCCGCCGACCGGTCCACAATCCTTCAACGTGCAGGCGGTGACCTCCACCGGCCAGACGTTCATTGCACCGGTCACCGTCTTTACCGTGGATGCCGGCCCGGTATTCCCGCCATCCCTCAGCTTTTTTCACGTAGCCTGCACCGTGGGCACCCCAGTGGGACAGGTGTCGGCATCTTCCTGTGGCACCGGTGTAGTCTACAACATCATCGGCGGCAGTCAGTTCTACAGCATCAACCAGAATACTGGACAGATAGCCATCCTCACCGTTCCGCCTGCCGGCTCCCAGCGCTTGGTCATCCAGGCCACTGCCCTCTCGGGTCAAACCGCCACGGTGCCCGTAGTGCTGACCTCCAACTGCAATAACGCCGGCATTTCACCGCCGGTTCCGGTGCCGGGCGGGGGGCAGCCTCCTCCCTCCGGCGTCGTTTACGGGGTGCCGACGGGGCCGCTGGTGTCGGTGAATCCCTACGCTGCCTATCAGTCGGTGCTGGCCAACGCCTACACCAATCAGCTACTGCAGTATCAACAGTACCTCCAGTCGCTGGGGAATATCGTTCAAAACAGCCAATCCAACCTGATTAACCATGGCAAACCACCCTATAACGGAAGAGTCACGCAGCATCAACATCAACAACAACCACACCAGGAAATAGAACATGGTCGCTATGGACATGATCGGCCGAGTCACATGCCGCAGGGCGGTCTCCAGAAATAATACGCCTGACTGAATTCATTTTTTCCTGCATTTTCTCAGTCATGCCACAAAAACGTTTGGTGCAAAAACGAGTATCTGTATAGTTCATAATGTCTGTAACCTGTAAAAATTTCTACTGGTACGTTCTTTTCAAGTCGCACTGTTAATAAAAATATATTTCTGCTTCTGTTTGACCAAAGTACAATATATAACGAGTTATATTAACAGGAGGCCATAACGAATGTAATAACTTTGTTTAATTAATATTTAATACCGATACTAAATTTTTTGCTCTGAAAATTCGCTACTTAGTTTTTCTTAGCAATTTTCAATAGTTCATGCATTACTACGAGTTTGGTGACGCACCTACAGATACGATACATCGGCACCTACATATTTAAATATCTATAATCATTACAGATATGTCAGGTACACACTCGTATCAGGTTGTAAAACATCCATTGGAAATTTTAAAAGTTTTATTTAGAAATAAAAAAAAGCTGAACGAATCATACAGTTAACAATTACATAGATAACACCTTCACAACAATATTCTGTCAAAAAAACATGTGGTAATAGTACTTTACTCTTACAAAATTAATCAGGTTTCATATCAAAACGCGATTTCCTTTTGCCGGTCATATCTCCCTTTTCCACCACACCAGCACTGCAATCCAGCACCGAATCATACAACACTTTAGAATTCTGCCGGCGCCACTGCAGTCGCGCACACAACACCGCATAGCGCGGATCATTGTCCGTCGGTACTCCCTCCGGCCAGCATGTGCGCTCAGTGTAGATCAATTTCGGTCGGCGCATGACGTAGCGGTTCCAATAGGGCGGATTCTCATTGGTCTCCAGGGTGGCGTCAATGTGCAGCGAATCGCCCTGCGGCGGCACAAAGTTTGCCTTCGTTACTGTCTTCCCCGACAACAACGTGCTGCCCTTCTTTAACAACGCCTTTGTGACCTTTAGCGTCGTCTCCACTCCCGTCGACCTATTGCAAAGGTCACGGGTAACAGGAGCTAGCGTGGTCGCTTTCTCGCAATTGCGCGACCGGCTTCTGCCGCGTGAGCGCCCTGATTGCTTTTTCTTATGGTGGGGAGGACTTTGCCCTTTCGGCGTTCTGGGAAGAGGAGGGGGCGCCGGCGGCGCGGGGACGACACCCAATGGAGGCGGCGGGACCTTTGTGCATTCCGGTAAGATTACGTTGACCTTTTTCGCCGTTTCGTGATGGCTTGATTGTGGCGTTTGCTCGGGTAATGCATAGACGGGTGTATTATACTGCGGCGCCGACGCAAGCGCCGGGGCGGTGATCACGTGCGGCCAGTATGAGTCTACGCTATAGTTATCCACTGGCGCGTACACGGGACTAACTTCCGGTGGTGGTGGTTCCGCCTTAGGGCGAAACCTATAGCGCTCATGTACGAGGGACACCGCGGGCCCCAACGAAGAGCATGCAAAGCCGTTGGGGACAAAGCTCGCGGCGGTGGCGTGCTGTGGGAAAGAGCTAGCGGTCTGCCACGGGAGGAAGTTGGACTCGTAGTATGCCTTGGGCTTACTGTACTGAAACATCGATACAACTGTGTACTGGCCAGATATCTTTGATGGTACCTTATGTAACAATAAATTTCTCTGCTGCCTTCGGATATCAGCAATTAACATATGTACATTTTCTTCCTGAAAATCAGCAAAAAATATTTTTCGCTGCAGTGCACTTCCGCGGACGGCGAACAAAGCAACAGAAGTGTGGTTAAATGTTTGGTTTGAGAACTAAGTACATAGTATTATTCTCATATCGACAGCAGTACTCGGCTGCAATTTAAACGGTACAGATGGAGTATTGTTCTTGTTAAGCCTTGTACTGAACCAGCAATAAAATTAGTAAGTGTACAATAAGTAACTTACAGTGTATTAGCATTTGATTTTATGGTTGCTTGTTGTTAACGACGTTGCTAGGCACGGTTGTTGCGTTGCTGATCTTAAAGCGCAAAATTAACTGGTAACAAGAACTTACTATAGCTAGAAGGACTGGGAACGGACTGCGCAACGGTCGACTACGTCATCACTGTCGCATACAAAAAGCAATGCTATGCTAACGCTTACCATAGTCCCACAGACTTTCTTGCCGCTTTTAAGAGATATTCTGACGTTTCTTTCTCATGAAATACTTTCTAAGATTTTAATAGATCATTTTGAATACAGAAATTCTAATTTCGAGGGTTAAAATTAAAAAATGAAAGAAACCTGCTAAGAAAACTGACAAAAACCGTGAAAAATCCGCATCTGTCACCATGGCAGCCGCCCTCCCGTGTATGCGAGAGTGATGACGTCAAACGGTTGGTTACCAGTCCTCCTCACACTATAGTAAGTACTTGCTGGTAAGCATAAATCAGAATTTCCAAATTTCAGAACAACCAACTCTATACACCAATGGATGTTTGATTTCATGATTAATTTTCATCTCCAAAGGTTCAAATCACTGCAAACTACGGTACATTTTTGCGTTCCCTTTTGTCCGCAGTCTCCGCACTCCGCAGTTGTCGCCCAGTTTCACCACCTCCACTTCCGCATTCTCTGCAGCTGGTGTCCCTGAACTACGAATAATATTAATCTTTAAGTACAGTAATTTATGATACTCTCCACGAACTCCTTGGCTTTTGCCTTATAATCTGCCACCACTATAGTACTATAACGTGCTGCGTACCGCTTTTAGCCCGCAACTCCGAATTTGCGTTTGTGATCGGCATGTGACTCAAGCCTTGCTACGGCGGAAAACCCATGTTTTATGACAATCGATCTGTAGAGATCTGTACATTAGTTTCCACCCCGCCCCATCCACCGCGCTTGCCTTTTTCGGTGACCTTTCCGCTCAAGTTTTTCCATGAGACAAAGTTGGATAGGATATCTGCGTTTTCTCTTATCTACGACTTACGAGTATTTATTTACGTATGTAGCCATTTCTGTCTGTCTGTCAGCGGCCTACTAGTGAATATTAAACTCATCATAATTATTTTGCTTATAATTTTGATTAAGCTTATCATAATTGGAAATTGATCAATTTTAATTATGATCAGCATAATCAAAATTCAACAATTTTAATTAAACTGGAGCATAATTAAAATTGTCCAATTTTAATTTTGCTTATCATAATTAAAATTCAGTTTTCTTTTGATCAGACTATTTTTATTGTTCATAATTTGACTCAGAATTAAGCTTAAGTATAATTAAAATTGACGAATTTTAATTATGCTTAAGCTTAATTAAAAATGCACAATTTTAATTACGCTCAGCATAATCAAAATTGCCATAATTTTAATTGAATTAATCATAATGTTTAATTCCCAGCAAAATTAAGAGTTTAATTATCACTACGGCCTACCCAAAATAATTTTATGCACTATACAAATACAAAGTACAAAGAGTGTAAGCGAGCTCTGCGTGCTACTTACCAAATCAAGGAACATTTTCCGCCTCTAAATTCAGAAAAATCCCATATTGTGCAGAAACGTAGTATACTTACCCAGTATTTATAAAAAAATAGTTTCATGTGCCATGGTCAAGATGGGCGTGGCCAAACGTAATATAAATTGCTAAAATACTTAACGCTATAGATGCTATAGCAAATCGGCTTTACGTTTGTTTGTACTTTGTTTTTTGTTTGGTTGTTTTTTGTTTGACAATATCCTGTAAGGTTGTTGATACTTGGGTCTTGACAACGTTATTTTATTTTCGACAAGCCAAATACGAAAAGAAACGTAGTAAAACTAGATGTAGCCCTCATACCAGCACAGAACATTTCAACATGAAAAAGTTTTTTCGGTGTAATGGGGCCTTAAAATATTATTCCACTTGCCATCTTACTTGGTGCGACTGGTTTTTGAAAAGGTTACTTAGGCCGCAAGTGTGGAAGTCAATGTAAAAGCATTTAAAAAATAACACATTTTCACACCAGCTGCACCGGATGAATGCCGCACCGTCCCACTGCACAACAACACACTGAACTGACAGCACTGAACAGACATGCACTGAACTGACAGTGAAGCCAAGCAAAGTACTGCGTAATATACTGAAGCAAATTACTGTTGTGAACTGTGGTTTCAAAATTGGTTCTCAGTGTGCCGTCTTACCATGGCACCTGAACCTTTTTTTTTATAAATACTGGGTAAGTATACCGCGTTTCTGCAAAATATGAGATTTTTCTGAATTTGGAGGCGGAAAATGTTCCCTGATTAGTGGTACAGTGATAGTAACTGTTGGAAAGTTGGTTCGGGAATACGTACACAAAAAAATTACATAAACAAACTAAAACGGCCGATGGGATATTGGTACGAAATATGATCCACTGTGGTGTGCCCGTGCAAGTTCGTTACTGCTCGTGTACAATACCTGGAACTTTGATCAAATAATTATGAGCAGCATATTGGTCTATATTCTTTTCGAAAATATTTAGGTACTGCACTTAATTTCAGAATTTAACTGTGCTGTTTATACACCGTGCTCCGTGCATTTGTACACGCGACAAATGTTCAGACGTGCCATACAGACAAAAAAGCGGCCTTTTTTGTAAGTGATATGTGTGATCAGGCAGCTGCAAGTACGCAGTCGCAAACCGAGAGCTCCACAAGCGTAAACTATTATTATGCTGTATGTATGCACATCTGTATCACGGACCTGATCAAACAAGAACAGTTGCTGGTGACAGCAAGCACAGAATGAGCATCCAGAATTTCCGGGGTAGCGATAAAACTTTCCAAAGGAAGCACCGTAACCGCATTTCCTTTGGTGATTCCCCTTCTGCACTTCGTTTTTTTACCGTTTTGCATTCCGCTGGCGTTCGTGCATTATCAAAAAATGTGCAGATTATACTTTCACAGTAACCAGCCAGAGAAAGTTTCTTTGTTCCAGACCCGGGACAGCCAAACTGTGCCCTTCCGTCGTCACTAACTGGGAGTATCCGCCGAAATATTTTCGGGGTCACCGGCGGTGGCATCTTTTGGCTATCGATGGTTCTCAGAGTTCTTTTTGTTAACGTATCGCGCCCCGCTGACATCAAGACGAACACGTTGCTGCTAGCCGAAGACACCGGCAACTGCTTTGCGAATGATAACCAAAATACTCATGACATCCAATGAGAGAGGAAAGGATACTTGCCTTCCTCGATAGTTTTTTCTTTCTTCTATGGAAGGCTCTTCATTAGGCAATCGCCATTACTATAAAAATAACAGCAGGTACCTACTCTGGCACTTTACTTCACAATTAAAATTTAAGCATTAAAAACGATGGAGGAAGCTTTGTGGTTTCGTTATATTGCTGAAACCTTCATAAATGAGGTACAGATAGGTACAGTATGTTGTACATTGATGTTTTTTACATTGTTTGGGGATAGGCTGTTCGCTGTTGCATCTGTTAATGCTAGTATAATGCTGCATCTGTTACACTGTATGCTGTATGTCGAGTATTGTACGTAGATTCGTATATACTGTACATTTGGGCTGTTTTTTTACCTGCACGATTGCAAAATAGGTCTCGTAAATCGTCGCGCGTAAACTAGTGACCTTTTTTTTAACGCTCAATTGTTGTCAGACTGCATTTATTCAAAGGAACAAATTTTAAGGTTCCAGCGCAGAACGGTAAACCACTACTGCGCTGTATACTATTGCCGACTTGAAAGCTACCCCTATACGATAATACCAGCATCGTCTGCAAAGTTTGTTTCAGTACGAGATTAATTCTTGACAGAATCCCTACAACAGCGGTATCAGGGTATTAGGTTGCTATTATTGGGCGTAATTCCTGAGATAACTGTCGCGACGTTTCCCCATTTAGCCGAGCGTGTCGGTCTGTCAGCTTTCCGACAGGGTAGCTGCAGCGAGAAAATAACATCGCCTTGCCGGTACGTACACACTCCATAATGCTTCCAGCCGCCACCGAAATAACGTCAACTGCGCAGCCACGTCGAGAAAAATACTCGTAACATTGCTGCACTACGCCGAATTGTTGAGGATTTCACCATAATCCGCGTATACAGTGTCGGCTATTTCAGTTCTAATTAGAAAAGCATTCTGCGCACTGGAATATTTCAACACACCAGGACAAACACTACTGCATAAAATATGACGAAAACCCTGATTGACGCACAGTCGCACACCTAATAGGTATACACCACAAAATCAGGAAACAATAGAGCGAATTTAAACAAGACCGGAAGAGAATGTTGTTGCTAACGTCGGTAAAAATAACTAATAAAAAATACACCACAAGTGCATGAAAAAATTATGGCTAGAGACCTCCGCACGCGGATATTGGGGTACGAGGGCACTCGTGACTTTTTGGCTAACTGCCCCATAAAGGAAATGTCGTTTTGTCCACCGCTTTTGTATACAGTGTTATCGCAGTCCACTAGGTGGTTAAAATGTAGTAGTTTATTATGTGCACCATATTGGCACACAAAGTACTTTACCCGCCCACTCGCGCTACGCACGCAGGATGATATAATTAATCCGGCTAGAGTAACCTTCGACCTTTCCGCCGGTGCATCCCGCGATGATCCTCTGCCATCCAGTCCCATCAAATCCTGATCTTTAATTCAGCACCGGCCGCGCAGCTCCATTTAAGCGGCCTCTGTCGGCGCCGGTGTCGGCATACCTGTTTCAGTTACGTAGTTATCACGCGGAAGCAAGCTGATCAGCGCGGAACAATATGTGCTGGTGTAAAGGTGTCATTTTGTAATTAAACCGCTCTACTTGCTGCGCGTATCATTCATTCGATGCCAATCAGGTTGTCACTGCCACTTCCCGGCTGCTGTTAGTTGTTTCTGTTAGGTGTGTTGGAGAATGTTGGTGTGTAACGTGTATGTGTCGCTTATGGGCATCCTGGCGGTTGCTGTCCAGTCCCAGGGCAAACCGGCCCCGGCCAAACCCACCACCACCACCAGTCCCGTCCCCAAAGCCCTTCGCGCGAAGATGGCGCAGTGTATCGGTACGTACGTTTAAAATTATGTAGTCATTTCAAGTTGTCTTAATGGCTGTTGTAATTACGGTAGTTTCCAGGAACTCGAATACACTTTCATACATACGGCGCGGGTCATTTGCACGCTATAGCTTGACCGTGATTACAAGTGCAACGCTTCGACGATATGTACACGACTACACGTAATAAATCTCAACACAGTCCTTTTTATTCACATTTACTGATACGTAGTAGTATTATTACGTACTTCTCTTTGATATCTTCTTATAATGGCGGTTATATTACATACCGGGACCTGTATTAATTACTTTACATTACGTTATTTATTTGCAATAAATACGGTTATCAAAGATTAATTACTGTGCTCACTCGTAATTAACTCAGCTAAGGCCCATAAAATTTATATTACGAGTATGTTTAACAACAGTGTCATATAATATTTTTAAAAAAGTTTCCGTCGTAGTAGGTATGTTATAGTTCTTTAGATTTCTTTCTCTCGTTTCGACATTTTCGTTATTCCATCCTGTTAAAACGTCTTTAGCCGCCAAGTCGATTAATCCAGCTTGAATGCCGAGGAACCAATAGGTTAAACTTGCTAATAAGCGAGACCGTAATTTCTACCATGGCTGAACCGAAAAATGTAAAATTTGATCGGAAAATGTAACATTTGACGCCATAACTGGCCCATAAGATTAAATTACTGTCTTCGATATAGAAGTATCCGCTTAATTATTTTGCCTTTGTAGTGGAGTGCGCCCAATGTCAAGACTTGATCGGGTCGCGCTTTGACCACCGGCTGTGCAGCAAAGAGTGTCTGGAGCGCAAGGGCCTCAACGCGCCGGACTGCACGAACCCGGCGGCGATCAGGCGCTACCTCATAGCCACCGCCCCGGGGGTCCACGACACCCTCACCGCCGGCGACAGCGGCTCGTCAAACGCCGGTCAACGCCGTCTGATCATCGGCAGCGGCAGTTCTGCCTCATCGGCCAACATACGTCTGATCAACAGCAAATCCGGATAGTGACGCCAATGGGGCAGGAATTTGCACAGAAATGCATCCGAATGACAGGAAAGATTACCGTCTAATATAGTGTGGGTGGCTACCGTGTGGTACACTCACTTTTTTCGCTTAGATAAGATCTGATCTGTTTGAAATATTGAAAACGCGTCGAGTATACTACAGTAGTACTTGCGACAGACTTGCGTAGGTATTATAAACCAGATCTGTGACTTCTTTAATTACCTTGCCCGTTGGTTTCAATAAGTGTGCATTTTGCTACATTTACTGATTTGATTATTTAATCAATCATGCTATTGCTTACTGCCAATTAAATAACTTATTGATATCCGATTCCATCTGAACGCGTTAATACAACACCTCCAGTTCATATAAGCATAGTGAAATTATCCCACGAAGCTAACATTCCACAACAGATATGTGTAGCGCTCTACGTTCGTACTACAAATAATTATAATTCTACAATAAAATTAATGAAAAAATTCAAAAAAAGCACTCATGAATCCTACAAGAACTCATAATTATTATGACGTTTTCTCGTGAATTTCCCGAATCAATCCGCCCAGTTGTGTTCCAGTTGCTTCCCTTAAATTTTTTTCGCATGATTACAGTACAGTACTTTCGTTCTTATCGATTTACGCTTTCAGACAGCGGGGTGCGGTATGAACCGTATGATAGTATCCATTGCGAGATAAAAACATTAGCAAAATTGGATTTCTTCATGGGCGCAGTTGAAAAATTAATCCTCGTTGCCGATAGCTCACTGCTGACACAGTTGCGGCCGGGTAACCTTTGCAGTAACAGGCACGATTGTATTGTTGCTTGTGTTATTCATGAGGCGGGTGTACGGTGATAATGATGAATGGGCAATAAACAAGGGTAACAACGCACTTGTTTCAGGATATTGTGATTTGTAGCAGACCGTTCTCATGCATAACGAAACCCTGGGCGCGCCGCGCGGTACGCTGCCACGCGAATACGGTCTACAACCTACTACTGATGATTAAAAACATTAAACTTTCTTCTTGTTGTTGAATCACGCGCATATTTTCACAAGGAAAACATCAGAAAAACACCCGAAAAATCGTCGAAGGTTAAAAACTCATTCGGCCTTCTGGCGGCTTCCTCGCGCCACGCACTCATGTACGTAGTTTGGCCCTGGCCCGTGTCGAAGCGTTTGTATTTAATTTGCTGCCATTTCAACCGCTATCTGGTTTTTGAAGCGACTGGTGTGCTCTGCGATGACTTAAAAGTTAAAACCTATATAGACTCAGCAGTAGGGTACTAGGGTGTCACTTGTCAGTTGTCATTGATGTCAAGTCGTCATCATGAATCATCACATCTTGAGAGAGGCAGCAAACTGTGCACGTTGTTATGGTCCGCCATAGGTTTATTGCTTCCATTGTAACCATAAGTCACTGATAAGGGCTGCTCAGTTACTGTATACATGGTCTTAAAATACGTTTCGTTGTATCTGCTGTTAATTTCTTCGCTGTTTCCATAAAATTGAACTTGAACTACGGTGACTACGGTCGCCTGCGACAAGTAACGGCGTGACAGTCTGCACAGACCAGAGCGCTAACGAATGCCTCCGTATTGGCTGATGCGCAGCGACGAGATCGCTCCAGCCACGACCGATGCTGACGCTGCGGCGCCCTTCATCATTGCCACCAATGAAGATGAGGACGCAGCATGTCCATGGCCACCGGCTGCGCATATCACCGAACGAGCGTCCGCTGCTACTCACCTTCCGCACACACGCAACGTTTCCCAGGAATCCGTGCGGGAACCCCCGTCACGCACCAGATCCAGTTTCGATCGACCTAATTACGCAAGTTACAGGAAAAGCTCGTTGCTTAATTACATTTCCCACCCGCAAAGGTCAACAGCGGCTTTTCAACCGCCGAAGCGTTCCATAAAAGCGGCGGCCGATCGCGATTTCTTTCATATCACACCACGCACAGTGTCTCAAGTTACTCCTGGAGTCGAGACAGAAAATGCTACAGCAAACGAGAAAAAGACAAGCCAATCGTCAGCACCAATTACCCTAGCGAAGCGCTCTAGTACACCGAAAACGTCTTTAACCAAAGCGAATTTGAGTGTTTTGCGTAATACCAAGCAGGAGAAGGCAGTCTTGGATATCCCCGAGATTAAAGTGCCCCCCAGTGTCGAATCGCTGGCGTTCTTACCTGAACCACTGAGAACGCAACGGGATGCAGCACCCGCACAAACCGGGGCGTGCCCTTTGCGTAAGCTTTCTCCAAAAGCCACCAGCGCATAGAAAGAACTTTTTCGTGATGAAAATTTTGGCAGAGTTTGCACACTAAAAAGTACAAACAGTTGGCGAAATTAAACAATTCATCATAAATTATGGCTCATTAATTAATGTTAAAAAATTAGCGATTTGCTTGCTTTATTTTTTGGGTGACACTACAGCCACCCCTAACACCCTCGCTTTTTATAGCTGCCCCATTTCCGCACCCCATTAATTATGGACACCCTTTTTTAATTTATTTATTTGTTTTAAGACACCTTGATGTTTTATAGGCACCCTTTTTGCAGCTAATTTATGATACAGTGATTCTTATGTACGCGCTAGATCCGGTTACCATGATCGTTCAATTGCAGAAAGTGTCATGGTACTTCTTTGTGTGGACTAAATCTTCAACAAACTTGGTTGGATCCGGCAGTCGGCCGAATCCAACCAGCTGTGGTTGGCCGTGGACGGTACTGTGTTTGTGAAGGCTGATGCTCAGGGCAAGCAGCTGGCAGATGTTGTCGAAAACGAAGAGGTGACCCAATGTCACAAGAGGTCGTTTAAAGGTTTTTTGTCAGTGACAAAAACCTTTAAACGAGCTGACTAAACCGAAAAACTTTATCAAAATAACGACCGAGCAAGCGACTCTAATACGGTCGAGGTTGTCTGATGAATCAAACCAACCCATCGTTAGGTGGAACACTTAGCAGGCATTGTCGGGTGCAAATCATCGGTGAAATAACGTAATTATGTTCTAATAGAACTATGTGTTCTGATACTGCTATAAAAACCAACAACCGTGTGTTTTTATTTAATCAAAAGTAAAAAGTGTGCCTGTAAAGAACCAGGGTGAAAAGGGGTCTATAGTGATTCCCTTATTTTTTTCCTTTAGCATTCACAGCAACATTACCATACAGCTACGTGTACGTCAAAAAACGGCCACTTCCCGATCCGCGGTGTTTTATCTTCATTCCTGGTGAAGCGCTGGAAATCACCGTTCTGGATGCGTTTAGAACAGATCTACTGGGGCGCGTAACAGCAGCTTACACGTCAGTGGTGATTGCAAAAAAGCAAAAAATTCCAAAATATTTTACACGCCAAAATCTTTGCAGTTATGCGCTGAAGATCACGAACGGCCAGCATGAATGGTACCTGCGCAAATCTCTGCGTCAGTGGCGCCAACTGCACGAAGCACTGAAAATCCTGCAAGACAGACTTTCATCCGATATCAACGAGTTGTTGCCGTAAGCGACAACAAACAGTTCAAAAGGTCATGACTCTGACCACTATTACATTATAGCGGCTTCGTCGCCAAGACATCTGGCCGAAGCAGCGTCGCCAGATTTGACGACATCCGAGAGCAATCCATCTCTACTGACCAACTCCCAAAAATCATGGTAACGCACAGTTGATTTCTCAGTGTTTCAACCTAACCATTAGCTTTTATTATTCAGGAAAGCTTTTCCATGTATCTCCACTATATTGCACATAACGCGCTTTGCCGGTCTCATATTGCTGTGGTAAACCTGCGCTGGGAGAAAAAGCTGGTTCTCAAAGCAATAAATATTTTGTTACAGAAAATGTTTTTGGAGGTGAGTCCATACTCACTGATCCGTGATCTGGGTCTTAAGATGAAAGAAGGCTACGTCATGTGGCGCATCTCCGATGTGCCGCCGCAGCCGTTCCCAGTTAGTAGCCTGTGCAGTTGGCTGGTGCAGGGTGTGGAGTGGATTGAAATGTAACAATTAATCTTGTTACTAAGATAACAGTTCCCGCTGTCCATTTTGGCAATCTTTTAGTTGGCTAGTGGTCAAAGAAACTTGCGTCTTTCTCGTCAGTCCGTACACTTCGGAGATTGTACAGGTTTTACTAGCTGATCGGCACTTTTCCATCGCGGAAGGTTTAGTCGCCACCGGCGAGACGCATGGCTTATTTATCCACAATTCCAAAAGGTTACTGCAGCTGGCGGTTATTCGCTTCTGCAGCATTGTAAACAATTGTCTCGCCAGTTAGGTTGCTGGCTTTAAAATGCCACGATCAGACGCAACTGGAGGAGTTCGTGATGGAGATGACCTTTGTGCAGCACGCCGGCGCTAAAGCATACACGCAAAGCAATCTATGTGGAGCGTTTGCGCCCGTACGCCACACATGCTGGGCCAAATGGTAATTATTGTGCAATTACCCACATTTACAGGGAAGCGGTTAAACGATTTTTTTAGTGCTTTTGTTGAACAGGCTGGTAGAAGGTAGCGTGTACTACGAAGCCGTTTTGGATACCTTGCTGAGAGCCAAAGAGGATGTGTTTATCAGCGATAGCTGGTATTGCACGAATTATTTGTCATTAATTTTATCTTTGCATCGCGTAAATTTTGTCCAAGGGGCAAACACACACCACGTTCATGGGACTGAATCGTTTTGCCTTTGTGAATTATTAATAGGCTTCATATCGAGTTGATGCTCGAACAATCAGATGGAGAAACGAAACACCGGTTGGATTATGTGCTGGCGGCCAAAGCTGCAGAAGGCGTGCAAATCTTCATTTTGCTCTGTTCACCCTGTTTGAACACACTGCCCGATGGTGCTGGCTTCAGCGGGTTGCGTCAGACCCTGGAAGAACTCTGTCCAACTGGACGAATCCAGGTACGAAGCGCTGGAAAAACAAGATGCGTGAGTTAGCGCAGCGCCAGTAAATAGTGCACACTAATATTGAGAAAGTTTGCTGTAGTTACAGTGGGCTCAGTTTCTTCTGCAAAAGGCAGTGCTGAAAAATTGTGTACTTACTTTAAAAACTAAAACATTTTAATTTTTAATACTGCCGGTTTTTATCTTATACGCTAGCTGCGATTTGCTGCTTCACGCCATACTTCTAGTGCAGCAAACAAACTTTGTACTGTGTACCAGTAGTTTGTGCCAGTATGCCTTGGTTTTCGGAATCGCTTCACGTACCGAAATTCGCTATAAACAAGGGATGACCTTCTCCTTAATAAGGTTATCTTCACTGCACCGACCGACGACAGTCCGTGGACGCACAACGACAAATTCGTTGTTGTCGACCAATCCCGAGCCTTGTTGGGCAGCATAAGGTAAAACTGAATGTAATGCGCTTGTGTGAAAATGACAGGGTGTTAAACACTGACAGTATCTGCCGTGACGCATACGCGTTTTCGATAATTTTAGTTTGGCGTTTGATCAGTCGGACACACACGAGCACCGGTAAGTGGCACCGGACATTGGCTTCAATGGAAATGGTGTGTTCACAGGCTGTTTAGCTTAACAGAACCACATCCGCCAGAAAAAGCCAACAAAGCGATGAAAGATTCCTTGGAGCTGGTTAGGCTCCCTTCCGCCCGGCGTGTGACCGATTTACAGGATCCCTTTATGCCTCGTCCCAGTAAGAAAATCAGCCAGGTACTTGGTGAGATGAGCGGGGGCATTATTTGACAAAATACGATATTATTATATGTACAATTCCTACTCCGCCGTTTTTTTCGCCTTTTTTGCCCAACATCTCCTCCCACACCTTTCGACAATTCTCTCTCCACGATAGCTTAAAAAACGCGTAAATTCGCATAGGGTGCCACTAAGGTTTTTATTTGGCGCACTTTTCACTCCCGAAATTACGAAACTTTTTCGAATCAAATTTCGCCTATTGGCTGAATCAGAAAGTACTAACAGCGAATAGGCGGAATCTTTTATTATTGCGGAAAGAATCACTATGGCAACACACAGTACGTAATACCAACACATTTTTGCAAAGTGCTGTTACAGAAAAAACGATGGGTGGAAACAATTACAATCTTGCGAATCCGGCATGTGTACATGAATATCTTTGTATTAGCCAGTTCGAAACGAACAGCATTTACAAAAAGACAGCATCAGAAGATTATTTTCTTAAAAGTACGAAAATTCGGAAATACGCAAAAAAGTTCTTGCGGAATTTCCGCCTAGAAACATTAATTGGTTTAAATTATAGCTAAAAAATAGGTTCAAACTAGCGGTCGTTGCGAACCACATAACTGCACGAGCGCGAGCGCCAATTCCACTGGGAAATGGTATTGGAATCGTGGAACTGGAATAGTGTGACGTACTCTTTTCATGGCTTCATACAAATTTTATGCTCTTGACGAAGGCTTATTTGCAGCACCATTGACCATTGCGGAAATAGTGGAAATACACAAATAGGGAAAAGCGAAATAGCGGAAATACAGGAATACGGAAAGGCGTGGCGTAGCACAGACTGATTCATAACAGTATATTATTATATTATTTTTCTTTCAAATTAAGTATTACTATTATTATTGGCTTAGTATGATTAGTAATTTTCGGAAACCTTTCCAAACTACCACCAACGTTGCCTAAGCATTAGCAGGAATTTTTGCCGGTCACAAATTGGGTAGGAATTTTCGCCGACCAGACAAAGGAGTAGGGATTTTTGCCGGTTAGCCAATGAGGAAGGAAATTTCGCCGCTTAAACAGAAGATTAGGGATTTTCGTCGGTACATAGAGTGAAAAACTTTTTGCCGATCAGACAAAGAGGGAAGAATTTTCCCGGATAGGTAAAGATTAGGAATTCTCGCCGGTTAAACAGAGTGGAAGGAATTCTCGCCGATCAGACAAAAGGAGAAGAATTTTCGCCGGCTAGACAAAAGAACAGGGACTTTCGCCGGTTAGACCGTGAAGGGAATTACGTCGCTTTAACAGAAGATTAAGGATATTCGCCGGTAGGAGACAGAGAAAAATTTTTGCCGATCAGGCAAAGAGGGAAGCATTTTTGCTCGCCAGACAAAGGAATAGGGGATCTTTGCCGGTTAGCCAGTGGGGAAGGAAATTTCGCCGCTTGCACAGAAGACTATAAAATTTCGCCAGTTAAACAGAGTGGAAGAAATTTTTGCCGATCAGACAAAGGGGGAAGAAGTTTCGCCGGCCAGACAAAGGAAGAGGGATTTTGGCCGTTTGGCAAGTGGGAAAGGGAATTACGCTGCTTGAACAGAAGATTAGGGATTTTCGCCGGTAAGAAAAAAAATTTTGCCGAATAGACAAAAAAGAGAAGAAATTTCACCAGCCAGGTAAAAGAGAAGGAATTTCGCCGGTTAGACAAAGAGGTAAAACTTTATAGTACACATAGTAGTAGTTCATTGTATTACAATAAAAGTTTTCAAAAATCAGTACTCCTGTTACAATTATTACAATTATCTGAATTTTGTTTATTTTTCAAAAACCATAAATAAATTTAAATCCCTCTCAATTCATCTTCCATTTGGCGGATCTTTTTTTGGCAACTAAGACTTGAGTGCTATTGTATTCACTGAGTATAAGCAATCCAGATTTTGGTTTTGTTGAGCCTTTAAAGCAACATTTCATTCTGAATTTCTAAAATTCGACGTTTGCAAACCGAGGCCGGAGGCCGAGGGTTGCATTGTATATACAAAGCTAACTCCTCCGTTTTTTTATCCAACATCTCCTCCTACACCATTCGACGCTAATTTTCGCACGATAGCTTAAAAAACGTCTAAAATCATGTAGTTTGTCTCAACGACTTTTGTTTTTCAATCTTTTCGACGTCCGATTTACGAAACGCGTTTGAAGCGAATATCGCTGATTGGCTTATCTTTAGAAATTAAAAAGGGGATTGGCGGAAAAGCGGAATTTCGAACGATAACCGCTGACTAACTTCATGCGTTGCACCAACACAGTAAATAATATGGGCCAGGAGCACTGATTTTGAAAGTATTGTGGAAACACAGAAATGCGGAAAGCCGTAACTTACAATTGTTAGAAGTTAGTACAAAAATAATAGTGTTACAAATGTTCCAGGCGGGAATTTCGGCATTCTGATGGTTTTGTAAAATAAAGTCAATTCGGCAAGAGAAACTTTAGCGTGCGAACACAGCAGCATTAAGTCATTGTTTCAGGCGGGAGTTTCGGCATTTTCATTTTAGGATGGATTTTCGCCGGTCATACAAAGGTGGAGGGATTTTCGCCGGTCATATGAAAGGGAAAGGATTTTCGCCGGTCAGACTGTGGGTAAAGGGATCTCGTCGTTTAGACAGAGGGTTAGGGATTTTCGCCGGACAGACAGAGGGGAAGGAATTTCCGCCAGTTAGACAGAGGAAAAGGGAATTTTGCCGGTGGGACAGAGTGTTAGGAATTTCGCCGGTCAGACAGAAGGGAAGGAACGTTTGCCGTTTAGACAGACGGTTCGGGATTTTTGCCGGACAGAAAGGGTGTTAGGGAACTTCACCGGTTAGGCAGAGGGGTACGGCTTTCGGCCGGTCAGAAAGAGTGTTAGGGATATTCGACAGTTAGAAAAAGGAAAAGGATTTTCGCCGGTAAGACAAAGAAGGAGGTATTCTCGCCGATTAGAAAGAGGGTTATTGATTCCCATTCGCGGGTGCGACACAGGGGTAGGAATTTTCGCCGGTTATAGCATTCAGTTTCAGTCGTTCAATTCCAAATTAATTTTAATAATATCGACTTACGGACAGTTCGGTCGGTATACGGACATAAAACACGGTTTGAGTAAATGCTGCTTTTACTTCCATTTCCAGTTAGAAGCCAGCTTCACAAAAATAAAATAAAATTTTTTCGGAACAAGAGACCATTAATGTTCAGTTTTTTTGCTATACGCGATGCGAAGTAGTTGATTTCAGGTAAATTGCTTTGACATTTTATGCACTGCAATAATAGCAGTAGTTCATCCATCTGTATTACAATACTTGATATTTGTAGATCAGTAATCCCATATTAATTATAATATTGAAACGGTAATCAAAATTCAATCCTACTTTTTTCCCAACCGAGGCCGGAGGCCGAGGTTGGGCTTGTATAAAGATATAGAATACAGGTATAGCGGTTTGTTGTACTGCTATGCTGTATTGTCTGTATATCTGAATTAATTTGGTTCGTTTCATTCAGTGATTATAATTTTTCGGTGAACGCTCCGCATATACTTATATTTGTACCTTTATACCACCGTTGGCTCCTAATATCCCTTTTGCACACCTCTTTTGACTCAGCAAACCACCATAAAGTGTTTTAGGAAATGGCTATTGTTACACCCCCCGCATCCCCTTTTAACTATTGTCACCCCCTTTTTTAGTAAAACAAACACCCTCTTTGACTATTGCCACTCTTTGGTAATTGGTCATTTCTTATAAGACATAGTTACTAGCTTGACCTTGCAGCCAACTTCAGTAAGATTGTAAACCACCGGAAAGGTACAAAAGGTGCCGGCGATCATGCGGAGAGATATTAGCGCGGAAAGAGGGGCAGCCGTTTGCTTATGACCCGGCGCTTCCTAAGTTAAAAGATGTTGCAGCGATGCTTTATGAAAGTTAAGGCTAAGAAACGCAGTAAACGAAAATGTTACAAAATCAAATTGCCGGAATCGTTCACTTATCCCTGATGTTCAAATTTAATTTAACGAACAATATATGTAAATGTTGGTGTGATGAAATTTCAGCCAACCAAGCCGAAACAGTCCCAACTCGGAGCGGGAACCGACGCGGACGCAGTTACTACTAACCCGCAGCAGAGCTTGTTGGCAACAAACAGTCAGGTTAGCGCAACGCCACAGGCAATATGCTCACTGCTCAGTCATAGCACTCGTATTATAACAAATGCAACTGCCGAAGCATGCCATTCTCTATGATGTGACTTTTTAAGGGAGAATCATGCCCATACCCGGTCAAAAACCGGTACGGTTGCTCTTTGAGTTTTCTTAGGCGTATTGAACACGGTCGTTACGTTTTAAGGGCAAGTTTAAACGCAGTGCGGATGTTGCCGCGATCCTCTATTCCTGTACCAGTCGTTGCTTCTCAAGAATCCGTGGATAAAGCCAGGAATTCATCGTGGAATGCGCAGGTAACCGGCATCGTTAGTCGTTACTACGACCGACGACCATGTATTACGTGCTGCATCCAATTGTTTGTGTGTAGAGTTTTCTGGACGGAACTCCTGTCCTCAAGAGTAGCCGAGCATCCGATGCCAGTTCGTGCACACCATGTGGCAGACTGCATCGTCCATGTATTAAGGTGGCATTATGCTTTCCAGAGTTGTCGGTGCGGCGTGCTGCACGCCACGCCACGGGCATTTCCCTGATGGGTGATGTGGTTAAGGATTTGGCACGGCATTTCATTGAGCGATGGAATTACGTCAAGGTCATGGGTTATGAAATATTCTTATGTGCAGCTGTTACAAATCATTTCGGAAATTATGAAATAAACAAAGCATGATCATAGTTTAATATCTGCTGCAGATGAACAGGTTCATTCCTTGACATTTTTTGTAACCCAAGCCTTTTAGAACCATCTGTATTATTAAATGCTTTAGAACAGGTTCTGTGTCAAAAATGGCTTAAACACTGGCCTCTTGTTCCTCTGTTTTGGTATTTAAAGTGTTTTTTTTATATTTCTTTTTTGTTACAGACCATAAATTTCAAAGAAAACTCAAAACGCCGGTTTTTGATCCCTAAAGCGAAGCACAGCGAAATCAAGAGCGAGCAGATAGAAGAGGATAATTTTATTCAGTGCCGGGCACAGGTAATATTCATATTTCAGGATTTCTGATTTTGTTATTATGCTTGCCAAAAAATGCCGGTTAGGCTTTGCGAAGTGTGGGACAGTGGTCCGCTGGATACAACGCTCCCGAGGATTCCATACACCAAACCCTCATTCGGCTGATTGCGCAATCGCAACATTTTATTTACATCGAGGTAAACGAAAAAGAAGGAGTTTCGTGTCAGCGTAAATAAACAAAAGTACGAAACTTCTATGTACCGTATTTTCCCAGTCAGCAGTGTTAGTGGTTGCTAATTTTTCCTAAAGCCCTCGGATTCCGAGGTATTAAGTTTTCGTAAGAACTAAGGAAGCTTCCTCCAAGAGGCGGCTGCATTAGTTTCTTCTAAGGGCGGACCCTTGTAAAACAGCGACGGAGAGATACTTGTTTGATAAGATCCGGTAAACGCAAAAAATCTGTAGCGTTTATTAAGTGTACATTATACAGAGAACCTCGCGAGTAGTCACTGCAGACTATGCTAGAAGCAGTAATGAAACATTTCTGGGAAAATGTAGTCATACTCTGTCTAAGGCTGTTTTCATCCTTTAAGTACATGTCGTTGATGTAGACGGAATCCTTCGTTTCGCTCTCACCTGGCAATGGGGACACGTTTAATCTACTCAATCACACGCTTGTTCAGCGCATCATAGCAGCTTACAAGTGCGACGCTAGCCAATAAAACCTTTCCGGCTGAAAGTATTCAAAGGTCATCGAGATCATGGTATTATTGTGAACTAACAGGGCCCGAGCGACCTACCGCGTCTACGTCATTTTGCCGCTGCTGCCTCTCACAGAGGGGACACCAGCCGGGGGTCAGCTGAACGATAGCGCAGTGCAGGCGCTCATGTCCTGGACGTATCGGTCGATTTCCCGCGGGGTCCACTCACTGATCGTACAACTCAGCCAACACAGTACGTTTACAATCTAAGCCCCATTGAAAAAAACGAGATCACGTACTCTTAAGTGCTTGCCAATTAGAGTGCATGCACATCGCTGCGATGCAGATCTCATTACTCAACAAAAAGAAACGCTACAGAATTTTGGGAATAGCATTATTACATTAATTGCTATAGCAGTGCTAGCACATTAATAGTGCAGCGTGCGTGCAAGTCACCATTGCGTTGCTGCCCTAATTTACAGTGCCACTTCCGGTCATCCCGCAGTATATTGGTTTCTTCGGATTACGCCAGTACGAAACCGCTGTCGGTCATCCGGTATTTATTTAATAAATTCATCTTTATTCCGTTGTAAGTTGACACTGCATCTCAGACACTGACTATGAGCCGCCTTTTGTCTTTAACTGCAGATGACGGAAATGATCCATAATCATTCGGAGGTTGTCATCGTCGACGATCGGATCGCGTTGCTGGGATCGGCCAGTCTTTGGTTTGTCGCGTGCAAATAATATATATAGATATAAATACGTATTATACGAGGTATGAGCTATGAGGTATACCTTTCTGCGCTTGCCTCTACAAGGTACGGAGATATCGTACCGTGCAAGTCCCTCGCGAACAAGATCGCATCGGTTAAAGGAAATTAGAGCATGGCCGTGGTTGAGCCATTAGGCAGACTGCGGGCGTACGGCAAGGGCTAAGCGAGTAACCGTAATAACTGCGTCGCCAGCAAGGGAAGAATGAACAATATATACGTACGGCAGTATGCATTTTTTATATGCAATTGCTAATTGCTATTATTATAATACTGTCTGCTGTAGCAGTAATATACTTCATAGATAGATGCTATCTGTAAATCTCAGTATATCATACGAATGCCGTACTGCAATTTTATGATAACGTGATTCTTTTTCGGGAAGTGACTTGTATTTGTAATTTCTGAATGCGTAAGTACTTTCCGAGCGTGCTCGCATACTGAACGTTGAATGATTTTATAAAGTGATCGGAGCCTACTAGGAGCGCGCAACAGCGAAGTGGCCTGTGTAATCGAAGGTGTGTGTAACAGTGTGTTTTCCAACATAACACAATTACAAGTAACCTAAGTTGGACTTTTACAGACGAAAATTTCATCGGCAGTGTGTTGAATGGGCGACCGTGGCAGGCCGGGGCGTTTGCCACAGGTCTTCGATGGAGACTCATGGCGTAAGTTTCGTCATCGCAAGCGCCGTACTCACAGCCCAGTAAATATAAGGTCACATTTCACTAATAATCACACGATCAGAAATAAATTATACCCTATATTAGTTAACCTATCTTTGGTAGCGAACATCTGGGAATAATGGCACCTTCCACCGGCACGATGCATCCTACCGACAAAGAACTTGTCCGTGACCCCGTTGCCGATACTTTCTGGCGGGACATCTGGCAAAAAACGGCCAACCAAAACACTTCTATTTACGAACAGGTGATGAATAAAAAAACTCAGCTAACAGTAACACAAGTACTGAATAGCCGGCGCCCGGAAGTAACCTCGTCTTCCTCGGAAGCACTCTCTTAAGACGGTTTTACTGACGCAATATACTTTGTACAAAGCGGTATTAATGGCAGTGATGCGGATGACGTTGGCAGGTGTTTGAGTGTGTGCCGTCGGAGGAAGTCAGCACTTTCGCGCAGTTGGAAGAGCGTCTGCAAGCGCCGGCAGGTAGCCTACCGCGGGAGATGGCGAGAGAGATGCTAGCCGCGATACGCGGACATTTGGTGACGTATCCGCACGGTTTTTTGAGGAATGAGACTTTAGGGGAAAGACCGTTCACTGCACACGGACCAATGCCCACTGTTGCCTTAACATAATAAATCAGTACCATTTTCGTATTTTTTTCATTTATTTATTGCGTACTAAATTAATCTTGATTGTTCGTGCATTTATCATATTGTTAGTAATTAACATTATTATTATTAAATGGAACTACAAGAATTTCCAGCATTTTTAATGTTTCTAGTAATTTTACTCTGTCGCATTCCTTCATTTAGATAAAGATTTAACTGCTTTAACCTCAATGTCGGAAACTATAAGAAAATTATGTCCCATTTTTGAGCTTAAGTAGAGTAATTAATGCAGCTCGCACTTTTTATTATAGCCCGATAAATACACTGCGCACTGGTGTACTAGACTACTACGGTTTCTCTACTGTTAATCCGTCGTTGTGAATCAATAATACCTGGAAATGCTAACTCGGATTGTTGCATGTTAACGTTGGTGGACATTGTAATAACCCTAGGAAAGTAAACCAGTGCATTGACAAGCACAGTTGTGTGCTTTGATCAGCGGGATCTGTCCGAGCAGCGGGAATCTGCCGCCGCCCTTCCTCTTTCCCGCGCGCCTCGTAATCGCTATCCGTTGCACGTAACCGCTGCAGCACTTAGTACTTTTTACAATCACACCTCCCGCGCAGCAACAACCGTAAAACTTTCTCCATTGACAGCTGTTACAACGGTGCCACACGACAATGGCGATTAGGGAATTTGATCCGACAACCGGCAGCTGTACACTGTGCCACTTGTGACTGCTGCATTGTGCCATTGTGCCGGCACCCGGATGGGCACTGCGCGGTGATGACGTGCTACCTGCGCAGGGTGTGCGGTTGATAATCGGTCCCGGCTATCAAACGGCCGGTGAGTTGGTTTCACACCATTTCCGGACGGAAATGCACAGTCAGCAACACATTCTCCGGCTTGTAAAAACTGCTCCGGCTGGACCTCCCGCGACGCTTTACGCCTCTATTGATCCGGAGGTCTAGCTGCGTTTACCGGTACGGTTTTATGCGTTGTTGTGTCAACATGGTGTGGTCAGTGCAACACTCCAGTATTCATTGACCTTGTCACAACTGATCACCTATTTCGTACGCTGACAACTGCCAGAAAAACAGTGCCCTATTTAGCTGTTGTTACATAAATATAAATGCACGAAATTATTTCTATTATTTAATATCAAATACAAAATTCTTTACAATTTGTTGTCAAATCAGCCAGTCAGGACACTTGTTATAATCAGTGTACGTATACTGTACTTTATACTTTTTATTTCGAATCACAATAATCATTTGTATGGTATGAGTGGTAAGACTGTATTGCTTGATATGTTTAGTTTCATCATTTTCCCTATTAAAACTTTACTTGATAAAACTAATACTTCCTTAGTTTTGCAGAAAACTGCAAAAAATTTCGCATGTTCTGTTTATTTCTGTAAATGCTAAAAGTGTGAAAAACTTGGAGTCGGTGCAAAACAAAGGTCGCGAAGCTAAATGTAAAATAACCACAGCCAGTCAAAACGCCGTCGCTGCAAAAAATATTAGTCACGCAGAGCAAAATAAGAGGGATCAACTGATAAACAATTGGTGTCAGCCTGTCGGAAGTGGATGATACTGGGCCGATCCGTAATAATGAGGGCACCCGCCACCCAGTACGCGAGGGCTGCCGACGCCGTACTGTACCTGCCATCACGTCATCCATGTAAAAGCCCTTGTAATATTGCGTATTTTATGGTTCAAAGGTAAAAATTCTATTATTACAACAGCTGTGCTGCAGTGACGTACGAATGTTTGGCAGCGAGAGAATCGATTACGGCGCTGCCGGTATTAAGCGTATTACATCCGCGGTTATATCTTATCGCTTAGCAAGGATGATTAGCCCCCATCGACGTACGGACAGTCCTCATTCGTCAGGATCCTGACGTGCAACCGCCAGCCCGACCCGTCCTCCCTGATCCGTCGTCCAGAAAGGCTTATAAACGCTATACCATCAACAGCATCCGACATCACTTTTGCGCTTGAATCAACATTCAAACATCGACGACCTTTCTTAGCGTTCATCCATACATTCGCCGTGGACTAAAGGTTACTTCGATTTGGAGTTTATATATGTACACTGCACAGCTCACAACAATGAAGTGGGACGATGTCCGCCACTGGGCAATACTCCTGGTGACCTTTAGCGTGGTATTCAGCCGGACTTCGGTGCAGGCGGCCCCGGCGGCGCCCAAGGAGATGATTGGCAACATATCCATTTGCATTGGTAGGATATTGCTTTCGTATTGCATTTTGGCATTTCTGTCGGATAGTAATAGTCTTCAATGACTTTGCAGCGAATTGTGCACAGTGCCATGATATCATTGGGGATATTTTCGATCATCGACTATGCAGGTACACAAACAGTAACATACTCACCACAATTTTTTATACGTTTTGTATTTATGCAGTATAATTATGTTTATTCCTTGCAAGTTTTGTGGATGCTTTCGTTACAGTTTCATCGTAATAAATACCTAATAAGAGTAATCAGATTGACAGATTGATGTTTTTATGCTGCTAAGATTTATATGCCCCACGTGTGTAAGCAATTATTACGTACAACAAAATAAAATTTATTATAATTTATAACGATCTGCTGTAGCATGTAAAGTATGTATACTCAAGCTGATAAATCATTTATTTTGTATTTCATAAACATATGGTTAGGGCGCAGATTGTACATCGTCAGACTAAATAATCGTTTTCTGGTCACTCCATGCATTTCCGTTTATGTGCTGCTTCCGTTGGAGTAAGGTTTTTGCTCATCGCATAAATCATTTGACATTCACGGCCGCGTAACGATTACTTCCGTATTCAAATGGGAAAACATTTAAGCTAGCAAAAAGTATCTAGTCACGCGGCGATGATTCATGACCAAAGTAAATATTAGATTCTAAACGATAAACTAATAATGATATTTATGACAATATTAGTGATAAAAATGATAACAATTTTTAGAAAGTTAAATACTATTAATTCAATTTATGCGGAAGGTTTATTTGCTTTAATAATTTAAACTGAATTGTAAGGTTAAGTATGGTGCTGCACCATTTGCTGCTAACTACGGTCTTGAAATGAATAGGTATTTCTAAAATGGGACGACTTATAGAAGTAATAGACATAAAAATTACTATTGTGGTGAATACTGTTATTTGCCTGTTATGTACGAGTACGCGAATACTGTTATTTGCCTCGTAGTCGATCATTTAAGAATGTAAACAAGTATGACACAGCCATCGCAGTGATTTTATGACTGATCGATGTGTAAAACACTTGCACTACTTACAAATACGTTATAAATTGAGAACCTATTAGTCTTTCTAATACGGAAAAGCTACACGAATGTAATTGTGTACTGTAACTATAATGTAATTATTTATTTGGGTTTATTGTTGCAGCAAGGATTGCGTCCGAAGGAGAGGCACATTTATACCTGACTGCACTAGTCCAAGCGCAATAAAGGAGTACCTTTCGGTGGCACTCAAAAGCGCATTGTTAAACAGCAAATAATGTTATACTTGTTACGATTCCGGTGTCATGGCGTGGACCTGCTAGTTTTGCTTGCACTGGCCACGCTTGGATCGGCTTCCCTAAGGACACACACACGACTATGCACTGTTCACTGAGTATTATCCAGCGGTTCCTGTAGCGCAGCATTTGGCCAGTCTCCGATAAACATTTTATGGAAATTCTGTATATTTATAAATTTGATTACGCTCTCTGCCGTTGTGTGCTAAACTCATACTCAGATTAGTTTTTGCCTTGCACAGCAATTATGAATTATTTTCTCAACGTGTTGTTGTCGTATGGCTTGCATATGTATTTCAAAAAATATTACTTAGTATTTCATCTGTTTCTTTAACATTTGGCAAATGGACAACCTATAAAATTCACGCGCATAAAAGAGTGTCAAAATAAGCCATAAAAGCATAAGATAATTTAAAACAGTAATAATGAAGAAGATCTAGAAAAGGGTATGTAATTAATGCGGTGAAGATCTCCCGACAGCCCTCAAAGTTTATGGAACCAGTGTAAATTAATGAAATACGCCAAGGCGCGCCTAATTATTTCTGAACTATTTTCTTTACATATAACAGCTGGCCGACTGCGACGGCAATCCGCATTACCTTTCGACGCCATTGGGCGTTTTCTAATCAACACACACACGCATGCGCTTTGCTTATCTTTCCTTCCGCCTGGATTACGCGGCAGACAGAGACGATCAATGAAATTCTGGATCAAAGTAATGGTTGTCAGTGCAAAGGTCACGAGATCAGTGCGTTTCAGGATAATCGTACCATGATTACTTCCGCACTCATACCGGCTTCTTATTTCACAATTAATCAAGTTATTAAACGAACAATAAGCAGTTCTTAAGGACCGGCTGTGCTTTTAATTAAACAACACTGTCGCACGCAAACACCTTGAACAAAAAAACATTATACTCTTTGTTATCTGCAGCGTATAAAAATAACCTAACGAGAAACATTGTTGATCTCTTTTAATTATAACTCGGACTCGGCTTATACGATCGAACCAAGTAAGTGCTCATAAGTAAAAAAAATTTAGTGTATTAAACGGCTATTTTGAAGGTCAGGTGAATTAACTGTTGAATTCGATTCACGTGCGTGTAAGGTTGTAGAATAAAATGATGCGCCCGGAGAAATCATTAATGACTGCTTTAAGCCGTCACACTAATATCCATAATTATACAATGAAAACAAATCGGGGTCCTCGATCAGTCCTTGTCATCGGCATGGTCTTCTAGCGGTAGCATTTCATCGGGAATTCGCATCATGGGCAGGTCGTATTTGACCGATGTGGTGCCGTTCGCCAAAGCTGTAATAATAATTTGCTGGTTGAAAATTTATCGCCTGATCAAGAATGTTTTATTACAGAATTGTTAATTTGCGCTAAATGCTGGGGGAAATGTCGGCGCCTATATGCGGGCAATAATCTTATTTTCATCTGTAGCCCTAATTAAAGGTATGCCTCGGTGGCATATACTCAGAGAAAATAAAGATTATGAAATCATAGACATATGCCATTCGTTGTATCCTGTTATTTCGGCAATTATTGCGTAATTTCCGCCACTTCCGGTGATTCACCATCGCCTTAATGAATGCCAGGCGCTTCGTACAGTGCATTTACAGAAGACAGGAGGTATGTATGTGTACTCGTACCAACAAATCTATCACAGATACAGGAGAAAGGATAGTGATCATGATCAATCGTAATTTTGTAAGTAATCTATGTCATGATCAATACAGTTATGTAGGTATTTATGTTTAATTATTCAATGGATTTGCTGACTTCTCGTATACAAATAACCAATATTCAACCACTGCTGTTATACATTAAGTCGATTTTTTGCTTTATATGGGTAATTCGTGTTCATTAGATCCAACGCTCATGAAACACCACTGATTTTGGAAACAATTATTGATAAACACTACTCTAAATAAATACTTGAATTGATTGATTATACGACAGATGTAAAAGAAAATAAATTTTTCTGCATCATTTAACTGTTCAGTGCGCTAAAGCACTATCATTGCTACTGTACCGTAGACATTAAAATACGTACAACATAGGAAGGTCGGGCAGCAGCGTCCGGAGACATGGATAACGTGACATGGAGCGCTGGGGTCGCCGGTGTGGGAATGCCCCGGCGTGCACGTGACCTGGGCGCAGGCGGCGCGGCCGTTGCGGCAGAAACACCATGGTGAACACGGGTCGTCGCTCGGCATCTTTCCCATGTAGTTGCATTCTAATCACAGCCTCAAAATTATATTTTACGCATAATTTGGGGAAGGTCGGGTGAAAGTGCGAGAGGAACTCTTTTCGAACAACGCTCAGTTTATGTATCATAAAAGGGCATGGGCAGGGTTGTTTAGCAGACACTTTACCAGGCAAAAACAAATAGTTGAATGCTAATGTTCATATTTATCTTCTTAAATGCACAGTAAGCGTAATAAGAGGCAAGCGTTCTTTTACGTGAAACAAATACACAAATAAAAAGATTATAAGCACTAGCAATCGGAAGTATGTTTTGAAGCGCATAATTTCTTTTCTAAAGCTTGGCATGCACCAAATAAATAATAACTTATTTAAAGCACGTTGTGGCAGATTTTACAAAGCGCTTGAAACTTTGCGCAGTATGGGCTAACTCACTATTACAGATTACTACTGCTGGAAGGCTTGTTTATTTTTTTGCACCTGCTGCAGCATGCATTAATGTATTCCGGCGTGTAATTATTCTAAAACGTCTATAACCCAAGCACTTTTACTTGCATCCATGCCGCGTATACTGCAAGTCTGAAATGTAATAAATGTAATAAATTTTACTTATGTGCTGTTTTTTGGGAAGACGCTGTTACTGAAATGTCAAATAAGACCACATATGATTACCGCAGCTGCTAAAGCTCAATACGCAACCGTACTGCGCCGTCTGCTACGTGATATATATATATATATATATATATATATGGCACTCACCGTCGCCATTATGGATGTGATACGGCGCGGCCGTGGGCGAAGCATCGGTGTCGCGGAGCAGTGGCAGCATATGAACCGCGGCGGGCCAACTCATTAGCAGCAGGCTAAAGGTCATGCATAGCAGCGCAACATGACCGGCACGGTGCGGCCGGAAAGCCGACGGCGACGTCACGGCTGCCAGGGCAAGGTCATCGGGGATCATTGTAAGCCGGGGGACTGCGTATTCAGGGAAGCGGGAGCGCGATCCCATCAAAATGATCAAGTCATCAGTCAACACTCGCGCGGGATACTGAATTACTGATTCACCGCTGCCAACATTGCGCCCAGCATCTGATAAGCAGCCAAATGCGCATACTGGAGAGGAAGCAGGACGCCGTCGACGTCAGTAACTTTAGTCAGCCGTTGTCGAGTGGGCTCGTTAGCGAAGCAAGTGCCGATCGCACAAGTCTTGCCACTACAAGTGTATATAAACTGACAGTGTCTTCAAAAGTTTTCTCCCTGTATATTTTCGGTTTTTTTTTATTTCTAAAATTATTTACCAGTTCATTTTGTATATCTTCATTTAGCTGTCCCAGTTTGGGCTGCAATTTGGAATCGTCACCGCAAATTAGTAATACTAAATTTAACAACATTAAAATTACGGTATCAAATGAAACATTAAATTCCTGTGCATAATTTGGCGCGCCGGACGGCTTGATCCAGACAGCGCTTCAGATCCAGCTTGTGGACGTGTGTGAAGGCGCGCAGACGGATGGCAGGCTGACCGGCACTGTGCAGCCGCAGTCGACGTCCCGCGCTGCGCCGACTACCGCACTTGAGGGACGCACCGGCATCCAGGCGCAGCGTCCTGGTTGGGTAATGCAGAATCCTCTTGAGCTGGCCCTGCATTTTGCACAATCACATTTCCATAATTTGATTACAGGGCGCCTGTTTGTCAAGATCTAATAGTGCCGCGTACGTACCTCTTTACTGAGTATGTGTACATCCAAATAGTCCCGCAGCAAGTGAACGTTGCAGAGTCGCCAGTGTAGGCCTTCGCGTATGCCGAACAGTTCCAGCCAGCTCTTCTCCTGTAACTGTTCAAAGCAATTAACAATAACATGAAAACTGCGGAGCTGAAGCAGTTGTTGATGCCCATAACACAAGTCTGACACACTGTGTAGACAGTACACAGAGTTCAACACATACTGACGTGAATATAATTATACATATATTAGGATTGCTTATCACTGTATTATGCTAGAACTAGATAAAGGTCAATTTCTATCAACCACGATACACCTTGCGATCGATGGCAGACTGACAGTGATTTGTCCACCTCATTTCAAATATCACGACAACTGGTGTCAAGAAAGCAAAATTTGTCATCGAGTTTGGTCGTCGCTGTATAAGCGATCTCTTGGAACATTTCATGGTAATTTACCGTACCTCAGTGGTACAGAAATTCAGCGGCTCTAATACTTCGTCTGCCTCCTGAATTACGTCTTCCTTGACATCATCTTCCATGCTTGAATCCAGTTTAGCTAATTGCCCAAAACATTGTTCAAAATCAGAGCTGCGAGCAGTACAAAGTGGCTGTACGGACTAACAGTAACTGGAGTCGAGCAACCGCTTGGCCTGTGTCAACACCGACGCCAGCGACACGTTGGAACTGCCTGCATAAGTAAGTGCAAGCGTTGATACGCCACAATACGACACTGGAAAATCACGCAACGTCGAACTGTTTTTTCAGTTACCGAGACTTAGCGTTTTGTACCGGACATAGGTCACCGAAGATTTCTCCGCAGTATCCAGCAGTCTGCCGTGTATGCCTGAAGTATGCGACGTATCCGGTCCGCCGTCGGCATGATCGAAGGTCACCCAGGTGGAGCGATCACCTGTACCACTGTAAATAACTTCGCCTGTTCAGCTGTATTGAGCGTGACTGCTACGAGCGAGCCATTTACAAAAGAGCAAAACTGGCACCGTGAACCAAACAATGCTTTCACATGCTTGTAATGCGTTCAGCCGGTCTCCACGTTTAATATGCCCGCTCTTTGCGGACAGACCGTACAACCGCGTACAACCATACCGGTAGAAAAACCGGTTCAACGTCCCAACGCTTCTCTTCTAGAATATTGTCTATCAAACCTGTTTCTGTAGTGATGGATCGGAAGTGACTGCGGCGATTTCTGGATACTGGAAGTGTGTTATGCCGAGGCGGTACCGGTTTCCCAGGCGTACATTGGATGCAGGGAAACGATCCCACCGCCGACGGCACCAGCGGTCTGCCACTCCTGCAGTGCTTTATGTGAACGGGGCTAGACGTAACCGGCGATGATTCGGTTTCTGGCACCTCTAGAAGGGCAACAAAACCGGAACCCGATAGGTAACAATGTCCTGAACACGAATATTCTTTAACAGTTTGGCGCTCTATAATTACTTATTGTGGAAATGTCTACTTCAATGATGTATTAACTCTTGGATCAGCAGGATCATGCACCTCTTACGCTAGCGTGCAACCTTTGCGAAAATAAAACATCAAGGCTACGAAAATTTATATGTGAACTGGGACTGGTCGATCAGTCGTCCTGTAATCCTTACGCGGAAGGTCTCCGATGACTGCACATTCTGGATCATGTAGCAGAATTAAATCTCCAACACAGCGGCTCTCCGCATCGGTGCTACTTGGGGTAATATTTGGCTCCTGTTGAGAGAACTCTAACAAATGGTCACCCTGTGGTTGTTCATGTAAATCTTTAAGGAGATCCTCGTCTTCACAAACAAAAGGGCTATTACTCGAAGAATCTACTGTAATAAAAAATAAAAAGGAACGTTAGTCATGCTGGGTGCAGATAATTCGGCAGAAGGTCTGAATGTACGAGTACACGTACCGTCGGCGTCAGTATTCAGTTGACATGTTTCCAGATATTGAAGTGCGGTATTGCGGATCAGCGTGAGGAGAAAACGAGTCATCGGTTTACAGAAGACAAGCGCGAGTGCCACGCCGTATAACGCACTCGTCCCGCACACATACTGCATCGTCTCAAAGCTCATTATAAAGCACCCCATCTGAGTGACCTTAGCGCCCATCCAGGGCAGTATGTATGCTAGCAGGCAGGCAAAATAGGCATAACAGTGGTAGCGATATTCATCCCAAAGAAAGGTTATTCCGCGATGTATTACGTCACTGACGGCATGGAGGGCAGCAATGTGCTGTATGAAAAGGTCAGCGTCGTGGGGCGACCAGACAAAAGCGAAATGCAGCGACATTCGCCCGACTGAGAGACCCTTACCCATGGTCCATACCCGCCTTGTATGGTCACAGATAAGATCGGATTAGGTCAGCAGCAGTTCAGATTTTCTAGGCGCGGAATTTTGGGCCGCACATAAGAAATAACGGCCATATGCACTGCCAACGGTATAACAGAAATAACATGGTATTGTTAAGAATGTTGATTTAATACTTCCAGCAGGAACTATCCAGATGCAAAAGCTTGTGAAAGGGATAATTTTATCGGCATGATCATACGTCTAAACGTTTGCTTACATCAACATATATGTTTCTATCGTGTTTTGTAAATTATCAAACCAAAGTGGATCTCACGAGATTGAAGGGACATAAAATGTGACTGTTTTTCTTAGTTGTCACCATGTCACCGATTAGCATCGTTTTTGCCTTGTTGTTCAGATAGTATATGCCTAGTTGGGAAGCAGTTGCTTACCGGGCAACTGGGAAATTACTATAAGTAACTGTACAGACATGTACATCGAAAGTGATAGCCCTAAATAAATCGTACATCTTACTCCAGTAGTTGTAGTTAAAGTACAGTAGAAGGTACACACATACAGATACATCACATATTTATATAAGTGATAATATACTAACTATATCTCTGCTCAGATTGGATCACTGGTTTAGTCTTATCTTCGATTAATGTTTTTTTCCCGCTTCTTATTTCAGATAAATAACCTGGCAAAATTTCAGATCTGGAAATTAAGACGGACACGAAAGGGCAGACCACACAAATTTATTCATGTTGCAATTCAGCTATAATAAAATGTCGGTCGGGGTTTCTGGACGCCGCTGACCGGCATCGTTTGGACGTAAGCATCACATAACTCTGTCATCGACGCGGCCTGCCCTACTTGCTCCACACGCTGTGCCACGCGCATCAGAAAGACGTTGGTCACAATCCAACGGTACAGATACCGACACAACGGATGACCTTTGGCCGCTTGCCACTCATCCACCAATAACGTCGCTGCAAACACTTTTTCAGTCTGCACGTATTTTGCGCAAAATGCAGTCCACCGGCGTACCTTTCAAGTGCTCGATCAAATGGGCCCGTACTGGCCGCAGCCCATGGGCGGTGGGATCGTAGTCCACTACGGCATCCAGCAAGTCCATGCGCACATGCGACCGAATCTCGTTCCACGTGGCAAACCCCCCAGAGAGTCCGTGGACGGGCTGAAGCAGTGTCAGCACTGCCTGAAAGGTCTGCTGTACGAGAGCGGGCGCGGCAGGCTTGGTGCGCAGGTCGGCCAGGATGGAGGCAGTGACGCTCTTTAGGATTGGCTGTAGATGGATGGTCAGCATTAACCGGCCAAATACGTAGAAGTGTGCTTGCTCCGGCATTTTTCCCTCAATTTCTGAAATAAAAAATTTGCGATAAAACCGGAAGTTTCTGGTCAAAGCTTAAACTTTGAATTAGCTTGAAGTTCTAGATTTTTCGATGTGTCTTTTTAAGATTTGAATAGATTTTCTTGTCTTCGCACATTATTCAATTTCTGCACCGACATTGTGTAAAAAGTAATTTATTTTATTATCTCCATAATTCTGCTGTTCTGCGCAATGCACGAGCTTAATCAATTAATTTATACCTAAGCCGGCGTCATCGTGGTTGGTTGACATCCACTGTGACGTCAGTTCTAAAACACTTTTCTGCAAAATGACCAGCAAATTGCACAGCAGCTTGTCTCCATCCGCATTCAACCATTCGTCACCGAAACTTCAAAGAATCAAAATGAAGGAAACTAGGTGATCCATCAGAAGCTTCACTGGCACACATACTTAACGTCGAGAACGAAGGTCGCCAATCCATTCTCGTCCAACACCGGACACGCAATATGCCTATTACAGATAACGTCTCTTGAACTGTGATTGGCTGTAACGGAGCAGCTATCTCACTTGTCGCCAAATGACACCGTGCGGACATTCTCCGCCGTATCCATGGCTCGTACAATATAATGCACTCGCGGGTTATCGCTTTCCAAAGCACCGGCATCCCGATGCACCATCGCCTCGCTGCCGCTGTGCATGGTAATCACTCGCCGAACTTGCACGTCACGCTGACCGCTACCCCTTTCCGGGAAGTAGACGACGATTTCTTTCAGAGATGGAAGATGCTGACAGAACCAGGGCAGTGCTGTGGCGGTAGCGTCGATGACCTTTGATATTTGGCGGGCGGCTCCGTAGCCGTCCATGATAATACGGATGACTCCCTAGAAATTCGACACGGCGGTCAAGGTCTGGTTGTTCTGAGCAGTAATGCTATTACTTGGTGGAAGCCGATTTCCGAATCGGAGAAGGGTGCGATTGGTTGTTTATTACTGAGTGCGTCGATGTTCAGCACGCCGAAACACCGTCTATGTGCGTCAATCAACGGATGACAAACAAACGGACCATGTGCAACCTGCAAACGTGCAAAGTTTTATTTCGTTTTTTGTGGTCAGATAAATTTCATAATATAGTGAAAACCTAACCAGGATCATGGTGAAAAGAACGTGACGTTGTAAATACACCACTGCAAACTGTAGACTACCATACGCACTTGCTGCCGTTGCGGATTGATGAGCAGCGTCGCCGGTGTGTCAGCCGTATCTGGGATGACAATCGCCTCGCCGCTGCTGATCACTGTGAACCTGACCAACCCGAAGTATTGTATGCAGGGTGACAGTATTATTCAGCTTGCCAATATACAACACTCACCCGATATCTTCCGAATCCGGTAACACGATTTTCTTGAGGTAAAACGATGCATCCGATTGGCTGCCTGCGATGACTCGCAGTACATGCTGACCGCGGTAAGGGTTGATGCTGTTGCGGGCGAGCAGCGCTAAACTGACGGTGACAACGCGACCGTCGTAATGCAGTTTGGCATCCTGTAAATGGTAAAATTGTGTAGTGTCTTACCCCAGCAAAATGACTGCTGCGCTGCAGCATAAAATATTAGTGTGCCAACCTTTTCTAACACTTCGATTGCTGCTTGAAACTGCTTCTTCCTCGATGTGCTCGTATCTGTACCGATATGCTCGCTAAGTTCATCCAGCCAGATTTTTCGCATAATCGACCGTGATTTCTCCGCATTCGTCCGCTAGATAGGAATTATTAAAAGCGGTACGTTCTAATTTCGCGGTTACTTCTGTGTCAAACAGAAAACTGCATGTGCAACACTTAGACAGTTAATAGCAGTTGTAGTGGTGAAAATGCAGGCTAACAGTTAGAAGGTGTGCGTGACTGACCTTTAAAGATTTGACAGTTTCCTCGCCGAGGAGTTTGGAGCCCACATCCACGTCGTAGCCAACACTCTCCAGCAGAACGCTGCAGAACTCCACAAACTGCCGCCTGTCCAACATCGACGTACCAATACTCAGCAGCGACTGATGCAGCTGTAGTGCTACAAAACAGACCGTCGGCAATAATGGATTACGATGTATGAGAGTGCCCGTTTACGCGCTTGGATACTCGACAATGATAAATCAGTAAATCAAGCAACGACGACACTGACCGACCTTTCGATACATCGGCACTTCTAACCGGTATCTTGACGGTACTCCACACATCCGTTAAGTACTGGGCCGTAATGTGACCTTTCCCATCGGTATCTAACTGGTCGAATGCCTTGGCCAAATTATCATTTCGCTCTCTGTAGCGTGCGTGCTGCTGTTCCTGTATAAAACAACAATCAGCGCTTCCAAAGCCCTTTCATCGATCGTCTATCCGCTGTACATGCAGTGTTCTTGTTTGATGAACGGTGAACGATGAAATAGACTGTACAGCGCTTGGTTGACACAATTTACAACGTAACGTAGAATTTACTTGGCACTACAGTGCTAAATTACTTGTCGTAATCGAATTAACCGTTCATCCGGCGTCTCACTGTACTTCTCCTCAATAAAGGCCAACAAGGCGCTGGCAGTTTCCGGATGCCCGGTTGGACAGCAGTTCCAAACAACGGTCGCCAGTTGATCTTTGGTTATCCATCGATCCATATACGGTAATGACTCCACCGTTCCCAGTTCTAAACCGCACATTGGATCATTTATAAAATTTATAATACAGAATCACACTTACGTTTTGGCCGATTCGAGTGACGTTTCCGCTCCATCTGCCGCTCATTAAAGGCATCCACAAATTTTCGAGTAAAGCTATCCGCGATATCAACTAAGCAAAGCGACATTATTACCGCCTTGTCACAAAATCTACATGAAATCGTGCCGGTCAAAATAAGCACCTCGTTTCAACACGGCCTTTGAACTAGTTTCCCGTGATGAATTAGATACCGCATCCGGCATGTCCTGACTGTGCAAGCGTAAGAGGCCGGTGGAGCCGGACGCCGGATACTCTTTGTACATGTAGCGCACATATTCGTGTTCCCGACTCGGACTCTCCTTCTCGCTTTCCTCCTGAACTAGGCCTGGAATGGACAGGCGTGGGTCTACGGCATCGCCCAACAGAGACGTGTAGTCGTCCACGTCGAAGATAGTCGGCGTACTTCCGGCTGGAAGAGAGCGGGCCTCCGTTTCCTGTGTCGTTTGCTCGGCCGGCACCACCGGCCCTGTTTTCACCACTTTGATTAGACATAAAGACTAATGTAATGGTCTGTTCATTGGTAGCAATTATATTACAACCATTCAAAGAAAATTTCAACTTCTTGAAAAACATACAAACACAGGGATTATTCATCTCGGCTTGCTTTTCCTCCGGGAGACTTTGGAAAAATTCTTCCATAATCGACAGAAGTTTCGGTCGACTTAAAAATCCCGTCTGTATTAATTCGAAGCGCAGTTAAATACCGTGTGTAGATGTTGGATGTTGCAGGTGACCTTAGCTTCGTCCAGCTTGTCAAAGACATCGCCCACAGCTGCTCGATTGCGCCGCATGGTGCGCTCCGCTTCCGAGCCGACAAAGCACGCCGCACAGTGCTCGCGCAGAGCCGCTTGCTCCTCCGGTTGCAGCAAGAGCAAAAGTCGACCGAGTACCTGTTGATCAGTTTATCGCTCGATTAATTTTTCTACTGAAGACAATAAGAGCAAAGAATCGAAAATATTTCCAATAGAAAATGTGATAACATATCAAAAGGGGAAAAAAATGCGAACCGTTGCAGCATCTTTGGTAGGAATTCTTTGATCCACTTCATCCATCGATATCACGCGATCGACAATACGTTTAATGGATTCTGGAAAAAAAATGCCACCGAATTTTTGTGAGAAAATCATTAAAAATTTACCCGGTAAAAAAATAATAATGGATAAATAATCCAAGTTGGAGAGGAAAAGCTGTGTTTGAACACCTTTCGTTTCGTACTCGATAGTTTTGTTCTCTTGGACAAATGTGACCACGGACGAGCGCAGCACCGTCAATCTGACGTGGTCGTTCTCCGCTGAACCGCTCCATTCCAGCATAATACGCAGGATTTCCATAAGCTGCTGCTGTGTTTTGGACATTAGTGACATGTCATCCAAAACGCCGTTCCAGACTCCATCCACCCTGTTATTACATCATATGCGATTTAAAAATTTCCTCCACTGTCGATAATTTCAAAGATCGTTGTTACTAACATGAAGCTATGGGCTGGCTGATCCGCATACGACTTCTGAGGAAAGGTATCGCCGTTTGGTTTCTTTGCGCCTATGTCTGCAGCAACCCACGGTTGTCCATTAGTTTTTTGCAAAGTCGCCGCGGACTGAGCAATATCCGCTAATTCCGATTTTACTCCACTATTCAGCTTCTCCCGTCTAGTTTCGCTAACGACGCGTCGGAAGCTGCGCACGTAAGGATGCGATTCCCACGCGTTGCAGTACTTGGGATGGTTGCGGACGAGAAAAGCACCCAGCATTTCTACTGGATCGAAAGATGGGTCGTCCAGGAAACCGACATCATCCACTGGTTCCTCGGGGTCTCGCGGAATTAAGCCGCGTCTCTGTGCCTACAAAACTTGATATCAAGTCAAGCATCACACTATATAGTTCTAGTCTGTATCGGCAATAGACGCAAAACACATGGGCAGCAAACAAGATTCACTTATTACGAAACCGCCTGAAATTGCAGTTTTGAGAACTCAGGGCAGCAAATTTTTGAGGCACAGAACAACCAAGCGCCGAACGACGCGGTAATGAGTTTAACCATCTTCCGATTGCGTACAAAACGAGGCTTATTGGTGTAAAAACGGACCAGTAAGATAGCAACGCGACAAAAACAGTTTCTATCAGAAAATGGGAAAGCAAATGGTTACCTGGATAACAACTTCCTCCAAACCGAGGAACAGCACCGGCACCATGCTCTCGAAATCCACATCCTCCAACACCGAGCCGCCCAGCAGCGCCAGCCAGTCTCTAACCAGCGGCTCGAACGGCACCACCCGCGACAGTTGCGCCGCGCGGCTGTCGGCTAGATCTCCTACCGTGGTGATTGTCGGCTCCTGATCTAGCACCGCCCGTGTCTTACGCCGCGCATTGCGATAGCACTTGGCGAATATCTCCCGGAAATCCACGAGACCACCATCCGGTCGGGACACATTGGCCCGTGCACCGAAATCCGCGGGCAGCTCAGCGAGGTCTTTCTCGTCGTAATCGTCGTAGATGACGTCACTACCTTTGGTTGCGGCTTCTTCTGTGTCAGCAGTCTCGATGGTGAAGGCGGTGAGCGGGTTAAGCGTAACCGGTGGAGCGGGATCAGTGATAATGGGGATAAAGGTCACACTGGGCTTGGCAAAGGTCAGTTTGTCTTCGGAACCAACGAAATGGGCGCGCCGCAGGCCGAGCGTTGGCAAATGCAGACTCCCGACGCCCAGCTGCTCGGTTTCCCTTTCTTGGGAGGTAACACTAAGGCTTGGGGGTTTTGTACAGTCAGCAGTTTTACTATCGGTCTGCTCGCCAGTTTCTGCATAAAAAAACATCAAAACATCGTTTCTCTTAAATAACCTCAGATGCACAACAAGTTTAAATATATGATGATACTGTAATGCTTTTATTCTCTCGAGATATTTCATACCGGGCCGCGCCAGTGACTGCACCGGAAGCTGGTCGATCCTTCCGCCGACGTCGCCCGCGGGCGGGAGCTGAGACGGTTTGAGGGCGATTTTGAGAAACTGCGCCTCCTGTTCCTGCATAAGCGTCGTTACCCGACGCGCCTTCTCCGTGTCCAACATCCGTCGGAGCCGAGTGGGCGGGACCAGCAAAGCATCTTCCTGTAGACGGACAGTGGTAGCATCCTCTAGGCTGGAAAGGTTGAGTGCCTGATGGTAGGCGTAATCGATGTTGCGGCGGTCGTACAACGGTAAATCGGCGCGCAGCTGCCCGTATAGCTCCATGTCTTTCAACTTTCCACTCATTCCTACGCATACAAAACCTAACGTTTCCGTATATTATTCACTTGTTCATTGTATGAGCATGCTCAAATTTATAAAAGTTGTTATTGGTTCAGTATAACCATAATAATTTAAACACCTGCGCTAAGCTACAATATAATACTGTACGTAATTATTATTATTGATTTTGCCAGTGCTGACGACACATAACAATTCCGTTTAATCTTTCAGAGTGCCACGGCCTAATTTGTATTGGTACTAGTGATTGTTCATAGCAACAGCGTTGAGAGCGGGTGCACACTTTACCAGCCAACGGTGATCTGAGACTCTGAGTACATCAGCTTACAACTTTGCGGTATACAAATAATACGACATCGTATTTTTAGCAGAAAATTTTGTCTGGTTTTGGTTGAAAGTTGGAAACATACAATACATAGATCCTAAGTAACCTAAGAGTTTGTGAAATGCTTCAATTTGACCACCCGAAAAGAAGAGAGAAACCTAAGATTCTGCCGTGCTTCAAAAGCATTCTGCCTACCCCGCCCACAGAAATAACTTTTATTGTCATTACTTATATTTATTGTGACGAATACGTGCAGTTTTACTACTAACTTTCTCGGCTTACAGTACAGTACTTATTTGTTTTTTTTCCTAGAATACGAGTTTAAAGTATCGTACTGTACGTTGAACATTGCATTGCTGCGCTTATACCGTACTTATACTGAGAGGTTAAGTTGCATTGCATAACGTAGCCGGTAAGCCATGTTAGCACAGAAATTTAAGCGGTAATATTGCACCTTCTTGTCAACGATTTGTATGCTAATCAGCCGATATTACTCGGATAAGTTGGCCCGTCAAGAGATGCAAGTACGCCTCAAGGCTGCTGTAAAATACAGGATTTCCATTTTATGATTTATCAACAGGCTGCAGGTTTATGCCAATTATACGAAGAAATACAACTAAAAAGTATCTTCCTATTTTATGCTGAAGAAAAAGCTATAGCCAATTAAAAATACGTAAATACCCTCTGTAGTTAAAGGGTAAGGAATCAATGTGTAAATACAAATACGAAGCCCTATTAAAAAGAAAAATAAATTATAAACAAAAAGATCCATAATTATAATGCTCGCAAACAACCGATCGTCATGTTAGGTAGACAATCTATTTCTGTAATGAACTTGTCATCACCTGTCCTGTGGAGAGATCGGACAGAATAAACGGCAGTGACACTTACAAAAACGCACCGGAGGTGTCCGCCGATGCCGGGACAACTGATCTGCACGGTGTACGCATCGCTGCCGCATCAAGCTCATTATCGATCAACTTATAATTTATAGACGGGGATTAATGTGGTCATAAGCGCTGGACGATTATGTGTGTTGTTGCATGTATGCCGGTTAAGGGAAAAATAATTTAAGCAAATGAGCCCGGGCTCCGCTCGTTAGACGACTGCACCACGCCTGCTCTTAATTTGGTCAGCCGGCGTCGTCAAGTTCATACTGCCAGTGGCTCTTGTCAGATGAATTCCTTCCATGTTAACGGGTTAACTATTTTTTTGAACCGCTGGACAGGACACAATCACGTCGACGGACCTTCGGCATAGAAACTGTACTGCATGTCCGTTCGGTTTCCGGGCATCGCTATATAAGCCGGCTGTTGTTTTAAGCGCTTTTCCTTACCGAGTTCATTTGCCTTCGGGATTTACTGTTTCCATAATATTACTTGTTAAGGAAATTTATTTATCAAAATGTGGCAACAGGTAATCCATCATCAACTTTTGTTTTGGCTAGTTATGTCCCACATGAGATTAAAACTGTTGTTAATTCTGTGTACTGTACTGAAAATTGTATGGAATGTCTTTGTCTTCGCATTCCATAGTCCCGGCATAATTCCATGTTATCGTTGTTCTTTGCTTCCTTTTGCTTTATTTCAAATTAATTACTTTCGTTTTGATTGTACGTTTCAGTTGCGAAAACTTACTTGAAACTGAATGATGTTTTGCCTGACTTTGTAGAATATAGTTATTGTTCATTATTACTTATATATGTCCTGTAATTTAGCTACAGATTAACTTTGTCTTAAGAACTAGTTACGTGTTTGTATAAACATACAATAATTGTATCTGACTAAATTGGGGTCTAAATGATATACAGGCGCCGTGTATATCAGCCGGCTTGCTATGCCTCCTGCTGGCTTTGGCAGCGGCAGAAGTGAAGCCTCCCTCGACATCCCTCAGGAACGCCCACCATGACCCCCGCGTCACCGCCGACCGGAAGAGCTTAGAAGGTGCCTTCGAACTCGTGCCGGCGGAAAGTTACGGTTACGGCTACATGCGGCCATATTACCCACCGCCCATTTACGGCGGCTACGGGGGTTATGGTGGTGGATATGGAGGCGGTTACGGGGGATACGGCGGAGGATACGGCGGCTATGGCACGTCAAGTTGTGTGCTCTAAACACCCATGTGATGTGGCGTGATTAGTGATACCGGCATGCAGTTACCGTCTTACCGATGATACTGCGGAGGAGGTCGAATAAATTGACGGAAATTTTTTCCTTTACAGATTACGGCTACCCGCCCTACGGAGGTTACGGAGGGGGCTACGGCTACCCAATCTGTACGTGCCCACAGTAATATCAATAATACACGACAGGGACAAACAGTTAACTAATTTAAAAAATTTTTAAAAAAAAGCCTGGTGTAGCGGTTTACTCCATAGTTTCACATGGGCAATTTATGACAAACTGCCGTTAATTTTTCGTATTCTAATACAGTTAAGCGTTTGCTATGCTTGTGCAGTTCATATTGTTATGTCGACGTTGTTTGCTTCTTTATTACGTTACCTTTCGTTTTTTAACAAGTGCAGTATCATGCCAGTATGTATATATGCAACAGAAGACTCATCAATTCATCAAGTGCATTTTCTACTGTATGTACAGATATACTTATTATTATTAATATTTCCCTAACAGTTCCACGTATCGACTGGCAAATCTTTGCTTCCTTCCGTTACAATCTTGATTAAGATGCATAATTGAGCGAATTAATAACTTCGCACTGGTAATGCGTACCAGCATTTGTGTATAAAATTTATATATTAGTATTTGAATTTTTTCTGAATGACTAACTTGTTATTTTGTTTTCGGAATAACCCGAAGTATTACTATCCAGATCGATGACCGTGCATGGTTGTCTTGCAGATCCACCTTACGGGGGCTATGGCGGTTACGGCGGCGGATATGGCGGCGGGTATGGTGGTAGTTACGGCCGGTCGGGACGTTATGGTGGTTACGGCGGCGGTTACGGAGGTTACGGTGGCTACGGTGGTGGCTATGGCAGTGGTTATGGCGGATATGGCTATTAATTAGCTCCGTGTCAGCACATTCATGATTGTTTTTCTGTTGACAATGTTGAACGTCAGTAGTTGGACCAAAGTGACAGCGATGACCCCAGTGAACGTATAGAATTTTCTGGATCCACCCATTTGTACAGTACAGTGTTATCAACGGCTGCATTGCTCAATGCGACTTCCATCGAAGTCTCTCGTTGCAGAACTTGATGGAGAACAAAGAAAAAATAAAATGTGAAAAAACAATCTACAGTGCTTGGATGATCATTTCCGTGCCAAAACGTTCACGAATGGGACGTTCCCATTACTGTTGATTAGCGATAGGCGCGTTAATTTAAAAGACATACTTAATCAAAAACAATAGGAGTGAACAATAAATTGCCGCACAATCGGTGACTGCAACATGATTGAGTCTTTCAGTACACCTAAAGTTAAAAAATCAATTGCAGATTTAAAGTCCGCTTGCAGGTAAATGATACTATGGTTAGTTTTACTTGTCTCATAATATGAAAAAACGCCTCCACGCTACCGTATGTACGTACATTGCACCGGTACTAGTGCATTTTTGGCGCGCGCACCTACACCCACTGGGCAGTGGATAGCAGCCGCCAAGTAGCGTCGCCGGAAGCGCCCTTCCTCCCCCCCCCACCAGCTACCTGGCATCTACCCAGTGCCCACTCGCGCCCTGAAAAAACTCTCCAAAGTTAAAAAATCTTTCGTTTGGCCTTCACCACCTGGCAGCTGAGATAGAGAAAAACCACCCAGTCCATACTTGCATGACGAATAAAGGATGCACAGCATTCTCCGTCGGACGATACGTCACCCGCACCCACCTCTCCATATATACCTTGTATCTCCACTTCCTCCACCTCTGCATCTCAGCCTTGCTCAAACAGGCTTGCAGCTTTGTCTTTTCGCACTAAATCGCCTGGTATCGACAACTGATCGGAGCAGACAGCATTTGTGCGGGACCACGCCTGGCTCAAAACTTCACTAGTTTCCGCGATCTCCGCAGTCCCTCAGTATTGGCATTCACGTTCTCAAAGGCTATTTAGGACTCATCTTGCACTCGCCGGATCGAAACGAAGTGACGCTTACGCAACATATTATAGGCGGCGACCGTTAGGTTAAATAGGTACAGCAGCAGTTAATTCTACAAATGCACCCCGCTGGACATTCCTCATGGACCATGTGATGTTCCGCTGGGCCCTGGATATGAGTGACCATGTGATGTCCCGGAATTGCTTCCATAACAGGAATGGAGCATTGTCTGGCATGATCAGTGTGTAAGTGCATTAAAAACGAAACAAAAATTGGCACAGGCTGGAAGGATCAGTCAAAAAGAATGAAAAGGATCAGTCAAAAATCGAAATTAATCAGGTGAGACAGAGCCAAACCCAGCAAATATGCGGCAAATTTGAGCTGCAGTGTTTCACAGGGTTTCCGCCCTTGGGGGGAAGTGGCCAAACCCAAACAACGTTATGCTGATCAAAATGCATCCCAAAAATTTTTTGAAGTTTAAAAAATAAGTTATAACGATAAGTATCTGTACTCGTAAGTCGTACATATTACTTATTACAGTTTACATACCTCGAATTCGTTACAGTAATACGTATTAAACGGCGTAGTCTTCTCGTTAAAATTGAAATGCTTAATTTGCAAAAATAATATCCTAACTGAACATCGCGTAATCTGTTCGGAATTTGAGATTTTGGTACGTCTAAGGGTGCAGACGCGCTGCTGCGGCGCGGGCCGTGCTTCTATCATGATCATGTCGAAGTACTGCTTCCCCGTCGGCTTCCTCCGCTCGGCCCTGTGTCCGTCATGTCCTCTCGGCAGCTCAAGCTTTTCCCGTGTGTACTCAGTGCACTGCCTGCGCAGATTGAGGTTTGAAGTGGGTCGCTGCTGCGTAACGTGGATCGTTGTATGTGCACAGCGAACCGTACACATACAAATTCTTTATCTTTTCCGCCAGGTTCCTCCCCGTTCGCGCCTCTTCTTCCACAGCTTGGCCCGCAATGGGCCGACCAGTCGGAGTATTCTGCCGCTCCACGATGGCTTAGCAAGAATTCCCCAGTTGATAACGCTGATTCCGCGGCGCGGTCTGATACGATCCGGAGAAAAACCTAAGCCAAAGGTTCTTGTAAGTTATCCACGCGCTAACTGCTTACAGCTTAATTGTTTAGTTTAGCCTCCGAGTTTTCATATTCGTGCCTCTGTTTCTTATCATACGATGGATTTTTCGTTAGACGGTAGATCCATCTTTGGTAGACGCCTTGTGCAATTTAAGGGAATTTGCAGGGATTTTATGGAAATATTTTATATTCCTAAATGTTTGTTGAAATTTTATGCTTTAAAATTCTCGTCGAATTTGGTTATGAATCTAATAATTCCCGAAATTTGCAGCCAGTTCCTGTAATCTGATTAAATGTCCCTAGACAATGGCGTTTACAGTTTATTGTCCGCTTTCTGTGTTAAATTGTATTGCTGGTGTTTGTTAATTCTCAGTTTTTCCGTATTTTTCGGGTTTCTTTGATTTTATTTTGTTAATATTTCTGTTTTGGTAGATGTTTTCCTGGAAATCAGTGGCTGCCACCCTGGTCGTGGCCGGCGCCTTCTGGGCGGGGATGACATACGTGAAGAAAGAGAAGGAAAAGGGTGTGTCAGTTTTTTCCTGGCCACCAAAAATCTTTTAGTGAAACGTGTTCTGCTTCGGTAGAAATCTTTCGGCAGCGTCAACGCCAGATCGGCAAGGCCAAGATCGGCGGCGAGTGGGAGCTGGTCGACTTCAATGGCGTGCCGCGGCGTTCTTCTGACTTCCATGGCTCCTGGGTGCTCCTTTACTTTGGCTTCACCCACTGCCCCGATATATGCCCAGATGAAATTGAAAAGATGATAAAAGCCTTGACTATCCTTGGTGAGTCCTTTTTATGATAAAAACTTCATTAGTTTAAAATCCCACAATAATTACTGTCTCTCGGTATCCTGAATTCATAAGGAAATCTTGTTCTTCTTTCAGCTTTTATGCACTTGCTCAAGTTTTTTTTGCTTGTGATGGATTGATATTAATTTTGCTGTCGAAAACTGTAAAGCTGTACTTCAGATTCTTTAACTACTCGTACGGTTTTACTGAAGATTTAGTCCTTTAAGATAAGCATACGGTATAGCTTAAAATAATAACGTTTTCATGTTGCACAACAGTTCCAACTTGGTATTGTAAAGCCAAGTTATACTGTTGCAGAAAAGAACGTGCCGACTGAGAAATTCGTTCCTCTTTTCATGACGGTGGATCCTGGACGTGATACCCCGGAAGCCATAAAGCGCTACTGCAGTGGTGGGTTATTCAATCTCAAAACCCTTTAAGCATGCCAATGATGGGCGTTTTAATTTAGATTTCTCTCCCCGCCTGTTGGGCCTGACGGGAACCCCGGAACAGGTTACCACAGCCGCGAAGGCCTTCCGCGTGTATTTCAGCGCGGCACCGGCCGACGACGACAACGACTACATAGTCGATCACACCATCATCATCTATCTGATCGGACCGGACGGGAAATTCGTTGACTACTACGGACAGTCGAAGACCGCCGAGCAGATGGCCGAACACATTGAATCCCACATCAACCGCTACCATTATCTCCATTTATGAGCTGTTCGGATTTCCTTTTTTATTGTCGTGTTGTTTTTAGTCGTGATTTTGTTAACTGGTGCGTAACAGGTTTTTTGTCAATAGTACGGAGAGCTGGAAATTAATAAGACCATTCAAAAATCAACAGTTTCAACGAGAACGAGTAAAATTTCCAACTGAGTAGAATTCAAATGCTGGTTGTGAGTATTATGTGTTGTATCACTGGAGCACTTCCGTCAGCAGATCCCACAGGCAGTTGCTGGCCGGGAAGTCGTTGTCCACTAAATTGACCAGGAAGAAGGAGTTTATGATGGTATCGATCACCTCTCGGGATGGGGAGCCGGGTTCGTACAAGTGCCCCCACTGTTCATGCCACAAAGCAAAGGCCTCGTCCTGAAAAACCACTTTATTTAATTAAATATGCCTCCTCATTCAAAATTTTCGGCATTCCTAAACAGCCAGTGTTGCTTATTAGGAACAGCTGCAGTTACGAACAAAAGAAATGCATTTCCCACTTCAGCCATAGCACCACACTCACGCCACACAGGATCCCATTACGTTACACCAAGAATAGAAAGCTTGACAACTAACAATAAATTAACCGCAAGTAAGTGAATACATGAAAATGTAATACGTACTTCCGAAAGCACTGAGAAGACAACATTCCAAACATACAGTATGCATTGCCTACCTTCCAACAGCGGAAACTCAGTGGATCCACGACGGTCGGCTGAACGATTTCCTTTCCTGGGAAGACGCCCCAAGTGACGGCATTCGGTTCACACGAGGTCAGATTGGATCCTTCGTCGCCCTGCATGTAAAACACTCGCTGCATTACAATGCCACGAAAAAATTAAAAAAATTCTAGCACAACTTACCGCCCTGTTGATGACATGATATGTCACTCTGGGATATTTATCCAGGACGGACAGTAACTTTTCTACACGCTCACTGGCAATGAAAAATTCCAAATATGCCTACAAAGGAAACATCCTTGTGTTAGCTTTCTCGTACGATGGAATGTATCAGAAAATCACAAAGAAGGAATTTACCAAGCATGGCGAATTATGACAAAAGGCGAGGCGGACAATAAGGACAAAGAAATAGTAACATAGAGGAAAACGAAAAAACAAAGGAAGAAAAACAGGAGAAAATGTTCTGGCAGCGCAAATATACTCTTAACTCACAAGTCAGTAGAACTACTCTAGAAATGAACGTGAGAAATTACCATAACACAAAATTCAATTTCAAATAGTACATTTTGTGTGAAATAAAGGAAAAAAATAAACCTACCTTCTGATAAACATATCCACCGGGATCGCCCCATCCGTGCACTTTATCAGTGGACGGCAACCCATTAACGTTCGGCTGGGAATTGATGGTCAGTACGCCCATCCGGTTCAATTCTCCCAGGCGCTCCACCAACGGCAGCGTCTCCGGGCTCAACTCCCCATCACTCCACGGCAGCGACGTAATGCGCACGCCCTCCTCCGTCGACCGGCCGGTGATATAGCGATAAAACACCTCATACACATCCTGAACGCTACTTAATTCCTTCCCCCACATCTCCAGCAGGCGATCACGAGGCTTACTGTTCAGATAGAACAGATGGTAATCACTCAGCATCCCGAAAGCCGGCGACGCACTGTTTCCCCAGCGGCCGTTGGGAAATTCATCCCACTCCGAGGTGCGCTGGATGTAAGAATTGGGTCGATTCTGCCAGAAGATCGGCCGGACGTCTTCGCCTCGGCGGCGGTAATTGGCAGTGGTCTTCCAAGGGAGACTCCGTTTGGGCTCCAGGGTCCACATGCCCAGACGTTTGAGGATCTCGATGCTGGACACCTCCAAATTGAGGGTGTAAAAGTGTAGGCTGGGTGCGCCTGCGTCTAGCAGCTCCCGGCACATTTGAACGGCCAGGTCCATGCCGAATTTGCGGATGGCCTGATCGTTGTCTTTGATGGGCGCCACGGCCGCCAGGATCTCCGGTGGGACGGTTAGTTTGGAGAGTTTGGCCACTTGTCGTAGCGAATCGTAGCTCTGCTCACAGAAAAGAAATTCGATACAATCTTACCAATAGTCCACATGGTCGTTCACAATTAATTTACGGTTTTGTAGCGTTTGGTTGTTCTCGTACTGTAATTCATGATTCATCCGAACGCTTCTTTTACCAACGGTAAATAAGTACTCGTATTAATGTCAGTGCCTTACAAAAACATTTCAGAAGTAACGAATCTGATAGAAACGTGAACAAAACTTAACTTCTCTGGCAGCGCCGAAAGGTGAAAAATGCAGAATATTTGTCACGTTAATAATATAATTTAACAAAAATGTTAAAGTTGGACTACCATATCCTGCCGTAGACAAAATGCACCCTCACGTCAATAGTCAACCACGTCCAAGAAACATGAAACAGCACCATAAATTTTCTCCTTACGAATAACAATTTGCAGCCATAATCGTAAATTCAGACACATTCTTGACTATAACCCGGTGTAAAATTAGTGCCTACCCCTTACCTGAATTGGAAAGATTCCGGGAATGATGGGCACTTCGATGCCAATATCGCGACAGTCTTTGACGAATTTGATAAACTCTTCAGATTTAAAGAACAACTGGGTGATGATAAAATCGGCGCCGGCGTCGACTTTCTGCTTGAGATATCGCAGATCATCCTCGTAGTTGACACAGTCAGGATGGCCTTGTGGATAACCTGCGTAATACTCATCCTATAAATCTTTAAAGCAAATGCCATCCAAGTATCAGTCATTGCAACTTGCAAGCGCTGGCATGCGATATGACAGTAAAAATTTAAACGTTAAAACTATGCTCGCACGATTAACTTTCTAGCGCGAAATAAAATACTTTAATAATGTAGCTCTTTCTTTGCTAATGGGACTAACTATAGCAATAAAAAAGGTTTCTAACAGTCCGCGACCCGCGTCACCTTTACCCTTAGTAAATCTAACAATATAAAATGAATTCATGATTTATACCGGCTACACAAATGTTGAAATGATCGCCGTATTCCTTGCGTATGAACGCGGTGATCTCGCAGCCGTTCTGGAAACCGTCTTCCGGAGGTGTCCATGTATCATCGCCAATCGGAATGTCTAAAATATTACTGAATCAGGTTTTACAAAAAGGCACATAGTTACCACATTATGTTATCGACTTTTACATAAGATGTTCTGTTTTCAGTATCAGCCAGATCTTTTGGTTTTTTGGTCCACGGTTAAGCTATATCCGTAGTAGTAAAGTTATGTCACGGAGACTGTCTGACTGTGTATTGTAATAATGCGTGCCAATTTCCGTTTGCACATAAAACGAAGTAAGGAATTCTACAATAAGTACTTATCAAGTCATGCATTAGGTTACTAGTACAATTTTCTACATACTTCGAAAGCAGACTCGCCTTCCGGCAGAGTCCGCAGGAAGGATTACATGACTAGGAAAACGTCTACTCATTGCGCATGCAGGTGAATTACCACACGCCGTCTATCATCTAACCTGTATAAAACGGATAAATGACCGGAACAAACGAAAAATCACTACTCTAGAAACCATTCGGTAATAATATTACTTTACGAAAAACGAAAATAAATTAAAAAACACAGCCAAAAAGAACTACGTTGCACAGAAGATTTACAGTAATTAATCAATTGCCAAACATGACACGCAGACCTGACTACTGACCTCCGCGTAGCGCCAGAATATTACGAATTCCACAGCGTTTGGCCTTGTCGAGGGCTGCCCGGATCTCACGGCGGGACAGCCGGGCACAGGTCATGTGCAGCATGCTCTCCACGCCGACATAGTTCACGGCGGCGTTGCAGATCATCATGGAGCTGGTCTCCTTGTCGCCGGATGGATCCCCGGCCGTGTGCCAGGTGATGTCGATGAACAGAGGACCACCGCTGGCCATACGTTCAATCCTGTATTCATTCACTTACTGATAACAAATGCCCAGAACGGCGAACATTCTCATGCCACACCCAAAATAATTTACGCGCAAAACGTGTTGTCTTTACATTTCGTACCGTATAATTTATGCACAGTATGTAGCGCTAAATTTAATAACGAAAGCAGTTCATTATCACTTTTTTATGACTGTATTAATCATTCAATTTCTAGTACTTTATTTTCTCAACCAAGTTCGTCCAATTTTTGGGTTTTTGTGGTCGTGGCCAATCCAACCTCAAAATTAACGCTTATGTCAAGATAAATCAAGTACGGGAAATTACTCCGAAGTCTCCGAAGCATTCTGATGAAAAATTTCAGAAGTTTTCCCGGTGAATGGATGAATGGCCAGTGACCATTGAAAGAAACGATCAATTTAACCAGTAAAATTATCAAATAATATTATTATAAATTAATATTCCTGTTCTAATATGGCTTCGGTTGAACGTAGTTACCTGGCCAGCAAATTGGTGGCTCCAGCGGGCGTCTTGGGTGGGAAGAACTCGAAAGAATAGAACTTGTTGCCGGCTTCGATGTTCTGCTTGATGCGATTGATCAGCGGGACATAGGTGGCCGGTTTCATCTCGAAGAGACTGCTGCTGCGACTAAGCGACGGAGTAGAAGGACTCCGATCGAAAATGCTGGACAGCGCCGATGCCGTGCGCGGCAACGCCGGACTGCCGTCCTCGTTGGAGCCATCCGGGTACAGGGCGGTCGGGGATACCGGCACCGAAACCCCGTCCATCTTCAGTTCACTTTTATGTCGCACCATCGCGCACAATTGAATAAGATGTCCAGCAAACCCACAAAGACTGTTTCGCTTCGCTGGCTCCTACAAAAGCGATCTGCCTGCACTCACTGACAGACTAGCGTTCCAAGCGTAATCGCAATGCGAAATCCGAATTCAACCACTTTCCAACAACATGACTGAACGCTCATAGTCAGGGAAATTCAATGCACTCCATGCACATGCAGGTATTGTGCGGATGGCGAATGTCAGACGAAATGATGTGCCAAAAAAATCAAAAAGGCCCAACAGGCAAAAGCTGTACTGCAACTATGCAGTGTGCATGCAACGTGATTGCGTGAATCTGACACGAAAATGATTAACCCATCAAGCTTATTCATAACAGACTGCGTTTATGAGTCTAGCCGTCCCATAGATATCCCAAATTCTTTGAGTTTCTCCAAGAGAACTGAACACAAATGAAGCAAAAGCTGTTGCAGTACTTGATTCGGAAGTGCTGACAGCTGACATGATTCGTATTAATATTAAACAGCAGTTTACTCGTAATCTTGTAAACCAGGTTAAATTAATCTGACCCACATTCAGTTTCCACTTAACTGGATGCGTTCTCCGAACTGTCACCGACGGGCGGACGGCGGCTCCTTCCACCACTTTCTTATGTTTCACTTCCGGTGTGCACCGGAACTGCACCGAAATTTCAGATTAAGCCAGCTAGCTAATTGCCACTGGTTGGTCTGTTTGTGACTTATTTTCAATTGAAAGATTACCGAGTGCTTCTAGTTCTGTTACGTACAGTACGAGTACTTACTGTTAACTAGGGTTAGCTAATTTTTTAGTACGACAAGGCATCTGGTCATTTATGAGAAACACTGAGAATTAATTTTTAAACTCAGTAAAAATATGTTTTTAGCTTTAATTTGTGGTTTTTTAATTACTGTAGTTTATTATTACTTTTGTTAATGCGTGTACGTAATCATGACAGATGGATCCTACAGTAAATCTCGCTATTATTGATCGCTCGCTCGTGGCTTATCGGCATCACGGTGCCGCGTGCTGTAGCTGACCTGCCTGACCATGAACCATAACTTCATCGAATCAAAATCCACGACGTATAAGAATGCACTTAATAAAAATGCTATAGGACAAAATTTTACAAAACTAGATTCAATATCAAAAGCAACTGAATTATGAATATAAATACCTCTTTAAAAACTGCGAATTGTGCAGGGGAACTACATACTGTGTCCTGCATGACTACCCTGTAGTTGTAACTTGTAATAATTATTAACTTGTAAATTTTCATACTTCAATAGTTTTGGTTTTGCCCAGTGATACACTGATACCGGATAGGTAATACCAGGACCTGGTAATACATATACGTATGCCGGCAATGTTCGTCTTTGAAAACCGGTCTTAAATCTTAGTTATCGCCGGTATGCATCGAAATTTCTTTCACATCCATTTTTATGCCGGAGGGAATAAATACTCCGATAATCGCTCCAAAGTCTGAATAGGCCGTTGATCAATGGCGCAGTCTAAGATAGCAACGCCGCAGCTGTGCTGTTGCTGCGTCTTTACTGGCACCGGCAAAAGTAGACGGACCGGAACTCAAAATCGCCGAACATGATTATCATCGTCTGGAGAAAACCATACACGCTTAAAGACGGAGAAGGTGGTATAATACAGTAGCCGTAGTGTGTTACAATCATGTACGTACATATTTGATATGACATTCTACAGTACTTGTATCTCGTAATATGCGCCATATTATACTATATCTATACAGCCGTTCGACTAATGGCCGCGTCGCGCGAAACCGCTTATAATACTTCTTACCATAGCTTATACGCCAACATATTTTCGCCGCAGAGCAAAAACATAACGAGTAACGACAATCGACGGTGGTAGGAAAACAAGCTGTTCGCGCTAGCAAACGATGGTTGATTCTTAAAGGAGAACTAATAACAACGAGTAATAAGAAACCACCCAAGTTTTACATGTCCCATAAGAGTAACTCAAAGACTCAAAGAGTTGCTGCATTCTGCAAAGAGTTGCTGCAAAGAGTTGCTGCTAAGTAACTCAAAGAGTTGCTGCATTCTCGAATACGATTGTTTCCCACGACCATCTGGATGCCAGTTTGGTTTTCATTTTAACACTAAGAATACCGTGAATACCGTATGCTTGTGGATGATTTTCCTTAAGCTTTAACGCGAAAATAATTTATTGGGTTTTTTTGAGAATTTAACACTGTTGATCTGGTCATCACTGTGGCATATGTTGTGTTCGGCGCTACGAGTATACACAAGTCTGGCATTACTTATAAATTATAATTATCGCTAACCGGAAGCGAATTACCTACACGCTCTGATAATGGAAGTCCCAAAAATGTTTAACGAAGAAGGTGGCGGCCGTAAGAGTAAAGCAGCAATGAAGGCCAAACTGGAGGAGCAACAATCGGTACGACTGTTTAATTAGAAATGTACAGCAAAAGCGCCCTGTCTGAAATTAAAGGTCGTCGGGACGTAAGAACTGCGACTCTCGAACGCAGAACAAATTAATATAGAATACGAATGTGTAGGTATAGCACTATAGAGGCGCTTTTTCGGTTTAATGCAACGCAGTTTAACCGCTGTCATTGCATTCAGCATTAGCTAAAGTTGCCAAAATTAAGCAGTGTGGTTTTCTTAAAATAATAACTGGTAAGACAGGAATCTGGGAATAAATGTAGGAAAACGGAAGAATCACCGCCGTTAGCAAGTTTTCATACAGGCGACAGTTACGTTAGAAGCGTCCGGTTTTGACGGGCGACAGTTACGTTTGAATCCTGTTTGTGCGTAGTGCGTAGTTCGTAGTACGTGCGATGCAGGGCGTACGATTGCGTGCCTCCATCCGTAAACATGGACAGAAGCCGTATCGATCGCAAAAACGAGAAATCCTGGTTTCCAGCACTTGTACGTCGGGTTAACATCCACAAGGATCCAATCTGCGATAAAGGAATTTTAATCCCTTCGTGCACGATAATTTTTAAGCAACTTTTATTAAAATTCGAGCATATTACGAAGCTTGAGTATAATAAGGTGATCTGATTGCTGTGAGAATTCTAATCAAGGAGAGTCGCAATCGCAAGTGAGTATGGACAAATTTTTTAAACTGATGTGGTAAAGTCGTAAAGACTGTAAAGTAATACTGTAATAATTATTTTCTCGAACAATGAGCTGCGCCATCCCTTCTCGCTGCTGCGATAGAGTAACATTTCAGTTATCCGTATTCCTTTTTAACAGCAAATGGACCGGGCAGCGTTGCGTAGACAGGTGGAGTCCCTGAAGATGCAGGTGAACATGGAGAGGATGCCCCTTTCCCGTTCCATCGCCGAGTAAGTAGTTAGTTCCCTGTAATAACTTCGGATCATCCCGATTGCGAAACAGAGAAGTGATGTCATATTTTAGATTACGGGGCTACGTGGAAACTCACGAGCGCAACGATCCCCTCGTGGTGCCTGTGGATAAGAAGCAGAATCCTTGGGCGGAGAAGACCAAATGTGTCATTTTCTAAAACAGGAATCTCTCTCAAAAACGACGGATGGTGACATGCGTGGAGGTCTGTCAAAGTGGTGTGGTAGTGAGTACAATTGTTAAGTAGCATTTTTTGGTTTTTGGCTTCGTGTCTCCTGATGTCTTACTTTATATAATTATATCCACATAATTTTTATCTGTGGCTTCGTTCATTCCTCACTTATTTTTGTCTGTCTAGTCAGGAGCGATTATCTTTCTGTTTTCTCTCTATAAGCACTTTTTCTGATTGTTGTTTCGTTGCGAACTTGCGATTTTATTGGGAAGCGAAGCGATTTTGTTTTCTTGGCTGCTAAAGCTATGTACTTAATTTTTAGACGTATGTGTCTTGCGCTGGCAAAATTAAAAATGGTCGGTTAAGTCTAACCCTTTGCGAGCGAGCAGCGAGCCTATATTAATCAAGTAGTTTCAGTGTGTTAGTTGTTCCATTAAGCGCGACTAAAATCGTATTAGATCAGAACAGAAAGTGCATTTGATGGCCTTAGTACTGACGAATCACTACTCTAAGGAAGACCTTGAAAAAACGTATAAACTACAGTCTGTATGTAATATTCTCTTAAAGATATAGTAATACTATATCTTTTAAAGATATAGTAATACAATACTATCTTTGGGGACTTTTATTCTCAACATTTGCATCTGCGAGCACCACTCAGTACACGCAATCAAGTAAAGAACTTGTTCCAATTAACATGAGAAGGGACAGTACACAATACTCATAGCATTACCACGCATAATCTCCAAACTTAAACGTCGAAACAAAAACAAGAGGAACGACTCTCACCATATATATTTCATATTCATCTATATTTTGTTCTCGTATATTTCACCACTATCGTAAAATCGGAATTTTTGCGGTTTCTCATGTTTCCAGATTTGACAAACTGAACTGCAAATGGGGACACGATACTCTTCAGTCGGAAGTTTCTGTTCAACAGAAAACCCAGCAACGCATTGCGGCTGCTATAGTAATATTATTTCATTGAGAACCGTGGCAAACAGAAAAAAATTATCCAGTGCAAGTGCAAAATTTACAAAACGTCGTCAAACAGAGCACGAATGGTGTCAGAAAGGAAGCGGCTGTACAGTACACCGTACACAAATCAATGCTATACGGTAGTCACAGTGAAAATATCAGATTTCATCCCGAATCCGGTAGTGTGATGCGGCAGAGCCGCGCGGTCAGCCCGGACAACTGTATAAACGTTCCCAATCCTTCGGAAATTTTCTTGTGCGTCAGACCAATTTCCTGCACAAATCGAAAGATCAGTTATCTTACAATCATTAAAATTCAATTGTATATCAAATACCTACATTCCAAATTAGAGAAAATAATTCAACCTACGTAATTTATAGCCCCACTTTAGATAAACATGAGGTAAAATGTTTAATTTTTGTTGAATCAGGAATACCTACAGTTCGGGCAGGCATGCAACTGAGCATTCGTACGCCGTATAAAAATTACATGTCAAAAAATCCAAGCAGGTAAGTACGTAGTAGTCACTACGTACAGTACAGTCGCTGTACAGATATTACGCGTGCCGCGTATGTAGTCTTTAAAATAATAAAAAAAAATATTTTCAAAACATTTTTATACACTTTTTCGATAATATCATTAATACTTAACACTGATTAACAAAACATATTATACCGTATGTTAGGAAATCGCAATTAGGTACCTTAATAAATTCCAGTTTCGTGTACTCTGCCATGGGATGCGTTTTGCAGACCCGGAAAATAATCCCAATGATGTCCTCGGCGGCGTAACCAAGGCCCCACAAATACTGCAGCATTTTCAGCGCCTCGTCAATGTCGCTCTTGACGCAGGCTTCCAGCATTTTGCTCATGTGATCCGGGTGAGGTTCGTCACAGATCTGGTGTACAAGAACACAGCAATGCGGAACATTTTGAAACCATATAAATGCAATTCTCACTTTGAAGACATTCTCGCTGTTCACGTAACCAAAACCATCGACAGTGGACTGTAAATTGTTGATGGCCTGCCGCATGTCGCCCTGGGCGGTGAACATGATCGCTTGCAAACCGTTGTCATCATATTTGATCTGGAAGATTAGAAATTTCAATGGGTATAGAAAACAAATAAAAATTTTAAAATCCAAAAAAACTTTCCAACGCCTATTCGTACTTGTGTATTAGTTATTACCGTACTGTCTGCAAAATATCAATCAAAAGGACAAAATTCAGGAAAATAAAAAATTCAAATACTTTTTCGGCATCACAGATCTCCAGGAGTCTTTTAAGAATCTGCTTCTCGCTCAGCTTGGAGTAACGCAGCACCGCGCACCGCGACTGGATGGGCTCGATTATCTTTTCGGAATCGTTACAAGCAAGAGCGAAGCGCGTCGTGCTGGAAAAGAGCTCCATTGTCCGTCTCAGCGCCTGCTGCGCGCCCTCCGTCATCGCGTCCGCTTCGTCCAGGATGATGATTTTGTGCCGGCCTTGAAATACCGAAATAAGTAAACAGCACATTCGATGTACGAATACCGATGCGAACGCAAATTCAGTACAATGGCTACACCAAAATTATAAATTAATTCTCGGCGAGGAACAAATAAATTAAATTAAATAAAACCAACAAAATATAACTAAAATTTGAAAACGCAGGAAAATATTCTACAAATCAAAAATAACAGCAGTAAAAACACCGCCTTAATTAGAAAAGGCAAACGCTGATATGGAGATAGTGCAAGACTTGCGACCTACTTTAGTTCAGCTCAAATTTAACGCTGATGGTAGAAATTCGATCGATTGCATTGACATGGCCAATAGTAGCCCTCACCTTCGGGCAAATTCACTTTCTTCTGAGCGAACGTCTTGATCCGATTCCTGACGACATCGATGCCGCGCTCATTGGACGCGTTGAGCTCCAGGACCGCTTCACGGAATTCCTCTCCGAGCATCGCGTGCGCCAGGCACAGAATGCTCGTCGTCTTCCCCGTTCCCGGAGGTCCCTGCATATGCTAAGGCGTTGAAAAGACCGCATCCATACAGAACCGTAAAATACACACGCACAGCAATGATGATATTGGGGACGTTGCCCAGTTTGGCGAAGATCTGTAAGCGCGAGACAGTCTCCTCGTTGCCGACGATGTCTTGCAGCAGACGCGGACGATACTTCTCCACCCTACAACGCCAAGAGTTAACGAAAGAATGACAAGGAGGTGGGGCAGAAATAAAGAACACATGCATGTTTCGTTGCTTACCACGGGATTCGAGAAGGCCGCTGAGCAGCTGTAGCAGTTTTGGCAGCTACGCTGCTACTGTCGTCCAGCATTTCCACATCGTCATCCATTGTTAATCGGGTCTTGGGTCAGCGGAAGACAAAGATTGCTCAATGATGGGTGCTTAGACAGAATTCCGAGTTATTACTTGGGTAGAGAAGCAAACTTAAAAAAAACTGGATATGACGGAAAATAAAAATTTGTTTGCGAAAAAAAACTTTTCATGGCTTGTAAAGTGTAGTCACAATGAAGCAACGAACAAGAACCGCCGCCCATGGTGACGGCTACGTACAAGCGGCTGTACTTTGTAAGGCATTGTTTAAACTTTAAAGGACACATACTGTACTTAATATAGTGCATCCTGCATAATTGAATAATTCATCTAGTTATTCTCGTACTTATAGTCGCAGATACTTATTTATACATAAAAATTTAATAGAAATCATTTTATTGTTTTATAGATTTAGGTTTATAAAACCCGAAGAGTTTAGATGATTCTTTTGAGACTGGGGTTGACCGGCGATCAAGTTATCTTAGAAATAATTTTGAAGCTAAGGTCAGCAAGTGGATAGTGCCGGCTCCTTAGTAAGTATGTACGTACTACCGATGTCAAAATAATGTCATGTCAAAGCAGGGTTAAGTGACAGTGTCAAATTGCTTTTTTTTTTTAAAAAAACGATCAGCTTTTATGCATGGTAATTAAACTTTAATATTACATTTACTGCACCACTAATCGTAACGAGCCACCATCAATCGTGCAGCTTTTATACTTAATTAATAAGAAGTATGGACCTCTACTCGAATCTGTAATACGATTGTACAGTAGTTGTGCATGGTATGCTTGCAAATGACCTGTCTTTCCTGAATTATGGTTCACTGCATACTTCTATGAAAAATTTGCACTAACCACTTGTTGCGCACCAGTTTTCCGACACCGCCTAATAATAAAGGTGTCGTAGGTGCCTGCATGCCACCAACTACTGTATTGTATAACAAATTAATATGCACACTCGCTGCCACATCTGCATATCACTTTTGCCGACTGCCGTTAATTCCCATTTCCCACTGAATGAAATTATTCAGCAGCCACGAAGTACCAATGAAGCGATTTTACAAGCACATTTATAGCCGGCATTTTCCAATTGCCCGCTCGTCGACAGTTTAATGTGCAATTGTGCAGCCAGCCACAAAAGAATCCAAACCAGTCCGAGTGGTTGAAGAATCCGGTCCAACTACCTGCCTGAATGGGAATTGTCCAGGGTGTCACAGATCAGTTTACACTGCATATGCACTCAACTGCGCACTTCTCATCCAATATTTATTCAGCCAAATTATCGATCAAACAATGCTACAAATCACGTTTATTGTTTGAATTATTTTTTTTAATTTTATCTACTTCGGGTATCCAATTTTTCATCGTTTTCTCCAGTTCAGCTTCTCCAAAACACTATGAGTAATTCTTTTGGCTCGTTTTTTATTGATGATTTACTTCTAAGCGTAGGAAGACCATAATGCTAGTGCCATAACGAGAAGTCAACAATAAAATTAAAATGGTTTTTTTCTTATTTTTGCCGCGAAAAGAGTCAAAAGACAAAAGATATTAATACTAACAAATTTCTGGGTTTTCTGGGAATTCAATTGCTGGATTTTATAAGTTTGAAGGATTTTCAAACATATTCAAAATTCCACAACGTGGAAAGAATTTCCAACGATTTAAAACGCTTTTGCCGAATTGAAACACAATATCAGCCATGCACTCTGTATTCGACCAAAAGCTTTGATCAAGCAAGCATTCAAACCAATGCAACCTCTACGCGGGAATTTTCGAAACAATGATCTACCAAACATTCTGATTCGGTAAAATGTTTGAAAAAAGCTGCGATGAAAGCGAACTGTATAAAAGTGAGCCAAAAAAATCGAACGGGTAAAAGAATAAAAATCGACAATAGTATAATAGAGAACGACAAAAGGAAAAGGCACACACAGCAATGTTTCACTGCGGCAGTTGGGCCCTCTCCTGGGCCAAATCCTGCGCCGTCGGCAAATGATCCTTCACCGCCGGCACCGCGTGCTTCATGTCGTTCTTATCGAACTTCTCCACACTCTCCAGAATGTCATGATGCTGGCGCTCTGTCTTGATGGCCTCGGCGGAGGGAAGCGACGTGCCCGATGGCGGCGGCTGGTGGTGAAGCTGCTTCTTGTCGAATGTCTCGATGCCGGAGATGAGATTATGGTGGCTGCGCTCGGCGCTGATGTCTGCAGTGTCAATGCATTTTGTAAATGTCACAGCCGGAAGTGTTGCAAGGTGACAGAGTGTGGTGTGTACTTACCGCTTTCCGATGGCAGGCGGACTTTAACGTTGGTCTCGGTGGGATGCAGTTTGACCTGGTCGAGCTCCTTCTTGAAATCGGCGCCCACGCGCGGCACTTCCGACAGATTGGGTGCCGGCATGTTGGCGTGTCGCTCCACTTCAATATCTACGCAAACAATGCCGTCACAACAATGTTTTTGCAAGATGAACAGGGTAAGCGCGAAATGACAAAATAAGCACCTCGATGGGTATCATTCCAGTTACAACACATGTCGGATGCGACCCTGCCGTTACTATTCTGCTGCCATGCAGAAAAACGATTAATCGTTTAAGTTATTCCGTAACGTTCACAACCCCAAAGTAGCAAAATAAGCAGTCACAAGCTATAAAACATCAAAATTTAAACAAAAACAACGGGTATTCCTGAAAAGGCAAATTGCCAAGCGCTGTACTTTCCAGTTTCCACTAATCCAGATTTGTTACATGTCCCCGGTTAAAAAAATTTGCCTCGCTTCTGCGCCACTGATCTGCAATAAGCCTTAAAACTACCACGCTGTCCGCATCAATTTTGAGTGAACGTGTCTGCGATTAAAAAGGCCAAAAACAAATTTCAAAAAGCCGGAAACCAGCATACAAATCTGCGATTGTAGCGATTAACTTCCTCCTACATACAGCAAATCGCAACCAGCACAGACCAACGTCAGTGTCACTCAATGCTCAAGCATCCAGCACCACAGCAAAGTAAACAAAATCGTTAAAGCCGGGTCTTATCGCTGTTAAACGCTGCTAAGTTCATTCTCTGGCGCAGTTATCAGTGGGAGGTCGATTCACATTCTAATCTGCATTTTTGAAAAACTTCCTCCGTGCAGCAAGATGATAAACTCTTAGCACAGATATCGCACATTGCGCACTCACCAATGGCGGAGGGCAGTTTGGGCTCCTTGGTCTCGGTGTGGTCCAGCATGTTCTTGTCGAAGGAAGTGATGCCCTGGATGAGCGACTGATGGGTGCGCTCCGCCTTGATGTCGTCCGCCGACGGCAGCACCGTCCGCTCCTCGGTGGCCGCGTGCTGCAGGCCGTCCTTGTTGAACTGCTCCACACTGCGCAGCACATCGTGCACCTTCCGCTCCGTCTGCAGTTCTACACGTGCAAATTTAGTGAAAGGATAACCAAACAAACTAATTTAGCAAATACGTCATGCAGCATGCCCAACAAATAAAGATCAGACTGCTAACTGCTATTTCGGCCACCGAAAGAAAAGTGAGAAAGCTGGAGTGTATGCAGAAACGTATAACTCACTGCCAAATAAAATAACAGAAATCCTCTTAAAACCTACTAGCCAACTGACTGCTGCCGCTATTAAAAACAGAACGAATATGTATGCCACATGTACTGTACTCGTACAAGCCTCTATTCTAGGAGATCTGTTACATTTATAAACAAAAGCCGATAAAAATCATAAAATTAATAATTTTCCTTAAAAAATGCGGAAAGCAGTACCTTCTTTGGTGGGGAGAACATTCTTCACCACCGGTTCAGTGTGCTTTAGAGAGACTTTGCTAATTTCGTCCTTGAGCACTTCGGTGGCTGCCGGCTGGCTGGCCGCATCCTGACTTCCCTTGTCCATGTTCCTAATATTACCCATAGCTCCCGTGATTAATTTGGTAATTAAAACAGCGAATAATCCCACCACGAATCAACACACGAAACACCCAATGGCCTAATATTCTCACACAGACAGACGATTGCTCTGCGCCAGAAATACTCACAAACTAACTGATCAAATTGCACTGATGGAATCACCAACTGGGACCGTTAAATAGCTCCGCTGTGGGAAGGGGCACTTCTACAGTTCTGCTCACTTGTTGCAAAAAGGCAGGCAACAGGCACAACACCAGTAAACTTTGAGCAAAGGGAATGAAATCAACGCTACTGTGCTGAATATTTCGCTGCCTGAGTGATGCGTTTAACTCGCTCTGATCATATCAAGACTGAGCAATAAGAGAGAGACACTACGACGAATACGGCCACACCAAGTTTTACAGGATGAATCATGGCCACGTACAAGTGCTGATAAGGCATTGAACCGGCTATGACAACACGTACAGACTGCTTTAGTGACTGGACGGACACATGGTGATAATGAAATTTAATAATTTCTAATCGATATTAATTTTACGAGTAGCGGTTCGAAATGCAGATTTAAAATCCCTCGGATACGGTCATGTGCGTAAGCCGATTTTTGTAAGACTAAAGCCAAACAACAAGTGTTATAATAATAAATGAAAGTACTATAATTATTTCGAGTGATTTTGCTACAAGAAAACTCGTATGAACATCAGGCAACACGAACATCAGAATCGCAAAAACATTTTGCCGGCACATGTACTGCGTAAATGCTAACAACTCGCCTTTGGCCTGATTGAATGTCAGTCATCTGCCTGCCTGGCTGCGTAATGGAAATATGTGTTAGTTATGTATATTTTTCATGGCTAAAAATATAATCCCCGTTGAGCGTTTTTGTTTTCCTTGAACTGTATCGAGTTGGTCAGCGTAATGGCGTTGACCCATTTTATCATGCAGCGGGCAGCCTGACTCAAATTAATCATAACGTTGACTCTTCCCCGTTCAAATATTATCTTATCGACTTTTCAGCCTGCCAGCAAATTACTTTACTAATCACAAGTCAGTTAAATCCGACAGAACAAAAGCTTTAACAATATGACATCATATTCCAGTGATCACACATTCACACTTAAAAAAGCAAAAATAAAGTGTAGGTGAATTACTGATTAATCAAATTTTAAAAATCTGTAAGATCAATCAACGTTTTTCTAACACACAAAAGAACTGAATCTGGCAATTTGCTGAAGACATTATTAGTATCTATTATTTTTTACTGCTTGTTAAGTTTTCTACAATAAGAAAAAGTGAACAGAGAAGTGTCTTCACGAAAAAATTAAACATCTACACTACTACTGTACTGTTAATTACATCCGTCCTATGTGCACTGATGTACCGTACAGTTTCCGTAATCCAAACTCTCCAAAATACATTTTTACAATGCTCTCCGTTTGGATGAGCTAGAGAGTCCCTTCCTCGAAACGAAAATGACTGAAATGGGCTTACAAAAGCACAGGGACCCCGGGAAAACTGCTCAGAAAAAACGTAGTTACGAGCTACCAAGCACTCAAAGATAAAGAATTATAATGCGACAACTAAAGTCTAAAGACAATAGTATGTCAGTATGCGGCCCAAATTGCGTATAAAACCATAATCACATTCACAGAAACAAATTTTACCAACAAACCTTCAAAAAAACTGTCTATTCCAAAAATTCTAAAAAAGAAATGAAAACAGAAAACACCCACCTGAAATAGTAAGCTGGTAAAATGAGGCGCGATTCCAAGGGCCTCGAAAGGTTCATGAACTCTCAAATAAACGATATCCAAACAAGCAATAACAACTGCAATATCAGCTGAAGAGATCTCGCAAAAACCGGCGCAACCAGAGCGCAAACCCATCACTTCAGCGTGAAAGACGTCCTGTGACTCCTGTCAGGTCGTGCGCCTTCGCAATCGTCTCCTCTTTTCCGTACTGCAACAGAACGCAGGTAAGGTTAAAACACGCTTCCCCTATGCGGAATGTCGCACTGAGCCAACACAGCACCAACCTTGCGCAGAATCCAGCTGACGTCGTCCGCTGCCGTTCGCGTAATCTCCGCGATGCGCGCCGGATCGGTCTCATCGGCGTAGCTGCGAAACGTCTACAGAACTGCAAGTTATTAAAGGTTCCAGAAAATATATCGGCAGCAAGGCGTGTACGCACAACGATTAGCGAACCTGCTTGGTCTGGAACCTGTAATGCGTCGCGGCGTCTTTGGGGAGCTGCTCTAACTTCCTCAAAATCTGTTTGTAGAGCACCCGTGGTAGAGTCATTCCTTGCAAAACCGAAGAAACTTGCAAACACTTTCAACAAATCAAATTAACTACTAAAATCCACAAGATGTGAAGTGTCCACAAGGACCGAGTTTAAAGAAATGCAATAATACAGACAGAGAAATACTACTCGGAGTATGCCAACGCAACTGTACTCCCATACAGCGACTATAGCGGCGCAAACTGAACTCTGCCGTTTCTACGGGCGTTGCAGGAGGTCAGCGTCATAAACGCCCTTTTGAAGTTGTTTCACCTATGGCTAAAATTGTCATTTGTTTTGTTTTATTTTCTGATCGTTTATTTGGATCAAAGTTATTTGGATCGCTTCTTACACTCATTCGCCCACTACAGAGTTCACTAAAATTTTAAAGACAAAGACATCTCGATAAAACTACCAATACACAGAACTCAAAAGGGCATAAACGAGTCCACTAGACCACTATGCCATTTCGCTGTCCTCATCGTCAGCATCCCCCTGTCCGGCTGCGGAAGGCCCTTCCTCCTCTTCGCCCAGATGCAGTCCATCAAGCATTTCCTGCAGACTGATCTTAGGCAACTGTTCATCCTGATCGTCTTCATCCACCGGAATGGCACTCGGATCTGCAACCGCAGACGTAAATCAACACATGAAAAATAATACACCATTACGCAAAATCTGGATGATAAATAAGTACAAACGTACGTTTCACGCATGCAGTGAAAGAAAAAACGAAGAACACTAAATTACGATCTTCAATACCGTACCTTTGTAGATGTTAACACCCTGCCGCACATTGGCATCTTCTTCCAGGTCTTCCAAAAAGTCCTCGTAATCGCTAGTTAGAAAATTATTCACCATATCAACTTATCGTCTAAGCGCTACAGTAAGTAATTCAATTACCCTTCGGCGCTGCCTTCCGTAACGGAGCCGTTTTCCTTGCGCAGTCGCCGCAGCTTCCACTGCCGGTTCCGCTTACGGGTCGTCCGATCAGCGAACACTTTTTTCACCAAAATCTATACAAAACAATTTGAAAACGCATGCGAAAATCAACAAAAGATTAACGTAAGATTATGAGAGCTTAAAATTGTATAAGACCGACTCACGAAATATCAAAAGAATACCCAGCGAAGGCGAAAAGTTTTCTATGTGTACGGTAAGTTAACCTACCACATCAGGGATACGGTCCTTTTTGCGGCGTTCCAAGTCCTCGAAATGTTTCTCGTTAACATTTGAATTTGCCAAATCGAAGCTGGACAGCACAGCACATTTGTTAATTATTTATTGAGAATAATTTATTCTCGCAATAAAAAAATTTCTTTCGTGCATCCCTCACCCCAAAGCTATGTCACCAGGATTAAGCAAATGGCCCAGATGCGAACGCGTACAATACTGCGGCGCTTCCGTTTTTCCTAGATCTGACGAGCGCATCACCCAAATATCCGCCACAACGTGCTGCCGAAACATACATACACATCAAACAAGTACTTTTAAAAACCTTACCAGTACTTTTTTGTTGTTATTATCTATCTATTTTTATGTTGCTCTCTGACACGCACTATAGCGGTAAGAAAGTTAGAACAGTATTTTGATTGAAAGATGTTTGGTTTCTTCGACCTGAAGGGCACCAAATTGTTATTATTATTATTTTGAAACATTTGTCACAATTTTTCGCGGAATGCACCGAAAGAATTTCGCGTGTTAACCGCAGTTACAAAAACTGACAAGAGAACTTAATATGGAGGGAAACTGCTTAAAAAATACAGAAATAAAACAGTAACTTTGGAAAAGGTTGGAACTTTCACTAAAGGCTTTTTTTATTAAATAAAAAACTTCAGTCTACTGTACCAATTTGTAAGAAGAGTTTTCACGCAATACTACATTCCTATCGGCCTTCGGCATCTCACGGAAATGTTTCCGAAAATGCTGCTAAATCTTGTTTCTTTAAGAAACTAAAAATTTTAAGGAACACAATATCAGCGGTGAGAGTTCTCGAAATCTTGTTGTTTACCTTATCAGACAGTTTCTGACTGCTGGCGTGGATGTCCACGTCTCGTAAATGTTCCACGTTGAGTACGGTGAATTCAGTCAAATGCTTCTGTGTACAGATACTGCGAAACGGCTCTCGCCAGAATGTGTTGGCGTTCAATTCTGCCGCTGCACGGAGAAACATGGTAGAGCCCCAATTAACTAACATACAGAAATCGGAAAACCCCTACTCTGTCCGCTTCGTGGGTCGATCAGCTGAATCAAGGATGTGACGCGGGTGCAGATGCACAGTTCACTAATATTTCCCAGGTGCTGAGCGGTCTCCCGCGGTAAACACACAATGTCGTCCTGTAAAAACACAAAATTCAAAAATCTACCTGCCGCAAATATTTATCGATTCACTACAAGATAGTCACAATAAAACATACCAAAATAAATTAAAAATACATGAAACACTGTTTCAAAAGATATCGACCAAGAAAATAATCTTTAGATAAAGCTTGTATACGATAGGAGCAATGTACGAGCAATGTATTGCCCTTGTTCGTACTCGAACAAGGGCAATAAAAATTTGACTGAAACCGAAAATTGAAACGAAAAACCAAAAATTAATCAACACACAAGCGGCAAAGCCTAACCTTGCATACTGGTACGATTTCCACTGAAAATGTGTACTTGTAGTTATAAATATTGTTGTTGGGATCGTGGGAGAGCAGCTGCTCCGATGTTTTGTACTGGCACGGAACAATGGTCAGAATAAAGTCCAGAAATTTGCGCGCATCCGAACGATTGGCGAAGAAGAAATCCACACCGTCTGCAATCATTTCTCCCATTCAAGCAGTTCAAGACATTTAAAGCAGTCTGGCATATTTACCTGGCGCTTGCTGGATATTGACGGTGCGCGCATGCGCTTTGTGTTTGAGAATGAGTTGCTCCAGATAGTAGAAGGTCTTTTTGTGCTGTGCCTACAGGAAGCGGAAACTACTATCATTTCTTCGCTTTCAAATAAATGCAAAAATCAACATAACTACAGCCAAACAACATACTTCTGAACTGGAGTAAATGCAGAAGGAGTCAACTTCAAACAATTCTTAAATAATTTCAATTTTCAACTATTTTTTATATAATTTCAATTTTCAACTATCTTCTGACTGGACCATTTTATAAAACAAAAGGCTTTCAAGTACTGTACGAAATTCAAACGACTAAAATCAGATAATCCCGCATTATGGATTTCACAGATTCAGCAAGTCAAATATCTTCCACTTTATGTAATTTCGTCGTCGCAGAACGGCTTACACGCCCAGAATGTACACCGCTATCGCTGACATTAATGAGCGAACGAGATGCGAACTTACGACGCATCCCCGTTACATAATCCACAGAATGGGATTCATACCTTTTGGCGCATCTGGACGAGGGCACGCCAGAAATCCTTGGCCTCGGTCCGGTGGCAGTCGTCGCACATCTGCGTGTGCACCACGTACTCCACCGCGAAGCTCTGCTGCAACACCGCGCCGGCCATCAGCTCCTTCTGCACCGTCACTTTGATCTTTAAACGCCGCGAGTGCGGCTCCGTCCAAATGAACGCGGCGTCCACCAGGCGCACCTTAAGACAGCGGACGGTGCGCATAAGCATTCTGACGGAGTACAGTATGTTGCGGTAGTCCGAATACCCACAGATGCGTCAGTGTCACAGAAACATCAACATCGCATACGCAGTGTGAAAAAGGAAAGCACAATAACCGTCATAAGGTTTTCTAACTGTAAAAACAGTATCCTAATTGTTAATGGCCTTCAAGTCTCTCAGCAGATTTCTGCAGACAAAGACAGGAATGAAAACGTCGGCGATCAGCTGATCGCGGGCCACGCAACGTACCTGATTGAGTCCTTTGAGTCGTTTCAGGCACACACTCAACAACTCCTTAGACTCCGGTGCACAGTTCTGCCAGCGCCCCGGCGGCACCGCGTAGCGCCCGCAGGATTTGCACATGGTGACTGTGGACTGTTTGGGGATGTCGGCGGTAATGTCGACCTGCGTGCGGAGACAGGCCACGCACATGGACGTCGGATTGGCCTCAATGGGTACGCCGCAGTGGATGCACAAACTGCTCAATTAGAGACATGCATCAACCACGTTACCACATATCGCGCTGTTGTTTTCGACTAGAGTTAATGCCCTTACATTCTGCCAGCGCCATGAGCTGGAGGGCTCTCAGTGTACTCCATGAGGGAATCCAGTCGAGCACTAACTCGAAAATAAAATTTTAAAAACCACGCGAACTGACGGTCCGCGATGGATATGGCGGAATATATGATGACAATCCGAATTGTTGTCACCTCACTGCTGGAACAATGATAGTAATCACAAGTGCTGGTTGATCATTCAGTAATATAACTTCCCACTAGCTCGAAACAAATATGAAACAAATAAGCAATCGCAGATTCACAATTTTTGTGCGAGGAATAAAATGCGAATAAAATGGAGAAGTATTAACTTGAAAGCGGAACCGACCGTATCAAAGGGAGACCGTGGCGTGCCGAGGCCGTGCGATATAGGATTACCATAGAAAGTAAAAGTCTTACTTTATTTTCTACGAGGCGTGTGTCCCTTGCTTAGATAGAGCACATTAACCTTACCATACTAAGATAACTGTGCCCGTGTTGTGCAGCGCTGTCAACCACCCAGAGATGGCAACGTCAAGGAGAATTTGAAAAATCTGTTGAATCAGCCGTTGATAACTTCAATTGCTCACATCTCGTGAATGTGGGAACAAAACTGTTCATGCAATATCTCAAAAGATGTGGAAAAAATTCTTAAGTTTTTTGATACCAAGTAAGTCAGGATTTAGAGCGGATGAAATAAATTAGAGCCATTTCTGTTTCCCATAGACTTAGCATAGTGAGTATTACGTTGAAGGGGTCCACGAAGAGGTCCTATAGTGTGTCTACGAGAAACTCAAAAAGGCTACAACTTGTTTCAGTTGCTCTAAATCCCATATTACTTGGTATCAAAAATCTTGTGAATTTTTTCTGCATCTTTTGAGATATTGCTTGAACAGTTTTGTTCCCTCATTCACGAGATGTGAGCACCTGAAATTATCAACGGCTGAATCAACACATTTTTCAAATTTGCCCTAGCGTTGCCATCTCTGGGTGGTTGACAGATGTGCACATTGAGTGCACAACACGGGCACAGTTATCTAAGTATGGTAAGGTAAATGTGCTCTATCTAAGTAAGGGACACACGCCTCGTACACATTTATTTTACACATTCTACACATTTCCTACACAATTATTTTCTATGGGATTACTGGATTAGGGACTGGAATTCAGCGGAATTGGATGCCAGCTGGTGAAAATTACGCTAATTTAAAGTATGCATCTGTACGCCGTACGGTCTTGTACAGTCTGGTTAAATCAGTGTGCATTAATTTTTTTTATTTTACTTTTCGTGAGTTTCATCCGTACTTCTACCCTTTTCTGATTGTTGGCAGACTGCTTTTGGCCGGAAATTTCAAGGAGTAAAATGATGCTGCTTAAACACCGGCAAATGTGCAGCAAATGCTGCAATATACCATACAGAACTGATGTACCGTAACTACCGCTACAGTTCACTTTTATAATTATTTTATAGCAGCTCTTCCACCTCGGTCGGTTTGATACAGAGTCTAATGTTTTTTTAAGAAATAGACAAGTATTTTAAAGTCTTTAATTTACCTGCCTAGGTACTTAATACTCAGCAATTAGAATGTTCCAGTGAATTACCAAATATCATAGCTGTTCGTTTATTTGGCTGGTTAACCTGATTTAGATTTTGACTACGGTTTAACAACCACCTGAGTCCATCTCTCAACTCTCCACATCAACTAAACAAAAAGTTAGGCCCACGAGTTCAAAATATCAACACCACCACCACCTGTTACACGATCACCCAATCCAATAAAATTTAACAATTATTCAGGAACACGATCTGTGGTTCATTTGGGCCGTATCATGTCTTCCGGTCTGACCCACTGCTCAAACTGCTCAGCCGTCACATAGCCCAGTTTAATGGCCGTCTCCTTCAGCGTGCTGTTCTCCTTGTGCGCAGTCTTGGCGATCTTGGCGGCTTTATCATAGCCGATGTGGTTGTTGAGAGCCGTCACCAGCATCAGCGACTCATTCATCAGCTTGGCTATGCGCTCCGTGTTGGGCTGGATGCCCACCACGCAGTTCTTGGTGAAGGAGCGAGACGCATCCGCCAGCAGCCGCACCGACTGGAGCACGTTGCGCACGATCATCGGCTTGAATACATTCAACTCAAAGTGCCCATTACTACCTCCGATGCTGACGCCCACGTTGTTGCCTATTAAAAGAATAAAACGCACTGAATTTCGAGGTTAAAATTTACACTCTTTCGGATTAGAGTGAGTCTATGGACCAAGCAACAAAAATGAAAACTAAGTAATTAATGTAGAATCACAAAAGTAGTTCCGCTGTTTTTATCCAAACAGCACAGACATAGTACTGATCACGAACGCATACCGCTATGTGTACCATAACAGAAAACGTATTACTTCTCAAATATATGCAAGACTGCACGCTTTCTTTTTCAGAGTCAACATGATAATTACAAGTAATCCTGTAGCTGTAATTAAAATCTAATCCTCTAAATCTTGTAATTAAACTCCCGTAATTAACTTGAGCTGGTATTGAATTGCAATGGAAAGTCCAATTAATGGTAGAACAATTAATCCAACATTTTCAAAGTGTTTGGAAGTGTTCTTCTCATGTAAACTTGAAAATATTTTCATCAAGAACAAGTTCTGCAGGCTTAGGCCGCGCAACCACTTGTAAAGTGTAAACATACTGCATAAAGTCATCTAAATCGGTCAGTCCTTAATCTTAGAAAAAGAACCTCACCCATAACTTGGGCAGCCACCATGGTCATCGCTTCGCACTGCGTGGGATTGACCTTTCCCGGCATAATACTGCTGCCCGGCTCATTCTCCGGCAGGGACAGCTCGCCGAAGCCGCAGCGCGGTCCGGATCCGAGGAAACGGATATCGTTGGCGATCTTCATGAAACTGACGGCCACCGTGTTCAGGGCGCCTGAGCAGTAAGACAAGGCATCGTGCGCGGCCAGGGCTTCAAATTTGTTCGGTGCCGTTACGAACGGCAGCTCTTCAAGTACAAAATGAACGTAACGCAAATATGACGCTGTCACAGTAAACCAAGAAAGAAAGACAGCATCGATTTCGTTAAACTACTGCGCCAGATGCCCACGCTGCACAAAATGCAAAAAAAAAATCAATTTGTTGAGCACATATCAGCACCACTATATTAAACAAGCGTGACACACAAAGAGAAATTTCCGTTAGGGCGGTTAGGCCATAATGAGGTTATACCACTTAATAAACTTACTGGTGTATTTGGCAATTGTTGCAGCCACTCCTTCAGCGAACCCGATGGGCGCATTGAGGCCAGTGCCGACCGCGGTGCCGCCGGCCGCGAGCTCATACACAAACGGCAGCGCACTCTCCACTCGCGTAATGGCATTCTTTACTTGCGTGGCGTAACCACTAAATTCCTGGCCCAATGTCAACGGGGTAGCATCCTGCAAGAACCACTTTAGGGCGCGAAGTTTACTTAATAAATTAACTGCACAAGCAGCCAACGCACCTGAGTGTGGGTTCGGCCAATTTTAATGATGCAGTCGAATTCCTGGGCTTTCTGGTTTAGAGCATCATAGAGCTCGTGCAGCGCCGGCAGAAGACGTTGGCTAATTTCGATGGCGACGGCGATGTGCATCGCCGTTGGAAACGTGTCGTTTGAACTCTGCGTATGAATATGAATAAGAGATTATTTATACTTTCAGTAACAACCGCTAACTTTTGAATTTAATGTGTGATTGCCTGATTGGCCGACTGCAGGTATGCTGCACGTATGCGACACATTTTATGCTGTCAGGTCACCACCAAAGGACCAACCTGACTCTTATTGACGTGATCATTTGGATGCACGGGCGTTTTACTGCCCAGCTTGCCGCCCAGCATTTCGATGGCCCGGTTGCTGATCACTTCGTTAACGTTCATGTTGGTCTGCGTGCCGGATCCCGTCTGCCACACCACCAGCGGGAAATGCTCATCCAATTTCCCCTCAATCACCTGCACAAGTGCCAATGAATTTAATAGAACAACATTACGGTCACAAACCGCAGCTCTTCGCTATACTGCAAATTAAAACCACCGCCAAAAACTGCTGCTGGAGTTATGAACACCCGCAATTTACAGTATACAATTTCTTGGACAACGGGCGATAAACATCTCTTATAAAATTTATAAAAATTCGAAATACGATCAATATTATTCGAACTACATAAATTAATTCAAAGATATTCGAAATGGTATAGCTGTATATAATATACGTGGATCTTTAACTGACGGATCTGCCCTGAATAAATTCAAAGAAACCGTACTCCTGAATCACACCTCATCAGCAGCGCTCATGATCGCTTTGGCCAGCTTCGCGTCCAGCCCGAATTTCTGATTGACTTCCGCAGAGGCTTTCTTTAGCAGAGCCATGGCATAAATAACCGGAAGCTGCAACATATTTTTATACGAACAGCACGAAGAAACAGCAATCTCCTCACAAACAATTCTCAGTTCTTAAATCTTACAGGCATCCTCTCCGGGACGCCACCAATATCGAAATTCATCATGGACCGCGCGGTATTCGCTCCATAATATTTTTCTGATGGCACCTTCAATTCCCCAAACGTGTCCCGTTCCAGACGGAAATCCCCCTAGGAAAATCGGCAAGTAATGATACAGTTCTCCGACACTGCTGCGCGCTTCACGACCATAATCGATAGCATTGTATTTGACAATGTTGATGAACCCAGACAACTTGGCAGACACGCAGTTGCGCGTTTTCCGTGAAGGCTCGCGTTTGCATGCTTACATCTGCTGCCCGTTTCCCGGCATCCGAAGATGCCATTTTTACAATGCGTATTCCCGGAGTGGAAGCCCGGAGGACGGTGGAAAATGTGGGGATGAGACGGAGCGACCGTGCCAGACACAAAGCCATCCTCGATCAGCTGCTTCAGGTAGAATGGTTCAACCACTTCCGCTGGGGCAAAGTCCGACTGCCGCTGATGCGATCAGCTTACCCTCCCAGAACCAGATGTGGGTTACAGGTGCGCAGGTATGGCGAGGGCGGGTGCGGACAGCAGAGGTGAAATCGCAACTACACTTCTGTGTGAATTAATCACCAGCGCAAAAAAGTGGGATGAGGCTAGCGAGATAAAATTTGGACAATCCGAATATTGCCTAGGCTAGCAAAATTTACTTTGCATTAGCGAGGGTACAAAGCCCCTTTCGTGTATGCTTGCCTCGCCTCCAAAATTGAAAATTTTTAGTACAATTTTGACAAAACTTGCACTGTTATTAATTTGTAATTATTATTGATCGCCGATGATTGGTGAGAATGTGTTTGTATATAATCTGATGACTGATAAGACGAAAAAAGTTTCCGAAAATTTTGTATAAGAAAATAAGGAAGCAGCAGCAGAGTAGCACAGCACAAGCCACAAAAACTTTTTCTGAAATTCTATCGTTTCTGCCTTTTTGAACCAGCTTAATGGGAACGATTCGCTTACGAAAGTCCTCAACGCGGTACGCTTCACACGGTACCACCCTATGGACATTCAGCACGATATCGCAAGTCTACCATACATACACTGCCGAGAATCTCAACCCGGTCTTAAATTATGCTTGAGTAGATCGGCAAAACGAGCCTGCCGCATCGGCACAGATAGAAGGATTTCGTCGCGGATTTTTAAGAACCCAGTTACAGAATTTCAGGTACCATCTCTGTTTGTTCATCATGAGGTAAGAATTTTTCTTAAAATATTTCGTGCGATTGTAAATATTAAGGAACAGAAAATGTAGACAAGCCTCCAGAATATGTCAAGTACGAAATCAGTGGTAGATAAGGGAACTACCAAGAATACTCAAGTGTCTCTCGAAAGTTGCGGATCATTACTGTATTCATTTTTTGCATCGGTTCTGTGATGTTTTTGCACGTATTAGCCGTGCTTTTTCTATGAGAAAGCCATACGGAAACTAATTTATTTTTTCTGAGAACCGTTATCAGCGGATTTTAACGTTACTCAGCTAAGAGCGCGGCAATATTGATTTTCAAAATGTGGTTCCTGGATGGCTGTTCTCATTCATTCTTTTTTTCTCAGTTCAAAAATCACCCGTGACACTCTATTCGAGTGTGTGAATGCCGTGCTGGATAAGTCTAAGGAGCGGAAGCGGGGCTTCGTAGAGACTGTGGAGCTGCAGATCGCGCTGAAGAACTACGATCCGCAAAAGGACAAGCGTTTCTCGGGCACTGTGCGGTGGGGCTCCTTGATGAGTCATCGTCGCGAGAGGGGTGCTTACAGTTGTGGAATGTTGCAGGTTGAAGTTCACTCCGCGTCCCAAGTACAAGGTGTGCGTGCTCGGCGATGAACAGCACATCGACGAGGCCAACGCCAACGGCGTTCCCGCCATGTCCGCAGACGACCTTAAAAAGCTTAACAAGAACAAGAAGCTCGTTAAGAAATTAGGTAAATTTTAAACACAATTAACGGGCTTTGATAGGTTCATATTAAACAGTTCATAATTTTTCCTTAAATTGAATAAGTAGATATAACTTTATCTCTAGGTAAAAAGCCTTTTACTTGGCAGTGTAAAATGTTTGTTAGTTTTATTCAGTTTCTAACTGCTTGCGTTCAGTTTTTGAAAAAATAACTTTTTTTGAATGAAGAATTTAATGGTTAATGGAAGAAATGTAATCTGATGGTTGTATGCTGTTACAGCGAAGCAGTACGATGCGTTTTTGGCGTCGGATGCGTTGATCAAGCAGATTCCTCGTCTGCTCGGTCCTGGGTTGAACAAGGCCGGTAAATTTCCCACTTTGATCACGCACGGTGAGAACATGCCGGGCAAGGTGGAGGAATTGAAGAGCACCATCAAATTCCAGATGAAGAAAGTAAGTAAAACAGTAGTTTCCAGTCTAAAAATTAAATTGTTTTACCGAAAAGTGAAGAGGCATCAGTAATGCCTCTTCACTTTTCGGTTCTGCAATCTGCAGACGCTGTCGTAAATTTTTATGTTGCTTGTAGTCAATACTACTAAATTTTTTCAGTATCTTCGTTGAAAATGCTTTTTTTAAAAATTATTTACTATTAAATGGCGTCGTTGGTTCTGGTTCGTTTCAATACTTTTCATTATGTGAGCTTGCATCTTGCTTTTTACTATTGATTTACCTGTGCTTAAACAAGAACGTTATTCTTGGTAGGTGTTGTGTTTGGCGGTGGCTATCGGGAACGTGAACATGACGCCGGAAGAGTTAGCATCTAACATTAGTTTGGCTGTGAACTTTTTGGTGTCTTTATTGAAGAAGAACTGGCAGAACGTTAGATCGCTGCACATCAAGTCCACCATGGGACCACCTCAGCAACTCTACTAGATCAGTTGGTTGTACTTCTGTTAACATCGATTTATGGTATACAATAAAATGTAATCGGGATTGAAGTCAATCGTTGTCTTCGTTCGTTCACGCGGAAAAAAAATTTAAATTTCGAACATTTGTGTGTGGTTTAGTAATAAATCGGCAGGATACGTTGTTCCAAGTACTGTATTTTAATCAATAAAACACTTTCGTTGTGCGACACAGTAATGTAAGTGTAACGGAAACTCAACGTAAATCTTTAAATCTTGCTTGTTTAAACGGAAATTCAACTTAATGCAACCCAACCAAAATGCAGACGAATACCAAATCACGTTCCCCAGTATAAATGTGCAGTTATCTCAAAAAAGCCATTACAACTGAACAGGTATCACCTCTACTTGATATCGTATTCTTTGAGCAAATTTCCGGCAATGACCAGCCGTTGGATTTCGGAGGTACCCTCGTAGATCTCGGTGATCCTGGCGTCGCGGTAGTGCCGCTCGGCCGGCATATCAGAAACGTAGCCCATCCCGCCCAGGATCTGGATGGACTGGTGGGCGATAAAAGTGGACGCTTCAGAGGCCGATAATTTGGCCATGGCAGCTTCCTGCAGCATGTGTACATGAGATTTTGGCTTGCAACACGGGCTCACAAAGCCAACGGGCCATCAGACACGTCAGCGTTTACCTTCGTGTATGGCCGTCCGGCGTCCTTCAAAAGGGCCGCTTTATACATCAACAGCCGGGAAGCTTCCAATTTCACCGCCATATCGGCTAATTTGATCTTCAAAAAAACATCTGTGAAATCTGAAACCCAATTGGGATAAACTTCATGCCGAAATTTTGCGAAGTTAAAATACAGCGCAGAAAAAAACACTTAAAACAAGCACAGATACAAAGGAGTTACGTTAGGGTATGCACGTACAGTACTCGTATGATTATATAATAATAAATTAAAGACTGATTAAATTTTAAACAGTAGTCTCGTCTTTGTGAAAACCCGAACGCATTTCAATTCGTAGTAATGATACAAATAAAGCAATTAAAAAGCTGCAATCAAATAGCTAATATTAGATAACCTACAGAATCTAATATAATTTTTTATGAAGTAAATAAAAAAATCCAATTATTAAAAACTACACAGCTTACGTGCAATACAGAGAGGAAAGATCACCTCACCTGAATAGACTGCAGTTTAGTCAACGGCGCCCCGAAAGCTTCTCTTTTGGAGGCATACTCCACGGCGACATCCAGCGCTGCTTGCCCAATACCGACCGCTTGTCCGGCAATCCCGATGCGGCCGCCATCCAACGTGGACATGGCGATTTTAAAGCCCTCCCCCTCCTTGCCCAGAAGGTTTCCCTTGGGAATACGGCAGTCCTCAAATATGAGGTAGGTCGTAGATGATCCGCGGATACCCAGCTTATCTTCCTTTTTACCAACGCTTAAGCCTGGCGTCGGCTTGGGGACGACAAAAGCGCTGATGCCTTTGTGTTTCTTGGCCTTGTCGGTCGTGGCAAAGACGACAATGCCCTCGGCTTCGTGGCCATTGGTGATCCAGGCTTTCGTCCCGTTCAGTACGTACTCGTCCCCGACCAGTTTGGCGGTGGTGGACGCCGCACCGGCATCACTTCCGTTTCCTGCGCCGAAATAATACTAGCTCAATAAAGCCTAACAATAATTTTTCAAAATTTACCAGGTTCACTCAAGGCAAAACATCCAATGCGTTCGCCACTGGTAAAAGGCCTGACGAATTTATCGATTACTTCCGGTCTTCCGTAAGCGTTTATGGGGCTCAAATACAAAGACTAAAATGTGCAATAGAGTAACAACTTACAATTGCAGTAAAAAATACGATGAAAAAATAATACGTCTGACCACAAAGTGTAAATATTCTATCAAAGAAAATTTAATGGGCAAACGAAATAAAAATAAACAGAGCTATCTACGGTAGACCGATATAATACACAAGTACACCGCACTAAAAGAAAAGTGAAAGTCAAAAGTCAAAATCATACCCGACTAAGTTCATACTCATAGAAGTTACCATAAAACGTGATTATAATAACCATTAAATGCACAGAAATGAATGAAAAATATACGCCTAATCGAAGAAGCATTAAGGCGAACAAATTGCTGCATACATTGTGCGCACTGAGGATCACCCCGGCGCTGGCGCATCCGCGACTGATCTCCTCCATGGCAATGGCGTATGCTAACGCGTCCAGGCCCGTTCCGCCATTCTCTTCCGGCGTGGCGATGCCCATCAGCCCCAGTTCACCCATCTTCAATACCTGCATTCCACAATATCATTGCATTCTTTTTTACATTTATGTGCACCCAAACATTTTTAGTTTATCATGGCATCAGTTAAATTCCCAACAATTTTTAAGTACTAACCAGCAGAAATTGAAATCCGATAATACTATGGTGATCAAATTATCAATGATCACTGATCAACTATCAATTTTTAACTGCTATCACAACCACTATCGCAAACATCCACTTTCGTTTAGCGAAATCCCTTGCTTCCACAAGTGACAATCTGTGACAAATGACCATCAACTATTCAACTTCAATCATGGAAAGGAAACTGCACCTGTTCCTTGGGATATCGGTGCTCCTTGTCCGTCACGGCCGCCATCGGCTTCAGATCACTCTCGGCGAAATTGCGGCATGTCTGCCGCAGCATCTGATGCGTCTCAGGTAAATCAATGATGTTCACGGGCCCGGTGGCAGCGGCGGCATACTCACGACGCAGTCCTATATACATGTAGATAAAGATAGTACTTATCGTTATGCTGTACACAATTTCTCACTTCAAAGCAGCTGTTTAAATGGCTGTCATTGACTGATCGCTACCTTCCAGCGCTGCGACAATCGCAGAAGCCCCAATAGATCTGGCAGCAAATACTTAACAGAAACGGGAAGATAACGGTGCTTGCTTTAACTGCTTACCTGGACGCTGTCGTGGAAGAGCGAGCAAACGGCCAAATCGTAACATCGTAACCGCCTGCTTTCCGTTACTTCGATCAAGGTAAAGTTTTCACTGTACCGTCTGTACTCTGTACAGTGTACGTATGTTACGGTATGTAAACCTATCTGAAGAACAGACGATGCTGGATGAAACTCGATAAACCACCGTAGTTTCAGTAGTAATATCTCGAACGAACGACGAAAAATAACTACGCACGAAACTGAGAAAACACATAAATTATAGAAATCACTAATTAAAAAAAGTATCTTCGAAGCAAAAATTAATTTCTTTGAAAAGTTTTAGCAGCCTATGAATTTAGATTTTTGTAGCTGCGTTTTGCGGGGGTTTGCGTGCAACCTAAATCATTCGAACAAGCTCACCATTCGGGCCGCTTTACGTGTACTAATGCTCACAGCTGATAACTTCGTCCTGGCACTTGGCAGTCTACAATTTCAGTTTCGCAATTTTGTTTCAGTTCTTTACTTCCGAGTGCAAGAAGAAACTTTATTAGATCTTTTTTATCTTGCAGAATTTATATTCATTTATAAATATATAATTAGAGCAAGCTGGTAGCCACCTGCTTCAGGATCTGCTGGCTCCGAGATCGTTTCTTCTGTTCTGTATGTGAGTTTCACACTCTCGCTCGTTCTGACTTGCTTGGCCAGAAGTTATTGCAATGGCCGATCTCGACACCAGTCCGAGCAGTCCTCCGCCAGATTCACCATCCACTCCACCTGCCGAGACGGATCACCCCACCTCCGGATTTGCCAATGCCATCGCCAAGATCCTCAGCCACACCACCACGCCCCGACCAAAGAAGCGGATAAAGCGCGAAGTTAAAGTGGAAAACGCGGTCGGCGATGCTCCGTCAGCTTCAGGCCCACGCGCTGCTGCCACCGGCAATCGGACGGTAGGGAAATTTGGTTTTACTAGAGAAAATTTACCGGAATTTTAACGCATCATTTCATGAATCCGATTTTGTTCACAGAAAGGGACTAGTCACGACGAACCGTGGCATGTGTTACCGGATGTGACGCAACGGGAAATCGAGCGGAAACTGAATAAAGTTGCCACACGGTACTCTCTCCCATTATTAATAAGCAAAAATTATTACGCACTGGAAATACTGTCCGCGTATTTACTGAGGTAGCAGAAGTTTAGGCGCTTTGTTGTTGGAATACTTTGCGGACAAAAATTTTAATAAGCATTGAAGCCAAATTTATTCTCTTTTTTGGACTTTGGTAGTGTAAAAAATATAAGAGCAACGCTTGCAAGGAATTATATTAAATCTGCGAAAAAATCCGATTATTAAGAAGATTACCAAACCAATTTGGTCTAGATTTTTCGGTTCCTGAAATATACAGTAATTGCAGCTACTGGATTACTGGAATTCACGTTTTTAATATATTGTTACATTATGGAATTGTTTTTTACATCAGAGTGGTTTAGCGGAGTGGGAGAATAAGATTTTTTTGTCAGATTAAAATCCGATGATTATGAAAATCATTGAACCAATCTGGTCTACATATTTCCTAAATAAACAGTAAATGCACTTATTGGAGTTTATATTTTTAATATTGTATTACATTATTTTTCTCAGCGGAGTCGTTCAGTTGTTCAATGCCGTCCGTCAGCAGCAGACTACTATTGCTGAGCAGCTGGACGAAGCCGGTCCATCCGTGCGCCGATCGGAAAACGTCCTGAAATCCGTGTCGAAAGGCGCCTTCCTCGATTTACTAAAAGATCCGTCGTCTGGCAGTGTGAAAATTCTCAGTAAAAATGTAAGTGATGGCTACATCAGAGTTGTGCATGCTGTACGTATAGGTATAATCGTACATATGAAATATAAATTTTGATTTTTAATTTGTTGAATAGGATAATGAATCACTTTCTTTCCTAGTCATATACCGGAATATTTGTTTTTCTCTATATTTCAGATGCCCTTGTCCAAAACGAGCGAAACTTCTGGAGAAGGTAAACGGTGGGAAGTTTTGGATGATGATTACCTTTTGAAAGCCGGGGCCACCGGAAGTGACGGTGACAACAATGAATCGAGAGAATCATCTACTGAACGCATGGAACAAGTTTTTTAGCATTTAACTGCTAAACCCATAATGTATTTAGATATTTTCGACCGGAAATATTTTCTGTAGATTGCATCTCGACTTCGTAGTTTCTCTGCTCAACGCTGGCTTGTGTGAATTTAAATGAACGAAATTGTAATATCGAATTGCTTACATTTTGAGCCCTTTCCGAGTATGGATTTCGCGTTTGGCAACGAAAATGTAGGATTTAGCTATCTGTTACCTGGTTGCTTATAGATTTGGTGATCTATTTAATTTTTCGAAATGGCTGTGCGCCCCGACAATCGGGGCGCAAAGTAATAATTATTAAGTATTTGTGGCCACGGCATTACTGTACGTTGCTCTGCGCCATGAATTTTTTTTTCACCTTTAACACCGATAATCTTGCACGATTTTTTTGTTTTTCACTATTAACATAACTTCTGCAGCCGAAAGTTTTATTTTTTTCGTGGTTGGCTTTGTCATTCATGGTAAAGCCTTCCCGACAGTTCGCGCAGATAAACCGGCTTTCAGCATTTCCTGTACGGCGATTAAATCCTGTACGCCTGCGTTCCCTTCGCACTTTCGAACTGCATCTTCGGACCTGAATTCATTGCGCAAATCGCCATGATATATAGTTACCAGTTAATAGTACGCAAAAGGTGAATAGTGAATACGGAAATTATCGAATTTGTGGCATCCACTCATTAAGGGCACTAAGCGCACTCAAACTTAAATTAAGTTTGAAAAAGTAGGACACCCCAGAAATTGCCGCACATTGGGTCGTTAATAAATGTGAAGCGGAGCACCTAGCTTGATGGTAACCAAATGTGGTGATTGCTAATTTGCTAGCAAGCAATTGTATGCATGCCCGGGATGCTCGTGTAATCAAGCTGTACAGACTTTTAAAAAGCATCACATACAAGTACATACTGAGTACTAAAACAAAATTGAGTGAAAATTCATAACAAAAACACTTCTTCAATGCTATCCTGCTCGGGGATCGTACCCATAACACATAACGCATTTCCCCGTTGCACTTGGATAGATAGCCGCTGTCTAAAATATTCTTTCGTCCGCTTCTGGCTTGTGGCGGAAGCTATGCCGTTGCCGACCTTCTCCACGAGCATTTTCGTTCCGCCTCCCAAGGGTCCGTAAATTTCAAAGGCGGCAGCTACTAGATTGTATCTTGGTTGTAGCATGTAGGTAATGATGTGTAATTAATTAACTCGTGTAATTGCATGTAGGTATGATGTATCCATATACCCGGTAACTACACGGTCTACACCAACTATAGCGCTCACTTTCTGAAGAGCAGGATGCGCTCTTGTTTTCAAAAAGTAATAATGGCCCCCTTACCCTACAAAATCTACTGTTTGAAAAATAGTGGCACCCGCCGAAATAACGGCACCTCCCCGAAATAAGCGCACCTATACTAGGGCGTTTTTTTGTTTTTTTTTTCCATGGGCGTTTGAACTACAGTACGTATCGCATTTGCCGCACAGTGCCAGAAATCGATAATTACGGTATTTCACGATTCCCTTCCCCACAAGTGTCTCATTTATTTGTTAATAATGTTGATAGTCCTATAAATCATATACATTTATGCGCATTCAAGGTCAGGTGTCTCTAGATAAATCTTCTGGTTACCTTTGGACCGTTCTGTGAGTGTGTACTGAGTCTACTGACAAATTTACCAGAAGTAGCCACGACTTTTTACGCCAAATATTCGGGGCGCACAGCCAATTTACTTCGCGCCCGGTTATCGGGGCGCATAGCACTGAACTTAATGTTTTAAGGAAAGCGATGACAATGCATTCGATAAATACTCACAATTTTCATAAGGTTTTGTGCAAATCGTGGTGGGAGGTCGCGAATACTTCAGAAAAAATTCAAATAAGCACGACCATCTTAAATTCTTCCACTGTTTTGTTTTGGTAAGAAATTGAGAAACGCTCACCCAAACTCCACCGGGCGACCGCTCGTCTACAAAACTAGTTGAAATTTGGCCATGAAAGTTTCGTGACGGTGACGATAAGCTTTTTTAAGCAAGTTCTTTAGTTTCCATTATTTTTATTTTTTGTTTCCGATGATCGGACTTTAGTGAGTTTCTTTGATTTTTTAGTATTTCCTTGGACCTCGTTCTGTTGCCTGTTATTAGCAAGAATTTCACAGTTGGAAATAGGTAAGTCGTGTGCTAATCGCAAGAAGTGTGTGATATATATAATTTGGATAGCGGTCAGTGTTGTGGGCATATATTTCATTCTCATTCGCCAGATTTTGTAGGTCTTCGACCATGATCCGCTCCATCCAGCGACTCCATCCGCACTTTCAGTGGCTCTACCTATCCAGCCCAGTGTGTATGCGGTGTGCTGCTCCAGTGTCCGCCCCATCAGCATCCCGAAATCTCCATGAATTGCGCATCATTCGCCTCAGGTCCACAGTTGCTCCTCAGGACCAGCCGGGGGAATCCAGTGAAGTCTCATCGCAGTCCCCAACCAAATCACAATCCAGTGATGCCCAGTATTTCCGCCAACTCATTCAGCAGTCCTCCAAGCAGCCCGCTAAGGTGGACTGGACCCAGTTTGTCAACCCGGATCTTTATAAAAAGGGTGAGCTGAACGTTAACGACCAGCCCGAAGTCCATGCCAAATTCGGTCTGCTTCATCGCACAACCAGTCAACAGCAATCAGCCGATGACGCTGCCGAGGAAGTCCCGAATGTTCTCCAGCGAACCGCGACGATCGGCCTGGCTGAGCGCAAAACTCGCCAGGAGCGATCATCCCATGACGCATCCGTGGAAATCCTTGACGCCATTCCGCGGACCTCCACGGGCCTGGCCGACGACCTGGACAACGTCGACTGGGCGGAGCTGGAAAAGCAAGACCCGGAGCGCCGGCCCCTGGAGCCGGTCGACGATCAGGATTCTTTACTTGCAGATGCCGTGCCCACCGCACCACCCTACGCCTTCAATCTGGCCGCCTACGCCGAGAAGAGCCCGAACATCCGGAAATTCCTGGATCTGGGCGTGGAGGTGTACCAGTACGACCAGGATCCCGAAATGTCGCAGCTGCTGGCCACCGGCGACTGGGACACCCGTATCCAGCCCGTCCTGGACTTTCTCCAGTCACTGGGCATCAAGGAGAAAAACCAGGCAAGGATTCTCTCCAAATGGCCGCGTATTCTCAAGCATGATATCGCGCAGCTGAACGAGAAGGTAGAATATCTACGCTCCAAGAAATTTCCTCCGGAGGCCGTCGCACGCATTTTGGTCAAAGCGCCGCTTTTGTTCTCGCTGTCGGTGCGGCATGTCGATAAGCAGTTAGGCGCGCTGCAGCGCACGTTCAAATTGACCGGCGACGAGGTGCGCGACGTGGTCACCGCCGTCCCAAAGATCGTGACGATGCGGTCCATCGTGTGGGCTGTGATTCGGCTAGCCATGATGCATGAGATGGGCTTCCGCAAAGAGGAGATCAAAGCCATGCTGCTGATGCAGCCCAAAATTTTTCTCTTGGATAAGAAGGATTTTCTGCGGCGCTTTGATTACCTCCACAACGTGGTCGGCATCCAGCACGCCGACATTGCGGCTTTTCCGGGGGCAATGCGGACGCGCGTCTTTGAGGTGAAGGATCGACACCTCTTCCTCAAGAAGCTCGGCCGCGATCAGTATGATCGCACGCAGCCTAATTACGTTTCGCTGCATGATCTGTGCTCCGGGTCCAATTGGGACTTCTGCATGCGGGTGGCCAAGCAGCCGTTGCGATATTTCAACGCTTTTCGGAAAACCTTGTAGCCATGAGTGTTTGAATGAATAAAGTTTTTGATAGTACGTGGTATTAATCGGGTGATTATTCGGATTTCGAGTACCTGCTTACTGCGACTACGCCACTACGGTATGAGTGGATTATTTCATGCTGTCTGAACACAGCATCACAATAAATGACATTCGCTAATACAATAATGATTTCGTCAAATGAACTGCAGCCAAACTACCTATCTGTGTTACTTCGCGTTATTTGCAATCACTGAGGAAATCACTGGATTAAAAGCAAATAAGCTTCACAAGCTGAGACTTCTTATGCAACGAAAACTTAAAATTACACAATCTTTCTAATTAAGGCCTATTTATATTTATAGTACTTAATTTATTTTAACCGCTTCGACACACGACTGCACTATTGTGTTCGGCTGTTCGCCAATAAAGCAGCCACTTGATGGTGGAAAAGTGGAAATTAGGTAACCCGACAACTGCCACCCACTTCGAGATGCATTTAAATTTCCACCTGATTTCCGCCTGACGTAGTACTTGACTACTTGTATATCTATATATCAACTACGTACTACGAAGACAGATTTATGCTGTAGATGGTCAGATGGATGCACCACACCGGTCCACACGGTAGGAGATGTCATGAGATTTGACCTCTGTTATGTTTACGCTATATTGCAGTATTCCTCTCTCACACTTGAACTCCACGTCAGCCAGTACAGGTTGATCGACTGCCCGCAAATGGCGGAAATCACATCTAGCATCTACGTATACTGAACTAATAGAAGTGTGCTCATTAATCTGGGAGGCAGATACGTTTTCGCACCAGTAGCTTTCGAAACACCCTTGTGGGAATGACCTTAGTGAACAAAATTGGTAAGCGTCTACAACACAGGTACTTCGAAGTATACGTAAACCTCACTATTAGCAGTGTCTCCGTCAACGCTTGTCTCTCGAAATCTAATGAGGCAAAGCCGCTTCCGCACTCGGAAGTCGGAACACTAGAAGGACCAGCAGCGTTAAACTGAACTTTGTTGTCGAAATATACTGATTGTTTCGATCTGCCCTGCATACTGTACGTGTTTAGGATCGAATTCCACCAAAGATTTCAGAAGCTCCGCCTCTCTGGTGTAATCACTTTTATTATTGTCCAATGTGGATTGTGGACGGTCACATCGGTATTAATTTAACTATTAAGTACGTACGCTGGACGTTCTCTGCAATATACAATACATCAGCGCAACCACTGTGCCCACATTCCGAAATTATTAATTATGAGTCAATTTATGACCAATTTCTGCTCAACTCAGCAGAATACAGCGGTAAACCTTTCCTCAGAAAGCTCGTACGACTGATGGTGAGTAAACTCAGTAAATAATGTACAATACATGTCGTTGTGTCGGTTGTGATGCCGACCAACAGCCTTGAGGTTCCTGAATCGCTGTTCAGAAAATGCCGGGTATCATCATGCAAGGAAACCGATGCCGCGTCGATGCAGCGAATGTATCGAAAGCGGGAAATACGTAGCTCTTCTTGTTTCTACATGCAAACCAGGACATTAAAGACTGCGATTCAAATTGGGAATAAAGTCCCCGAAAACTTAAATTGCCGCATACAAAACGGTGCTAGCCCGGAGGAGCGAATGCAAGCTTGGTCAAGATGTCCGCACTCGCCCATGCACATTGCCGAAATCGCTACGTCCTGACTTCTATTCTTGACCATTCATCTGATCGATTCCGGCGCAACATGCCCGGCGAGTTGGTATGGCCCGCAAATTCCCTTACGCTTGACTTTCCTCAAAACTAAGCAAAAATTAATCCAAGTTTAGCGGAACATCAAGCTTCATTAAGCCGTTTCCGGAGCGGCAAGTTTGACCGCCACCGGCACCAAGTTTTGGACTTTTGATGCGGACGCCGGACGCTGGGGAGCAGCCGGCAGCGTACAGACACACTCCACACAGGCGGCGTCCAGTTGTACGCGCTGTTCATTAGGCCGTAAAGTCATAAGTTGTTACTTAAATGTTACTTGTTCACTCACTTGTTCACTCAAGAAACTCACGTTATAAATATTTTATAGAGATTATTAATTTTGTCAACTGTACGCACTATTTATGCGTAGTCATATATACTCATATTGGTCACATTGCAAATTATTCCGCCGCAGTACGTATTACTGTCGTTGCACTTGCAGCTTGCTCCATCCTCACACGGCCACATTATACTTATAGTCCACAGTCACACTCTGCATACAGAATTCCATTTCGTTGCGAATTTTCGCACAATGGACATGGATAGTTCTGACAGCATTCCGGAGAGCCCATTACGCACTGTAATCTATTTCCTTATTCTCCTGTTGAGCTTCGCACAGATTGCGAGTCATATCTCTTTTGCAGAATATGGAGTTCGCCGTGGAGATGTCGTGCCAAGGCTGCGAGAGCACCGTGCGGAAGGCGCTGGAGAATGTCGCAGGTGATAGATCTACTCGGGTGCAAGGCGAAGTAACTGGTGCGCGACACGGATGCAGTATTTTTTCTGTGTTCGATTGACCAGGTATCAAGGTGCTGAGCGTAGATGCCGCGGCGGAGCGTGTGCTGTTGGAGAGTGCGCTGCCGTCGACGCAAGTGCAGCAGCTCATCGAACAGACAGGACGCCAGGCTGTTCTCCGCGGAGTGGGTGCTCCGGGTCGGTAATTATTTTCAGCTTCTGTTAAACTAATTTTATTCTTCTCCTTTTGATCTCGCTTTTTTACATCGCCATAGACCACAGCAGATTTCGAGGCGTCTGGGTTTTTGAGATATTTTTGTCGCTGTAAAACTGCTGTGTCATGCAGTCAGCGGTGTTGAAAAATAAAAGCAATATTTCGACAGCGTCAGTGTTTGCTGTTTACTGCAGGTTTTGTTTTCTAGTTTCTGTCGAAAAGACCTTTCGAAGTTATATTGAACTTTGATTGTTAATTAATTGTTACCAGACGATAATCCTTATATCTGTATTCCCTCTTATGAAGGTTGCAGTTTTTTACATTTATGATTTGTCGCAAAGTTGATTTTGCTGACTGTCTCAGTGTTCCCTACCTTTACTATTACATGGAACAGAAACGTTGTTGCTAGAAAATGAGTGTGTTTTCGGAGGAGTTGTGTAAATTCTTTCATTGGGTATTTTTGCAGTGAGTCCGCATGTATAAGTCGGGTATACCATTTGTAACCGTATTATAAAATATTGATGGTGAAATATGGAGATCACTCCAGTAAATTAAGTATTACATTTTGCTAGAACATTTAAAGAAGGGCATACCGACATGCGATAGTTCTTTAGGCCAGCAGCTGGGCGCTGCTGTGGTGGAATTCTACGGCATCGGCGGTGTCAAGGGCGTGACGCGCTTTGTCCAGTTGGCACGGGATCGCTGTATAATCGACGGGACGCTGGACGGATTGAGTCCCGGCCGACATGGATTGGCCATCTGCGAAAATGGAGATCTTAGCCGCGGCTGCGAAAGGTATGTATTATTGCGGCGTATCCCTTTTTTGTGGTATACGATAAAATGCGCTGATACTTGCACGTTTGTTTTTCTTGCGCTTGCGAAACAAATAGCCATGATTGAATTCTTTTCTGGTCAAAATTCCACGCAAGATAATTTCGTGTCGTGTGGCTGCCTTGGCGTGACCACAGCTGTGCATCCCGCATCTTGGCATATTATGACATCTCTTCCCTCTTGAGTAAAATTATGGTTGTAATTTGTAATCCAGTGGCGCCTGTATTGATTCAGGGCGTTCGTTTTTGTATCGGACAGAAGCAGGAATTGGTGTGTGGGTTTTAATTAATTTGGGTTGCTCGTATAGTCGTATGGTTGCAGTACGGTAACGCCGCCGATGGATTTTGTGTTTTAAATTATGCAAGATACGTTCTCTGATTAAATTTTTTATGTATGAGTATGTAGTAATTTAATTTTTCACTTCTTTTTACTTCAAAAATTGCGCAGTTTCTACTTCGTGAATTTTACACCTGACTTGTAAGTGAGCTTGTTTTCGCTGTTGTTTTTTTTTATAAACTGATGCTCGTACAGTCGCACATCTAGAATATATCATTAACATACATGTATTATGATAATTATTGTATATCTGTTACTAGTACAATATCTATAACATAATGGTTTAGCCGGAGGCCTGAGCGTATGGTTTTATACTCGTATAGCTAATACATATTTCCGCACGCACTTGTTCCTGTGTCATGTTTTCAGTGTTGGCGATCACTATAACCCGGAGGAATCTTGTCATGGCTACCCCGACAGCCCGCACGCTGTAAGTAACACAGTGACTTATGTGTGGTTGGCCATCAACGCCTTTTCCTGCAAAAACTGTGTCATTTGCGTATCGTAATGCCCATAATTGACCGATAACCGGGATGGAACGTGCCTCATTAAACCTTCACCGCATTTGTTACAGCACGCCGGGGATCTGGGGAATATTGACGCGGATGCCGGCGGTCGGGCCGCCTTCCGCCTGGTCAACCGGCGACTGAACATCTGGAATGTCATTGGCCGCAGTCTGGTGGTGCACGCCCGCGAGGACGACGGTCGGACCCCGATCGATGGCAATGCCGGGCCAAAGTAAGAATCATCCGCAACGTAATTTGTCGTTAATCGCATTCACAACGACGCATCGTTCGTCATGACTAATGCCGGCCAATTTGTCGTCTGGGATAGGATTGCCTGCGGGATCATCGCCCGTTCAGCCGGGATCATGGAGAATACCAAGAAAATCTGTAGTTGTAGCGGGCAAACGTTGTGGGAAGAACGGGATAATGTCAAAAAGCAGTCGTGATCTGAGAACGAAAATTTTTATTTTTGCCAGTTTTCTCGTCATTTTTGCTGGCAAATTCCAGCTGTTGTGGTTGCATCATTTCCGGTGGGATTTAAATGTTCATTCTGCCTTCTTCCGGTTTGGGAATGTGATGCTGCCAAGGCACAGTGAACGAACTCATTAAAAAATTGTAAGTGTCTCGAGTAAACGCATCGATTCTTTAATTCGGCTTACTTTTGTGAAGTGCATGTTGCGCGGATAGGCGCTGGTGGGCAGCATGGCCCTGCTGGGAGGATACTTGCCATAGTCGTTGCTGGTGGTGCGATAACCGGCGATGTTGAATCCCGCTCGGCTAATGCCGTAGGTTGTCGGGTCTGTGTATCAATATAAAGAAAACGGGTTAAATGGAGTTGCGTTGCCTAGAGTGTTTTCTCCGCTGTTTACACTGGTTTTTACGGACATGCGCGGTTGACATAGCGAGTGTCTAGTAGTCTACTACGGCTGATGGGGGTCACCGGGTGACACTTCCGGCTGCCGTTCCCCTGTGACTCATCAAATGCCACTTCGCGCTGGATAGTACGCCTGTGCAGTGTGCGTGTGTGGATGCAGTTTTAAAATAATTGTTAACGAGCTTACCGTGTATGCTGGACAGATTGGTCGGTAAGGTTGGCGTGAATTTCCGGGATTCGTACGGGTTGATCCATGGTTTATCCTTGTACAGCATGCTAACGTCGATTTCCCAAGGGTCACTATCTGTTCGTTGAATGCGGATAAGGCCTTTAGGAGTTGGGACTGATTGTGGACGTGGCTTGCAGAATATAGACAAAAACAAAAAGGTGTGCAGTTTACTTATAGATTGCAAATGCAGAAAGATCGTTTTCGTTGCTACGCTGCCTGTGCATACGACAAGATCGATGCATTGCATGGACAATGGCCGACTACAAGGACCTCGAGTGCGATAGAATACTGGCAGTTTATTCGTCCTAATAGCAATAATAATAAACGTTTTTCGCAACTGCTCCTCTGATAACATTTTTATATTCGGAGGGTTTAATTAAAGTATTGATTAAGTAAATCAAAGCAACATAATCAAATCAAAACGACAATTTATATAATATGTGTACAAGTAACTGAAGTAAGTACAATTTATACTCCAATTCATACTCTCCAAAGGCGATAAAACGAGAATCTAAAACATTTTTAAAAACTGAAAAGAAACATGGTTATGCAACAAGCACAGCTTCTAGATCTCATATTCTCGTGCGGCCGTAATTGTACAGTATTTGTTTAACTGTTAAAAGATGCGTATAACAGATGTATTAACTGGTAAGTACTCTCTCGCTCGCCACAGTAGCCCCGCGGACGGTATTTAATTTGAGCATCCGTGTTGTGCTCTCCAGAAGCGATTACCGTTATTGATTACCACCGGCAGTGGTGCTCTATTTTGGAAAAGGTAGAGCGATTTTGGTAATTGCATGAATTACAAGGCCACATGGTTTCGATGTTTACTGTGAAAAGTGTTGAAGATGCAGGCTAACGTAAGTTACCAGACACAGTGACACTTACATTAGTTTTTGCGGAAGTTGACAGGAATCTACAAAGCCGCGCCCCGTGTAGGTTTGTATGGACAATGGACATCGGTCAATCACTTGATCCGCTATGTATTTCGAAATAATTGCACTCGCACAGTTCTGGCGTTTTTATCGTACCACGGTACCGGTAACCGGTATCTCCGAGTCAAAAGGACTGCACAACTTCAGTATTATAAATTAATTTATTTCAAAATACTATTTGATGAAAATAAAGAGAATCTATTGAATCTTAGTTTAGAAAAAAGAAAAGGAAATCACAGGATAAGAAGGATAAAGTTCAATAACTACACTTACTACAGCTTTGACAACGGTGCTCTGGTGTCGCCACCTGCATCGCTGCCAGAGCGAGCGAGCCACAACACACTTCTGTCTGTGCACAAACGCGTTTGCAAGTTTGCACTTTGCAGTGCATTTTATCAGCCAGCAATCTTGCAATCCGTTGAATTTTTACAAGTTTGACGGCATAGTTCTCCAAGAAATCACAACACGCCAGTTTGTTTAAGGTTTGCTACTTGATCCGTAATTATTGCACTCGGTTCACTTTATCTGTCTCCTTTTTGTATTATTCCCGTGGTATTGTGGATATATTTATCGGACTGAATTTGGCAGGTGAGTGTGCTGCCGAGCGCCGTTGTAGTGTAGCGAGAATATGAAAATCTTATCAGCCGCGGTTAACGTTGTCACGGGTGGTGTTTACTTTTTGCACGGTACGGCGCAGTTCTCCCGTGGAACGTCGCCACTGACAGTTAAAGGTGTTTGTTTTGTTGGCGGCGAGTGTGTTGTTAAAAACGTTGGTATTGTTTCCGTGATGGAAGATTAGGGAGATACAGAGATGCTTCCACCGCGGCGTCCGCCGAACAGAAGGCGACAGTGGCCTTCAGCGTTGTTTGTGTTGTCACTCGTCAGTGTTATGACGCGCCGATACGATGCAAACCTGTTTTGTACTGATTGTGAATACGTTGTTGTGCAGCTACATCGATGCGGTGGGGGTAGAGATGGGCAAACTAAAATTAGTCGACTAATTAACGGTTAACTTCGGTTAACCTGACCAAAACTAAAAAAATTAGTTTAACAAACTTTAGTAACTAAAAAGTTTAGTCAGAAAGTTTTTAGTGACTAAATATTTTAGTCAAGTCGATTTTAGTTACTATATTTCCACGGTTAACCGGTTAATCGCAATTGTGAGGTTAGTGCAGCGACAAACCAAGCCCAAATGTACAGAATAAATTTGTTGGTGTATTACACACCTTCCCTGTACTCGGTATTTCTCTGATGCTCGCCTAAAGTAAGACATGGCGAAACTACGGGTGGACGACTCCAGCAGTACAAGGGGATGTGTGAAACATGTTGATTTACGGCTATAAATCCCAGTGTCTGAGTGAGCCGGACTAATTTTAATGACTGACTGCACATACGTACAATGTCATGCACTACTAGTATCCTTCAATCGAGGAACACATTTTTAAAGACAAATTTATTGGTTCTCATCAGTGAAATAAATTTTGATTCCGTGTGCGCAACAAAGTTTTACAAACGACAATAGCCTGGATGCAGTGAATTACACTCCTTTTGAAAGCGGAAAAATTTATTTTTAGTCTCGGTTAACTTTGGTTAACCGGTTAAAAATTTTAACCAACTTGTGGTTAACCGCTAAGAAATTTAGTCGCCAACGTTTAGTTGACTAAAAGTTTTAACCAAGTCAGTTTTAGCAACTAAAACTTTTAACCGAGTTTTAGTTTAGTTTAGTTTAGTCAGTTTTAGTTTGCCCATCTCTAGGTGGGGGTTCTGTCACTTCTGTGTTCTCCGCTGAAAAGCTGTAAATTATCTTTTATTTGCGCCTCCGACGGTTCCCATCGGAAACATGTAGAATCAGAGAATTATTAATTGTAATGCGAATTTTATTTCTCATGGAATTTTATCGATTATTTTTTGTTGTGGTGCGAAGAAAAGAACATTTGAGAAAAATGAGAAGGCGATGTTGATCTGTACGTATAAACACCTGGACGCTACAGATATGTAGAAATCCGGATTTAATTATGTACCGTTTCGTCAGAAAAATACTCGTATCCATTTCCAGTTTTCAAGGCCGCATTCCAGGGCTTGGTTAGTTGAACGGTTTATTCGATTAATATGATTTATTAACAACTTGCTTGTAAATTAATAAGATTAGTTAAATGTGAACAGCATTTAGTTTCGGATGAGTCGCCTGCCCTGACGGCATTTCGAGTGATTGGATCCATGCCAAAATCGATGAGTTTGAATTTTAAAACGGAAGAAAGAATTAATTGCGCATGGATTAGGTCAAATTACAAATTTATGTGTACAGCTGTTATTGTCCATAGCAGACACCACACGATTGTTCGTTTTTTCAAAATTCAGCAAAATTTTTTATCTTCTGATAATGGTGAGTAAGTGATTAAAGAAGCGGATTTCTCATACTTACATAAGTAATAATTCAAGCGTTAAGAAATATTTGATTCCATTAGCTAAGCATTGGTTGAGAAATATTAGCATTAAGATGTAAAAGTACCTATTTGTCGGGCGAATTACTTTACTACGTAACAATTTGCTAAGAAAAAATTTTGAACAGCAAAATAGACGGTATTAAATTGGAAAATATTTAATATAAAGATGTGCCATTTAAACTGTTCCACTGTGTGACTTTGGCGTTGATGATTTAAGTTCTGGAACATTAAAACTATATTTTGATAATAAGAATGCGAACTGGATTGTGGTTTGTGTTAACAGTGTGACGATGGCGGAGTTGCAGCAGCATCCTCAGCAGCCAGCAGCCTCGGCGGCGGGCGATAAGCGGGCTCCGCTGGCCAACTTCCTGGCCGGGTTGGATGAGTTCAAGACGCCGGTGGAGGCCATCAGTGAGCTGCCCAAGCATGAGAAGATGGACGGCAACGGCTCGTGGACGGAGGCGGAGATGGAGAGCGAGCTGCTCTACTGGGTCCAGCGGTACCTTGCGCACCTGTAAGTGTGCATCACTTTCGCGAAACTAAACGCGCGCAGCAATTATCCCGCTATGCTTCGTTGGTCGAGAGTTTTTTTCCTCTAAGCTTCAAGCGTGCACTTCGCTAGACTATGTAATTTAGGACTTTACGGCTTTCTTCGCGGTTGAGCGGGTTTTTTCGAGCACCCATTAGGTGAAGTTTTTTATGATTGTTTCCTTTTTTAAACGTATGTTTGGGATGATTTCATGCTTTTTCAGGTAAATGTTTCTCCGTCTTATGGTTATTGACGTTTGTTGGTGATTTTTTCGAAGGATTTGGGTAAAGGCGCGTTGCGCTCTGCCTCCGAACTAGAGAAAAACACCCAAAATGCGGAATAATTATCATTAATTATTGCAGCAGTCTTTAATAGTTAATTTTTGTAACATTTATTTATTAGTAAAATAAAAAGCTTATCCGTTTATAGCCTTTCTGGAGTTATATATTGGTTTTAATGATGGTTACTGTTTATTTTTTTACTGAACGGAAAGCTTCACTATACGCTCATAATTATTGGAAAGAATTTAAAGTATACTGGAAGTGTCCGGGGCATCACGCACGCATTCGCTCAGTTTTGTTAATGACGAAGAGATTTCCTCCGCTGCATATGTGGGTGGTAGCTCCTTCCTTGACAGTGGCAAAATAGTGGTTAGATGTTTAGAGGGTAAACAGTGCTGCATAGTAATCCGGCTGTGTGAATTGAATTTGGGCTTTGTACGGATGCTGATGCAGTGTAGCTTGTGTAGGGGAGAAAGGCGGCCAAGTGTGGCCGGTTGGGGAAATTAACATAAACAAATATGTAGACTATGTCCCAGTATGGCTTTTTTAATTCACTGCGGCCCCAGTGTCCGACCAGCTGCCATTCAGACATGTGTGATGCTGCGAACCCGGCTGACACACGATATGATGATAATCCGATGAGGATTTGTCCGGCTAATCTCTTGTAAAACTTAATCGGATAGGGAATGAAGTGTATCGTTTGCGCACTGGCACCGGTTTTGCAGAAAGAAAAAATTATCAATGACTTACAGACTCGTGTTTGTGCGAAATTGTCGATTTTCTCAGAGAATTAGGGGATACGAATCGCTGCATTATTATTTTCTTTACGAAGTTCGATTGCAGTCTGCTTACAGTTGGCAAATGACTCGTTGCCTTTGCAATTTGTATGTTTTATTACTGATTTCGTTATACATAGCTAGCGCCTAGCACGGTTTCACATATTACAGATAGTGTGCCTGTTATAAGGAAAAGATAATGCATAAAAAATCGGGAATTATTTGCTGTGTGACCTGGGCGGAGTTTTGTACTGAGTCGGAATTTTCTGCTCACCACTATTAAGCAAACTGTATCAAATTTTAAATAAAACGCTAATTTTGTTAAAAAAAACGCGAATATAGCGCTTTTGTTACCGTAATATAGATGAAAGGGAATAGTTTGTTTTACCAGTGAAACGAGCTGTTTTCCATATCTCAGCGGATGCCCAGTGGAATACGCTATCCCCTGCGCCCGTGCTATAGTAACGGAAGTCTTCGGCGGGGATTTCCGCGTAGAGAACTTTCACGCCATCCCCTCACAGCTCGCGAAAATTGACCCCACGGACGGTGCCGACGATGGAATACGCTTCTATCCCGAGCCCCATCACAACGGCAACGGCGAAGTGGGTGCCCTTCACAATGGGAAGAATTCCCTACCTGGTACGAAATACGGTGCCTTATAGTGCTCCGATGAAAATGTGATAGTGTGGCTTCGTAGTGGTGTCAGCGAAGAACCTGTATCAGCATGCTGTGGAGAAGGCCATCGAGTTGCTAACACGCTGGAAAGAAAATCCGCCCCGACTGGAACCGGTCATGCTGCCACATAAGGTGTCGGTATACGCCACGCGAAATAAACGGCCCGGAATGGAGGATCGGCATGTAGTTATCCCGGATTTGCGCGCCACGATGGATCTGAAGGTTGGTCTCCTTTTTCACATATTTCTTCTTTAGTTAATGCTTTGTCAGATATCTCTATTCGTCATTGTATTTTGAAAGTTTTTATTTCAAGTTTCAGAGATCTTTTTTTAAAATTTGTGAAACTTGATGTATTGTTGTGAAATTTTATGTTTGACCGCGCTGCTTAGTGCTTAGCACTAAACTTCTTAAACTTAATTACGTTTTTGATACTTAAGTATCACATGGATGGGTGCATGCCGCATGGTGTGTTTGTTTGTGCAATGTGGATGTGCGCGATGGAGGTTTGATGTGTTTACCGAGACATTAGGGCTTGACAAGTGGGTTAGTGGTTTGTTGACGTTGTGTGTGCAGTCTGTGCATTGTGTGCGTTGGCAGGGCATCAAGGAGCCGGTGAGTTTCTACGCCGTGTACGACGGGCACGCCGGTGCGGTGGCTGCCTCCTACTGCGCCGCCCATCTACATCGCCTGATGGCCACCAGTCGCTTCTTCGACAACAACGTCCCCGAAGCGCTCGTGGAGGCCTTCCAGGCCACCGATGACCTCTACAAGGAAAAGGGATTGCGGGATGTGAGTGCTTGAACATTTCAGTAGCGCGTCTTCGAGCATTTTCAGCCCCCTTTGTTTTCTACTTTACATTTCTTTAAATTGACTTTTGCTAAGAGTCGGCATTGTTAGTTAGCGTTTTCCCTTTTTTCGCGTTACTACTTTTTGGTTACCATTGTGGCCAAGAACGGACTCTGCACCGCACTATGTTGATTGCAATATTCGGCTTCTGAAGTATGAGAAGAAGGATGTGTTTTATGAGGCTTGGTTGTTTTGTGTAGAACGATTACAGTGGGACGACGGCGGTTGTGGCTGTGATAAACGACAACAAGCTGCACATTGCTTGGGTGGGCGATTCGGAGGCGGCCATCGTGCAGAATGGGCAGGCTGTCAGGCTGGTGGAGCCGCGGCATATCGCATCAGACGAGGTATGGCCGGGGCTGCTAAAAATGATGTCCCGTTGTAATACAAAGTACTTGCTGTCTTCGGACTTTGCTTGCACTCTGCATTTATAAGAAAGGGCGATTTTTTTTAACAGCAGAAGAAACCAAAACCTTCAGATCTATTTTTTTCGAGTGGGCATCCTGAGGTGCCCAAGAAAGATAGGAAAATAAGTTCACCGAATTATTTATCGTCGTTTTAATTTGTAAATATATTCTTGTCTCTTTTTTTGTAAAATGTAACAGTTACGAATGGGGACATGATGTGCCGTGCAGTATGATTATAAAGTTATCGTTTGTATAAATGTCATAAAACTATAAGAGATACGATTTCTTAAGATTTGGCAGTTTCCGTCTGATAAATAATGCTTTTTATTGTCTTTGCAGGCGGAAAGAGCCCGTGTTACGTCGGAAGGTGGCACGGTTATCATGAATCAGGGTGGCTGGCGTGTGGGTGCCATCCTCACTGTTACACGAGCGATTGGTGCGTTGACTTGGCATTGGATTTCTTGCTGTACCTAAATATGACGATATTCCCGTTTTTATTATTTTAATATCCTTTTGTCCGCTACGGTAATACTGTTAGGCAGAGTTCTTTCCTGGGTTTCACAAGCTTTCGTTAATAATAATAGGTGACAGCACTCTGAAACCCTACGTGACCGCCAAACCCGACGTGCGCACCCTGGAGTTAACGGGGAACGAAGATTATCTGGTGATCGCCTGCGATGGACTGTGGGACGAACTGGATCCGGTGGGCGCTATGCAGGAGACCAACCGCTTCCTCCGCGAACACCCCGACAGACCCCTCGATGTGGCCAAGGCCCTGGCGGAGAAAGCCCGCAAATCCGGGTCGATGGACAACATCACCGTCCTGGTTGTTATGCTCAAGCCCTTAGAGCAAGTCCTCGAGGCGGTCCGCCAGCAACCGGAGGCCATCGCACAGGCGGAGGCGGCGGACGGCGGGGACCTGCTGGGGATAGGAATGGGACCGAATCTCAGCAGTTCCCCCGATGAGTTTGCCGATCTGGTGGACAGTACAGATTTTAGCGAGATGAACAGTGGGCCTAACCCGTTTGAGGACACGCCGCTGGATGCCGATCAGAGTGGATTGGAAGCCAGTGATCAGGCGGCCACAGCCGATACTGAGTGGACCTACCAGAAGACGACTGACGATCACCAGGACAACCCGACGGCGGTGTTGCACGCCCTGGATGAGGCCATTGGGGAGCCGTTGCTCAGTTTCGAGGAAGAAGTCCCGCCAACGCAGATCCATCCTTCCAGTTCGGCGGTGGTGGAGGCCGGGGGCCCGGCATTTGTCGATACCCCGGCGCACAATGTGCAGACCACCACCGTTGCAGGATTAATTGAGCTGCAGCGGAAGGAGGAGGAGAAACGCGCGGAGAAGGTGCCAGAGTTTGTGAAAGTGTTTGAGCCGGCTGCTGAGCAGAGCCTGCCAGAGCCCGCGCCGGCTGATGCTGTGGCAGATCGGACAGTAGATGAGAAGCCCGCTTCCGCAGATGTCGTGCCGGAAGTGGCTCAGGTAGTTCCTTCGACCGAAGCTGCTCAGCCGACTAAAGAGACGAGAGAGAAGACACAGCCGTTGCAGAAGACCGCAGCGGCGACAAAAGCAGCGGGTAAGACGCCGCCCACCACCAAGCCCACCCCCAGCATGCGCTCAATGAAGACGCCGGCCGCCACCAGTCCCAAGAGCGCCCCGACACCGACCACGAAATCCGCCGACAGTCCTGTTGGGAAATCCACGGGGGTGAGTAAAGCGGAACCAACGGAGAAAAAAACCAGCACTGCAACGCCTCCCAGTGCTGCATCGAAGCGTGCACCCGCAACGGTGGCCACGCCTCGACCTGCTGCGACACCGCGGACATCCGCTAGGGAGACTGTGAAACCCGTAGAAGCGCCTAAAACGCCCCGCCCGTCGGTCCCCAGAGCCGCAACTAGTGTGGCAGCGAAAACTATTGGAGTTCCTTCGGCGACGCCCGTAGCGGCTAAACCTTCAGCGACGGCACCGAGTGCTTCACCCACAACGAAACCCGCGACAGTACCAGCAGTTGTGGCGCCTAGCGATCCTGCTAAAAAACGCCCGACACCCAGTACACCGCGAGCTGCAACCACTGCGCCGCCGAAACGCTCGATACCGGTCGCGACGAAGGCCCCGGCGGAAAAGAAGTCGGACGCGGTGCCGGAGGCTGCCGGGGAGCCATCCAGCAACGAATCAGTGAAAACGACGGCGCCAGCTACTAAACCGCGGGCTATGACAGTTCGAAGCACCGCTCCCGCTCCCCGGAAGGCGCCCGATACTCTTCAGGCGGGTGGGGATGCGGCCAAGAAGAGTCCGGTAACGGAAGGTAGCAAACCATCGCCGACAACCCGCGCAGCGTCGGCTCGCACTCCGAGTGCCCCCTCGGCGCGGTTATCGAGTAAGGCGACCGCCAAAACCTCAGAAAGTGTCGGCAGCCGCCCCCTGAACGGCACCGGAAGCATGGCCGCCCCTAAAACCAAGCCGGCGACTCCGGCCGCTTCGGCGCGCAGTGCGCCGGTGAAAAAGACCGCAGATACGAAGAAAACGGCGGCCGCGGTGGGTGGTGCTGCTGCAGTAAATGGGAACGCGAAGGAGACGAAGGTCAATGGTATTCGGGAAGAGAAAAGTGCCGCGGAGGCTGCGCCCTCGCAACCGGCCAATGTCGAGGAGAATACCGTGGTGGGTTAGAAGGAACACCGAAGAGTTTTGTTAGTTTTTGTTTTGCTCTCGATTGTGCGGGTGTTCGACTGTTTCAGCGAGTGGATCGTTTTAAGGGGGGCGCGTGCGAGATGCTCTTCGACATCGGCTGTTTTTAATCGCTTTTTCTGCATGATTTATACGGGGTTTTCTGTGGATAGAATTGGAATGGTTCGGAATTTGTGGGAAATGATTGCTGGGTTGTTGTGCGAAGGCGTTTTTCGCTACCAGGTTTTTTTCTTGTTTGATTTTTTCATGGGTTAATGTGTACATGTTATGGCAGCTGTTTTTGTTCGTTTTAGCCATCGCGATAGATAATTTTAGCGATGGATTTCTTCTCGCGGTTTTTTTTGAGTGAATAATGTTTTTGCTGATTTAATGGTAACAATAAAAACCTTTTTTATGAACTACACTGGTTGTTAACTTGTTTTCTGGTTTTAATAAAGTAATCAGTGAAAAGTTAGGTGATTTGCACTAAACGGCTTATCTTGAAGCGTTCAGGGATGCAAAAATCCGCAGTAATTTAGCGAATGCAGACATTAATTGCTCGTGAGTCGTGGGTTATAAAATAATGATTATTGCAGTTTGCTCTAGGAGTACTACGAATAGAGTCTAGAGTTATGATGACTGCCCATCATTGCTCATTCATGGCACCTAGAGCAACGGCAGTGGTACAATTCATAGAGCAAGCACTGGTTTTAAAAAAACGGAGCTGTGCAGCGCGGTATCTCGATTGTCTTGAGTTTTGGCCAGTCGGAGCGCAGAATGCCGGAGAGAGGTCAGGTCGGTTCACTCCACTTTATGCACATTTAGGCGTTGGAAGATTTGACAGATACTGTTAAATGTTAATCAATTAACGAAAATATATTCCCGAAGACACCGTTACCGATAGTTTTTATTGAAGAATAAAACCATTATAGCATCAAACGTGAAATGCGGCATCGGTCAAAAACATATATATCCATAGTGAAGTTTTGCATTACACAAAGCATCTTTAAAACTTGTCAAAAAAACGGCAGAAAACCCAGAGACATAATACACAGTAAGTGCGGATACACAGGCAACCGAGACAGAAATGAGATATTACACTATCCGATATTACTAAAAGATGACAGCCACTGCTGTTGACGAGTGGATCAATTTCTCGAGGTTCGCCCAACATATGTACACACTGACGGCCATAACCAACAAACAAACAAAAAAACTGGAGAATGCGACAGAGTAAAACTAAAAACCGGCACTGAATGGTGGCGGGATTCCCATTCCAGCGACGACGACGTAATAATACACCGAAACACAATCGGGCGCGGAAACATCTTTCGGGACAAAAAACACAGAAAATACCGGCCAAATTGAAGGAAGCGCCAAGCAGTTAAAATTGTGTGTGTACGTGTAGAAAAACTACAACCAAGGCAGGGTTTTGGGTCAGAGAGAGGAGGTTACGTGAGTGTTTGTGTCAGTCAGGCGAAAGAGACGACGACAGCAGCAGCAATCCAACCGGGTCATTAACACGAGTCAAAAACAAACACGGAAAGAAATCCCCCGAAAAATCATGGTCACATTAAATCCAGGCCCCGAAAGTGACTAGACTGAAAGTGCAGAAGCCCCTCACCGAGAACAGGATCAGTCTATTGCCGCGGCGGAGGAGAGAGGATACAGTGGAGAAGACGCTTGTGAAGACAGGCACAGATCGGATCGGATAAAAAACGCAAACACACCCACACACAGGGAAAACACGTAATACATCGTCCAACCAATGAGGCAAACAGGCGCGCGTGCTTTTTTGGTATCAAACAAGATTAAATCCTGGCGGTGGCAGTTGTCAGATCGCAGAGGAGGGAACGAGGACTACTGATTTCTAGGCAAAATACATGACCTTGTTGGCGTCATTGTGCACCTGGACGGCGCGGGCCATGGCCGAAGGGGCGCGGTCGTCGCTGTTGCCGGAGTGGTGGCTGCCTTCGCCGCTATCATGCTCCTTCTCCACCAGATGGTAGCGGGCCCGGAATGCCACCAGGTGTGCGTAGTACGCCGGGGCGGGGATGCTGACGCTGCGTGTGCAGCGCACGTACGTGTGGCACAACTGGTACGTCAGCTGCTGCAGTTCGTCGGCGCTCAGGCCGTTGTCGTCCCACAGGACATGGTAGTGCGACGGACGAGAGGTGCCCTGGATTCCCGCATGACTGCAATCACCAACCACACTGTTTAGACACCTTATCGAAGCAATTCAACAAAGAACTACCTGCGCTTACTATGTTTGACAAAGAGTTAAACTGAAAAGTGGAAAAGGCTAAAATAAAATTAGGGAAAACTGATTTTAGATTTCATAATAAGTGTGTTGAAATCTTTATCAATTTCAACACACTTAACACTAATAAAAAACTAAATGAAATGTGATATCAGACCGCGCGCGGCAAAATTAAAACCAACGTCTGCAGCGTGGACTAACTACAACGAACACGTTTCCTTACCTGCAAAGATAGAAATCAAATTCAGTTGGATGGCAAATGCCCACATCCACGGTCGTTCCCGCCGGAATGTTTCCACTCCGGCCAATCTACCAACACATCCACACATCAATCATCAGCTATACAGCGCAACAAATAAGGCAGTCATATTCATTCCGTATGCCGCAATGAGCAATCGGTTGCTCGCCCCTAAGGGCCCTAACGGAACCCACTGATTTCCTTTACAGTGCAACTAATTTGGACATCCGTTTACATTTACATCCCGCTTTATTTGGTGCTTTTATTTTCCATCTTCACTGTTATTGTAAAACTAATACCGCAAATCCTTCATTATCTTTCTAGCCTATGACTGGCTATGAGCAGTATATGAACATCTAACTACAGTAACGCAATTCGCACGCTACCGGAGGTATCTATTGCATAAACATTTCCATTTATCAGACCAGTACAATCTTATCACGCTGACTCCTGGCAGCCATCACGTCAACAACCAACAAACGGGCTCCCGATTACGCAGCACAAGGGGCACGCACCTGTTCCTTCTTATCAGCGCAAAACAATCGAGTGTGGTGGCGCTTCTGCACGACGATGAAGGTAATGCCCGGTTGGTAGCCGATCTCCAGTTCCACGCACGCCTGCCGCAGCGCCCGCAGCTCATGATTCAGAACCTACATACCAGCAATTCTATAAGCACTACACCACATAGATATCATGATTAACATAAACACCAGCGTTGAACAAATTCACCACAGAGTAATCTTTACGAATACCAATGGCAATGGCTAACACGGTGAACACCATCCAAGAGACAATGATCAATAGAAAGAAGTGCGCAAGGCAACCAGTTTGCTGCTTACCGTCAGAAACTGTCCCTCACTGACTCCGTCCCGGTAGAAGACAATGCGATTGGGCTTGAAACGTGTGGATTTGTAGAACTGAATGAGCAGCTCCTTCACCATGGACGACAGATCCGTAATCACTTCCTGCCGGTGCTGTTGGACGCGCACCGCCGCCGCGTACCGGCTCGGATGGGCGTCCATGCTGCCCACGCACTACAAAATACAACAGACATTTTCACTCTCAAAACTCACCGTCAATGATATTCATACAGACATTTTTCAAGAACCGAAAGAAATTTTGAAAAACAAATAATTTTCAACAATAAATTAATCGGCAGTGGACGTAATCTAATGGTATAACACCATCTAAGAATAATCGTGCTTACAGCTGCAATGGACGGCTTTTTGCTATCACCCGCCGGCGGATGCGTCACGTCGGCCCCGAAGAAGATCACTGGCTCGTTAAAGATCTTTGGACTGTCGAATACACAAGCACCAGCAATCAACCCATTGAAGTTCACCCGTTCAATAAAATTCCAGATTTCCTTCCGCTTAAACTTGCACCGCACGGCACGGATGCCTTCACTTACCGAATGCTAGGAACTAGGATATTATTGACGCCCCCCAGTTTGACGTTGATCTTTAGACAGAGATTGGAAAGGGTTTGCGGTGAGGTGCGGTTGACGTTCTTGGCCTGCACGCACTGCGTGGCCATGCCCAGTACCGTGTCACCCACACGCTTCACTTCCGCTACAAGTAGATACGACATCATTAACAACACAGTCATTGCAAATATGGCAAAAGATTGAGCAAGAGAAAAAAACGCCGCCGAAATCACCCAGTGAGAAAATTTAACAATAATTTAACATATTCAAAATAATTATGAAGCAGGGAAAAATTAACGGTATTTCAATAAACGTACAGATAGACCGTTATGTTGAATTTATGTGTTACTGTATTACTACGGATTCCCGCAATTTCGTATTTTAAGTGAGTAGCAATTTGCAGAGAGCATTGCGTAGTTCGCACCATAGACCGGCGTCTTCCCCGGCAGCACCACTACCACCAACTGTAGTCCGTGGAATGTGCTCTTGAGATAACGGAACATGGGCTCCACCTGGTCGGCGCCCTGGGCGTACTTGCAGAAGCACGGCTGGCCCACGATTGGCATCCCAGCGTCACTGCTGATCCGCTGCAGATGCTGGGTAAAAGTTCTGCAACATCACACATGGTTAATTTCAGCCAACTAAAATCTTCACTGCACAGACGACATGCGAAATATTTTTCAATTATTTGATGAGAATACTGTGTTTCCCACTTCAACCGCAAATCGCCAATCACTTGTCAATCTTGAGGACCGATATTCGTTTATACTACGTACAGTTAGCAGCAAAATATCAGAAAAGCATCCAAACAAAAGTAGCCGCAAGCCTGACTGACACCTGATGTTTGATGATGACGCACGATAATATACTAAGACTTAAATTCTACACAATTAATCCCCGGAAACTAAAACCAACATAAAAAACTAATTCGTTCAACCATATGGAAACACTGATGAAAAAGAGAAGTAGATTCATACCGTAAGGCATCTTCCCGGCACATTTTCTGCGGCGCAAAGCAGGCAATGGCCCAGACCCGGATCTCCACGCCGGTATGGAACTGCTTGCCGCGCATATCCCAGACTCCCTGATTAGGTATGGCTTGCTGTTTCATCTACAACCACTTATTTCCTCATTCCCACCAAAAAAAGCACACTGCGGCTTCGTCTTAGTCTTACTGACCCGACCACCGTACTGGATCTTGGGCGGCGGCAGGACCCGGCCGCGGATTTCCGTCATCTGGTTTTGGATCTGGATGCCGAACTCCTGAGCATAGGGGTCATTGTTGAAGTCGGCCTTGCGCACCTATACAGAGCACAGAATCATTCAGTCAACCATAACGTATTGCTTAGCGGCTGCGACGAAAAGCGAATAACAAACCAGACAGACTGTATCATACCAGGGTATTGATTTCGCGTTCACGATCCGGAGCCGAACGGGCTGTGGCCTGTATAAGAGTGAGAAAGAATGTTTAGACGCTAGAACCAGTCAAGCCTGACGGAGCTATTAGTGTCTGAAGCCTTCTTACTTTGATCATGGTGGATGTCTGGGTGTCGGTCAATTTCTTAATACAGCGCTGGCCAGCCACAATATTACACACTTCCAGGGGAAGGTATGTGTGTTTGTGCTCCTGGCCGACTTGTAGGCACGGAAGATGAGGAAACCTACGTAGCATTAAACATCAACAATGTTGCTTCTAAAAGCTAAAAAACGTGAAAGAAACACCTCAGGGTTACAAAAACGACTACGTAAAACATCACTTAATTACGCGTATACTTTTACAAAAATTCTATATCAACTTACGGGTAAAAGACTGCATCAAAGAAAGGGTACATAATTATTATGAACAGCGCTTCGCATAAACTACGAGATTGTACCATTTTCTGCTCAAGCAATTAAAGCACCAAAACTTCATCTTTCGCGTAAAATTATCGTAATTAAAACTGAACGTTTTGTATTGGCTGATTATACTTTTCCTTCAGTAATTTTTTGAACTCATAGTAAAATACACATGCATGATTTTATTAATTTTCCAGATTTTGAAATACTCTCAGTTAATGTAAAAAAATGATGGTTTACCGGAGGCGAATCTTGTATTTATCCAGAAAGTATTTGGCCACAGTGCACTCGACCGTCTGTCCGTTCTCCAGTTGCAGCGGAAACCTGCAGTCAACCCGTGTGCAACAATTAGAACACCATTTATTGACTCAACACTGTTTACCAAGCGCCTAGCTAGCGCACTAACTATTAACAGTCCCCTAAATTAAAACCGTCGTACGTACGTCTGATGCTGGGCCGGTCGACGCGTCACATTGCAGACCCGATATTTGCGGCGCATTTGGCCACAGTGGGTAATCTCAATTTTCAGACCTTTGATCTCCTTGGTGAATTTGACGCGCTGTGAATCGATAAGCGGTCGTTTTTGCTCGTTGATGTCCCGTACGTCCAACACTTCGCACATAAACTCCGTCACGGGCTGCGCCTTGTAAAACGCTGTCGCCGAAACTGCGAAAAAACCGACCCTTACACATTCTTCCCAAATAAAACTGTCAACATTTCGCTGACAGCGAAATCAGTCATCGTCGTCCAACAAATAAACCCGAACAAAATCACCATGGAATAGATTACCATCAAGATACAGCCGATATATCCGCCACAATTATCAACTCGAGACAAAACCCCGAGATGTACAAGCGTGATATGCAAAATACTGAAAGCTATTTCGCTTTCCGTTTTCCCTTACCATCAATATTGAGCATCATCTTCCACTGCGACGGTCGTACGCTCTGGTGGAAGCCAAACCATACTTCCCGGCCGCCCCCCAACGGATGGTAATAGCCATCCGGGGAGGAGAAGAAGGACCGTCCCACCGGCGTGTATCTGCAGCCAGAGAGCACAGTCAGTTAGTGCAGTCAGACGTCAGGCAACTTCACTCCGTCCCGATCGATGCGCACTTACGTCATACTCGGCAGATGTCGCATGACGACGTCCAACGCCAGCAAACACTCGGGCGGCATGGGCCGCGATCCCTCCAGGGCCTCCTTTAGGTCGTACAGGCTCACCTTGGCTATCCATTTGATGGCTACACGGAACACCCTGTCTTTGCCTTCGCCGGGGAGCGTAACCTCCAGTTCTCTCTACAGCAGTTGGAAGATATTATTTTGATTAGCCGTCGATGCTGTCGTCTGCATCCACTCTCTTCCAAGTACGCAAATAGACTCAATGTTTTCGGACAAATAATTAACCATCCACTTAACCACTAATAACCCCAGTTCGATACAAAAGCTTATTGTAAATATCATAAAAACATTCCATATACTTATGCAGTATTAAAAAACGATTAAAAAAGTTGGAAGTTTCAAAAAAAAATAAACCGCACACATGCAGTTTCAACAAACAAAATTTTTCCAAGTATTTCGCTTCTTAATTCCTATGGTATTCTTTCGACGACTTTAGTCCCAGAGCAGAATTTATTTAGAATTTGTAGAATAAGATTACGAATGTTAAAAGAATATTAATAATTACCCATGAACGCTCACCGTGACGCGTAGCAGATACAATGCAAAATGAAGTATTCATTATTAAACTGTAAATATAACGCCTATGCAATGATTTTTTCACCTTCTCTTTGCCAATGGGCAGCGCATCCCTTGTATACAGATTCTTCTTCCCGTCAAACACCGGCTTCTGTCCGTTGAAAATGGAATGCGAATAGGCCTGCACCATCGTCTCAATGATCTCCCGATTGACCCGCCGTGGACATTTATCCGGCTGGATGGAGATATCGTAATGATGAATAAACCCCCGCGGCACATGCAACTGGAAATGATTGGCGCGCAGCAGAATGAGCCGTCCCTCTTGCCCCACATTGGGCCGGCGCGGACAGGCAAACTCCATGGGCACACTGGGAATAACACTGACGGGCATTTGGGGGGCCGGCTGGCTGGAGGTCATGGACGTCTGTGACATGAGCGACATGGTGGTCGGTGTCTGCGGCGTGGTCGGACTGACGCCCAGACTAAGGTTCTGGATGGGTGGCAGAGACACCGCCGGCGGCATCATTCCCCCACCACCGCCCCCCACCCCGCCCACCGTCGTCGTTGAGGCCATACCGGGAGGCGGTCCGATGGGACCCAGGCCCCCGCCGGACGCTGCGAAGAAAGACAGGTGGTTAAAATCGGGCAACAACGACGTCGTTTCCGTCACCGAGCCGAAATCGGCCGACCAGTCGAAATGGGAGTTCATTGTCCCGTTTGTTGGGGAAAAAAATTTGAGAATATTTAATGAGATCAGGGGAAGTATTCAGTATAATCCCGCTTTGTCAATCAACTCAACGACGTTTATGGTGATTGTCAACACAATTAACTGTGCAGAAAAACCGAGAAATCCCTGCCATCCTGTGCGACCATTGAGTCTCTGGCAGTTCAAGAAAAGGAGGAATGTTTGGTACAACTGAAACAGTAGAGTACCACGGCAAACATGAGAGCGCTTTGTAGCGATACATATGTGTACACTTTACAGTGCACACCATACAGCTAATTCCGCACACACAATACGATACACACACCGACTGACGCGTATACGCATTCAGTGGCGTTAGAGAACGCCCGCGCCGCGCCACTCCAACGGGGAATGCGCCGACAGTGCTGTACTCGATCAAGGGCACTGCTAAGGCAGCGGAAACCACATGATCCAGTTTTTACTGGCTGCAGTTGAGAAAGAAAGCCCGTCCCCTGTAGCAGCAGCACCCATACACCGGCCAACGATAAGGCGCAGGGCGGTGTTGAGTTACCACTAATTTTCCAATTAAACACAGACGGTACGATGCAATGACACATAGCGGCGCGAGTACCGATTTCGTCAACACCGATCCATTTCGTGCGACTCAGCCGCTCACTCACTGAACTGCGTCTTTGCGCAACAACATCGAAGAAAATTTGGAAAAGAATTGGTTGTCTGGAGAATGCAGGAAGACATGTCGCGACGTACCGCCATCAAGGTATGTCCATCGTATATTTTGAGAAAATTCAGGAAAAATTTCATTTAGTGCCAAAAGATGCACAAAGATTAACACCGGAAATTACAACGAGAAATTAGGTACTAAATATAGCTTCTGAAAGTCCAGTTTCCCGTTTCTCTCCGTCTTTGTTACAGCTTACGATGTTAATTATCACAGCTTTATATTAATAATTATATTCTCATAATTTCCGAAGACGACAAGTAAAATAGCAAGACACTGATAAAATCCATTAAAGATTCTTTAGATAACAATAATGTCGTCGGTAAAGTGCGTCGGTATAATCAAAATATTTACAAAACTTCAGTTTCTCAACTGGCTTTATTTTTTAATAAGTATAACCAACCGCGTTAACCGCCTGATATTTCAGATTTGCTAGTCATATGAATTAGTATTTAGTATTACGCATTAAATTACTAGTAATCAGACTGGTCCAGAATTAAAGAGCTGCACGTTGACAAGCGTGTTACAGATTCCCCAAGATTCTCTCATATATTACCGCTTAATCTGCTAAAGCCCAACTATGAAAAATTTATAGCTAATTTTGGTTTATAATAAAACCAAAGCACGTAATAAAAAAGTACGTAGTACATAATATGCAAAAGTGAAAGTGGTTTTTACAAATTTTTATGAGAGGTAAGTACCCGGAAGTTAAAAAGTAAGTAAAACCGTAAGTCCCGTCTCCAGTATTTCAGCACCCACTATGAACGCAAAACGGGCATGCAGGCTATTTCATTCAAAATTATTTCCGATTACGAGCTTATCCACCTGATCTCGCCGCCTTATCTAGGAACTGCAGACAAGAGCCAATCACTGCCGCTCTTTCCCACATCCTGTTCACACACCAGTACGACCGCAAGGCGCAAGTGCAACGATCGTGGCACATATATAGATATAAACTAAACGTTATCGGTAGTCGTTATTTTATATTATGTATTTCTAACTATTCCCTTCTGCACTTACAGTAAGAATAAAAATAAAAACATTCATATAGTTTTTTTTCAAAGCTTGAAAGACAACCCTGATGCTGCAAGACTATACCATACGTGATACGTCGTCGAAAAAATATTAAAGGCGAACGAAAATCTCCAAGAACTGCAGACAGTGCAGTTTTAACTTCCGTGGACTGAATCGCTGATTCGCCATCATTAATCACAACTTCAGCTCCGTGCGACAACAATAAATAAAAACGTATGCCTATACTAAGTTAACAAGTAATAAATTATGGCGCGTTTGTTTATTTTTATTGTAAAAGTAAAATCACAATCTAAATCAAAATGCTAATTTGATTTAGAAAAAATTAAAGGCGAACGAATCTCCAAGAACTGCAGACAGTGCAGTCTTAACTTCCGTGGACTGAATCGCTGATTCGCCATCATTAATCACAACTTTAGCTCCGCGCGACAACAATAAATAAAAACGTATGCCTATACTAAGTTAACAAGTAATAAATTATGGCGCGTTTGTTTATTTTTATTGTAAAAGTAAAATCACAATATAAATCAAAATGCTAACTCAAGTTACTCATCAATTATCGCTTATCAACATCAGTTAAATTCTTGTCCGTCTTACTCTATAATACAGACTCTTACAGTCATACAGTAACTCTTACAGTAATACTACTATTATTAAGTATTTTATTAAAACTGCCGTACAAGTAACAAGTTACAGTACTTAGTCCTTAGACAACTTAGTACTAGTACCGTAGTACCATTATAAAGATAGTTAGCGTTAGCCCTGACAATTTGCAGTGTATTGTGTCAACTACTTGAAAAAAATCCCAAAAATACTGAACCAGAAATACGTCACATCTTCCCGACATATAGCAAGTTTCAAAAGAAATATTTTGCAGCGCGCTCCGGAAGCCAAAACTAAGAAACTGCGCGCTGGCGTACCTTGGCCCATTGGAAACATAGTGACGAGTTGGCTGCCGTATCACAGATTTCGCGTTCCGACGCGTGAATTAACGGAAAATTATTCCGGTTCGCGGCAATGATTTAGTTTGGTCACAAAACCCATTCAAAAACAGTGACAAGATAAAAACCAGGCAATAAATTGCAGTGATAAAGGGAGAAAAGAGGAGAAAATACTACAGCAGCTCAGAACTGATCATGGCCGTTCGTCAGTGGCGTTATCAGAAATGGAGAACGATGGCCCCGCAGCGAGCACGCCGCGGCAGTTGCAGAAGCGGTCACGAGATCGGAATCGGTGCCGTCACAAGTCACGGGCTAAACTACCCTTTGTGGCCGGTTACGTAGGAGTCGGGCTAGGAGTCACTGTGAGTCAAATCGCGGTAATATCTTGATTGCGGTTCGTACTTATGGTTAGTGGAGGAAAATCGTTATCGGGATTCTGAATCTTATCGGAACGTGACTACGTGAGAGCAAAACATCTGCGAAATTTATTGCTAAAAAATAATGTAAACAGTACATGAGTACAATAAGTAAGTACTTAAAATTTAATAACACCGATTGATGTTTTCAGATTAATCCTGATTAGTTATCTTTTTTGTTCGAAAGGATTTGCGGATTCTTATTATTCGCGGTACTTTCGTGAAGTACTGTACCAAGGTGTATAGAGTCGATAGACTGTACTGTACGTATTGGTTTGAAAAGTTATCAGTTATGAGCGTTTGTTTTGTGGCGAAATGCACATGAGCACGAGTTTCATGTTATGAATATGAATGAAAAATCATCACAACTTAATGCGCTGGACTCGGTTGTGCCGTCAATCTGCATTGTGCATTCATGATTCACGATACGTTAACAGCGTTCTGAAATATTTTGGGTCTAAATTAAATATTAGTCCCTTTTTATGATCGATTTTATTCCGTGTAGTTATTTTTTTTATTTTTTCAATGCCGCCATTTTCTACGCCATTCACGGAACACCTGAAGCGTCCTGAGTACGTGCTGCAGATGTTGCTGTTCTACAGCTCATTCGAAGAATTCACTGCGCACTGTGCGCAGCCTGCTCTTACTGCTGACTTACCCACTTGTACTCGTAGTTTTACGCTAAGCTATTCCGTCGTGTAACTTGACTTCCACGGGATTTCATACAGTTATGAGTTACTGTAACTCTGTAAGTAATCTTGCTTTGCTCCTTTCTAGGTACTATTCCGTGTATGATCCCGCTGAAGATTCGTTTTTATTCCTCGATGCTCTGCAGCGTGATTGGACCAATATCGAGCGGCTGAGGTGCGAATTTGCAGTTATCACTTACTGACTTACAGTATCATTATGCCTTATGATAAGGCCATGGCCTTATCATTTATGGTTCCTTATAAATTTATTAAATTGTCGAAATGTTGTTGTAAGTTTTATTCACTGCTCTTGTGCGGTACAGCTGTTTTGATTAATTTTTTTCTCATTCTCTTTTCCGGTGTGATTTGAATGCTTTTCTCCCTGTGACTTTGAGTTTCACAATGGGCGTCATACTGTTTTAGGCCAACGATTTGCCTGGAAATGGGGTGCGGTTCGGGAATAGTTACAGCGTTTCTGGCGCAAAATCTTGCACATCCTGCGATAATGATGTACTGTATTCAGTTGTAATAACGAGTTTCCGTTGAATTCTCCGCTAGCTGGTGATCTAGCTGGTGATTGCTGTGCAGATGCGTGGACATCAACCCGGCTGCCATTTCGGCCACACAGCTGACGTTCCAAAAAAATGTGGCCAGCTCTGTTACTGGGTGTGAGTGCGTTGTGGCCAGTTTGGTAGGGGCGCGAGGTAGATTGTGATTAATTGGGATATACCGATACGGATGAATGAAGCGAACATTGTGGAAAAGGCGTTGCTTTGGGAATTAGGCTGAGTGCTTTCTTCCGGCCTCCACGGGACAAGTTGATCTCATACTTTTCAATCCGCCATACGTTGTTACGTCCTCCAAAGAGGTAGGAATTGCTTTTCAACAATCATTTTTATCGTTTTCATGCAGAATTTTGTTTGTTTTGATTTTAAGAAAGCAATTGTTCCCAGTGCGAAGCTGAAGTGCATGTAAAGTTGAAAAATTAGATGTGCATGATAAATACTACTTAAAACCGAAAATAGTGTTAGGCATTGTAATTGTAACTCTGTAAACAACTGCAGTGGATTTTGATCTGTTAATCTAAATGCAGTTTCTTGCAGATATTCTTATTGGTTGGTAATGATTTATCATTTACGAATAGTGGGAGCACAAAATGCAGCATTAACAACAAGCCTCGTGCTCGTAGTGCATAACATTGTTTGTTTCGCTTATTTGATGAGATACACAGTAAAGTACTGATGCAGCGATACCAGAAATTTCATATACAAGTACATAACAACTTTTAATGTAAGTGAAATCCATTTTTCATTGCATTTTTGTTGTTTATGTAATGTCAACTACCCGATGAACCATGGTAGTCGGTGAGGTTGAATTGAAAACCGTTCTTTTCAGTAGTTGGCGGACGGGGATCTGACTAGCAAAGCATGGGCCGGTGGGGTTGATGGACGCGAAGTTCTGGATAAATTTCTCCCACAAGCGTCGCGTCTGTTGTCTGCCGAAGGTGTCATGTACTGCGTTATCATCAAACCTAATCAGCCGGGTTAGTGATTCAGCTACGACTGTGTCCTGGTTTTTGGATACGAGTGCACCTTATGATTTCACGTTGAATATCCTCGTTTTGCAGAGTCCATAGCCGAATTTATGCTTGGAAGGGGGTTCAAGACGGATTGCATTAAAGAACGTAAATGCCGCAACGAACATCTGATTATCCTGCGCTTTTCTCGCGTATTTTCCCAATGATGGTCGTTTAAAAAAGTTGTTCAAAATGTGAGTGCCTGAATGGCTCCATGAATCGTGGCTAAATGCTGCTGCTCGTGTTTAGAAGAAAAACTGACGACGAGAAAAATCTGTTTTCGACATTTCGATGCCACTTGCCCCGACCGGGTGACGAAATCTGATTCTAATGTGAGATAATATACACAGGGGTTCTAAAATTCGAAATTCTATGTACATTAAAGGCGTAAGTTCCATCTATCCGGAGCAGAAACCTGGTACTGCGAAAAATAAGTAATCAACCACTTTGTTTCAGTGTTAGCAAAAACGTCTACGCATTTTTTTACAGACTGCTGGTCTCTGGGTTAGATGTTACCTTCAGTGTAAAAAAGCGGATTTTTAATCGATCTTTTTAACAGTTGATAGTGCGGAATAAACACAGACGGAGAACAATCTGAGAAACAGACAATTATGTTGGACTAAATATTCAGTTATGCTTCGGTGGTCTCTTCTTCCTTAGTTATTAACGCCAGGTTTTCCTTCCGCTTCTTAATCACACGCTCTTCACGCTTTTTGCGCTGTTCCCTGTTCTTAACACGACGGGCCTCGGCTTGGTCACTGCAAAACAACCAATTAATGAACTGCGGAAATTCCACCTAACCAAATCTCAAAGAAAAGCTACAAATCGAGCAGCATTTGTTCAACTTAAAGCGCAAAAGTTACAATAAGCGGGTCACTAGTTTTCTAATTATCAAAGAATCAATCGACGATTTCTTATTTGATCAAAGCAAAAAAAGTGTGCAAATTCTGAAACCAGCGGAGAACAAAAAATACGTGGTATTCTTTATTTTACATTTACTGCTATGCGTTAAAAAACACCGAATTTCGACTTACGATAGCTGTTTCGATCGGATATTCTCAGCCTTCTTCTTGTGGATAAACTCCATCAACACACGCTTGTTACGGAAAACGTTTCCCTTGACTTTAAGGTACAGATTGTGATACCTGCAACGAGCAATCCATTCTGCAACGGAAAAATTTCTCAAAATTCGAGAGACTTCACTTACAAGTGCTTATCAATCTTTTTCTGTTCCCTGTACTTCTTCAGCATGCGTCGCAGCACGCGCATCCGCCTAATCCAGATCACCTTGCCAGGCATGCGGGCATTAGCGGTACCCTTTCGTTTACCCGTCCCGGTGTGTCGACCCTTGCGACGCGCCTCGGCATTCTTGCGGACGCGTGCACGCGAATGCACCGCCACGGGCTTCTTGATGATCAGACCGTCTTTTACCAGACGGCGGATGTTCTGGCCTGCAAACGACAATACCGGAATATGCGCAATATATTGGGGAAATAGTGGGTGAGCGGCGTACGGGAATTGGAGTTTGTGATCTCTGTGATTTCGTTGGGATCCAGCCAGACCTTGTTCACACCGCAGCGGAGGACCGATGCGGCCAACCGCTTCTGCAGGCGCAGAGTACTGCAAAATTATATAGAGTGACGAACCACGATGGCTGATAGTTCACATTTTCTCGCTTACCTCATGGTTAAAGACAATGCAGATGATACAAATAAAAAAACGTCGGGAACCTTAAAACTTAAGAGAAGGAGAACACAGCAAGGTCCCACTGCGCTGAATGATATCACAATTCACACGCAAGGCGAATGCGTTCACTCTGCGTGTACACTGGGTACAGTATACACAGCTGATAGCGTCAAAAGTATTCCAGGCATATCGGCCGAGTGATAGTCACGCCCACGTAGTGACCGCAAGTGCGCCACAGAATACTGAATAGTCAGACGCTGTATTGACTGTCTTTATCCTGAAAATTATTAAAGACTTGAAAAGAAACCAGCGGAAGAATAAATAACAACAGTTTTGCAGAACATTTTCAGAGTTTTTAACTTCTTATTCTTGTTTCGCAGTCCGCTCCACCTGCCAGTTTTGACACTAGCAGCGCGACATGACATACGGAGCGCCCTCTGTTGCGCTTTTTAGTACCTGTCAGTGCGTACTTAATTTTGTTTTGTGTTTTCTGTATACATACTTATATTGCAGAGAAGTAAACACCTAATGAAAAATTAATTTGATGAATTTTTGGTTATTCCAACCGTTCAAGCCAACTTTGTCCAGCTAGCATTCATTGTGACTTGTTAGTTGTGAGAAAAGAATGATACAAGTCACCTGCTCGGGCTCCTCTTCTGACAACCATGCCGGTAGTTAGCTCCGACAGACTGCGGCAGTTATCCCGATGTGTCGCTGACCGCCCGCCACCTTTCGGACGTTTCGAAGATTTCGAACTTTCCAATGGGATGCTGGGGAACATTACGTACTATCACTACAATACGTAGTACTTCCGGTACAAGCAGTAATAATAGTTAATTTTTTTCTGGAACACAGTGACATCCCTTTTCCGGGTTTCGGAGGCAATAACATATGGTCTTATGCTCTTTACTCCCGATCAATCTAGGGTACTAAGCGTAGTGCTTCAGCTCTTGCTTGGGACAGTGTAGCGTTGCCAAGATCGGGTGCTTTATAAGCACTTCCGGTCCGTACTGCTCAATCAGCGTCACGGTATGAAGCCACGCCCCTTGTGTGACGCAGCGTATCAGATGGTACAATCGCATGCTTGTCTGCATCCGTGATCTTGAAAGCTGGAAATCTGCAAATGTGCACCCGACATATGATCCAGTTCCATATTAATAACCCTGTCACAAAATCCGCTGTGTCTGCAGCCTGTTTCACAGATTGGGGCGCTTATATTATGTTGCTGTTATTTGAGTAAACCATCGCGCATTCTTCTGCCATTATTCGCCCGCACAATGGCAGCTCCGGTAAAGTAAACAGTCGAGCCTACATGCAGCATGCTTTGTCTCACGGCAGTGCATTTTGATTTATCGTCGTGTTGTGCATTCTTTTTCAATCCTCTCCGTTGTCGTCGATGGCCTGATCAAGCTGGTGATTTTGCTAGATCCCCAATACACCTATAGCCACCCCTGCGCCCATCCCCGCCGATGAGACGACGGTGGACGCAGAGGCACGGCGGATGCGGGCGCTGGAGCGGTACGAGCGGCGGGAATCAGTGACTGCGGATCCCGCGCCCCGCTTGCTGGCGGTGCAGGGAGGCGTGGAAACGGATGCGCTGCGCATGATGAAGCCCAAGACGTGGTGCGGCAAGGCGCTGGCGGTCTACTGCAGCGGGGGCGATTCGCAAGGTGAGGCGGGGGAGATCTGGTGTACACGTTCGGTGCTTGAAGCCTGCTTTGCATTATTCGTATGTGTAAACGAATATTTCTGTTTCGTGGTACACTGTTATTTTAATAATGGTGTGTTACATGGCCAATGTTACTGTACCGTATTAAGTTAACACCGTTTTACGACTCGTGCGTAGCCACCGTAGCGTGATGCTAATGAGATTTATTTTTTTGACCGGCTAAAATTGAACTTAGTGCTTTTGCTGATGGTGCATCAAGTCTATTAATTAGTGAAATTTTGAAAAGCGGGAAAAACGGTGCCACATACGGTAATCCATAATGCACTGCTCATATGCGCATAGAGTGAGGAGTGAGAATATATCCTCACATATCATTCGTACTTCGGATTTTAACGTGACCATTATCATTCTTAAAAGACGGATAAAATATGACAATTTCGGATTAAATGGCACACACCGGAAATACATAGTGTGCATACATAGAAAGTAAGAAAGAACGTATGAAAAGTTAATCAAAAACTGCTGCTGGCTACATAAAATGTTTAGTTGCAACATATTAGAAGTACGTATACAAGTTCACAAAATTTTACGTACATATGCTGTTGCTTGTCAGCAGCTGTACAATTGATATGTATTTTGCGGAAGAAGGCTAAAACTGAGCTTTTTGTGGTTGTTTTCAGGCATGAACGCTGCTGTCCGTGGAGTGGTGCGCATGGGTCTCTACGTGGGCTGCAAAGTGTACTTCATCCACGAAGGTTACGCCGGGATGGTGCAGGGCGGTCGGCTGATTACGGAAGCCACGTGGGAAAGCGTGTCGGGGATAATACAGAAGGTTCGCTCTCCGCTCATCCGTCGTGTTCCGTCGGGTTTGGTCCAGTAGCGCTTTTGACGGGATTACAGGGTGGAACAGTGATCGGAAGTGCGCGCTGCGCTGAATTTCGCGTCCGCTCCGGTCGGCTGCAGGCGGCATTTAATCTGGTTGTGCGCAATATTTCCAATATTGTCTGCATTGGAGGCGATGGTAGTCTCACGGGAGCTAATCTCTTCCGGCAAGAGTGGGCATCGTTGCTGCAGGAACTCGTTGACACAGGTAGGGTGATTATCTCAGAGAATTTAAATTGATTTGGCCATATTCGCTGTTGCATCTTATGATGCTGTTTTATTGCATACCATTGTCCTTTTACATGCGCTATACAAAATAAGTGTTCTGTTCTTTTACAGAGAATTATGCGTTCATTGAAAATAAAAACATTCTTCGAAACAATTGAAGTAATTTTATATAATATCTGACTCGTAAAAAATTGTTTCGAAAAATTGTTTATGGCGTGCTCGGCGTGCTCATATTTATTTTCATACGTTTTTGCTCTTATACGCAACGTTTGCTAGCTCATGCAAGTGAAAAGGGAACATTTTAACGCTGACATTCCTTCTTTGACAGCGAGAATAACACCAGAGCAACAGGAAAAACACTCGCACCTTAATATTGTCGGTATGGTGGGATCCATTGACAACGATTTCTGCGGAACGGACATGACCATCGGCACAGACAGCGCCCTTCATCGCATCGTGGAGTGCATTGACGCTATAACCACCACTGCTCAAAGGTGACGGCTTGCAGAATCTTCTTATACAGTTTCTTTTGACTCCGTTTGTGCCGTACTCTGGACTTACGTAAGTCAACTGTAAGCATAATAAATTTGTTTTCACGTGCATTTGTTGGCTGTAGTCATCAGCGTACTTTCGTTATGGAGGTGATGGGGCGGCATTGTGGCTATCTGGCGCTGGTGGCCGCCCTGGCCTGTGAAGCCGATTGGGTCTTCATCCCGGAATGGCCGCCAGAGGAGAACTGGCCCGATCAGATGTGCAAGAAGCTGGCGCAGGTACGATAATTTAGTATACCGATGTTGCTTCTCGGGAATTTTGTCATCTACGTTTTGTACAAGTATACCTGTTTATGCTGTAGGAACGCGAACTGGGCCACCGTTTGAACATCGTCATCGTGTCGGAAGGCGCTATAGACCGCGCCGGAAAGCCGATCACTTCCGACCAGGTGATGAAGGTCATCGTCGATCGTCTCAAGCAAGACACCCGCGTCACCGTGCTGGGGCATGTGCAGCGCGGCGGTACCGCATCCGCCTTCGATCGCATACTGGTGGGTAATTCCATGTTTTTTTTCTCTGGCTTAGTAAGCCATTTCACTGCTTTGCAGGGCACTCGAATGGGCGCGGAGGCCGTGTTTGCTTTGATGGACGCCAAACCGGAGACGGAAGCCTGTGTGATTTCCATTGAAGGCAACCAAACCGTACGGGTGCCGCTGATGCAGTGCGTCGAACGGGTAAGATATTGGGAAACACCCATTCGACTCATCTTCTTGCTTTTTGTTGACTGAGCTTACGGTTTTAAGGTCGAAGCGTCAAAATCTGTTTTGCTTGTTAACATCAAAATCTTGTCACATCTTCTTTACTTTTTCGTCACATCAGCGCCTTCTGTGTCCTGAAATCGGTTCTGTTGTAAAACAGTAGTAGTAATAGATTGTAGCGTATGAACGTATCAAATGTGTTTACATGTTAGTTATATGGACTGCGTTGGTGCTAGTAATTTGTAAAGCATTTTTTAGTTTTATTAAGATTTTTTAATAAGATATGATGTTTAATAATAATAATACCCTGCGAGTTCAACTTGAACTGACTATCTGCAGACACAAATGGTGGCCAAAGCCATGGCCGAACAGAATTGGGAGTTAGCCGTGAAGCTGCGTGGAAGAAGTTTTGTCCGCAATTTGACGACATATAAAATGCTGACGAAATTAAAAGCAAGTCCAAAGCAGGGAGCGGAAAAAAAGCAGGTATGACGGTTTTATTCTGAAACGTTATTCGTAAAATAAGTCTGCAGCTTGTTGAACTATGGGTGAAATATCAGTGGTCAGTTAGTGGTCAACCTTTTTTAGATTAATATTGCGGTAATTAACATTGGCGCCCCGTGTGGCGGCATTAACGCAGCGGTGCGTTCTTTTGTGCGCAACGGCCAGTACCATGGCTACAGGACGTTTGCCATCTACGACGGAATTGAAGGATTTGCGGCAGGAAATGTGAGTATTTTGATATATAATTAAGAATCTTGAATTATTTTTGAATCTCTATAAATTCGGCGCTCCCGAATTAATTGGACGGATCCGTAACATCGGAAATACTACATACTATCTGTAACAACAGATATTTTTTTGTAATGTCTTTGAAGATAATAAATTAAAATAATATTCTTCGCAGATAAAAGAACTGAGCTGGACGGATGTAACGGGATACAACGGCGAAGGCGGAGCCCTACTGGGCATTAAACGAACCCTAGCCGGTGACTATTTACCGGCTTTGGCGGAGAATATCAAGAAATTTAACCTGTCAGGCATTCTTGCCATTGGCGGTTTCGAGGTAAGAATATTTTTTTTTCCGTTTTGCATCATATGACTAGTAGTAGCACTGGCAGGAATATAGCAAAGGAAATTAATTTTAGGCATATCACTGCGCCTTACAATTTGCTGAAGCCCGTGAGAATTTCCCAGAATTCCGCATCCCCATCATTGCCCTCCCGGCTACCATCAGCAATAACGTCCCCGGAACCGATTTTTCTCTCGGCGCGGACACAGCACTCAATGAAATTTGTGCGGTTAGTACTATTTGAAATCGCAAAGACTACGAAATAAATTTTAATATAATAACCACAGCTTGCTGGGTGATTTTCATCGCTGTTCGATACAATCGTTGGATGATTTTTTGTGATTTATTATGTTGCACTTCACGAAAAACGCTGTAAATCCTGTTCTCGTTCAGTCACGAAATATAATATACTGCCGTGTTAGTTGTTCCTCCAGTGGTAATTGAACGCTGTAAAGGATAAAACAGCAGTCCATTATACCTGAGTTACCCTTAATTTTATCGTTTGGTTTGTACAGATCTGCGATCGGTTGAAGCAGTCGGCCATTGGGACGCGACGGCGTGTGTTCGTCATCGAGACTATGGGCGGTTATTGCGGCTACCTGGCGACATTAGCCGGACTGGCTGCCGGCGCGGACGCCGCCTACATCAGCGAAGAGTCTTTTAACATCGACGACCTGCGATCCGACGTCATCCATTTGGCCGCCAAGATGCAGACGCACGTGCAGCGTGGGCTGGTGGTGCGAAACGAGAACGCCCATCCCAACTACAGTCTGGACTTTATCCGGCGGCTGTACGCCGAGGAAGGCAAGGATGTCTTCTCCTGCCGCGAGGCCATTCTGGGCCATGTACAGCAGGGCGGCCGGCCCACTCCCTTTGACCGCAATCTCGGGACGAAACTTTCGACGCGTGCAGTGGAGTATTTGGATGAAATGATCATGAAAGGTAGCTTGTCATAACGGTTCCTTTTGTCCGTTTTGCTCCGTACTGAATACTAACTTTATGGCTTTTAGGCGGATTGGGCAATGAGCCGGTATCGTGTGCCCTTTTGGGAATTGTCAAACGCCAAGTCACTCTAACACCTGTTCAGGCGCTGGCCATGCAGACAGACTTTTTGTAAGAACTTACTTCTTATTTTTTTAAAATCACTATTATTTTGTATTATCCCGAAAAACAAAATTTGTACTTTTTGCGAAGTTTGGTCGGGTAAATTGCGAGTATATTGCAGACACCGCATCCCGCGTCAGCAGTGGTGGCTGAGTTTGCGGCCGCTGCTACGTATCATGGCCAAACACGCCAGCCAGTACATACCGGACGTGATGGACATTGACGATACCAACCAGAACAAGACAGATTTGGTCTGAATTCGACCTTTTGTGAAACCTTTACCGAAACCGGCTTCCTGTGTGTACCGTGTTGCGCTGTTATGCGCTCAAAGAGATACTACCTACAATTTTGTTAGTCAAAAATTTTTTCGAAGTGTGCATGGCGTTGTTTTGCTTTTGGTTTACGCTCCGTGGACCCAAATAATTTATTTTGACAAACTTCCCCAAAGTGCATATTGCATGCTTGTTGGTTACATGTTGATGTGTCTGTAGTTCTTATTGTTCGTGGAGGCTGTGATAAAAAATTACACTTTGAGAAATTTTACGCAAAATGCGACACTAAATCAGGCATATCCGGCGATTAGCAAAACTTAGCCAAAGTAACTTCGGCAGTAAATTATTAGCTTATTTTCGAAAACCTCAGAAGCTGCGCTCCGGTCTGTCAGTGAACCAATCGGTGCATTTTCCTAGTTGCTAAAAGATGTCAGAAATATATTGAGCAAACTACCCCGCATCGGCGCATACTCAAGCGTATAGCTAGGGGGAAGTAGAATTGTTAACTGGTGTTACGCAGTTTTTCTAACAATTTGAGTTATTTTACCGTCAGAATGAAGCGGCCAGTCGGAAAAAGAAACAAATCCCCAGGTGCCTCACATAAAACACTTTTAACCGGCTGCAGCTTCGAAACACAACAAATTTTCAACAGCAAACAAGTAAAAAACTGAAACACACCGGGAAAATAAAATTCAGGGCAATATTAAATTCAAATCAGTCTTCCGAGCCTTTCTTGTTTACGACCATCTCCAGGATGCGTTCCTCCATGGGACTGGCGTTGCGAATGGTGACGGGTTCCTTCCATACATATTTCTACATAAAAATTCCATGTCAACGCAAAACCAACTAACAGCGACTACCATCGCTCTGACCTCGTGGCGCTGGCGCGCGAAGGCCGCGTCCGGTAAAATGTGGACGTGCCAGACGAAGAGCTCCAGCCAGGCATTGTCGGTGTTCTTGGGATCGTCTTGGTAGCCGCCGTAAATTTCCTCAATCTCCAGACAGTGATCCGTGTTTGTCTCCGCCCCTTCACTTGCCATCGCTTGCAACGCCTTCCATAAAAAAAACCGGTTAGTCAACACAAAACTGTAGGCAACTTAAGCAAGCAAGGAATACCAAATAAAAGCAAGCAGACAAACAAAAAAATAAAACTACACAACCCTTAGCAAGCGTAAACCAAACAACCAAACACGACACGTCGTATGTGAAACACGGTAGAGTAGTATACTGTAGTAATAAAAACAAAAAATAATTTTTAACACTACCGAATGCATCTCTTCCACACTATAGGGTGTTTCCCACTGCGTTCCCTTGGCTTCCATATCCTCCACCGGTACCAACATGGAGGCGAATATCTCGCAGACAGCTTCGAAAACGCTTTTTCCTCCCGTCAGCGCGATCTACCATACCAACAGACAAGATCATAGCAACAGGTGAACAGATGACGATGTTACGTACTTTAGGAAAAAGGACGGGAACTTCCGCCGGATATCCCTTAGCCACTAGCACCATCAGCTTCCCATCTTTCATACGTGATACCACGGTTTTCACGCGATGATTTGGTCCGTAGCGGTGCAGGCAGCCGCGGCCACACAATCCGGTTCGTCCCACGGGATTTCTGCGTAGTTATAAAATCACTAATCAGTAATCAATCCAAGTAAGCGATAGTCAATTTCTCTAGATTTTCCATTCGGTTCTTATATTACCACTACAGCAGTTACAATTTTTAGTGCACTTTTAATCACCGGCTGTTTTAGTTTTTCATTTATTTGCGCCTTACTTCTCTTCAAATGCGCACAGTTAAAAAAAATACAAGGACAAAGTGAAAGATTACATTTCACATAACTTAGCAGCAATAAAATAAAAGCTTCAAAACGGACACAAAAACGAACAAACGCAGCTATCACATAATTTTTCGTCAATAAATAGTCGGTGGCATACTAACCGAGGCAGTCCATTTTCAGCCAGTCCATACATCAAATTTTCCCCGTCAAGCCCTTTCAAGATACTCCGCCGATCGACAAATATGTCCCCGACCAGACATGTAGAATTCCAGCAGCGCAGCAGTGGATCGGTGGATAAAGCGTTAATGTTAACAGTGATGACCGGATCGGTAAAAGGCTGCTCATCAGTCGGGAAATCTTCCACTGGTTTTGAGTAATACGGTGGCTCATAGATGTCCATCTTGACCTTTACAATCATAACAACGTGCAAACAACAACACGGTTAGCCTCAGGAAACCGAATAATCAAAAAATAATTAAAATCCCTATTCTTTAGTCGGGTACTTTCCAGTTTTATCAACAAGAAGAGAGACCTTTTTATGGTTTTTATTCGATATCAGCCAGTACACATATCAAATAAGACTGCGAAGATTTACACTACTTAAAATCGTCAAATTTTAATGAGAAAACTTGACTTCAATTTCTAGACGTAATGCAGTACCGGCCACAGGACATCGTGATCGGCAACCAAGTAGCGTTTGATGTCCGTCCCGGGATAGGGCGAAACCCGACTGAGTACGTTAACGCACGATTGGCTTTCTTTGGGAATATCTATCGCAAAAGCAACGCAGATTGCAACGCAATAACTGCGTGATAAAATAACAAACAGTCATACCTTTCCGTTCCATTCCGTTCTTGATAGACTCCATGTAAGCGATCAATTTCTGTTCCCCTTCTTTTATCTTGTCACTCAGTCGGTTGATCAGATTCTTCGCCAATTTCTGCTCTTCTGCCATACTCTTCAACCTGTGCAGTGTACACGAGCGCTTAAGTCAGCATGAAATATCATACCCAAAATTCAACAGAACTCAGTACCAGATGCCAACCCGGTCAAACGTGAAACGAAATTACAGCCATATATTTTTTATATCACGGCAAAGATTATGGTTTAAATAATTAAGTTACACTTAACAACGTAATTAATTGAAAAGCTGACGTTTCAAAAGAATAAAAAAACAGATCAGATTTTAGAAAGGGAACATAAAACAAAATACAGACAGTCAAATAAATGCAGCTCTGTTAGAGCGGCAGTAATAACGCATAATGCCGAAATTCGAGCCGCTCGCAACAAGTAACAATTATCCTAAATTAAAAGGGAAATACCACGAAAATGTTCCGAATTGCGGAATTGGTATGACTGTACAAGCTAAATTTTCAACACTGTATATTTCCTGGTGAAAACACGGCAATAAAGAACAAAGCAGCGAATGCTTGGCACCAACCGGGTGATATTCTCTTGCATGGCTTTCTTCTCCTTATCCTCCTTGACCTTTTTGCGGTAATATTCCTTGGTCAGTCCCATCCAGTAACTGTAGGAATTGGTTGAACGCTTCTCGGCGGCTTTCTTCTCGATAAGTTTCACCATGCGCAGTGTCGTCAGATTCGCCTTCTGCCGATCGTTCATGCGATTGAACTTGGACATAACCAGCACGGTTCCGTTGAAGAGGTAATTGAAAAACGTTAATGGTGGCGGCAACGCTGGCCGCGAGGCGAAATCCAGCACGGTGCCGTAGCGCTCGTACTTAAAAATGTGTTCAGCGTCCTCTTTCACCTTGATCATCGTGGCACTGCGAAAATAGCATAATGCGTCTGTTAATCTTATTCCTTTCTTTTCTTTCATAAGCAAATCAATCGCAACACATACGCAAAAAGTGCGTTAAGCAGGACGACAAGGATTAACCGCATAATAACTAGGAACTGGATATTGAGGGCATATGTGGAGAATCCAATATGCGGGCAGTGAGGATTGGCATAATCGCCGACCCAGCACATGTCCGTCGTATTGGTCAATCGCGTTTCCTCGCAGTCCTCTTTTCTACAGACAAACGATTCATTACTCAATCCTTCGTCGAAATATCAAACTCAGTACTGTACCGGTCGATTTCCGAAACAAAGGAGATAAAAAGCGTAAAGAATGCTCGGTAGAACCCTTTGCGAATGGTCTCTGCACCCAGCGGAAGGTCCGGATACATCACAGCTTGCAGAGCAAACATATTGGCTAACTGCAATAAACTTGCAAGATCAAATTTATGAAATATAATTAACGTTGTTTATGTGACAACATTTCAATTTTACTCTATATTTCAATGTAAGTGGTTAAGTAATTTCTTATCTTAAGTTAAAATTACCACAAAAGGCATGGATAAGCGGACGAAGAGGAAAAAATCAACGCAAACCATCCGTTTGATACGATACAACATCGGCCTACAAGAAAAAATTCCGGTCATTTCCTCATAATCATTCGTAACTGCAGACCAAACTTCAACGCACCCAAGCACGGCGTTCATAGGGAAAAATTCTGACATCATCCTGTAATACATGTACAGCAGACCTGAAAAATTCCACTTTCGAATCGAGAACATCGTGAAAACAAAACAACCTACCAACTGCCATCCATGCTCGCATGTAATGGGGACGCAATAATCCAAACTGCAGTTTCATGATAGAGACGAACAAAACAAATGAGCTCATAAACACAATCTCCAACGCTCGGCGGAATAAGTTCACCGGAAAGCCATGCCGGCTCTGCGTCACCGTTCTGCCAAATAGCATTTTTACTGGCTAAGCGACAATATTATGTTTTCAAAGCAAACCTGAGAAGAATTTCCAAAAGAATAAAGAAGGTCCAGATGACTACCGCCACATCCAGATCATAGTCGTTGCAGGTGGGCATGATAGTGGCGAAAGAGAACAAACCCAAATAAACCCAGTAGAATACTTGCGACATCCAGAATTTGGTCCGCGGTGTCGTCCACAGATAGTAGACTTTCTTCCAAAAAGCCATTCCGTTAACGTACGAACCATGGCTGGAGGATTTCGGCAGGATGGAACGGTATGACGCTTTCTTTTTGCACCGGCTCTCCAGTGTTTTCAAATCCAGTAGCAAGCGCTCTGTGTTTTCGCTCTGAGCGCTGGCAGCCGGGTAGATGTGAAAACGGTCTACACAAGCATAAAAACGATAAAACGACTCAATCACATTGTTATACTTGACTCACACGTTTACATTAAAGGGTTTGTCAGTTTCACGTTCAATTCACAAGCTAATTTCCTATTACTTTTATTTTGGCACCATATCATCAACACAATTTACACTCAAATAAATCAATGAAAAAATTACACCGGAAGACACGGGATGCTAAGTATAAATAAACTTATATATCGCTCACCGCCCGCCTCCTGTCGCACGGAATAGGAGGGTCCGCGACTACTGTCTGTCACGTCGCCAGCCGGCGCCTCCATTGATTCCAACTTATGTCGCGCAAAATTCTTCACGGGAAACCGAATCCACGCGCAGATAGGAAAGATGAAGAGGGCCGACAAAATCAGTTTGACTTCCTCCGGAATGCGTGACTCCCAGGTTTCGGTTATTTCAATACCGCCGTTCCACAACCAATTCAGCCATACTTGGCAGGCTTCATGTGACAAAAAATACCTGTGAAGACGCATCCATCCATTATTAGTTAAAAGCACCATTTCAATCCCTTGATATTTGTCAAGGGCACCCGTTTTCCTTAACATATTATCAGTACTAAACCGAGTTAAATGTATTACCGCTGCTGCCGTCAGTTTTTGTCATGATACTGTTGTTATGCAGAGGCGTGTAGTCTGCCTGCTACCATACTTATTTTTGGACATGTAGGCCAGTTTGAGGACAGTCTTGTCGTTGAAATCGGTAAACCGTTGGTTTAGTAGATCGAAAGTGCGGGCGTGGGACTCCTTATAGCTCATGTCCAGCACATCGATGGCCATACCGCTGAAAGTCCTGCTGTTGGCGGTGATCTGACTGACTAGCGACGGCGCCGAACAGTGCTTGGCCAGACCACGGTACATGGCGCTGATGAAGAGCGCCGTCGGGATGGGATTTTCGCAGAACTTCCACAGAACACGTAGCAGATTGAAGCGGTTCATTAGCAGTGCCCACAACATCAGTGCGTTCATCGCCTGAAAGGTAATTATATAAAATTAATTGTTTACTCGTTCTATCAATGCGCCAAAGTTCAGATAAATGCGGTATGCAGAACAGGTACGACAACATCTAGATATAAAATGACCGCGAACGTTTACCCATTCATTTATCAAGCGGCAAATTCTTGTTTTCATCAGTCTTTACAAACAAGTTAGCAAGTTTCACAATCAACTACCATAGTTCATAAGGGCTCATGATTTTTATCTTGGAAAAAATTCAACGTACTTTACGTTCAGCAGTGTATTCATCCTCCACATAGCGACCCAAGAAGCTGGACGTCAGTTCAAACATACTGACATAATCCGTCAAGCCTGTCAGTTTCTGGACAATGACATTCAGCCCGATCGTAACGAATGACTCGTCCACTTGAAAATCTGGAAAACAGCGAGATAACGGTTTCAGATGAAATTACATCCGGTAGATGACAAGAACAGTTGCAAGAATTTTTCCCACCGTGATGATGCCGGGGTAGCTGCTCCCACACCACAGTGATAAAGAATTCGTTATCCTCCCCACGTCGGAACAGTCGCAGTAGGACGGAATGGTTGAGAAATTTATGAATACAGAAATCTTCATCCAGAAAGCGCTCAATAAAATGTTCGCGATCTTTCCAGATCAAAGCTTTTTCGAACAACTGGTTATCCACCTGTTGATTCAACAACATTTTTTGTAGTATATCATACATCCCATTAAAACTTTTGATAGGTTTACCGTATAAACTGATTAACCATTACGTGTAACCATAATCCATAATTATGCTAAGTAGATCGGAAACATTAACAGGCTGAGTGATGATGAACTGACAAATTTTAGCAGTAGAATCATCAGCCTTATTATTACATAAACTGACAATGGAGATCCACTGAAAAACATGTACGCAACAACATAATCATACAAATAATTAAAATGCAATTTTGCAATAAGTAAAATGCAATTTTGTACCATGTAAAGTTTAGGTTAAAAATTCTCACTGCAAGTGCAACGAGCTGCGACAAAAGAAGCGAAAACAATAACATCATATCTGGATACAGTGCGAGTACAGGATTAAATCTGTGAAAGTAATTACTGGTTACGAACTTGCGGCTGATGTGCAGATGCTCGGTGTTTACCTGGAATACACCCGCTTCATCACGCGCTAAGACTTTTGACTCTGCCAGTCCCGGCTTATTTAATCGCATGGTCAGGAGGAAATCAGACCTGAGCTGTTCTTTCGATGAATCTGATCACACAACACCATCACCTCAGTTTCAGCCCACATTTTGACGACAGTTTTGCTTTTCCCTACTCATCGATTTGTTACGGGATGCGAAGATAGCCGTCAGCACCGAATCCTGGATGTCGACCAGATCGTCACTGGAATCAGTTATGGTGATCAGCCGGCAGTCATCCTGCACTGCCAGCTGCACACACTCCACGATCTTATCGCGAATGACGATGCGGTCGGTGTCGGACTGCATGCACGCCTCGCAGAAGGATCGCGATAGCTTCTTCGATAACTCTGATTTCAGTTGCTCCAGGTCTTTTGATGCAGTAAGTCTGTAACCATTAACTGCACTACAGTAACTACCACATAAGCTTCAAACGTTTGGTTTGAAATGCTTATAAAGCTTTTGTTGCTTTCGTTTTACTCGTACAAGAAAAAGCAGTAAAACTGCAACAAAAAAATATTATCCCTACAACAGAGAAAAGACAGAAGCACTGTGAAATGTGATTAATGTGTAAACAGCAGACCGCTTTCATTATTTAAAAAAGAGACACTGACTTGGGATAAACACAGTGTAACTACGTTAAATAATACGAACATAATTTTCAAAAGTAAATACCTGTCTTTGCCCTCCTCAAAAGCAAAAGCAAGCACATCCGCCAAAAACCCAGTTCCTCTGATAATTAGCACCGGAAACCCATTGCGCAGATACTCTAACACTTGGTCCAACTCCACATGATCGCCCTGGATTAAAATAGCCAATAGCGGTACCGCCTCGTGAATAACGGTCATCTTCACGTCGCTTTCCGGCGTTTCTGCCCATTGCCTTGATTAATTCCAAATCACGAAATTTGTACATTTCACCAAAAAAAGGCTCCTACTTTTTTCTTGCAGGAGAGTCGGGCTTCTTCGCAATGCTGCCTGCCGTGCCAGTTCGCGTTCGACTGTGACGCGGAATTTTTTGGCCTCTTTATATTTGCCATTGACGAAAATATAGTGAGTGTGTGAGGCATTCAAACCGAATTTATCCTGACGATGCGCATAATTGTCCAAACTGTCATCATCTGTCTACAAAAGCGAATCTGTGTCGGAACAGTAAGTAATTCGGCCATTGGTTGATGGTCGATAACCGTTCCAACTTTCATCATGAACACAGAAGCAACAGTTACAATAAATACAACACAGCAAACAATTTTACGTGAAAATAAAGTTTAATAGTAAAACATATAGTGCCGAAATTATAAAGAATCCCAAAAACATAAACATGAAAATAAACCAGCCGCATTTTTTTTCTCAAAAAAAGCTACCTCGTATCCTTCGAGAACAGCAACAGGTGCGATACCAAACAATGTAATGCCGTGACGTCGCCGCTTGAAGTAGCCGCGCGCGAACACCTCCTTCCGGTCGACCGAACGCCGGAAGGATTGCTCATTGCGTACCGCGTCACCGATCGTCTTCGATAAGCCATAATCCAGCCCAATGTCGATCAGCCATGTTTCTGTCGCTTTTATCAACTGTACACAATAACATATTCAATAACCTAACATGTCAGTTCGATCAGAACACATAGACAGATCACAGATCTAGAAGCGCGTCGTTAACATATTTAAGGTGTTGACCACTTCGTTAGTGTAATACAAAAAATAAGATAGATTACAAAGAAAAAAATAAAAACGAAGACACAACCAGGCACCTCGAAGAATTTACTGACATTGAAAAAATACTCTGTCCAATTCGAGAAAGAAATAAAAATATTAAAATAATCCAAAAATATTTCAAAACACTGACAAAACTAAAAATAAAGTCAAAATATCACCTAATATTATTCAGAAGCACAAAAGTCGTTTTCTGTAATAGAAAAAAACAAAACAAGGACTATACTAATTACTCATAAATCATAATCAATAAATAAATAACTCCACAAAATGTGTCACACAAGTATAATAAAATCTCACAAGTATTATAAAATCAGAAACCGAAAAACTATAAACGAAAAAACGTAACACAATGCCCGCTAACAACTTCTTCCAAATAAAAGAAATTAAGTACCAAATTTACGCGCAGGCTTCGCAAACTGAAAGATACTGGGCAGAGCACAAAGCAGACTAGTCCGAGTTCGTACCTTTATTATTCCCTTTTGCAGGGCGGCCCGGTGATCCCCGTGCTTCCAGGCCGTATAAGAGCGTGTCCCGCTGATGAGACTGATGATAATATCGGGCGAGGGGAGATTCCAGTCGTAGAAAACGTTGGACACCAGCGAATCCAGCCGATCCGTCGGATTGACGAAGACGAACGGCTTGTCCTGTCAAGCAGCCGTTCAGTCGCGTCTCGCGTTGGATTGTGCATGCAAGTCTTGCAGTCCTTACCTGCACGTTCTCCTCCGGAGGCGTCCGTTCATGCAGTCGGTCGATGACGTCCAGCGGCGTGATGGGGCCTTGACTTTCCAGCAGCGAATCATTCTCCATTCTCACCAAGCGGTTCTTACCGTCCAATGTTCCTTTTCTGGTATCCTCGGACACTATTGATGGCGAACATAAGAAATCTTATCGAGCGAATCCAGAGGAACAGTTCGCGTGTCATATAGACTACGTATTCGTGCATATCACGCGCGATCACTGGATTAAACAGAAGTACAGAATACACATCATTTTTACAAGCATTTGTAATTTAACACTAAAGTGTAGTTAACCATAAGTTCTACACTAGTCACTAGTGCATTCACTATGTTGTAATTGTTGTTTTTCATACATATTGAGAGAGTGAAAATAACAAATGTCACATGGCAGACACTAGCTCACTGCCCGTAACGGCACGAAATTACTGTAATAATACTGTACGTGTCAGTGTATCAATAATTCAACATCAACTTATTGTAAATAAATATACCATTACGACTGTTACGGCCTACGAGTATATCGTATACCGATGCACAAAATTAACGAGTAATAATATATCGTATTTTCAACCTTAACGTGTGCTGACTGCTACTGCTGAACATTCACAGTTTTTGTGCTGAACATTCACAGTTTGCAACTTAAACTGTGTATGTACAAATATTTATTAAAACTCCAGAATCATCAGATAAATCCGCAAAACTTTTGGGTGCAAAACTCTTTCCTGATTTATCCAGCGATTTCGAATCACTGATTTATTGCAGATTTATCAAGCAAATTACTTAATTTCCATAACACCTTTATTACCTACTATTTATATATATTTATCACACAATACACATAAATATTGTTATGATTATCACACATTTACCGTAGAAGTACGATATAACGAATGATACTTCTGGAAACCATTCATGAAACATGGTAATAAGAAATCGTTAGCCTCTGGTCAGTCGAACTTACTTTTAATATATTACACGGCTAGCACAGCTATGATGCTTTCTGCCCACCAGACACAGCATACTCTGTAGAGCCTTCGGGACTTATAGTCGGAGCTTGGTCGGGAGTCGGGACATCCATCGAAGGCGCGCAAACAGTCAGTAAATTGTTTCAATATGAAGTTACTCTAGGCATTTGTATTACAGTAGCTGTTGGAATAGAAAACCAAGAGTGCAACAATACTCGACCAGCAGTAACATAAATAATTCGTTCGCAATGGAACGAAAAATGGATTTAGACAAACACAAGGAAAACATGTATATATTTACGCGGAAAAAGGATTTAGTCAAAACTCAAAACCGTCTGCATCCAAGAAGTTTTAAGCGTGGAGAGTCGACTGATTTTCAGTCACAATATTTTCGATTTAGATTTCCCAGGCCGAACTGTAAGCATTAAATTTCGGAACGATAGTGCTCTCGTAATCGCTACGTTGATAAGCGTTTTGCGGTTAGTCAGAGACGTCAACACATCGTTATCACAATTTTAATATTAACGTTGATTTTGATAACACTGCATTCGTTATCTTGATAACTTTTGCTTCAAAACCGTCACACGAAAGCAAATTCAGTATGCCACCGCCACAGGCCAGAAACGTGCGAAAGAGTTTTTTAGACGTACAGCGACTCTCCATCCAGATACAACGGGGGAATGCGATTTGTGTAAAGAGTACAATTCCCGATCGGGATAGCATCGAGGAAGTGCTTCTGTTATAAATGTTTTCTAATACTAAGTTTGTACTTATGACATGATTACAGGTACAGAGAGAATTCAGTACAGTATTCACGATGCACTTTCGCGGCATTACTCATACTTATACTAGTACAGCTAGCATTGAGCATTCTACTGCACATACGAAAAGGTCACAACGGAACGATCTAACACATTCCGTAAAGCGAGCCAGCTAGGAATACTACACAATGTACCCTGCTTATAAAAATTTATCGTCTTCAAAAGTCTTTTAATAATAGTAAAAATCTAATCGACGACGTCGCTATTATTGAAATTTTGTAAATTGTAATTACAGCCTATTGCTAGTGTAATGTACTGAGCGCCACCTTTTCACTATATCGTTAACAGTGTCTCAGGGTACCAAGTGGATCACGGGGCCTCCAACCGAAATCTGGAAGTAATGCAACCCGAAAAATCACCCAAGGTCACCAGCTACGAAGCTCGGGACTGATATTTAAGTCGCTACTTTGGCATTAATTAATATTTTTAGATTAAAATGGTTAGTTTTAAACTAATTAGATTAAAGGCAGTTTCCAAATTATACAAAACAGGTATAATCTCGCGATCTTACGTTTCTATTATATTTTCTTCTAGTCCATAAGATTCCGAGTGCGGATGCCGCGTTGTCTCTGCGAATTCCCAGCGAAAGCTGCTCGCACTCAGACGCAGAGCCTACACCACCCCCCCCCCCCCCCCCCCGTAGAATTTCGGGAACGAGGTGCACCGGCCGAGTACAGTACACCTGGAACCTCTTTCTGAATTCTAATCATGGCGATTTTTACCATTCTCGAGGGTCTGAGTGTTCAAAAGTTAGTGGTGCGAACATAGGTCTTTAAAGTATGTCTTCCAGGTAGGGGCATAGTCTAGATTTTATGTCTTCTTCCGCTTGCGTAACACCAAAGCTCGCGATCAAGGTCACAGACTCTCTACCGGACATGGTATCCCCGCAAAAACGTTTTTTCATCACCATAGGTACTTGTACAGAGTGTGCGTCGTTTGGTATGCTATGCAGTTTTCAATTTGGTTCGTTCCGATCACACCCCTGCTTAGCCAAAAGACAATCTAAAAAAATTTGAACAAGAGTACATACCATTTACGTGACTTGGACTCATTTACAACAAACTATACATGCCCCCATTAAAGGCAAGCGTCCAACAGCATTCGCATTAGAAGCTTATGCCGACGAAATTCGAAATGCAACAATCAATTTTTTTTGTTTTTACTGAACTTCAAGGACAAAACTGGTCTGTTTAGATTTCATCTAAAAAGCAGTTCAACTGAAATTTGCAATCCAGTTCGTCCGTACTGCTTCATTTTTCATGGTAAACCAGGTCTGAGAAAGCTATTCACTGTAGACAAGTCACAAATGAGACAACAAAGCCAAACTCATCAGAACCCTTCGAGATCGAGTGCGCTTCGGAGCATCAACAGCATACGGTAACCTCAGGCCGCAGATGGAATCAGGCTTCCTCCTTCTTCTGCGGTGGCGGACCGGTGGGCTGCAGCATCTTCTCGATGAGGTTGAAGCGCAGACGAGCCCTGTTCTCGTTCTCAGCGATGGCCACGTGATTCAGCATGTCAAAGTGGCCCAATATGGAGGCCAGGGTATCGCGGTGCTGATTCTGCAGCCATTCCCATTTACTGGTGTCCGCGTGGCCCGTTCCGATGTATTTCGACTGAAGGTGCTCGAGTTGACTGCAAAAAACAAGTAGTCTCTATCAAGGTTTCAGATACCGTACTAAATATTCCATGTGTCGAAAGACATCTTGATAATTAACAGTCCCGACTTCCTCAACAAAAAAGGCTGAAAGTGCATCCACCGATTGCTAGAGTTGTGAAACAGTCAAGAAACGTGCAGCGTATTGCGCACAGTATCAACAGTTACTAATTACTATAGTACTATCAAGTGCAATGAAGTACCAGCGTCCTTACCTATGAATGTTGTAGCGATCACCCATTATTGGCTGTTCTGTTATCGATCAGAACGTCCGGAAAACAAAACAAATATTCAATTGGTCTTCGATTATGATTCAGTTAAGATCTTCGGCCCACCAAGATCATAAATGTATCAGAAGTTCAGAACAGTTTTCAGACTTACGAAATTTCAGAAGTTGAAAGAATGCACTACTGGCTAAATGAAAAGGCCAAAAATGAAAATCTTCGTCTACACTATTGACTATAGGGAGTAAGTAATGCATGGCGCATGCCCGGGTGGCTGTGTATTTAAATTTGAAAAGCAATTCAGGCCACCCCGAGAGGGAGCGACTCTCCTGTAGTGGCTCCGTTTACTGAAATACTAGTAAATGTAACTATCATTTTTTTCATGGTTTTTTTACGGTACATAACCGTATACGAGTATATCTGTAGTTTTAATACTTTGAATTTTGGTCTATTAATTAAAAATTTTGGTCTAATTCAGTATTGTACTAATTGGACCCTGTTTGTTGACAGTCCTTAATCATCGTTTAATGTGTATTGCTGATTTCTGCTGGAATTGAGCTGACGCGTTTATGCTTGTAGGATCTATCCTTATAAAATGTCTTTTTAGTAAATCATAGGGCATTTGTGAATCTTGGTGCTGAAAAGTGAAAACCCACGTAAGTATCCGGCATAGAAAATCCCAACCTGTTGATTCAGAGTTGTCGACTGTGCGTATGCATTACCTTCTGGAATCAAATCCGGAATCCCTCTAAATTACTACAAGATTTCTTGCGATCCAGTTTGAGCGCATTATCGGGAATGGTGTGATGTGGAGCATCCGTCGAGTGACTGGAAAAATGAGTGGCGTACGCTGGAGCCTGCGCTTCTCCGAATGGCAGCCCACCGCCACCGAATGGATGGAAGCTTGCTCCCGCATTCAACCGGAAGAACTCGCGCAAGTCAATGGTTTTGTATTCAAGAAAGATGCCAAGGCAACACTGATTGGACGTTTACTGACGAGAGATTTTCTTACCAAGGTGTGCACATTGTAGTTTATGGCTTACTCTCTAGCGCTTGAAGTGGCAGCTAACTTTTCGTTTTCTGATTTTCGTCGCTACTTCGCGGTTTCTTCCCAATCCGAAGCAATTGGGAATCAGAAAAACTAATTTTGTTTCGTCATTTGTATTTCTTTTTTATTCGAATTATTTGAGATTATGCGATTTCTCTCGAGTTAGTCGAGTACAGATACTACTTACTACTACATAAAAAATACTTGGTACCTACTACGTATAATTATACAGCACTTCAGTTATCATAGTATTCTTAAGGTATCGTAATACTACGAAAAATATTTTTTCAGGCATTGAATATTCCTAACAACTCGCTTCTGATGGGTAGAACAGATAAAGGCAAACCCTACGTCCTGGACCCGCCATCCGCCGAGCACGGCTGGTCATTCAATCTATCACACAGTGGTGACTATGTTGTTTTCGGCGCCGAGCGCGGTTGTCTGCTGGGGATCGACGTGATGCGGACGGACTATCCGAGCAGAAAGAGCCTTCAGGACTACTTCCAGCTGATGAAATCACAGTTCACTCCTCGAGTAAGTGGAAAAAACAGTAAGCCTGCAGTGAACACCACGTTGACTGCTAACTCCGGATGCGGGTATGTACACTGTACAGTATCATGAATAATCCGAATTCCTGATTAGTTCAACTACGCATACTGTACTCGTGATCCAATGTGCCAGATTCTTGCTTGGATTTCGACGAAATTGATTTGTATAATAGGATGTATAACTGACTGGCAAGGGCGACGTGTTTTGTCAAGAATTTCGGCGGTTCTAGACGTTAACTAACGGTTCCAACTTAACTCACTGGCCATACTGGCAGGAGCCGGTTTGCGTTTGTTTGGAAGCTTGCAAACTGATCGAGTACTAACGAGTCGACGAGTCGTACTATCGAGTCTATGGAATCGATGAAAATAAAACTTTCTGGCAATATATGACGAACAAATCTACAGTTTTGCTTTAGGAGTGGACACTCATAACTTCCGCACCCTCCGAATCCGACGAGCTCCGCAACTTCTACCGGTTATGGTGCTTGAAAGAAAGCTACGTCAAGGCACTGGGCATCGGGATCGGCTATAGTGTCTCCCAACTGGACTTCCACTTGCCACCGGCGCCCGCTCCCATCACACTGGACATTGCCGGCGTTCGCCAGTCCGACTGGATATTTCGGGAGTTTTGCATCGGCGAGCAGCATGTCGGGGCTGTGGCGTTGCAGGCCCCACCTGGCGTGTTGGAGAACAGAGCGGAACCGACACTGATTAGTCGGGAGATTGAGGAAGTCATCGCTGGGTTGGCACCGCTGCACAAGGTGAATGAGGAAGTCGGGAAGAGATTTATTGGGAAGGCGGAACGACCGGAATCGGTGGGGTGAGTGATGTTTGCATTCAACAAAAGCATTCAGATTTCCTGGATTCGTTTTGCGCATTCTTTAAACCGCGGAGTTTACCTACAGGCTTCATGCTGGTATTTCGCTGTGATTGAACATTAGAGAGGATAGTCTTGACATTTTATTTCGAGGATTTTCGTTCTGTAACTTTCTTCGAAAGGTTTTTATCTGCGGTCAAAATAATCCTCACGATTCTATGTCGTATTGTACAGTTGACGATATTCTACAAAGTACTAGCATAGTAATTGGAAATTGTTTCCGTTTGGTGACCAATAAAATCAACTTTTGTGGTCGTTGATGAGACTTAATTGAGAGAGCAGCAAATATTTGGAAAACGTATCTTGTTAACCGGCCTGAATCTTTGAATGATCCAAGTGTATATAAAACGAATTCGATGTGCTCAGGATATAGTGAAACACACCATGACCGGCAACTATTTCCGTACAGGAACGTTTGTTCGTCTGATGCGGTGTGTGTCTCATCAGCGTACAGATACACGGCACTGTTGACAGATTAACAGACAGGTCGTTGCTCGTTAGGGGAAGACTGGTGAACCGCGAAGCTAATCGCACACGATGAGCAGCAGCCGTGCAGTGCGGAGCTTCCTTAATGGCGCGGAAGTGTCGTTGATAGTGGAGTATGCTTCCTCATTGCCGACTGGCACTGGCAAGAGTTGCCAGTGGCGGGCCAAGAACCCTCTCTTCTGTGTGTTCTTTCAGGTCGATTGCGTTTAAGCCGCCGCGGTCGGACTAGGGAGCAGCGGGTAAGGGGGAGCCATTTAGCTGGACGGTCCACTTGGGTCCGCTTGTGACAAGAAGACTCTTCTATGTTTGAGCGCTGGCCACTTAGTGGCTGGTTGGCGTGCGTTCGTACCAGTGCGGTGTGCGCTTTGCCCAGTCAAGTGAACGCTGTGGAAGCATCGGAATTAATTACTTGTCATTACAAGTTGAATTAATTGCCGTCATTGAGGGATTGAGAGCTGAGTGCCGCCAGTAAACGGGGGATTACGCAAATCAACCGAGATAGCACTCGATGTTGCTGCGAAAAACTCGAAAAAGCATTCTAGAGAAGGACGATCGAAAAGAAGTGTTTAAAACATATTGCGAAATAGATGCCCGATCCAGCTGAATAAAGTACAGAAAGTTGAAGATAAGAAGATAAGAACTCGGAATAAGGATCGACTTGTAATGCTACATCGTTATTGAAACAGCCATTTTTGGAATATCTGAACCTGTTTTCTGTAGCCGATCTTCTGGTTAATTTGAAAGAGCTTAAATAAAATGATTTTAAGCTTGAAATTGGTAAAAGTTCAACTTCGATCATGTGAAATAACGGATAAGAAGCAATACCGTTACGTAATGGCGCTAACTACCCACTGTATTTATAAGTGGCTGCAGTATCATTCAAAGGAATCTTTTTTGCTGTTCTTTCTGTGGATTTTGTAATTAATTCGCTAGCAAGTTTGTGAACATTTTACCGATTCGAAATGGGAAGTCAATTTCCTTGCATTCGTGGAAATTGCTAGGGTGCATGTTATAATAAACTGCAACCGCAAAGGCGTTTTCCGGTCGTCACCTGTCGTCTAAATGGGTCAAGCGTTACAATTTTGCCACTGTGTATCGCAACAGATGCCCGCACACGGTAGTTCTGGTATTGTTGACATACAGGGCTGGGATTATGATTCTGCATCAGCATAAACAAGTACGCGGCAGAGTTTAATATGGTTTAGTGTATCGTTTGCAGCGAAAGCCCCCGCTAAAACTTCAATCGGGAGAAATTAAATTGCGGAAGTCAATTTAGCGCGTTTGTTGTGTTGCGCAATTGATTTGCCCAAGCGCATTCAAGGTCTATTGAGCAAAGCGTCTTAGCGTTTGTTTTAAAGGGTAAATTAAACATTACATATGAAGGATTGATTTTTGTGTCGCACGCTAATATAACGGAAAAGGAGCGTGTTGACATGCGGTACAATGATAGATGATAACAGAAATGATTCTATGTGACGGTGTACGTAGTTCGACAATTGGATGCTGGGCACATTTGCTTAACGGATCCGTCCTGCACGTTCACCTGGTGTTCGGCGTTCCACATCATGAGCGCCAATAAATATATCCAAAAGAGAATATCAGTCTGATGTGTGTGCCACAAATAAGTTAGCTTCAGTGTACAACGCACCATTTCCGGTACGAGCGCAGTCATTAGTGAGGTTCTCGTTGACTTCGAAGATGGACATGAGCGTCTGGTAGTGGTATTAACACGTGGTTTTTTAATGGCTTGGAACACAAGTGTGATTAGATGATAAGTGTGATTAAATTCCAAATGTCTTAATAAAAAAAACAATCACATAAAAAATTATGAAACACATAAAAATTATACTCAGAGTAAGGCCTTTGGGGTTGGTATTTTTTAATCAAGGTTTATGAATTAAAATAGAAAAAGGAGATACAGCGGAGCTGGAACGTTGTACAATTTCAGTATTTTGAAATTTGATGCTAAAAACTTGCGCTGAGCGACATTATTGCATCTTTGCAAATTTTCCGCGTTTCCGATCAGCCTTTTTAAGTGTTTGCTGTATGCCTTCACCGCTCTAATAACAGATTGTGGAACATGTGGTAGCTATTGAAATAAAAAAATAAATTGCCTACATGCGTATCTGTATTTAAGGCTGTAGCAAATGATCGATTCATGTCGGTTGGGTCATTATTCTTTTCTTCCCGGCATATTAAACGGAAATCCATTCGGGACATGAAGTGTGATTTATTGATAAATCGTGTGCGAATGTACGAGTAGAAGTATAGATAGATGCCAAAAGTGCGATTCGCTGCGGTGGCATTTATTTGGCAATAGTTTTTGGTGGTCATTGTCAACGATGGCTTATTTTGCCTGCGGCGTCGTGCTACGGTTAGCATTTAAGAATTCCTAACAGATTTTTACTGCTGACGGTACGAATTATGCAGCGGGCCCGCTCTTATGTAATTGTTTGATTAATACCGGTCCAAGGAAAATGAAAAATCAACGCACAGTCTGCTAATTGGACAGTTTGTCAGTCTTTTCGACATGGACTTCATTTATTAACTGATTATTTCTGGATTAGTTGCCGGTAATTGTTTTATGAAGTGACCGTTTTTACGTTTCACTGTTTTAGAACCGGTGTGAACGCTTTTGCTTTTACACCTATATTTAAAAATTTAAGAATACATTTTCCAAAAATTAACTGCAGTTTTCGTTTAATGGGGTTTGAATTAAAAATTATGCCATGTTAACTCAATATTCAAGTTTGAAAACGCTCGAATATTGTACAGATAGTTCTGTAGATTTGATAATATCATAAATCACCATAATGATTTAATACAACAGTTATGCATTTTTCTGTTGGCATGAAATGATTTAAATAGCCGTGATGTAACGGAACACACGCCGTGCAACTTACGACCGACAACATTTTGATTAGAAATTTTCTGAATGGCAAATATTCATGGTTTTGCCTAATACAGCCCAGTGGCATGTTTGGCAGAGAGATCGCCGTGGCCAGTAGGCCAAACGCAGAATCTCTAAACAACAACAAGACAATTCCGCACCAAAAAGAAAGCCCCACTGTTTGGCACTCTCTCCTCGCCCGGCAATTTGACAACAAAAGAAGCAGCGACAGTAAAAATATTCTAATGTTGGAAAAGTGATCAGCTCATCGCTGCATTTTGCCAGACATTTTCCTTTCGAAGCCCAAAGATGCTGTGACCGAGAAAAAAAACACTGGGTACTCTCCATTGGTTCTAAACTTCCAATAGAAAAGCCGATGCGATGCTTTTTTCCTCGGTATTACAATAATTTTGATGTTTTTGTGTCGAATCCGCGCAAAATGTATGAATGGTATACCAGCGGAGGTGGGGTTAGACTCTGCTATTGGCCGGCGCCGGAGTCTGATAATAAGTTGTTGGGCCAGTTTGGCCAGCTCAGATTGGTACAGTAGCAGGCGTTTTTGTCCGCGGCAGGTAGTTTCAGTTTTAGTAGTGATTGCTTGTGCCGTGTGTGACTGTGTTATATGATTGTGTGTGTCTTAAGGATCCATCAAAAGAGGTCGATGTGATTAGACGATCGAGCAGGCAGTGTGTTTTTTCTCCATAAAGCCCCTGCCACTGTTTGCCCTCTTACTGATCCCCAACCGATCCGATCCGTTCCATCCGGTCATTTTGGCATTGGTGGGGGCGCGCACGCACAATGCCGCTTTCCGCATGGGAAAGTACAGCGAGCCGGACGTTTACCGCGCGCTGAACATCATCGCACTGCATTTCGTCTCTATGGAATACTCATTGCATTATTCATGATTGTGGAGCGTGTGTATTGATGGGAGAGTTGTGATAGCACGCGTGATATGGAAGAAGACGACTGGGATAATCCGGCACCGCCGCTATCCCGCAGTGACCGCATCCAGCGGATCACCTCACCCGACAGCACACTGCAGCGCCCACCGCGGGCGGTGGCTCCCACGGGCCATCCGCCCGTTTTCCATGTGGGATCCACGGGTTCATTGGCCCGCTCAGCGCAGCAGCAGCAACTGCAGTTAGCCGCCGGCTTCCATCCCCTGGATGTCGGTCTCCTCGATCCGGGGCATGTGGCCACCCTGCGGCGGCAAGCGCACTTGCTGGCCCTGCAAGCAGCTCACACTAACTCCCTGCCCCGCGGCGGCGTCAATCCTCAGTTTGGGCTGCCGGTCCCGGTCTCGCCCACCACGTCGCATCGCATCCTGAATCAGCGGTACAAACAGGCTGCCAGCCTCCCGCCCACCGCTGGCACGAGGGTGACCAGTCCAACGGCGGCGGCACAGCGGCTGGAGATGGGCCTGGACAAGGAGGGAACGCTGCGCAGGGGGCCGTATTGGGGGCAGGTCAATGGGAGTTATGATCCCTATTCGGTGGCCGGAGGCGGGACGGGAGGATATCCGGGCGACGGGAGCACCTCCAGTTACGCCCGGGTGGGACATAATCGCCAGAGTGGACTACCATCACATCCGCCGCAACCACAGGTAAACGGCATGTGCAACATTTTTCTAGTCTTTTAACTGAAATTTTTTAGCATTTCTGGATATTTTATTAACACAATTTTTTACGTTTCGGTTTATTTCCGGTTTCGGTTTTGCCCGGTAGATGCTGGATTCGTAAATAGGGTTTCAACTGTTTTTATGGAAATAGTTTGCCGTTTGTATTTTTTTGAAATTTTTATGTTTTCTGCCATTTTATTCATCATAATTGGTTTTGGAGGAAAGGATTAGAGTGAATTGTTACATCGTATCGTGTGATGTAATCGGAATTAAGGCTTTTCACTGTCGATTGTCGCTGGGAGGCAGAGTTGTCTTGTTCGCTGTGCACTCAGTGCAGTGTATAGAAAGAGAGAAAGAAAAAAGTGCGTGGCCCCGTTTAGAAGTAGACCAGTGTGACCATGTAAGCCGTGATGTTGATCAATCAGCGCTAATCGTTGATTGTTTGTCGCTTCTCAATCTCATTCGCTCTGTGATTTATCGTGATGCTGTGTGGCTGTTGGTTTTTGGAACCGGCAGAAATAAAGAGAAATATGAACAATGGTATATATTCTGGAACGGCCTTACGAACGTGTTGTTGGAGCATTTTGAGTGAGAATAAGATTTTTACGAACATATTTATACATTTTTATAATTTTTTTCCTTAGGTAATACCTACATTGATTTTTTTAAATTGCTTTAACAAAAAGATGGGCTTCTTTTTTGAACTGAATTTCAAGAAAAGTCCTCTTAGAAACAGTAAAATGTAATACTTAATTACAGGAGGAAAATCATAGTAGCTGTTTATAGATTTCTTATTTGTTTACCCATAACGCATGGGTTTGTTCATGGAATTGTTGGAATTATCATTTTTTGAAACGGATGACAACGGCAGGTGAAAGATGATTATCTGTTCTGCTGGTCATAATTTCTGAGCTCAGCAGAAAAATCGTGGAGATGGAGATGAGACAGTAGCGAGCGCATAACACAGCGGGCCCGGAATGACAGGTGGCTAGCGCAGGCAGTAGTCGCAACAAGAGCAACTGAAGCACTGCATTACGCTGTGTGCTGGTTTACATCCGCTATTTCGCTATGACGAACATTTTACATATCAGACTGGAATGACGGGTTCTTCTCTAAACAATCGTTTTCCATCGTCTTCCGCCCGGCGTCACAATGCCAGTCAGTGCGCATACAGTGAGCTGTAACCATTTGGAAATTAAAATTCGTCACGATCCTAGAAATTTCGAAAGTGTGCAAACCGGTAAAATTGAATGCGATTTGTACTGGCTGAAATTTATAGAAATCATCAGCTCGTTGCACTAAAAGAAAGCCAAGCTTTGAACATTTGCATTTGAATTTAGGAGGTGAAAAAACTGACGGCAACAGCAGCAGTAAAATAAAGCCGGGTTAATCGCTGAAAGAAAATGTTTATTATTATTTGTCCTCGTAATGCAACAAAAATTAGTCACGTGTCCGCTTTTAATTGTATAAGTTGGCGATTATATTGCCGTTTGATAAACACTTATGTGTATAAGACAACGGCACGAACACAGGGGGAAACTGCACATAGAGAACCGAAACCAGTATAACGTTTGCTTATATAAAATCGGCGCTCGCTCGCCGGAGCATGATAGTCTGTGTCCATTGGACAGGTTAAAAAAGCGGTCCATACCGCTGTCATATGGTACAAATCGGTGGTGGTACAGATAGGTAACATGGAAAGTCGTCAGTTGTGTCTGGGGTGGCGGGTGAATAGCGCCGTCGCCGAGAGATAGGGGAGCACTCGGCAATCAATATTGATAAATAAAATACACTATGTCGCCTCAGTAAATGGCATGGACCTTTCAATAAGGTTTATTTAAACTTAACACAGGGATAGTACACTCACCTATAGACTAATTTGTAATCAAAGCATCTCTCTCTCCGGTGCGAAAGTCACTTTTCACTTGAGGGAAACAATCAGAGCAGCCGTTAGAAATATTGGTGTGGGTTACAGTTTTCCTCTTTATGGTCATGATGTTGAATAGGTGAATTGTGAAATTTAGTGGCAATTATTTCTGTGGTTATTCTCATCGTATCCGCTTTCCTGCAAAATGGGCAGAAGGGAGTGAGGGAGAGCAGGTGCGGCGGAATTGTGTGTGCTGTGCTTCAGTGCGATATGTTCGTCAACGCAGCCGGCGTCGTCCATTCGCCGCCTGTTGCTGCTGCGGCGGCGGTTAATACGGTAGCGGCTGCAGCCGGAGCACCTGTGGAGTATTATGGCGATCGGATGGTCAGGATGTTCCCCCCGGCACTCCCTCCCGATTATTTCAACCATCAGACTGGTCAGGTGTACATGGTGCCCTACATACAGGTGGGAGAGGCATATAATAGCCGACTTGGGTTGGTCAACAGTCACCTGTGAAGTGGTCTTTTATTCAAAAGCCAGTGGGAATACTTTTTAAAAAATCGTTTAGTTTACGTTCTGACGCAAAATAATAATAATACAGAATACGGATATTGAATGCAGTCGTGTGTCTTGACTTGCTTATTTGTACTTCACGTAAATAATAAATTAACTTATTCTGTACGAATCAAGGCACTGTTAATTTGCGTAGATTTTTATTTTTTGTTAAATCAGCTTTATTATTATGACAGTTGCTTTTTGTTAATTATTGCTTTTTGCTTTCTGTTTTTTGTTTGGTTTTATATTTTCTGTGTTTGCCTCGAATTTTTTTGAATAAGTTTTCGGTCGCGTGTAATAAAAGCCGGGTTGGTCAGTGAAAAGTGAGATGTCTGGGAAATGCCGTTGCTTGAAGATCGCGCGTATTGTGCCGGCACGGTGATTATAGCGTTAAAAAGTTTCCGTATTGTTTCTTCCGTTGGTGTTTGTTTTATTTGGAGTCGGAATTGAATTCTTCAGTGTATGGAATTTCGTCAACAAGCTCGATTTACTCTCAAGTTACCAGCCAGCAACTTCCGCGTGCTCGCTGCACTGTAAATTGGTTTGTTATGCTCTGGGTTCATCTAGCACGAACAGGTAGTTAATAGTCCGTGCTGCTGCGGCTTATGCCAACGCAAATTCTCATTGCTCGCCATGATCGGGCGTTTCTTCGCAAGATTAACAGTGTTCGCGAGAAACCCGCGATTGGCCCTTCAATATTGAGTGTCTTATTAATGGTTATTTTTTAACAGTTTAACTTTTCGAAAGTAACATTTGAAGTACATTTAGAAAAACTCAGTACACAAAATTATGTAGCTTCTGCTGTACATTGAACTGTTGTGGATTCTTCAGTATGTATCTGTTTTTGCCGGCTTTAGTAATCCTTGTGGCCAAGGTGAAACTGTCTTAATGACTTAGGGTTAACTGTTAGAAAATTTTCAGGAAATTCTGGAGACTTCGGCTATACTTATTGAGAACCAGCCAACCAGGATAAAAATTTAATGAAAATTTCTGCTAACAGGAGCCATTAACAAAAAAATCGAATTACCAGTTTCGATTTTGTTGAAGAAGAGTTGAAACTTGACAGATTGAGTAATTTTGGAGAACTTGTCTAATTTGTCAGGTGAAGTCAAGATTGTTGCACGGCTTTCTTTTCTGTTTTTAAGTGCGCCAGATTACATGCTTGTTAGTTGTTTTTTGCTTGAATGGCTTTTTTATGAAGCGAATAAAAATTGTGGTTGTGGGTTTGTTCGTTGGTAGTTGCAAATGAGGCTGAAGACAATAGCGGGCATCCATCTGCCTACCTTAAACGATGGCTAGAGAGAAGAGAGACAATGTTGATTACGCTGCGTGTGTGTACATGATTGTTTGTCCGTGGCGATGGAGTGGTCAACAAGTGCGGAGGCAGTTTGGTTAGAGTAACCAAGAAACAATCAAGTGGCGGCTGCATGGTCTGACGTAATGAACCCATACTGATTGGGAAACGGGTCTGGAGGCCGGTTCGGCTGATAAACTTTATTTAATCCACTCACTTGATCCAATCGGCTGGGTAAACAGCGTGTTAATTATGCGGCCGGGACTCTTTAACACGCGCATGACACCGAAATCTGGACATTGCCCGCCATGTACATGTTGGACAGGAACACTGTGTAATTGTTCGCCGGGGCACACAGAGAGGTTTAAGCAGGGCAGTGTGCGCTGTGCACCGTACAGGTCGGACGGTTACGACGTGAGATTTCTTTCGAGGAAATCCAAGTGTGTTGATTAATAAACAAATGGAATTAGTACCGGTTTTTTGCGTGTTTCGACATTGTATGGCCGCTAGCATGTTACATCGGATGAGGAATCATTTAATGCGGAACGAAAGATAAAAGCTAATGACTTAGTTAAGCACGGGCAAGTCTTTCAAAGCAAAAAAAACAAGGAATTGTAAAAATAAACTGTGGAATATGCTTTGTGCGTGCCTACGGGCAGCCGTAATTCGTAAGGACAGCAGCCGCGTCACGGCAAGTATGTAAATCAACCAAAATAGTAGTGCTATAACCCACCTTAAATGATAGCTTACTAAGTATTTAGACCCAACGTTATCATGTTTTCGTAAGGGATAGGATCCTCATCTGCGGGGGGGAGGGATTTTAAAGCAAAAATAAAAATGACCGCTCCGTGGGATTTTTATTTCGGGGTGGGCTTCTGATGGAGGAACGGTCATCTATCTGTAAAATACGGTAGGTTCAGATGAATTTAATTCCAAAATTTTTTTATCATGATATTTTTCTTTCTATCATATTTCGAAATACGTTTGATAATTTGTTAGTGTGGAAAAGCAGTACACTTCTCGTCATGGCACAAAATGCGAGGAATAGCACAGGTGGTGCTGAAATGGGGAACCGGCGTACGAATGGCGCTGAGGGCCATATCAAACTCGTTATGCCGCTTTGCGCTTTTTTGCCGGATAATTTTCACCATCGATTTAGGTTAATTATGGCTGTGTGCTAAGGTGGTTAATTTATGCGGATTTATTTCGGTTGAGACAGTATTATGCAATGTGCGTGTGTTTGTGTGTGCAGCAGGCTGGCAGCCCTGCTAGCACGATATAGTTCGGATCTGTTTATTAGCTTCGATTATGAATAATATATTGTATCAAAGTCGTTGGGCGCGTTTTTCATGCGGTGAAGAATATGTAACTGCTGCTTTTGTCTGACGGACATTTTGGGCACACGCAAATTTGGCGCATAATGAACATTTCGAGTACTATATCGGATAATCAGATATGATAAATGGCAGGTGACAATGCTGGGGCTTGATCGCTCGTGCGGAAATAAAAATGAAACGTTCAGAAATTGTTTGTAATAATTAACTTCCGGTATAGGGAAGGGTTATTTGTAAAAAATTTGGAAGTTTTTTTTAAAAAAATGTGAGGACAGGTGCTTTATCCATCGGAAGTTGCTCGTGGATAGAGGATTTTCGAGAAAGTAGCCGTACCTGTAGTATCTGTATTCAATCGGAAATAAGGCTAGGTGCATTTCATTTAAAAAATATTTTTTATGAATTTGTTTTCCGAATTTTTATAATACTGTATTTATTTGTCTTCAAAACTTTTCTTGATCTATTTATAGACTGCGGAGCCCATATACAACCTGCAGCATGACGAGAGCACCAGTCTGACCTCCCAGAAGACATCTCGCACGCAGACAAGCATGCTCACCAAATCGGCCCCCACTCCCTCCGGTTCGGGGGGCTCCGGGAGTGGGGGCTCGGGCGGCATCCCGGCACCGAAACCCTCGATGGACGGCAGCGGTTCCACAACGTTATCAGCCTCCGCCAAATACGCCGAGTACATCTCCAGCCTGGAGAAGTATCAGCATCCACCACCGTCCAAACGGCACGTCACCTTCATCAAGTACCGCGGCCGGCAATGCACCATCGGGATGCTGGCTGTCTTCGCCCTGCTGGTCATTGGGCTGGTGGTGGCCCCTGTTGTTTACTTCACAGGTATTTTATAGTTTACACAACATTCAAAATTATAAGAATTTGATAACATTATTGTAAAGGTCTTGTTTGTGTTTAGCAGTATGTAACTGAAGTAAGCATGCAATGTGCAGTAATAATATAATAATTATTATGTTGCCATTGAATGCTATAAAACAGTTGTTTTTGTTGTTTTATAATTTACCTTGTTGTGACCAAATTATTTAATGAAGGTTATTAGCACTAATGTTTTGAATTGGACACTGTTAAATTCTTGCACGTCATTGAATCTTATTATTTCAGGCTTTTACGGCTGCTTAACAAAATGCAGTTAAAACGAAAATTTAATAGTCGAAATACACTTTGGTAAATTTACAACCCTTTTGAAAAGGTACTCTAAACGGAATGCTGACAATCTGCCAGTACACTACGTTTGCCCGTTGACAGGAAGAGTAGGCTTGAGTTTGATAAAAACATATTGTTCAATTTCTCTAAAAGATCGGCGGTGAATCTTTAGCGTAGTGAAGCGCGTAGACATAAGTGTACAAGGAGCGTGAAATTTGATCTAGCGTCAATGTTTATTTTGTCTTGCTGCAGCCTTTGCCAATAAGAGTCAGAACGCGGATTCCAGTGCAGAGACGCGGCGTAAGTGGTGGTAGTCTTGAGAACAATCCCCTGTTCCCAAGACTGACACAGTGATCTGTATTCTACAGTGACCAACTTCATCAACGGACAGATTACGCTGGACACCACGCATGGTGCCTACGCGGATCTCATGACAGATCCCGCCCGGCCCCCCGACGACGCCGGCTTAAAACGGGTTCAACGTGATATGGAAAATTTGGTATGTGCCATTGTCTGCCGTTCTTACGTATACGAAGTACTCATCTTCGTAGTCATAGATGTTTGTTTTCATGGAATTAAAGTTTATTATTCTTAGAATTATTTCCACTTTCAATTCTCATGTTTTATTGTGTGTTTCCTTATTTCCTTAAATTAAGTCTGCCCATTTATTTCGAATATGAATAGGGATAGGCACATTTTGCACCTGACCAGCGTTTGCAAACTTCTTTGTAAAAAATGTTTTCTTTGGATTGCTCTTGATGTGTTGAGTTTAAATAACTGCAAAGGAATACCAGAAAATACGGAGTCACTGTAGGAAAACTGTTTGTCAAATGCCATCTTTTCCCCTATAAACGACGCCAAAACGGTGGTGAGAGTGGTGGTGCTGAGTGCAGGCGCCGCTGCTCTCAAGTGGCCCAATATGGCATGAGAAGAATGAAATTCGAGACAGCCGTTCCTCACATTGTTGCATCTATGATTCTGTATATGATGTTGATTTTGACCATGGAGCATGTTATTGCTGATGCGGTAACTATCATACATCTTATTGCTCCTCTCTTTTGCTCAAACAGCTCAAAGATGTTCTGCATGGACCTGGCGGCTTCGCCGCTGACGAGGTGAACTCTGTGATGGTCTCGCAACCGCAGCGGTACGGCATCCAAATCAGCGCCTGCGCCAAGGCGACTTGAATTGTTATAGGTGATAATTGTGGTTGTTTAGGCCGGACACGCATCAGATCTTCCTCCGCTTTCAAGTGCTCCTCTCCAGCTCCATGTCGTTGGACGCCGCCGAAGCCAAAACCTCCAAAGCTTTCGCCAGCGCCACCAGCACGGATCCGCTGGGGACTAATCTTAAAACCACACCCATCATCGCCAATTCCCTCTTCTACAGAGGTAGGTGCCGCACACTCGTTTTTGTTCTGTTTGTAATATCATTACCCAAAGCGATATTTTGTGCTTTTGCCTTATTTCGCTTTAGTATCCTTAATTATGGAAACACTGTAATTGAATCAGTAAGAAAGCAGTGCTACTTCTATTTTCTGCTGGAAGATAGCCGACAACCTGTAAAAGTTGTTTCATTCATCGCGTGAACCACTACGTTGTTAGACATTTTGCCGTAATAGTGGCCGGTCCACTCGTTTTGACAAATTATTATGTCATACGGCACTAGTGGTGATTAGCGAAACGCACACGTGCACTCGACATGTCAAACAAGGAAGCTGCACCAGCGTTGACTGGAGTGCTGCTGATCGAGACCGAGCACGATCGGCTGCCAGCATCATTGTTTGCACAGCGCGGTCGATTCTAACTAACCAAAGCCCGTTCTGTCGCCGGGCCAATTAGTTAATCACTACTGCGTAAAACAATCACGTTGCACCACCACGCAACATGTATACAATTTGGCGTTAATACACCATCTCCTCTTTTCCAGCGGTTCCGCAGTCCAACTCCACCTCCGCCGCTGCTGCGGACTTGCAGTTGCTTCCGCCGATCGATGACACCGGGAATGCGCCGCGACCGACACCCACACTGCGCCATCCGACCGTGGGAACCACCGGCAGCACCCCCGCGCCGCCAATGACACCCCCACCACCGGCCAGCAGCCCCATGACGACACGGGCGACTACCACTACCTCGACGATGACGACGACGACCACAACCACCACCCCGCGAACCACCACGACCCCGTCGACCACTCCCCGTACATCCCCGGCGCTGCTGATGAACCCGGACGACGAGACCTTCAGTGTAGCCGGGAAAGTGCCCAACCGAAAACCCACTCGACCTCCCGAGACTACCGCCTGGGCGCCGGAGACCCCAACGTTTGCTTTTACTCTGCCACAGTCACCGACGTTCGCTTTCACCCCACCCCCGCCGGCCCCGAGTGTCTTCACGCGTCCCTTGACTACCCCAGCGTTAACGACGAAGGTGGTGATGCCGGAGTTTGTTCCGACCAGTATGGAACCTAACCGCATGAGCAGCGCACCCGAGTCCACCTGGCCAGTGACGCAGCCACAGGGCGCGCCGCAGTTCACCGGGCCGCAGTTTATCCAGGTGTTTGACCCGCAGGCCGGAACCAGTCGGGCGCCGGGCTTCCTCCCGGAGCTTCCCGACTTCCCACCGCATCAACAACAGTTTAACAATTTCAACAATCAGAACTTTCAGCCGCAACCGGAATCTGGACAACGGCCTCCACCCCCGATGGACAACGCTTTCCATCCGTTGCCGTTCAATCGATTCTCCTTAGATGACGCCAACGCTCAGGCGGCGTCGGAGACGACGGTGTTGACGACAAAGAGTACTACTACGACGAAAAAGGCACCGACTACCTCGACGACGGCGGCACCCACCACCACGGTGGCGGTTACAACGAGTATGCCGAAAGGTGGGGAGATGATGAGAGAGGAGGAAAGGACGATTGCGCCGGAGAAGAGGGAATTTTCCGCCGGCACGGATTCGGCCAATCTGCCCAGCCGGGCTGGGGAGTTTGTCAAAGATGTCGGGGATTTCGGGGAAGCCTTTGCCTCAACGGCGCCGCTCTTAGTCTGTGAGTTAGCTAAAAAAACAATAATGTAAAAAGTGTACAGTTGCTAATATTTTCTCCTTCGATTCGAAAGCTGATGTTAATGATGCCTACAGCGTGAATCTCTTGTATGTACATACCTAGTTCAATAAAATTCGGGGGACATTGTTGGTAATTTTTAAATGCTTCCTTATAGCGGAATGGGGCAACTGGAGCGAATGGGGCGCGTGTTCGTCACCGCGGTGCAGCAGCGACGGCTTTCAGATGCGGACGCGCGCGTGTTTGACGTCAGTTAACGGCGCACCGGCCATTGCTGACCATGATGCTTCCTGCACGGTCAACGGAGGGCAGGGCATTGAGGCACGGCCCTGTGTGTGTGAGAGTGCTGCCCTGCCGGTGACCGAACTGCCGCCGGAGGATGAAACTTACCTGCCCGAACCGGTACCCTCCACGGTGGCCATTGTCAGCACATCGCCTGCAGCCAAAATCAGTCCTGGTACGTTGAAAATTTGCAGTTTTGCGGATTAATTCTTGGGTCGACGGTGAAGGAAGCAAAGAACTTGTAAAGCATCGTATCTGCTTCGAATCCATTTTTGTATTCGGCTTATAATTGAATTATAACTCAGTATTTGCTGTTAATTCGGTCACCCAAATCCTGAAGTTTAAAGAATTAATTCAGAATTTCAAATATAAAACATTTATAAATTGACAATAAATGAGCTAACACCAAAACCTGACCATTAAATAGTTTTCATGTGAACGGATCGTATTAACGTGCGCTGGTTTGATGGTGTAGTGACCTGGTCGGAATGGACTGAGTGGTCGGTGTGCTCCATCGCCCCGTGTCATCCCAGCGGCATCCAGACCCGGCACCGTACCTGCCGCCTGGACGCCCAGCAAGTCCCTGATGAAATGTGTTTGGCTGCTGAGGGCGCTGCAGTGGAGACGCGACCCTGCGACTGTCCGCTCGAGACGGTGACCCCGCCGGGCGGGGAAGCCGAGGCTGTGACGACGCCCACCTTTGTGCGGCCCTCGACGGGTGCCCGTGACGGCGCAGTGCAGCCGCAACGGAACTTCAACATGCAGATCCAGAATCGGCCGTTGCAAAAACGCCCAGCAACCAATAGTCTACCGCGAACCTGCACCTTCTACGAGAAGCCCTGCAATAATGGACAGTGTATTCTTTCGTATCGAGTCTGTAAGTGTGGCATGCGTCGCGTGGACTGTGTTCACGTTAAATTGTAGAGTTATATGCAATAGCAGTCGTTCTGAGCAGTTCGGTCAGTGTTGTGAATAATTTTTTCTGTGATTAATTACAGGCTCTGTACCCGTTTAATCGTAGTGTTTGATTAACAGGTGATGGTTTTCCTGATTGCTCTGATGGAAGTGATGAGCCGCTGGGCTGTGGCCGCTGTTTCAGTGGCGAATTCAAGTGCACGAATGGCCGTTGCATCAGCGAGTCTCTAGTTTGTAAGTCACAAACCACTTTTTACTATTTGAAATTACAAATTAGTGAGAACATTGCTAGATGCTAATATTAAGGAATAATTGAAGCCTGTTGTTTATACGCGTGAGTCTTGTTACGAGATGAGAAACGAGAATATAATTTGTTTATGCGCAGGTGATGGAAAGGACAATTGTGGAGACGGTACTGACGAGTTCTTCTGCTAGACGAGTAGACGACACATCGGTCGGCACCCGCTGACCTGCGAGAGCGGTGCTGACCTTTGTGGCAAATGGGGTGATTGCCTGTGCTGATGCGCTGACGCATGCCTGGCTATCCTCGGGTGATTTGGGATTTGTTGCTCCCTCCTCTGTGTGTGTTTTTTATTGCTCCATTCAGCCGCGCCTTCCTTTCAATGTGCCTGCTTTGAAATGCGCAACACACTGCTAAGACGATTTTTAGAATTTTTATGCCTCAATTCTTAGCTTCTCGTTACACAATTATATTCCTCTGTATTATTTTTCAAGAAATAAAACGCTGCTGTTACGGTCATCCCTATCTTGCACATGTACGGATATTTAATCTGAATTATGCAAATTTAATTAGGAGAAGTTTTTTTGGAGAAAGTCATTTTGTTGCAGATTACATGGTGTAGAACACTTTTGCCGATTGCCGAGGTACACAGCGCAAGGTTACTGGATCATATCTATATTTTGTTTTACGGTAATCAGGCATCATGCTGAAAAATGTACGGCGATGTTCTACATTACACACGTACAGACACGGAAGGGTTATTATTACGTACTTAATGACCCGCATTATGTCAGAGCCGGCCGCAGTTTTTGTGTGAAGAATAGCGAAATATAGATATGAGACGTTCGTCATTGCACAAAATCTCAAGCACAGCGGAAAGCGAAACGGCTTCACCGGGCAGAGCGTTCAAATGGTTGTAGCTGAGGATGCTCTTCCAGGAGGAGTGCCGCTTTGATGATCAGTCCTGCCGATGGTAGGACGGCGACCAAACAAAAGGTTTAACTGCAATTTGCAGTACGTACAAGTACGGATTGTTCTAGGTGTCGGGTGGCCCAAGCTGCCCCAAAGGGCTAAATCGATGACCCTGGGTAGCGTGTCGGTGTTTTGTGGCATTTATTTCGGATTGTGCTTCCCCGACTAGATCGTGTGTTCTGAGATACTCACCTGGTCAGATACGTAACAATGACATAATATTATAATACAAGAAACAGCTTCGGCTTCGCCTCCGCGTTTCTTGTGATCCACGGCCGGTGTGAATGGAGAATTCATATAGTTCATCAGTACTCGTAAATGTATTAGCAGCCTTAGCAGTGATTGTACAACGTCTTGAGGAAAGACTCCAGAATCTAAATGGGATTGCTGATGTGTCCTACCAAAAAATTATAAGTTGAACCACGCATGGACAGATGGACTGGACTGTAGTAGAAGCTCGGTCACACTTTCACCTAAAGATTCTTCTCACTGGACAATGGGGTAGTTCGGTAACTCACTCGTCTTGGTAGCTCTGTCACTCGCCACTCGCTCATCTGGAGCTTCTGATCATTGGACACTGGTGATCGCTGGGGCACTCATTCAGATCCAGTGATTTTTCTTACTGGACAGTGGTAACAGCTCGGTTACACACTGTTCTAAAGATTTTGCTCATTAGACAGTGGTGGTAACTCTAACACTCACTCATCTGCTCACTGGGTAGTTCGGTCACTAACTCGTCCAGTGATTTTTTTCGCAGTGGTGGTAGCTGTGTCACTCACTCATCTAGAGATTCTCCTCACTGGACAGTGATGGTAGTTCGGTCACTCACTCGTCAAGTGATTTTTCTTACTGGTCAGTGGTGGTAACTCGGCCCATCATTTCTCTACAGATTTTGCTCACTGGACAATCAAGGAAGTTCGGTCACATTGGGTCACTAACCTAGCTTCTAATTTATCTTACGGGACAGGGGTGGTAATTCGGTCACTCCCGCGTTTGGTGTAAATTTGCGTTGTTGATTAACCGAGACATATTTCGAGTTCAGCTTGTTTGGAACGCTTTAAGAAATATGAAAACTTTTCTTTTTTGCGTACTTTGTTCTGAATAGGAGTTAAACATTATGGGGCGCTAGTAAGTAGTCACACATTAGTAAAGGCAGGTCTAGTGAGTGTGTTTAGCAATATCAAACCGCCCGATAAACTTCCAGCACCTTGAAACAGCGTACAATTGTGCCGACAACAAAAACCGGGAGGCTAAATTCTTATTAATTTTGTGCTTGGTGCCGCACGAAAATAAGTACAATTTATTTATTTTTCAGTTTAATTATTGCAATATGTCAATTTATGTTTGTAATGTATCCAGGCAAATTTTTTTAAGTCCCAAGGTCACCTTGAAAGTGGGTTTGATCGTTTGCGGCGTTGTGCCGACACGATTCTGGTCGAACGAATTTAAAAACGAAAATCATGTGAGCCAGTTCTGGACCGAGGTCGATCTATTGACGTTGTCAGTTTTTAAAAAAATGGTTTTGCTTATTGACATCTGAAAACTATGGGGCGCCGCGCGTAGTACAGATCTTGTACTTAATAATAGATATTGCAATATATGATTTCATATCAAGCTAATTTTGAGTTTGGTACACATTTTGTCCTTGAGAATGGTACGTGCCGTTAACGTTTAACGTAGAACTTTGAATGATTTAGGACATATATCTATACAGCACAGAAGCAGAAATCTTTTTCACCAGAGATAACACAGTTTGGCAGGGTTTTAGGTTTTAGATTTTGGCAAAATATTAAATTTAATTCTTAGATTAAACAGTGATCTAGCCGGCTTGAGTCCCCTTGGTCGTAACTGGCTGAAAGGTCGGCTGCTTCGAAAAATCTCCTTATAAACGATTTCTTAATCGTCGGCGCAAGTTTTTCACGCGGCTTGAGCGTACATTTCCACTCAGTTACATATTTTAGCCTGCCACCCGGTGCTGAGTTATTTCAACATTAATTTGTCCTGTATCTTCTAAAAATCGGATCCAAAACCTCAAATCCTGCTTTCCAAAAAATCGGATCCTGCTTTCCAAAAATTTCTTGTAATCTTTGAATCTCTCAGCGCTCCGCCTAATGTTTTTTTTTTAAATTCTAAGTGCTGAAGAGGTCTCTTAAGTGGAAAATTTTTCTTTTTAGGAATTTCAACACTATATTTTAATTTATAGCAAGCCGGCTATTAATTAAATAAATTCCCTATTGGTGTAAATATACAATTATAAGCTTAGTAACAGTGCAGTTAATACATAAATGATCTAAGCAACAGGAATTGCTAGTATTTCAAGGTCACCTTGAAAGCTGTACCGGAGCCAGTTTTGCCGTAACCGGCATCGGTGGCACGGGCAAAATTTTTTTTAAAGAAATAAAATGCATGTGACACAGTTTCGAAACATGCTGAATCTAATGGCGTTTACAGTTTTTTTCATTATGCTATAGTTTTCCCGATCTCGTGGCCTCAGATTTTTATGTAGTTGTAATATAGATCTAGTTCCTTGATAGTTCCTTGATAGATATATCGTGAGTATTCGTACAAACGTACTTAGCGTCCTACATTAGCCTTCCTTTGTTCCACATAAGTAATCCCAACACTGTAAATCGGTCGGGGCGGTTGCCGCCGGTTCGGGAAGTACTGGTAGGCAGTGGTAGCCAAAAAAGGTCTTTTCACGCTGCAGAGCTGTGGAATAAAACGTTTATGTACAGTACCTGTACAAGTTATTGTAACTCAACGCAGATACGATGGTACCGTACTAGTAAACCTTGTGTACCATATATAGTTTTTGCGTTGAGTTACAGTACAATAAATAAAGTTAATAAACTAAAATGCAGATAAATCGTTGGGTGCGATAAAGCGAATCATGACATAATTAGAGCACGTAGGTAAAGTTTCAGCGTTAATGATATTATGATGTTGAATCCAAGAATGCTCCTGTTGATGAACAACAACAAAAGGCTCAATAGCACGTTTAGGTTTAGTACCATTGATCTGCCACGTGACCCCGCTTTCGAAGCTACGATTTGGCACCTGGCACTATTCAAAATTCCTCAGCAGTTTATACTTTACCGTTTCAGCGCCAAAAAGTTGAACACGGCTGATGCAATCGAATCTTTCCTAATCGTTCTATTCCACTACGCTTTTCGAAGGTTTCGTTAATTAATTGATTATATATGTCTCAATTTTTGCACACGCGAACTGCAACGATATTAAGCGTAAGAGATTGAACGCTTTGACGTTGTGTGAGTGTATAATGTATTTGAATTTTCCATAATTTCTATCGTGGCGGGATAAGCATTCTAGGATAGCTTTTCGGGTGCAGAAACCTAATTTGGTTATCAAACATAAGTAATCCAGTCGCGTCACAATTTGTCACCGATCAGAGGCTATGGCAGTCAGGATGAGGCGGCATTGGCCGAATACGATCATATTGTGCCTGACGATCGTCATCATTGTGGCCAGCACGCATTTCCGCTTGGCCTCAACGTGCCTGATGCCTCCTCCCAAGTCGGCCATGGACTGGGCGTGCGAAGGCAGCGATCCACAGAATGCCCACTGCGTATTTGGGTATCTTGCGCAAAGTATGTTTGAGTACAGTTTTTCATAAGCGTGTCAAAGGCGGTTAGCGGGCAGCACCGTGCATTGTATTGTACTCAGTAGCAGGGATTTTTCATTCTAAAATTATAATATACTGTATATATCAATTTATATTGTGCCCTAGCCCATTTGATATTTTGGAGCTTTTATGTTTTCTTCGCTTGAAGTTTTATTTATTTATAGAACGCAGCTTGTAGTATTTCCGTTATGTGATCATGGGCTCGTGTATAATAAATATACTGGATCGTTTCAGAACGCCCTGTTACGAAAGACATCAAAGCACCAGAAGGCAAGCCTTTCGAGCTCCATTGCGAGCCACTCGTTCGCGTGAAACCGCTGTTGTACGAACGAGACTGGCCGCAGCACGGAGCGGGTGGCCGACTGCGCATGTCGGCCGGTGGCTACTTCTGGACACTCAACGGCACCGTCGTCTACTGCGGCAGAGCGCGCTGTTCGATCCATCGGCTGACCTTTGCATCCATCCGTCGCGCTGACGCCGGCACCTACACTTGTGCTTACCTCCATCCCTGCGAATACGAACTTTCTCGGGCGGAGCGGTACAGCTTTTGCCCTCTCGAGTACGGCATTGCTGTCCGTCTCACAGTTGATCCAGCTTCGAAAGGTCAGTGCTGTTCTTCCTCACAAAGTGCGGTAAATTCATAATAATTCATTAATATTTCTTGCTGTAGTACCTATTCTAAGTGACAACCGGTGGATGCCAAATAAAACAATGCATTACTTTAGTGATACACTGATGTATAGATACAGAATATAATGACCATAAATGCGTACATATTAAAATGTTATTTTTATTCCCGAGAATTCTGTGGCAATGATGGCGGAACGTGCGGCACTGCTTTAAGTTCAAAAAGTAGCAGAAACCTGTAGCGCAATTAACCGCAATAATCGTAGCACTGCTTTCAGCTGTAAATAACACGGAACAGCCTACCTTCGCAAGAGTGACAGCGCCATGGAAAAGCAGCGGTTCCTGTGCTGTGACCTCTGCGTTCCCTTGGACAACCATGATCAGCACGCTGTTATGGTCGACAAATTTCCACTTAAAAAAAATTTCCTCTTGGCGTACCTTTTAAGTTGACTGTGCTTGTACTGATATTTTAATATTGTGCATTGTTTCTGGCTGAATCGCTAAATTAACTGCGCGTGCTACTGTCTGTGCAGCCGTTAGCGCATGGAATCTCGCCGCATCGGCGCGATTCAGTATGCATTGCAGACATTGCTCTCGATCACGCGAGCTCCGTATACGCGAATGCATAACTGTAGATTTGATTGGGCCAGAATCCTCCGGGAATCATGCACATTCACTGCGTTACGCGAGATCACTATTTTGACTCGCGCCTTATTACGCTTGTTAGTCCATGTTCCCGTGAAAGTTTATGATGTTAGCATTAATTATTTGTTTCGCATGCGTATCTAAATCACTTTCGTTGAAGTCATTGTACGTACCCACATGATAATACGCATGATACGGAAAAAGGTCAGCGTCATAGAATCAGCTATGGCATAACTCTACAAATAAAAGAGAAATATTCCAATGACACAATTTGTCGAATTTTATACATTAATGAATGATTTTCTCTATTAAATTTGGATTTTGCAGCCAGTTCATTTCACATGTTGAAGGCAGCCATCCTCGTCCTCTTTTTTCTGGTAAGGTCTCGATCAGTTGACAATACGCAACAGTCGCAGGGCTCGCACCCATATGACGTGCAGTAATTCAGATTGGTGGCACGTACTCAATACTCATGCAACGAAATTGACAAACGGTGAAACACTGGTGATGGCTGGTACTTAGTTGAGCCAACACAAAAATTCACAAAGAACGAATGGCTACCGACACTGATTGTGAAAGCTTTAAACTATGTTTGTCCGGAAGCTACATACAAGTACTGCTTCTGATCTGCGGATAAGCTACTAAGTAGACACCCGTGAACGAGGCTCGGAATATTCAATTTCAATTTGAAGTTGTGAACTGCTCAACCTTGTGAGTAACTAAAACCATTTTCCTACCTTCATCACTGCGTGACCGCAGGCAAAAACGATGACGATGTAATACTAACAATAAGTACGAGAATCAATTATATCGCGGTAAATAGTTGACGTCGCTCGCTCTGCGAACATTTTTTCCATTAATTTCATGTACATGTGCGGTTGGTCGGGAACAGTTGACCTGTTCAAGGTCGAAGATGATCTGCTCACTGTGGAACATTTCCGGCGCCGCTCCTGACTCTTCCATTGGTCCCGCTGAACAGAGTATATGGGGGATAGTGCTGTTAGTGTCGCTAGCCAGTAACCTTCTTCCATTGTGGCTGCTTCTTGAAAATCGTCGAGCACTGCGCTCTTTTCACGTGCACGTTATGAGCATCTTTGTGGCTAATGTCCTGTTCAGCATCGGCGATATTTCCGTAAGCTACTTCATCGCTCCGGTGTATGGCGACGACGAGGAGACGCCGGGACTGTGTGCTATGCTGGACTACCGCGGACTGGTGCTGCCGGCTGTTCTGCTGTACTCTGAATGGATTCTGACCTTTAATCGCCTATCCGCCGCGCTGTTCCCGGTTTTCTATCGCAATGTGTACAGTCCTCTTGTGGCGATAAGCATCTCCGTCAGCGTGATCGTATTGGTCCACGCCGTGATTGTCCCCGAAATTTCCCTTGTCCATTTGTCCCAGGATTATGATGCAGCTGTCTGCGCCTATAGAAGCAACGTCACCAACTACACACAATACAGTAAGGCGGTCTCGATTGTCGCCAGCCCAGTTCCGTACGGTCTGATCGTTGTAACATTCGCTGGAATCTGCCTCAAGCAGTGCTCACACCGCGGTGGGTCCAGACGACGACAAATGTCATCAGCTTTTGTCACCACAACGGTTACCGTGGTCACACAGCTGCTGGCGTGGCTGCCATCGAAGTTCAACAATTATCTATACGAATATGACCCCGCCCACTACAGTCCGTACTTAGCGCGGATTGGCGCGTACCTGTACTATGTTCCCATTGCACTGGGCCCCATCCCCTTGTTCTGGACGATTCGGGAGCTCAAAGTGGCGTTCAAGAACAGGATTCGCTGGGCCAGAGAAAAGGGGCGTGGCTGCTTTGCCCGTGGCGAGGTATTGCCGGCAGTGAGTCCCATTTCCATGGGCGTCTTAACGCGCAGTTCCACTTATACAACGACGACCGTTGTCTCCAATTAAGTATTTCTACTTTTATTAGGCAGAATTTGAAAGTGGGGCAGCAGTTACCCACTGACCATGCACATTATTGGACGAGATTTTTGTTGGTTTTTTATTTGCGCTTGTACAAACAGCTATAGTGCTTGCAAGTAGCAGTATGCAGTAATTTACTGTAATCTCGCAGGTGAACCTCCAAGGATTTATCGCTTACTTTAGTAAAATTTAATATACATATGTACTGTATTTGGTCAATGTTGGCAGCGTCGCACAGACACCAAAAAACTATGCAACGATAAGAACACAAGATGTCAAATCACCAACCGCAATCGCACCAAAGTAAGACAGATTAAGAAACCATACATTCCGTAAAGTCAAGTTGCCAATTACTAAAAAGGTCACCAGTGCCGGCTACCCAGACAATTAAGAGATCAGTCAAAGATTTGTAATATGCAGTCATAATACACAATTAACAAAAAACTACTATCAGTGCTTCTTTCGCGCAGCCGGTTTCTTTTCCTGCTGAGCCATCTTCTCGTGGTGCGCCTTTTCCCGTTCCGCTTCCAGATCAGCTGCTTTCAGTCGCGCCACCTCCGCCAGCCGGGCGCGCTCTAGCAGCTCCATGTTAGCGTCTTTCAGCTGTGCATTCGTAATAAAGTGTTCGTTGAACACCGGCGTGGAGCGGCGACGCAGCGGCCCGCTGTCAAAAAGGACGCGGTTGTTGACCGCCGGGAGTTTCCGCTGCCGGTACTCCAGGTACCCGGGATCGTCAACCAGCTGCCGCAAAGCGCCCCATTCCCGGTGGAAATATTTACACTGCTCCACCACCCTCTGGAGGCTGGACACGGTGAGGTCCAGGAGACCCTCCAGCCCCGGGTGCTCCCGGAGGTACTGCGTATTTGTGGTAGTGTTATCCAACTGGGCGACGCGCTGGTTCAGAGCGAAGAGGATCTCCATAAATGAAGTGAACTCGTTGACGTTTTCCTGCTGCTCATGAATGACTGCCTGGGCGGCGTCTGACTGGGTCTGGAAGTCCTCCTGGAGGCGGTCGACTGTTCGGAGGAGAGTGTCATGCCGGGCGCCACTGCGCGCCTCCAGCATCTGGCGTTCGCGCTGGAACATGTCGAATTCTGGACGAAGTACGGTGCGAAGGAGGTGGTCGAGGCGGGCGGTGCTGCTGTCCAGGGACTGCGCCTGACGCACCTGCCCTCGGAACACCTGCACCAGCTCGCGGGCATTACCGGCCTTAGTCAGGTCTAGAAGAGTAGCAAAGGTGCGTTGCAGCTCGGTGTGGGTGGGCAAAAGGGTGTCCGGAGGCCGCTTACTCCCAGGGCGGTTGCGTATAGCGCTCAGGGCGTGCGGGAACGGTTTGATGATGGGGTCACAGCGGAGGGGGCAGGCATTGGCGCTGCTTTTGAGGGTGGCGTTCAAGGTTACCAGCTGCTCCATACATTGCCGACAGATGGCCTTGTGCTCCTCCAGCGCCGCTTGCACATCCCGCAGCATGGCGTCGCGGATGCGCTCGCTCCTGCGCATTTCTTCGCTGGTGCTGGCGAAGGACTTTTCCGCGCGCTCCTTGGCCCGCGACGATTCGGCGAAGACGTTAGCCAAATAGGTCATCTCCTTTTCCTGCAGTCGGATTCGTTCCTACATGTGAATTGCATGGCACTTCACAGAGGTCACTCAGGATATACAATTTTAACACGGTAAGGAGCAAAATTAAGGCAGGAATACCTACACTGCATGCAAGTCTTCAAAGGTCACACAAAAATTACCTCCAAGTTAATCAGTGTACTCTCGAAGCGGTTGGCGTCCTCGCCGAGATATCCGCGGACCCGACCCAGTTTCCGTCCCATGTCGGCCATGAGGTCGACGTACACCAGCGTCCCGTTGATGCCTTCAATCATCTGGCGTGTCTCCCGGGCCAGCCGATTTAGCACCGTATTGCTGGTGTCGGCCTTGAACGCCGTTTCGCCCGCTTCCCGTTTCTCCCGCTCCAGACTCTCCAGACGCTCACGGGCCAGCCGCTCTTTGATCGCCTGCTTCCGGGTCTGCAGTCGCCGGTACGTCTGCGCATCCTAAACGCTGCATTGGATTATATTATTTCATCAGTTACTGCCACTCCGCCACATTCCATGTGGAAAACATTACAGGCTCTGAGGTTATATATACTCGTAGTTACAGGCCAAATGGCCAAAGCATCAGAATGGTCGACTCCTATTAGAAATATTTCGTTTTACGTTTGCTTTCGTTTTATAATTTTGTAAATTTAAATTATAAATTATATCCAATAAACTTTTATAAAGTTCCACAAAAGTACTTATTCAAACTTATTAACTACGAGCTAATCACTTATTAGTATGAGGGCGTCAAGTCGGTTGCAGTAACCGTAAGATTATTGCGCTCTTCAGCGTAACCCCGCCAAAGTTACCGGTAATACTAAAAAACAGCTGCACCGGCACAGACATAAAATCGAGAATGAATGTGGCATCTGAATGAAATTTCTTATCTACCATACGTGATGAATATCATTATATTATCAGGATCGGTTTATAAATAGGAAGTCTTACTAGCTTCCTGCGCAGATACATGATCTTTTTCTTCAGCACACTCTTTGCTTCCGGCACGGTCATGCGACCATAAGCCAGCGCCTCCTGTTGTCCGCGCCCGAAGCGGACGAACATATCGCGGAGAAAGCCGGTATCGTCGGTCTCCGTGGAGTGGATGGCCGCCTGGGCGGCATCCCGGCGTTGCACCAGTGCGGCCACATCGCGGCTGAACTGAGCGGTGCCGGTGCGGCAGTGCTCGTCGAACAGACGCCCATCGTACTCCACCACGTGCAGTACCAGCCGGGAATGCTCTAGTTCCTCAATCAGTTGCTCCGGTTGGATGCCGGGCTCGTCCGACTCCGCGGTCGGGTCGGTTGGCTCCTGTAGCTGCATGCCGGGAGAAGGTTACATTGTTGTGGGGGATGTCAGCTTGTCAACCGGCTTTAACTGGTGTTATTGTGGTATTCTGCATTTTATGCCAACGGCTAACGGTCAAAATGTATGACAGTACTAGTACTAAAAGCACCTTCAAAATGCCGGTTAAATGTTTAGAAACACATACATACTCAAGTGTACACAATAATTGTTGACTTGTTGTATTACGTTGCTATCCAATTAAGTTTACCGGATGTATGTACTGGTAGAATCATTATTCACAGTATTAATACAATAATCATTATTCACAGTATTAAAATATGATGGCCATGCACACACAACAGTTATGCACCGTATTCAGTGTTCATATACGGTACTTACAAATTTACAACTGTAATTAATTAATAAGTCTTCATTACCTACGGACTTTGTATTAGGCGCAGGACATAAAGTAGCCATATGACGCATATGAAAGGAATAGACCGTACACTGTAAAGGATTCTGATACGGAGTATAATCATACCCAAGAAAATTGTTGTTGTTTGTTGAACAACTCTGACCTCCTATCCAATAAGACGCTTAACCAAGGGAACACATACGTACTGTACTGCAAATCATGGACGCCAACTCGATATATCAGTTTATTTAAAAACAACACCAGAATTAATTTTGCTCTCAGGCATTCTCGCAAACACAACCACAAGAATATTTTCTGGCAGCAACAATGCACACACATCTATTTTTTGCCGGTTTTCTGCTCAATGGCTTTGCGTTTCTCCTGCAGCCGTCGGACTTCTTTGTTCTGCTGCTTCTTGGAGTGCATGATCTTCTCGTAGAGATGCCGTTGCTTTTTGCCCATCATCATCACCGATAACTTCTTCTCCTCCGCCGCCTCTAACTGCGCCGTCCGCTCAGCCTCCTCGCGCTTTGCTATGCCGCGTTTTACCGCCATCTACCGTTCCAAAACACTCAGCTACCATAAACGACTCCAAAAGCAACTGGATAATAAGCAATGCGCTCACACTGACCTCAGGTTTTTCTTGGTTGGTCGGTGGCTTCTTTTTGCCCTTGGATTTCTTCGGGGATGTTTCGTCGTCGGCATCTTCGTCTTCCGAATCGCTGGGCTTTTCTTCCCCGGCATCCAGTCCTACAGAACAGTTCAGGTTTTTGAAAGTTTGGCCCGGTAAATATTTGAATCAAATTACTGTTTGCGTTACGAAAATGATAAAGCTACTAAAAAGGCTGACAGCCAAACAAGGGTTTTTGTGCCAATGAACTACAGTCTGACTCAATTCAGCAAAACAGAAATGCAGCAAACAAACCGATATCGGGCAGACGCTGAGTGGCCGCCGGTAGTATGATGGGCTCCTTGATGGGCTGGTAGCGGGAGTTATCGGCAAAAGGTGACAGGTGAGGCGGCAATTTCTGACCAACGAAGTATGGCTCCACCGGCAACAGTTCGCGGGCGTTGATAGAATCGAACACCCACTGCGGCTGCACGTAATGTCTATTAAAAAAAGGCAAGATTATGCGGGAGCAAGGCAGCCATCCACACTCGACAACCACTTCCAAAAACTTCCATAAAAAATAATCTCGCAAAAAAAAATAAATAATAATTTCAGTTTTCCACAATTAATTAAATTTAATTTCTTGCAATTCTATTTATTCACAGAATTAAACAACAGGCATCAAGAAATATCGCACCATAAAACCAAACCGGTTCGCAAAAAAGGCAATTATTGGGTCAACAACAATCCTTGCAGAAACACTGTGTCAAGTAGGGTTGAAATTCATGAGGTTCAAACCCAGTTTTGAAAGGAAATGAAATGAAACGTGAGATGAAAAGAAATGAAATGAAACGTGAAATAAAATTATTTAAAAAAATTGATTATTTTAGTAATATTAATTATCACACTTTAATAACTTTTTCTGCTGTATCAAATATTTGTTTCCAAAATATCATTAGCAAATCAAGATATGGTTATCGCCACTCCCAAAAACGGTTCGAGATTACAAAATGTCTATACTTTATGCTCAACCGCAAAACCAATAAGTAAGAGTTTAAACCTGTCGCTTTTGGTTTTATCGTATCTCTAGAGATTCTGCACTGATTGTGTTAAACATACCGTTCCAAAAAGATTTATTTTTGTATTTGCCATAAGTTCATAAAATTTGGGGTACCTAGTTGTTATAAGCAGGAAGCGAAGTCAGATTATTTTACTAAGTGCTAGTGGCGTTTGCTACTTGCCATCTGCGGATGTCCAACGATCGAATTAGAAACAGTTAAACTGTAAACATACTCGCTAATACGTATACCGGTGGATAAATCGCGTTTACACGAAAAGCAGTCAAACCTGGGCCAGGTTTTATAACTTTTTACACAAAATTTTATGAAACATGTTAATTTCATGCGGTATCGTCGTATTTCAAGTGATTCCACAATTTCACGATTTCTTTCATTTCACGTTTCATTTCATTTCCTTTTCACATTTCACGGGAGGGTCCGCATGATTATGAAATGATTTGAAATGAAACATGAAAGATGAAATGCATGAAATCATGATTTCAACCCTAGTGTCAAGTAGGTATTCAAAAAACGTTGAAGGTCATGCTGATCAATGCAGTCGCGATGCAGACAAATGCCCACACCATATCCCGCAACATACCCGTTGAGCACCTGCTGGCGACGCTCCACCGGTCGATCGACAATCTGATAATTAATGGTTTGATCGTCCTCCGCGAATGTCGCCCCGAATGCCGTCGTGCGATCCCAGGAGCATTCCCCTCCACATGATCTGCAACCGAGATGCACCAGCCACATTAAACCATATTTAAACAAACGTCCGTCTTTTGCCAACCTGATCGCAAACACGAGGGTTTCGCGCGGCACTTCGCGGTTAAGAAAGAATTTCATCCCGGCGAACAGTTTCTGAAGTCTACGGGTCTTCTCGAATTCCTTGCGGGTCGCTTCCGCAGCAGCCATATCGGTCTCCTGATAAAAAGACCTGTTTTTCTAACCACAAAAGATAATGTAATAAAACTTGTACCGTTGTGGCGGGGAATTCGTCCAAGGCGGCATCGTCTTCGATGCCCGACGCTGAACTCAAAAGCGTCTGATTCAGTGCAAAAATACGCTGCAAAATAACAAATGCCTGATAGATATAACTTAGTTCTGTAAACGAGGCAACAAATTCAACAAGCCATTCACCTCTCTGAAGTTTTCTTCAACGTTAACCAAATCCCGATCATCCGCACGATTGACATCGTCCTCTCCCGCAATCTGTACAAAACCGTTCGATTTGTCAATAAGATTGCGGGCGAACAGACTCATTCGCCCACCTTGGGTGGATAGTTGAGATTGAGCTGAGTGAACAAGTGGAAATTGACGAATCCCAGCATGGTGACGTAGAATTCGGTGAAGGTCAGCATGATCTTGAAGTCAACATCGGCTGGCTGGTGGCTGGGCAGAGCGTGCGGTGTTATCCAAGTGACGGTCTGGCCCTGGATGTCCGCCTGGTAGTATACGCCCTTGATGGACACAAACACCTTCCGCAGCGCTTTGGCCGCCATCACGTAGTGCATGAACTCCACTGCAAGGCACACATTAACAGGAATCCGACTAATTGTAAGTATACGCCATTAGAAATGTAAAAAGCACCGTGCAGTACACAAACGAAGCCAAAACGTTTCTGAAAAACAGCTAGTGAGATTTTAAACGGAGCAAAAAACTGCAACTAAATCCGCTTTTATGCTGCGCCAGGTTGAACGTACAGCAACTCTACCACTACTGACTACAATACTCCAGTCAATAATGTCAATTATATTCTGCATACGCATTAACAAGAGTAGGGGATTCTCTGCCTGAGAAGCTGTCTACGCAATAAAAATAAACTGTTTCCCGCTTTGGTTTTACTAAAATAATTTTTACACATAACAACCAATACAACTTTTTTAAATTAATTCAGCCCGGTTATGCCGGCATTCTATGCAGCCTTTACCGGTTAAACGGCGACATAGCCTGACAATTCTTTCCGGTGTGCTTCGCGATTTGGGAAATGTGGCGAACAAGAAGCACATGGACAAGCAGTCGTCCAGGTCTCTCACGGCGTCCACAAAACTTGGATACCTTCAAAAAGTAAGATTTTCATTTTAGCCGCAACTTCGTGTGCAACTTACGGTAATAATAAAAAAATGGAAAACCGAAGCATTTTTCCACGAAAGAATTTAAATTACACTTTGATTATTTAAATTATTAAAACAACGCCACATGAGGGTTACTCTAATGAAACAGAAAACGTTCATGGCATAGGCATTACTATTAGGCAATTTACAACTGCGTATGTAATCATCAGCTGAGAATGCGCACCTTTCCTTGACAATATGATCCAATTTATAAACCGGTTTATTCCGTTTCAATCGGGCTGCCGACTCGCCATCCTTATAAACTTCTGCTTTTTTCAACTTTTTGATGAAAACCTGCAAAAAAGCACCCTTTCCACAAAACTTCCAGGGGACGCGACGCACAAAACGAGCACCTTAAAATCGCGGAATTTCTGAATAATGGGATCATGCGCCAGATACTGGATGTCCTTGAGGAAGTAAAAGGTCTTCACGCCGGTGCTTCCCTTGTTGGCCTTCTTTTTATTACGCGGCTCGTTAGGATAGACGCCCTTGAGGATGCACAGGCGCCTAAAAAGCAGATCAAGAACTCAGTAGGGTTCGCCGATTTCTGCACAGCCATGACTACGACTAGCAGCCTAACACAGAATAGTAAAGTGGTTAGCGCACCTAAAGTCTTTCAAGGATATTTGAAGGCGTTTCACCGCCTGCGATCGGGAGATGTATTGAGTGGCCGTTCCCGCGGCGAACTACGAGAGCCCAAAAATGAAGAATATCGTAGGCAAACTGACGTACAGATACTTTCAGAACTGGCGAAATCGGCTCACCTTCTTCTTCATCTTCCCCATTTTGCGCTCGCCGGACGTTCAATCAATGCTACCTAATGAATCCTGCAGGTAAAAGAATTTCCGAAACACCAGATTCAGAAGAAAAATAAAAAAAACTCAAGAAACCTGAAAGTTTTATTACTGTTAACTGTGGCATTTTTTTACAGGACCAAAAATGCAGATGATCGGTGACTAGCGGCTGCCTTCCCAGGTAGTTAACGGCAGTAGTCACCGAATGCAAATTCCATACTTCACCCGAGCAGCAGTTGTATTAAGTTTCGATCTGCTTTCCGGTTGTATCTGACGATCATGTCGGCGGCCGCAAAATGCGAGTAAGTAGAACTGAAACTGCCTGTAATTTCACACGTCGTAATGACTGCGTTTGCGCTGTGACACAGTGACTTTCTTCTTTTCAGTGCATCAGGATTTTCGAAGAGTTTAAAAATCCCAAGACCATTGCAGCCCTTAACAGCACTGGGATTCGCTCAGCGGTTGTGGTTGTGTCTGTCTCTTTTGTGTCGGTTAGAGCCGAAGCAGTTGAAGTTTGTCAGTTTGTGCTGCAACTCACCGTCAGTGCGAAGAATGGGTCCCCGTGAGCCAGCACGCCAAGTGGTCTTTATCCGCAAAACCAACGACGGCAATGTCCAGCGTTTGGTCCGCGAGCGCTATCTGCGCAGCGATCTACCCTGTGGGAGTCCGCAGTGTCGGGTCTGTCCGCCAGCTCCCGGTCACAAATTGCACTCGCAGCCCAATATCGGAGTGTCCACTCAGTTCCCGCAGGCGCATTACACGGTGCCCACGCTGGAAGTCGTCATGAATCAGGTTCACGAATTACGAAAATTTTGTTTGAATTCTGAGTAATTTTTCGTTTAAGCGTTTTTAACGAATGTTTCAACTGCGTTGGCCGTTGCAGAGACGATGGTTAACCAAAAATAATTAATATCAGCTGATTATTACATGCAATAGTTGTCAAAATCTGTAACTTGCAGTTACTTACTTATCAGTTAGTTGATTAATCGTACCAAAATTGATCACTTGCCAATTCGGTATTTTGACTGCTTTAAACCGTTTATTGTAATTGTGCATGTGATTCTAGATGGCCTTTCTGGAGCATCCTGATGTCAAAAATATTTTAATTATGTCCACTGTCGCTGAAGAAGTAGGTATCACTTTAATGATTTCATCTGCTAAATTCATGGGATCACTTCAATTTTTGCTAAATACTTCATGATTTATTTACCGTGTTCTGTTAACAGTTAACTTGTCTAGGTGGAAAGACTGAATTTTCCCATATTTGAGCGATTAAAAGCGCTTCATACGAATCCTTCCAAGCACGTGTTTTGCTTTGCCAATGAATACCACAAGTAAATTATTCGGCTTAATTCAGTGTTTTTTCAAGGTAGTGCAAGCAAAATTTTTTGTCCACCGATAATGAAAGGATGCTTCTTAAACAGGGAATGTTTCGTGGAGAGGATAGCCAAAGAAACGAAGGAGGAGCGGGATCAGCGCGCCGTGTGTGTCGCTGCCAAATGGCACGGTGACCACCTCAGCCAGCAACACGCTGCCAAGTCGAGCACACCTGTTGCTGTGGTGTTGGCCAGTTCGCCGAAAGAATTATCGCTGGCAGCATCCGTTGGTGCGCCGGCAGTTTTAAGTAAGTACATCGGTAAGTTTCATTGAGTTAATGATATCCTGTAACGTATGATGTCGTTGCAGTATATGACTATGTTGTCTCGTTGAAAGCGTCCGAGCCGCTTGTGGATTTATTGGCCAAACCACCTAGCACAGATGTAAGCTTTTTCATGCTCTTTTCCGATGTATTATTTTTTCTTATTTTCTCTGCAGCGTAAGGGAGTATTTATTTTCTTATGCCTGGAATTTCGTCTGCCTGCTTGTTCAATTTTGCCGTGCTTGCAGGAGGAAAAGGACAGCATATTTTACTACCCACCTCACCTGAAATTATCAGTTATCCAGAGTGGCTTGAAATCCGGTACTTACTATCAAGGAAAATTTCATGCTTCGCGCGAAAACTACCTGGAAGCGCAGGTGTCCGTGGAGGGCCGGGATCAGTTCGTAAGTCGGTTGCCGCTGTTAAATATACAGTCGTTTGATGGGCGGACTTTGGTGACAGGTGCTGATTCAAGGCCATGCCCATCTCAACCGCGCCGTCAATGACGATATCGTAGCCATTGAGATTTTCCCAGAGGACAAATGGTCAGCGCCTTCTAATCTCGTTATCGAGGAGGCAGCTGATACGGAAGTCCCGGAAGGTGAGGAAGAGGATGAAGTGGAGGAAGACAAATCTGCAAAGAAACTCCAGGATGAGGTGAGTTCTTTATGAGAGAAAAGGGCATTCACTTTGTGTGTTGGCTGATTACGCTTTGAAACAAAAAAGAGAAAGTTTGGTAAAAAATTACCTTAATTTTGTGTTTTACTTACGAATAAATTACCTGCATTCTTCTGGGAAATTACATGAAAATACTGGATGTGAAAAAATTTTAGTAACATCCGTTCAAGATTCGTTGTCATGTTAGTAATGCACGAGACTTAGTTTGCCACGTTTGTATTACATTTTAATTATAATGTGCTGTTTATGGGCTTGTGTCACCGTTTTTTTGACTCCGGTTATTCACTTGTATTTGGTGTGATTTATGCTCTGCGATTTTGAACACATGAGACACTGAGAAACTATGAGAACGCATGGTTTTAATGACAGATGGAAAAGAAACTCCGACAAGAAGTAGCGAAAAAGGATCGACAACCGACGGGCCGCGTTGTGGGCATCATTAAGCGTAATTGGCGGACGTACTGCGGCGTGCTTCGGCCGAAAATATCCAAAACGGTAACGTATCTAATGGCTGCTGATTTTCTTTTGGAGCGCTTACACCGGGATTGCAAGTGTTCCGCTGTACTTTTACTGGTTGAAGATAATTCTGTGGTTATTACTCAACGTTTCCCGTGATAAGTTTCAAAATATTTTTGAATAATGTTGTTGACATTTAACGAAAAACTCTCTAACCGAGCTTTAATGGTAGTGCTTGTACTGTACCCTGTTTATGTGCTTTTGAAATTCTTACTGATTTGAACAAATGAGCTATTTTAAATTTCCAAAACGTCGAATTGATGATTGCATAACTTACCATGCCTTTTTCAGTCAACACGTTACGTGTTCGTCCCAGCCGACCGGCGGATTCCATTGGTTCGCGTGGAGACGCAGCAAGGGGAGGCGTTACAGGGCCAGCGAATAGTGGTAGCCCTAGACCAGTGGCCCCGCAGTTCCAAGATCCCCATCGGGCACTATGTGAAGAAGCTGGGTGGAGTGGGTGAAAAGGCGGCGGAGAACGAGGTGTTGTTGCTGGAGCACGACATCCAGCATGACCGCTTCTCCGACGCCGTGCTGGCCTGTTTGCCGGTCATGCCCTGGGTCTTGACGGACGAGGTGAGATATCTGTGATTTCGTTCTTGGAATACTGTTGTACGTTTAATGAACGAAAAGAAATAAATCAATGAAAAATATAGCACTCTCTAGAATGAAGTGTTACACTTGGGAATATATTTGCGTACAAAATGCATGGTGCCAGGTAGTGAGCGTCTGATGCATTATTTAATTGATATTCCAATAGGAAGTTCGCAGACGAGCTGATCTGCGACATCTGGACATTTGCAGTGTGGATCCGCCCGGATGTACGGATATTGACGATGCTCTGCATTACCGTCCGTTACCCAACGGGAATTTTGAGGTTGGGTCACGCTCCTCTCTTTCGATGATGGTTAATTAATTTACTTGATAAAAAGTCATATGCATTCTTGAGTGACAGCTGTAGCCGCTTTAAAACTATCCTTGCATATTAGGCAGTCTAAGAAATCATAAAATAAATTGTTTCTTGGCACTTTTTAGCTACTGTTTGCCTGGTAAATGTGGAATGATCCAATGTTGATAACGTTATAGATTGGCGTGCACATTGCCGATGTGACTCACTTTGTGCGTCCGAGCACCGCCATGGACCGGGAGGCGGCCAGTCGAGCCACGACCGTGTATCTTGTCGATCAGGTGCGTGAAAAGCTGTTAGTCGAGTAGAAGAGTCGTTAATGGCAAAATTTTCAGCGCATTGATATGCTCCCAAATCTGCTCAGCTCCAATTTGTGCTCGCTGCGCGGCGGAGAGGACCGGCTAGCGTTCTCCTGTATTTGGGAGATGACGTCGGATGCCCGGATTGTGGCAGTGCAGTTTATGAAGAGTGCCATCCGTTCGCGTGTACGCTTGCTCTCTGAATTGACATCGTTTGTCTTGGCAAGAAAATTTTTTAATTTTTATTGTGGATGTGCAGGCGGCTTTGACATATGCCGAGGCACAGATGCGGATCGACGATAAGAACCTCCAGGACCCAGTGACCCTGGGTCTGCGTGGACTGAATAGATTGGCTAAAATTATGCGAACACGTAGGAAAGATAACGGGTAATTCTGTTTTTTTAATGGAAATTCGTTTAGCCAATTTTCGCCCACATTAGCTTGAAATGTTTCTGCTTTGCCTGTAATTTACAGGACCGATTTGCAGTTTTCTTATGTGTTTTAGTAACCATTTTTAGAGTCTTTGTTAGTGTGCATCATGTACATAAAGCGTTCTTTGTTACATTGAGTGCAGTAGGTAACATTGTGTCATCAGTCGGATGTATGCTTGGTTTGCAGGGCGTTGTTTCTGGCGTCACCGGAAGTACGCTTCAACATTGACAGCGAAACGCACGACCCGATCGACGTACAGACCAAAGAGCTCAAGTAAAGCTTTTGTCTTTCGAAGAGAAAGCCGTTTTTTGCTACGAGATGGTGTGGTTAGGGAGACCAATTTCATGGTGGAGGAGTTCATGTTGCTGGCCAACATCAGTGTGGCCGAGAAGATCTACAAGGAATTCCCCGAGTACGCCATGTTGCGCCGGCATCCCGCGCCGCCCTTAAGTAACTACGAACCAATCGTCAAAGCCGCTGAATCCAAGGTTGGTGAGCGCCTTTCAGAAGAACGGGCTGATTTTCGTTGAATCAGACATCAAGTGTCATCATGTTACGGAACTGGGGGAAACTAAAAGCGAGACAAGCTGTTGCATGATGTTTATGCGATGTTTGGTTGCAATGGTCGGACAGCGGGCAGTTTCAAATGCATTTTCAAAAATGCTCTTATGATTTGTTAACCAGATCCGAGCTTTTCAAAAGGCTTTCACTTTTGTCATCGTAGTACATGCGGTAATTGTGATATAAGTGATATCGCTTTACTTTTTGTGGCTTCGCGTCTTTTCTGATTTTTATTGTTGTTTATTTCTGAATTTTTCGTAAAAGTTGTAATTGTACGAATAAAATTTGTAATTTTATTTACATTCGTCTCGTCTTTATTAAATGGTTGCTTTGCTTGCAGCATTTGGCGCTGCAGGCGACCAGCGGAAAGGCGCTGTCGGATTCGCTGGAACGCGCGTACTTGCCCGGTCAGCCGTACTTTAACACGATGCTGCGCATCCTAACCACGCGCTGCATGATGCAGGCGGTGTATTTCTGCAGCGGCAGTCTGGAGTCCTTCCAAGAGTTCCAACATTACGGCTTGGCCACGCCTATCTACACGCACTTCACCTCGCCTATCCGCCGGTACGCCGATGTCATTGTACACCGATTCTTGGCGGCTGCCATTCATCAGGACGCCACGTATCCACAGTTGTTGGATAAGGGTGTCATGAATAAGCTGTGCCAGAATATCAACTATCGCCACCGGATGGCACAGTACGCCGGACGAGCCTCGGTTGCGCTCCATACGCAGGTGAGAGACCACAGTATTATAGTGTACGGTTTACCGTGATGACCTTTCTACACTGCACCAGACAACCATGGGCCATGATTTACAATTCTCATTCCCAGACTGTTCTGCTTCGAATTTTGTATATGTGGAATTTTAAGTGGTTTGTTTTATATCAGTCGAATTCCCAGTTGCTTGACGTTTCCCGAGATGGGGCGATGTTTCTTAATAACATGTAGGCAATATTATTTTTGTTGATAGTTATTTTTTCGCAATCGTCTGGTGGACGAGGAGGCCTACGTGCTGTTTATCCGCAAAAATGCAGTGCAGGTCCTGGTGCCCAAGTACGGCATGGAGGGGACCGTTATGCTAACCGATAAGAGTGGTAACGTGCAGTTCCGCTACAATGCCGAGGTACGCACAAATTAAGTCGCAGTTTTAATTAAATTAATTACCGTATTCTCATTACTTTTGGCATACTGCAGGGACCATCGGTAACGATCGGAAATGTGACATTGCGGACCTTTGATCGTGTCATCGTCCAGATTTCCGTGGATCAGTCTAGTCTGCAGCACCACCGGCTGGTTACCAAACTGGTCGAACCAATGGTGAGCGAAGCAGAATTTCCTACACTTAATAATTGCTGATTAACTGGTCAAATGACAGTTTTTGTGCGTGCTTTTTTGTGTGTTTTTATAAAAAACACTGTTATTTTAACGACCGTATTTGGGAAGGAACTACAGTTAAAAGTGATGGCCTTTGACGTTCTTGACAGATTCCTGGATTTAGCGTGCCTCCGTCCGATCAGCCGGCCCCAGAAGGCGTTCCGGCCAATAAAATCCAAAAAACCCGAGAAGTGTGAAAGTTCTTTGTTTTGTTATTGTATAGGATTACAATATAGAAACGGAACTTTTGTTGGAAATTTGGCATTACGGAACCTACACTGGGCTTCAACATTTCATGGAATGTGGTTTTAATAGATTTTTAATGTTTTGCTTTCTTCACACGCTGTGTAAACAACACTGAGAATTGTGGATTTGAATGAATTTTCTCTTTCGCATCGTTTTTCTCTTAGGTTGTTACACAATCCAAAACTCAAGAGTAGGAAAATTTCAGTCAGTATCTGAAAATTGAGGAAGCAATCAAATGTTCACAAATGCTTGTAGAATCTGATCAGAGTAAAACCGGTACAGTATAAAATGCAGACCAAAGCCATCAAAACTATCAGTAAAAAATGTGATTATTTATAAATTCATGATAAGCATCAATAATACTGGAGCACAGCAGCGTAAACGAGTAATTTATAAATAAGGAGAAACAGCGCCGAATTCATCCCAATTTGGGATACATGGGCAATGTGCCACTCTTCTCATCAGCCGGCACCGTCGACGTCGTTGTCACCGTGGATCCCCCCGAGTCATTCCGCATTCGTTTGGCCGTCTGCCAGTCCTCGAACATCACTTTGCCGGTGTTCTTGGCAGCCTTCTTGGCCACGCCCTTCACACCCAGATTGCGCAGGGTCAGCCCGGTCATGACGACGTTACCGCCAGCATATACGGCGTCTGCGGCGCTCTCCCCGTACTTCAGGTGAACAATCTGTACGCTCTCGTCGATGATGCCGGCGGCCAACAGTTTCGCTGCGTTGTCCAGCGCTACGTAAACCATGGCGGCACCCTGCACAGCGCATCCGCCCACTTCGTACGCCGTGTCCATTTTGGAGTAGCCAGACTCGTCCGCTTTCGACCAGGATTTCGGGACGGCCTTCTCGATGCTGGCGGTCAGTTTAGGAGCTGGAAAAAGACATAGACTTGCGTTAGAAATCGCCCAGTAGCGATAATTTCAGCGTTCTATGCGAAAAAGTATTTAAATCAAAACATTGCCAGATTTGCGGTCATTTGATCATGCAATTTGCCAAATTGCCATTGACAGCAAAACAGACGTTGATCAAGTGTACAGAAACTTAAACAAGAAAAGCTAAAAAAGTACCAGAGCTAACAGTAAGAAGTCATGAAATTAACGGAAAAAGCCAGTTATGTACATATCCCATTTTGCACGGCAAGACTACAAATTTTTTAAAAATGCAAAGGCTGATTTAAAATGATTCAAACATAAATACCAGCATCAGTGAATAAAAACTTGAAATACGTGTACCGTCATTTCAGTTTTGATCAATTTATTACATTTTACTATTTTGACTATTGAGAAGATTCTTACCCAAGTAACGCGCAATGACCATACTAACATGTCCCACTTGCTTGACGGCCTTCTTGCTGATTTTATACGACCAACCCGAGGCCACCCGGGCAAATTTAACGCTCTTTCGCAACACTGGATTGGCGATAAGCGGCTGGCCATTTTGATCAATCTTTCCCTTGACCGACACTGCATGCTCACGGACAAAATTGTGAATCTTGTCCGATCCGGTATGAATGCCCCACACCACCAATTCAGCGCCATCCAGGATCTTTTTGGAGATACTGCTGCGGTAGGTGGTGTCCTGACCGCGGGCCGCCGCTTCCGTCTCCAGCTCTGCGGCATTCTCGCGCTTCAGCGTGGCCACTTTCTCTTCCGGCACGGCTTCCGCCACCTCCTGGATAACGCGCGACTCCTTCATTGCCGTCAACTGGTTCATGAGGTCACGGAAATGGTTCTTTGTCTCCTCCGAGATGGACCGGCCCAGGATAATGCCTACGCAGGCGCCCTCCACGTCGCTTCTACAAATAACAAACAACTGTTCAATGCAATTGTCAAACATTTATTTTCTAATTGCTGATACCATGTTAACAGCTCACTGGCTGTACTTAAAAAGCGGTCATGTTCTTAGTAATTATGAATCGTTTTTCGAACTTTTTCTTTTTGACTTTTTCAGCACTTTTATAAGTTTCCCTCCGAGCCATTCTTACAAATTTTTCAGGATCCTTCTAAAATTTCGAATTATTTTTACAAGATATTGCTGACGTATGCACTAACAGTACAGTGACATACTCCAATAAACTGCACCAGAAATGAACTCACATTTATATCAGAAACTGTGAATTCTTCTACACGTTTCTGCTATGAATCACTGGCGATGATTAACATGAAAAACGAACTTGAACTGCTCAGAAAACAGTGACTATCGCTAGCGCATCATTTCACTGTGCTGATCAGCATCTAAATTTTCTGAAAAAAACAGTATCAGGCGTGTCAAATGCGAATTATAAAATCAACTAACAAAATATTTATATAAAGACAACGAAATCGAGCAGAAATATGCCATACTTTTCCAAACAAAATCCTTACCAACCACGATTTCTAAATTTGCCGTCGGCCATACTACATTCTACTTGATAAAATTAAAAATAAAACAATTAATATTCATTAATTAATACCATGTATATATTAATAATTAATCTATAAAAACATATAGGAGGATGAATTGCAGCAATTTGTCGATCAATTTTAACTAAGCTTCAGAATTCCCGTGTCTTACAATACTTAAAGTTTTTATATTGGTATTGTACGTGAGTTTAATATTGACTTGTGAGTATGTAGTATACAATACTATGTAGTACATAGTATGTACTACTTGTACATACTCAAGTACGAAAACTCCTGGAGTTTTTAGCACCATATTTGCACTTACGATAAATCGGGCAGCATGTAGGCACCGTAATCGGCATGTACCGAGGGTGAACCGCCAGGGAGCAAAGGATATACCCAGGTGCCCACTTGCAGGAAGGTCGTACAGTTCGGAACGCCGTTAGGCGGCGGATGTTCCAAGCGCAGAATTTTCAATGATGCCGGATAACTAGGAGCGCTGACGTGTCCTTCCGGTGACACGAAGAAGATCTGCACATCGTCCGGAATGCAGAACACCTAAATGCCAGACAATTTTAAAGGATGAACATAACAAACACTTTCGAAATACACTACTTATATTACTCGTTTTTCGAAAAAGAGTACAGTTATATCAATGATTAGTATGTCTCATAAAATTACAATGATTGACAGAAGATTAATTTTAAACATGAGAATTAGATAAACAAGAAATTCTTCAGTTTTCAATTGGTCAACAAGAGAACGGCAAAATGTGAACAAACTGAATTAAGGTTAACAGTCGCAATGATCACGCTAAAATTATGGCTACTTCGAAGTATAAACCCATGCAATTTCATCAAATTACTACCTACTTATATAAAATCAAACTAAAATACGAGTATGAAGTAAGAATGGAAACAACAAGCTAACCCTAAACACACCTCCGTGGCGTTCTCAACGGGGGTGGTGGCCTCATTGCCCCCTTTCTCGAACGGACCGCCTTCCGTCAAAAATTCATCCTGCAGCTGCATCTCGGAGTAGCTAGGAGGGCTGGTGTTCTTAAGATTTTGCGCAAACTGCTTCAGTGAGGCGTCGTCCACCTCCTCCGTGGAACGCAGATACGACAGCCGATCGTCCAGTACTTTGCGGATCCGGCGCATCTTCTCCTGCATATTGCGCGCCCGATCCCACGCGGGGCCAGCGCAGAACGTCTGATCGCAGCGCACACTGAGCGCCTGCTCCATCTGGCGCAAGCCCTCGTCGTAGTGCGGAATGGCCTCCTTGTGCTGACCAGATTCCTCCAAGGTCAGCCCCTGGGCGATCTTCACGTACGCCGCATCGTGCCCACTACGGATGCGATCAAGATCGCGGGCGGATGCGGGATCCTGGTCGTGGACGCGTTGCGCTTCCATCGATATGTTGGGGCGGTCAACGACAAATCTCAAATTCGCTCTTACCCACGCTGATTTGCCTTCACTCGCTTCTGGATAACTTAGGTGAGTAGTTTTACCAAAACAACCAAATCAAAACTGCAAATTTCTAAAGCAGATAATTTTAATTTCAACTCACACGATCAGAAAGAAAATCGTTTGCTCACGAATGAACTGGTTTTTATAACAAGTTCTCGTGCTTCCGCTGTTGTGGCTGCAGGACGGGAATAACCCAAAATAAGCAAAGTAGCCAATCGCGGTGCAGTGCTTGGATTAATCACCGCTGAGTAAGACCGAAGTTACTACAAAGACTCGCCGTCGTCTGCGGTAGTACAACGTCATGAGCCATAGTGCGCAGTCCATTCACAAATTCATTCACCGCTTCGCGGTATAAATGTTTCACTAATCTTTCACTAGTCGAAAGGTCAACCGCCCTGGTGCTGCTTTTTCCTGTAGCATTCGGTCTCAACCGAAACTCACCACGCGTGGCAATTTTACTATGTAAACGTACAAGTGCAAGAAATAATGAGGCGGTGTTAGTCAAGAGAGCTGTTCTGTATCACTTGCGTAAATCTTATTTTTGCGAACACAGAACACTTGCCATTTTTTGCTTTTTTCGAGTTTTACTTGTGGATTGTGATTTCTTCTTTTTGAATTTAGAATTAGATAATTTAGGAGTTTACCCGTTACACCGTTGTAGAGCTCTAAACTCTCGCTTTCTTCCTTATATCATGGATTCCGACAATGAATCTGAAATTTCCATCAACTCCAGTTCCACGGCCGAAGACAAGGACGACGTACAGTCACTGCAGTGGCCGACGAAAGCCAGCGTCGATCAGATCGCGCTGGACCCAAAAAATCAGTCTGAATTCGAGAAATTCGTCAAGAAGAAGCACGAACAGGTTGCTCCGACATTCACCTGACTAAGCGTTTGTGCTTGATACATTTCGGCATTTTGCACAGATAAAACGTGATCAGGAAACCCAGCCGGGAGTGATCTATCTGGGTCATGTGCCCTACGGATTCGCTGAGGAGCCGCTACGCAAGTTCTTCTCACAGTTCGGCAAGATCACCCGACTGAAGTTGTCGCGGAGTAAAAAGGTGAGTAACTATACAGCGCTGGTATATATTAGGAGAAAGGTTTTTGCATTCCATGTTGTTTGTGTTGCAGACTGGTCAGAGTAAAGGCTATGGATTTATTGAATTTGAACACGGTGAAGTGGCCAAAATTGCCGCGGATTCGATGAATAATTACCTGATGTATGAAAAATTATTCAAATGTAAGTGCCGCATTCAGGACCACATTCAGCACTCGATTGCGGCTGCAGAATTTCGATATTTTTTTTTGCGAAATCGGATGCTTTTTTAGTATTTTGTTATTTGCCATTTTTTAAAAAAATAATTATTGAGAATGCCGAAGAATTTTATCACTTTATGGGATAATTGTCTGTATTCAACGCTTTTTCAACATTTTTATTTTTTTCGCTAAGGTTTTTCACCGTTATCCTCCGTTTTGATTTCCATTTGTAAATTATGTGACTGTGTTTCCTTTTAATTTTGGATAAAGCGATCTTATGCTTGTATAGATTAGCGTGAGTTCTGGTTATTTTTTCTGATTGGTCACTAAAGTACTGGCAGAAAACTGGAAATGATTCTGATGATCGCTTCTGATGGAGTAATCTGTTAGACCGTTTTGCCGTAGAATTTTTACTTGTGATAAGCATTACAATTCTAAATGCTGAGTACTATATAATGCGCCACATTTAATCGATCATAAAAATTGCAGGTAAGTACATTCCTCCGGAGAAAGTTCACAAAGACACCTTTAAGCACTGCCATCGCCGGTTTCGACTGCCGCGGAATAACGCTCGTGCCCGTTACGAGCACAATCGCAACATTACCGACGAACAGCACAGCAAGCGAATGGCGCGGCTGGAGAAAAAGCTGAAGAAGAAACAGGGGCGATTGGCCAAGATGGGACTTAGCTACGACATGCCGATCTCTTTACAACCCCCACCACCTTCGTAGCACAGCTGCCCGTTTGCAGTAAACCGTAAATCTTAAAAATGTCTTATTTTCTGCAACGGTTAACGGACGACACCCAGTTCGAGCTCTATTAGGCGTATCTTTTCCTCGATAGTGGCATAGTACTTCATTTGAGACAAGAGACGCTGCGCGTCTTCAAGTTGGTTGGTCTGAAAAGCGCTGCTAACGTCGTTGATTAAAGCGGAGAGTTTGGCGTCGTTGGCGGTTTTGATGGCGTTGAGACGGGCGGGGTCCGTGGTTTGAGAGAGCTCCTCATTGATCTCGTAGATTTCTAGGAGATGATCGCTAGCCATATCCAGCTTGTCCTCAGCGAGAGGAATCTTTTTCACTTCTAAAAGGTGCAGACCGCGGGTATGGGGGTTGAGCAGCGCGCGGTACGCTTGATTGATTAAACGGCTGCGCTCTTCACTAAAAAAACAAACCACCATTATCAGTCTACAAAACAATCGATTATCAAACGTAAGTAGGAAGAAAAAACACATAAATTCAAATTTAAGCTCACTTTTAAACCCACCAAAACTTCAACGAGAAAAACTAATACGAGTACAGTACTGCTGAAAAGAGATCAAAATGAACGATGAAGGTGGTCACCAGTCAGTAAAATGCCAATGCACAAATCAAAATACAATTTGACAATAAGTAAGTAACAAAATCATTCACTTCATAAGTAAGTAATTAAAGGATGACCAATGAAACGGTCCAACGAAGAAACAAAAATCAAATTAACCACAAACGATACTTTACAGAAATGTGCAACTGAATGATAATACGAGGAGTTATTTATTAAAATTAAGTACAATTTGCAAAAGAAGCTCCTGAATATAAAACAAAACGTAAAAACTGAAATCTATAAAACTCCTGCAAGAAATTGAAGGCATTCACTCGGAAATCGAACGCAAAAGTATAACACAGAAGTTCCACAATGAAACGATAGTTGGGATATTGCAACCATTACGATTTTGTAATTTAATAATTAATTACAAGTTTCATAACAAAGACTATTGCGGCACCTCTCATTCTTCTCCGAGCCTGCTTTGTGGTAGAAGCGATCAGGGTGATTTTTCTGTACTAATTCCCGATAGCGCTTAACTAACTGATCGGACGGCACATCGTACGACACGGGAAAGCCCAGAACTTCGAAGAAATTCTTCTCGGCCAAACACACGGCCGCGCATCGAATGAAGCGATAACCATCGAGAAATCCGGGAAGATCAAGCTGGCGCCAACTGCGAAGGAAGCTGCAGAATCCCTGCACGACGACGGTGCTGCGAAGCGTTCGCAGAGACTGCATAGTGCGCAATGAAGGAATCTTACGGTTAGATGCAGACCTGAAGATCAGATGGGAAACACAGTACCATGCCGATTAATTAATAATCTCAAAACAATGCGACCAGCTGGATTGAGCAATTTCGTAATCATTCGGTTAAACTGACAGCAAAAAAATTTCGACTACTCAATCAGCTGATTTCTGATCTTCGAAGTACTGTACTGCAGTACGTACTCCGTGACGGTACTCGTACGTACAGTCTTAGATCAGTTGCTCGGGCCTTCTGCAAACCACTATAGGTAACCTGATTCGTTATTACAAAACAAAAATAAATAGCAAACATTTATAGTATACGTAAAACTTTTAAGGCACTGAAGTTGACTAAACAATCCAGTCCAAGCTCCAGATTTGATAAAACAAGACAAGGTCGCAATTTCTCAATTTCGCTTTTTCTATTCCCTGAAGTCACAATTTACTGCATAAGTTGCGTCCCCCCTACTGGTCGCAGTTAAAGTACAGAATGACTCGCTTTCGCTGGTGATCGGAATGTGATTGAAATCATTGAATAGTGCATTAGCGCTGCAACTTGTATGTGTACAAATCACGCATACATACATACAACTAAGACGTTTTCGCAATTGCCATTGGCTGGCCCGGCCTACTTTTGCCTACTTGTATAGATGTATGCGTGATTTGTACACATACAAGTAAGAAACGCACATGCACTAATATATGCATTGAATCGATCAATTTTTCTTGCATTTCATTAGTACTACTCGAAATGCACTTCAAATGCGTTCTGTAAGATACAGAGCCGGGAGTTCTATAAAAGTGAATCTACCAATGGTACAGCGCTAAATCTTATAGAGCGTTACAGAGCTACGAGACCACGGTTTCTAAAAGCGCCCATTTACCGTAGCTGAATTGGTCAACGATTTATTTATTTTCCACAACAATTTTGTGGCCGTTTCCTTTCTGTTTTTCTGGCGATTTAAGTTTTGTTAAGTTAAGAAATCAAACGACTGATGAAAAAGCGAAAGGCAATTGCAAATTTACACGTAAAGTACGCCGAGGTATTCCTCGCGCTGACGACTCTGGCGAAGCTGCCTGTTGCCATCGATACAAATCAAACATGCACAGTCGGAGGCAGCTAAAATCAGTGAACAAAGCAGAACAGGAATGTTGGTTCGATAGAAACAATAATTACACCCTCAAAAACTTGAAAATTAAAAACATAACTTTAGACGTACAGCGAACCGTGCATCCACATCAAAAAATAAATTTGACCTAGCAAGAAATGCGAGTTCTGTATCGTAACGGAGCCAGGAGAGTTCCTTTTAGATACAGAGCACTTTAACTCGGCCGTCCAATCAGAGGTAGGGGTGTGATCGAAACGTTACAGAACTTCCGGCTCTGTATCGTACAGAACGCATTTAAAGTGCGTTTCGAGTAGTACTAATACAGTATTATTTTTATAGGATTTTGGCAAATACAGATATGTACGAGTATTGGCTATGGATATGATTTATGTAGCTTAAAGTTTTCATTTTGGAATTTTGTTCATACTTTTCAGCATATTTATCAGTGGTCATTCTATCAAGATTTGTTTGTGGCAGCTACGTAATAATGCCCGTGCCAAATAGCATAACTTTTCCCAAACCCGAAGGCGACGTGCGGAGACCCAACAAGATCAAACGGTACGCGCATGTGTTTTGTTTGTAAATGTTTTCCTCGTTAAGTACGGTATATGAACTTGTTATAGTATCTGGGCCTGCAAATACATGATGGTAATTATGTAGGTTTATGATTTACCATCGCAGTATAGTTTGACCCTGTTCTGTCCTTTATTTCCGCGAATATGCAAAGGCAGGTTTCCGAATTAGACTGCTTCCATTGTTGCACCTCTATAAGGATCATTTAGCAGAATAAGAGTATCTTGCCACTAGCCCTAGATTATTGGAAGGGATGAGCATACATCGCTAAGGTTTTTGTTTGCAGATACAAGCCCGACTTGACAATTGTGCCCTACGACGACTTTATCACAGGTCTGCCCGAGTACCCGTGATTTTTTCCTCTTGACTGTTTTTCCACTTATTTCTTTAATTTGCAGATATTATGAATATTTTGGGGATGGGTTTAAGTATGGCTGGACTGATGGGACGGGTAAGAATGAGAATAAAAACATGAGGCCATGCCATAGAATGTCTCATTGATTTAAGTGGTTTATAAAGTACGGTGTTAACTAGAGCTTATACCGATTTCACTCTTCTCGCTGACACAATGCGTGCGCGTCTCATTGGAAATTTGGAACCAAACCGTATTTTATGCTTGTTTCAGATCAAACTGTGTGCATGGCTGGCGCTGTTCTGCTCTCTCATCGGTTTCGCCAACGCTCGCAGTCCCGGTCGCAATGCCTCCTTTGACGATTCCAAACAAGTACTCAGCAGCTTTATGTAAGAATTACTTGTCACTTGTTTGTGCATTTATTAATTTTATTACTCTATAAAGTTACCTGTTTCCAGAGTTTCTAAGTGTTTATAAGAAAATACCGATTTTTTTCCATTGTGTGCCAGAAAAAGGGTTGTAGTATAATAATACTCTTAACAAGAGATATTACCTAGTTAAAAAGGGATTGGCACGGTGAAATAATAAATGTACCGGTCTGCAGGTTATCTATTTCGGCGCTGGTGATGTCATACCTACAAAATCCCTTCCCTTTGACGGCCAGCTGGGGCTGAGGCCCGAATCAAGCGTCGGATTACATTATGCCAGGGAATTACTTATTGGCTTTTTTCCGTAGGGTATTGCCATAATGTTCAGTCGCTGATTGAAAAACAAATGTTTTTCTATTGCATAATTCAAAATATTGTGTTAAATAAGATTGCTAAGTTAATGAAATGAACAAGCATCGAAAACTTGGAACAGTCGAGCGTTCGCAGTTCGCACCCGTATCTCAGTATCTGTATGTTTTATCATGTAGTGTTCTGTTTCTTTTTGTAAATACATACTTATCGTTAATTACTTATGGTTAAACGAGCACTTTACGCAGAATCTGAAATGTGGCGGAAGCAAGGTTGAGATATGTTAGCTGTTGCAACCGAGGTCATGCGAGGTGAGATTTCGCAAGCTGGGTACAAGCTCGTACATTTTCCGAACTGTACGTTCCCGAAAAACCGTAATTTCCCATGGCCATAAGTACGAGTAGAATTAATGGTAATACCGGGTTTGTTTTACAAATTATGTGCTTATATAGTTATGCAACTTAAGCCTATATCGGTGATAAAATACAGTATCTTCACTGCTGTTGTCCGGCTGGACGGGGGACACCGCCAGGTTTAGCAGTAAGAAAAAGCCTACAGGCCAAGCGCCAAGGGCGGCAGTTGTTAGTAATCTTACACTGGCCTGTGCTAAGGTAAAGTTTCATATTTTTGGCATTCGTTGTGTGACTCGTCTGTTAGGAATGCGATCGCTTTTAAACCACGACCAGTGGCAAAGCAGACAGAAATAATTTAAAATCGCTTGTTGCTGGCAGTCAGCTCAACAGTCAACATCAGTGATTTTCTCAAGGTGCTCTCGCTCTACTTTTCCTTAACTCTGTTGTCCAAACGAAAATCTGGGCAGCTGCAGTTTTGGATTTATCCTGCAACAATATACGCGTGCAGATCAACATTCTTTTCCTTGGTTACGTTCCTCAATCAGCTGATCATAAAAAATGGACATGATGCCCATGTATTTCACCCTGGACTATCCCGCACACATCCTCTTCAAGCCCTGGTCGCCGCAGACCACGGGGGAGATGGTGGGCGCCTGCGTGGCCATCTTCATCATCGCATTCTGCTTCGAAGCGCTGAAACTCTTCCGTCGTGTCTTGTTCATCTGGGACGCCCGTCGACAGCGTGATGACTTTTCCTCGCCTGCGGCTCCCGCGGGGGAGGTGGTCGTGGTGACACCCCGTTGGCGCGGGATGTTCCGTCCCATGCACGTGTTGCAGACGGTGCTGACGGGAGTGCAGTTTGTGCTGGGCTACTTCCTCATGCTGGCCGCGATGACGTTCAGTGTGTGGCTGTTTGTGGCTATGATCGCTGGGACGATGGTGGGCTACTTTGCCTTCCAGTGGTATCCTGCAGCGCCCGGATATTTCCCTCTGCAGAACGAGCATTGCCATTGATTTCCGGTGGAAAATTTATTTTGGACAAAAAAACTCCCAGTGTTCACTTTGTGCATTGTACCTGCAAATTTTTCAAGGTGACTTTTTTCTAATCGGCTGGTTTATTCGCGTAATTATCATTGTATATGATTTCCTTGTTCTTATTAACGTCTGTGATAGCTCGCTTTCTGCAGTCTGTAATGATTAATGAATATGAATTGTTTGCACAACACGCCTAGCAAGTGTATTGACAAACACGTTCCGTCTCGAACAATGATTAATCTGCTATGCGTCGGTGATTTTGTGTACCACTACCGACTGAACTGGTTTCCGCTGCAGCCTCCCAGCTTTTTGCATTTGATATAATCTTGAACGACAAGCGAATACTAACGGAAGATTCATGCTTGCTGCCGCAAATTGTTTATGACATCTTCAGATCATTTCCATATTTCTGATTAGAATAAACTAATTTTTTTTTAAATTTTAAGTTCAACATGATGAACCGTGTGTGGAAGAAGAAAGTTTATATTAAACTTTAGAGTCCCTTTTATTTTCGATACGCATTGCACAGTTGCCATTGTTCATGCGAAATCAGACGTGTTACGCATTTCGTTGTTTGCAAACTTTTCATAAGCGATGTTTCCTTTGCAATTTTCGCGTACATTTGTTTCTATCACCTTAGGTGAAACGTTGGTTACATGTACGACAAAACGCTTGCAAAAACTCTTCTGAAAAAATTAAGTTCTCACAAAACATCTGCAAGTCATGTCCTACAGTACTCATGTCGTCAATATCGTATACAAAATTCATCACAATAAAGCATGAAAAGAAAACATGGGAGATACCACAATCAACACCCTCCACGAAAGGAAAATATTGATCGGTACCAAACCGCCGACTCAACATTTTCGCTGTTCCCACCTTCACGTGTACACTCGCCGCTTCACCACCCAATCCGACCGGCCACTCTCGACCCCGCCCTCCAGTTTAACCCGCTTCTTCTCCCCTTCCGCCATCTCCGCCTGCATCTTTGCACGGAACTTACTAGGCACCGGCAGCCCCGTGGGGGGCGTGGCCAGCGGCATGCGCGTGGTAAACGCCGGCAGACTTAGCGCTTCCTCGCACGTCACCCGTTTGGTGGGTTCGTACAGCAGACAGCTCTTCAAAAAGTCCAGCATATCGGCCGTCACCGCCCGGAATATCTGCTCCAGGGGGATGGGCGGGCATTCCTTGACGTCAATAAAGGAGGGCAGCTTGCGTACATCCTGCCAGGTAGTGTCGCTTGGAGATCCCATCACCTGGATAATCTTGATATACTGATCCATGTCGGATTCGCCAGGGAAGAGAGGAGCGCGCTGCAGCATCTCGGCGAAGATGCAGCCGACGGCCCAAATGTCCACGGCGCCGCCGTAACGGTGGGCACCTTGCAGGAGTTCCGGGGCGCGGTACCAGCGGGTCACCACCTGGCTGGTGAAGGGACGGCTTGGGGATCTGCAACAAAATGTTTGTTTAACTCGGAACTCGGCGGATTAACGACGAAATTAAATTCGTTGAAAACAAAGAAAGGTTTCAATGACTGAAGACAGAACACCTACCGTACTTTATGGTTAGCATCTTTTAACAAGAAAATGAATTACACTGGTTTCACACAACAGATCATGCGCTTTTCAATTTTAACATAATTATACTGAAAGTTTAACGCTTGTTTGGGTTAAAGGTCTGGTACCGATCTAACTCCAAAACATCTGCCAAAAAAACGCAACCCCACGTCTATACGTATTAAAAATGCAGTGAATAGAACGTATACTTACTTTAAGGGGTTATTATAGATAAATATTGGCAAATACAGTATTTTTCGCTATTATAAAAGCAAAAAACTGAATCATTTGACCTACAGGCACATGATTACTTGTAAATCTGTAAAATTTAATGCATGTACTGTACAATACATTGTACTAGTACGGTACAAACAACAATGTGAACACTGAAGCACTTGTGCTAAAAACTGGATTTACGTTCCCCGAATCAGTCCTTATGTTTGCCAGCAATAAATGCAAATGAGCCCGAATCGAATGCACAAAACAATCGTACGAAAAAAGTAAAAAAACGATCAAAATCACACAAAAAGAGTAAGCAGAGCAAATTTTTTGCTTTGATCAATGACGATGAGTTCCTCCTATATAACATTCAATATCGTACATTTAAGCGCTCAACTCACCCAAACGGCTTGGCCAGACCGAAATCCGTAATTTTCAGCTGGCCGCTGATGTTTAGCAGCAAGTTATCCGGTTTGAGATCGCGATGCAGAATCCAGTTGCGGTGGAGATAAGCCATCCCACGCAGAATCATAATAGTGTAGGCTTTGACGTTGGCCGCCGTCAGCACCAGCGACGTATCCTTAATCACCTTCTCCAGATCAAAATCCATGAATTCCAGCACCAGGGTGATGTTGGCACCGACGGTGACCACGTTCAGCAGTGGCAGGATGTGCGGATGGCTTAGCTCTTGCATTATGCGGATCTCACGGATGGCGCTGCACCACACATAAAAATGATCAGCGTTATCGTTATGATTGGGCAATGCCGCAATGATTAAAAGTGCACTCGTCTCACTTGCGCATTTTAGCAGACACCGGGCACGCAGTAAAAGGAAGCCAACAACAATAAAGTCAATTCTCTTTACGACTTCTTTAACAATTGCACACTTTGCAAAAAGTATTTAAAGAAAAATTCAAACTGGCAGGTGGGTACTTATCCACTATCCAGTACGAAGACCAACGATTACAAAAATGGCAACAGATAGATCATAGACAGGTAAATGCAAGTACAGATAGTAAGATACTTAAAATTTTTAATTGTGTGCTTTATTAAAGAGTGGAGAGTTTATTTATCGTACCTGCGATTGAGTCCCAGTTTAGCCTCGTCGCGCGGTCCCATCTTCACCTTTTTCATGGCCACCAAACGGTTGTCAGACAGGCTGCGCGCCTTGTACACCAGCGCGAACTGGCCCTCACCCAGATACTCCACTATTTCGTACTGCTCGCTGCTGTCCCCGCTGATGGCCGACCCTGGCTTTGGGGGATCCTCACGCGCTCGCTTAGATCCCATTATTCTCTAACTACCGGCGATAAATTCAGTGAAGGACTGTCGCTGGCCTGAAAGCATAAAGAGATCACGGAAAGCGCGACTACAGTCACGACGTGACTATGCAATCCAAACACTCCTTCACACTGGCGCGTCTTGGCCGCTTCGTGGGGATGAAATCATGTAAGTAATTGTAGTCCTTTGGGAATATAATATGACTTAAATATGCAGTTGTAATCGAAAAATGGGGCACAAATTATAAAAGCAAGCTGAAGTGCAAAACTGCAAAAACATAGCAAAATGCGTAGAAGTGAATGTGAAAAGTTTATGCTCTGGTCTCTGGAGTCTGGATTCTGTTGAGTCTAGGCTGTTCAAGCTGCTACCGTAGGGTAAACTTTCCAGAGGAGCTGCGCGAGACTTCAGAAGACTACCGCTCCAGGGTACGCATATTGAGAAAATCCCGAACACCATTGGTCGGCATTTACGTACAGTCGGCATTTTGCAATATTTACTGCTTTTCTCAGTTTTCTGGTTTAAGAATTTGTACGATATGTACTCAGATACGGTACTATAATAATTTATCTCGTTCAAGAATTTGCAGCCAAAGGCCCAAAAGATAAGCAGAGTATATGCTACTCTGTTTTCATGATTAAAGATTTAAGCATATAACTGCGGGCTTCATGAATCAGCATTCATTCCAGTAGTTACTGTACTACAATAAAACTCCATGCAGGGGATTTCTGCCATTGATAAAGTGGAATGCGTCTACACAGCTTGCTACTGGTACGAAACAGATTAATTATTTTGTTGCAACGTTACATGTACGGCTATCCAAAAGCAGCTCTGTCCAGGAATTGTAAGCCCATCGTAACTCATTGTAGCGAGGAGAATGTATGGAAATTATGCGATCAAATTCGGCAGACATTCCCACAAGAACTGGAATTCTGTCTAGTCATCTTCATATCTAACGAGCGGAGATGTGTAAGTGCCGCATACGATAACCGTTAGATAAGGGTGCTGAACAAACATGCAAATTTGTGGCAGATTTCCGTATGGAATCAGGCTACGGCGCCGTCTTCATGGCTTCCGGTACTTTGGGTGAGGTGTACCATCTATTTAATAACATCTTTTTATCTTTGCCTTTGGTGATTTATTTTCTACTATGGCCAATGCGCCTGTGAAGCGCAGTAAATACTGTACTCGTACATGTTTTTTACTTGAAATATTTCAGTGGTTTTTTATTTAATTGTTTTTATAATATGTTTACCTCAAAATACCTTTTACGATATTTTTACTCTTAAAATTTAGTGATATCACAGAAACAAATATATGTTGTTTTATTGTAAATTTAATAGTTCATGCAATTGGTATCGCTACTCACTAGAGACGTACCTCGTACTTACCGTGATTCAGCAGGCTGCTTTTAGCGGCATTCTGTTTTCGCTAGAATTGTTTTTTTTAAATAGTCACCAATATCCAAGGTATGAGTTTGAGATTGATCAAGCGAAGCGAGCGAGCACTCTTATTAATAATTTGCTGATTCAGCGCTTTGGTTTAATGTACTTATTGATTGATGGAATTATTTTCTCGTTTTTGGGTAGAGCTGTTTGAATTTTAAAGGACTACCACGTCGTCCTGCTGTACTGCCCTCCCACGGCCACACCCCTCCTCTTCGACCTGGACTCCACCCTCCCCTTCCCGTGTCCCCTGGATCGGTATCTGGCGGAAGCCCTCCGACCCGGCTACCCTTCTCCCGACCCTCACGCCAACCTCCCCAAATCTCTGCGTCTCATCCCGGCCGCTGTCTTCCTGACCACTTTCGCCTCCGACCGCTCGCACATGCTCGCTTCCGGTCACTACCTAGCCCCGCCTCCCGCGTATCCCTGCATCCAGTCGACGGTGTCGCGAAATAATATTCAAGAGTTTATCAACATGGATTCGGGATATGGCATCGTGTTGCCGCTGAAAGAATTTGCGGATTTGGCACAGGCGCGGCGGTTGCAGACGGTGGTGAAATCAGCTGCAGACGGTAGGGTGTCCAGTAACGCCGACGAATGCGCGAGATGCTGACACTGCTGATTGCGAATACTAATCACCGCAACTAAATAAACACAAGTTGCTGAGGTAGCACCAGCAAGTGTGCTGGTTTTTATACTCCAGCTGCTCTGATTTTATGATGTTCTGGTTTGACTTGGCTACGGACTCGGCTACTGTAATTTGTTTTTCTTTGTTTAAATATGTTCTCTGGCAATCAGTTGTTTTCCGAGTTATTGTACGTTAAAATAAGTTGATACAGGTTTCAATGGGATCGAAAAAATTAAAAACATAATCAGCAGACTACAGATCTCTAGTCTCTCTACCATAGTAGAAGTCTAGTAGAACAGCGTTCCATAAGCGCATTTTATTTTTCCTGCAGTAACATGGATTAACTGAATAGGGCGTCGCCATCACAAAATTGACACATGGAAAGTATTTGGCCAATAAAATCAACGTTAGTCCACATTTATTCTCATATATAATTTACAATGCGAAAATTCTATAAAGCTTTGGTAGGAAATGATTATAATCTGAATTCTGAAACTATAATAAGCTGAAATCTGTTCTTTATCAGCTCGATGGCTATCGATGTCAAATACGGTACCTAATTTCCTATTACGTAATCTCAGATGGTGCAAACGAAATGCGAAGCGTTTCTTGTAAGTATTCTCCGGTATCACGTGCAACAAGCCAAGAACTAAATCAAAGCCATTCTATATTGCAAAAATCACGTTAAAAATATTTTCGAAAACCAAAAAAGTTTCCGCGGCAATGGAGTGGAATTTATTAACAAAAAGTGATAAATATGCAGTATGCAGATTAACACTTAACACAAAACAGAAATAATGAGTGGAAATCGTAAATACAGTTTTTTTTTAATAATGGATTATTTTACACTGATTTATATCAACAAAAGAAACACACAAGTTGAAACGATAACAAACTGATAAAATAAATGCTTTCTTGATGGCAAGTGCGGTACGACGGCACGAAAATTAGAGGAGCATGTTTCTTTGTTTGTCCAAAACATATGAAGCCAACAAGTAAACAAACATACAAACAGGGAGAAAGCGGAGAACACCCAGGAGAGTAAAACCCCAACAAAAAATAAAACGAACAGTCGAAAATCAATTAAAAACCAAGCCTTCGCAGAAAGCGGTATCAACCGAGGAGAAAGAGACACATAAAAAAACCGGATCGGATTCTGTATTCACATATCAATGGCACGCACAGTCCCCATTCTGTGCATCCGTCCCGACGGCATCCGGCAGCAGCCTTTCCTGCCCAAAGAGGAAATAGCCCGTCCCAATACCGGCCACCACGGCCAAACACAGCCACACATTGTACGTCATAAACACCAGCATCAGTAGATAACCGACGATGAACTGCAGCACGTACAACAGGGTCTGTGCGAAGTGATCGCGATTGCAGGTACGCTGCAGGAACCCATTCTTCCCCCCGACCACCCGCACCTCCGCCGTCGTCGCGGGACCGTCATCCGCCCGCAGCATACCACGGCGCAGAGTAGCTTTGCGCAGCAGACAGTTGCGCAAATACTTGATGCCTTCGAAAAACACCGCTAACAGAAAGATAACCAGGCACGACCCGACCAGCTGCTCGGTTCGCTGGACATTCCACGCTTCGAACAATATGGTCTCGGTGGTGCGGGTGTGAAAAAACATCCCGTGGGACATGCCGCCGTGGCCGTGAGATGCGGCTGCGTGATCGTGATGATGGTGATCGGTCTGGTTGAGATCGCTGTCGACTTCCATTCTTGCTGGAATACAGCTGTTTCAGGTTTAGTTGACGAGCGATATGCTAAATTCCTGATACATCAACATTCAACAATTCATCAACAGATCGATGATCCCAGGGTGAGAGCTAATCGCGGTGTACTGCGGTTTGTTGTGGCAGTGGCGCTCGGCTCGCTTATCGTTAAACGTTTGCAGGCATTGTGACTGTGATGGGGTCGCTGCTGATAAACGGACGTTGTGCTGGTGCAGATATCGATAATCCAATTCGTCAACATAAGCTCTTTTTGAAAAATATATGAATACAATTAGGAAATTACTAGGGCAGTCGGTGGCGGCTGGAAATGCGATCCGCTACTCAATGAAGAAAATTGAAAAGCAAATTAAATCTCGTTTCCACACAGACAACCTTACCCAGAAATCAATCGATCAAATCAATGGTACACCACGCCGGATACATAAGTACGTGTACGATATTATAGACGAATCATGGTTTGAGACCACGCCTCGCAACCGGTACCAGAGCAGTTCCCCACCTACGGGGTTACGCTAATATTTCAATCAAACTTTATTTCATCCGCACAGTGCCATCATTGTCATGAACAACAGTTCATAATCAACTTCAAATCTAATATTTTAATTATTTTTACAAAAGTGAAATATTTTTTAAAAGCTGGACGAGATACTAAATTAAGTCAATCAGCGCTGCAACTTATTGTTAATGCTTCCCTTTGGTAGCATGTTCTTCGCAATACCACCCCTGAAAACTAATTACGTATTTCAAACTGTTATAATTATCGCTATTACTTACATTAAAATATCATCACATCCAGTATTATTGTACCGTTTTCATCAAGAAATTTTAGCGATATATGTATTTAATTATATTCCGCCTGCTTAAGACAAGCAAGAACTTGCGTAGTTTTAAGGCGCGAAAGAGCAATATTTAACGATATTCCCATTGTATTACATATATGCTTTCACAGGAAGTACTTATTGTATTGCAAGGCTATAATTACAGTATATTACGAACTAAGCAATGCGGTCCATTTCAAAATCAGCCTCAGATTTTTTCCATTCCTTTCTGGAATCTTCTTCGTAAATGTTATTTCTAAAAACACTCGGCCCTTTGCTTACTTTGATTGTCAAACAGAGTTCAGCTGGTACCAAAAAGTTTGAGATTTTTCCACTTAGCGGCGATAACCAACATTTACCCAAAACTATACAGCACGCCGCCAGTTCTGAATATTCATCTCACTAAAGCAGCTTAAATATGCAATAAATAAAGTAATTCAAACATGCAGAAAAACCTCTGCAACACCGTTCAGTGCAATTAGTAAAAAACTTAAAATCTCTACCAGTGCCTCCGTATAACGACACAACAGATCCAACAAATTTAGCATCCGGAATGTTCACCTTGAAAGAGCCCTGTCCATCCATTAGTGCAGAACAGCGGTTTCCTGATGATAAAAATAATTAATATTGTAGCTGATAGAATTCATTCCAAAAATATTTATAACTCTCACTTCGAGATTTTTGCCCTTGGTTTCGATGGGGAGTAATAAACAGTTCAGCGCTAAAAATATAAGAAACAATTGTTTACGGAGAATCTACCCGATCATGCAGCGTACATCTTGCCGTACCGGTGATCAGCATGATGACCGCGTAAACTCCCAATCCCGCAGGTAAAGAGCGCGCCAGTAAAACCTGGGCGATGAAGGGCGAAATCATAGAACCGATCCGCGCCACCGAGCTGCAAACACCCAAACCCACAGCGCGGAATGTTGTCGGGTATACCTGCAGAGAAATTAATCAGCAAAAGATATCTCGAAAACCGATTGCAGAAAACTTTCATATTGTTACAGAGTCAATTCTTCTTTTTTTCCTCAGGTTAGAAAATCGAATGTATCAATCCAGAAATACCTACTCGTGTTCACGCAGGTACTATATAAGGTAAAATCCATAAAATAATACAAACCTCAGACGTGTACACGTAAACGCAGTTGCCGATGGCGGACATGAACATGCGGGCGCAGAGAATGAACATGGAGAGGACGAAGCGCGATGTGCAGATGTTGAGCATGAGCACGAAGAAGGCACAGCACAGCAGATTGACCACGAAGGTCAACTTCCGCCCAATCAGATCCATCAAAGCCGCGTTAATGAACAGCGCTATCAAACCATTCAAATAATTCAAAGGGAATGTTTATCAGCACTTTCACATAACAGCACTTACAGCCAAACTCGCCAAGCGTTCCCACGATCAGCGTCATGTAGTCATCGCCGGATAACGGTCGACATCCACAATCCTCTACCGCCACGGCTTCTCCTTGGTTGACAATTTGTCCTAAAATTTTACACACATTTTCGAATCACACAGATGCAACTGTGCTAGTATCTTCTGTCAACAAATACATTCGACAGCATTAAGTTTGGCCGACATCCTTCACGAACATTGCAAAAATATGTTTTTTGTTACGAATACAAGCGTTGACCATATTGAATAGGTCATACCTGATAGGTCACAGATGCGTGCTCGCTCCACGATTTCTGTTGAGCTAAGCACGACGCCATAATAGCCAAAGGTCATGCAGAACCACACGACCCACAACTGCAATGTCAGGCGCCGGTAGTTTTTGGACAACATGTCGCTGATCTTTCCTTGCATTTGCTAAAACAGGTAAAACATGATGCTAAGCTCACTGTAAAAAATAATATCAAAAGAACTATAGCACATATTCGAAGTTACAGCACGACGAGGAAAACGACAGCGGCAAGAGTCACACCAAGAACAGTCAGTAACCGAGTATAGAAGTATTCAAGTACTGAAAATGGATCATGTCAGTTAACGCGCAATAATAAACAAAAAGAAAATGAATTCAGATAGCCATTTAAAGAAACATTCAGTATAAGTGCAGAACTGCAGATGCGACCCAAAATGCCAGTTAAATTTTACTATTCATACACACCTATATCGGTATCAGTAATTGTTACTCTTATAAGTCTAATGAGAGGAAATTATGCGTACTGTAGGAGGGACAATCAGGTGTCCCTTGGGTAGCTGCGTCTTGTTGACCTTGGCGATGCGCGCCAGCAGTGTCGTGGCCTCCAGCAGGCGGCCCTTACCCAGGAGAAACCTCGGGGATTCTGGCACTAGCTACGACAGACCACATATATGAAAAATCGCTGCAACTTCATCCAAAAACAGTAACTGCAGTTACGGCATATTCCCAAACATGATTTCATATGCGTCAAACCTCGATATCGCGCTTACCCGGAAAAAGCAAAGACTGAGCCAGGACAAGATGGCCGTGAAACCGGTGAGATATCGCCATCCCAGCCAGGGAATAATGATGGCCGCAGCGGCGATGAGAATAAAGCTTCCCGTCGCCCAAAACAACTAAACTAAACCAATTCTTCCTTAAGACACATCGCAAGTTCTCCCTGTATATTCCGCAGCTTCGTACCTGCGTCAGTACGAGCATCTTTCCACGATGTTTCGGTGGTAGCATTTCGGCATACAAAATAAAACTAGATAAAAACATCGAGCATGAAATACATACAGAGTAAAGGAAAACAAGATGGTACAGATTGACTAATAAAAAAGTTAAAAACTGCAATAACACAATTTCATAATTTTGAGAAATTCAAAGAATTAAAATTTTCGCAAAACAGCAAGAAAGCAAGGATGCGATTTGCGAATGCCGGTTAAAAACACCCACCTTTGTCCCGTGCCACTGGCCGCTCCCCCGACAATCATCCGGAGAAACAGAAGCCAGGAATACGTGGGACTGAAAGAGGTCAGTAGGCCAAACCATCCCAGCAGGAACATAACGACGAAGAGCGTCGGCCAGCGTCCGAAATTGTCGGACATTTTGCCCCAAAGCGGACTGAACACCAGCATCCCGGCAAAGACTACCTGCATATTTTGTTATTTTCCAGTATCTTTTCGGATGGTATTGCGGCTATTAACCACTGCATTACCGTGGAGACAGTGGCCACGTCCCATTCAGAGAGATTCCATTCACACCGCAGCACCGGTGACAGGACGGATAGGAGCATCACTTCCAGGGCATCAGCAACCTAACAAAGATTATGTGTTTGTACAGATTTGTTCATCCGACATGTTTATTATTTATATTTTGTCCACCTTGGTATTACAGTACTTCTTCAAGTCACGCCTTCTTTATTCTCATCTTAAAATTTGCCAACAAACAGACCATTTCGCCAGTATATTAGACCATTTCGCCAGTATATTCGGTCGCTAAACTTATTATACTGCGGTCGTGTTTGTCTCAACGCAAAGGTTAGGTTCAAAACGATTTATTTTGTTAATGTTTTCCAGTATTCTTGGTGTTGTCTGAATTTCAGCTATGTATTTTTGTATTCAACGATCGTTGAAAGATGAAGAAGTCACAGGCGCTATTTGCAAATCTCTTACAGGAACAGGCAAGGGAAATATTTATGAAACACTTTTCAAACGATTGTTGTTCACCGCACCATCAGTTACCTAATAACCGATGCTCGCGGCTACGAATAACAACAGCAGTCAAAACATTCAGTACCAATTTAGTATTCCAAAACAACAGCAACAACGAAAATAATGGCAACATACTGACGCTATGCTGTAAATACAAAGTTCTTAAATTAATATTAATTTTGCCAGATTTTAGAGCATACCTGCTATTAAACCGTCAACAATCACTATGTACCGGCCAACTCCCGAATCATTTAAAGAATTTAACGATAAGTACTGTATACATTATCTCTAACAGCCTAAAAGGATGTAAAAAGTCAGAAAGTAAATCCAAGTAAAGGATAGTGCTTTCTTACATTATACTATAATTATGATTAAGTACGAGTACTGTACTTAATTTTGCCGCACACGCAAATTTCAATACAAGCACCATATTTCCATATTTTGCACATCAGCATGTAATGAGCACTTTTAAATGCAAACCCTGAAAGGGGTATTACTATTAATTTTAGTCATCACTTCAACCAACACTAATCGAACTTAATTAGCTTATGTTTGCTTTCTTACCCCGAAGAAACCGATAACGCAGGTCATTTTGATTTGGTAGCGGCCGAAGCCGATTTTATTTAGCGCCTCGTCCACCGTGTAGCCCTCGGAGGCCGATGTGCTCTCTTCCAGCACCGCGCCTTCGAAGGCGGCATTCTCCACGCCGCTGATAGTGGACAACGGCGCCGTTTCCTCTGCAACAACAATAACAATACGCACAGTGCGAAGAAACCATTCACGATTGATTTAAACTTTTAGCGGTACAAAATCAAAAAACCTCAGCAATCACGCGGTCTAAATATAAATATAAAATTTGTTTAGACAAATATTTATCAAGCAGACTGTATCTGTACTACAACAACCAGCAAACATCTTCACTTATCTAACCTCAACGAACGCAGAATAAATTATTTACAATCACCCTATCACTGTTTTTCTGAAGTATTTTCAATCAAATTTGTGAAACTGATTCACCCAATTCTAACAGCGCACAATAATTTTATTAATTAATTAATATTATTAACCTTAAATTGTAAGATTTTTATAGCAGCACTGACCGAACCAAAGCTGTAAAGAAACTTATTAATATTACCGTGAATCGCTAACAAGCACGTGAGGCTTGTCGCATTTGCACTCACGGCAAGTGTCAAATTTCATACAAGCTCACAGAAAGGAAGGATACCTAATATACCTAATATCTAACAAAATAAACGCCACGTATGATTGTGCATATCGTACTTTTACTGTTGGCTTTGCGTTCCATCCCAAGGTCACGGCCGCCTGCGAACCGTACCCAGGAATCCCGCGAGGAAGCGCCCGAATCCTGTAATAACAAAGACCATCAGTCAGCGCATGCACCGTCAGCACAAATCGATGCCAAAGGAAAACCAAGCAACGAACCTCCACGGCTGCCAGATTCACGGCACAATGAATAATGGTACGAGTACAGTCATCCCCGATTCAGACAAATTCACCCAATATCAACGATTTCACTAGCGACTACACTCACTACAGGCAAAATTTACGGAAGCTCCATTGGATATGAATTTGATATATAAACACAAAGGAAGGAAGAGTTTTCAGAAAACAGACTGACAACTTCAGAAAATGTGCAGTAATAAAACTGGAAGGAAACACCGCATGTTGTTGTCGATATTGTGCAGTGAAAAAGTCACGGAATGCAGAGTGTGTTGGTTGCGCACCTGTTTGCGCGCCGTACGTACAGCGGAGTAGAACCGGCAGGTTATTTCACCGCCTACAGGTGTGTGGCTTATGTTACGAAATCAATTCAGCCAACCGCCGCCGGACGGTACTCATGAGATCTATTATTTCGTTTGACTTTTTAGATCGTTTTCGAAATTTTTCCGTTTTTTGAAGTCTTTTTTCTTTTCTGCTGTCGGTTTGTTGGAACTCGGGTCCCTTCGCTCGACTCGAAAGTCGAATGCTGGTAGTTGGTTTTCTATACTTTCTTAAAGGATGACGGAAACGGGGATATTCTGTGTCTGAATATTCGCCGGTGAAACTATGCCCACTATTCGGAAACGTGCACTGCTGCTTTTAATTCTTTTGATTCTTCTGCTGTGGCTGCTGGGACAATTGCTGATGTTCTGGAAAGCCCCGACCGTAATCATCGAGAATAACCAGCAGTTCCACAATCTGTGCCATGCCAGTGCGCTACCTCCTGACGTCAACCCGACAACCACCATCTTCATCATCACGCCAACCTATACCCGTCCCGTACAGAAAGCGGAGCTGACCCGTTTAATGCACACTTTCACCAGTCGCCTCCTCGATACATCTCTGGTAATTCACTGGATCCTCGTGGAAGATGCGCCCCGCAAAAGCGATCTCGTGGCTCATCTTCTGCAGAAATCTGGACTTGTTTTCACCCATCTGAACGTAGAGACGCCTGCGGAGATGCGTGTGGATGTGAAGAAGGGTGAGAAGAAATGGAGCAAACCACGCGGCGTCCTGCAGCGCAACGCTGGTCTCGAGTGGGTGCGCGGCAGCGTGCCTGCGGACACGCGGGCGGTCGTGTACTTCGCTGACGATGACAACACGTATGATGTGGAATTGTTCCGCGAAATGGCAGCCATTGAGCGGGTAGGCGTGTGGCCGGTGGCGTTTGTGGGAGAACTGATGGTGGAGAAGCCGGTGATTGATAACGGGAAAGTGGTGGCGTGGGATGTGGGCTGGAATGCGCAGCGACCGTTCGCCATCGACATGGCGGGATTTGCGGTCAATCTCCGCTTGATCCATGATCATCCGGACGCGCGATTCGATTTTAACCAACCGGTGGGCTATCAGGAGTCATTTTTCTTGAAATCCCTAGGCGTGGCCATGGAACATTTGGAGCCGAAAGCGGGGAATGGCAGTCCAGTGCTAGTGTGGCATACACGCGCGGAAGCCATTAATTTGACACAGGAACGTAAGCGGCGGGCCCAAGGCAGGCCCTCCGATGCAGGCATCGAAGTGTGATGGTTTCCCTGATTTGCAATACACCCGAAATCTTTCGCACCATATTCAGTATTATTGTTTGAGTATCTGCACCACAGACAATTTGTTTTTTCGGTTTTTATCGTGATAACAGCACGTCAGATGCCGCGGTGATACAGCTGTATAATCACTATAATGTATACGAGTATCGTATACCTTTTTCAGTTTTGCTGTATATACTTTTCCAGTTGTTTATATTTTCTTCAGAATCTGGTTTTACACTTTTATTAACAGTTATCACGGGTTTGGGAATTTTGTTATGCATGGATGGACTCTAATTTATCTCAAAAGTCAACAGTTAAAATTTCTATGTGCCGAAACAAAAACCAAATAAAAATTAAATGAAAGAACGTTCAATCGGTAGTGTACAGACTGCCCACGAACGCGATATCCCTTTTCAGGGCTTTTTGTGCTTCCTCCATCTTGCTCATTAATCTGCAAACGCCAATTCCGTCAGTTTTGATAATCGTGATTTGGAAGCAAGAGCGTTATTTCGATAAAATCTGAGTTTTAAATGTACAATGTACGACAAAAGAGTTGAACCGATTGTTCAAAATAACCTCGCAACGACGCATCGCTTAAATTGACGCTTATTATTTAGCTGCGCTGTGAATAAAGTGCAGCTATACTAGTTGCATCAAAAGGTGTAGAAAAAAATTCTAAACTTTTTGATACTAAACCTGTGGCTGTTTATGGCGAACAGCACGAATTCTAGCCATTTTGCTTTCTCGTAGGCACAGCATAGGATCTGTGCGCATAACCGTTTGGCTTGCAATCAATGCTTAAGTCTATGGGAAAGCAAAATGGCTAGAATTTGTGCTGTTCGCCATAAACAGCCACAGGTTTAGTATCAAAAAGTTTAGAATTTTTTTCTACACCTTTTGATATGCAACTAGTATAGCTGCACTTTGATATTCACGGAGCGCGAGCGTCTGAAAGTAGTGAGTAAGCGTCCAAGTTTTAGTGGTGGCGTGTGTCGTTGCGAGGTTATTTTGAACCGCGGACCGACTGATCGGTTCAACCTCTTTTTGTCGTACATTGTAAGTGCGCCAAGCCGCTTTTGATTTGAGATTAACTTGATTTAATTTATAACTGAAAGAAATATTAATAAGCACAATTCCGGTCAAAAACAACGGTTACCTGGAATTTCCGGTGACCTTGGCGGCGGCTTTGACATCCCGGCAAACCTCATCTAGTCGGGTCATGGTGCGGACAATAATTCCCTCCTGCACCTCAGTCAAACCGGTGATTTCCACAAACGGCATCCCCAGACACCACTGCCACACTACCTCAGCCAGCCCGAAATTCATGGCATCGGCCACATAGCTCACGGCCTCCTTCATCCCGGCCTCTCGCTGCGCTTGTCCGATTTCCAGCGCCACACTGCGCATAGCCTCGACTCCGTCGCTCAGTCCCGGTGGTAGGACAATCTCGGCGTCCACTTTTCCTTGGAAGACCAGTCCGGAGAGGAGAGCCACGATCTCCGCTGGCTGGCGATCGGTAAAGATATTATGGAAGACGCATTCGGCCATGAGGAGATCGTGCTCGGTGGTGGATATCTCGCAAGCTACTCGCCCACGGACGGTAATACTCAAGTCGGGCAGGACATACTGCAAACGGTGCAGTACGTCCAGGCGCTGCTGGTATTCGGGGAGGAAACGCAGACTATCATTTGAAAGCAGGTGGCGCAGCTGGGCAATCTGATCCACGATGTCCAGGCGGTGTTTTTCTTGCTCCACCTGAAATTTTAAAAAATCAATAAAAGGACAACTAGCACTCCAATTTTAAATACCTAAATGTGGCCAGTGAACACTGAAATAATTCATAACCTATTTATTTTACGACTATCTGCATCTGTAGTGCCACGGCAAATAATCAGCCTTGATCATGCTTTTGATAAGGCGTACATGCTTATAGAAATCCGGGCATTTACGGCAGTCGAAATAGTTCAATGTTGATTCCAGCGCCAGCATCTCTTCCCATTGCTCAATAAATTGCATATCGGTCAGCTTGAAGTCTTTGTTAGGGCTCAGTGGTTCAAGTTTTTTTAACCCAGAAATCTGCGAAGCAACCTTTTCGATCACCTCCTGAAACGATTTTCTGAAAAATCAATTACAATTTTGGCAAGTTCCCTACAAGTTATAAAAGGATAAGCCCAAAAATTCTTTTTAATATTTTGTTGCGCACTTGGCTTTGTTCGATGTTTTGGCCGCTTCCGCTTCGGACATGATCCGCTCGGTTTCGGCTTTGACCGTGGCATTCATAACTTGATGGATCTCCCCGCACGCCAGTCGTCTAACATCCGCCACTACACTACCCACCTCCAAGCCACTGAATTCAAGCACTCTAAAGTATCGTTCCGATTGCGGTGTACGAGAGGGTGCTGAGACAATGATGCCGGCGCTGGGCGGACGATGGATGTCGGCATTCGTGGTAACCACGCGGCCGGGTGCCAGCAGACGGTTGTCCGGACTGAGAAGAACAGTATTCAGCTTTTTCCGCAGTGCACGACAATTGTCAAATGTCCTGAGAAGAGGTGAAAGAAAGAAGGATTCAATATCAACCACCACCGCTGACACTTAAAATAATTAAATAAAAAAACTTCTGTAGCGCCCAGGACAACATTGCACAGTGCTTGTGGTTAGCATAGTGCCTCCAACTGTAAAGCATACTCTCACACTATTCAGTGTGCTTTTCTTATTGACTATGATTCTGTAAATTTGTACAAAAACTAGGAATATCCGAATGTACTTAAATTACATTTAAGAGTTTAAAATAAACCAGGAAAATTATGAACCGCCAAAAAAACCAAAAAATATGGCTTATAAAGGGGAAGCTGTGAGATAAATGTTCAAAACCCGCACATAACCGAAATTCAAGAAAACCACACCTACCGGCAATAATTTCCAATATCAGCTTTACAAACCGCACACTCCAGCTCCACCATCTGATTGGCCTGACCGATCAACTGGGCCAACTGCTCTTCCTGCTCGGGGTTGCGGCTGGCATTACTGTGCTCTGAAAAGCTGCGCTTCATCACATCCATGATAGAAATTGTGCCGATGCGCAGCAGCTGCAGAATCATCCCGTAAGTCAGCCGGAACTGCGAGTGCAGTTTCATGGGCACGCCCAGGATCATGTGGTTGAGTTTGGAGCTATCGGGGATGCGTGCCATCTTGCACAGAATGTACACCGTCCCCGTCTTGTCCAGACCGCGCCGACCGGCCCGTCCCGACATCTGAATGTACTCACCGGGGTGCAGATCGCGAAATTCGGTGCCGTCGTGTTTGCGGATGCTGTCGAAAACCACACTCCGCGCCGGCATATTGACGCCCATGGCGAATGTCTCCGTCGCCAGTAAGATCTAGCAAATAGTTGCATGTGGAGTGGAGGTAATGGATCAATCAAACTGACACTCAACAAATTCCGAAAAACATACGATACTAAATGTCGCAATATTAACCACTTATTAAAATAAGGGGGAAAAATTACTGGGGATAGTGTTGTCACCGTTGTGGCATTTTCGAAGGAAAATTAACGAGCCTTCACACAGTCCTGCAGCAGCTTTTTTAGACTATTCTATTTCGAATAAGATAAAAATTTCTGTGGAGAGTTCGCTCTCTTCAAAAACTAAACAGCCACTAAAGAAAAACTAATACTGTTATGCGTTACCTTTACAAGACCTTGTTGGAAGAGCATCTCCACAGCCTCTTTCATAATGGGCAGAATGCCGCTGTGATGCACACCGACGCCTCTTTCCAGGTAATACTCCAGGCGCAGAATCTGCGGTAGCTTTCGGTCGCTTTCGTTCAGACGAGATGTGGCTTTCCGGAAGAAAGTCACTATTGTGTGCCTGAAAAGACAATCAATTAGGTTAGCAAAACAAGTATTGCTGGACAAAGGAATTGCTCAAAAGAAAATGCCGTAGAGCAGTTTAATGATTTATGGTGCGCGGATAAAAAATCAAAGATCACTGTATGTAGTCTGCTCTAAATACAACACGGATGGGCGTCATGGATGCTCCAAAACTAAAATTTTGAAAGGGGTAACTTTAACCACTCACATCACTTACCGTGTTACCGATATAAGTGATGATGCACAGGGAAACAAACAAAATTCAATACAGAGTTTACGCCTATTATTCCAAAAAATAATTTCAAAAAGTACGTACAGCAACACATACTTCTCTGACTGACTGGTCAAATCCAAGGAACTGAGCATGTCTCCCAGTTGATCACAGCGATTGCGTGAGAAGACAAAAGCAATAACCGGCATGAGTTCTTTCTGTTGGACAAAGTCCATAAAGGCTAGCCAGACAGTCTTGTCTTGTTTGGGTGGCAGGCGCTCGCTGAGCGACAAGCCCATCTTGATGTTGTTCTTCTTTTCGTACTCCTTCTGGATGCCAACTGCTTCCGAGTGGTTTTTCGTCAGCATCTCCCCTCTGGTGCTGACAATCACCAGATCCTTGTCAATCGTTTTGCTGCCCACGCAGACGAAGAGATGATGCTCCAGCGGCACCGGGCGCTTCGTGGTGCTAATCACGTAAATTTTACGCTGTTTGATGCGACTATAAGGAGCAAAACATGATGAAAGGAACGCTACTGTAATCAAAACGTAATGAAAATTTATTACTTAGTTAAACAGCAAAAAATTATGGACACTGTCACCAAATTGCAGCACTTGGAAAGAAACAGAATAATACGTGAGAATCTCAGGTAAGTAATGTCAGAACTCAGAAGTATTCAGTCCATAAAAAAACCAGCTAGTAACTCCCCAAATACTTCAAAAATGTAGGCAGAAAAGCTCAGAAAAAGAAAAAAACTATTCAGCTGAAAACTGGTACCAGAGACACCGAGCTCTCAACCAGCCAATCATTGCATAAAAAACAGAACCCAATCGAATGATTCACTGGAGAAAAGAAAGAGAAAAACGGTAGTCAGATCAGTTTACCCGATCCAGTCGGCAAACTCCATGGCATTTGGCACCGTCGCACTGAGCATCACGATGCCCACCTGCGCCGGCAACATAATTAGAATCTCTTCCCATACTACGCCCCGCTCGGCATCATTGACATAGTGCACTTCGTCGAAGATAACCCAGTCCAGGTCGCGGACAATCTCCGATCCACGGTACAGCATGGAGCGCAGGATCTCAGTGGTCATAACCAGACAGTGGGAGTTTGGCTCGATCTGCACGTCGCCGGTCAGCAGACCAACATCGTGGAAAGTGCTCTTGAAGTCGCGGTACTTCTGGTTGGATAAGGCTTTGATGGGCGACGTGTACACGCAGCGTGTTTTGGCGCGCAAGCTCAAAGCGATGGCGTACTCGGCCACTACTGTTTTACCGGCGGAAGTGTGGGCTGCCACAAAGACGCTGTCGTGCTGGAGTGCAAAACAATTTGTAGGTGGCTTAAGTAAAGAAATTTCTAAAAATTATTACATTTTTTAAGTGTTTTTTCTTGTTTCTATTTTTTATCGACAAAGGAGCAGCATCACAATAACTCGAGTAGTGAACGTACTATAATACCACCGGTTTATGACCACCGTGCACAAGAGGGAGAGGACCATACAAAGTTATTGATCTAAAGTGCTAGTAAATCCGAATGATTTGCAGTGAGATACGTAATACATGCAAACACAACTGACCGTGAGCATTAGCATATCACAGCTTTCAACAGATTTTTGCTTACGTTTTCCAGATGTAGCACAGCTTGCTTTTGGAAAATATCCAATTCAAAGGGATATTTATGAGCCATATTAGGCATTTTGGCGGCAAAGTCCGGAATAGGAATGCCAACGTCGACTTTTACAGCCCACGATTTGATGTTCTTCAAATCTGTCAAAGTGAAACAGAAGCATTATTATTTTGTACTATCGCTGCGTACGCCTGAAGTCTGAAAACAGAGCATACAGCACCAGCGATATAAAATAATTAGAATTTTACTAATGTAATTAAAAAACGCAGAAAACACCGTTCACAGCGTCCCTACCGGTAGCAGAAGAAATTCGCAAAGCCGAATGGGATCCATCCAATCCATCCAGCTCATCGTCAGCGAAGAGCTCACTGTATATTTCTCCATAACCGGCCAATTCCAGCAGACTGCGCATGTCTTTCCACAACCGCTCATCTGCTACCTTATTCGCGCCAGTGACTGGCTGGACGGCCTGCCACTTTTTCAGTAAATCCAGTTCCTTTTCACTCAACAGGTCGTTCAGTCCATTAATGAAAGGCAGTTTAGCAAAAGCAGATTCCGAAGCGTTAAAAAAGAATTCCTCGTTATCAGCAAATTCTGGTGGACACTGTGGTAGTTTATCGAAATTTTTCAAATATTCTCGGCCTGCAAAAACACCCAAGCGATGTTTTGAGTAAAACCAATCACTTTAAAATCTATTTTCATGCGCTTAACTACGCAAAATAAGAATACGTTAAGTACCACATAAAAACGCATTTTTATCAAGTTTTGCCAGAGATCAAATACTGACGAACACACCTTCTTCAAGCATTTCCTGGGACGGAAGTGCGAACCTGTCAATCTCGCTAAACGCACTCTCCATGCCTCCGGGAACAAACGGCATCTGCGTTACACTTCCGAAAAGGTAATTCTCTCCGGGTTGAGTTGGTTCTCGCCGGAAATCAGCGGAGTTGCGACTGTTCATTTCCATCCCATTTGTGTCAATCTAATAACTGGTAACGATCACACTCACTCACCATGGCGCATCAAAATCAAGAAAATAAATACTTAACTTTCAACGCTGCAGTACAGTACATAAAATCAGAAATGGTTACTGTTTGGGATAATTCATATCGCATTCATAAACAATACAACCACGTACTTAAAACTTGGACGATTAAAAAGCAACGCATTATATTATCATAGTGATATCAGTTCTTAAAAAACAAACCAATTAATAACCTTAAAATAAAGTTCACATTAGCTTTTATTCTGATTTTCTGGTCACTGAGTGTGCTTGTTATAAACAATAATCGTACAAAACCGAATACCAATGCAACTCAACGAACGTCAAACTGGCCCAAACATTACATAAAAATAGAAAGCAATAGCGTGTGGGATTTTAATTTCACGCATTTGTCGGAAATTCGGAAAAAAATAATTAACTGGAAATTTTGCAAATTTAATACAGTATGAGTAAAGTTAAACTAAACAAACCTAAAGCATTTTTTAAAAATTAAATTCTCCAAGAAAAGTCGCATCAGCTGATTAACCTCGCGCCATGCAGCGGGATTCCGGTTGAAGGGATCGCGTTCGAGGACCATCTCGAAATCCAGCGGCGGATAACTCCATGCGTGATGCACATCCGGCGGCTCATCCTCCAGCACCGTCGCCTGCTGCAGCTGCGGCAGGGTCAGGTACTCACGCATGATCTCCTCGGGCTGGAGACGCGCTTCCAAGCGGGCGAGGGTTGTGGCGTCCATCTGCTGAATGTGCTGACGGATGCGCAGCACTTCCTCTGTGTCGGACGAGCTGGCTGCTGGAACATGCTGACGGAGTTGTAGGAGAGAGATGTCAGGGATGCGGCTCTGACCCAGATATGGCAGCTGCAGGGCGGGTGGGTCGGGTGAGAATTCAGCATCCAAGGAATCACTAAACTGCCTGTGCGCCACGGCCAGGCGCAGGGTTCGCTCCAGCTCTGCGTCCATGGATGATGGATGGTCTCAGGTGGTCTGCCTGACTTTGTTGGTATTGCGGTTTCTAACATCTGCTATACGCGCAACGTTTGCGTTTTATCGATACAGCTGCTACAATAAAAATTTAAAAGTAAGTTTTATTAGATTACTGATTATAAACAGGAGGAGAAACGAAAATCACAAGCAGACAAACTTCAAAAATCAAAAAGCAAGTCAAAGGCAAATTTTATGTGAGCCGGAAGGTGGCGGTTACTTTGCAGTTTGCACTTTGCCGCTCGAGAGCTGGCGTCACTGCAAAAAATTCTTCCCTGGAATGGTTAATTTGCTGCCCTCTTTGCTTTAAGCTTTTAACTATGAGAAACGTTAAAATTAATTTCCAATATTAAAATTTAGACATTCGAACGATAGTAATATTTTGTATCAGCTTTGGCTCACCGCCAAGATAATGTCCAGCTTTTGACGGCCTGGCCTGCCTCCTCGATTCGTTTTGCCGCGTAAACGGAATGCCATAAAGTATGCAGCGCGTGTATAAAGAAAGGCTGTACCAGGTGTGACAATCGAACAAAGCTCGTTCGGTGATTTCTCGCACAGACGATAACTGTTGTTTCAGACGTTTCTGAGCAAGCGTCGGTACTGGTATGCATCAGCTTTTTCCAGTAATTTTTCTGGTTTAGTAGTGACAGCGTGTATTAATCAAATTCCTTGAACTTTGAAGCTAGATAGCCCCTTTTCCTAGAAGGTCGCATCTTGTCTATCAAATCCCAGGCTCTCATCACTCCTGTTGTGGTTTTCGGGTCTGCTTGATCAGGTAAAAGTCACCGTAAAACATAAAAGCGGAAGGAGGCAGAGGGCGAGTTCGCCAATCCAGGGACCGCAGATCTGACTTTTATCACACTTACTGACTTACGTCTTACAGATTTACTTTATTAGTGTTACAACCTGGAAGCGCTGCCTTCTAGTCTTGAATTTAATCACATTACCAACGAATGTGAGAAAACTGATATGAGTGCAGACTGTACAATAGCACACCAATTCGTAAACCATAACAAAATCTGCAAGGAACGACAAGGTTACGATAGCATTCTCATTATTGAAATTTGAGCGTTTTCTAGTTTCCTTAACATTTTATTTGGCAGATAGCTGTTCATTATGGACGGGGGAGGAGTCGTAACCCGTTCTCGTCAGCGACAACGCAGTGAGTCCCAGGAACCTGTCCCCGTCAATGCCCATCGTCGGGACAAGAGCAGCGGTGCTCCGACCATGGATGCCGTGCCCGAGCAGGTCACCGCTGAATCCTTGTCGACGCCCTCATCACAGTCCAGCCAGAAAAGCTACAGCAACGGCATCCGCAATGGCCACCACGGCTCGAACGGTTTCCACATGGATACGCCGCCGTCCAGCCAGAGCGCCGGATCCCGGCCGTTGAGCCCCACATCGATGACACGCGAGGCGGAGAAGCAGGAGTTGCAGAAGCTCAACAGCCGCTTGGCCATACTCTTGAGCAAACTACACGAGTCCAATTCAGAAAACATCACATTAAAGGTAGTGTGAAAAATCTGTTAATGTTTTATTTAGTTGAGTAAAATGTCCAGCGATTGACCTTACTCGTGTAATCGTATTTATTGTATGATTTATCCTGTTAACATTGATCTCAAAATAATGTGGTAATTTCGTGCGTGAGGTTTGTAATAATTGGAGTACCGTCATTTACTCGTGTTTTGTAATATGGTGCAATAAAATTAAAACACAGGTAATCAATTTTATGCGGTCTGACGATTTTATGCACTCTCATTGCACGAGATCCGTACGTAAACGGTGAAATGGGTCTCACTGATATACAGTTGACGGTATATAGAAATTGATGTGGCTTCACTGGCTTGCACACTTTACACACGTTGGAAGTGGTAATGTGAGTTATTGGTAGGAGGCTCTGGCTCTGAAGGAAGGCGAAACCCAAGCGCTTCTGGACTCTCAGTTAGCCATCTACCAAACACAAGTGCGAAGTCTCAGCGCTGCCCTGGATCAGGAGAACAACCAAAAGGTCCAGGAGATCTTCGCGCGTGAGCGGGCTCAGGCCGAATTGCAACAGCTGACAGAAAGGTTTGCTGCAGCGACGATCATCGGCAATTGCTTAAAGAATGAACGTAGAATACTGAATGTGATCTTGTTTGAAACTGACTTCTGCGCTTCTTGTGTAGGGTGGCCGATCTGCAGGACCGCTTTGATGACGCCGAAAACAGGGCGAAGGGCGCCGAAAAGCTGCAACGCGAAAGTGACCGCAAACTGGCCGACGCCCAGATTGCCCTTAACGAGGCCAACATGCAGAAGATGGTACGTCGTTATCATGCGTAGAAGCATCCATTTTTCTTTCAACCCTATGTTTTTCGTTGTTCTTTTTTTTAAATTTTCGCATGGTAAAGAGTTGAATGTTCAAGTTTCGCAGTATCATAGTTCCAACAAATCATACCTGATGTTTTGTTTAAAGTACTTCAAGGCGGAATTCGACAAACTCCAGGCGCAGCTACGTTCTCTACAGAGTGCCCTGGAAGAAGAAGTGGCGGATAAGGCGAAACTGCAAAATCAGTTGAACACGGTTAAAGAAGCGGCAGAGTTTGAAATTAAACTGGCCATGGATGTAGGTGTTTTCTGGTATTATTTTTACGCTGGCTTGCAAAGCTGTTTTAAATGGTTCTTCAGAGACTGAAACACCAGGCTATTCCCATCGACAGCGTGGACGCCAGTGCTCGCCGTTCATTCAACGAGGTTAACCTAGACCGTATCCGGGAAAATTTCCAGCAGGACATGGAAGATCAGCGCCAGGAAATTGAAGAACAACTGCATGACATGTACCAGAGAAAGGTAGTGTGACCAAAATGAACTCTACCGTCGTGAAAATAGCCACTGAATAATGACGTTAATAATTATTGGCAGAAATTGTTGACGAGGAATTGTACGCAGCGAAAACGTTTTTACTTTTAAGAATTATCGGTATTTTTACTAAAACTAAAAATTTTTTAGTTATATTATAATTAGGTTACTAATTATTTGGCCATTTTTTCGACTGGTATTTCGGAATTGTTTTATATCCTAGATAGAGGATATGTCAAATCAAATGCGGATCATGGAACAGGATCTGGAACAGGCTCAACGTAGCGCAGTAACAGCTAATAAAAATTACCGGGATATGTCGCAACAGCTGTCTGCAAATGCCAAAGTGGTATGTATTTTCTATTTTGAATTAATTCGGGAGTTTCGCTACTTCTACTGTGCATTGTGCTGAATCTGTTTTATTTATGTATTTTTCAGAATCGCGAAATTGAGGACGATTTGGCTCGGATGCGTGCGGAATTCGATCGCTACAAAGAAAATGCTGAGGGGCGCTTGTTTGATGCGTCCAACGCGCTGCGGGAAAAGAGTCACATGTATCAGGAGGTACTAACTCAAAATCAGGAGCTAAGGGACGCTCACGCTGACATCCTGGCTGAACTGAGAGTCTATGACGAACTGATGAAAAGTCTGGAGCAAAAGTGAGTAAAAGGCAACGCGGATTTAAATAATTGTGTATTACTGTTTTGATTGTAAGCCGTAATATGTTTTTAACCTTTACTTGCTAATTAATTTAAACTGTTGATGGGTTAAATTTTTACGCTTAGTCGAATTTCAAAATATTTTTAAACAGACCTATTATATTACTGTACATCTTTCTACAAACTATTTTTGGTCGTTCTGTTAATTTCGGTCTCATAAATGGGAAACATTTGCCGTAAAAATTGCTATTATGTCTCCGTTCAATGGACAGTTTAGTCAAACGAGCTTTGGTTTAATGACTATCTGCAACAGAGTTGGTATTCCAACGCCGGAACGCAGCTTCAACCGTTCATCTGTGGTGGGCAATAAAAAACGCAAACACTCTGACTTCTATCCGGTGTCTCTTGAAAAATCAGCAAGTCGGATGGGATCCTTTGGGCGACCGTCGTCATCGCAGACTACAGTCAAAGCGTCGGCCAACAAATCTCGCTCTAATGGCGACATTTGCATCTCGGAAATGGATCCCGGCAAGTTCATCCGCATCGAGAACACAGCGGAATCGGTAAGTGCATTCGAAGGGCGCACCGATATTAGCCGTCGTTCGTTTCATGGCGTTTGGTTAAAGGCTGCCGACATCTCCGGATATATCCTGCTGCAGCAGGGTTCGAGCGGCCAGGAAGTCAAGTATACTTTCGAGGAAGGTGCTACCATTGCCGGCAATGGAATTATCACGGTAAAATTTTCCGTGTGGAATCCTGTCTGTGTACTTCGAAATTTTCGCTCATTTTGCACTGCTGTTTGCGTTCCGTTCCTTCGTTTGAAATTTGGATTGAAGTTGATTTAAGTGACAGTTGTCTTCAACCTTGGTTTGACGTTTTAAGCGTTCAGAAGTATTAAACGCATTCAACCAACTCCCGCCCAACTACGTGGTCTTATGTAGGTTTATGGACCGAAAATCGGTGACAGCGTTACTCATAATGGGACCACGGAGCGTGTGGCGGATGAGGATTGGATCACTGGACACAAGACGGCGGCGTACTTATATGATGCCACTGGGAGAACTGAACTGGCCAGTTACCAGACGGTATCGGAAGTTGCTGGCTCCGGAGCTATGATGACACCGCAAGGATCGGTAATTTTCTCTCGTAATATTTTACTTTATTAAATAGATATAACTCATATAAGTGGGTTTTCGGTTTACCGCTTATTTATGTTATTTAATATTACTTCATTTTTATTATTTCATCTTTGATACGGTTAGCATGATTAATCCGTATATCATATCGATCGACGTTCTGATGTAGAATGCTGTTTAGTTTATTCTATGCTTAATTTAAATAGTAAGTACTTATTTTGGTTTTGTTACTTATTACTGCAAAGTGCAAACTACTCTGGGACATTTCCTACATTTTATTTATTGCAGGCGTCGAAGAGGGGTTTGCTGAGCAGAATCCTTGGCAGGTCTTGATGGTCCATTTCCGTATGAATGGATCCAACCTGTAGCCTTTTGGGATCGTTGGAATGGCATATTTTTCGAACAAATGGGATATTTGTTACGTTTTATAATTTTGTCTACGATTGCAATTTGTTCCTGAAATTTTGGATAGCTTGTACCGTTGTACGTGCACTTTGGGCGGATACTCATATTTTTTAGGCTTGTAGCTTTTGTACGATTATTGTTTCCAAAACACTATTACGTTACCGTTGTGCAATTTTCCGCTGGTCTGTATTTTTTATGATTTAAGTATCTGGGAGTGTGATCTACCATTTATTCGAATGAAAAAGTAAAATGGATTTCGCGTCACGTCCTCTTAAATTTCTGTTGAATGATGTCGCACGTGTGATCTTTTCGTTGGCGGCGACTTGTCGCGGAGCCGGACACCCCAGGGGGCAGCGATAGGCTGTTGGAAACTGCACCGTCAGTCACTCAGTGATTTACTCGAAAATTTCAAAATTCTGAAAGTGAAAACAACCAAGACTGAAAAGTGAAAAACAGATTTTTACGGACTGTGAGTTACTTTAGCTTGCGTTTTAAATTTTTTTGAGTGGCAAATTTTTAGGATTGGCTTCGTGGAAGATGGGTGGCAAGGAGACCAACGATGATGGTCGGTTTTTTGATTTGTCTTTCCAACGCTCGTATCCAGCATGCCAGAACGTGGAGGACATGCTTTGCCAGCGGATTTTTCACCGTTTCAAATCGGGGTATTTCCTTGTGTTATCTTTGTACCTTCTTTCCTGGTCTTTGATAATGTCTCCTGTGTAATTAGTGGAGGAAACGAAGGGATTGATCAGAATGGCTGCACGCGCCTACTGGAAGGTTTGCTGACTTGGCCCGCGCCCACAGCGGACGATGGGCGACTGGCGATCGGCCAGCTCGTTAGCACGGTGTACGCCGTGTTTGACCGAGATAAGGATGGTGTGCTGGATTCGGAGGAGTTTCGCCAGTGCTTCCAGCGCTGGATTCGAACGGTTAGTCAAATCCGCAGATTCGAACACAATTTTAGATGCCAGTTGAGTTTACATTATTTACTAGCTGTAAGACGTAACTTGAATAAACAAAGGAAAATTCGCTCTGATAACAGATGCAGTATGAACTATGAAGTCTTACTATCTTGGAGATATGTTTTACGAAACCACATTTACATACTAGCCTTCTTACACTTTGCAGCATTTTCTTCGCCTTTCGATTGCGGCGAACTTTTATGTTCATATAAACGAGAAATCGTGGGATTATAATTTTTTGAATTGAGTATTCTCTCTCTTTGTGTTAGAAGATGAGCATCTTTTCAGCATCTCATTTCTACTGTACATGTGCATGTCATTATTTTAGAGTCTAAATAACAGAAATTGCAGAATTATGTAGGTCTTGTTTCCGCGATGGTGCTTGTTGATTGTGGACACCCAGAATGACTTTATCGACGGCAGTCTGGCGTTGCGCAATGCGCCTGCCCACCAGGATGGCGCCGAGATAGTGCCGGTGATTAATGGCATGCTGCAGCGGCACTCCTTCGACGCCGTCGTCTATTCCATGGACTGGCATCCACCCAATCACTGCTCTTTTCTCCACAATGTTACCAAACACACCCTGCATCCTTCCAACAAGGTGTGGCCGGTTTCGTTGGAATATTACATAAAGAAATTATTAATTTTGTTTACGATTTTATAAATTACTGCTTGTTGTGTAGATCAAGGCCGAGAACGCCAAATTATTCGACACCGTGATTTTCTCCGTGGACGGCGAGCCGATGGAACAAGTGCTTTTTCCGGCTCACTGTGTCCAGGGCACAACTGGAGCGGAGTTACACGCCGATCTGAAGGTGCGTAACCAAATTGAATATTGAAGTTTAGCATTTTCAAATCCGTAAACGCAAGCCGAATTACTTTATTGCACAATTTCGTGGCGTTTTTCGCTGAACGACAGGGAAGTATTGTGCTGGAAAATCTAACAAGACGGTATTCGCATTGCCAAAATTTATTTTCAGGCATGAGTATTTAAGTGAAAGTTTTGCAATTTTTATTTGGATTTTTATTTTTGGTTTTACTGCGCATCGTTTTATGGATTTATTTGTAACCCTAAGTGGGATTCTTGTAAATCTGATTGCGAGATAGTTTTAGATTGTGGATGGCGCAAACACACCGAGCACCACGGTAAAAAAGGCAACAGATGCTCGCATCGACTGTTACAGTGCTTTCGAGGATAATCTGCGGAAACATCGCACCATGCTCGATGAGTTCCTAAAACAACAGCGCATTACCGATGTTCTTATCTGTGGACTAGCCTATGACTACTGCGTCGGTAATCATTCTGCGATTTACATTCTGAGTTAAATAATTCATTTACAGTACTGGACGGCCAGTCGGCCAGAATTTGTAACCTTATTTTGAAAGTTCCTTATCAAGACATTATTTTGTTGCATTAATTTGTGGGAAGTTTATGCTGAATCAGTATTGGCTGCACGATACAGCTTGCATTTCCTTTACAGTCTCACAGTTTTTGCGCACGAATACTTAATTTATTACAGCTGTTGTGCGGTACTTCCATGTCGAGTCAGTGCTAGTTTTCTATGGTTCATTTATTTTTCTTTTTGTTCAGGTCGCAGTGCAATGGATTCCTTGCGATTTGGTTACCGCACGGTAATTATTGAGGACGCCGTGCGCGGATCGAATGACGAGGCCATCGCCCGTGCCAAAGACGCCTTCACCAAAGAGGGCGGGCTGATAATCGCCGCTGCTCAGCTTGGTGATCTGATGTCCGGCGCATGCAGATCTCCCCGGTTAGCCTCACAGACCCTGCAGAATCTCCTCAATAAATCATAATGAAAAAGCACGGCCGCACTTTGTGATTATTTACTAGCTTGTTGTTTTGCCAGTCAGGCGTGCAGCTTCGGTATTGTTCCGTAAATAGGTGTGAAATTCTTACTGTGGTTGCCGTGAAATTGACCGGTCAACATGCATCATGCATTTGGCAGCTGGTCTTTAAAGAAATCATTTATGAAATTTAATTTAATGAATGGGATCCTATTTGGAGGTTATATTAAAATTAATGCAACGACAAACTTACATTGACTGGGGATGTTACTGTTTAATGTTTGCAGTGTTGAAATCAAAATATTATAATACGCAAACTTACTACGTTTTCGCGATGCGTCTAAGTTCAAAGTAAATAATCGCGATCACCACGGCAGAGCTGATTAATGATGTATAACAAGCAACCTCCCTGAGATGGCGTTTGTCTCATGCTTCACAATTCGGAAACGTCAACAAGCGGATTTTCCCAATGTTTTGATTTATTTTCCTTTGATTAGCTACTGCGACTGTGATATACGGTATTCTTTTACCATATCAGTGTTTACACTATTTCGAATCGTCAAACATTACGCGCACTCCGACTCGCGACATTTTTTCCTAATCGGAGTTTGTTTCAATTACGGGTACCGCGGCGATGGATGTCGACAAAGGTGGACTGGAGATGGAGAAGAGCAAATTCCGTCAGTTTCTCGTTGTACCGGACGTGATTGACGAGGCGCCGGGAGAAGTGTGTGACGTAAGTGTCGCAGCTTGCAGCACACAGGTCGCATGCAAGGGCAGTGGCACTGACAGCTGTTCATCAAACAGGTTGTCTTCCCGTCGGGCGTCAGCGCCATTCTCGGCAGTGAATTACTCCCCGAGGAAGTCCGCCAGGCACCCAAAGTCAACTACACCGTGGAAAAAGACGCACTCTACAGTTTAATCATTGCTGGTACGATCGTCTTTGCTAGAAGTTACAATTATTTTCTTTTCCCTTTTTTATTTCCAAAGTACTGTATTTATTTATGTATTGATGTTCGTAACTTCGCACTGTACACCCTCCTTGGCGATATCATTATTTTGCGATCAGCTTCCGCTTTTCTGTTGAAACTGCAGTAGAAAGTTGTTAAGTGCTTGTTTGCCGTTCGCTTAATTTAAAATAAAATTTATTATGGTCTATGGATGAAATATTTTTGAGTAATTCAGATTTGGGGCTTATTTGTGGACAGATGCTGATACTCAAAATCCGGACAAGAACGAAGGTCTGACGCAGTGGCAGCAGTGGGTGGTGGTCAATATCCCCGGAGCGCACGTGGAACAGGGACAAGTGCTGTCCGAATATATCGGCAGCGGTCCACTGCCTGGCTCAGGTAATGCCGTAACATTAAGCATTGCAAAAATTAAAGTTCTCTTATGCTAAGCACCCCAAATATCTTTTGGTGTATTTCGTCGATTTTCAGTAACATATTTTCAGTACGAGTAATGTGTGTTTTCAGTTGTTTTTTGTCTTTAATGTGACGTCACTGTTTGTTTGTTTTCTTTTCTGTAGTTTCATTTCGATTCTCAAATGACGGTTGCAATCGTGCTTTCTAAGTCGTGTAAATGACTCGTATTTATAACAATCCTGATTTCGGAATTCCATTCTAAGGTTGTTGAATTTTTAGAAAATGTGAGTTAAGAAACCGTTAGAAAATTCTAAACTGAAACGCCAAATTAATCACGCTGGCTCGGTTCGCTCGGTTTATTGCGATGTTTCTCGTAGATTAACCCTGTTTGTAAGTTTGATTTTTTTCCCAGGACTGCATCGCTACGTGGTGCTGGTGTTCAAACAGCCGCAGCGATTGCAGC